AAGCCACTGCAAGGAAATCCGGCCTCCTTTCAAGTTAGGGCTTCTCGCTGTATATTGCCCTTGAGGCAGCGAACTCGGGGTCCCTCCCACATACCTATTGCTGAGAGAAGTCTCCTCCTGAGGTGCGTCTGGAAAGTTGGCATACGTCTTGAGCCTAAGCCAGGGAATCACCTCTCATCTCGAGACGATTTGGGGTACACGGAGCATTCCTCGAGTTGCCGTGCTGAAGTTCGTGTTCCTCTAGACTTGGGACAGTGTTTTCGGGGCATCTCTGGAGTTGCCTGAAGGAAGTCGAGCCACCGGTCGTGTTGAATGGGGAACGGGGAATGGCTCTCGAGTCAATGCAGGGGAATCGGGCCTCATCTCGAGTTGATTTGGGGCCCATGGAGCTGCTTTGCGTTGCTGGGGTGACCTCAGGGTCCGTCGAGACTGGTGACAGTGTTCTTGGGGACTGTCTCGAGAACCATTAAGCAAGTCGAAGCTCCTGACTTGCTTGAATGGGACCACGGAATAGCTCTGCATGCACTGCAGGGGAATGGGGCCTCATCTCGCCTCTAGGGGGAAGTCTCATGGTTTTTCTCGAGTTGCGGCGCGGACCTGGGGTATGTTCTCGACTTACGGCGGGGATGGCCCTTCAAAACACGAGTTTCTTCAGTGACGTCAGGACTCCTGTCTAGTAACGAGGGAAAGCTCAGGAATCTCTTCGAGGCTTGGCAGGGCAAAAGGGACGCTTCTCGAGGTGAGTCAGGGCACCCAAGACACTTTCCAGTAGCCACAGGGATTTTGGGATTCCTATCAGTATTCAAGAGAAGTCAGGCATCGTCACCTTTTGAAGCAATGAACTCCGTGTGCCTCTCGAGGTGTCAACGGAATGTGAGGCATTACGTCCAAATGAGGCAGGGACCTAGGGCTTTCTCTAAGGTCTCAACCTGGGATTCAGACATCCCTTCATGTTGTGAGAAGAAAGACGAGCCTGTATTCAAGCCACTGCAAGGAAATCCGGCCTCCTTTCAAGTTAGGGCTTCTCGCTGTATATTGCCCTTGAGGCAGCGAACTCGGGGTCCCTCCCACATACCTATTGCTGAGAGAAGCCTCCTCCTGAGGTGCGTCTTGAAAGTTGGCATACGTCTTGAGCCTAAGCCAGGGAATCACCTCTCATCTCGAGACGATTTGGGGTACACGGAGCATTCCTCGAGTTGCCGTGCTGAAGTTGGTGTTCCTCTAGACTTGGGACAGTGTTCTCGGGGCATCTCTGGAGTTGCCTGAAGGAAGTCGAGCCACCGGTCGTGTTGAATGGGGAACGGGGAATGGCTCTGGAGTCAATGCAGGGGAATCGGGCCTCATCTCGAGTTGATTTGGGGCCCATGGAGCTGCTTTGCGTTGCTGGGGTGACCTCAGGGTCCATCGAGACTGGTGACAGTGTTCTTGAGGACTGTCTCGAGATCCATTAAGCAAGTCGAAGCTCCTGACTTGTTGAATGGGACCACGGAATAGCTCTGCATGCACTGCAGGGGAATGGGGTCTCATCTCGCCTCTAGGGGGAAGTCTCATGGTTTTTCTCGAGTTGCGGCGGGGACCTGGGGTATGTTCTCGACTTACGGCGGGGATGGCCCTTCAAAACACGAGTTTCTTCAGTGACGTCAGGACTCCTGTCTAGTAACGAGGGACATCTCAGGAATCTCTTCGAGGCTTGGCAGGGCAAATGGGACGCTTCTTGAGGTGAGGCAGGGCACCCAAGGACACTTTCCAGTAGCCACAGGGATTTTGGGATTCCTATCAGAATTCAAGAGGAGTCAGGCATCGTCACCTTTTGAAGCAATGAACTCCGCATGCCTCTGGAGGTGTCAACGGGATGTGAGGTATTCCGTCCAAATGAGGCAGGGACCTAGGGCTTTCTCTAAGGTCTCCACAGGGGATTCAGACATCCCTTCGTGTTGTGAGATCAAAGACGAGCCTGTATTCAAGCCACTGCAAGAAAATCCGGCCTCCTTTCAAGTTAGGGCTTCTCGCTGTATATTGCCCTTGAGGCAGCGAACTCGGGGTCCCTCCCACATACCTATTGCTGAGAGAAGCCCCCTCCTGAGGTGCGTCTTGAAAGTTGGCATACGTCTTGAGCCTAAGCCAGGGAATCACCTCTCATCTCGAGACGATTTGGAGTACACGGAGCATTCCTCGAGTTGCCGTTCTGTAGTTGGTGTTCCTCTAGACTTGAGACAGTGTTCTCGGGGCATCTCTGGAGTTGCCTGAAGGAAGTCGAGCCACCGGTCGTGTTGAATGGGGAACGGGGAATGGCTCTGGAGTCAATGCAGGGGAATCGGGCCTCATCTCGAGTTGATTTGGGGCCCATGGAGCTGCTTTGCGTTGCTGGGGTGAACTCAGGGTCGTCGAGACTGGTGACAGTGTTCTTGGGGACTGTCTCGAGAACCATTAAGCAAGTCGAAGCTCCTGACTTGCTTGAATGGGACCACGGAATAGCTCTGCATGCACTGCAGGGGAATGGGGCCTCATCTCGCCTCTAGGGGGAAGTCTCATGGTTTTTCTCGAGTTGCGGCGGGGACCTGGGGTATGTTCTCGACTTACGGCGGGGATGGCCCTGCAAAACACGAGTTTCTTCAGTGACGTCAGGACTCCTGCCTAGTAACGAGGGACACCTCAGGAATCTCTTCGAGGCTTGGCAGGGCAAAAGGGACACTTCTCGAGGTGAGGCAGGGCACCCAAGGACCCTTTCCAGTAGCCACAGGGATTTTGGGATTCCTATCAGTATTCAAGAGGAGTGAGGTATTGTCACCTTTTTAAGCAATGAACTTCGCGTGCCTCTCGAGGTGTCAACGGGATGTGAGGCATTCCGTCAAAATGAGGCAGGGACCTAGGGCTTTCTCTAAGGTCTCCACAGGGGATTCAGACATCCCTTCATGTTGTGAGATCAAAGACGAGCCTGTATTCAAGCCACTGCAAGGAAATCCGGCCTCCTTTCAAGTTAGGGCTTCTCGCTGTACATTGCCCTTGAGGCAGCGAACTCGGGGTCCCTCCCACATAACTATTGCTGAGAGAAGCCTCCTCCTGAGGTGCGTCTGGAAAGTTGGCATACGTCTTGAGCCTAAGCCAGGGAATCAGCTCTCATCTCGAGACGATTTGGGATACACGGAGCATTCCTCGAGTTGCTGTGCTGAAGTTAGTGTTCCTCTAGACTTCGGACAGTGTTCTCGGGGTATCTCTGGAGTTGCCTGAAGGAAGTCGAGCCACAGTTCGTGTTGAATGGGGAACGCGGAATGGCTCTGGAGTCAATGCAGGGGAATCGGGCCTCATCTCGAGTTGATTTGGGGCACTTGGAGCTGCTTTGCGTTGCTGGGGTGACCTCAGGGTCCATCGAGACTGGTGACAGGGTTCTTGAGGACTGTCTCGAGATCCATTAAGCAAGTCGAAGCTCCTGACTTGTTGAATGGGACCACGGAATAGCTCTGCATGCACTGCAGGGGAATGGGGCCTCATCTCGCCTCTAGGGGGAAGTCTCATGGTTTTTCTCGAGTTGCGGCGGGGACCTGGGGTATGTTCTCGACTTACGGCGGGGATGGCCCTTCAAAACACGAGTTTCTTCAGTGACGTCAGGACTCCTGTCTAGTAACGAGGGACACCTCAGGAATCTCATCGAGGCTTGGCAGTGCAAATGGGACGCTTCTTGAGGTGAGGCAGGGCACCCAAGGACCCTTTCCAGTAGCCACAGGGATTTTGGGATTCCTATCATGATTCAAGAGGAGTCAGGCATCGTCACCTTTTGAAGCAATGAACTCCGCGTTCCTCTCGAGGTGTCAACGTGATGTGAGGCATTCCGTCAAAATGAGGCAGGGACCTAGGGCTTTCTCTAAGGTCTCCACAGGGGATTCAGACATCCCTTCATGTTGTGAGATGAAAGACGAGCCTGTATTCAAGCCACTGCAAGGAAATCCGGCCTCCTTTCAAGTTAGGGCTTCTCGCTGTATATTGCCCTTGAGGCAGCGAACTCGGGGTCCCTCCCACATAACTATTGCTGAGAGAAGCCTCCTCCTGAGGTGCGTCTGGAAAGTTGGCATACGTCTTGAGCCTAAGCCAGGGAATCACCTCTCATCTCGAGACGATTTGGGGTACACGGAGCATTCCTCGAGTTGCCGTGCTGAAGTTGGTGTTCCTCTAGACTTGGGAGAGTGTTCTCGGGGCATCTCTGGAGTTGCCTGAAGGAAGTCGAGCCACCGGTCGTGTTGAATGGGGAACGGGGAATGGCTCTGGAGTCAATGCAGGGGAATCGGGCCTCATCTCGAGTTGATTTGGGGCCCATGGAGCTGCTTTGCGTTGCTGGGGTGACTTCAGGGTCCGTCGAGACTGGTGACAGTGTTCTTGGGGACTGTCTCGAGAACCATTAAGCAAGTCGAAGCTCCTGACTTGCTTGAATGGGACCACAGAATAGCTCTGCATGCACTGCAGGGGAATGGGGCCTCATCTCGCCTCTAGGGGGAAGTCTCATGGTTTTTCTCGAGTTGCGGCGGGGACCTGGGGTATGTTCTCGACTTACGGCGGGGATGGCCCTTCAAAACACGAGTTTCTTCAGTGACGTCAGGACTCCTGTCTAGTAACGAGGGACACCTCAGGAATCTCTTCGAGGCTTGGCAGGGCAAAAGGGACCCTTCTCGAGGTGAGGCAGGGCACCCAAGGACCCTTTCCAGTAGCCACAGGGATTTTGGGATTCCTATCAGTATTCAAGAGGAGTGAGGCATTGTCACCTTTTGAAGCAATGAACTTCGCGTGCCTCTTGAGGTGTCAACGGGATGTGAGGCATTCCGTCAAAATGAGGCAGGGACCTAGGGCTTTCTCTAAGGTCTCCACAGGGGATTCAGATATCCCTTCATGTTGTGAGATGAAAGACGAGCCTGTATTCAAGCCACTGCAAGGAAATCCGGCCTCCTTTCAAGTTAGGGCTTCTCGCTGTATATGGCCCTTGAGGCAGCGAACTCGGGGTCCCTCCCACATACCTATTGCTGAGAGAAGCCTCCTCCTGAGGTGCGTCTGGAAAGTTGGCATACGTCTTGAGCCTAAGCCAGGGAATCAGCTCTCATCTCGAGACAATTTGGGGTACACGGAGCATTCCTCGAGTTGCTGTGCAGAAGTTGGTGTTCCTCTAGACTTGGGACAGTGTTCTCGGGGTATCTCTGGAGTTGCCTGAAGGAAGTCGAGCCACCGGTCGTGTTGAATGGGGAACGGGGAATGGCTCTCGAGTTAATGCAGGGGAATCAGGCCTCATCTCGAGTTGATTTGGGGCACATGGAGCTGCTTTGCGTTGCTGAGGTGACCTCAGCGTCCGTCGAGACTGGTGACAGTGTTCTTGGGGACTGTCTCGAGATCCATTAAGCAAGTCGAAGCTCCTGACTTGTTTGAATGGGACCACGGAATAGCTCTACATGCACTGCACGGGAATGGGGCCTCATCTCGCCTCTAGGGTGAAGTCTCATGGTTTTTCTCGAGTTGCGGCGGGGACCTGGGGTATGTTCTCGACTTACGGAGGGGATGGCCCTTCAAAACACGAGTTTCTTCAGTGACGTCAGGACTCCTGTCTAGTAACGAGGGTCACCTCAGGAATCTCATCGAGGCTTGGCAGTGCAAATGGGACGCTTCTTGAGGTGAGGCAGGGCACCCAAGGACCCTTTCCAGTAGCCACAGGGATTTTGGGATTCCTATCAGAATTCAAGAGGAGTCAGGCATCGTCACCTTTTGAAGAAATGAACTCCGCGTGCCTCTCGAGGTGTCAACGGGATGTGAGGCATTCCGTCCAAATGAGGCAGGGACCTAGGGCTTTCTCTAAGGTCTCCACAGGGGATTCAGACATCACTTCATGTTGTGAGAAGAAAGACGAGCCTGTATTCAAGCCACTGCAAGGAAATCCGGCCTCCTTTCAAGTTAGGGCTTCTCGCTGTATATTGCCCTTGAGGCAGCGAACTCAGGGTCCCTCCCACATACCTATTGCTGAGAGAAACCTCCTCCTGAGGTGCGTCTTGAAAGTTGGCATACGTCTTGAGCCTAAGCCAGGGAATCACCTCTCATCTCGAGACGATTTGGGGTACACGGAGCATTCCTCGAGTTGCCGTGCTGAAGTTGGTGTTCCTCTAGACTTGGGACAGTGTTCTCGGGGCATCTCTGGAGTTGCCTGAAGGAAGTCAAGCCACCGGTCGTGTTGAATGGGGAACGGGGAATGGCTCTGGAGTCAATGCAGGGGAATCGGGCCTCATCTCGAGTTGATTTGGGGCCCATGGAGCTGCTTTGTGTTGCTGGGGTGACCTCAGGGTCCGTCGAGACTGGTGACAGTGTTCTTGGGGACTGTCTCGAGAACCATTAAGCAAGTCGAAGCTCCTGACTTGTTTGAATGGGACCACGGAATAGCTCTACATGCACTGCAGGGGAATGGGGCCTCATCTCGCCTCTTGGGGGAAGTCTCATGGTTTTTCTCGAGTTGCGGCGGGGACCTGGGGTATGTTCTCGACTTACGGCGGGGATGGCCCTTCAAAACACGAGTTTCTTCAGTGACGTCAGGACTCCTGTCTAGTAACGAGGGACACCTCAGGAATCTCTTCGAGGCTTGGCAGGGCAAAAGGGACGCTTCTCGAGGTGAGGCAGGGCACCCAAGGACCCTTTCCAGTAGCCACAGGGATTTTGGGATTCCTATCAGTATTCAAGAGGAGTGAGGCATTGTCACCTTTTGAAGCAATGAACTTCGTGTGCCTCTTGAGGTGTCAACGGGATGTGAGGCATTCCCTCAAAATGAGGCAGGGACCTAGGGCTTTCTCTAAGGTCTCCACAGGGGATTCAGACATCCCTTCATGTTGTGAGATGAAAGACGAGCCTGTATTCAAGCCACTGCAAGGAAATCCGGCCTCCTTTCAAATTAGGGCTTCTCGCTGTATATTGCCCTTGAGGCAGCGAACTCGGTGTCCCTCCCACATACCTATTGCTGAGAGAAGCCTCCTCCTGAGGTGCGTCTGGAAAGTTGGCATACGTCTTGAGCCTAAGCCAGGGAATCACCTCTCATCTCGAGACGATTTGGGGTACACGGAGCATTCCTCGAGTTACCGTGCTGAAGTTGGTGTTCCCCTAGACTTGGGACAGTGTTCTCGGGGCATCTCTGGAGTTGCCTGAAGGAAGTCGAGCCACCGGTCGTGTTGATTGGGGAACGGGGAATGGCTCTGGAGTCAATGCAGGGGAATCGGGCCTCATCTCGAGTTGATTTGGGGCCCATGGAGCTGCTTTGCGTTGCTGGGGTGACCTCAGCGTCCGTCGAGACTGGTGACAGTGTTCTTGGGGACTGTCTCGAGAACCATTAAGCAAGTCGAAGCTCCTGACTTGCTTGAATGGGACCACGGAATAGCTCTGCATGCACTGCAGGGGAATGGGGCCTCATCTCGCCTCTAGGGGGAAGTCTCATGGTTTTTCTCGAGTTGCGGCGGGGACCTGGGGTATGTTCTCGACTTACGGCGGGGATGGCCCTTCAAAACACGAGTTTCTTCAGTGACGTCAGGACTCCTGTCTAGTAACGAGGGACACCTCAGGAATCTCTTCGAGGCTTGGCAGGGCAAAAGGGACGCTTCTCGAGGTGAGGCAGGGCACCCAAGGACCCTTTCCAGTAGCCACAGGGATTTTGGGATTCCTATCAGTATTCAAGAGGAGTGAGGCATTGTCACCTTTTGAAGCAATGAACTTCGCGGGCCTCTTGAGGTGTCAACGGGATGTGAGGCATTCCGTCAAAATGAGGCAGGGACCTAGGGCTTTCTCTAAGGTCTCCACAGGGGATTCAGACATCCCTTCATGTTGTGAGATCAAAGACGAGCCTGTATTCAAGCCACTGCAAGGAAATCCGGCCTCCTTTCAAGTTAGGGCTTCTCGCTGTATATTGCCCTTGAGTCAGCGATCTCCGGGTCCCTCCCACATACCTATTGCTGAGAGAAGCCTCCTCCTGAGGTGCGTCTTGAAAGTTGGCATACGTCTTGAGCCTAAGCCAGGGAATCACCTCTCATCTCGAGACGATTTGGGGTACACGGAGCATTCCTCGAGTTGCCGTGCTGAAGTTGGTGTTCCTCTAGACTTGGGACAGTGTTCTCGGGGCATCTCTGGAGTTGCCTGAAGGAAGTCAAGCCACCGGTCGTGTTGAATGGGGAACGGGGAATGGCTCTGGAGTCAATGCAGGGGAATCGGGCCTCATCTCGAGTTGATTTGGGGCCCATGGAGCTGCTTTGCGTTGCTGGGGTGACCTCAGCGTCCGTCGAGACTGGTGACAGTGTTCTTGGGGACTGTCTCGAGAACCATTAAGCAAGTCGAAGCTCCTGACTTGCTTGAATGGGACCACGGAATAGCTCTGCATGCACTGCAGGGGAATGGGGCCTCATCTCGCCTCTTGGGGGAAGTCTCATGGTTTTTCTCGAGTTGCGGCGGGGACCTGGGGTATGTTCTCGACTTACGGCGGGGATGGCCCTTCAAAACACGAGTTTCTTCAGTGACGTCAGGACTCCTGTCTAGTAACGAGGGACACCTCAGGAATCTCTTCGAGGCTTGGCAGGGCAAAAGGGACGCTTCTCGAGGTGAGGCAGGGCACGCAAGGACCCTTTCCAGTAGCCACAGGGATTTTGGGATTCCTATCAGTATTCAAGAGGAGTGAGGCATTGTCACCTTTTGAAGCAATGAACTTCGCGTGCCTCTTGAGGTGTCAACGGGATGTGAGGCATTCCGTCAAAATGAGGCAGGGACCTAGGGCTTTCTCTAAGGTCTCCACAGGGGATTCAGACATCCCTTCATGTTGTGAGATGAAAGACGAGCCTCTATTCAAGCCACTGCAAGGAAATCCGGCCTCCTTTCAAGTTAGGGCTTCTCGCTGTATATTGCCCTTGAGGCCGCGAACTCGGGGTCCCTCCCACATACCTATTGCTGAGAGAAGCCTCCTCCTGAGGTGCGTCTTGAAAGTTGGCATACGTCTTGAGCCTAAGCCAGGGAATCAGCTCTCATCTCGAGACGATTTGGGGTACACGGAGCATTCCTCGAGTTGCTGTGCTGAAGTTGGTATTCCTCTAGACTTGGGACAGTGTTCTCGGGGTATCTCTGGAGTTGCCTGAAGGAAGTCGAGCCACCGGTCGTGTTGAATGGGGAACGGGGAATGGCTCTGGAGTCAATGCAGGGGAATCGGGCCTCATCTCGAGTTGATTTGGGGCCCATGGAGCTGCTTTGCGTTGCTGGGGTGACCTCAGCGTCCGTCGAGACTGGTGACAGTGTTCTTGGGGACTGTCTCGAGATCCATTAAGCAAGTCGAAGCTCCTGACTTGTTTGAATGGGACCACGGAATAGATCTGATTGCACTGCAGGGGAATGGGGTCTCATCTCGCCTCTAGGTGGAAGTCTCATGGTTTTTCTCGAGTTGCGGCGGGGACCTGGGGTATGTTCTCGACTTACGGCGGGGATGGCCCTTCAAAACACAAGTTTCTTCAGTGACGTCAGGATTCCTGTCTAGTAACGAGGGACACCTCAGGAATCTCTTCGAGGCTTGGCAGGGCAAAAGGGACGCTTCTCGAGGTGAGGCAGGGCACCCAAGGACCCTTTCCAGTAGCCACAGGGATTTTGGGATTCCTATCAGTATTCAAGAGGAGTGAGGCATTGTCACCTTTTGAAGCAATGAACTTCGCGGGCCTCTTGAGGTGTCAACGGGATGTGAGGCATTCCGTCAAAATGAGGCAGGGACCTAGGGCTTTCTCTAAGGTCTCCACAGGGGATTCAGACATCCCTTCATGTTGTGAGATCAAAGACGAGCCTGTATTCAAGCCACTGCAAGGAAATCCGGCCTCCTTTCAAGTTAGGGCTTCTCGCTGTATATTGCCCTTGAGTCAGCGATCTCCGGGTCCCTCCCACATACCTATTGCTGAGAGAAGCCTCCTCCTGAGGTGCGTCTTGAAAGTTGGCATACGTCTTGAGCCTAAGCCAGGGAATCACCTCTCATCTCGAGACGATTTGGGGTACACGGAGCATTCCTCGAGTTGCCGTGCTGAAGTTGGTGTTCCTCTAGACTTGGGACAGTGTTCTCGGGGCATCTCTGGAGTTGCCTGAAGGAAGTCAAGCCACCGGTCGTGTTGAATGGGGAACGGGGAATGGCTCTGGGGTCAATGCAGGGGAATCGGGCCTCATCTCGAGTTGATTTGGGGCCCATGGAGCTGCTTTGCGTTGCTGGGGTGACCTCAGCGTCCGTCGAGACTGGTGACAGTGTTCTTGGGGACTGTCTCGAGAACCATTAAGCAAGTCGAAGCTCCTGACTTGCTTGAATGGGACCACGGAGTAGCTCTGCATGCACTGCAGGGGAATGGGGCCTCATCTCGCCTCTTGGGGGAAGTCTCATGGTTTTTCTCGAGTTGCGGCGGGGACCTGGGGTATGTTCTCGACTTACGGCGGGGATGGCCCTTCAAAACACGAGTTTCTTCAGTGACGTCAGGACTCCTGTCTAGTAACGAGGGACACCTCAGGAATCTCTTCGAGGCTTGGCAGGGCAAAAGGGACGCTTCTCGAGGTGAGGCAGGGCACGCAAGGACCCTTTCCAGTAGCCACAGGGATTTTGGGATTCCTATCAGTATTCAAGAGGAGTGAGGCATTGTCACCTTTTGAAGCAATGAACTTCGCGTGCCTCTTGAGGTGTCAACGGGATGTGAGGCATTCCGTCAAAATGAGGCAGGGACCTAGGGCTTTCTCTAAGGTCTCCACAGGGGATTCAGACATCCCTTCATGTTGTGAGATGAAAGACGAGCCTCTATTCAAGCCACTGCAAGGAAATCCGGCCTCCTTTCAAGTTAGGGCTTCTCGCTGTATATTGCCCTTGAGGCCGCGAACTCGGGGTCCCTCCCACATACCTATTGCTGAGAGAAGCCTCCTCCTGAGGTGCGTCTTGAAAGTTGGCATACGTCTTGAGCCTAAGCCAGGGAATCAGCTCTCATCTCGAGACGATTTGGGGTACACGGAGCATTCCTCGAGTTGCTGTGCTGAAGTTGGTATTCCTCTAGACTTGGGACAGTGTTCTCGGGGTATCTCTGGAGTTGCCTGAAGGAAGTCGAGCCACCGGTCGTGTTGAATGGGGAACGGGGAATGGCTCTGGAGTCAATGCAGGGGAATCGGGCCTCATCTCGAGTTGATTTGGGGCCCATGGAGCTGCTTTGCGTTGCTGGGGTGACCTCAGCGTCCGTCGAGACTGGTGACAGTGTTCTTGGGGACTGTCTCGAGATCCATTAAGCAAGTCGAAGCTCCTGACTTGTTTGAATGGGACCACGGAATAGATCTGATTGCACTGCAGGGGAATGGGGTCTCATCTCGCCTCTAGGTGGAAGTCTCATGGTTTTTCTCGAGTTGCGGCGGGGACCTGGGGTATGTTCTCGACTTACGGCGGGGATGGCCCTTCAAAACACAAGTTTCTTCAGTGACGTCAGGATTCCTGTCTAGTAACGAGGGACACCTCAGGAATCTCTTCGAGGCTTGGCAGGGCAAAAGGGACGCTTCTCGAGGTGAGGCAGGGCACCCAAGGACCCTTTCCAGTAGCCACAGGGATTTTGGGATTCCTATCAGTATTCAAGAGGAGTCAGGCATCGTCACCTTTTGAAGCAATGAACTCCGCGTGCCTCTCGAGGTGTCAACGGGATGTGAGGCATTCCGTCAAAATGAGGCAGGGACCTAGGGCTTTCTCTAAGGTCTCCACAGGGGATTCAGACATCCCTTCATGTTGTGAGATGAAAGACGAGCCTGTATTCAAGCCACTGCAATAAAATCCGGCCTCCTTTCAAGTTAGGGCTTCTCGCTGTATATTGCCCTTGAGGCAGCGAACTCGGGGACCCTCCCACATACCTATTGCTGAGAGAAGCCTCGTCCTGAGGTGCGTCTTGAAAGTTGGCATACGTCTTGAGCTTAAGCCAGGGAATCACCTGTCATCTCGAGACGATTTGGGGTACACGGAGCATTCCTCGAGTTGCCGTGGTGAAGTTGGTGTTCCTCTAGACTTGGGACAGTGTTCTCGGGGCATCTCTGGAGTTGCGTGAAGGAAGTCGAGCCACCGGTCTTGTTGAATGGGGAACGGGGAATGGCTCTGGAGTCAAAGCAGGGGAATCGGGCCTCATCTCGAGTTGATTTGGGGCCCACGGAGCTGCTTTGCGTTGCTGGGGTGACCTCAGGTTCCGTCGAGACTGGTGACAGTGTTCTTAGGGACTGTCTCGAGAACCATTAAGCAAGTCAAAGCTCCTGACTTGCTTGAATGGGACCACGGAATAACTCTGCATGCACTGCAGGGGAATGGGGTCTCATCTCGCCTCTAGGGGGAAGTCTCATGGTTTTTCTCGAGTTGCGGCGGGGACCTGGGGTATGTTCTCGACTTACGGCGGGGATGGCCCTTCAAAAGACGAGTTTCTTCAGTGACGTCAGGACTCCTGTCTAGTAACGAGGGACACCTCAGGAATCTCTTCGAGGCTTGGCAGGGCAAAAGGGACGCTTCTCGAGGTGAGGCAGGGCACCCAAGGACCCTTTCCAGTAGCCACAGGGATTTTGGGTTTCCTATCAGAATTCAAGAGGAGTCAGGCATCGTCACCTTTTGAAGCAATGAACTCCGCGTGCCTCTCGAGGTATCAACGGGATGTGAGGCATTCCGTCCAAATGAGGCAGGGACCTAGGGCTTTCTCTAAGGTCTCCACAGGGGATTCAGACATCCCTTCATGTTGTGAGATCAAAGACGAGCCTGTATTCAAGCCACTGCAGGGAAATCCGGCCTCCTTTCAAGTTAGGGCTTCTCGCTGTATATTGCCCTTGAGGCAGCGAACTCGGGGTCCCTCCCACATACCTATTGCTGAGAGAAGCCTCCTCCTGAGGTGCGTCTTGAAAGTTGGCATACGTCTTGAGCCTAAGCCAGGGAATCACCTCTCATCTCAAGACGATTCGCAGTACACTGAGCATTCCTCGAGTTGCCGTGCTGAAGTTGGTGTTCCTCTTGACTTGGGACAGTGTTCTCGGGGCATCTCTGGAGTTGCCTGAAGGAAGTCAAGCCACCGGTCGTGTTGAATGGGGAACGGGGAATGGCTCTGGAGTCAATGCAGGGGAATCGGGCCTCATCTCGAGTTGATTTGGGGCCCATGGAGCTGCTTTGCATTGCTGGGGTGACCTCAGCGTCTGTCGAGACTGGTGACAGTGTTCTTGGGGACTCTCTCGAGAATCATTAAGCAAGTCGAAGCTCCTGACTTGCTTGAATGGGACCACGGAATAGCTCTGCATGCACTGCAGGGGAATGGGGCCTCATCTCGCCTCTATGGGGAAGTCTCATGGTTTTTCTCGAGTTGCGGCGGGGACCTGGGGTATGTTCTCGACTTACGGCGGGGATGGCCCTTCAAAACACGAGTTTCTTCAGTGACGTCAGGACTCCTGTCTAGTAACGAGGGACACCTCAGGAATCTCTTCGAGGCTTGGCAGGGCAAAAGGGACGCTTCTCGAGGTGAGGCAGGGCACCCAAGGACCCTTTCCAGTAGCCACAGGGATTTTGGGATTCCTATCAGTATTCAAGAGGAGTGAGGCATTGTCACCTTTTGAAGCAATGAACTTCATGTGCCTCTTGAGGTGTCAACGGGATGTGAGGCATTCCGTCAAAATGAGGCAGGGACCTAGGGCTTTCTCTAAGGTCTCCACAGGGGATTCAGACACTCCTTCATGTTGTGAGATGAAAGACGAGCCTGTATTCAAGTCACTGCAAGGAAATCCGGCCTCCTTTCAAGTTAGGGCTTCTCGCTGTATATTGCCCTTGAGACAGCGAACTCGGGGTACCTCCCACATACCTATTGCTGAGAGAAGCCTCCTCCTGAGGTGCGTCTTGAAAGTTGGCATACGTCTTGAGCCTAAGCCAGGGAATCACCTCTCATCTCGAGACGATTTGGGGTACACGGAGCATTCCTCGAGTTGCCGTGCTGAAGTTGGTGTTCCTCTAGACTTGGGACAGTGTTCTCGGGGCATCTCTGGAGTTGCCTGAAGGAAGTCGAGCCACCGGTCGTGTTGAATGGGGAACGGGGAATGGCTCTCGAGTCAATGCAGTGGAATCGGGCCTCATCTCGAGTTGATTTGGGGCCCATGGAGCTGCTTTGCGTTGCTGGGGTGTCCTCAGGGTCCGTCGAGACTGGTGACAGAGTTCTTGGGGACTGTCTCGAGAACCATTAAGCAAGTCGAAGCTCCTGACTTGCTTGAATTGGACCACGGAATAGCTCTGCATGCACTGCAGGGGAATGGGGCCTCATCTCGCCTCTATGGGGAAGTCTCATGGTTTTTCTCGAGTTGCGGCGGGGACCTGGGGTATGTTCTCGACTTACAGCGGGGATGGCCCTTCAAAACACGAGTTTCTTCAGTGACGTCAGGACTCCTGTCTAGTAACGAGGGACACCTCAGGAATCTCTTCGAGGCTTGGCAGGGCAAAAGGGACGATTCTCGAGGTGAGGCAGGGCACCCAAGGACCCTTTCCAGTAGCCACAGGGATTTTGGGATTCCTATCAGTATTCAAGAGAAGTGAGGCATTGTCACCTTTTGAAGCAATGAACTTCGCGTGCCTCTTAAGGTGTCAACGGGATGTGAGGCATTCCGTCAAAATGAGGCAGGGACCTAGGGTTTTCTCTAAGGTCTCCACAGGGGATTCAGACATCCCTTCATGTTGTGAGATGAAAGACGAGCCTGTATTCAAGCCACTGCAAGGAAATCCGGCCTCCTTTCAAGTTAGGGCTTCTCGCTGTATATTGCCCTTGAGGCAGCGAACTCGGGGTCCCTCCCACATACCTATTGCTGAGAGAAGCCTCCTCCTGAGGTGCGTCTGGAAAGTTGGCATACGTCTTGAGCCTAAGCCAGGGAATCAGCTCTCATCTCGAGACGATTTGGGGTACACGGAGCATTCCTCGAGTTGCTGTGCTGAAGTTGGTGTTCCTCTAGACTTGGGACAATGTTCTCGGGGTATCTCTGGAGTTGCCTGAAGTTAGTCGAGCCACCGGTCGTGTTGAATGGGGAACGGGGAATGGCTCTGGAGTCAATGCAGGGGAATCGGGCCTCATCTCGAGTTGATTTGGGGCACATGGAGCTGCTTTGCGTTGCTGGGGTGACCTCAGCGTCCGTCGAGACTGGTGACAGTGTTCTTGGGGACTGTCTCGAGAACCATTAAGCAAGTCGAAGCTCCTGACTTGTTTGAATGGGACCACGGAATAGCTCTGCATGCACTGCAGGGGAATGGGGCCTCATCTCGCCTCTAGGGGGAAGTCTCATGGTTTTTCTCGAGTTGCGGCGGGGACCTGGGGTATGTTCTCGACTTACGGCGGGGATGGCCCTTCAAAACACGAGTTTCTTCAGTGACGTCAGGACTCCTGCCTAGTAACGAGGGACACATCAGGAATCTCATCAAGGCTTGGCAGTGCAAATGGGACGCTTCTTGAGGTGAGGAAGGGCACCCAAGGACCCTTTCCAGTAGCCACAGGGATTTTGGGATTAGTATCAGAATTCAAGAGGAGTCAGGCATCGTCACCTTTTGAAGCAATGAACTCCGCGTGCCTCTCGAAGTGTCAACGGGATGTGAGGCATTCCGTCCAAATGAGGCAGGGACCTAGGGCTTTCTCTAAGGTCTCCACAGGGGATTCAGACATCCCTTCATGTTGTGAGATCAAAGACGAGCCTGTATTCAAGCCAATGCAAGGAAATCCGGCCTCCTTTCAAGTTAGGGCTTCTCGCTGTATATTGCCCTTGAGTCAGCGAACTCCGGGTCCCTCCCACATACCTATTGCTGAGAGAAGCCTCCTCCTGAGGTGCGTCTTGAAAGTTGGCATACGTCTTGAGCCAAAGCCAGGGAATCACCTCTCATCTCGAGACGATTTGGGGTACACGGAGCATTCCTCGAGTTGCCGTGCTGAAGTTGGTGTTCCTCTAGACTTGGGACAGTGTTCTCCGGGCATCTCTGGAGTTGCCTGAAGGAAGTCAAGCCACCGGTCGTGTTGAATGGGGAACGGGGAATGGCTCTGGGGTCAATGCAGGGGAATCGGGCCTCATCTCGAGTTGATTTGGGGCCCATGGAGCTGCTTTGCATTGCTGGGGTGACCTCAGCGTCCGTCGAGACTGGTGACAGTGTTCTTGGGGACTCTCTCGAGAATCATTAAGCAAGTCGAAGCTCCTGACTTGCTTGAATGTGACCACGGAATAGCTCTGCATGCACTGCAGGGGAATGGGGCCTCATCTCGCCTCTAGGGGGAAGTCTCATGGTTTTTCTCGAGTTGCGGCGGGGACCTGGGGTATGTTCTCGACTTACGGCGGGGATGGCCCTTCAAAACACGAGTTTCTTCAGTGACGTCAGGACTCCTGTCTAGTAACGAGGGACACCTCAGGAATCTCTTCGAGGCTTGGCAGGGCAAAAGGGACGCTTCTCGAGGTGAGGCAGGGCACCCAAGGACCCTTTCCAGTAGCCACAGGGATTTTGGGATTCCTATCAGTATTCAAGAGGAGTGAGGCATTGTCACCTTTTGAAGCAATGAACTTCGCGTGCCTCTTGAGGTGTCAACGGGATGTGAGGCATTCCGTCAAAATGAGGCAGGGACCTAGGGCTTTCACTAAGGTCTCCACAGGGGATTCAGACATCCCTTCATGTTGTGAGATGAAAGACGAGCCTGTATTCAAGCCACTGCAAGGAAATCCGGCCTCGTTTCAAGTTAGGGCTTCTCGCTGTATATTGCCCTTGAGGCAGCGAACTCGGGGTACCTCCCACATACCTATTGCTGAGAGAAGCCTCCTCCTGAGGTGCGTCTTGAAAGTTGGCATACGTCTTGAGCCTAAGCCAGGGAATCACCTCTCATCTCGAGACGATTTGGGGTACACGGAGCATTCCTCGAGTTGCTGTGCTGAAGTTGGTGTTCCTCTAGACTTGGGACAGTGTTCTCGGGGTATCTCTGGAGTTGCCTGAAGGAAGTCGAGCCACCGGTCGTGTTGAATGGGGAACGGGGAATGGCTCTGGAGTCAATGCAGGGGAATCGGGCCTCATCTCGAGTTGATTTGGGGCACATGGATCTTCTTTGCGTTGCTGGGGTGACCTCAGCGTCCGTCGAGACTGGTGACAGTGTTCTTGGGGACTGTCTCGAGAACCATTAATCAAGTCGAAGCTCCTGACTTGCTTGAATGGGACCACGGAATAGCTCTGCCTGCACTGCAGGGGAATGGGGCCTCATCTCGCCTCTAGGGGGAAGTCTCATGGTTTTTCTCGAGTTGCGGCGGGGACCTGGAGTATGTTTTTGACTTACGACGGGGATGGCCCTTCAAAACACGAGTTTCTTCAGTGACGTCAGGACTCCTGTCTAGTAACGAGGGACACCTCAGGAATCTCTTCGAGGCTTGGCAGGGCAAAAGGGATGCTTCTCGAGGTGAGGCAGGGCACCCAAGGACCCTTTCCAGTAGCCACAGGGATTTTGGGATTCCTATCAGTATTCAAGAGGAGTCAGGCATCGTCACCTTTTGAAACAATGAACTCCGCGTGCCTCTCGAGGTGTCAACGGGATGTGAGGCATTCCGTCCAAATGAGGCAGGGACCTAGGGCTTTCTCTAAGGTCTCCACAGGGGATTCAGACATCCCTTCATGTTGTGAGATGAAAGACGAGCCTGTATTCAAGCCACTGCAAGGAAATCCGGCCTCCTTTCAAGTTAGGGCTTCTCGCTGTATATTGCCCTTGAGGCAGGGAACTCGGAGTCCCTCCCACATACCTATTGCTGAGAGAAGCCTCCTCCTGAGGTGCGTCTTGAAAGTTGGCATACGTCTTGAGCCTAAGCCAGGGAATCACCTCTCATCTCGAGACGATTTGGTGTACACGGAGCATTCCTCGAGTTGCCGTGCTGAAGTTGGTGTTCCTCTAGACTTGGGACAGTGTTCTCGGGGCATCTCTGGAGTTGCTTGAAGGAAGTCGAGCCACAGGTCGGGTTGAATGGGGAACGGGGAATGGCTCTGGAGTCAATGCAGGGGAATCGGGCCTCATTTCGAGTTGATTTGGGGCCCATGGAGCTGCTTTGTGTTGCTGGGGTGACCTCAGGGTCCGTCGAGACTGGTGACAGTGTTCTTGGGGACTGTCTCGAGATCCATTAAGCAAGTCGAAGCTCCTGACTTGCTTGAATGGGACCACGGAATAGCTCTGCATGCACTGCAGGGGAATGGGGTCTCATCTCGCCTCTAGGGGGAAGTCTCATGGTTTTCTCGAGTTGCGGCGGGGAACTGGGGTATGTTCTCGACTTACGGCGGGGATGGCCCTTCAAAACACGAGTTTCTTCAGTGATGTCAGGACTCCTGTCTAGTAACGAGGGACAGCTCAGGAATCTCTTCGAGGCTTGGCAGGGCAAAAGGGACGCTTCTCGAGGTGAGGCAGGGCACCCAAGGACCCTTTCCAGTAGCCACAGGGATTTTGGGATTCCTATCAGTATTCAAGAGGAGTAAGGCATTGTCACCTTTTGAAGCAATGAACTTCGCGTGCCTCTTGAGGTGTCAACGATGATGTGAGGCATTCCGTCCAAATGAGGCAGGGACCTAGGGCTTTCTCTAAGGTCTCCACAGGGGATTCAGACACCCCTTCATGTTGTGAGATGAAAGACTAGCCTGTATTCAAGCCACTGCAAGGAAATCCGGCCTCCTTTCAAGTTAGGGCTTCTCGCTGTATATTGCCCTTGAGGCAGCGAACTCGGGGTCCCTCCCACATACCTATTGCTGAGAGAAGCCTCCTCCTGAGGTGCGTCTGGAAAGTTGGCATACGTCTTGATCCTAAGCCAGGGAATCAGCTCTCATCTCGAGACGATTTGGGGTACACGGAGCATTCCTCGAGTTGCCGTGCTGAAGTTGGTGTTCCTCTAGACTTGGGACAGTGTTCTCGGGGTATCTCTGGAGTTGCCTGAAGGAAGTCGAGCCACCGGTCGTGTTGAATGGGGAACGGGGAATGGCTCTGGAGTCAATGCAGGGGAATCGGGCCTCATCTCGAGTTGATTTGGGGCACATGGAGCTGCTTTGCGTTGCTGGGGTGACCTCAGCATCCGTCGAGACTGGTGACAGTGTTCTTGGGGACTGTCTCGAGATCCATTAAGCAAGTCGAAGCTCCTGACTTCTTTGAATGGGACCACGGAAGAGCTCTGCATGCACTGCAGGGGAATGGGGCCTCATCTCGCCTCTAGGTGGAAGTCTCATGGTTTTTCTCGAGTTGCGGCGGGGACCTGGGGTATGTTCTCGACTTACGGCGGGGATGGCCCTTCAAAACACGAGTTTCTTCAGTGACGTCAGGACTCCTGTCTAGTAACGAGGGACACCTCTGGAATCTCTTCGAGGCTTGTCAGGGCAAAAGGGACGCTTCTCGAGGTGAGGCAGGGCACCCAAGGACCCTTTCCAGTAGCCACAGGGATTTTGGGATTCCTATCAGAATTCAAGAGGAGTCAGGCATCGTCACCTTTTGAAGCAATGAACTCCGCGTGCCTCTCGAGGTGTCAACGGGATGTGAGGCATTCCGTCCAAATGAGGCAGGGACCTAGGGCTTTCTCTAAGGTCTCCACAGGGGATTCAGACATCCCTTCATGTTGTGAGATGAAAGACGAGCCTGTATTCAAGCCACTGCAAGGAAATCCGGCCTCCTTTCAAGTTAGGGCTTCTCGCTGTATATTGTCGTTGAGGCAGCGAACTCGGGGTCCCTCCCACATACCTATTGCTGAGAGAAGCCTCCTCCTGAGGTGCGTCTGGAAAGTTGGCATACGTCTTGAGCCTAAGCCAGGGAATCAGCTCTCATCTCGAGACGATTTGGGGTACACGGAGCATTCCTCGAGTTGCCGTGCTGAAGTTGGTGTTCCTCTAGACTTGGGACAGTGTTCTCGGGGTATCTCTGGAGTTGCCTGAAGGAAGTCGAGCCACCGGTCGTGTTGAATGGGGAACGGGGAATGGCTCTGGATTCAATGCAGGGGAATCGGGCCTCATCTCGAGTTGATTTGGGGCACATGGAGCTGCTTTGCGTTGCTGGGGTGACCTCAGCGTCCGTCGAGACTGGTGACAGTGTTCTTGGGGACTGTCTCGAGATCCATTAAGCAAGTCGAAGCTCCTGACTTGTTTGAATGGGACCACGGAATAGCTCTACATGCACTGCAGGGGAATGGGGCCTCATCTCGCCTCTTGGGGGAAGTCTCATGGTTTTTCTCGAGTTGCGGCGGGGACCTGGGGTATGTTCTCGACTTACGGCGGGGATGGCCCTTCAAAACACGAGTTTCTTCAGTGACGTCAGGACTCCTGTCTAGTAACGAGGGACACCTCAGGAATCTCATCGAGGCTTGGCAGTGCAAATGGGACGCTTCTTGAGGTGAGGCAGGGCACCCAAGGACCCTTTCCAGTAGCCACAGGGATTTTGGGATTCCTATCAGAATTCAAGAGGAGTCAGGCATCGTCACCTTTTGAAGCAATGAACTCCGCGTGCCTCTCGATTTGTCAACGTGATGTGAGGCATTCCGTCAAAATGGGGCAGGGACCTAGGGCTTTCTCTAAGGTCTCCACAGGGGATTCAGACATCCCTTCATGTTGTGAGATCAAAGACGAGCCTGTATTCAAGCCACTGCAAGGAAATCCGGCCTCCTTTCAAGTTAGGGCTTCTCGCTGTATATTGCCCTTGAGGCAGCGAACTGGGGGTCCCTTCCACATACCTATTGCTGAGAGAAGCCTCCTCCTGAGGTGCGTCTTGAAAGTTGGCATACGTCTTGAGCCTAAGCCAGGGAATCACCTCTCATCTCGAGACGATTTGGGGTACACGGAGCATTCCTCGAGTTGCCGTGCTGAAGTTGGTGTTCCTCTAGACTTGGGACAGTGTTCTCGGGGCATCTCTGGAGTTGCCTGAAGGAAGTCGAGCCACCGGTCGTGTTGAATGGGGAACGGGGAATGGCTCTGGAGTCAATGCAGGGGAATCGGGCCTCATCTCGAGTTGATTTGGGGCCCATGGAGCTGCTTTGCGTTGCTGGGGTGACCTCAGGGTCCGTCGAGACTGGTGACAGTGTTCTTGGGGACTGTCTCGAGAACCATTAAGCAAGTCGAAGCTCCTGACTTGCTTGAATTGGACCACGGAATAGCTCTGCATGCACTGCAGGGGAATGGGGCCTCATCTCGCCTCTAGGGGGAAGTCTCATGGTTTTTCTCGAGTTGCGGCGGGGACCTGGGGTATGTTCTCGACTTACGGCGGGGATGGCCCTTCAAAACACGAGTTTCTTCAGTGACGTCAGGACTCCTGTCTAGTAACGAGGGACACCTCAGGAATCTCTTCGAGGCTTGGCAGGGCAAAAGGGACGATTCTCGAGGTGAGGCAGGGCACCCAAGGACCCTTTCAAGTAGCCACAGGGATTTTGGGATTCCTATCAGTATTCAAGAAGAGTCAGGCATCGTCACCTTTTGAAGCAATGAACTCCGCGTGCCTCTCGAGGTGTCATCGGGATGTGAGGCATTACGTCCAAATGAGGCAGGGACCTAGGGCTTTCTCTAAGGTCTCCACAGGGGATTCAGACATCCCTTCATGTTGTGAGATCAAAGACGAGCCTGTATTCAAGCCACTGCAAGGAAATCCGGCCTCCTTTCAAGTTAGGGCTTCTCGATGTATATTCCCCTTGAGGCAGCTAACTCGGGGTCCCTCCCACATACCTATTGCTGAGAGAAGCCTCCTCCTGAGGTGCGTCTGGAAAGTTGGCATACGTCTTGAGCCTAAGCCAGGGAATCAGCTCTCATCTCGAGACGATTTGGGGTACACGGAGCATTCCTCGAGTTGCTGTGCTGAAGTTGGTGTTCCTCTAGACTTGGGACAGTGTTCTCGGGGCATCTCTGGAGTTGTCTGAAGGAAGTCGAGCCACCGGTCGTGTTGAATGGGGAACGGGGATGGCTCTGGAGTCAATGCAGGGGAATCGGGCCTCATCTTGAGTTGACTTGGGGCACATGGAGCTGCTTTGCGTTGCTGGGGTGACCTCAGGGTCCATCGAGACTGGTGACAGTGTTCTTGAGGACTGTCTCGAGATCCATTAAGCAAGTCGAAGCTCCTGACTTGTTGAATGGGACCACGGAATAGCTCTGCATGCACTGCAGGGGAAAGGGGTCTCATCTCGCCTCTAGGGGGAAGTCTCATGGTTTTTCTCGAGTTGCGCGGGGACCTGGGGTATGTTCTCGACTTACGGCGGGGATGGCCCTTCAAAACACGAGTTTCTTCAGTGACGTCAGGACTCCTGTCTAGTAACGGGGGACATCACAGGAATCTCTTCGAGGCTTGGCAGGGCAAATGGGACGCTTCTTGAGGTGAGGCAGGGCACCCAAGGACCCTTTGCAGTAGCCACAGGTATTTTGGGATTCCTATCAGAATTCAAGAGGAGTCAGGCATCGTCACCTTTTGAAGCAATGAACTCCGCGTGCCTCTGGAGGTGTCAACGGGATGTGAGGCATTCCGTCCAAATGAGGCAGGGACCTAGGGCTTTCTCTAAGGTCTCCACAGGGGATTCAGACATCCCTTCGTGTTGTGAGATCAAAGACGAGCCTGTATTCAAGCCACTGCAAGGAAATCCGGCCTCCTTTCAAGTTAGGGCTTCTCGCTGTATATTGCCCTTGAGGCAGCGTACTCGGGGTCCCTCCCACATACCTATTGCTGAGAGAAGCCTCCTCCTGAGGTGCGTCTGGAAAGTTGGCAGACGTCTTGAACCTAAGCCAGGGAATCACCTCTCATCTCGAGACGATTTGGTGTACACGGAGCATTCCTCGAGGTGCCGTGCTGAAGTTGGTGTTCCTCTAGACTTGGGACAGTGTTCTCGGGGCATCTCTGGAGTTGCCTGAAGGAAGTCGAGCCACCGGTCGTGTTGAATGGGGAACGGGGAATGGCTCTGGAGTCAATGCCGGGGAATCGGGCCTCATCTCGAGTTGATTTGGGGCCCATGGAGCTGCTTTGCGTTGCTGGGGTGACCTCAGGGTCCGGCGAGACTGGTGACAGTGTTCTTGGGGACTGTCTCGAGAACCATTAAGCAAGTCGAAGCTCCTGACTTGTTTGAATGGGACCACGGGATAGCTCTGCATGCACTGCAGGGGAATGGGGCCTCATCTCGCCTCTAGGGGGAAGTCTCATGGTTTTTCTCGAGTTGCGGCGGGAACCTGGGGTATGTTCTCGACTTACGGCGCGGATGGCCCTTCAAAACACGAGTTTCTTCAGTGACGTCAGGACTCCTGTCTAGTAACGAGGGAAAGCTCAGGAATCTCTTCGAGGCTTGGCAGGGCAAAAGGGACGCTTCTCGAGGTGAGTCAGGGCACCCAAGACACTTTCCAGTAGCCACAGGGATTTTGGGATTCCTATCAGTATTCAAGAGAAGTCAGGCATCGTCACCTTTTGAAGCAATGAACTCCGTGTGCCTCTCGAGGTGTCAACGGAATGTGAGGCATTACGTCCAAATGAGGCAGGGACCTAGGGCTTTCTCTAAGGTCTCCACCTGGGATTCAGACATCCCTTCATGTTGTGAGATGAAAGACGAGCCTGTATTCAAGCCACTGCAAGGAAATCCGGCCTCCTTTCAAGTTAGGGCTTCTCGCTGTATATTGCCCTTGAGGCAGCGAACTCGGGGTCCCTCCCACATACCTATTGCTGAGAGAAGCCTCCTCCTGAGGTGCGTCTTGAAAGTTGGCATACGTCTTGAGCCTAAGCCAGGGAATCACCTCTCATCTCGAGACGATTTGGGGTACACGGAGCATTCCTCGAGTTGCCGTGCTGAAGTTGGTGTTCCTCTAGACTTGGGACAGTGTTCTCGGGGCATCTCTGGAGTTGCCTGAAGGAAGTCGAGCCACCGGTCGTGTTGAATGGGGAACGGGGAATGGCTCTGGAGTCAATGCAGGGGAATCGGGCCTCATCTCGAGTTGATTTGGGGCCCATGGAGCTGCTTTGCGTTGCTGGGGTGACCTCAGGGTCCATCGAGACTGGTGACAGTGTTCTTGAGGACTGTCTCGAGATCCATTAAGCAAGTCGAAGCTCCTGACTTGTTGAATGGGACCACGGAATAGCTCTGCATGCACTGCAGGGGAATGGGGTCTCATCTCGCCTCTAGGGGGAAGTCTCATGTTTTTTCTCGAGTTGCGGCGGTGACCTGGGGTATGTTCTCGACTTACGGCGGGGATGGCCCTTCAAAACACGAGTTTCTTCAGTGACGTCAGGACTCCTGTCTAGTAACGAGGGACATCTCAGGAATCTCTTCGAGGCTTGGCAGGGCAAATGGGACGCTTCTTGAGGTGAGGCAGGGCACCCAAGGACACTTTCCAGTAGCCACAGGGATTTTGGGATTCCTATCAGAATTCAAGAGGAGTCAGGCATCGTCACCTTTTGAAGCAATGAACTCCGCATGCCTCTGGAGGTGTCAACGGGATGTGAGGTATTCCGTCCAAATGAGGCAGGGACCTAGGGCTTTCTCTAAGGTCTCAACAGGGGATTCAGACATCCCTTCGTGTTGTGAGATCAAAGACGAGCCTGTATTCAAGCCACTGCAAGAAAATCCGGCCTCCTTTCAAGTTAGGGCTTCTCGCTGTATATTGCCCTTGAGGCAGCGAACTCGGGGTCCCTCCCACATACCTATTGCTGAGAGAAGCCCCCTCCTGAGGTGCGTCTTGAAAGTTGGCATACGTCTTGAGCCTAAGCCAGGGAATCACCTCTCATCTCGAGACGATTTGGAGTACACGGAGCATTCCTCGAGTTGCCGTTCTGTAGTTGGTGTTCCTCTAGACTTGAGACAGTGTTCTCGGGGCATCTCTGGAGTTGCCTGAAGGAAGTCGAGCCACCGGTCGTGTTGAATGGGGAACGGGGAATGGCTCTGGAGTCAATGCAGGGGAATCGGGCCTCATCTCGAGTTGATTTGGGGCCCATGGAGCTGCTTTGCGTTGCTGGGGTGAACTCAGGGTCGTCGAGACTGGTGACAGTGTTCTTGGGGACTGTCTCGAGAACCATTAAGCAAGTCGAAGCTCCTGACTTGCTTGAATGGGACCACGGAATAGCTCTGCATGCACTGCAGGGGAATGGGGCCTCATCTCGCCTCTAGGGGGAAGTCTCATGGTTTTTCTCGAGTTGCGGCGGGGACCTGGGGTATGTTCTCGACTTACGGCGGGGATGGCCCTCCAAAACACGAGTTTCTTCAGTGACGTCAGGACTCCTGCCTAGTAACGAGGGACACCTCAGGAATCTCTTCGAGGCTTGGCAGGGCAAAAGGGACACTTCTCGAGGTGAGGCAGGGCACCCAAGGACCCTTTCCAGTAGCCACAGGGATTTTGGGATTCCTATCAGTATTCAAGAGGAGTGAGGTATTGTCACCTTTTTAAGCAATGAACTTCGCGTGCCTCTCGAGGTGTCAACGGGATGTGAGGCATTCCGTCAAATTGAGGCAGGGACCTAGGGCTTTCTCTAAGGTCTCCACAGGGGATTCAGACATCCCTTCATGTTGTGAGATCAAAGACGAGCCTGTATTCAAGCCACTGCAAGGAAATCCGGCCTCCTTTCAAGTTAGGGCTTCTCGCTGTACATTGCCCTTGAGGCAGCGAACTCGGGGTCCCTCCCACATAACTATTGCTGAGAGAAGCCTCCTCCTGAGGTGCGTCTGGAAAGTTGGCATACGTCTTGAGCCTAAGCCAGGGAATCAGCTCTCATCTCGAGACGATTTGGGATACACGGAGCATTCCTCGAGTTGCTGTGCTGAAGTTAGTGTTCCTCTAGACTTCGGACAGTGTTCTCAGGGTATCTCTGGAGTTGCCTGAAGGAAGTCGAGCCACAGTTCGTGTTGAATGGGGAACGCGGAATGGCTCTGGAGTCAATGCAGGGGAATCGGGCCTCATCTCGAGTTGATTTGGGGCACTTGGAGCTGCTTTGCGTTGCTGGGGTGACCTCAGGGTCCATCGAGACTGGTGACAGGGTTCTTGAGGACTGTCTCGAGATCCATTAAGCAAGTCGAAGCTCCTGACTTGTTGAATGGGACCACGGAATAGCTCTGCATGCACTGCAGGGGAATGGGGTCTCATCTCGCCTCTAGGGGGAAGTCTCATGGTTTTTCTCGAGTTGCGGCGGGGACCTGGGGTAAGTTCTCGACTTACGGCGGGGATGGGCGTTCAAAACACGAGTTTCTTCAGTGACGTCAGGACTCCTGTCTAGTAATGAGGGACATCTCAGGAATCTCTTCGAGGCTTGGCAGGGCAAATGGGACGCTTCTTGAGGTGAGGCAGGGCACCCAAGGACCCTTTCCAGTAGCCACAGTGATTTTGGGATTCCTATCAGAATTCAAGAGGAGTCAGGCATCGTCACCTTTTGAAGCAATGAACTCCGCGTGCCTCTGGAGGTGTCAACGGGATGTGAGGCATTCCGTCAAAATGAGGCAGGGACCTAGGGCTTTCTCTAAGGTCTCCACAGGGGATTCAGACATCCCTTCGTGTTGTGAGATCAAAGACGAGCCTGTATTCAAGCCACTGCAAGGAAATCCGGCCTCCTTTCAAGTTAGGGCTTCTCGCTGTATATTGCCCTTGAGGCAGCGTACTCGGGGTCCCTCCCACATACCTATTGCTGAGAGAAGCCTCCTCCTGAGGTGCGTCTGGAAAGTTGGCAGACGTCTTGAGCCTAAGCCAGGGAATCACCTCTCATCTCGAGACGATTTGGGGTACACGGAGCATTCCTCGAGGTGCCGTGCTGAAGTTGGTGTTCCTCTAGACTTGGGACAGTGTTCTCGGGGCATCTCTGGAGTTGTCTGAAGGAAGTCGAGCCACCGTTCGTGTTGAATGGGGAATGGGGAATGGCTCTGGAGTCAATGCAGGGGAATCGGGCCTCATCTCGAGTTGATTTGGGGCCCATGGAGCTGCTTTGCGTTGCTGGGGTGACCTCAGGGTCCAGCGAGACTGGTGACAGTGTTCTTGGGGACTGTCTCGAGAACCATTAAGCAAGTCGAAGCTCCTGACTTGTTTGAATGGGACCACGGGATAGCTCTGCATGCACTGCAGGGGAATGGGGCCTCATCTCGCCTCTAGGGGGAAGTCTCATGGTCTTTCTCGAGTTGCGGCGGGGACCTGGGGTATGTTCTCGACTTACGGCGGGGATGGCCCTTCAAAACACGAGTTTCTTCAGTGACGTCAGGACTCCTGTCTAGTAATAAGGGACACCTCAGGAATCTCTTCGAGGCTTGGCAGGGCAAAAGGGACGCTTCTCGAGGTGAGGCAGGGCACCCAAGGACCCTTTCCAGTAGCCACAGGGATTTTGGGATTCCTATCAGTATTCAAGAGGAGTGAGGCATTGTCACCTTTTGAAGCAATGAACTTCGTGTGCCTCTTGAGGTGTCAACGGGATGTGAGGCATTCCGTCAAAATGAGGCAGGGACCTAGGGCTTTCTCTAAGGTCTCCACAGGGTTTCAGACATCCCTTCATGTTGTGAGATGAAAGACGAGCCTGTATTCAAGCCACTGCAAGGAAATCCGGCCTCCTTTCAAGTTAGGGCTTCTCGCTGTATATTGCCCTTGAGGCAGCGAACTCGGGGTCCCTCCCACATACCTATTGCTGAGAGAAGCCTCCTCCTGAGGTGCGTCTGGAAAGTTGGCATACGTCTTGAGCCTAAGCCAGGGAATCACCTCTCATCTCGAGACGATTTGGGGTACACGGAGCATTCCTCGAGTTGCCGTGCTGAAGTTCGTGTTCCTCTAGACTTGGGACAGTGTTTTCGGGGCATCTCTGGAGTTGCCTGAAGGAAGTCGAGCCACCGGTCGTGTTGAATGGGGAACGGGGAATGGCTCTCGAGTCAATGCAGGGGAATCGGGCCTCATCTCGAGTTGATTTGGGGCCCATGGAGCTGCTTTGCGTTGCTGGGGTGACCTCAGGGTCCGTCGAGACTGGTGACAGTGTTCTTGGGGACTGTCTCGAGAACCATTAAGCAAGTCGAAGCTCCTGACTTGCTTGAATGGGACCACGGAATAGCTCTGCATGCACTGCAGGGGAATGGGGCCTCATCTCGCCTCTAGGGGGAAGTCTCATGGTTTTTCTCGAGTTGCGGCGCGGACCTGGGGTATGTTCTCGACTTACGGCGGGGATGGCCCTTCAAAACACGAGTTTCTTCAGTGACGTCAGGACTCCTGTCTAGTAACGAGGGACATCACAGGAATCTCATCGAGGCTTGGCAGTGCAAATGGGACGCTTCTTGAGGTGAGGCAGGGCACCCAAGGACCCTTTCCAGTAGCCACAGGGATTTTGGGATTCCTATCAGAATTCAAGAGGAGTCAGGCATCGTCACCTTTTGAAGCAATGAACTCCGCGTGCCTCTCGAGGTGTCAACGGGATGTGAGGCATTCCGTCCAAATGAGGCAGGGACCTAGGGCTTTCTCTAAGGTCTCCACAGGGGATTCAGACATCCCTTCATGTTGTGAGAAGAAAGACGAGCCTGTATTCAAGCCACTGCAAGGAAATCCGGCCTCCTTTCAAGTTAGGGATTCTCGCTGTATATTGCCCTTGAGGCAGCGAACTCGGGGTCCCTCCCACATACCTATTGCTGAGAGAAGCCCCCTCCTGAGGTGCGTCTTGAAAGTTGGCATACGTCTTGAGCCTAAGCCAGGGAATCACCTCTCATCTCGAGACGATTTGGGGTACACGGAGCATTCCTCGACGTGCCGTGCTGAAGTTGGTGTTCCTCTAGACTTGGGACAGTGTTCTCGGGGCATCTCTGGAGTTGTCTGAAGGAAGTCGAGCCACCGTTCGTGTTGAATGGGGAATGGGGAATGGCTCTGGAGTCAATGCAGGGGAATCGGGCCTCATCTCGAGTTGATTTGGGGCCCATGGAGCTGCTTTGCGTTGCTGGGGTGACCTCAGGGTCCGGCGAGACTGGTGACAGTGTTCTTGGGGACTGTTTCGAGAACCATTAAGCAAGTCGAAGCTCCTGACTTGTTTGAATGGGACCACGGGATAGCTCTGCATGCACTGCAGGGGAATGGGGCCTCATCTCGCCTCTAGGGGTAAGTCTCATGGTTTTTCTCGAGTTGCGGCGGGGACCTGGGGTATGTTCTCGACTTACGGCGGGGATGGCCCTTCAAAACACGAGTTTCTTCAGTGACGTCAGGACTCCTGTCTAGTAACAAGGGACACCTCAGGAATCTCTTCGAGGCTTGGCAGGGCAAAAGGGACGCTTCTCGAGGTGAGGCAGGGCACCCAAGGACCCTTTCCAGTAGCCACAGGGATTTTGGGATTCCTATCAGTATTCAAGAGGAGTGAGGCATTGTCACCTTTTGAAGCAATGAACTTCGTGTGCCTCTTGAGGTGTCAACGGGATGTGAGGCATTCCGTCAAAATGAGGCAGGGACCTAGGGCTTTCTCTAAGGTCTCCACAGGGTTTCAGACATCCCTTCATGTTGTGAGATGAAAGACGAGCCTGTATTCAAGCCACTGCAAGGAAATCCGGCCTCCTTTCAAGTTAGGGCTTCTCGCTGTATATTGCCCTTGAGGCAGCGAACTCGGGGTCCCTCCCACATACCTATTGCTGAGAGAAGCCTCCTCCTGAGGTGCGTCTGGAAAGTTGGCATACGTCTTGAGCCTAAGCCAGGGAATCACCTCTCATCTCGAGACGATTTGGGGTACACGGAGCATTCCTCGAGTTGCCGTGCTGAAGTTCGTGTTCCTCTAGACTTGGGACAGTGTTTTCGGGGCATCTCTGGAGTTGCCTGAAGGAAGTCGAGCCACCGGTCGTGTTGAATGGGGAACGGGGAATGGCTCTCGAGTCAATGCAGGGGAATCGGGCCTCATCTCGAGTTGATTTGGGGCCCATGGAGCTGCTTTGCGTTGCTGGGGTGACCTCAGGGTCCGTCGAGACTGGTGACAGTGTTCTTGGGGACTGTCTCGAGAACCATTAAGCAAGTCGAAGCTCCTGACTTGCTTGAATGGGACCACGGAATAGCTCTGCATGCACTGCAGGGGAATGGGGCCTCATCTCGCCTCTAGGGGGAAGTCTCATGGTTTTTCTCGAGTTGCGGCGCGGACCTGGGGTATGTTCTCGACTTACGGCGGGGCTGGCCCTTCAAAACACGAGTTTCTTCAGTGACGTCAGGACTCCTGTCTAGTAACGAGGGACATCACAGGAATCTCATCGAGGCTTGGCAGTGCAAATGGGACGCTTCTTGAGGTGAGGCAGGGCACCCAAGGACCCTTTCCAGTAGCCACAGGGATTTTGGGATTCCTATCAGAATTCAAGAGGAGTCAGGCATCGTCACCTTTTGAAGCAATGAACTCCGCGTGCCTCTCGAGGTGTCAACGGGATGTGAGGCATTCCGTCCAAATGAGGCAGGGACCTAGGGCTTTCTCTAAGGTCTCCACAGGGGATTCAGACATCCCTTCATGTTGTGAGAAGAAAGACGAGCCTGTATTCAAGCCACTGCAAGGAAATCCGGCCTCCTTTCAAGTTAGGGATTCTCGCTGTATATTGCCCTTGAGGCAGCGAACTCGGGGTCCCTCCCACATACCTATTGCTGAGAGAAGCCCCCTCCTGAGGTGCGTCTTGAAAGTTGGCATACGTCTTGAGCCTAAGCCAGGGAATCACCTCTCATCTCGAGACGATTTGGGGTACACGGAGCATTCCTCGACGTGCCGTGCTGAAGTTGGTGTTCCTCTAGACTTGGGACAGTGTTCTCGGGGCATCTCTGGAGTTGTCTGAAGGAAGTCGAGCCATCGTTCGTGTTGAATGGGGAATGGGGAATGGCTCTGGAGTCAATGCAGGGGAATCGGGCCTCATCTCGAGTTGATTTGGGGCCCATGGAGCTGCTTTGCGTTGCTGGGGTGACCTCAGGGTCCGTCGAGACTGGTGACAGTGTTCTTGGGGACTGTTTCGAGAACCATTAAGCAAGTCGAAGCTCCTGACTTGTTTGAATGGGACCACGGGAGAGCTCTGCATGCACTGCAGGGGAATGGGGCCTCATCTCGCCTCTAGGGGTAAGTCTCATGGTTTTTCTCGAGTTGCGGCGGGGACCTGGGGTATGTTCTCGACTTACGGCGGGGATGGCCCTTCAAAACACGAGTTTCTTCAGTGACGTCAGGACTCCTGTCTAGTAACAAGGGACACCTCAGGAATCTCTTCGAGGCTTGGCAGGGCAAAAGGGACGCTTCTCGAGGTGAGGCAGGGCACCCAAGGACCCTTTCCAGTAGCCACAGGGATTTTGGGATTCCTATCAGTATTCAAGAGGAGTGAGGCATTGTCACCTTTTGAAGCAATGAACTTCGTGTGCCTCTTGAGGTGTCAACGGGATGTGAGGCATTCCGTCAAAATGAGGCAGGGACCTAGGGCTTTCTCTAAGGTCTCCACAGGGTTTCAGACATCCCTTCATGTTGTGAGATGAAAGACGAGCCTGTATTCAAGCCACTGCAAGGAAATCCGGCCTCCTTTCAAGTTAGGGCTTCTCGCTGTATATTGCCCTTGAGGCAGCGAACTCGGGGTCCCTCCCACATACCTATTGCTGAGAGAAGCCTCCTCCTGAGGTGCGTCTGGAAAGTTGGCAGACGTCTTGAGCCTAAGCCAGGGAATCACCTCTCATCTCGAGACGATTTGGGGTACACGGAGCATTCCTCGAGTTGCCGTGCTGAAGTTCGTGTTCCTCTAGACTTGGGACAGTGTTTTCGGGGCATCTCTGGAGTTGCCTGAAGGAAGTCGAGCCACCGGTCGTGTTGAATGGGGAACGGGGAATGGCTCTCGAGTCAATGCAGGGGAATCGGGCCTCATCTCGAGTTGATTTGGGGCCCATGGAGCTGCTTTGCGTTGCTGGGGTGACCTCAGGGTCCGTCGAGACTGGTGACAGTGTTCTTGGGGACTGTCTCGAGAACCATTAAGCAAGTCGAAGCTCCTGACTTGCTTGAATGGGACCACGGAATAGCTCTGCATGCACTGCAGGGGAATGGGGCCTCATCTCGCCTCTAGGGGGAAGTCTCATGGTTTTTCTCGAGTTGCGGCGCGGACCTGGGGTATGTTCTCGACTTACGGCGGGGCTGGCCCTTCAAAACACGAGTTTCTTCAGTGACGTCAGGACTCCTGTCTAGTAACGAGGGACATCTCAGGAATCTCATCGAGGCTTGGCAGTGCAAATGGGACGCTTCTTGAGGTGAGGCAGGGCACCCAAGGACCCTTTCCAGTAGCCACAGGGATTTTGGGATTCCTATCAGAATTCAAGAGGAGTCAGGCATCGTCACCTTTTGAAGCAATGAACTCCGCGTGCCTCTCGAGGTGTCAACGGGATGTGAGGCATTCCGTCCAAATGAGGCAGGGAACTAGGGCTTTCTCTAAGGTCTCCACAGGGGATTCAGACATCCCTTCATGTTGTGAGAAGAAAGACGAGCCTGTATTCAAGCCACTGCAAGGAAATCCGGCCTCCTTTCAAGTTAGGGATTCTCGCTGTATATTGCCCTTGAGGCAGCGAACTCGGGGTCCCTCCCACATACCTATTGCTGAGAGAAGCCCCCTCCTGAGGTGCATCTTGAAAGTTGGCATACGTCTTGAGCCTAAGCCAGGGAATCACCTCTCATCTCGAGACGATTTGGGGTACACGGAGCATTCCTCGAGTTGCCGTGCTGTAGTTGGTGTTCCTCTAGACTTGAGACAGTGTTCTCGGGGCATCTCTGGAGTTGCCTGAAGGAAGTCGAGCCACCGGTCGTGATGAATGGGGAACGGGGAATGGCTCTGGAGTCAATGCAGGGGAATCGGGCCTCATCTCGAGTTGATTTGGGGCCCATGGAGCTGCTTTGCGTTGCTGGGGTGAACTCAGGGTCGTCGAGACTGGTGACAGTGTTCTTGGGGACTGTCTCGAGAACCATTAAGCAAGTCGAAGCTCCTGACTTGCTTGAATGGGACCACGGAATAGCTCTGCATGCACTGCAGGGGAATGGGGCCTCATCTCGCCTCTAGGGGGAAGTCTCATGGTTTTTCTCGAGTTGCGGCGGGGACCTGGGGTATGTTCTCGACTTACGGCGGGGATGGCCCTTCAAAACACGAGTTTCTTCAGTGACGTCAGGACTCCTGTCTAGTAACGAGGGACACCTCAGGAATCTCTTCGAGGCTTGGCAGGGCAAAAGGGACGCTTCTCTAGGTGAGGCAGGGCACCCAAGGACCCTTTCCAGTAGCCACAGGGATTTTGGGATTCCTATCAGTATTCAAGAGGAGTGAGGTATTGTCACCTTTTTAAGCAATGAACTTCGCGTGCCTCTCGAGGTGTCAACGGGATGTGAGGCATTCCGTCAAAATGAGGCAGGGACCTAGGGCTTTCTCTAAGGTCTCCACAGGGGATTCAGACATCCCTTCATGTTGTGAGATCAAAGACGAGCCTGTATTCAAGCCACTGCAAGGAAATCCGGCCTCCTTTCAAGTTAGGGCTTCTCGCTGTACATTGCCCTTGAGGCAGCGAACTCGGGGTCCCTCCCACATAACTATAGCTGAGAGAAGCCTCCTCCTGAGGTGCGTCTGGAAAGTTGGCATACGTCTTGAGCGTAAGCCAGGGAATCAGCTCTCATCTCGAGACGATTTGGGATACACGGAGCATTCCTCGAGTTGCTGTGCTGAAGTTGGTGTTCCTCTGGACTTCGGACAGTGTTCTCGGGGTATCTCTGGAGTTGCCTGAAGGAAGTCGAGCCACAGTTCGTGTTGAATGGGGAACGCGGAATGGCTCTGGAGTCAATGCAGGGGAATCGGGCCTCACCTCGAGTTGATTTTGGGCACATGGAGCTGCTTTGCGTTGCTGGGGTGACCTCAGCGTCCGTCGAGACTGGTGACAGTGTTCTTGGGGACTGTCTCGAGATCCATTAAGCAAGTCGAAGCTCCTGACTTGCTTGAATGGGACCACGGAATAGTTCTACATGCACTGCAGGGGAATGGGGTCTCATCTCGCCTCTAGAGGGAAGTCTCATGGTTTTTCTCGAGTTGCGGCGGGGACCTGGGGTATGTTCTCGACTTACGGCGGGGATGGCCCTTCAAAACACGAGTTTCTTCAGTGACGTCAGGACTCCTGTCTAGTAACGAGGGAAAGCTCAGGAATCTCTTCGAGGCTTGGCAGGGCAAAAGGGACGCTTCTCGAGGTGAGTCAGGGCACCCAAGACACTTTCCAGTAGCCACAGTGATTTTGGGATTCCTATCAGTATTCAAGAGAAGTCAGGCATCGTCACCTTTTGAAGCAATGAACTCCGTGTGCCTCTCGAGGTGTCAACGGGATGTGAGGCATTACGTCCAAATGAGGCAGGGACCTAGGGCTTTCTCTAAGGTCTCCACAGGGGATTCAGACATCCCTTCATGTTGTGAGATGAAAGACGAGCCTGTATTCAAGCCACTGCAAGGAAATCCGGCCTCCTTTCAAGTTAGGGCTTCTCGCTGTATATTGCCATTGAGGCAGCGAACTCGGGGTCCCTCCCACATACCTATTGCTGAGAGAAGCCTCCTCCTGAGGTGCGTCTTGAAAGTTGGCATACGTCTTGAGCCTAAGCCAGGGAATCACCTCTCATCTCGAGACGATTTGGGGTACACGGAGCATTCCTCGAGTTGCCGTGCTGAAGTTGGTGTTCCTCTAGACTTGGGACAGTGTTCTCGGGGCATCTCTGGAGTTGCCTGAAGGAAGTCGAGCCACCGGTCGTGTTGAATGGGGAACGGGGAATGGCTCTGGAGTCAATGCAGGGGAATCAGGCCTCATCTCGAGTTGATTTGGGGCACATGGAGCTGCTTAGCGTTGCTGGGGTGACCTCAGCGTCCGTCGAGACTGGTGACAGTGTTCTTGGGGACTGTCTCGAGATCCATTAAGCAAGTCGAAGCTCCTGACTTGTTTGAATGGGACCACGGAATAGCTCTGCATGCACTGCAGGGGAATGCGGCCTCATCTCGACTCTAGGGGGAAGTCTCATGTTTTTTCTCGAGTTGCGGCGGGGACCTTGGGTATGTTCTCGACTTACGGCGGGGATGGCCCTTCAAAACACGAGTTTCTTCAGTGACGTCAGGACTCCTGTCTAGTAACGAGGGACACCTAAGGAATCTCTTCGAGGCTTGGCAGGGCAAAAGGGACGCTTCTCGAGGTGAGGCAGGGCACCCAAGGACCCTTTCCAGTAGCCACAGGGATTTTGGGATTCCTATCAGTATTCAAGCGGAGTCAGGCATAGTCACGTTTTGAAGCAATGGACTCCGCGTGCCTCTCGAGGTGTCAACGGGATGTGAGGCATTCCGTCCAAATGAGGCAGGGACCTAGGGCTTTCTCTAAGGTCTCCACAGGGGATTCAGACATCCCTTCATGTTGTGAGATCAAAGACGAGCCTGTATTCAAGCCACTGCAAGGAAATCCGGCCTCCTTTCAAGTTAGGGTTTCTCGCTGTATATTGCCCTTGAGGCAGCGAACTCGGGGTCCCTCCCACATACCTATTGCTGAGAGAAGCCTCCTCCTGAGGTCCGTCTTGAAAGTTGGCATACGTCTTGAGCCTAAGCCAGGGAATCACCTCTCATCTCGAGACGATTTGGGGTACACGGAGCATTCCTCGAGTTGCCGTGCTGAAGTTGGTGTTCCTCTAGACTTGGGACAGTGTTCTCGGGGCATCTCTGGAGTTGCCTGAAGGAAGTCGAGCCACCGGTCTTGTTGAATGGGGAACGGGGAATGGCTCTGGAGTCAATGCAGGGGAATCGCGCTTCATCTCGAGTTGATTTGGGGCCCATGGAACTGCTTTGTGTTGCTGGGGTGACCTCAGGGTCTGTCGAGACTTGTGACAGTGTTCTTGGGGACTGTCTCGAGATCCATTAAGCAAGTCGAAGTTCCTGACTTGCTTGAATGGGACCACGGAATAGCTCTGCATGCACTGCAGGGGAATGGGGCCTCATCTCGCCTCTAGGGGGAAGTCTCATGGTTTTTCTCGAGTTGCGGCGGGGACCTGGGGTATGTTCTCGACTTACGGCGGGGATGGCCCTTCAAAACACGAGTTTCTTCAGTGACGTCAGGACTCCTGTCTAGTAACGAGGGACACCTCAGGAATCTCTTCGAGGCTTGGCAGGGCAAAAGGGACGCTTCTCGAGGTGAGGCAGGGCACCCAAGGACCCTTTCCAGTAGCCACAGGGATTTTGGGATTCCTATCAGTATTCAAGAGGAGTGAGGCATTGTCACCTTTTGAAGCAATGAACTTCGCGTGCCTCTTGAGGTGTCAACGGGATGTGAGGCATTCCGTCAAAATGAGGCAGGGACCTAGGGCTTTCTCTAAGGTGTCCACAGGGGATTCAGACATCCCTTCATGTTGTGAGATGAAAGACGAGCCTGTATTCAAGCCACTGCAAGGAAATCCGGCCTCCTTTCAAGTTAGGGCTTATCGCTGTATATTGCCCTTGAGGCAGCGAACTCAGGGTCCCTCCCACATACCTATTGCTGAGAGAAGCCTCCTCCTGAGGTGCTTCTGGAAAGTTGGCATACGTCTTGAGCCTAAGCCAGGGAATCAGCTCTCATCTCGAGACGATTTGGGGTACACGGAGCATTCCTCGAGTTGCTGTGCTGAAGTTGGTGTTCCTCTAGACTTGGAACAATGTTCTCGGGGTACCCCTGGAGTTGCCTGAAGGAAGTCGAGCCACCGGTCGTGTTGAATGGGGAACGGGGAATGGCTCTGGAGTCAATGCAGGGGAATCGGGCCTCATCTCGAGTTGATTTGGGGCACATGGAGCTGCTTTGCGTTGCTGGGGTGACCTCAGCGTCCGTCGAGACTGGTGACAGTGTTCTTGGGGACTGTCTCGAGATCCATTAAGCAAGTCGAAGCTCCTGACTTGTTTGAATGGGACCACGGAATAGCTCTGCATGCACTGCAGGGGAATGGGGCCTCATCTCGCCTCTAGGGGTAAGTCTCATGGTTTTTCTCGAGTTGCGGCGGGGACCTGGGGTATGTTCTCGACTTATGGTGGGGATGGCCCTTCAAAACACGAGTTTCTTCAGTGACGTCAGGACTCCTGTCTAGTAACGAGGGACACCTCAGGAATCTCATCGAGGCTTGGCAGTGCAAATGGGACGCTTCTTGAGGTGAGGCAGGGCACCCAAGGACCCTTTCCAGTAGCCACAGGGATTTTGGGATTCCTATCAGAATTCAAGAGGAATCAGGCATCGTCACCTTTTGAAGCAATGAACTCCGCGTGCCTCTCGAGGTGTCAACGGGATGTGAGGCATTCCGTCCAAATGGGGCAGGGACCTAGGGCTTCTCTAAGGTCTCCACAGGGGATTCAGACATCCCTTCATGTTGTGAGATGAAAGACGAGCCTGTATTCAAGCAACTGCAAGGAAATCCGTCCTCCATTCAAGTTAGGGCTTCTCGCTGTATATTGCCCTTGAGGCAGCGAACTCGGGGTCCCTCCCACATACCTATTGCTGAGAGAAGCCTCCTCCTGAGGTGTGTCTTGAAAGTTGGCATACGTCTTGAGCCTAAGCCAGGGAATCACCTCTCATCTCGAGACGATTTGGGGTACATGGAGCATTCCTCGTGTTGCCGTGCTGAAGTTGGTGTTCCTCTAGACTTGAGACAGTGTTCTCGGGGCATCTCTGGAGTTGACTGAAGGAAGTCGAGCCACCGGTCGTGATGAATGGGGAACGGGGAATGGCTCTGGAGTCAATGCAGGGGAATCGGGCCTCATCTCGAGTTGATTTGGGGCCCATGGAGCTGCTTTGCGTTGCTGGGGTGAACTCAGGGTCGTCGAGACTGGTGACAGTGTTCTTGGGGACTGTCTCGAGAACCATTAAGCAAGTCGAAGCTCCTGACTTGCTTGAATGGGACCACGGAATAGCTCTGCATGCACTGCAGGGGAATGGGGCCTCATCTCGCCTCTAGGGGGAAGTCTCATGGTTTTTCTCGAGTTGCAGCGGGGACCTGGGGTATGTTCTCGACTTACGGCGGGGATGGCCCTTCAAAACACGAGTTTCTTCAGTGACGTCAGGACTCCTGTCTAGTAACGAGGGACACCTCAGGAATCTCTTCGAGGCTTGGCAGGGCAAAAGGGACGCTTCTCTAGGTGAGGCAGGGCACCCAAGGACCCTTTCCAGTAGCCACAGGGATTTTGGGATTCCTATCAGTATTCAAGAGGAGTGAGGTATTGTCACCTTTCTAAGCAATGAACTTCGCGTGCCTCTCGAGGTGTCAACGGGATGTGTGGCATTCCGTCAAAATGAGGCAGGGACCTAGGGCTTTCTCTAAGGTCTCCACAGGGGATTCAGACATCCCTTCATGTTGTGAGATCAAAGACGAGCCTGTATTCAAGCCACTGCAAGGAAATCCGGCCTCCTTTCAATTTAGGGCTTCTCGCTGTACATTGCCCTTGAGGCAGCGAACTCGGGGTCCCTCCCACATAACTATTGCTGAGAGAAGCCTCCTCCTGAGGTGCGTCTGGAAAGTTGGCATACGTCTTGAGCGTAAGCCAGGGAATCAGCTCTCATCTCGAGACGATTTGGGATACACGGAGCATTCCTCGAGTTGCTGTGCTGAAGTTGGTGTTCCTCTGGACTTCGGACAGTGTTCTCGGGGTATCTCTGGAGTTGCCTGAAGGAAGTCGAGCCACAGTTCGTGTTGAATGGGGAAAGCGGAATGGCTCTGGAGTCAATGCAGGGGAATCGGGCCTCACCTCGAGTTGATTTTGGGCACATGGAGCTGCTTTGCGTTGCTGGGGTGACCTCAGCGTCCGTCGAGACTGGTGACAGTGTTCTTGGGGACTGTCTCGAGATCCATTAAGCAAGTCGAAGCTCCTGACTTGCTTGAATGGGACCACGGAATAGTTCTACATGCACTGCAGGGGAATGGGGTCTCATCTCGTCTCTAGAGGGAAGTCTCATGGTTTTTCTCGAGTTGCGGCGGGGACCTGGGGTATGTTCTCGACTTACGGCGGGGATGGCCCTTCAAAACACGAGTTTCTTCAGTGACGTCAGGACTCCTGTCTAGTAACGAGGGAAAGCTCAGGAATCTCTTCGAGGCTTGGCAGGGCAAAAGGGACGCTTCTCGAGGTGAGTCAGGGCACCCAAGACACTTTCCAGTAGCCACAGTGATTTTGGGATTCCTATCAGTATTCAAGAGAAGTCAGGCATCGTCACCTTTTGAAGCAATGAACTCCGTGTGCCTCTCGAGGTGTCAACGGGATGTGAGGCATTACGTCCAAATGAGGCAGGGACCTAGGGCTTTCTCTAAGGTCTCCACAGGGGATTCAGACATCCCTTCATGTTGTGAGATGAAAGACGAGCCTGTATTCAAGCCACTGCAAGGAAATCCGGCCTCCTTTCAAGTTAGGGCTTCTCGCTGTATATTGCCATTGAGGCAGCGAACTCGGGGTCCCTCCCACATACCTATTGCTGAGAGAAGCCTCCTCCTGAGGTGCGTCTTGAAAGTTGGCATACGTCTTGAGCCTAAGCCAGGGAATCACCTCTCATCTCGAGACGATTTGGGGTACACGGAGCATTCCTCGAGTTGCCGTGCTGAAGTTGGTGTTCCTCTAGACTTGGGACAGTGTTCTCGGGGCATCTCTGGAGTTGCCTGAAGGAAGTCGAGCCACCGGTCGTGTTGAATGGGGAACGGGAAATGGCTCTGGAGTCAATGCAGGGGAATCAGGCCTCATCTCGAGTTGATTTGGGGCACATGGAGCTGCTTAGCGTTGCTGGGGTGACCTCAGCGTCCGTCGAGACTGGTGACAGTGTTCTTGGGGACTGTCTCGAGATCCATTAAGCAAGTCGAAGCTCCTGACTTGTTTGAATGGGACCACGGAATAGCTCTGCATGCACTGCAGGGGAATGCGGCCTCATCTCGACTCTAGGGGGAAGTCTCATGTTTTTTCTCGAGTTGCGGCGGGGACCTGGGGTATGTTCTCGACTTACGGCGGGGATGGCCCTTCAAAACACGAGTTTCTTCAGTGACGTCAGGACTCCTGTCTAGTAACGAGGGACACCTAAGGAATCTCTTCGAGGCTTGGCAGGGCAAAAGGGACGCTTCTCGAGGTGAGGCAGGGCACCCAAGGACCCTTTCCAGTAGCCACAGGGATTTTGGGATTCCTATCAGTATTCAAGCGGAGTCAGGCATAGTCACGTTTTGAAGCAATGGACTCCGCGTGCCTCTCGAGGTGTCAACGGGATGTGAGGCATTCCGTCCAAATGAGGCAGGGACCTAGGGCTTTCTCTAAGGTCTCCACAGGGGATTCAGACATCCCTTCATGTTGTGAGATCAAAGACGAGCCTGTATTCAAGCCACTGCAAGGAAATCCGGCCTCCTTTCAAGTTAGGGTTTCTCGCTGTATATTGCCCTTGAGGCAGCGAACTCGGGGTCCCTCCCACATACCTATTGCTGAGAGAAGCCTCCTCCTGAGGTCCGTCTTGAAAGTTGGCATACGTCTTGAGCCTAAGCCAGGGAATCACCTCTCATCTCGAGACGATTTGGGGTACACGGAGCATTCCTCGAGTTGCCGTGCTGAAGTTGGTGTTCCTCTAGACTTGGGACAGTGTTCTCGGGGCATCTCTGGAGTTGCCTGAAGGAAGTCGAGCCACCGGTCTTGTTGAATGGGGAACGGGGAATGGCTCTGGAGTCAATGCAGGGGAATCGCGCTTCATCTCGAGTTGATTTGGGGCCCATGGAACTGCTTTGTGTTGCTGGGGTGACCTCAGGGTCTGTCGAGACTTGTGACAGTGTTCTTGGGGACTGTCTCGAGATCCATTAAGCAAGTCGAAGCTCCTGACTTGCTTGAATGGGACCACGGAATAGCTCTGCATGCACTGCAGGGGAATGGGGCCTCATCTCGCCTCTAGGGGGAAGTCTCATGGTTTTTCTCGAGTTGCGGCGGGGACCTGGGGTATGTTCTCGACTTACGGCGGGGATGGCCCTTCAAAACACGAGTTTCTTCAGTGACGTCAGGACTCCTGTCTAGTAACGAGGGACACCTCAGGAATCTCTTCGAGGCTTGGCAGGGCAAAAGGGACGCTTCTCGAGGTGAGGCAGGGCACCCAAGGACCCTTTCCAGTAGCCACAGGGATTTTGGGATTCCTATCAGTATTCAAGAGGAGTGAGGCATTGTCACCTTTTGAAGCAATGAACTTCGCGTGCCTCTTGAGGTGTCAACGGGATGTGAGGCATTCCGTCAAAATGAGGCAGGGACCTAGGGCTTTCTCTAAGGTCTCCACAGGGGATTCAGACATCCCTTCATGTTGTGAGATGAAAGACGAGCCTGTATTCAAGCCACTGCAAGGAAATCCGGCCTCCTTTCAAGTTAGGGCTTATCTCTGTATATTGCCCTTGAGGCAGCGAACTCGGGGTCCCTCCCACATACCTATTGCTGAGAGAAGCCTCCTCCTGAGGTGCTTCTGGAAAGTTGGCATACGTCTTGAGCCTAAGCCAGGGAATCAGCTCTCATCTCGAGACGATTTGGGGTACACGGAGCATTCCTCGAGTTGCTGTGCTGAAGTTGGTGTTCCTCTAGACTTGGGACAGTGTTCTCGGGGTACCCCTGGAGTTGCCTGAAGGAAGTCGAGCCACCGGTCGTGTTGAATGGGGAACGGGGAATGGCTCTGGAGTCAATGCAGGGGAATCGGGCCTCATCTCGAGTTGATTTGGGGCACATGGAGCTGCTTTGCGTTGCTGGGGTGACCTCAGCGTCCGTCGAGACTGGTGACAGTGTTCTTGGGGACTGTCTCGAGATCCATTAAGCAAGTCGAAGCTCCTGACTTGTTTGAATGGGACCACGGAATAGCTCTGCATGCACTGCAGGGGAATGGGGCCTCATCTCGCCTCTAGGGGGAAGTCTCATGGTTTTTCTCGAGTTGCGGCGGGGACCTGGGGTATGTTCTCGACTTACGGTGGGGATGGCCCTTCAAAACACGAGTTTCTTCAGTGACGTCAGGACTCCTGTCTAGTAACGAGGGACACCTCAGGAATCTCATCGAGGCTTGGCAGTGCAAATGGGACGCTTCTTGAGGTGAGGCAGGGCACCCAAGGACCCTTTCCAGTAGCCACAGGGATTTTGGGATTCCTATCAGAATTCAAGAGGAATCAGGCATCGTCACCTTTTGAAGCAATGAACTCCGCATGCCTCTCGAGGTGTCAACGGGATGTGAGGCATTCCGTCCAAATGAGGCAGGGACCTAGGGCTTCTCTAAGGTCTCCACAGGGGATTCAGACATCCCTTCATGTTGTGAGATGAAAGACGAGCCTGTATTCAAGCCACTGCAAGGAAATCCGTCCTCCATTCAAGTTAGGGCTTCTCGCTGTATATTGCCCTTGAGGCAGCGAACTCGGGGTCCCTCCCACATACCTATTGCTGAGAGAAGCCTCCTCCTGAGGTGTGTCTTGAAAGTTGGCATACGTCTTGAGCCTAAGCCAGGGAATCACCTCTCATCTCGAGACGATTTGGGGTACATGGAGCATTCCTCGAGTTGCCGTGCTGAAGTTGGTGTTCCTCTAGACTTGAGACAGTGTTCTCGGGGCATCTCTGGACATGCCTGAAGGAAGTCGAGCCACCGGTCGTGTTGAATTGGGAACGGGGAATGGCTCTGGAGTCAATGCAGGGGAATCGGGCCTCATCTCGAGTTGATTTGGGGCCCATGGAGCTGCTTTGCGTTGCTGGGGTGACCTCAGGGTCGTCGAGACTGGTGACAGTGTTCTTGGGGACTGTCTCGAGAACCATTAAGCAAGTCGAAGCTCCTGACTTGCTTGAATGGGACCACGGAATAGCTCTGCATGCACTGCAGGGGAATGGGGCCTCATCTCGCCTCTAGGGGGAAGTCTCATGGTTTTTCTCGAGTTGCGGCGGGGACCTGGGGTATGTTCTCGACTTACTGCGGGGATGGCCCTTCAAAACACGAGTTTCTTCAGTGACGTCAGGACTCCTGTCTAGTAACGAGGGACACCTCAGGAATCTCTTCGAGGCTTGGCAGGGCAAAAGGGACGCTTCACGAGGTGAGGCAGGGCACCCAAGGACCCTTTCCAGTAGCCACAGGGATTTTGGGATTCCTATCAGTATTCAAGAGGAGTGAGGCATTGTCCCCTTTTGAAGCAATGAACTTCGCGTGCCTCTTGAGGTGTCAACGGGATGTGAGGCATTCCGTCAAAATGAGGCAGGGACCTAGGGCTTTCTCTAAGGTCTACACAGGGGATTCAGACATCCCTTCATGTTGTGAGATGAAAGACGAGCCTGTATTCAAGCCACTGCAAGGAAATCCGGCCTCCTTTCAAGTTAGGGCTTCTCGCTGTATATTGCCCTTGAGGCAGCGAACTCGGTGTCCCTCCCACATACCTATTGCTGAGAGAAGCCTCCTCCTGAGGTGCGTCTGGAAAGTTGGCATACGTCTTGAGCCTAAGCCAGGGAATCAGCTCTCATCTCGAGACGATTTGGGGTACACGGAGCATTCCTCGAGTTGCTGTGCTGAAGTTGGTGTTCCTCTAGACTTGGGAAAATGTTCTCGGGGTATCTCTGGAGTTGCCTGAAGGAAGTCGAGCCACCGGTCGTGTTGAATTGGGAACGGGGAATGGCTCTGGAGTCAATGCAGGGGAATCGGGCCTCATCTCGAGTTGATTTGGGGCACATGGAGCTGCTTTGCGTTGCTGGGGTGACCTCAGCGTCCGTCGAGACTGGTGACAGTGTTCTTGGGAATGTCTCGAGATCCATTAAGCAAGTCGAAGTTACTGACTTGTTTGAATGGGACCACGGAATAGCTCTGCAAGCACTGCAGGGGAATGGGGTCTCATCTCGCCTCTAGGGGGAAGTCTCATGGTTTTTCTCGAGTTGCGGCAGGGACCTGGGGTATGTTCTCGACTTACGGCGGGGATGGCCCTTCAAAACACGAGTTTCTTCAGTGACGTCAGGACTCCTGTCTAGTAACGAGGGACACCTCAGGAATCTCTTCGAGGCTTGGCAGGGCAAAAGGGACGCTTCTCTAGGTGAGGCAGGGCACCCAAGGACCCTTTCCAGTAGCCACAGGGATTTTGGGATTCCTATCAGTATTCAAGAGGAGTGAGGCATTGTCACCTTTTGAAGCAATGAACTTCGCGTGCCTCTTGAGGTGTCAACGGGATGTGAGGCATTCCGTCAAAATGAGGCAGGGACCTAGGGCTTTCTCTAAGGTCTCCACAGGGGATTCACACATCCCTTCATGTTGTGAGATGAAAGATGAGCCTGTATTCAAGCCACTGCAAGGAAATCCGGCCTCCTTTCAAGTTAGGGCTTCTCGCTGTATATTGCCCTTGAGGCAGCGAACTCGGTGTCCCTCCCACATACCTATTGCTGAGAGAAGCCTCCTCCTGAGGTGCGTCTGGAAAGTTGCCATACGTCTTGAGCCTAAGCCAGGGAATCACCTCTCATCTCGAGACGATTTGGGGTACACGGAGCATTCCTCGAGTTGCCGTGCTGAAGTTCGTGTTCCTCTAGACTTGGGACAGTGTATTCGGGGCATCTCTGGAGTTGCCTGAAGGAAGTCGAGCCACCGGTCGTGTTGAATGGGGAACCGGTAATGGCTCTGGAGTCAATGCAGGGGAATCGGGCCTCATCTCGAGTTGATTTGGGGCACATGGAGCGGCTTTGCGTTGCTGGGGTGACCTCAGCGTCCGTCGAGACTGGTGACAGTGTTCTTGGGGACTGTCTCGAGATCCATTAAGCAAGTCGAAGCTCCTGACTTGTTTGAATGTGACCACGGAATAGCTCTGCATGCACTGCAGGGGAATGGGGCCTCATCTCGCCTCTAGGGGGAAGTCTCATGGTTTTTCTCGAGTTACGGCGGGGACCTGGGGTATGTTCTCGACTTACGGCGGGGATGGCCTTCAAAACACGAGTTTCTTCAGTGACGTCAGGACTCCTGTCTAGTAACGAGGGACACCTCAGGAATCTCTTCGAGGCTTGGCAGGGCAAAAGGGACGCTTCTCGAGGTGAGTCAGGGCACCCAAGAACCTTTCCAGTAGCCACAGGGATTTTGGGATTCCTATCAGTATTCAAGAGAAGTCAGGCATCGTCACCTTTTGAAGCAATGAACTCCGCGTGCCTCTCGAGGTGTCAACGGGATGTGAGGCATTACGTCCAAATGAGGCAGGAATCTAGGGCTTTCTCTAAGATCTCCACAGGGCATTCAGACATCCCTTCGTGTTGTGAGATCAAAGACGAGCCTGTATTCAAGCCACTGCAAGGAAATCCGGCCTCCTTTCAAGTTGGGCTTCTCGCTGTATATTGCCCTTGAGGCAGCGTACTCGGGGTCCCTCCCACATACCTATTGCTGAGAGAAGCCTCCTCCTGAGGTGCGTCTGGAAAGTTGGCAGACGTCTTGAGCCTAAGCCAGGGAATCACCTCTCATCTCGAGACGATTTGGGGTACACGGAGCATTCCTCGAGGTGCCGTGCTGAAGTTGGTGTTCCTCTAGACTTGGGACATTGTTCTCGGGGCATCTCTGGAGTTGCCTGTAGGAAGTCGAGCCACCGGTCGTGGTGAATGGGGAACGGGGAATGGCTCTGGAGTCAATGCAGGGGAATCGGGCCTCATCTCGAGTTGATTTGGGGCCCATGGAGCTGCTTTGCGTTGCTGGGGTGACCTCAGGGTCCGTCGAGACTGGTGACAGTGTTCTTGGGGACTGTCTCGAGAACCATTAAGCAAGTCGAAGCTCCTGACTTGTTTGAATGGGACCACGGGATAGCTCTGCATGCACTGCAGGGGAATGGGGCCTCATCTCGCCTCTAGGGGTAAGTCTCATGGTTTTTCTCGAGTGGCGGCGGGGACCTGGGGTATGTTCTCGACTTACGGCGGGGATGGCCCTTCAAAACACGAGTTTCTTCAGTGACGTCAGGACTCCTGTCTAGTAACGAGGGACACCTCAGGAATCTCTTCGAGGCTTGGCAGGGCAAAAGGGACGCTTCTCGAGGTGAGGCAGGGCACCCAAGGACCCTTTCCAGTAGCCACAGGGATTTTGGGTTTCCTATCAGTATTCAAGAGGAGTGAGGCATTGTCACCTTTTGAAGCAATGAACTTCGCGTGCCTCTTGAGGTGTCAACGGGATGTGAGGCATTCGGTCAAAATGAGGCAGGGACCTAGGGCTTTCTCTAAGGTCTCCACAGGGGATTCAGACACCCCTTCATGTTGTGAGATGAAAGACGAGCATGTATTCAAGCCACTGCAAGGAAATCCGGCCTCCTTTCAAGTTAGGCCTTCTCGCTGTATATTGCCCTTGAGGCAGCGAACTCGGGGTCCCTCCCACATACCTATTGCTGAGAGAAGCCTCCTCCTGAGGTGCTTCTGGAAAGTTGGCATACGTCTTGAGCCTAAGCCAGGGAATCAGCTCTCATCTCGAGACGATTTGGGGTACACGGAGCATTCCTCGAGTTGCTGTGCTGAAGTTGGTGTTCCTCTAGACTTGGGACAGTGTTCTCGGGGTATCTCTGGAGTTGCCTGAAGGAAGTCGAGCCACCGGTCGTGTTGAATGGGGAACGGGGAATGACTCTGGAGTCAATGCAGGGGAATCGGGCCTCATCTCGAGTTGATTTGGGGCACATGGAGCTGCTTTGCGTTGCTGGGGTGACCTCAGCGTCCGTCGAGACTGGTGACAGTGTTCTTGGGGACTGTCTCGAGATCCATTAAGCAAGTCGAAGCTCCTGACTTGCTTGAATGGGACCACGGAATAGCTCTGCATGCACTGCAGGGGAATGGGGCCTCATCTCGCCTCTAGGGGGAAGTCTCATGGTTTTTCTCGAGTTGCGGCGGGGACCTGGGGTATGTTCTCGACTTACGGCGGGGATGGCCCTTCAAAACACGAGTTTCTTCAGTGACGTCAGGACTCCTGGCTAGTAATGAGGGACACCTCAGGAATCTCTTCGAGGCTTGGCAGGGCAAAAGGGACTCTTCTCGAGGTGAGGCAGGGCACCCAAGGACCCTTTCCAGTAGGCACAGCGATTTTGGGATTCCTATCAGTATTCAAGAGGAGTCAGACATCGTCACCTTTTGAAGCAATGAACTCCGCGTGCCTCTCGAGGTGTCAACGGGATGTGAGGCATTCCGTCCAAATGAGGCAGGGAACTAGGGCTTTCTCTAAGGTCTCCACAGGGGATTCAGACACCCCTTCATGTTGTGAGATGAAAGACGAGCCTGTATTCAAGCCACTGCAGGGAAATCCGGCCTCCTTTCAAGTTAGGGCTTTTCGCTGTATATTGCCCTTGAGGCAGCGAACTCGGGGTCCCTCCCACATACCTATTGCTGAGAGAAGCCTCCTCCTGAGGTGCGTCTGGAAAGTTGGCATACGTCTTGAGCCTAAGCCAGGGAATCAGCTCTCATCTCGAGACGATTTGGGGTACACGGAGCATTCCTCGAGTTGCTGTGCTGAAGTTGGTGTTCCTCTATACTTGGGACAGTGTTCTCGGGGTATCTCTGGAGTTGCCTGAAGGAAGTCGAGCCACCGGTCGTGTTGAATTGGGAACGGGGAATGGCTCTGGAGTCAATGCAGGGGAATCGGGCCTCATCTCGAGTTGATTTGGGGCACATGGAGCTGCTTTGCGTTGCTGGGGTGACCTCAGCGTCCGTCGAGACTGGTGACAGTGTTCTTGGGAATGTCTCGAGATCCATTAAGCAAGTCGAAGTTACTGACTTGTTTGAATGGGACCACGGAATAGCTCTGCAAGCACTGCAGGGGAATGGGGTCTCATCTCGCCTCTAGGGGGAAGTCTCATGGTTTTTCTCGAGTTGCGGCAGGGACCTGGGGTATGTTCTCGACTTACGGCGGGGATGGCCCTTCAAAACACGAGTTTCTTCAGTGACGTCAGGACTCCTGTCTAGTAACGAGGGACACCTCAGGAATCTCTTCGAGGCTTGGCAGGGCAAAAGGGACGCTTCTCTAGGTGAGGCAGGGCACCCAAGGACCCTTTCCAGTAGCCACAGGGATTTTGGGATTCCTATCAGTATTCAAGAGGAGTGAGGCATTGTCACCTTTTGAAGCAATGAACTTCGCGTGCCTCTTGAGGTGTCAACGGGATGTGAGGCATTCCGTCAAAATGAGGCAGGGACCTAGGGCTTTCTCTAAGGTCTCCACAGGGGATTCAGACATCCCTTCATGTTGTGAGATGAAAGATGAGCCTGTATTCAAGCCACTGCAAGGAAATCCGGCCTCCTTTCAAGTTAGGGCTTCTCGCTGTATATTGCCCTTGAGGCAGCGAACTCGGGGTCCCTCCCACATACCTATTGCTGAGAGAAGCCTCCTCCTGAGGTGCGTCTGGAAAGTTGCCATACGTCTTGAGCCTAAGCCAGGGAATCACCTCTCATCTCGAGACGATTTGGGGTACACGGAGCATTCCTCGAGTTGCCGTGCTGAAGTTCGTGTTCCTCTAGACTTGGGACAGTGTATTCGGGGCATCTCTGGAGTTGCCTGAAGGAAGTCGAGCCACCGGTCGTGTTGAATGGGGAACCGGTAATGGCTCTGGAGTCAATGCAGGGGAATCGGGCCTCATCTCGAGTTGATTTGGGGCACATGGAGCGGCTTTGCGTTGCTGGGGTGACCTCAGCGTCCGTCGAGACTGGTGACAGTGTTCTTGGGGACTGTCTCGAGATCCATTAAGCAAGTCGAAGCTCCTGACTTGTTTGAATGGGGTCACGGAATAGCTCTGCATGCACTGCAGGGGAATGGGGCCTCATCTCGCCTCTAGGGGGAAGTCTCATGGTTTTTCTCGAGTTGCGGCGGGGACCTGGGGTATGTTCTCGACTTACGGCGGGGATGGCCTTCAAAACACGAGTTTCTTCAGTGACGTCAGGACTCCTGTCTAGTAACGAGGGACACCTCAGGAATCTCTTCGAGGCTTGGCAGGGCAAAAGGGACGCTTCTCGAGGTGAGTCAGGGCACCCAAGAACCTTTCCAGTAGCCACAGGGATTTTGGGATTCCTATCAGTATTCAAGAGAAGTCAGGCATCGTCACCTTTTGAAGCAATGAACTCCGCGTGCCTCTCGAGGTGTCAACGGGATGTGAGGCATTACGTCCAAATGAGGCAGGAATCTAGGGCTTTCTCTAAGATCTCCACAGGGCATTCAGACATCCCTTCGTGTTGTGAGATCAAAGACGAGCCTGTATTCAAGCCACTGCAAGGAAATCCGGCCTCCTTTCAAGTTAGGCTTCTCGCTGTATATTGCCCTTGAGGCAGCGTACTCGGGGTCCCTCCCACATACCTATTGCTGAGAGAAGCCTCCTCCTGAGGTGCGTCTGGAAAGTTGGCAGACGTCTTGAGCCTAAGCCAGGGAATCACCTCTCATCTCGAGACGATTTGGGGTACACGGAGCATTCCTCGAGGTGCCGTGCTGAAGTTGGTGTTCCTCTAGACTTGGGACATTGTTCTCGGGGCATCTCTGGAGTTGCCTGTAGGAAGTCGAGCCACCGGTCGTGGTGAATGGGGAACGGGGAATGGCTCTGGAGTCAATGCAGGGGAATCGGGCCTCATCTCGAGTTGATTTGGGGCCCATGGAGCTGCTTTGCGTTGCTGGGGTGACCTCAGGGTCCGTCGAGACTGGTGACAGTGTTCTTGGGGACTGTCTCGAGAACCATTAAGCAAGTCGAAGCTCCTGACTTGTTTGAATGGGACCACGGGATAGCTCTGCATGCACTGCAGGGGAATGGGGCCTCATCTCGCCTCTAGGGGTAAGTCTCATGGTTTTTCTCGAGTGGCGGCGGGGACCTGGGGTATGTTCTCGACTTACGGCGGGGATGGCCCTTCAAAACACGAGTTTCTTCAGTGACGTCAGGACTCCTGTCTAGTAACGAGGGACACCTCAGGAATCTCTTCGAGGCTTGGCAGGGCAAAAGGGACGCTTCTCGAGGTGAGGCAGGGCACCCAAGGACCCTTTCCAGTAGCCACAGGGATTTTGGGTTTCCTATCAGTATTCAAGAGGAGTGAGGCATTGTCACCTTTTGAAGCAATGAACTTCGCGTGCCTCTTGAGGTGTCAACGGGATGTGAGGCATTCGGTCAAAATGAGGCAGGGACCTAGGGCTTTCTCTAAGGTCTCCACAGGGGATTCAGACATCCCTTCATGTTGTGAGATGAAAGACGAGCATGTATTCAAGCCACTGCAAGGAAATCCGGCCTCCTTTCAAGTTAGGCCTTCTCGCTGTATATTGCCCTTGAGGCAGCGAACTCGGGGTCCCTCCCACATACCTATTGCTGAGAGAAGCCTCCTCCTGAGGTGCTTCTGGAAAGTTGGCATACGTCTTGAGCCTAAGCCAGGGAATCAGCTCTCATCTCGAGACGATTTGGGGTACACGGAGCATTCCTCGAGTTGCTGTGCTGAAGTTGGTGTTCCTCTAGACTTGGGATAGTGTTCTCGGGGTACCCCTGGAGTTGCCTGAAGGAAGTCGAGCCACCGGTCGTGTTGAATGGGGAACGGGGAATGGCTCTGGAGTCAATGCAGGGGAATCGGGCCTCATCTCGAGTTGATTTGGGGCACATGGAGCTGCTTTGCGTTGCTGGGGTGACCTCAGCGTCCGTCGAGACTGGTGACAGTGTTCTTGGGGACTGTCTCGAGATCCATTAAGCAAGTCGAAGCTCCTGACTTGTTTGAATGGGACCACGGAATAGCTCTGCATGCACTGCAGGGGAATGGGGCCTCATCTCGCCTCTAGGGGGAAGTCTCATGGTTTTTCTCGAGTTGCGGCGGGGACCTGGGGTATGTTCTCGACTTACGGTGGGGATGGCCCTTCAAAACACGAGTTTCTTCAGTGACGTCAGGACTCCTGTCTAGTAACGAGGGACACCTCAGGAATCTCATCGAGGCTTGGCAGTGCAAATGGGACGCTTCTTGAGGTGAGGCAGGGCACCCAAGGACCCTTTCCAGTAGCCACAGGGATTTTGGGATTCCTATCAGAATTCAAGAGGAATCAGGCATCGTCACCTTTTGAAGCAATGAACTCCGCGTGCCTCTCGAGGTGTCAACGGGATGTGAGGCATTCCGTCCAAATGAGGCAGGGACCTAGGGCTTCTCTAAGGTCTCCACAGGGGATTCAGACATCCCTTCATGTTGTGAGATGAAAGACGAGCCTGTATTCAAGCCACTGCAAGGAAATCCGTCCTCCATTCAAGTTAGGGCTTCTCGCTGTATATTGCCCTTGAGGCAGCGAACTCGGGGTCCCTCCCACATACCTATTGCTGAGAGAAGCCTCCTCCTGAGGTGTGTCTTGAAAGTTGGCATACGTCTTGAGCCTAAGCCAGGGAATCACCTCTCATCTCGAGACGATTTGGGGTACATGGAGCATTCCTCGAGTTGCCGTGCTGAAGTTGGTGTTCCTCTAGACTTGAGACAGTGTTCTCGGGGCATCTCTGGACATGCCTGAAGGAAGTCGAGCCACCGGTCGTGTTGAATTGGGAACGGGGAATGGCTCTGGAGTCAATGCAGGGGAATCGGGCCTCATCTCGAGTTGATTTGGGGCCCATGGAGCTGCTTTGCGTTGCTGGGGTGACCTCAGGGTCGTCGAGACTGGTGACAGTGTTCTTGGGGACTGTCTCGAGAACCATTAAGCAAGTCGAAGCTCCTGACTTGCTTGAATGGGACCACGGAATAGCTCTGCATGCACTGCAGGGGAATGGGGCCTCATCTCGCCTCTAGGGGGAAGTCTCATGGTTTTTCTCGAGTTGCGGCGGGGACCTGGGGTATGTTCTCGACTTACTGCGGGGATGGCCCTTCAAAACACGAGTTTCTTCAGTGACGTCAGGACTCCTGTCTAGTAACGAGGGACACCTCAGGAATCTCTTCGAGGCTTGGCAGGGCAAAAGGGACGCTTCACGAGGTGAGGCAGGGCACCCAAGGACCCTTTCCAGTAGCCACAGGGATTTTGGGATTCCTATCAGTATTCAAGAGGAGTGAGGCATTGTCACCTTTTGAAGCAATGAACTTCGCGTGCCTCTTGAGGTGTCAACGGGATGTGAGGCATTCCGTCAAAATGAGGCAGGGACCTAGGGCTTTCTCTAAGGTCTACACAGGGGATTCAGACATCCCTTCATGTTGTGAGATGAAAGACGAGCCTGTATTCAAGCCACTGCAAGGAAATCCGGCCTCCTTTCAAGTTAGGGCTTCTCGCTGTATATTGCCCTTGAGGCAGCGAACTCGGTGTCCCTCCCACATACCTATTGCTGAGAGAAGCCTCCTCCTGAGGTGCGTCTGGAAAGTTGGCATACGTCTTGAGCCTAAGCCAGGGAATCAGCTCTCATCTCGAGATGATTTGGGGTACACGGAGCATTCCTCGAGTTGCTGTGCTGAAGTTGGTGTTCCTCTAGACTTGGGAAAATGTTCTCGGGGTATCTCTGGAGTTGCCTGAAGGAAGTCGAGCCACCGGTCGTGTTGAATTGGGAACGGGGAATGGCTCTGGAGTCAATGCAGGGGAATCGGGCCTCATCTCGAGTTGATTTGGGGCACATGGAGCTGCTTTGCGTTGCTGGGGTGACCTCAGCGTCCGTCGAGACTGGTGACAGTGTTCTTGGGAATGTCTCGAGATCCATTAAGCAAGTCGAAGTTACTGACTTGTTTGAATGGGACCACGGAATAGCTCTGCAAGCACTGCAGGGGAATGGGGTCTCATCTCGCCTCTAGGGGGAAGTCTCATGGTTTTTCTCGAGTTGCGGCAGGGACCTGGGGTATGTTCTCGACTTACGGCGGGGATGGCCCTTCAAAACACGAGTTTCTTCAGTGACGTCAGGACTCCTGTCTAGTAACGAGGGACACCTCAGGAATCTCTTCGAGGCTTGGCAGGGCAAAAGGGACGCTTCTCTAGGTGAGGCAGGGCACCCAAGGACCCTTTCCAGTAGCCACAGGGATTTTGGGATTCCTATCAGTATTCAAGAGGAGTGAGGCATTGTCACCTTTTGAAGCAATGAACTTCGCGTGCCTCTTGAGGTGTCAACGGGATGTGAGGCATTCCGTCAAAATGAGGCAGGGACCTAGGGCTTTCTCTAAGGTCTCCACAGGGGATTCAGACATCCCTTCATGTTGTGAGATGAAAGATGAGCCTGTATTCAAGCCACTGCAAGGAAATCCGGCCTCCTTTCAAGTTAGGGCTTCTCGCTGTATATTGCCCTTGAGGCAGCGAACTCGGGGTCCCTCCCACATACCTATTGCTGAGAGAAGCCTCCTCCTGAGGTGCGTCTGGAAAGTTGCCATACGTCTTGAGCCTAAGCCAGGGAATCACCTCTCATCTCGAGACGATTTGGGGTACACGGAGCATTCCTCGAGTTGCCGTGCTGAAGTTCGTGTTCCTCTAGACTTGGGACAGTGTATTCGGGGCATCTCTGGAGTTGCCTGAAGGAAGTCGAGCCACCGGTCGTGTTGAATGGGGAACCGGTAATGGCTCTGGAGTCAATGCAGGGGAATCGGGCCTCATCTCGAGTTGATTTGGGGCACATGGAGCGGCTTTGCGTTGCTGGGGTGACCTCAGCGTCCGTCGAGACTGGTGACAGTGTTCTTGGGGACTGTCTCGAGATCCATTAAGCAAGTCGAAGCTCCTGACTTGTTTGAATGTGACCACGGAATAGCTCTGCATGCACTGCAGGGGAATGGGGCCTCATCTCGCCTCTAGGGGGAAGTCTCATGGTTTTTCTCGAGTTACGGCGGGGACCTGGGGTATGTTCTCGACTTACGGCGGGGATGGCCTTCAAAACACGAGTTTCTTCAGTGACGTCAGGACTCCTGTCTAGTAACGAGGGACACCTCAGGAATCTCTTCGAGGCTTGGCAGGGCAAAAGGGACGCTTCTCGAGGTGAGTCAGGGCACCCAAGAACCTTTCCAGTAGCCACAGGGATTTTGGGATTCCTATCAGTATTCAAGAGGAGTGAGGCATTGTCACATTTTGAAGCAATGAACTCCGCGTGCCTCTCGAGGTGTCAACGGGATGTGAGGCATTCCGTCCAAATGAGGCAGGGACCTAGGGTTTTCTCTAAGGTCTCCACAGGGGATTCAGACATCCCTTCGTGTTGTGAGATGAAAGACGAGCCTGTATTCAAGCCACTGCAAGGAAATCCGGCCTCCTTTCAAGTTAGGGCTTCTCGCTGTATATTGCCCTTGAGGCAGCGTACTCGGGGTCCCTCCCACATACCTATTGCTGAGAGAAGCCTCCTCCTGAGGTGCGTCTTGAAAGTTGGCATACGTCTTGAGCCTAAGCCAGGGAATCACCTCTCATCTCGAGACGATTTGGGGTACACGGAGCATTCCTCGAGGTGCTGTGCTGAAGTTGGTGTTCCTCTAGACTTGGGACATTGTTCTCGGGGCATCTCTGGAGTTGCCTGAAGGAAGTCGAGCCACCGGTCGTGGTGAATGTGGAACGGGGAATGGCTCTGGAGTCAATGCAGGGGAATCGGGCCTCATCTCGAGTTGATTTGGGGCACATGGAGCTGCTTTGCGTTGCTGGGGTGACCTCAGCGTTCGTCGAGACTGGTGACAGTGTTCTTGGGGACTGTCTCGAGATCCATTAAGCAAGTCGAAGCTCCTGACTTGCTTGAATGGGACCACGGAATAGCTCTGCATGCACTGCAGGGGAATGGGGCCTCATCTCGCCTCTAGGGGGAAGTCTCATGGTTTTTCTCGAGTGGCGGCGGGGACCTGGGGTATGTTCTCGACTTACGGCGGGGATGGCCCTTCAAAACACGAGTTTCTTCAGTGACGTCAGGACTCCTGGCTAGTAATGAGGGACACCTCAGGAATCTCTTCGAGGCTTGGCAGGGCAAAAGGGACTCTTCTCGAGGTGAGGCAGGGCACCCAAGGACCCTTTCCAGTAGGCACAGCGATTTTGGGATTCCTATCAGTATTCAAGAGGAGTCAGACATCGTCACCTTTTGAAGCAATGAACTCCGCGTGCCTCTCGAGGTGTCAACGGGATGTGAGGCATTCCGTCCAAATGAGGCAGGGAACTAGGGCTTTCTCTAAGGTCTCCACAGGGGATTCAGACACCCCTTCATGTTGTGAGATGAAAGACGAGCCTGTATTCAAGCCACTGCAGGGAAATCCGGCCTCCTTTCAAGTTAGGGCTTTTCGCTGTATATTGCCCTTGAGGCAGCGAACTCGGGGTCCCTCCCACATACCTATTGCTGAGAGAAGCCTCCTCCTGAGGTGCGTCTGGAAAGTTGGCATACGTCTTGAGCCTAAGCCAGGGAATCAGCTCTCATCTCGAGACGATTTGGGGTACACGGAGCATTCCTCGAGTTGCTGTGCTGAAGTTGGTGTTCCTCTATACTTGGGACAGTGTTCTCGGGGTATCTCTGGAGTTGCCTGAAGGAAGTCGAGCCACCGGTCGTGTTGAATGGGGAACGGGGAATGGCTCTGGAGTCAATGCAGGGGAATCGGGCCTCATCTCGAGTTGATTTGGGGCACATGGAGCTGCTTTGCGTTGCTGGGGTGACGTCAGGGTCCGTCGAGACAGGTGACAGTGTTCTTGGGGACTGTCTCGAGATCCATTAACAAGTCGAAGCTCCTGACTCGTTTGAATGGGACCACGGAATAGCTCTGCATGCACTGCAGGGGAATGGGGCCTCATCTCGCCTCTTGGGGGAAGTCTCATGGTTTTTCTCGAGTTGCGGCGGGGACCTGGGGTATGTTCTCGACTTACGGCGGGGATGGCCCTTCAAAACACGAGTTTCTTCAGTGACGTCAGGACTCCTGTCTAGTAACGAGGGACACCTCAGGAATCTCATCGAGGCTTGGCAGTGCAAATGGGACGCTTCTTGAGGTGAGGCAGGGCACCCAAGGACCCTTTCCAGTAGCCACAGGGATTTTGGGATTCCTATCAGAATTCAAGAGGAGTCAGGCATCGTCACGTTTTGAAGCAATGAACTCCGCGTGCCTCTCGAGGTGTCAACGGGATGTGAGGCATTCCGTCCAAATGAGGCAGGGACCTAGGGCTTTCTCTAAGGTCTCCACAGGGGATTCAGACATCCCTTCGTGTTGTGAGATCAAAGACGAGCCTGTATTCAAGCCAGTGCAAGGAAATCCGGCTTCCTTTCAAGTTAGGGCTTCTCGCTGTATATTGCCCTTGAGGCAGCGTACTCGAGGTCCCTCCCACATACCTATTGCTGAGAGAAGCCTCCTCCTGAGGTGCGTCTGGAAAGTTGGCAGACGTCTTGAGCCTAAGCCAGGGAATCACCTCTCATCTCGAGACGATTTGGGGTACACGGAGCATTCCTCGAGGTGCCGTGCTGAAGTTGGTGTTCCTCTAGACTTGGGACATTGTTCTCGGGGCATCTCTGGAGTTGCCTGAAGGAAGTCGAGCCACCGGTCGTGGTGAATGGGGAACGGGGAATGGCTCTGGAGTCAATGCAGGGGAATCGGGCCTCATCTCGAGTTGATTTGGGGCCCATGGAGCTGCTTTGCGTTGCTGGGGTGACCTCAGGGTCCGTCGAGACTGGTGACAGTGTTCTTGGGGACTGTCTCGAGAACCATTAAGCAAGTCGAAGCTCCTGACTTGTTTGAATGGGACCACGGGATAGCTCTGTATGCACTGCAGGGGAATGGGGCCTCATCTCGCCTCTAGGGGTAAGTCTCATGGTTTTTCTCGAGTGGCGGTGGGGACCTGGGGTATGTTCTCGACTTACGGCGGGGATGGCCCTTCAAAACACGAGTTTCTTCAGTGACGTCAGGACTCCTGTCTAGTAACGAGGGACACCTCAGGAATCTCTTCGAGGCTTGGCAGGGCAAAAGGGACGCTTCTCGAGGTGAGGCAGGGCACCCAAGGACCCTTTCCAGTAGCCACAGGGATTTTGGGATTCCTATCAGTATTCAAGAGGAGTGAGGCATTGTCACCTTTTGAAGCAATGAACTTTGCGTGCCTCTTGAGGTGTCAACGGGATGTGAGGCATTCCGTCCAAATGAGGCAGGGACCTAGGGCTTTCTCTAAGGTCTCCACAGGGGATTCAGAAATCCCTTCATGTTGTGAGATGAAAGACGAGCCTGTATTCAAGCCACTGCAAGGAAATCCGGCCTCCTTTCAAGTTAGGGCTTCTCGCTGTATATTGCCCTTGAGGCAGCGAACTCGGGGTCCCTCCCACATACCTATTGCTGAGAGAAGCCTCCTCCTGAGGTGCGTCTGGAAAGTTGGCATAAGTCTTGAGCCTAAGCCAGGGAATCAGCTCTCATCTCGAGACGATTTGGGGTACACGGAGCATTCCTCGAGTTGCCGTGCTGAAGTTGGTGTTCCTCTAGACTTGGGACAGTGTTCTCGGGGCATCTCTGGAGTTGCCTGAAGGAAGTCGAGCCACCGGTCGTGTTGAATGGGGAACGGGGAATGGCTCTGGAGTCAATGCAGGGGAATCGGGCCTCATCTCGAGTTGATTTGGGGTCCATGGAGCCGCTTTGCGTTGCTGGGGTGACTTCAGGGTCCGTCGAGACTGGTGACAGTGTTCTTGGGGACTGTCTGGAGAACCATTAAGCAAGTCGAAGCTCCTGACTTGCTTGAATGGGACCACGGAAGCTCTGCATGCACTGCAGGGGAATGGGGCCTCATCTCGCCTCTAGGGGGAAATCTCATGGTTTTTCTCGAGTTGCGGCGGGGACCTGGGGTATGTTCTCGACTTACGGCGGGGATGGCCCTTCAAAACACGAGTTTCTTCAGTGACGTCAGGACTCCTGTCTAGTAACGAGGGACACATCAGGAATCTCTTCGAGGCTTGGCAGGGCAAAAGGGACGCTTCTCGAGGTGAGGCAGGGCACCCAAGGACCCTTTCCAGTAGCCACAGTGATTTTGGGTTTCCTATCAGTATTCAAGAGGAGTGAGGCATTGTCACCTTTTGAAGCAATGAACTTCGCGTGCCTCTTGAGGTGTCAACGGGATGTGAGGCATTCCGTCAAAATGAGGCAGGGACCTAGGGCTTTCTCTAAGGTCTCCACAGGGGATTCAGACATCCCTTCATGTTGTGAGATGAAAGACGAGCCTGTATTCAATCCACTGCAAGGAAATCCGGCCTCCTTTCAAGTTAGGGCTTCTCGCTGTATATTGCCCTTGAGGCAGCGAACTCGGGGTCCCTCCCACATACCTATTGCTGAGAGAAGCCTCCTCCTGAGGTGCTTCTGGAAAGTTGGCATACGTCTTGAGCCTAAGCCAGGGAATCAGCTCTCATCTCGAGACGATTTGGGGTACACGGAGCATTCCTCGAGTTGCTGTGCTGAAGTTGGTGTTCCTCTAGACTTGGGACAGTGTTCTCGGGGTATCTCTGGAGTTGCCTGAAGGAAGTCGAGCCACCAGTCTTGTTGAATGGGGAACGGGGAATGGCTCTGGAGTCAATGCAGGGGAATCGGGCCTCATCTCGAGTTGATTTGGGGCACATGGAGCTGCTTTGCGTTGCTGGGGTGACCTCAGCGTCCGTCGAGACTGGTGACAGTGTTCTTGGGGACTGTCTTGAGATCCATTAAGCAAGTCGAAGCTCCTGACTTGTTTGAATGGGACCACGGAATAGCTCTGCATGCACTGCAGGGTAATGGGGCCTCATCTCGCCTCTAGGGGGAAGTCTCATGGTTTTTCTCGAGTTGCGGCGGGCACCTGGGGTATGTTCTCGACTTACGGCGGGGATGGCCCTTCAAAACACGAGTTTCTTCAGTGACGTCAGGACTCCTGTCTAGTAACGAGGGACACCTCAGGAATCTCTTCGAGGCTTGGCAGGGCAAAAGGGACGCTTTTCGAGGTGAGGCAGGGCACCCAAGGACCCTTTCCAGTAGCCACAGGGATTTTGGGATTCCTATCAGTATTCAAGAGGAGTCAAACATCGTCACCTTTTGAAGCAATGAACTCCGCGTGCCTCTCGAGGTGTCAACGGGATGTGAGGCATTCCGTCCAAATGAGGCAGGGAACTAGGGCTTTCTCTAAGGTCTCCACAGGGGATTCAGACACCCCTTCATGTTGTGAGATGAAAGACGAGCCTGTATTCAAGCCACTGCAGGGAAATCCGGCCTCCTTTCAAGTTAGGGCTTTTCGCTGTATATTGCCCTTGAGGCAGCGAACTCGGGGTCCCTCCCACATACCTATTGCTGAGAGAAGCCTCCTCCTGAGGTGCGTCTGGAAAGTTGGCATACGTCTTGAGCCTAAGCCAGGGAATCAGCTCTCATCTCGAGACGATTTGGGGTACACGGAGCATTCCTCGAGTTGCTGTGCTGAAGTTGGTGTTCCTCTAGACTTGGGACAGTGTTCTCGGGGTATCTCTGGAGTTGCCTGAAGGAAGTCGAGCCACCGGTCGTGTTGAATGGGGAACGGGGAATGGCTCTGGAGTCAATGCAGGGGAATCGGGCCTCATCTCGAGTTGATTTGGGGCACATGGAGCTGCTTTGCGTTGCTGGGGTGACGTCAGGGTCCGTCGAGACTGGTGACAGTGTTCTTGGGGACTGTCTCGAGATCCATTAACAAGTCGAAGCTCCTGACTCGTTTGAATGGGACCACGGAATAGCTCTGCATGCACTGCAGGGGAATGGGGCCTCATCTCGCCTCTTGGGGGAAGTCTCATGGTTTTTCTCGAGTTGCGGCGGGGACCTGGGGTATGTTCTCGACTTACGGCGGGGATGGCCCTTCAAAACACGAGTTTCTTCAGTGACGTCAGGACTCCTGTCTAGTAACGAGGGACATCTCAGGAATCTCATCGAGGCTTGGCAGTGCAAATGGGACGCTTCTTGAGGTGAGGCAGGGCACCCAAGGACCCTTTCCAGTAGCCACAGGGATTTTGGGATTCCTATCAGAATTCAAGAGGAGTCAGGCATCGTCACCTTTTGAAGCAATGAACTCCGCGTGCCTCTCGAGGTGTCAACGGGATGTGAGGCATTCCGTCCAAATGAGGCAGGGACCTAGGGCTTTCTCTAAGGTCTCCACAGGGGATTCAGACATCCCTTCGTGTTGTGAGATCAAAGACGAGCCTGTATTCAAGCCACTGCAAGGAAATCCGGCCTCCTTTGAAGTTAGGGCTTCTCGCTGTATATTGCCCTTGAGGCAGCGTACTCGAGGTCCCTCCCACATACCTTTTGCTGAGAGAAGCCTCCTCCTGAGGTGCGTCTGGAAAGTTGGCAGACGTCTTGAGCCTAAGCCAGGGAATCACCTCTCATCTCGAGACGATTTGGGGTACACGGAGCATTCCTCGAGGTGCCGTGCTGAAGTTGGTGTTCCTCTAGACTTGGGACATTGTTCTCGGGGCATCTCTGGAGTTGCCTGAAGGAAGTCGAGCCACCGGTCGTGGTGAATGGGGAACGGGGAATGGCTCTGGAGTCAATGCAGGGGAATCGGGCCTCATCTCGAGTTGATTTGGGGCCCATGGAGCTGCTTTGCGTTGCTGGGGTGACCTCAGGGTCCGTCGAGACTGGTGACAGTGTTCTTGGGGACTGTCTCGAGAACCATTAAGCAAGTCGAAGCTCCTGACTTGTTTGAATGGGACCACGGGATAGCTCTGTATGCACTGCAGGGGAATGGGGCCTCATCTCGCCTCTAGGGGTAAGTCTCATGGTTTTTCTCGAGTGGCGGCGGGGACCTGGGGTATGTTCTCGACTTACGGCGGGGATGGCCCTTCAAAACACGAGTTTCTTCAGTGACGTCAGGACTCCTGTCTAGTAACGAGGGACACCTCAGGAATCTCTTCGAGGCTTGGCAGGGCAAAAGGGACGCTTCTCGAGGTGAGGCAGGGCACCCAAGGACCCTTTCCAGTAGCCACAGGGATTTTGGGATTCCTATCAGTATTCAAGAGGAGTGAGGCATTGTCACCTTTTGAAGCAATGAACTTTGCGTGCCTCTTGAGGTGTCAACGGGATGTGAGGCATTCCGTCCAAATGAGGCAGGGACCTAGGGCTTTCTCTAAGGTCTCCACAGGGGATTCAGAAATCCCTTCATGTTGTGAGATGAAAGACGAGCCTGTATTCAAGCCACTGCAAGGAAATCCGGCCTCCTTTCAAGTTAGGGCTTCTCGCTGTATATTGCCCTTGAGGCAGAGAACTCGGGGTCCCTCCCACATACCTATTGCTGAGAGAAGCCTCCTCCTGAGGTGCGTCTGGAAAGTTGGCATACGTCTTGAGCCTAAGCCAGGGAATCACCTCTCATCTCGAGACGATTTGGGGTACACGGAACATTCCTCGAGGTGCCGTGCTGAAGTTCGTGTTCCTCTAGACTTGGGACAGTGTTTTCGGGGCATCTCTGGAGTTGCCTGAAGGAAGTCGAGCCACCGGTCGTGTTGAATGGGGAACGGGGAATGGCTCTGGAGTCAATGCAGGGGAATCGGGCCTCATCTCTAGTTGATTTGGGGCACATGGAGCGGCTTTGCGTTGCTGGGGTGACCTCAGCGTCCGTCGAGACTGGTGACAGTGTTCTTGGGGACTGTCTCGAGATCCATTAAGCAAGTCGAAGCTCCTGACTTGTTTGATGGGACCACGGAATAGCTCTGCATGCACTGCAGGGGAATGGGGCCTCATCTCGCCTCTAGGGGGAAGTCTCATGGTTTTTCTCGAGTTGCGGCGGGGACCTGGGGTATGTTCTCGACTTACGGCGGGGATGGCCCTTCAAAACACGAGTTTCTTCAGTGACGTCAGGACTCCTGTCTAGTAACGAGGGACACCTCAGGAATCTCTTCGAGGCTTGGCAGTGCAAATGGGACGCTTCTCGAGGTGAGGCAGGGCACCCAAGGACCCTTTCCAGTAGCCACAGGGATTTGGGATTCCTATCAGAATTCAAGAGGAGTCAGGCAAAGTCACCTTTTGAAGCAAAGAACTCCGCATGCCTCTCGAGGTGTCAACGGGATGTGAGGCATTCCGTCCAAATGAGGCAGGGACCTAGGGCTTTCTCTAAGGTCTCCACAGGGGATTCAGACATCCCTTCATGTTGTGAGATGAAAGACGAGCCTGTATTCAAGCCACTGCAAGGAAATCCGGCCTCCTTTCAAGTTAGGGCTTCTCGCTGTATATTGCCCTTGAGGCAGCGAACTCGGGGTCCCTCCCACATACCTATTGCTGAGAGAAGCCTCCTCCTGAGGTGCTTCTGGAAAGTTGGCATACGTCTTGAGCCTAAGCCAGGGAATCAGCTCTCATCTCGAGATGATTTGGGGTACACGGAGCATTCCTCGAGTTGCTGTGCTGAAGTTGGTGTTCCTCTAGACATGGGACAGTGTTCTCCGGGTATCTCTGGAGTTGCCTGAAGGAAGTCGAGCCACCGGTCGTGTTGAATGGGGAACGGGGAATGGCTCTCGAGTCAATGCAGGGGAATCGGGCCTCATCTCGAGTTGATTTGGGGCACATGGAGCTGCTTTGCGTTGCTGGGGTGACCTCAGGGTCCGTCGAGACTGGTGACAGTGTTCTTGGGGACTCTCTCGAGAACCATTAAGCAAGTCGAAGCTCCTGACTTGCTTGAATGGGACCACGGAATAGCTCTGCATGCACTGCAGGGGAATGGGGCCTCATCTCGCCTCTAGGGGGAAGTCTCATGGTTTTTCTCGAGTTGCGGCGGGGACCTGGGGTATGTTCTCGACTTACGGCGGGGATGGCCCTTCAAAACACGAGTTTCTTCAGTGACGTCAGGACTCCTGTCTAGTAACGAGGGACACCTCAGGAATCTCTTCGAGGCTTGGCAGGGCAAAAGGGACGCTTCTCGAGGTGAGGCAGGGCACCCAAGGACCCTTTCCAGTAGCCACAGGGATTTTGGGTTTCCTATCAGTATTCAAGTGGAGTGAGGCATTGTCACCTTTTGAAGCAATGAACTTCGCGTGCCTCTTGAGGTGTCAACGGGATGTGAGGCATTCCGTTAAAATGAGGCAGGGACCTAGGGCTTTCTCTAAGGTCTACACAGGGGATTCAGACATCCCTTCATGTTGTGAGATGAAAGACGAGCCTGTATTCAAGCTACTGCAAGGAAATCCGGCCTCCTTTCAAGTTAGGGCTTCTCGCTGTATATTGCCCTTGAGGCAGCGAACTCGGGGTCCCTCCCACATACCTATTGCTGAGAGAACCCTCCTCCTGAGGTGCGTCTGGAAAGTTGGCATACGTCTTGAACCTAAGCCAGGGAATCAGCTCTCATCTCGAGACGATTTGGGGTACACGGTGCATTCCTCGAGTTGCCGTGCTGAAGTTGGTGTTCCTCTAGACTTGGGACAGTGTTCTCGGGGTATCTCTGGAGTTGCCTGAAGGAAGTCGAGCCACCGGTCGTGTTGAATGGGGAACGGGGAATGGCTCTGGAGTCAATGCAGGGGAATCGGGCCTCATCTCGAGTTGATTTGGGGCCCATGGAGCTGCTTTGCGTTGCTGGGGTGACGTCAGGGTCCGTCGAGACTGGTGACAGTGTTCTTGGGGACTGTCTTGAGATCCATTAAGCAAGTCGAAGCTCCTGACTTGTTTGAATGGGACCACGGAATAGCTCTGCATGCACTGCAGGGGAATGGGGCCTCATCTCGCCTCTAGGGGGAAGTCTCATGGTTTTTCTCGAGTTGCGGCGGGGACCTGGGGTATGTTCTCGACTTACGGCGGGGATGGCCCTTCAAAACACGAGTTTCTTCAGTGACGTCAGGACTCCTGTCTAGTAACGAGGGACACCTCAGGAATCTCTTCGAGGCTTGGCAGGGCAAAAGGGACGCTTCTCGAGGTGAGGCAGGGCACCCAAGGACCCTTTCCAGTAGCCACAGGGATTTTGGGATTCCTATCAGTATTCAAGAGGAGTCAGGCATCGTCACCTTTTGAAGCAATGAACTTCGCGTGCCTCTTGAGGTGTCAACGGGATGTGAGGCATTCCGTCAAAATGAGGCAGATAACTAGGGCTTTCTCTAACGTCTCCACAGGGAATTCAGACATCCCTTCATGTTGTGAGATGAAAGACGAACCTGTATTCAAGCCACTGCAAGGAAATCCGGCCTCCATTCAAGTTAGGGCTTCTCGCTCTATATTGCCCTTGAGGCAGCGAACTCGGGGTCCCTCCCACATACCTATTGCTGAGAGAAGCCTCCTCCTGAGGTGCGTCTTGAAAGTTGGCATACGTCTTGAGCCTAAGCCAGGGAATCAGCTCTCATCTCGAGACGATTTGGGGTACACGGAGCATTCCTCGAGTTGCTGTGCTGAAGTTGGTCTTCCTCTAGACTTGGGACAGTGTTCTCGGGGCATCTCTGGAGTTGCCTGAAGGAAGTCGAGCCACCGGTCGTGTTGAATGGGGAACCGGTAATGGCTCTGGAGTCAATGCAGGGGAATCGGGCCTCATCTCGAGTTGATTTGTGGCCCATGGAACTGCTTTGCGTTGCTTGGGTGACGTCAGGGTCCGTCGAGACTGGTGACAGTGTTCTTGGGGACTGTCTCGAGAACCATTAAGCAAGTCGAAGCTCCTGACTTGCTTGAATGGGACCACGGAATAGCTCTGCATGCACTGCAGGGGAATGGGGCCTCATCTCGCCTCTAGGGGGAAGTCTCATGGTTTTTGTCGAGTTGCGGCGGGAACCTGGGGTATGTTCTCGACTTACGGCGGGGATGGCCCTTCAAAACACGAGTTTCTTCAATGACGTCAGGACTCCTGTCTAGTAACGAGGGACACCTCTGGAATCTCTTCGAGGCTTGTCAGGGCAAAAGGGACGCTTCTCGAGGTGAGGCAGGGCACCCAAGGACCCTTTCCAGTAGCCACAGGGATTTTGGGATTCCTATCAGTATTCAAGAGGAGTGAGGCATTGTCACCTTTTGAAGCAATGAACTTCGCGTGCCTCTTGAGGTGTCAACGGGATGTGAGGCATTCCGTCCAAATGAGGCAGGGACCTAGGGCTTTCTCTAAGGTCTCCACAGGGGATTCAGACATCCCTTCATGTTGTGAGATCAAAGACGAGCCTGTATTCAAGCCACTTAAAGGAAATCCGGCCTCCTTTCAAGTTAGGGCTTCTCGCTGTACATTGCCCTTGAGGCAGCGAACTCGGGGTCCCTCCCACATAACTATTGCTGAGAGAAGCCTCCTCCTGAGGTGCGTCTGGAAAGTTGGCATACGTCTTGAGCCTAAGCCAGGGAATCAGCTCTAATCTTGAGAAGATTTGGGGTACACGGAGCATTCCTCGAGTTGCTGTGCTGAAGTTGGTGTTCCTCTAGACTTCGGACAGTGTTCTCGGGGTATCTCTGGAGTTGCCTGAAGGAAGTCGAGCCACAGTTCGTGTTGAATGGGGAACGCGGAATGGCTCTGGAGTCAATGCAGGGGAATCGGGCCTCATCTCGAGTTGATTTGGGGCACATGGAGCTGCTTTGCGTTGCTGGGGTGACCTCAGCGTCCGTCGAGACTGGTGACAGTGTTCTTGGGGACTGTCTCGAGATCCATTAAGCAAGTCGAAGCTCCTGACTTGTTTGAATGGGACCACGGAATAGCTCTGCATGCACTGCAGGGGAATGGGGTCTCATCTCGCCTCTAGAGGGAAGTCTCATGGTTTTTCTCGAGTTGCGGCGGGGACCTGGGATATGTTCTCGACTTACGGCGGGGATGGCCCTTCAAAACACGAGTTTCTTCAGTGACGTCAGGACTCCTGTCTAGTAACGAGGGACACTTAAGGAATCTCTTCGAGGCTTGGCAGGGCAAAAGGGACGCTTCTCGAGGTGAGGCAGGGCACCCAAGGACCCTTTCCAGTAGCCACAGGGATTTTGGGATTCCTATCAGTATTCAAGAGGAGTCAGGCATCGTCACGTTTTGAAGCAATGAACTCCGCGTGCCTCTCGAGGTGTCAACGGGATGTGAGGCATTCCGTCCAAATGAGGCAGGGACCTAGGGCTTTCTCTAAGGTCTCCACAGGGTATTCAGACATCCCTTCATGTTGTGAGATCAAAGACGAGCCTGTATTCAAGCCACGGCAAGGAAATCCGGCCTGCTTTCAAGTTAGGGCTTCTCGCTGTATATTGCCCTTGAGGCAGCGAACTCGGGGTCCCTCCCACATACCTATTGCTGAGAGAAGCCTCCTCCTGAGGTGCGTCTTGAAAGTTGGCATACGTCTTGAGCCTAAGCCAGGGAATCACCTCTCATCTCGAGACGATTTGGGGTACACGGATCATTCCTCGAGTTGCCGTGCTGAAGTTCGTGTTCCTCTAGACTTGGGACAGTGTTCTCGGGGCATCTCTGGAGTTGCCTGAAGGAAGTCGAGCCACCGGTCGTGTTGAATGGGGAACGGGGAATGGCTCTGGAGTCAATGCAGGGGAATCGCGCCTCATCTCGAGTTGATTTGGGGCCCATGGAGCTGCTTTGCTTTGCTGGGGTGACCTCAGGGTCCGTCGAGACTGGTGACAGTGTTCTTGGGGACTGTCTCGATAACCATTAAGCAAGTCGAAGCTCCTGACTTGCTTGAATTGGACCACGGAATAGCTCTGCATGCACTGCAGGGGAATGGGGCCTCATCTCGCCTCTAGGGGGAAGTCTCATGGTTTTTCTCGAGTTGCGGCGGGGACCTGGGGTATGTTCTCGACTTAAGGCGGGGATGGCCCTTCAAAACACGAGTTTCTTCAGTGACGTCAGGACTCCTGTCTAGTAACGAGGGACACCTCAGGAATCTCTTCGAGGGTTGGCAGGGCAAAAGGGACGCTTCTCGACGTGAGGCAGGGCACCCAAGGACCCTTTCCAGCAGCCACAGGGATTTTGGGATTCCTATCAGTATTCAAGAGGAGTGAGGCATTGTCACCTTTTGAAGCAATGAACTTCGCGTGCCTCTTGAGGTGTCAACGGGATGTGAGGCATTCCGTCAAAATGAGGCAGGGACCTAGGGCTTTCTCTAAGGTCTCCACAGGGGATTCAGACATCCCTTCATGTTGTGAGATGAAAGACGAGCCTGTATTCAAGCCACTGCAAGGAAATCCGGCCTCCTTTCAAGTTAGGGCTTCTCGCTGTATATTGCCCTTGAGGCAGCAAACTCGGGGTCCCTCCCACATACCTATTGCTGAGAGCAGCCTCCTCCTGAGGTGCGTCTGGAAAGTTGGCATACGTCTTGAGCCTAAGCCAGGGAATCAGCTCTCATCTCGAGACGATTTGGGGTACACAGAGCATTCCTCGAGTTGCTGTGCTGAAGTTGGTGTTCCTCTAGACTTGGGACAGTGTTCTCGGGGTATCTCTGGAGTTGCCTGAAGGAAGTCGAGCCACCGGTCGTGTTGAATGGGGAACGGGTAATGGCTCTGGAGTCAATGCAGGGGAATCGGGCCTCATCTCGAGTTGATTTGGGGCACATGGAGCTGCTTTGCGTTGCTGGGGTGACCTCAGCGTAGGTCAAGACTGGTGACAGTGTTCTTGGGGACTGTCTCGAGATCGATTAAGCAAGTCGAAGCTCCTGACTTGTTTGAATGGGACCACGGAATAGCTCTGCATGCACTGCAGGGGAATGTGGCCTCATCTCGATTCTAGGGGGAAGTCTCATGATTTTTCTCGAGTTGCGGCGGGGACCTGGGGTATGTTCTCGACTTACGGCGGGGATGGCCCTTCAAAACACGAGTTTCTTCAGTGACGTCAGGACTCCTGTCTAGTAACGAGGGACACCTCAGGAATATCATCGAGGCTTGGCAGTGCAAATGGGACGCTTCTTGAGGTGAGGCAGGGCACCCAAGGACCCTTTCCAGTAGCCACAGGGATTTTGGGATTCCTATCAGAATTCAAGAGGAGTCAGGCATCGTCACCTTTTGAAGCAATGAACTCCGCATGCCTCTCGAGGTGTCAACGGGATGTGAGGCATTCCGTCCAAATGAGGCAGGGACCTAGGGCTTTCTCTAACGTCTCCACAGGGGATTCAGACATCCCTTCATGTTGTGAGAAGAAAGACGAGCCTGTATTCAAGCCACTGCAAGGAAATCCGGCCTCCATTCAAGTTAGGGCTTCTCGCTGTATATTGCCCTTGAGGCAGCGAACTCGGGGTCCCTCCCACATACCTATTGCTGAAAGAAGCCTCCTCCTGAGGTGCGTCTTGAAAGTTGGCATACGTCTTGAGCCTAAGCCAGGGAATCAGCTCTCATCTCGAGACGATTTGGGGTACACGGAGCATTCCTCGAGTTGCCGTGCTGAAGTTGGTGTTCCTCTAGACTTGGGACAGTGTTCTCGGGGCATCTCTGGAGTTGCCTGAAGGAAGTCGAGCCACCGGTCGTGTTGAATGGGGAACGGGGAATGGCTCTGGAGTCAATGCAGGGGAATCGGGCCTCATCTCGAGTTGATTTGGGGTCCATGGAGCCGCTTTGCGTTGCTGGGGTGACTTCAGGGTCCGTCGAGACTGGTGACAGTGTTCTTGGGGACTGTCTGGAGAACCATTAAGCAAGTCGAAGCTCCTGACTTGCTTGAATGGGACCACGGAAGCTCTGCATGCACTGCAGGGGAATGGGGCCTCATCTCGCCTCTAGGGGGAAATCTCATGGTTTTTCTCGAGTTGCGGCGGGGACCTGGGGTATGTTCTCGACTTACGGCGGGGATGGCCCTTCAAAACACGAGTTTCTTCAGTGACGTCAGGACTCCTGTCTAGTAACGAGGGACACATCAGGAATCTCTTCGAGGCTTGGCAGGGCAAAAGGGACGCTTCTCGAGGTGAGGCAGGGCACCCAAGGACCCTTTCCAGTAGCCACAGTGATTTTGGGTTTCCTATCAGTATTCAAGAGGAGTGAGGCATTGTCACCTTTTGAAGCAATGAACTTCGCGTGCCTCTTGAGGTGTCAACGGGATGTGAGGCATTCCGTCAAAATGAGGCAGGGACCTAGGGCTTTCTCTAAGGTCTCCACAGGGGATTCAGACATCCCTTCATGTTGTGAGATGAAAGACGAGCCTGTATTCAAGCCACTGCAAGGAAATCCGGCCTCCTTTCAAGTTAGGGCTTCTCGCTGTATATTGCCCTTGAGGCAGCGAACTCGGGGTCCCTCCCACATACCTATTGCTGAGAGAAGCCTCCTCCTGAGGTGCTTCTGGAAAGTTGGCATACGTCTTGAGCCTAAGCCAGGGAATCAGCTCTCATCTCGAGACGATTTGGGGTACACGGAGCATTCCTCGAGTTGCTGTGCTGAAGTTGGTGTTCCTCTAGACTTGGGACAGTGTTCTCGGGGTATCTCTGGAGTTGCCTGAAGGAAGTCGAGCCACCGGTCGTGTTGAATGGGGAACGGGGAATGGCTCTGGAGTCAATGCAGGGGAATCGGGCCTCATCTCGAGTTGATTTGGGGCACATGGAGCTGCTTTGCGTTGCTGGGGTGACCTCAGCGTCCGTCGAGACTGGTGACAGTGTTCTTGGGGACTGTCTCGAGATCCATTAAGCACGTCGAATCTCCTGTCTTGTTTGAATGGGACCACGGAATAGCTCTGCATGCACTGCAGGGGAATGGGCCTCATCTCGCCTCTAGGGGGAAGTCTCATGGTTTTTCTCGAGTTGCGGCGGGAACCTGGGGTATGTTCTCGACTTACGGCGGGGATGGCCCTTCAAAACACGAGTTTCTTCAGTGACGTCAGGACTCCTGTCTAGTAACGAGGGACACCTCTGGAATCTCTTCGAGGCTTGTCAGGGCAAAAGGGACGCTTCTCGAGGTGAGGCAGGGCACCCAAGGACCCTTTCCAGTAGCCACAGGGATTTTGGGATTCCTATCAGTATTCAAGAGGAGTGAGGCATTGTCACATTTTGAAGCAATGAACTCCGCGTGCCTCTCGAGGTGTCAACGGGATGTGAGGCATTCCGTCCAAATGAGGCAGGGACCTAGGGTTTTCTCTAAGGTCTCCACAGGGGATTCAGACATCCCTTCGTGTTGTGAGATGAAAGACGAGCCTGTATTCAAGCCACTGCAAGGAAATCCGGCCTCCTTTCAAGTTAGGGCTTCTCGCTGTATATTGCCCTTGAGGCAGCGTACTCGGGGTCCCTCCCACATACCTATTGCTGAGAGAAGCCTCCTCCTGAGGTGCGTCTTGAAAGTTGGCATACGTCTTGAGCCTAAGCCAGGGAATCACCTCTCATCTCGAGACGATTTGGGGTACACGGAGCATTCCTCGAGGTGCTGTGCTGAAGTTGGTGTTCCTCTAGACTTGGGACATTGTTCTCGGGGCATCTCTGGAGTTGCCTGAAGGAAGTCGAGCCACCGGTCGTGGTGAATGTGGAACGGGGAATGGCTCTGGAGTCAATGCAGGGGAATCGGGCCTCATCTCGAGTTGATTTGGGGCACATGGAGCTGCTTTGCGTTGCTGGGGTGACCTCAGCGTTCGTCGAGACTGGTGACAGTGTTCTTGGGGACTGTCTCGAGATCCATTAAGCAAGTCGAAGCTCCTGACTTGCTTGAATGGGACCACGGAATAGCTCTGCATGCACTGCAGGGGAATGGGGCCTCATCTCGCCTCTAGGGGGAAGTCTCATGGTTTTTCTCGAGTGGCGGCGGGGACCTGGGGTATGTTCTCGACTTACGGCGGGGATGGCCCTTCAAAACACGAGTTTCTTCAGTGACGTCAGGACTCCTGGCTAGTAATGAGGGACACCTCAGGAATCTCTTCGAGGCTTGGCAGGGCAAAAGGGACTCTTCTCGAGGTGAGGCAGGGCACCCAAGGACCCTTTCCAGTAGGCACAGCGATTTTGGGATTCCTATCAGTATTCAAGAGGAGTCAGACATCGTCACCTTTTGAAGCAATGAACTCCGCGTGCCTCTCGAGGTGTCAACGGGATGTGAGGCATTCCGTCCAAATGAGGCAGGGAACTAGGGCTTTCTCTAAGGTCTCCACAGGGGATTCAGACACCCCTTCATGTTGTGAGATGAAAGACGAGCCTGTATTCAAGCCACTGCAGGGAAATCCGGCCTCCTTTCAAGTTAGGGCTTTTCGCTGTATATTGCCCTTGAGGCAGCGAACTCGGGGTCCCTCCCACATACCTATTGCTGAGAGAAGCCTCCTCCTGAGGTGCGTCTGGAAAGTTGGCATACGTCTTGAGCCTAAGCCAGGGAATCAGCTCTCATCTCGAGACGATTTGGGGTACACGGAGCATTCCTCGAGTTGCTGTGCTGAAGTTGGTGTTCCTCTATACTTGGGACAGTGTTCTCGGGGTATCTCTGGAGTTGCCTGAAGGAAGTCGAGCCACCGGTCGTGTTGAATGGGGAACGGGGAATGGCTCTGGAGTCAATGCAGGGGAATCGGGCCTCATCTCGAGTTGATTTGGGGCACATGGAGCTGCTTTGCGTTGCTGGGGTGACGTCAGGGTCCGTCGAGACAGGTGACAGTGTTCTTGGGGACTGTCTCGAGATCCATTAACAAGTCGAAGCTCCTGACTCGTTTGAATGGGACCACGGAATAGCTCTGCATGCACTGCAGGGGAATGGGGCCTCATCTCGCCTCTTGGGGGAAGTCTCATGGTTTTTCTCGAGTTGCGGCGGGGACCTGGGGTATGTTCTCGACTTACGGCGGGGATGGCCCTTCAAAACACGAGTTTCTTCAGTGACGTCAGGACTCCTGTCTAGTAACGAGGGACACCTCAGGAATCTCATCGAGGCTTGGCAGTGCAAATGGGACGCTTCTTGAGGTGAGGCAGGGCACCCAAGGACCCTTTCCAGTAGCCACAGGGATTTTGGGATTCCTATCAGAATTCAAGAGGAGTCAGGCATCGTCACGTTTTGAAGCAATGAACTCCGCGTGCCTCTCGAGGTGTCAACGGGATGTGAGGCATTCCGTCCAAATGAGGCAGGGACCTAGGGCTTTCTCTAAGGTCTCCACAGGGGATTCAGACATCCCTTCGTGTTGTGAGATCAAAGACGAGCCTGTATTCAAGCCAGTGCAAGGAAATCCGGCCTCCTTTCAAGTTAGGGCTTCTCGCTGTATATTGCCCTTGAGGCAGCGTACTCGAGGTCCCTCCCACATACCTATTGCTGAGAGAAGCCTCCTCCTGAGGTGCGTCTGGAAAGTTGGCAGACGTCTTGAGCCTAAGCCAGGGAATCACCTCTCATCTCGAGACGATTTGGGGTACACGGAGCATTCCTCGAGGTGCCGTGCTGAAGTTGGTGTTCCTCTAGACTTGGGACATTGTTCTCGGGGCATCTCTGGAGTTGCCTGAAGGAAGTCGAGCCACCGGTCGTGGTGAATGGGGAACGGGGAATGGCTCTGGAGTCAATGCAGGGGAATCGGGCCTCATCTCGAGTTGATTTGGGGCCCATGGAGCTGCTTTGCGTTGCTGGGGTGACCTCAGGGTCCGTCGAGACTGGTGACAGTGTTCTTGGGGACTGTCTCGAGAACCATTAAGCAAGTCGAAGCTCCTGACTTGTTTGAATGGGACCACGGGATAGCTCTGTATGCACTGCAGGGGAATGGGGCCTCATCTCGCCTCTAGGGGTAAGTCTCATGGTTTTTCTCGAGTGGCGGTGGGGACCTGGGGTATGTTCTCGACTTACGGCGGGGATGGCCCTTCAAAACACGAGTTTCTTCAGTGACGTCAGGACTCCTGTCTAGTAACGAGGGACACCTCAGGAATCTCTTCGAGGCTTGGCAGGGCAAAAGGGACGCTTCTCTAGGTGAGGCAGGGCACCCAAGGACCCTTTCCAGTAGCCACAGGGATTTTGGGATTCCTATCAGTATTCAAGAGGAGTGAGGCATTGTCACCTTTTGAAGCAATGAACTTTGCGTGCCTCTTGAGGTGTCAACGGGATGTGAGGCATTCCGTCCAAATGAAGCATGGACCTAGGGCTTTCTCTAAGGTCTCCACAGGGGATTCAGAAATCCCTTCATGTTGTGAGATGAAAGACGAGCCTGTATTCAAGCCACTGCAAGGAAATCCGGCCTCCTTTCAAGTTAGGGCTTCTCGCTGTATATTGCCCTTGAGGCAGCGAACTCGGGGTCCCTCCCACATACCTATTGCTGAGAGAAGCCTCCTCCTGAGGTGCGTCTGGAAAGTTGGCATAAGTCTTGAGCCTAAGCCAGGGAATCAGCTCTCATCTCGAGACGATTTGGGGTACACGGAGCATTCCTCGAGTTGCCGTGCTGAAGTTGGTGTTCCTCTAGACTTGGGACAGTGTTCTCGGGGCATCTCTGGAGTTGCCTGAAGGAAGTCGAGCCACCGGTCGTGTTGAATGGGGAACGGGGAATGGCTCTGGAGTCAATGCAGGGGAATCGGGCCTCATCTCGAGTTGATTTGGGGTCCATGGAGCCGCTTTGCGTTGCTGGGGTGACTTCAGGGTCCGTCGAGACTGGTGACAGTGTTCTTGGGGACTGTCTGGAGAACCATTAAGCAAGTCGAAGCTCCTGACTTGCTTGAATGGGACCACGGAAGCTCTGCATGCACTGCAGGGGAATGGGGCCTCATCTCGCCTCTAGGGGGAAATCTCATGGTTTTTCTCGAGTTGCGGCGGGGACCTGGGGTATGTTCTCGACTTACGGCGGGGATGGCCCTTCAAAACACGAGTTTCTTCAGTGACGTCAGGACTCCTGTCTAGTAACGAGGGACACATCAGGAATCTCTTCGAGGCTTGGCAGGGCAAAAGGGACGCTTCTCGAGGTGAGGCAGGGCACCCAAGGACCCTTTCCAGTAGCCACAGTGATTTTGGGTTTCCTATCAGTATTCAAGAGGAGTGAGGCATTGTCACCTTTTGAAGCAATGAACTTCGCGTGCCTCTTGAGGTGTCAACGGGATGTGAGGCATTCCGTCAAAATGAGGCAGGGACCTAGGGCTTTCTCTAAGGTCTCCACAGGGGATTCAGACATCCCTTCATGTTGTGAGATGAAAGACGAGCCTGTATTCAAGCCACTGCAAGGAAATCCGGCCTCCTTTCAAGTTAGGGCTTCTCGCTGTATATTGCCCTTGAGGCAGCGAACTCGGGGTCCCTCCCACATACCTATTGCTGAGAGAAGCCTCCTCCTGAGGTGCTTCTGGAAAGTTGGCATACGTCTTGAGCCTAAGCCAGGGAATCAGCTCTCATCTCGAGACGATTTGGGGTACACGGAGCATTCCTCGAGTTGCTGTGCTGAAGTTGGTGTTCCTCTAGACTTGGGACAGTGTTCTCGGGGTATCTCTGGAGTTGCCTGAAGGAAGTCGAGCCACCAGTCGTGTTGAATGGGGAACGGGGAATGGCTCTGGAGTCAATGCAGGGGAATCGGGCCTCATCTCGAGTTGATTTGGGGCACATGGAGCTGCTTTGCGTTGCTGGGGTGACCTCAGCGTCCGTCGAGACTGGTGACAGTGTTCTTGGGGACTGTCTTGAGATCCAATAAGCAAGTCGAAGCTCCTGACTTGTTTGAATGGGACCACGGAATAGCTCTGCATGCACTGCAGGGTAATGGGGCCTCATCTCGCCTCTAGGGGGAAGTCTCATGGTTTTTCTCGAGTTGCGGCGGGCACCTGGGGTATGTTCTCGACTTACGGCGGGGATGGCCCTTCAAAACACGAGTTTCTTCAGTGACGTCAGGACTCCTGTCTAGTAACGAGGGACACCTCAGGAATCTCTTCGAGGCTTGGCAGGGCAAAAGGGACGCTTTTCGAGGTGAGGCAGGGCACCCAAGGACCCTTTCCAGTAGCCACAGGGATTTTGGGATTCCTATCAGTATTCAAGAGGAGTCAAACATCGTCACCTTTTGAAGCAATGAACTCCGCGTGCCTCTCGAGGTGTCAACGGGATGTGAGGCATTCCGTCCAAATGAGGCAGGGAACTAGGGCTTTCTCTAAGGTCTCCACAGGGGATTCAGACACCCCTTCATGTTGTGAGATGAAAGACGAGCCTGTATTCAAGCCACTGCAGGGAAATCCGGCCTCCTTTCAAGTTAGGGCTTTTCGCTGTATATTGCCCTTGAGGCAGCGAACTCGGGGTCCCTCCCACATACCTATTGCTGAGAGAAGCCTCCTCCTGAGGTGCGTCTGGAAAGTTGGCATACGTCTTGAGCCTAAGCCAGGGAATCAGCTCTCATCTCGAGACGATTTGGGGTACACGGAGCATTCCTCGAGTTGCTGTGCTGAAGTTGGTGTTCCTCTAGACTTGGGACAGTGTTCTCGGGGTATCTCTGGAGTTGCCTGAAGGAAGTCGAGCCACCGGTCGTGTTGAATGGGGAACGGGGAATGGCTCTGGAGTCAATGCAGGGGAATCGGGCCTCATCTCGAGTTGATTTGGGGCACATGGAGCTGCTTTGCGTTGCTGGGGTGACGTCAGGGTCCGTCGAGACTGGTGACAGTGTTCTTGGGGACTGTCTCGAGATCCATTAACAAGTCGAAGCTCCTGACTCGTTTGAATGGGACCACGGAATAGCTCTGCATGCACTGCAGGGGAATGGGGCCTCATCTCGCCTCTTGGGGGAAGTCTCATGGTTTTTCTCGAGTTGCGGCGGGGACCTGGGGTATGTTCTCGACTTACGGCGGGGATGGCCCTTCAAAACACGAGTTTCTTCAGTGACGTCAGGACTCCTGTCTAGTAACGAGGGACATCTCAGGAATCTCATCGAGGCTTGGCAGTGCAAATGGGACGCTTCTTGAGGTGAGGCAGGGCACCCAAGGACCCTTTCCAGTAGCCACAGGGATTTTGGGATTCCTATCAGAATTCAAGAGGAGTCAGGCATCGTCACCTTTTGAAGCAATGAACTCCGCGTGCCTCTCGAGGTGTCAACGGGATGTGAGGCATTCCGTCCAAATGAGGCAGGGACCTAGGGCTTTCTCTAAGGTCTCCACAGGGGATTCAGACATCCCTTCGTGTTGTGAGATCAAAGACGAGCCTGTATTCAAGCCACTGCAAGGAAATCCGGCCTCCTTTCAAGTTAGGGCTTCTCGCTGTATATTGCCCTTGAGGCAGCGTACTCGAGGTCCCTCCCACATACCTTTTGCTGAGAGAAGCCTCCTCCTGAGGTGCGTCTGGAAAGTTGGCAGACGTCTTGAGCCTAAGCCAGGGAATCACCTCTCATCTCGAGACGATTTGGGGTACACGGAGCATTCCTCGAGGTGCCGTGCTGAAGTTGGTGTTCCTCTAGACTTGGGACATTGTTCTCGGGGCATCTCTGGAGTTGCCTGAAGGAAGTCGAGCCACCGGTCGTGGTGAATGGGGAACGGGGAATGGCTCTGGAGTCAATGCAGGGGAATCGGGCCTCATCTCGAGTTGATTTGGGGCCCATGGAGCTGCTTTGCGTTGCTGGGGTGACCTCAGGGTCCGTCGAGACTGGTGACAGTGTTCTTGGGGACTGTCTCGAGAACCATTAAGCAAGTCGAAGCTCCTGACTTGTTTGAATGGGACCACGGGATAGCTCTGTATGCACTGCAGGGGAATGGGGCCTCATCTCGCCTCTAGGGGTAAGTCTCATGGTTTTTCTCGAGTGGCGGCGGGGACCTGGGGTATGTTCTCGACTTACGGCGGGGATGGCCCTTCAAAACACGAGTTTCTTCAGTGACGTCAGGACTCCTGTCTAGTAACGAGGGACACCTCAGGAATCTCTTCGAGGCTTGGCAGGGCAAAAGGGACGCTTCTCGAGGTGAGGCAGGGCACCCAAGGACCCTTTCCAGTAGCCACAGGGATTTTGGGATTCCTATCAGTATTCAAGAGGAGTGAGGCATTGTCACCTTTTGAAGCAATGAACTTTGCGTGCCTCTTGAGGTGTCAACGGGATGTGAGGCATTCCGTCCAAATGAGGCAGGGACCTAGGGCTTTCTCTAAGGTCTCCACAGGGGATTCAGAAATCCCTTCATGTTGTGAGATGAAAGACGAGCCTGTATTCAAGCCACTGCAAGGAAATCCGGCCTCCTTTCAAGTTAGGGCTTCTCGCTGTATATTGCCCTTGAGGCAGAGAACTCGGGGTCCCTCCCACATACCTATTGCTGAGAGAAGCCTCCTCCTGAGGTGCGTCTGGAAAGTTGGCATACGTCTTGAGCCTAAGCCAGGGAATCACCTCTCATCTCGAGACGATTTGGGGTACACGGAACATTCCTCGAGGTGCCGTGCTGAAGTTCGTGTTCCTCTAGACTTGGGACAGTGTTTTCGGGGCATCTCTGGAGTTGCCTGAAGGAAGTCGAGCCACCGGTCGTGTTGAATGGGGAACGGGGAATGGCTCTGGAGTCAATGCAGGGGAATCGGGCCTCATCTCTAGTTGATTTGGGGCACATGGAGCGGCTTTGCGTTGCTGGGGTGACCTCAGCGTCCGTCGAGACTGGTGACAGTGTTCTTGGGGACTGTCTCGAGATCCATTAAGCAAGTCGAAGCTCCTGACTTGTTTGATGGGACCACGGAATAGCTCTGCATGCACTGCAGGGGAATGGGGCCTCATCTCGCCTCTAGGGGGAAGTCTCATGGTTTTTCTCGAGTTGCGGCGGGGACCTGGGGTATGTTCTCGACTTACGGCGGGGATGGCCCTTCAAAACACGAGTTTCTTCAGTGACGTCAGGACTCCTGTCTAGTAACGAGGGACACCTCAGGAATCTCTTCGAGGCTTGGCAGTGCAAATGGGACGCTTCTCGAGGTGAGGCAGGGCACCCAAGGACCCTTTCCAGTAGCCACAGGGATTTGGGATTCCTATCAGAATTCAAGAGGAGTCAGGCAAAGTCACCTTTTGAAGCAAAGAACTCCGCATGCCTCTCGAGGTGTCAACGGGATGTGAGGCATTCCGTCCAAATGAGGCAGGGACCTAGGGCTTTCTCTAAGGTCTCCACAGGGGATTCAGACATCCCTTCATGTTGTGAGATGAAAGACGAGCCTGTATTCAAGCCACTGCAAGGAAATCCGGCCTCCTTTCAAGTTAGGGCTTCTCGCTGTATATTGCCCTTGAGGCAGCGAACTCGGGGTCCCTCCCACATACCTATTGCTGAGAGAAGCCTCCTCCTGAGGTGCTTCTGGAAAGTTGGCATACGTCTTGAGCCTAAGCCAGGGAATCAGCTCTCATCTCGAGATGATTTGGGGTACACGGAGCATTCCTCGAGTTGCTGTGCTGAAGTTGGTGTTCCTCTAGACATGGGACAGTGTTCTCCGGGTATCTCTGGAGTTGCCTGAAGGAAGTCGAGCCACCGGTCGTGTTGAATGGGGAACGGGGAATGGCTCTCGAGTCAATGCAGGGGAATCGGGCCTCATCTCGAGTTGATTTGGGGCACATGGAGCTGCTTTGCGTTGCTGGGGTGACCTCAGGGTCCGTCGAGACTGGTGACAGTGTTCTTGGGGACTCTCTCGAGAACCATTAAGCAAGTCGAAGCTCCTGACTTGCTTGAATGGGACCACGGAATAGCTCTGCATGCACTGCAGGGGAATGGGGCCTCATCTCGCCTCTAGGGGGAAGTCTCATGGTTTTTCTCGAGTTGCGGCGGGGACCTGGGGTATGTTCTCGACTTACGGCGGGGATGGCCCTTCAAAACACGAGTTTCTTCAGTGACGTCAGGACTCCTGTCTAGTAACGAGGGACACCTCAGGAATCTCTTCGAGGCTTGGCAGGGCAAAAGGGACGCTTCTCGAGGTGAGGCAGGGCACCCAAGGACCCTTTCCAGTAGCCACAGGGATTTTGGGTTTCCTATCAGTATTCAAGTGGAGTGAGGCATTGTCACCTTTTGAAGCAATGAACTTCGCGTGCCTCTTGAGGTGTCAACGGGATGTGAGGCATTCCGTTAAAATGAGGCAGGGACCTAGGGCTTTCTCTAAGGTCTACACAGGGGATTCAGACATCCCTTCATGTTGTGAGATGAAAGACGAGCCTGTATTCAAGCTACTGCAAGGAAATCCGGCCTCCTTTCAAGTTAGGGCTTCTCGCTGTATATTGCCCTTGAGGCAGCGAACTCGGGGTCCCTCCCACATACCTATTGCTGAGAGAACCCTCCTCCTGAGGTGCGTCTGGAAAGTTGGCATACGTCTTGAACCTAAGCCAGGGAATCAGCTCTCATCTCGAGACGATTTGGGGTACACGGTGCATTCCTCGAGTTGCTGTGCTGAAGTTGGTGTTCCTCTAGACTTGGGACAGTGTTCTCGGGGTATCTCTGGAGTTGCCTGAAGGAAGTCGAGCCACCGGTCGTGTTGAATGGGGAACGGGGAATGGCTCTGGAGTCAATGCAGGGGAATCGGGCCTCATCTCGAGTTGATTTGGGGCCCATGGAGCTGCTTTGCGTTGCTGGGGTGACGTCAGGGTCCGTCGAGACTGGTGACAGTGTTCTTGGGGACTGTCTTGAGATCCATTAAGCAAGTCGAAGCTCCTGACTTGTTTGAATGGGACCACGGAATAGCTCTGCATGCACTGCAGGGGAATGGGGCCTCATCTCGCCTCTAGGGGGAAGTCTCATGGTTTTTCTCGAGTTGCGGCGGGGACCTGGGGTATGTTCTCGACTTACGGCGGGGATGGCCCTTCAAAACACGAGTTTCTTCAGTGATGTCAGGACTCCTGTCTAGTAACGAGGGACACCTCAGGAATCTCTTCGAGGCTTGGCAGGGCAAAAGGGACGCTTCTCGAGGTGAGGCAGGGCACCCAAGGACCCTTTCCAGTAGCCACAGGGATTTTGGGATTCCTATCAGTATTCAAGAGGAGTCAGGCATCGTCACCTTTTGAAGCAATGAACTTCGCGTGCCTCTTGAGGTGTCAACGGGATGTGAGGCATTCCGTCAAAATGAGGCAGATAACTAGGGCTTTCTCTAACGTCTCCACAGGGAATTCAGACATCCCTTCATGTTGTGAGATGAAAGACGAACCTGTATTCAAGCCACTGCAAGGAAATCCGGCCTCCATTCAAGTTAGGGCTTCTCGCTCTATATTGCCCTTGAGGCAGCGAACTCGGGGTCCCTCCCACATACCTATTGCTGAGAGAAGCCTCCTCCTGAGGTGCGTCTTGAAAGTTGGCATACGTCTTGAGCCTAAGCCAGGGAATCAGCTCTCATCTCGAGACGATTTGGGGTACACGGAGCATTCCTCGAGTTGCTGTGCTGAAGTTGGTCTTCCTCTAGACTTGGGACAGTGTTCTCGGGGCATCTCTGGAGTTGCCTGAAGGAAGTCGAGCCACCGGTCGTGTTGAATGGGGAACCGGTAATGGCTCTGGAGTCAATGCAGGGGAATCGGGCCTCATCTCGAGTTGATTTGTGGCCCATGGAACTGCTTTGCGTTGCTTGGGTGACGTCAGGGTCCGTCGAGACTGGTGACAGTGTTCTTGGGGACTGTCTCGAGAACCATTAAGCAAGTCGAAGCTCCTGACTTGCTTGAATGGGACCACGGAATAGCTCTGCATGCACTGCAGGGGAATGGGGCCTCATCTCGCCTCTAGGGGGAAGTCTCATGGTTTTTGTCGAGTTGCGGCGGGAACCTGGGGTATGTTCTCGACTTACGGCGGGGATGGCCCTTCAAAACACGAGTTTCTTCAATGACGTCAGGACTCCTGTCTAGTAACGAGGGACACCTCTGGAATCTCTTCGAGGCTTGTCAGGGCAAAAGGGACGCTTCTCGAGGTGAGGCAGGGCACCCAAGGACCCTTTCCAGTAGCCACAGGGATTTTGGGATTCCTATCAGTATTCAAGAGGAGTGAGGCATTGTCACCTTTTGAAGCAATGAACTTCGCGTGCCTCTTGAGGTGTCAACGGGATGTGAGGCATTCCGTCCAAATGAGGCAGGGACCTAGGGCTTTCTCTAAGGTCTCCACAGGGGATTCAGACATCCCTTCATGTTGTGAGATCAAAGACGAGCCTGTATTCAAGCCACTTAAAGGAAATCCGGCCTCCTTTCAAGTTAGGGCTTCTCGCTGTACATTGCCCTTGAGGCAGCGAACTCGGGGTCCCTCCCACATAACTATTGCTGAGAGAAGCCTCCTCCTGAGGTGCGTCTGGAAAGTTGGCATACGTCTTGAGCCTAAGCCAGGGAATCAGCTCTAATCTTGAGAAGATTTGGGGTACACGGAGCATTCCTCGAGTTGCTGTGCTGAAGTTGGTGTTCCTCTAGACTTCGGACAGTGTTCTCGGGGTATCTCTGGAGTTGCCTGAAGGAAGTCGAGCCACAGTTCGTGTTGAATGGGGAACGCGGAATGGCTCTGGAGTCAATGCAGGGGAATCGGGCCTCATCTCGAGTTGATTTGGGGCACATGGAGCTGCTTTGCGTTGCTGGGGTGACCTCAGCGTCCGTCGAGACTGGTGACAGTGTTCTTGGGGACTGTCTCGAGATCCATTAAGCAAGTCGAAGCTCCTGACTTGTTTGAATGGGACCACGGAATAGCTCTGCATGCACTGCAGGGGAATGGGGTCTCATCTCGCCTCTAGAGGGAAGTCTCATGGTTTTTCTCGAGTTGCGGCGGGGACCTGGGATATGTTCTCGACTTACGGCGGGGATGGCCCTTCAAAACACGAGTTTCTTCAGTGACGTCAGGACTCCTGTCTAGTAACGAGGGACACTTAAGGAATCTCTTCGAGGCTTGGCAGGGCAAAAGGGACGCTTCTCGAGGTGAGGCAGGGCACCCAAGGACCCTTTCCAGTAGCCACAGGGATTTTGGGATTCCTATCAGTATTCAAGAGGAGTCAGGCATCGTCACGTTTTGAAGCAATGAACTCCGCGTGCCTCTCGAGGTGTCAACGGGATGTGAGGCATTCCGTCCAAATGAGGCAGGGACCTAGGGCTTTCTCTAAGGTCTCCACAGGGTATTCAGACATCCCTTCATGTTGTGAGATCAAAGACGAGCCTGTATTCAAGCCACGGCAAGGAAATCCGGCCTGCTTTCAAGTTAGGGCTTCTCGCTGTATATTGCCCTTGAGGCAGCGAACTCGGGGTCCCTCCCACATACCTATTGCTGAGAGAAGCCTCCTCCTGAGGTGCGTCTTGAAAGTTGGCATACGTCTTGAGCCTAAGCCAGGGAATCACCTCTCATCTCGAGACGATTTGGGGTACACGGATCATTCCTCGAGTTGCCGTGCTGAAGTTCGTGTTCCTCTAGACTTGGGACAGTGTTCTCGGGGCATCTCTGGAGTTGCCTGAAGGAAGTCGAGCCACCGGTCGTGTTGAATGGGGAACGGGGAATGGCTCTGGAGTCAATGCAGGGGAATCGCGCCTCATCTCGAGTTGATTTGGGGCCCATGGAGCTGCTTTGCTTTGCTGGGGTGACCTCAGGGTCCGTCGAGACTGGTGACAGTGTTCTTGGGGACTGTCTCGATAACCATTAAGCAAGTCGAAGCTCCTGACTTGCTTGAATTGGACCACGGAATAGCTCTGCATGCACTGCAGGGGAATGGGGCCTCATCTCGCCTCTAGGGGGAAGTCTCATGGTTTTTCTCGAGTTGCGGCGGGGACCTGGGGTATGTTCTCGACTTACGGCGGGGATGGCCCTTCAAAACACGAGTTTCTTCAGTGACGTCAGGACTCCTGTCTAGTAACGAGGGACACCTCAGGAATCTCTTCGAGGGTTGGCAGGGCAAAAGGGACGCTTCTCGACGTGAGGCAGGGCACCCAAGGACCCTTTCCAGCAGCCACAGGGATTTTGGGATTCCTATCAGTATTCAAGAGGAGTGAGGCATTGTCACCTTTTGAAGCAATGAACTTCGCGTGCCTCTTGAGGTGTCAACGGGATGTGAGGCATTCCGTCAAAATGAGGCAGGGACCTAGGGCTTTCTCTAAGGTCTCCACAGGGGATTCAGACATCCCTTCATGTTGTGAGATGAAAGACGAGCCTGTATTCAAGCCACTGCAAGGAAATCCGGCCTCCTTTCAAGTTAGGGCTTCTCGCTGTATATTGCCCTTGAGGCAGCAAACTCGGGGTCCCTCCCACATACCTATTGCTGAGAGCAGCCTCCTCCTGAGGTGCGTCTGGAAAGTTGGCATACGTCTTGAGCCTAAGCCAGGGAATCAGCTCTCATCTCGAGACGATTTGGGGTACACAGAGCATTCCTCGAGTTGCTGTGCTGAAGTTGGTGTTCCTCTAGACTTGGGACAGTGTTCTCGGGGTATCTCTGGAGTTGCCTGAAGGAAGTCGAGCCACCGGTCGTGTTGAATGGGGAACGGGTAATGGCTCTGGAGTCAATGCAGGGGAATCGGGCCTCATCTCGAGTTGATTTGGGGCACATGGAGCTGCTTTGCGTTGCTGGGGTGACCTCAGCGTAGGTCAAGACTGGTGACAGTGTTCTTGGGGACTGTCTCGAGATCGATTAAGCAAGTCGAAGCTCCTGACTTGTTTGAATGGGACCACGGAATAGCTCTGCATGCACTGCAGGGGAATGTGGCCTCATCTCGATTCTAGGGGGAAGTCTCATGATTTTTCTCGAGTTGCGGCGGGGACCTGGGGTATGTTCTCGACTTACGGCGGGGATGGCCCTTCAAAACACGAGTTTCTTCAGTGACGTCAGGACTCCTGTCTAGTAACGAGGGACACCTCAGGAATATCATCGAGGCTTGGCAGTGCAAATGGGACGCTTCTTGAGGTGAGGCAGGGCACCCAAGGACCCTTTCCAGTAGCCACAGGGATTTTGGGATTCCTATCAGAATTCAAGAGGAGTCAGGCATCGTCACCTTTTGAAGCAATGAACTCCGCATGCCTCTCGAGGTGTCAACGGGATGTGAGGCATTCCGTCCAAATGAGGCAGGGACCTAGGGCTTTCTCTAACGTCTCCACAGGGGATTCAGACATCCCTTCATGTTGTGAGAAGAAAGACGAGCCTGTATTCAAGCCACTGCAAGGAAATCCGGCCTCCATTCAAGTTAGGGCTTCTCGCTGTATATTGCCCTTGAGGCAGCGAACTCGGGGTCCCTCCCACATACCTATTGCTGAAAGAAGCCTCCTCCTGAGGTGCGTCTTGAAAGTTGGCATACGTCTTGAGCCTAAGCCAGGGAATCACCTCTCATCTCGAGACGATTTGGGGTACACGGAGCATTCCTCGAGTTGCCGTGCTGAAGTTGGTGTTCCTCTAGACTTGGGACAGTGTTCTCGGGGCATCTCTGGAGTTGCCTGAAGGAAGTCGAGCCACCGGTCGTGTTGAATGGGGAACGGGGAATGGCTCTGGAGTCAATGCAGGGGAATCGGGCCTCATCTCGAGTTGATTTGGGGCCCATGGAGCTGCTTTGCGTTGCTGGGGTGACGTCAGGGTCCGTCGAGACTGGTGACAGTGTTCTTGGGGACTGTCTCGAGAACCATTAAGCAAGTCGAAGCTCCTGACTTGCTTGAATGGGACCACGGAATAGCTCTGCATGCACTGCAGGGGAATGGGGCCTCATCTCGCCTCTTGGGGGAAGTCTCATGGTTTTTCTCGAGTTGCGGCGGGAACCTGGGGTATGTTCTCGACTTACGGCGGGGATGGCCCTTCAAAACACGAGTTTCTTCAGTGACGTCAGGACTCCTGTCTAGTAACGAGGGACACCTCTGGAATCTCTTCGAGGCTTGGCAGGGCAAAAGGGATGCTTCTCGAGGTGAGGCAGGGCACCCAAGGACCCTTTCCAGTAGCCACAGGGATTTTGGGATTCCTATCAGTATTCAAGATGAGTGAGGCATTGTCACCTTTTGAAGCAATGAACTTCGCGTGCCTCTTGAGGTGTCAACGGGATGTGAGGCATTCCGTCAAAATGAGGCAGGGACCTAGGGCTTTCTCTAAGGTCTCCACAGGGGATTCAGACATCCCTTCATGTTGTGAGATGAAAGACGAGCCTGTATTCAAGCCACTGCAAGGAAATCCGGCCTCCTTTCAAGTTAGGGCTTCTCGCTGTATATTGCCCTTGAGGCAGCGAACTCGGTGTCCCTCCCACATACCTATTGCTGAGAGAAGCCTCCTCCTGAGGTGCGTCTGGAAAGTTGGCATACGTCTTGAGCCTAAGTCAGGGAATCAGCTCTCATCTCGAGACGATTTGTGGTACACGGAGAATTCCTCGAGTTGCTGTGCTGAAGTTGGTGTTCCTCTAGACTTGGGACAGTGTTCTCGGGGTATCTCTGGAGTTGCCTGAAGGAAGTCGAGCCACCGGTCGTGTTGAATGGGGAACGGGGAATGGCTCTGGAGTCAATGCAGGGGAATCGGGCCTCATCTCGAGTTGATTTGGGGCACATGGAGCTGCTTTGCGTTGCTGGGGTGACCTCAGCGTCCGTCGAGACTGGTGACAGTGTTCTTGGGGACTGTCTCGAGATCCATTAAGCAAGTCGAAGCTCCTGACTTGTTTGAATGGGACCACGGAATAGCTCTGCATACACTGCAGGTGAATGGGGCCTCATCTCGCCTCTAGGGGGAAGTCTCATGGTTTTTCTCGAGTTGCGGCGGGGACCTGGGGTATGTTCTCGACTTACGGCGGGGATGGCCCTTCAAAACACGAGTTTCTTCAGTGACGTCAGGACTCCTGTCTAGTAACGAGGGACACTTAAGGAATCTCTTCGAGGCTTGGCAGGGCAAAAGGGACGCTTCTCGAGGTGAGGCAGGGCACCCAAGGACCCTTTCCAGTAGCCACAGGGATTTTGGGATTCCTATCAGTATTCAAGAGGAGTCAGGCATCGTCACGTTTTGAAGCAATGAACTCCGCGTGCCTCTCGAGGTGTCAACGGGATGTGAGGCATTCCGTCCAAATGGGGCAGGGACCTAGGGCTTTCTCTAAGGTCTCCACAGGGGATTCAGACATCCCTTCATGTTGTGAGAAGAAAGACGAGCCTGTATTCAAGCCACTGCAAGGAAATCCGGCCTCCATTCAAGTTAGGGCTTCTCGCTGTATATTGCCCTTGAGGCAGCGAACTCGGGGTCCCTCCCACATACCTATTGCTGAAAGAAGCCTCCTCCTGAGGTGCGTCTTGAAAGTTGGCATACGTCTTGAGCCTAAGCCAGGGAATCACCTCTCATCTCGAGACGATTTGTGGTACATGGAGCATTCCTCGAGTTGCCGTGCTGAAGTTGGTGTTCCTCTAGACTTGAGACAGTGTTCTCGGGGCATCTCTGGACTTGCCTGAAGTAAGTCGAGCCACCGGTCGTGTTGAATTGGGAACGGGGAATGGCTCTGGAGTCAATACAGGGGAATCGGGCCTCATCTCGAGTTGATTTGGGGCCCATGGAGCTGCTTTGCTTTGCTGGGGTGACCTCAGGGTCGTCGAGACTGGTGACAGTGTTCTTGGGGACTGTCTCGAGAACCATTAAGCAAGTCGAAGCTCCTGACTTGCTTGAATGGGACCACGGAATAGCTCTGCATGCACTGCAGGGGAATGGGGCCTCATCTCGCCTCTAGGGGGAAGTCTCATGGTTTTTCTCGAGTTGCGGCGGGGACCTGGGGTATGTTCTCGACTTACGGCGGGGATGGCCCTTCAAAACACGAGTTTCTTCAGTGACGTCAGGACTCCTGTCTAGTAACGAGGGACACCTCAGGAATCTCTTCGAGGCTTGGCAGGGCAAAAGGGACGCTTCTCGAGGTGAGGCAGGGCACCCAAGGACCCTTTCCAGTAGCCACAGGGATTTTGGGATTCCTATCAGTATTCAAGAGGAGTGAGGCATTGTCACCTTTTGAAGCAATGAACTTTGCGTGGCTCTTGAGGTGTCAACGGGATGTGAGGCATTCCGTCAAAATGAGGCAGGGACCTAGGGCTTTCTCTAAGGTCTCCACAGGGGATTCAGACATCCCTTCATGTTGTGAGATCAAAGACGAGCCTGTATTCAAGCTACTGCAAGGAAATCCGGCCTCCTTTCAAGTTAGGGCTTCTCGCTGTATATTGCCCTTGAGGCAGAGAACTCGGGGTCCCTCCCACATACTTATTGCTGAGAGAAGCCTCCTCCTGAGGTGCGTCTGGAAAGTTGGCATACGTCTTGAGCCTAAGCCAGGGAATCACCTCTCATCTCGAGACGATTTGGGGTACACGGAGCATTCCTCGAGTTGCTGTGCTGAATTTGGTGTTCCTCTAGACTTGGGACAATGTTCTCGGGGTATCTCTGGAGTTGCCTGAAAGAAGTCGAGCCACCAATCGTGTTGAATGGGGAACTGGGAATGGCTCTGGAGTCAATGCAGGGGAATCGGGACTCATCTCGAGTTGATTTGGGGCCCACGGTGCTGCTTTGCGTTGCTGGGGTGACCTCAGGGTCCGTCGAGACTGAAGACAGTGTTCTTGGGGACTGTGTCGAGAACCATTAAGCAAGTCGAAGCTCCTGACTTGCTTGAATGGGACCACGGAATAGCTCTGCATGCACTGCAGGGGAATGGGGCCTCATCTCGCCTCTAGGGGAAAGTCTCATGGTTTTTCTCGAGTTGGAGCGGGGACCTGTTGTATGTTCTTGACTTACGGCGGGGATGGTCCTTCAAAACACGAGTTTCTTCAGTGACGTCAGGACTCCTGTCTAGTAACGAGGGACACCTCAGGAATCTCTTCGAGGCTTGGCAGGGCAAAAAGGACGCTTCTCGAGGTGAGGCCGGGCACCCAAGGACCCTTTCCAGTAGCCACAAGGATTTTGGGATTCCTATCAGTATTCAAGAGGAGTCAGGCATCGTCACCTTTTGAAGCAATGAACTCAGCGTGCCTCTCGAGGTGTCAACGGGATGTGAGGCATTACGTCCAAATGAGGCAGGGACCTAGGGCTTTCTCTAAGGTCTCCACAGGGGATTCAGACATCCCTTCATGTTGTGAGATCAAAGACGAGCCTGTATTCAAGCCACTGCAAGGAAATCCGGCCTCCTTTCAAGTTAGGGCTTCTCGCTGTATATTGCCCTTGAGGCAGCGAACTCGGGGTCCCTCCCACATACCTATTGCTGAGAGAAGCCTCCTCCTGAGGTGCGTCTTGAAAGTTGGCATACGTCTTGAGCCTAAGCCAGGGAATCAGCTCTCATCTCGAGACGATTTGAGGTACACGGAGCATTCCTCGAGTTGCCGTGCTGAAGTTGGTGTTCCTCTAGACTTGGGACAGTGTTCTCGGGGCATCTCTGGAGTTGCCTGAAGGAAGTCGAGCCACCGGTCGTGTTGAATGGGGAACGGGGAATGGCTCTGGAGTCAATGCAGGGGAATCGGGCCTCATCTCGAGTTGATTTGGGGCACATGGAGCTGCTTTGCGTTGCTGGGGTGACCTCAGGGTCCGTCGAGACTGGTGACAGTGTTCTTGAGGACTGTCTCGAGATCCATTAAGCAAGTCGAAGCTCCTGACTTGTTTGAATGGGACCACGGAATAGCTCTGCATGCACTGCAGGGGAATGGGGTCTCATCTCGCCTCTAGGGGGAAGTCTCATGGTTTTTCTCGAGTTGCGGCGGGGACCTGGGGTATGTTCTCGACTTACAGCGGGGATGGCCCTTCAAAACACGAGTTTCTTCAGTGACGTCAGGACTCCTGTCTAGTAACGCGGGACACCTCAGGAATCTCTTCGAGGCTTGGCAGGGCAAAAGGGACGCTTCCCGAGGTGTGGCAGGCCAGCCAAGGACCCTTTCCAGTAGCCACAGGGATTTTGGTATTCCTATCAGTATTCAAGAGGAGTGAGGCATTGTCACCTTTTGAAGCAATGAACTTCGCGTGCCTCTTGAGGTGTCAATGGGATGTGAGGCATTCCGTCAAAATGAGGCAGGGACCTAGGGCTTTCTCTAAGGTCTCCACAGGGGATTCAGACATCCCTTCATGTTGTGAGATGAAAGACGAGCCTGTATTCAAGCCACTGCAAGGAAATCCGGCCTCCTTTCAAGTTAGGGCTTCTCGCTGTATATTGCCCTTGAGGCAGCGAACTCGGGGTCCCTCCCACATACCTATTGCTGAGAGAAGCCTCCTCCTGAGGTGCGTCTGGAAAGTTGGCATACGTCTTGAGCCTAAGCCAGGGAATCACCTCTCATCTCGAGACGATTTGGGGTACACGGAGCATTCCTCGAGTTGCCGTGCTGAAGTTGGTGTTCCTCTAGACGTGGGACAGTGTTCTCGGGGCATCTCTGGAGTTGCCTGAAGGAAGTCGAGCCACGGGTCGTGTTGAATGGGGAACGGGGAATGGCTCTGGAGTCAATGCAGGGGAATCGGGCCTCATCTCGTGTTGATTTGGGGCCCATGGAGCTGCTTTGCGTTGCTGTGGTGACGTCAGGGTCCGTCGAGACTGGTGACAGTGTTCTTGGGGACTGTCTCGAGAACAATTAAGCAAGTCGAAGCTCCTGACTTGCTTGAATGGGACCACGGAATAGCTCTGCATGCACTGCAGGGGAATGGGACCTCATCTCGCCTCTAGGGGGAAGTCTCATGGTTTTTCTCGAGTTGCGGCGGGGACCTGGGGTATGTTCTCGACTTACGGCGGGGATGGCCCTTCAAAACACGAGTTTCTTCAGTGACGTCAGGACTCCTGTCTAGTAACGAGGGACACCTCAGGAATCTCTTCCAGGCTTGGCAGGGCAAAAGGGACGCTTCTCGAGGTGAGGCAGGGCACCCAAGGACCCTTTCCAGTAGACACGGGGATTTTGGGATTCCTATCAGTATTCAAGAGGAGTCAGGCATCTTCACCTTTTGAAGCAATGAACTCTGCGTGCCTCTCGAGGTGTCAACGGGATGTGAGGCATTCCGTCCAAATGAGGCAGGGACCTAGGGCTTTCTCTAAGGTCTACACAGGGGATTCAGACATCCCTTCATGTTGTGAGATGAAAGACGAGCCTGTATTCAAGCTACTGCAAGGAAATCCGGCCTCCTTTGAAGTTAGGGCTTCTCGCTGTATATTGCCCTTTAGGCAGCGAACTCGGGGTCCCTCCCACATACCTATTGCTGAGAGAAGCCTCCTCCTGAGGTGCGTCTGGAAAGTTGGCATACGTCTTGAGCCTAAGCCAGGGAATCAGCTCTCATCTCGAGACGATTGGGGTACACAGAGCATTCCTCGAGTTGCTGTGCTGAAGTTGGTGTTCCTCTAGACTTGGGACAGTGTTCTCGGGGTATCTCTGGAGTTGCCTGAAGGAAGTCGAGCCACCGGTCGTGTTGAATGGGGAACGGGTAATGGCTCTGGAGTCAATGCAGGGGAATCGGGCCTCATCTCGAGTTGATTTGGGGCACATGGAGCTGCTTTGCGTTGCTGGGGTGACCTCAGCGTCGGTCGAGACTGGTGACAGTGTTCTTGGGGACTGTCTCGAGATCGATTAAGCAAGTCGAAGCTCCTGACTTGTTTGAATGGGACCACGGAATAGCTCTGCATGCACTGCAGGGGAATGGGGCCTCATCTCGCCTCTAGGGGGAAGTCTCATGGTTTTTCTCGAGTTGCGGCGGGGACCTGGGGTATGTTCTCGACTTACAGCGGGGATGGCCCTTCAAAACACGAGTTTCTTCAGTGACGTCAGGACTCCTGTCTAGTAACGAGGGACACCTCAGGAATCTCTTCGAGGCTTGGCAGGGCAAAAGGGACGCTTCTCGAGGTGAGGCAGGGCACCCAAGGACCCTTTCCAGTAGCCACAGGGATTTTGGGATTCCTATCAGTATTCAAGAGGAGTGAGGCATTGTCACCTTTTGAAGCAATGAACTTTGCGTGCCTCTTGAGGTGTCAACGGGATGTGAGGCATTCCGTCAAAATGAGGCAGGGACCTAGGTCTTTCTCTAAGGTCTCCACAGGGGATTCAGACATCCCTTCATGTTGTGAGATCAAAGACGAGCCTGTATTCAAGCCACTGCAAGGAAATCCGGCCTCCTTTCAAGTTAGGGCTTCTCGCTGTATATTGCCCTTGAGTCAGAGAACTCGGGGTCCCTCCCACATACTTATTGCTGAGAGAAGCCTCCTCCTGAGGTGCGTCTTGAAAGTTGGCATACGTCTTGAGCCTAAGCCAGGGAATCACCTCTCATCTCGAGACGATTTGGGGTACACGGAGAATTCCTCGAGTTGCCGTGCTGAAGTTGGTGTTCCTCTAGACTTGGGACAGTGTTCTCGGGGCATCTCTGGAGTTGCCTGAAGGAAGTCGAGCCACCGGTCGTGTTGAATGGGGAACGGGGAATGGCTCTGGAGTCAATGCAGGGGAATCGGGCCTCATCTCGAGTTGATTTGGGGCCCATGGAGCTGCTTTGCGTTGCTGGGGTGACGTCAGGGTCCGTCGAGACTGGTGACAGTGTTCTTGGGGACTGTCTCGAGAACCATTAAGCAAGTCGAAGCTCCTGACTTGCTTGAATGGGACCACGGAATAGCTCTGCATGCACTGCAGGGGAATGGGGCCTCATCTCGCCTCTTGGGGGAAGTCTCATGGTTTTTCTCGAGTTGCGGCGGGAACCTGGGGTATGTTCTCGACTTACGGCGGGGATGGCCCTTCAAAACACGAGTTTCTTCAGTGACGTCAGGACTCCTGTCTAGTAACGAGGGACACCTCTGGAATCTCTTCGAGGCTTGGCAGGGCAAAAGGGACGCTTCTCGAGGTGAGGCAGGGCACCCAAGGACCCTTTCCAGTAGCCACAGGGATTTTGGGATTCCTATCAGTATTCAAGATGAGTGAGGCATTGTCACCTTTTGAAGCAATGAACTTCGCGTGCCTCTTGAGGTGTCAACGGGATGTGAGGCATTCCGTCAAAATGAGGCAGGGACCTAGGGCTTTCTCTAAGGTCTCCACAGGGGATTCAGACATCCCTTCATGTTGTGAGATGAAAGACGAGCCTGTATTCAAGCCACTGCAAGGAAATCCGGCCTCCTTTCAAGTTAGGGCTTCTCGCTGTATATTGCCCTTGAGGCAGCGAACTCGGGGTCCCTCCCACATACCTATTGCTGAGAGAAGCCTCCTCCTGAGGTGCGTCTGGAAAGTTGGCATACGTCTTGAGCCTAAGTCAGGGAATCAGCTCTCATCTCGAGACGATTTGTGGTACACGGAGCATTCCTCGAGTTGCTGTGCTGAAGTTGGTGTTCCTCTAGACTTGGGACAGTGTTCTCGGGGTATCTCTGGAGTTGCCTGAAGGAAGTCGAGCCACCGGTCGTGTTGAATGGGGAACGGGGAATGGCTCTGGAGTCAATGCAGGGGAATCGGGCCTCATCTCGAGTTGATTTGGGGCACATGGAGCTGCTTTGCGTTGCTGGGTTGACCTCAGCGTCCGTCGAGACTGGTGACAGTGTTCTTGGGGACTGTCTCGAGATCCATTAAGCAAGTCGAAGCTCCTGACTTGTTTGAATGGGACCACGGAATAGCTCTGCATGCACTGCAGGGGAATGGGGCCTCATCTCGCCTCTAGGGGGAAGTCTCATGGTTTTTCTCGAGTTGCGGCGGGGACCTGGGGTATGTTCTCGACTTACGGCGGGGATGGCCCTTCAAAACACGAGTTTCTTCAGTGACGTCAGGACTCCTGTCTAGTAACGAGGGACACCTCAGGAATCTCTTCGAGGCTTGGCAGGGCAAAAGGGACGCTTCTCGACGTGAGGCAGGGCACCCAAGGACCCTTTCCAGTAGCCACAGGGATTTTGGGATTCCTATCAGTATTCAAGAGGAGTGAAGCATTGTCACCTTTTGAAGCAATGAACTTCGTGTGCCTCTTGAGGTGTCAACGGGATGTGAGGCATTCCGTCAAAATGAGGCAGGGACCTAGGGCTTTCTCAAAGGTCTCCACAGGGGATTCAGACATCCCTTCATGTTGTGAGATGAAAGACGAGCCTGTATTCAAGCCACTGCAAGGAAATCCGGCCTCCTTTCAAGTTAGGGCTTCTCGCTGTATATTGCCCTTGAGGCAGCGAACTCGGGGTCCCTCCCACATACCTATTGCTGAGAGAAGCCTCCTCCTGAGGTGCGTCTGGAAAGTTGGCATACGTCTTGAGCCTAAGCCAGGGAATCAGCTCTCATCTCGAGACGATTTGGGGTACACGGAGCATTCCTCGAGTTGCTGTGCTGAAGTTGGTGTTCCTCTAGACTTGGGACAGTGTTCTCCGGGTATCTCTGGAGTTGCCTGAAGGAAGTCGAGCCACCGGTCGTGTTGAATGGGGAACGGGGAATGGCTCTCGAGTCAATGCAGGGGAATCGGGCCTCATCTCGAGTTGATTTGGGGCCCATGGAGCTGCTTTGCGTTGCTGGGGTGACGTCAGGGTCCGTCGAGACTGGTGACAGTGTTCTTGGGGACTGTCTCGAGAACCATTAGGCAAGTCGAAGCTCCTGACTTGCTTGAATCGGACCACGGAATAGCTCTGCATGCACTGCAGGGGAATGGGGCCTCATCTCGCCTCTAGGGGGAAGTCTCATGGTTTTTCTCGAGTTGCGGCGGGGACCTGGGGTATGTTCTCGACTTACGGCGGGGATGGCCCTTCAAAACACGAGTTTCTTCAGTGACGTCAGGACTCCTGTCTGGTAACGAGGGACATCTCAGGAATCTCATCGAGGCTTGGCAGTGCAAATGGGACGCTTCTTGAGGTGAGGCAGGGCACCCAAGGACCCTTTCCAGTAGCCACAGGGATTTTGGGATTCCTATCAGAATTCAAGAGGAGTCAGGCATCGTCACCTTTTGAAGCAATGAACTCCGCGTGCCTCTCGAGGTGTCAACGGGATGTGAGGCATTCCGTCCAAATGAGGCAGGGACCTAGGGCTTTCTCTAAGGTCTCCACAGGGGATTCAGACATCCCTTCATGTTGTGAGAAGAAAGACGAGCCTGTATTCAAGCCACTGCAAGGAAATCCGGCCTCCTTTCAAGTTAGGGCTTCTCGCTGTATATTGCCTTTGAGGCAGCGAACTCGGGGTCCCTCCCACATACCTATTGCTGAGAGAAGCCTCCTCCTGAGGTGCGTCTTGAAAGTTGGCATACGTCTTGAGCCTAAGCCAGGGAATCACCTCTCATCTCGAGACGATTTGAGGTACACGGAGCATTCCTCGAGTTGCCTTGTTGAAGTTGGTGTTCCTCTAGACTTGGGACAGTGTTCTCGGGGCATCTCTGGAGTTGCCTGAAGGAAGTCGAGCCACCGGTCGTGTTGAATGGGGAACGGGGAATGGCTCTGGAGTCAATGCAGGGGAATCGGGCCTCATCTCGAGTTGATTTGGGGCACATGGAGCTGCTTTGCGTTGCTAGGGTGACCTCAGCGTCCGTCGAGACTGGTGACAGTGTTCTTGGGGACTGTCTCGAGATCCATTAAGCAAGTCGAAGCTCCTGACTTGCTTGAATGGGACCACGGAATAGCTCTGCATGCACTGCAGGGGAATGGGGTCTCATCTCGCCTCTAGGGGGAAGTCTCATGGTTTTTCTCGAGTTGCGGCGGGGACCTGGGGTATGTTCTCGACTTACGGCGGGGATGGCCCTTCAAAACACGAGTTTCTTCAGTGACGTCAGGAATCCTGTCTAGTAACGAGGGACACCTCAGGAATCTCTTCCAGGCTTGGCAGGGCAAAAGGGACGCTTCTCGAGGTGAGGCAGGGCACCCAAGGACCCTTTCCAGTAGACACGGGGATTTTGGGATTCCTATCAGTATTCAAGAGGAGTCAGGCATCTTCACCTTTTGAAGCAATGAACTCTGCGTGCCTCTCGAGGTGTCAACGGGATGTGAGGCATTCCGTCCAAATGAGGCAGGGACCTAGGGCTTTCTCTAAGGTCTACACAGGGGATTCAGACATCCCTTCATGTTGTGAGATGAAAGACGAGCCTGTATTCAAGCTACTGCAAGGAAATCCGGCCTCCTTTCAAGTTAGGGCTTCTCGCTGTATATTGCCCTTGAGGCAGCGAACTCGGGGTCCCTCCCACATACCTATTGCTGAGAGAAGCCTACTCCTGAGGTGCGTCTGGAAAGTTGGCATACGTCTTGAGCCTAAGCCAGGGAATCAGCTCTCATCTCGAGACGATTTGGGGTACACGGAGCATTCCTCGAGTTGCTGTGCTGAAGTTGGTGTTCCTCTAGACTTGGGACAATGTTCTTGGGGTATCTCTGGAGTTGCCTGAAGTTAGTCGAGCCACCGGTCGTGTTGAATGGGGAACGGGGAATGGCTCTGGAGTCAATGCAGGGGAATCGGGCCTCATCTCGAGTTGTTTTGGGGCACATGGAGCTGCTTTGCGTTGCTGGGGTGACCTCAGCGTCCGTCGAGACTGGTGACAGTGTTCTTGGGGACTGTCTCGAGATCCATTAAGCAAGTCGAAGCTCCTGACTTGTTTGAATGGGACCACGGAATAGCTCTGCATGCACTGCAGGGGAATGGGGCCTCATCTCGCCTCTAGGGGGAAGTCTCATGGTTTTTCTCGAGTTGCGGCGGGGACCTGGGTTATGTTCTCGACTTAAGGCGGGGATGGCCCTTCAAAACACGAGTTTCTTCAGTGACGTCAGGACTCCTGTCTAGTAACGAGGGACACCTCAGGAATCTCTTCGAGGCTTGGCAGGGCAAAAGGGACGCTTCTCGAGGTGAGGCAGGGCACCCAAGGACCCTTTCCAGTAGCCACAGGGATTTTGGGATTCCTATCAGAATTCAAGAGGAGTGAGGCATTGTCACCTTTTGAAGCAATGAACTTCGCGTGCCTCTTGAGGTGTCAACGGGATGTGAGGCATTCCGTCAAAATGAGGCAGGGACCTAGGGCTTTCTCTAAGGTCTCCACAGGGGATTCAGACATCCCTTCATGTTGTGAGATCAAAGACGAGCCTGTATTCAAGCCACTGCAAGGAAATCCGGCCTCCTTTCAAGTTAGGGCTTCTCGCTGTATATTGCCCTTGAGGCAGCGAACTCGGGGTCCCTCCCACATACCTATTGCTGAGAGAAGCCTCCTCCTGAGGTGCGTCTGGAAAGTTGGCATACGTCTTGAGCCTAAGCCAGGGAATCAGCTCTCATCTCGAGACGATTTGGGGTACACAGAGCATTCCTCGAGTTGCTGTGCTGAAGTTGGTGTTCCTCTAGACTTGGGACAGTGTTCTCGGGGTATCTCTGGAGTTGCCTGAAGGAAGTCGAGCCACCGGTCGTGTTGAATGGGGAATGGGTAATGGCTCTGGAGTCAATGCAGGGGAATCGGGCCTCATCTCGAGTTGATTTGGGGTCCATGGAGCCGCTTTGCGTTGCTGGGGTGACTTCAGGGTCCGTCGAGACTGGTGACAGTGTTCTTGGGGACTGTCTGGAGAACCATTAAGCAAGTCGAAGCTCCTGACTTGCTTGAATGGGACCACGGAAGCTCTGCATGCACTGCAGGGGAATGGGGCCTCATCTCGCCTCTAGGGGGAAATCTCATGGTTTTTCTCGAGTTGCGGCGGGGACCTGGGGTATGTTTTCGACTTACGGCGGGGATGGCCCTTCAAAACACGAGTTTCTTCAGTGACGTCAGGACTCCTGTCTAGTAACGAGGGACACATCAGGAATCTCTTCGAGGCTTGGCAGGGCAAAAGGGACGCTTCTCGAGGTGAGGCAGGGCACCCAAGGACCCTTTCCAGTAGCCACAGGGATTTTGGGTTTCCTATCAGTATTCAAGAGGAGTGAGGCATTGTCACCTTTTGAAGCAATGAACTTCGCGTGCCTCTTGAGGTGTCAACGGGATGTGAGGCATTCCGTCAAAATGAGGCAGGGACCTAGGGCTTTCTCTAAGGTCTCCACAGGGGATTCAGACATCCCTTCATGTTGTGAGATGAAAGACGAGCCTGTATTCAAGCCACTGCAAGGAAATCCGGCCTCCTTTCAAGTTAGGGCTTCTCGCTGTATATTGCCCTTGAGGCAGCGAACTCGGGGTCCCTCCCACATACCTATTGCTGAGAGAAGCCTCCTCCTGAGGTGCTTCTGGAAAGTTGGAATACGTCTTGAGCCTAAGCCAGGGAATCAGCTCTCATCTCGAGATGATTTGGGGTACACGGAGCATTCCTCGAGTTGCTGTGCTGAAGTTGGTGTTCCTCTAGACATGGGACAGTGTTCTCCGGGTATCTCTGGAGTTGCCTGAAGGAAGTCGAGCCACCGGTCGTGTTGAATGGGGAACGGGGAATGGCTCTCGAGTCAATGCAGGGGAATCGGGCCTCATCTCGAGTTGATTTGGGGCACATGGAGCTGCTTTGCGTTGCTGGGGTGACCTCAGGGTCCGTCGAGACTGGTGACAGTGTTCTTGGGGACTCTCTCGAGAACCATTAAGCAAGTCGAAGCTCCTGACTTGCTTGAATGGGACCACGGAATAGCTCTGCATGCACTGCAGGGGAATGGGGCCTCATCTCGCCTCTAGGGGGAAGTCTCATGGTTTTTCTCGAGTTGCGGCGGGGACCTGGGGTATGTTCTCGACTTACGGCGGGGATGGCCCTTCAAAACACGAGTTTCTTCAGTGACGTCAGGACTCCTGTCTAGTAACGAGGGACACCTCAGGAATCTCTTCGAGGCTTGGCAGGGCAAAAGGGACGCTTCTCGAGGTGAGGCAGGGCACCCAAGGACCCTTTCCAGTAGCCACAGGGATTTTGGGTTTCCTATCAGTATTCAAGTGGAGTGAGGCATTGTCACCTTTTGAAGCAATGAACTTCGCGTGCCTCTTGAGGTGTCAACGGGATGTGAGGCATTCCGTCAAAATGAGGCAGGGACCTAGGGCTTTCTCTAAGGTCTCCACAGGGGATTCAGACATCCCTTCATGTTGTGAGATGAAAGACGAGCCTGTATTCAAGCTACTGCAAGGAAATCCGGCCTCCTTTCAAGTTAGGGCTTCTCGCTGTATATTGCCCTTGAGGCAGCGAACTCGGGGTCCCTCCCACATACCTATTGCTGAGAGAACCCTCCTCCTGAGGTGCGTCTGGAAAGTTGGCATACGTCTTGAACCTAAGCCAGGGAATCAGCTCTCATCTCGAGACGATTTGGGGTACACGGTGCATTCCTCGAGTTGCTGTGCTGAAGTTGGTGTTCCTCTAGACTTGGGACAGTGTTCTCGGGGTATCTCTGGAGTTGCCTGAAGGAAGTCGAGCCACCGGTCGTGTTGAATGGGGAACGGGGAATGGCTCTGGAGTCAATGCAGGGGAATCGGGCCTCATCTCGAGTTGATTTGGGGCACATGGAGCTGCTTTGCGTTGCTGGGGTGACCTCAGCGTCCGTCGAGACTGGTGACAGTGTTCTTGGGGACTGTCTCGAGATCCATTAAGCAAGTCGAAGCTCCTGACTTGTTTGAATGGGACCACGGAATAGCTCTGCATGCACTGCAGGGGAATGGGGCCTCATCTCGCCTCTAGGGGGAAGTCTCATGGTTTTTCTCGAGTTGCGGCGGGGACCTGGGGTATGTTCTCGACTTACGGCGGGGATGGCCCTTCAAAACACGAGTTTCTTCAGTGACGTCAGGACTCCTGTCTAGTAACGAGGGACACCTCAGGAATCTCTTCGAGGCTTGGCAGGGCAAAAGGGACGCTTCTCGAGGTGAGGCAGGGCACCCAAGGACCCTTTCCAGTAGCCACAGGGATTTTGGGATTCCTATCAGTATTCAAGAGGAGTCAGGCATCGTCACCTTTTGAAGCAATGAACTTCGCGTGCCTCTTGAGGTGTCAACGGGATGTGAGGCATTCCGTCAAAATGAGGCAGATAACTAGGGCTTTCTCTAACGTCTCCACAGGGAATTCAGACATCCCTTCATGTTGTGAGATGAAAGACGAGCCTGTATTCAAGCCACTGCAAGGAAATCCGGCCTCCATTCAAGTTAGGGCTTCTCGCTGTATATTGCCCTTGAGGCAGCGAACTCGGGGTCCCTCCCACATACCTATTGCTGAGAGAAGCCTCCTCCTGAGGTGCGTCTTGAAAGTTGGCATACGTCTTGAGCCTAAGCCAGGGAATCAGCTCTCATCTCGAGACGATTTGGGGTACACGGAGCATTCCTCGAGTTGCTGTGCTGAAGTTGGTCTTCCTCTAGACTTGGGACAGTGTTCTCGGGGCATCTCTGGAGTTGCCTGAAGGAAGTCGAGCCACCGGTCGTGTTGAATGGGGAACGGGGAATGGCTCTGGAGTCAATGCAGGGGAATCGCGCCTCATCTCGAGTTGATTTGGGGCCCATGGAGCTGCTTTGTGTTGCTGGGGTGACCTCAGGGTCTGTCGAGACTTGTGACAGTGTTCTTGGGGACTGTCTCGAGATCCATTAAGCAAGTCGAAGCTCCTGACTTGTTTGAATGGGACCACGGAATAGCTCTGCATGCACTGCAGGGGATTGGGGTCTCATCTCGCCTCTAGGGGGAAGTCTCATGGTTTTTCTCGAGTTGCGGCGGGGACCTGGGGTATGTTCTCGACTTACGGCGGGGATGGCCCTTCAAAACACGAGTTTCTTCAGTGACGTCAGGACTCCTGTCTAGTAACGAGGGACACCTCAGGAATCTCTTCGAGGGTTGGCAGGGCAAAAGGGACGCTTCTCGACGTGAGGCAGGGCACCCAAGGACCCTTTCCAGCAGCCACAGGGATTTTGGGATTCCTATCAGTATTCAAGAAGAGTGAGGCATTGTCACCTTTTGAAGCAATGAACTTCACGTGCCTCTTGAGGTGTCAACGGGATGTGAGGCATTCCGTCAAAATGAGGCAGGGACCTAGGGCTTTCTCTAAGGTCTCCACAGGGGATTCAGACATCCCTTCATGTTGTGAGATGAAAGACGAGCCTGTATTCAAGCCACTGCAAGGAAATCCGGCCTCCTTTCAAGTTAGGGCTTCTCGCTGTATATTGCCCTTGAGGCAGCGAACTCGGGGTCCCTCCCACATACCTATTGCTGAGAGAAGCCTCCTCCTGAGGTGCGTCTGGAAAGTTGGCATACGTCTTGAGCCTAAGCCAGGGAATCAGCTCTCATCTCGAGACGATTTGGGGTACACAGAGCATTCCTCGAGTTGCTGTGCTGAAGTTGGTGTTCCTCTAGACTTGGGACAGTGTTCTTGGGGTATCTCTGGAGTTGCCTGAAGGAAGTCGAGCCACCGGTCGTGTTGAATGGGGAACGGGTAATGGCTCTGGAGTCAATGCAGGGGAATCGGGCCTCATCTCGAGTTGATTTGGGGCACATGGAGCTGCTTTGCGTTGCTGGGGTGACCTCAGCGTAGGTCAAGACTGGTGACAGTGTTCTTGGGGACTGTCTCGAGATCGATTAAGCAAGTCGAAGCTCCTGACTTGTTTGAATGGGACCACGGAATAGCTCTGCATGCACTGCAGGGGAATGGGGCCTCATCTCGATTCTAGGGGGAAGTCTCATGGTTTTTCTCGAGTTGCGGCGGGGACCTGGGGTATGTTCTCGACTTACGGCGGGGATGGCCCTTCAAAACACGAGTTTCTTCAGTGACGTCAGGACTCCTGTCTAGTAACGAGGGACACCTCAGGAATATCATCGAGGCTTGGCAGTGCAAATGGGACGCTTCTTGAGGTGAGGCAGGGCATCCAAGGACCCTTTCCAGTAGCCACAGGGATTTTGGGATTCCTATCAGAATTCAAGAGGAGTCAGGCATCGTCACATTTTGAAGCAATGAACTCCGCATGCCTCTCGAGGTGTCAACGGGATGTGAGGCATTCCGTCCAAATGAGGCAGGGACCTAGGGCTTTCTCTAAGGTCTCCACAGGGGATTCAGACATCCCTTCATGTTGTGAGAAGAAAGACGAGCCTGTATTCAAGCCACTGCAAGGAAATCCGGCCTCCATTCAAGTTAGGGCTTCTCGCTGTATATTGCCCTTGAGGCAGCAAACTCGGGGTCCCTCCCACATACCTATTGCTGAAAGAAGCCTCCTCCTGAGGTGCGTCTTGAAAGTTGGCATACGTCTTGAGCCTAAGCCAGGGAATCACCTCTCATCTCGAGACGATTTGGGGTACATGGAGCATTCCTCGAGTTGCCGTGCTGAAGTTGGTGTTCCTCTAGACTTGAGACAGTGTTCTCTGGGCATCTCTGGACTTGCCTGAAGGAAGTCGAGCCACCGGTCGTGTTGAATTGGGAACGGGGAATGGCTCTGGAGACAATGCAGGGGAATCGGGCCTCATCTCGAGTTGATTTGGGGCCCATGGAGCTGCTTTGCGTTGCTGGGGTGACCTCAGGGTCGTCGAGACTGGTGACAGTGTTCTTGGGGACTGTCTCGAGAACCATTAAGCAAGTCGAAGCTCCTGACTTGCTTGAATGGGACCACGGAATAGCTCTGCATGCACTGCAGGGGAATGGGGCCTCATCTCGCCTCTAAGGGGAAGTCTCATGGTTTTTCTCAAGTTGCGGCGGGGACCTGGGGTATGTTCTCGACTTACAGCGGGGATGGCCCTTCAAAACACGAGTTTCTTCAGTGACGTCAGGACTCCTGTCTAGTAACGAGGGACACCTCAGGAATCTCTTCGAGGCTTGGCAGGGCAAAAGGGACGCTTCTCGAGGTGAGGCAGGGCACCCAAGGACCCTTTCCAGTAGCCACAGGGATTTTGGGATTCCTATCAGTATTCAAGAGGAGTGAGGCATTGTCACCTTTTGAAGCAATGAACTTTGCGTGCCTCTTGAGGTGTCAACGGGATGTGAGGCATTCCGTCAAAATGAGGCAGGGACCTAGGGCTTTCTCTAAGGTCTCCACAGGGGATTCAGACATCCCTTCATGTTGTGAGATCAAAGACGAGCCTGTATTCAAGCCACTGCAAGGAAATCCGGCCTCCTTTCAAGTTAGGGCTTCTCGCTGTATATTGCCCTTGAGTCAGAGAACTCGGGGTCCCTCCCACATACTTATTGCTGAGAGAAGCCTCCTCCTGAGGTGCGTCTTGAAAGTTGGCATACGTCTTGAGCCTAAGCCAGGGAATCACCTCTCATCTCGAGACGATTTGGGGTACACGGAGCATTCCTCGAGTTGCCGTGCTGAAGTTGGTGTTCCTCTAGACTTGGGACAGTGTTCTCGGGGCATCTCTGGAGTTGCCTGAAGGAAGTCGAGCCACCGGTCGTGTTGAATGGGGAACGGGGAATGGCTCTGGAGTCAATGCAGGGGAATCGGGCCTCATCTCGAGTTGATTTGGGGTCCATGGAGCTGCTTTGCGTTGCTGGGGTGACGTCAGGGTCCGTCGAGACTGGTGACAGTGTTCTTGGGGACTGTCTCGAGAACCATTAAGCAAGTCGAAGCTCCTGACTTGCTTGAATGGGACCACGGAATAGCTCTGCATGCACTGCAGGGGAATGGGGCCTCATCTCGCCTCTTGGGGGAAGTCTCATGGTTTTTCTCGAGTTGCGGCGGGAACCTGGGGTATGTTCTCGACTTACGGCGGGGATGGCCCTTCAAAACACGAGTTTCTTCAGTGACGTCAGGACTCCTGTCTAGTAACGAGGGACACCTCTGGAATCTCTTCGAGGCTTGGCAGGGCAAAAGGGACGCTTCTCGAGGTGAGGCAGGGCACCCAAGGACCCTTTCCAGTAGCCACAGGGATTTTGGGATTCCTATCAGTATTCAAGATGAGTGAGGCATTGTCACCTTTTGAAGCAATGAACTTCGCGTGCCTCTTGAGGTGTCAACGGGATGTGAGGCATTCGGTCAAAATGAGGCAGGGACCTAGGGCTTTCTCTAAGGTCTCCACAGGGGATTCAGACATCCCTTCATGTTGTGAGATGAAAGACGAGCCTGTATTCAAGCCACTGCAAGGAAATCCGGCCTCCTTTCAAGTTAGGGCTTCTCGCTGTATATTGCCCTTGAGGCAGCGAACTCGGTGTCCCTCCCACATACCTATTGCTGAGAGAAGCCTCCTCCTGAGGTGCTTCTGGAAAGTTGGCATACGTCTTGAGCCTAAGTCAGGGAATCAGCTCTCATCTCGAGACGATTTGGGGTACACGGAGCATTCCTCGAGTTGCTGTGCTGAAGTTGGTGTTCCTCTAGACTTGGGACAGTGTTCTCGGGGTATCTCTGGAGTTGCCTGAAGGAAGTCGAGCCACCGGTCGTGTTGAATGGGGAACGGGGAATGGCTCTGGAGTCAATGCAGGGGAATCGGGCCTCATCTCGAGTTGATTTGGGGCACATGGAGCTGCTTTGCGTTGCTGGGGTGACCTCAGCGTCCGTCGAGACTGGTGACAGTGTTCTTGGGGACTGTCTCGAGATCCATTAAGCAAGTCGAAGCTCCTGACTTGTTTGAATGGGACCACGGAATAGCTCTGCATACACAGCAGGTGAATGGGGCCTCATCTCGCCTCTAGGGGGAAGTCTCATGGTTTTTCTCGAGTTGCGGCGGGGACCTGGGGTATGTTCTCGACTTACGGCGGGGATGGCCCTTCAAAACACGAGTTTCTTCAGTGACGTCAGGACTCCTGTCTAGTAACGAGGGACACCTCAGGAATCTCTTCGAGGCTTGGCAGGGCAAAAGGGACGCTTCTCGAGGTGAGGCAGGGCACCCAAGGACCCTTTCCAGTAGCCACAGGGATTTTGGGATTCCTATCAGTATTCAAGAGGAGTGAGGTATTGTCACCTTTTTAAGCAATGAACTTCGCGTGCCTCTTGAGGTGTCAACGGGATGTGAGGCATTCCGTCAAAATGAGGCAGGGACCTAGGGCTTTCTCTAAGGTCTCCACAGGGGATTCAGACATCCGTTCATGTTGGAGATCAAAGACGAGCCTGTATTCAAGCCACTGAAAGGAAATCCGGCCTCCTTTCAAGTTAGGGCTTCTCGCTGTACATTGCCTTTGAGGCAGCGAACTCGGTGTCCCTCCCACATACCTATTGCTGAAAGAAGCCTCCTCCTGAGGTGCGTCTTGAAAGTTGGCATACGTCTTGAGCCTAAGCCAGGGAATCACCTCTCATCTCGAGACGATTTGTGGTACATGGAGCATTCCTCGAGTTGCCGTGCTGAAGTTGGTGTTCCTCTAGACTTGAGACAGTGTTCTCTGGGCATCTCTGGACTTGCCTGAAGGAAGTCGAGCCACCGGTCGTGTTGAATTCGGAACGGGGAATGGCTCTGGAGACAATGCAGGGGAATCGGGCCTCATCTCGAGTTGATTTGGGGCCCATGGAGCTGCTTTGCGTTGCTCGGGTGACCTCAGGGTCGTCGAGACTGGTGACAGTGTTCTTGGGGACTGTCTCGAGAACCATTAAGCAAGTCGAAGCTCCTGACTTGCTTGAATGGGACCACGGAATAGCTCTGCATGCACTGCAGGGGAATGGGGCCTCATCTCGCCTCTAAGGGGAAGTCTCATGGTTTTTCTCAAGTTGCGGCGGGGACCTGGGGTATGTTCTCGACTTACAGCGGGGATGGCCCTTCAAAACACGAGTTTCTTCAGTGACGTCAGGACTCCTGTCTAGTAACGAGGGACACCTCAGGAATCTCTTCGAGGCTTGGCAGGGCAAAAGGGACGCTTCTCGAGGTGAGGCAGGGCACCCAAGGACCCTTTCCAGTAGCCACAGGGATTTTGGGATTCCTATCAGTATTCAAGAGGAGTGAGGCATTGTCACCTTTTGAAGCAATGAACTTTGCGTGCCTCTTGAGGTGTCAACGGGATGTGAGGCATTCCGTCAAAATGAGGCAGGGACCTAGGGCTTTCTCTAAGGTCTCCACAGGGGATTCAGACATCCCTTCATGTTGTGAGATCAAAGACGAGCCTGTATTCAAGCCACTGCAAGGAAATCCGGCCTCCTTTCAAGTTAGGGCTTCTCGCTGTATATTGCCCTTGAGTCAGAGAACTCGGGGTCCCTCCCACATACTTATTGCTGAGAGAAGCCTCCTCCTGAGGTGCGTCTTGAAAGTTGGCATACGTCTTGAGCCTAAGCCAGGGAATCACCTCTCATCTCGAGACGATTTGGGGTACACGGAGCATTCCTCGAGTTGCCGTGCTGAAGTTGGTGTTCCTCTAGACTTGGGACAGTGTTCTCGGGGCATCTCTGGAGTTGCCTGAAGGAAGTCGAGCCACCGGTCGTGTTGAATGGGGAACGGGGAATGGCTCTGGAGTCAATGCAGGGGAATCGGGCCTCATCTCGAGTTGATTTGGGGTCCATGGAGCTGCTTTGCGTTGGTGGGGTGACGTCAGGGTCCGTCGAGACTGGTGACAGTGTTCTTGGGGACTGTCTCGAGAACCATTAAGCAAGTCGAAGCTCCTGACTTGCTTGAATGGGACCACGGAATAGCTCTGCATGCACTGCAGGGGAATGGGGCCTCATCTCGCCTCTTGGGGGAAGTCTCATGGTTTTTCTCGAGTTGCGGCGGGAACCTGGGGTATGTTCTCGACTTACGGCGGGGATGGCCCTTCAAAACACGAGTTTCTTCAGTGACGTCAGGACTCCTGTCTAGTAACGAGGGACACCTCTGGAATCTCTTCGAGGCTTGGCAGGGCAAAAGGGACGCTTCTCGAGGTGAGGCAGGGCACCCAAGGACCCTTTCCAGTAGCCACAGGGATTTTGGGATTCCTATCAGTATTCAAGATGAGTGAGGCATTGTCACCTTTTGAAGCAATGAACTTCGCGTGCCTCTTGAGGTGTCAACGGGATGTGAGGCATTCGGTCAAAATGAGGCAGGGACCTAGGGCTTTCTCTAAGGTCTCCACAGGGGATTCAGACATCCCTTCATGTTGTGAGATGAAAGACGAGCCTGTATTCAAGCCACTGCAAGGAAATCCGGCCTCCTTTCAAGTTAGGGCTTCTCGCTGTATATTGCCCTTGAGGCAGCGAACTCGGTGTCCCTCCCACATACCTATTGCTGAGAGAAGCCTCCTCCTGAGGTGCTTCTGGAAAGTTGGCATACGTCTTGAGCCTAAGTCAGGGAATCAGCTCTCATCTCGAGACGATTTGGGGTACACGGAGCATTCCTCGAGTTGCTGTGCTGAAGTTGGTGTTCCTCTAGACTTGGGACAGTGTTCTCGGGGTATCTCTGAAGTTGCCTGAAGGAAGTCGAGCCACCGGTCGTGTTGAATGGGGAACGGGGAATGGCTCTGGAGTCAATGCAGGGGAATCGGGCCTCATCTCGAGTTGATTTGGGGCACATGGAGCTGCTTTGCGTTGCTGGGGTGACCTCAGCGTCCGTCGAGACTGGTGACAGTGTTCTTGGGGACTGTCTCGAGATCCATTAAGCAAGTCGAAGCTCCTGACTTGTTTGAATGGGACCACGGAATAGCTCTGCATACACAGCAGGTGAATGGGGCCTCATCTCGCCTCTAGGGGGAAGTCTCATGGTTTTTCTCGAGTTGCGGCGGGGACCTGGGGTATGTTCTCGACTTACGGCGGGGATGGCCCTTCAAAACACGAGTTTCTTCAGTGACGTCAGGACTCCTGTCTAGTAACGAGGGACACCTCAGGAATCTCTTCGAGGCTTGGCAGGGCAAAAGGGACGCTTCTCGAGGTGAGGCAGGGCACCCAAGGACCCTTTCCAGTAGCCACAGGGATTTTGGGATTCCTATCAGTATTCAAGAGGAGTGAGGTATTGTCACCTTTTTAAGCAATGAACTTCGCGTGCCTCTTGAGGTGTCAACGGGATGTGAGGCATTCCGTCAAAATGAGGCAGGGACCTAGGGCTTTCTCTAAGGTCTCCACAGGGGATTCAGACATCCGTTCATGTTGGAGATCAAAGACGAGCCTGTATTCAAGCCACTGAAAGGAAATCCGGCCTCCTTTCAAGTTAGGGCTTCTCGCTGTACATTGCCTTTGAGGCAGCGAACTCGGTGTCCCTCCCACATAACTATTGCTGAGAGAAGCCTCCTCCTGAGGTGCGTCTGGAAAGTTGGCATACGTCTTGAGCCTAAGCCAGGGAATCAGCTCTAATCTTGAGACGATTTGGGATACACGGAGCATTCCTCGAGTTGCTGTGCTGAAGTTGGTGTTTCTCTAGACTTCGGACAGTGTTCTCGGGGTATCTCTGGAGTTGCCTGAAGGAAGTCGAGCCACAGTTCGTGTTGAATGGGGAACGCGGAATGGCTCTGGAGTCAATGCAGGGGAATCGGGCCTCATCTCGAGTTGATTTGGGGCACATGGAGCTGCTTTGCGTTGCTGGGGTGACCTCAGCGTCCGTCGAGACTGGTGACAGTGTTCTTGGGGACTGTCTCGAGATCCATTAAGCAAGTCGAAGCTCCTGACTTGTTTGAATGGGACCACGGAATAGCTCTGCATGCACTGCAGGGGAATGGGGTCTCATCTCGCCTCTAGAGGGAAGTCTCATGGTTTTTCTCGAGTTGCGGCGGGGACCTGGGATATGTTCTCGACTTACGGCGGGGATGGCCCTTCAAAACACGAGTTTCTTCAGTGACGTCAGGACTCCTGTCTAGTAACGAGGGACACTTAAGGAATCTCTTCGAGGCTTGGCAGGGCAAAAGGGACGCTTCTCGAGGTGAGGCAGGGCACCCAAGGACCCTTTCCAGTAGCCACAGGGATTTTGGGATTCCTATCAGTATTCAAGAGGAGTCAGGCATCGTCACGTTTTGAAGCAATGAACTCCGCGTGCCTCTCGAGGTGTCAACGGGATGTGAGGCATTCCGTCCAAATGAGGCAGGGACCTAGGGCTTTCTCTAAGGTCTCCACAGGGGATTCAGACATCCCTTCATGTTGTGAGATCAAAGACGAGCCTGTATTCAAGCCACTGCAAGGAAATCCGGCCTGCTTTCAAGTTAGGGCTTCTCGCTGTATATTGCCCTTGAGGCAGCGAACTCGGGGTCCCTCCCACATACCTATTGCTGAGAGAAGCCTCCTCCTGAGGTGCGTCTGGAAAGTTGGCATATGTCTTGAGCCTAAGCCAGGGAATCACCTCTCATCTCGAGACGATTTGGGGTACACGGATCATTCCTCGAGTTGCCGTGCTGAAGTTGGTGTTCCTCTAGACTTGGGACAGTGTTCTCGGGGCATCTCTGGAGTTGCCTGAAGGAAGTCGAGCCACCGGTCGTGTTGAATGGGGAACGGGGAATGGCTCTGGAGTCAATGCAGGGGAATCGCGCCTCATCTCGAGTTGATTTGGGGCCCATGGAGCTGCTTTGTGTTGCTGGGGTGACCTCAGGGTCTGTCGAGACTTGTGACAGTGTTCTTGGGGACTGTCTCGAGATCGATTAAGCAAGTCGAAGCTCCTGACTTGTTTGAATGGGACCAAGGAATAGCTCTGCATGCACTGCAGGGGAATGGGGCCTCATCTCGCCTCTAGGGGGAAGTCTCATGATTTTTCTCGAGTTGCGGCGGGGACCTGGGGTATGTTCTCGACTTACGGCGGGGATGGCCCTTCAAAACACGAGTTTCTTCAGTGACGTCAGGACTCCTGTCTAGTAACGAGGGACACCTCAGGAATATCCTCGAGGCTTGGCAGTGCAAATGGGACTCTTCTTGAGGTGAGGCAGGGCACCCAAGGACCCTTTCCAGTAGCCACAGGGATTTTGGGATTCCTATCAGAATTCAAGAGGAGTCAGGCATCGTCACCTTTTGAAGCAATGAACTCCGCATGCCTCTCGAGGTGTCAACGGGATGTGAGGCATTCCGTCCAAATGAGGCAGGGACCTAGGGCTTTCTCTAAGGTCTCCACAGGGGATTCAGACATCCCTTCATGTTGTGAGAAGAAAGACGAGCCTGTATTCAAGCCACTGCAAGGAAATCCGGCCGCCATTCAAGTTAGGGCTTCTCGCTGTATATTGCCCTTGAGGCAGCGAACTCGGGGTCCCTCCCACATACCTATTGCTGAAAGAAGCCTCCTCCTGAGGTGCGTCTTGAAAGTTGGCATACGTCTTGAGCCTAAGCCAGGGAATCACCTCTCATCTCGAGACGATTTGTGGTACATAGAGCATTCCTCGAGTTGCCGTGCTGAAGTTGGTGTTCCTCTAGACTTGGGACAGTGTTCTCGGGGCATCTCTGGAGTTGCTTGAAGGAAGTCGAGCCACCGGTCGTGTTGAATTGGGAACGGGGAATGGCTCTGGAGTCAATGCAGGGGAATCGGGCCTCATCGCGAGTTGATTTGGGGCCCATGGAGCTGCTTTGCGTTGCTGGGGTGACCTCAGGGTCGTCGAGACTGGTGACAGTGTTCTTGGGGACTGTCTCGAGAACCATTAAGCAAGTCGAAGCTCCTGACTTGCTTGAATGGGACCACGGAATAGCTCTGCATGCACTGCAGGGGAATGGGGCCTCATCTCGCCTCTAGGGGGAAGTCTCATGGTTTTTCTCGAGTTGCGGCGGGGACCTGGGGTATGTTCTCGACTTACAGCGGGGATGGCCCTTCAAAACACGAGTTTCTTCAGTGGCGTCAGGACTCCTGTCTAGTAACGAGGGACACCTCAGGAATCTCTTCGAGGCTTGGCAGGGCAAAAAGGACGCTTCTCGAGGTGAGGCCGGGCACCCAAGGACCCTTTCCAGTAGCCACAAGGATTTTGGGATTCCTATCAGTATTCAAGAGGAGTCTGGCATCGTCACCTTTTGAAGCAATGAACTCAGCGTGCCTCTCGAGGTGTCAACGGGATGTGAGGCATTACGTCCAAATGAGGCAGGGACCTAGGGCTTTCTCTAAGGTCTCCACAGGGGATTCAGACATCCCTTCATGTTGTGAGATCAAAGACGAACCTGTATTCAAGCCACTGCAAGGAAATCCGGCCTCCTTTCAAGTTAGGGCTTCTCGCTGTATATTGCCCTTGAGGCAGCGAACTCGGGGTCCCTCCCACATACCTATTGCTGAGAGAAGCCTCCTCCTGTGGTGCGTCTTGAAAGTTGGCATACGTCTTGAGCCTAAGCCAGGGAATCAGCTCTCATCTCGAGACGATTTGAGGTACACGGAGCATTCCTCGAGTTGCCGTGCTGAAGTTGGTGTTCCTCTAGACTTGGGACAGTGTTCTCGGGGCATCTCTGGAGTTGCCTGAAGGAAGTCGAGCCACCGGTCGTGTTGAATGGGGAACGGGGAATGGCTCTGGAGTCAATGCAGGGGAATCGGGCCTCATCTCGAGTTGATTTGGGGCACATGGAGCTGCTTTGCGTTGCTGGGGTGACCTCAGGGTCCGTCGAGACTGGTGACAGTGTTCTTGAGGACTGTCTTGAGATCCATTAAGCAAGTCGAAGCTCCTGACTTGTTTGAATGGGACCACGGAATAGCTCTGCATGCACTGCAGGGGAATGGGGTCTCATCTCGCCTCTAGGGGGAAGTCTCATGGTTTTTCTCGAGTTGCGGCGGGGACCTGGGGTATGTTCTCGACTTACGGCGGGGATGGCCCTTCAAAACACGAGTTTCTTCAGTGACGTCAGGACTCCTGTCTAGTAACGCGGGACACCTCAGGAATCTCTTCGAGGCTTGGCAGGGCAAAAGGGACGCTTCCCGAGGTGTGGCAGGCCACCCAAGGACCCTTTCCAGTAGCCACAGGGATTTTGGTATTCCTATCAGTATTCAAGAGGAGTGAGGCATTGTCACCTTTTGAAGCAATGAACTTCGCGTGCCTCTTGAGGTGTCAACGGGATGTGAGGCATTCCGTCAAAATGAGGCAGGGACCTAGGGCTTTCTCTAAGGTCTCCACAGGGGATTCAGACATCCCTTCATGTTGTGAGATGAAAGACGAGCCTGTATTCAAGCCACTGCAAGGAAATCCGGCCTCCTTTCAAGTTAGGGCTTCTCGCTGTATATTGCCCTTGAGGCAGCGAACTCGGGGTCCCTCCCACATACCTATTGCTGAGAGAAGCCTCCTCCTGAGGTGCGTCTGGAAAGTTGGCATACGTCTTGAGCCTAAGCCAGGGAATCAGCTCTCATCTCGAGACGATTTGGGGTACACGGAGCATTCCTCGAGTTGCTGTGCTGAAGTTCGTGTTCCTCTAGACTTGGGACAGTGTTCTCGGGGTATCTCTGGAGTTGCCTGAAGGAAGTCGAGCCACCGGTCGTGTTGAATGGGGAACGGGTAATGGCTCTGGAGTCAATGCAGGGGAATCGGGCCTCATCTCGAGTTGATTTGGGGCACATGGAGCTGCTTTGCGTTGCTGGGGTGACCTCAGCGTCGGTCGAGACTGGTGACAGTGTTCTTGGGGACTGTCTCGAGATCGATTAAGCAAGTCGAAGCTCCTGACTTGTTTGAATGGGACCACGGAATAGCTCTGCATGCACTGCAGGGGAATGGGGCCTCATCTCGCCTCTAGGGGGAAGTCTCATGATTTTTCTCGAGTTGCGGCGGGGACCTGGGGTATGTTCTCGACTTACGGCGGGGATGGCCCTTCAAAACACGAGTTTCTTCAGTGACGTCAGGACTCCTGTCTAGTAACGAGGGACACCTCAGGAATATCATCGAGGCTTGGCAGTGCAAATGGGACGCTTCTTGAGGTGAGGCAGGGCACCCAAGGACCCTTTCCAGTAGCCACAGGGATTTTGGGATTCCTATCAGAATTCAAGAGGAGTCAGGCATCGTCACCTTTTGAAGCAATGAACTCCGCGTGCCTCTCGAGGTGTCAACGGGATGTGAGGCATTCCGTCCAAATGAGGCAGGGACCTAGGGCTTTCTCTAAGGTCTCCACAGGGGATTCAGACATCCCTTCATGTTGTGAGAAGAAAGACGAGCCTGTATTCAAGCCACTGCAAGGAAATCCGGCCTCCTTTCAAGTTAGGGCTTCTCGCTGTATATTGCCCTTGAGGCAGCGAACTCGGGGTCCCTCCCACATACCTATTGCTGAAAGAAGCCTCCTCCTGAGGTGCGTCTTGAAAGTTGGCATACGTCTTGAGCCTAAGCCAGGGAATCACCTCTCATCTCGAGACGATTTGTGGTACATGGAGCATTCCTCGAGTTGCCGTGCTGAAGTTGGTGTTCCTCTAGACTTGAGACAGTGTTCTCGGGGCATCTCTGGACTTGCCTGAAGGAAGTCGAGCCACCGGTCGTGTTGAATTGGGAACGGGGAATGGCTCTGGAGTCAATGCAGGGGAATCGGGCCTCATCGCGAGTTGATTTGGGGCCCATGGAGCTGCTTTGCGTTGCTGGGGTGACCTCAGGGTCGTCGAGACTGGTGACAGTGTTCTTGGGGAATGTCTCGAGAACCATTAAGCAAGTCGAAGCTCCTGACTTGCTTGAATGGGACCACGGAATAGCTCTGCATGCACTGCAGGGGAATGGGGCCTCATCTCGCCTCTAGGGGGAAGTCTCATGGTTTTTCTCGAGTTGCGGCGGGGACCTGGGGTATGTTCTCGACTTACAGCGGGGATGGCCCTTCAAAACACGAGTTTCTTCAGTGACGTCAGGACTCCTGTCTAGTAACGAGGGACACCTCAGGAATCTCTTCGAGGCTTGGCAGGGCCAAAGGGACGCTTCTCGAGGTGAGGCAGGGCACCCAAGGACCCTTTCCAGTAGCCACAGGGATTTTGGGATTCCTATCAGTATTCAAGAGGAGTGAGGCATTGTCACCTTTTGAAGCAATGAACTTTGCGTGCCTCTTGAGGTGTCAACGGGATGTGAGGCATTCCGTCAAAATGAGGCAGGGACCTAGGGCTTTCTCTAAGGTCTCCACAGGGGATTCAGACATCCCTTCATGTTGTGAGATCAAAGACGAGCCTGTATTCAAGCCACTGCAAGGAAATCCGGCCTCCTTTCAAGTTAGGGCTTCTCGCTGTATATTGCCCTTGAGGCAGAGAACTCGGGGTCCCTCCCACATACTTATTGCTGAGAGAAGCCTCCTCCTGAGGTGCGTCTTGAAAGTTGGCATACGTCTTGAGCCTAAGCCAGGGAATCACCTCTCATCTCGAGACGACTTGGGGTACACGGAGCATTCCTCGAGTTGCCGTGCTGAAGTTGGTGTTCCTCTAGACTTGGGACAGTGTTCTCGGGGCATCTCTGGAGTTGCCTGAAGGAAGTCGAGCCACCGGTCGTGTTGAATGGGGAACGGGGAATGGCTCTGGAGTCAATGCAGGGGAATCGGGCCTCATCTCGAGTTGATTTAGGGCCCATGGAGCTGCTTTGCGTTGCTGGGGTGACCTCAGGGTCCGTCGAGACTGGTGACAGTGTTCTTGGGGACTGTCTCGAGAACCATTAAGCAAGTCGAAGCTCCTGACTTGCTTGAATGGGACCACGGAATAGCTCTGCATGCACTGCAGGGGAATGGGGCCTCATCTCACCTCTAGGGGGAAGTCTCATGGTTTTTCTCGAGTTGCGGCGGGGACCTGGGGTATGTTCTCGACTTACGGCGGGGATGGCCCTTCAAAACACGAGTTTCTTCAGTGACATCAGGACTCCTGTCTAGTAACGAGGGACACCTCAGGAATCTCTTCGAGGCTTGTCAGGGCAAAAGGGACGCTTCTCGAGGTGAGGCAGGGCACCCAAGGACCCTTTCCAGTAGCCACAGGGATTTTGGGATTCCTATCAGTATTCAAGAGGAGTGAGGCATTGTCACCTTTTGAAGCAATGAACTTTGCGTGCCTCTTGAGGTGTCAACGGGATGTGAGGCATTCCGTCAAAATGAGGCAGGGACCTAGGGCTTTCTCTAAGGTCTCCACAGGGGATTCAGACATCCCTTCCTGTTGTGAGATCAAAGACGAGCCTGTATTCAAGCCACTGCAAGGAAATCCGGCCTCCTTTCAAGTTAGGGCTTCTCGCGGTATATTGCCCTTGAGGCAGAGAACTCGGGGTCCCTCCCACATACTTATTGCTGAGAGAAGCTTCCTCCTGAGGTGCGTCTTGAAAGTTGGCATACGTCTTGAGCCTAAGCCAGGGAATCACCTCTCATCTCGAGACGATTTGGGGTACACGGAGCATTCCTCGAGTTGCCGTGCTGAAGTTGGTGTTCCTCTAGACTTGGGACAGTGTTCTCGGGGCATCTATGGAGTTGCCTGAAGGAAGTCGAGCCACCGGTCGTGTTGAGTGGGGAACGGGGAATGGCTCTGGAGTCAATGCAGGGGAATCGGGCCTCATCTCGAGTTGATTTGGGGCCCATGGAGCTGCTTTGCGTTGCTGTGGTGACGTCAGGGTCCGTCGAGACTGGTGACAGTGTTCTTGGGGACTGTCTCGAGAACAATTAAGCAAGTCGAAGCTCCTGACTTGCTTGAATGGGACCACGGAATAGCTCTGCATGCACTGCAGGGGAATGGGACCTCATCTCGCCTCTAGGGGGAAGTCTCATGGTTTTTCTCGAGTTGCGGCGGGGACCTGGGGTATGTTCTCGACTTACTGCGGGGATGGCCCTTCAAAACACGAGTTTCTTCAGTGACGTCAGGACTCCTGTCTAGTAACGAGGGACACCTCAGGAATCTCTTCGAGGCTTGGCAGGGCAAAAGGGACGCTTCTCGAGGTGAGGCAGGGCACCCAAGGACCCTTTCCAGTAGCCACAGGGATTTTGGGATTCCTATCAGTATTCAAGAGGAGTGAGGCATTGTCACCTTTTGAAGCAATGAACTTCGCGTGCCTCTTGAGGTGTCAACGGGATGTGAGGCATTCCGTCAAAATGAGGCAGGGACCTAGGGCTTTCTCTAAGGTCTCCACAGGGGATTCAGACATCCGTTCATGTCGTGAGATGAAAGACGAGCCTGTATTCAAGCCACTGCAAGGAAATCTGGCCTCCTTCAAGTTAGGGCTTCTCGCTGTATATTGCCTTTGAGGCAGCGAACTAGGGGTCCCTCCCACATACCTATTGCTGAGAGAAGCCTCCTCCTGAGGTGCGTCTTGAAAGTTGGCATACGTCTTGAGCCTAAGCCAGGGAATCACCTCTCATCTCGAGACGATTTGGGGTACACGGAGCATTCCTCGAGTTGCCGTGCTGAAGTTGGTGTTCCTCTAGACTTGGGACAGTGTTCTCGGGGCATCTCTGGAGTTGCCTGAAGGAAGTCGAGCCACCGGTCGTGTTGAATGGGGAACGGGGAATGGCTCTGGAGTCAATGCAGGGGAATCGGGCCTCATCTCGAGTTGATTTGGGGCACATGGAGCTGCTTTGCGTTGCTAGGGTGACCTCAGCGTCCGTCGAGACTGGTGACAGTGTTCTTGGGGACTGTCTCGAGATCCATTAAGCAAGTCGAAGCTCCTGACTTGCTTGAATGGGACCACGGAATAGCTCTGCATGCACTGCAGGGGAATGGGGTCTCATCTCGCCTCTAGGGGGAAGTCTCATGGTTTTTCTCGAGTTGCGGCGGGGACCTGGGGTATGTTCTCGACTTACGGCGGGGATGGCCCTTCAAAACACGAGTTTCTTCAGTGACGTCAGGAATCCTGTCTAGTAACGAGGGACACCTCAGGAATCTCTTCCAGGCTTGGCAGGGCAAAAGGGACGCTTCTCGAGGTGAGGCAGGGCACCCAAGGACCCTTTCCAGTAGCCACGGGGATTTTGGGATTCCTATCAGTATTCAAGAGGAGTCAGGCATCTTCACCTTTTGAAGCAATGAACTCTGCGTGCCTCTCGAGGTGTCAACGGGATGTGAGGCATTCCGTCCAAATGAGGCAGGGACCTAGGGCTTTCTCTAAGGTCTACACAGGGGATTCAGACATCCCTTCATGTTGTGAGATCAAAGACGAGCCTGTATTCAAGCCACTGCAAGGAAATCCGGCCTGCTTTCAAGTTAGGGCTTCTCGCTTTATATTGCCCTTGAGGAAGCGAACTCGGGGTCCCTCCCACATACCTATTGCTGAGAAAAGCCTCCTCCTGAGGTGCGTCTTGAAAGTTGGCATACGTCTTGAGCCTAAGCCAGGGAATCAGCTCTCATCTCGAGAAGATTTGGGGTACACGGAGCATTCCTCGAGTTGCTGTGCTGAAGTTGGTGTTCCTCTAGACTTGGGTCAGTGTTCTCGGGGTATCTCTGGAGTTGCCTGAAGGAAGTCGAGCCACCGGTCGTGTTGAATGGGGAACAGGGAATGGCTCTGGAGTCAATGCAGGGGAATCGGGCCTCATCTCGAGTTGATTTGGGGCACATGGAGCTGCTATGCGTTGCTGGGGTGACCTCAGCGTCCGTCGAGACTGGTGACAGTGTTCTTGGGGACTGTCTCGAGATCCATTAAGCAAGTCGAAGCTCCTGACTTGTTTGAATGGGACCACGGAATAGCTCTGCATGCACTGCAGGGGAATGGGGCCTCATCTCGCCTCTTGGAGGAAGTCTCATGGTTTTTCTCGAGTTGCGGCGGGGACCTGGGGTATGTTCTCGACTTACGGCGGGGATTGCCCTTCAAAACCCGAGTTTCTTCAGTGACGTCAGGACTCCTGTCTAGTAACGAGGGACACCTCAGGAATCACATCGAGGCTTGGCAGTGCAAAAGGGACGCTTCTTGAGGTGAGGCAGGGCACCCAAGGACCCTTTCCAGTAGCCACAGGGATTTTGGGATTCCTATCAGAATTCAAGAGGAATCAGGCATCTTCACCTTTTGAAGCAATGAACTCCGCGTGCCTCTCGAGGTGTCAACGTGATGTGAGGCATTCCGTCAAAATGAGGCAGGGATCTAGGGCTTTCTCTAAGGTCTCCACAGGGGATTCAGACATCCCTTCATGTTGTGAGATCAAAGACGAGCCTGTATTCAAGCCACTGCAAGGAAATCCGGCCTCCTTTCAAGTTAGGGCTTCTCGCTGTATATTGCCCTTGAGGCAGCGAACTGGGGGTCCCTTCCACATACCTATTGCTGAGAGAAGCCTCCTCCTGAGGTGCGTCTTGAAAGTTGGCATACGTCTTGAGCCTAAGCCAGGGAATCACCTCTCATCTCGAGACGATTTGGGGTACACGGAGCATTCCTCGAGTTGCCGTGCTGAAGTTGGTGTTCCTCTAGACTTGGGACAGTGTTCTCGGGGCATCTCTGGAGTTGCCTGAAGGAAGTCGAGCCACCGGTCGTGTTGAATGGGGAACGGGGAATGGCTCTGGAGTCAATGCAGGGGAATCGGGCCTCATCTCGAGTTGATTTGGGGCCCATGGAGCTGCTTTGCTTTGCTGGGGTGACCTCAGGGTCCGTCGAGACTGGTGACAGTGTTCTTGGGGACTGTCTCGAGAACCATTAAGCAAGTCGAAGCTCCTGACTTGCTTGAATTGGACCACGGAATAGCTCTGCATGCACTGCAGGGGAATGGGGCCTCATCTCGCCTCTAGGGGGGAGTCTCATGGTTTTTCTCGAGTTGCGGCTGGGACCTGGGGTATGTTCTCGACTTACGGCGCGGATGGCCCTTCAAAACACGAGTTTCTTCAGTGACGTCAGGACTCCTGTCTAGTAACGAGGGACACCTCAGGAATCTCTTCGAGGCTTGGCAGGGCAAAAGGGACGATTCTCGATGTGAGGCAGGGCACCCAAGGACCCTTTCCAGTAGCCAAAGGGATTTTGGGATTCCTATCAGTATTCAAGAGGAGTGAGGCATTGTCACCTTTTGAAGAAATGAACTTCGCGTGCCTCTTAAGGTGTTAACGGGATGTGAGGCATTCCGTCAAAATGAGGCAGGGACCTAGGGCTTTCTCTAAGGTCTCCACAGGGGATTCAGACATCCCTTCATGTTGTGAGATGAAAGACGAGCCTGTATTCAAGCCACTGCAAGGAAATCCGGCCTCCTTTCAAGTTAGGGCTTCTCGCTGTATATTGCCCTTGAGGCAGCGAACTCGGGGTCCCTCCCACATACCTATTGCTGAGAGAAGCCTACTCCTGAGGTGCGTCTGGAAAGTTGGCATACGTCTTGAGCCTAAGCCAGGGAATCAGCTCTCATCTCGAGACGATTTGGGGTACACGGAGCATTCCTCGAGTTGCTGTGCTGAAGTTGGTGTTCATCTAGACTTGGGACAATGTTCTTGGAGTATCTCTGGAGTTGCCTGAAGTTAGTCGAGCCACCGGTCGTGTTGAATGGGGAACGGGGAATGGCTCTGGAGTCAATGCAGGGGAATCGGGCCTCATCTCGAGTTGATTTGGGGCCCATGGAGCTGCTTTGCTTTGCTGGGGTGACCTCAGGGTCCGTCGAGACTGGTGACAGTGTTCTTGGGGACTGTCTCGAGAACCATTAAGCAAGTCGAAGCTCCTGACTTGCTTGAATTGGACCACGGAATAGCTCTGCATGCACTGCAGGGGAATGGGGCCTCATCTCGCCTCTAGGGGGAAGTCTCATGGTTTTTCTCGAGTTGCGGCGGGGACCTGGGGTATGTTCTCGACTTACGGCGCGGATGGCCCTTCAAAACACGAGTTTCTTCAGTGACGTCAGGACTCCTGTCTAGTAACGAGGGACACCTCAGGAATCTCTTCGAGGCTTGGCAGGGCAAAAGGGACGATTCTCGATGTGAGGCAGGGCACCCAAGGACCCTTTCCAGTAGCCAAAGGGATTTTGGGATTCCTATCAGTATTCAAGAGGAGTGAGGCATTGTCACCTTTTGAAGCAATGAACTTCGCGTGCCTCTTAAGGTGTTAACGGGATGTGAGGCATTCCGTCAAAATGAGGCAGGGACCTAGGGCTTTCTCTAAGGTCTCCACAGGGGATTCAGACATCCCTTCATGTTGTGAGATGAAAGACGAGCCTGTATTCAAGCCACTGCAAGGAAATCCGGCCTCCTTTCAAGTTAGGGCTTCTCGCTGTATATTGCCCTTGAGGCAGCGAACTCGGGGTCCCTCCCACATACCTATTGCTGAGAGAAGCCTACTCCTGAGGTGCGTCTGGAAAGTTGGCATACGTCTTGAGCCTAAGCCAGGGAATCAGCTCTCATCTCGAGACGATTTGGGGTACACGGAGCATTCCTCGAGTTGCTGTGCTGAAGTTGGTGTTCCTCTAGACTTGGGACAATGTTCTTGGAGTATCTCTGGAGTTGCCTGAAGTTAGTCGAGCCACCGGTCGTGTTGAATGGGGAACGGGGAATGGCTCTGGAGTCAATGCAGGGGAATCGGGCCTCATCTCGAGTTGATTTGGGGCACATGGAGCTGCTTTGCGTTGCTGGGGTGACCTCAGCGTCCGTCGAGACTGGTGACAGTGTTCTTGGGGACTGTCTCGAGATCCATTAAACAAGTCGAAGCTCCTGACTTGTTTGAATGGGCCACGGAATAGCTCTGCATGCACTGCAGGGGAATGGGGCCTCATCTCGCCTCTAGGGGGAAGTCTCATGGTTTTTCTCGAGTTGCGGCGGGGACCTGGGGTATGTTCTCGACTTACGGCGGGGATGGCCCTTCAAAACACGAGTTTCTTCAGTGACGTCAGGACTCCTGTCTAGTAACGAGGGACACCTCAGGAATCTCTTCGAGGCTTGGCAGGGCAAAAGGGACGCTTCTCGAGGTGAGGCAGGGCACCCAAGGACCCTTTCCAGTAGCCACAGGGATTTTAGGTTTCCTATCAGTATTCAAGTGGAGTGAGGCATTGTCACCTTTTGAAGCAATGAACTTCGCGTGCCTCTTGAGGTGTCAACGGGATGTGAGGCATTCCGTCAAAATGAGGCAGATAACTAGGGCTTTCTCTAACGTCTCCACAGGGAATTCAGACATCCCTTCATGTTGTGAGATGAAAGACGAGCCTGTATTCAAGCCACTGCAAGGAAATCCGGCCTCCATTCAAGTTAGGGCTTCTCGCTGTATATTGCCCTTGAGGCAGCGAACTCGGGGTCCCTCCCACATACCTATTGCTGAGAGAAGCCTACTCCTGAGGTGCGTCTGGAAAGTTGGCATACGTCTTGAGCCTAAGCCAAGGAATCAGCTCTCATCTCGAGACGATTTGGGGTACACGGAGCATTCCTCGAGTTGCTGTGCTGAAGTTGGTGTTCCTCTAGACTTGGGACAGTGTTCTCGGGGCATCTCTGGAGTTGCCTGAAGGAAGTCGAGCCACCGGTCGTGTTGAATGGGGAACCGGTAATGGCTCTGGAGTCAATGCAGGGGAATCGGGCCTCATCTCGAGTTGATTTGGGGCCCATGGAGCTGCTTTGCGTTGCTGGGGTGACGTCAGGGTCCGTCGAGACTGGTGACAGTGTTCTTGGGGACTGTCTCGAGAACCATTAAGCAAGTCGAAGCTCCTGACTTGCTTGAATGGGACCACGGAATAGCTCTGCATGCACTGCAGGGAATGGGGCCTCATCTCGCCTCTAGGGGGAAGTCTCATGGTTTTGCTCGAGTTGCGGCGGGAACCTGGGGTATGTTCTCGACTTACGGCGGGGATGGCCCTTCAAAACACGAGTTTCTTCAGTGACGTCAGGACTCCTGTCTAGTAACGAGGGACACCTCTGGAATCTCTTCGAGGCTTGTCAGGGCAAAAGGAACGCTTCTCGACGTGAGGCAGGGCACCCAAGGACCCTTTCCAGTAGCCACAGGGATTTTGGGATTCCTATCAGTATTCAAGAGGAGTGAGGCATTGTCACCTTTTGAAGCAATGAACTTCGCGTGCCTCTTGAGGTGTCAACGGGATGTGATGCATTCCGTCAAAATGAGGCAGGGACCTAGGGCTTTCTCTAAGGTCTCCACAGGGGATTCACACATCCCTTCATGTTGTGAGATGAAAGACGAGCCTGTATTCAAGCCACTGCAAGGAAATCCGGCCTCCTTTCAAGTTAGGGCTTCTCGCTGTATATTGCCCTTGAGGCAGCGAACTCGGTGTCCCTCCCACATACCTATTGCTGAGAGAAGCCTCCTCCTGAGGTGCGTCTGGAAAGTTGGCATACGTCTTGAGCCTAAGTCAGGGAATCAGCTCTCATCTCGAGACGATTTGTGGTACACGGAGCATTCCTCGAGTTGCTGTGCTGAAGTTGGTGTTCCTCTAGACTTGCGACAGTGTTCTCGGGGTATCTCTGGAGTTGCCTGAAGGAAGTCGAGCCACCGGTCGTGTTGAATGGGGAACGGGGAATGGCTCTGGAGTCAATGCAGGGGAATCGGGCCTCATCTCGAGTTGATTTGGGGCACATGGAGCTGCTTTGCGTTGCTGGGGTGACCTCAGCGTTCGTCGAGACTGGTGACAGTTTTCTTGGGGACTGTCTCGAGATCCATTAAGCAAGTCGAAGCTCCTGACTTGCTTGAATGGGACCACGGAATAGCTCTGCATGCACTGCAGGGGAATGGGGCCTCATCTCGCCTCTAGGGGGAAGTCTCATGGTTTTTCTCGAGTTGCGGCGGGGACCTGGGGTATGTTCTCGACTTACGGCAGGGATGGCCCTTCAAAACACGAGTTTCTTCAGTGACGTCAGGACTCCTGGCTAGTAATGAGGGACACCTCAGGAATCTCTTCGAGGCTTGGCAGGGCAAAAGGGACTCTTCTCGAGGTGAGGCAGGGCACCCAAGGACCCTTTCCAGTAGGCACAGGGATTTTGGGATTCCTATCAGTATTCAAGAGGAGTCAGACATCGTCACCTTTTGAAGCAATGAACTCCGCGTGCCTCTCGAGGTGTCAACGGGATGTGAGGCATTCCGTCCAAATGAGGCAGGGAACTAGGGCTTTCTCTAAGGTCTCCACAGGGGATTCAGACACCCCTTCATGTTGTGAGATGAAAGACGAGCCTGTATTCAAGCCACTGCAGGGAAATCCGGCCTCCTTTCAAGTTAGGGCTTTTCGCTGTATATTGCCCTTGAGGCAGCGAACTCGGGGTCCCTCCCACATACCTATTGCTGAGAGAAGCCTCCTCCTGAGGTGCGTCTGGAAAGTTGGCATACGTCTTGAGCCTAAGCCAGGGAATCAGCTCTCATCTCGAGACGATTTGGGGTACACGGAGCATTCCTCGAGTTGCTGTGCTGAAGTTGGTGTTCCTCTAGACTTGGGACAGTGTTCTCGGGGTATCTCTGGAGTTGCCTGAAGGAAGTCGAGCCACCGGTCGTGTTGAATGGGGAACGGGGAATGGCTCTGGAGTCAATGCAGGGGAATCGGGCCTCATCTCGAGTTGATTTGGGGCACATGGAGCTGCTTTGCGTTGCTGGGGTGACGTCAGCGTCCGTTGAGACTGGTGACAGTGTTCTTGGGGACTGTCTCGAGATCCATTAACAAGTCGAAGCTCCTGACTCGTTTGAATGGGACCACGGAATAGCTCTGCATGCACTGCAGGGGAATGGGGCCTCATCTCGCCTCTTGGAGGAAGTCTCATGGTTTTTCTCGAGTTGCGGCGGGGACCTGGGGTATGTTCTCGACTTACGGCGGGGATGGCCCTTCAAAACACGAGTTTCTTCAGTGACGTCAGGACTCCTGTCTAGTAACGAGGGACATCTCAGGAATCTCATCGAGGCTTGGCAGTGCAAATGGGACGCTTCTTGAGGTGAGGCAGGGCACCCAAGGACCCTTTCCAGTAGCCACAGGGATTTTGGGATTCCTATCAGAATTCAAGAGGAGTCAGGCATCGTCACCTTTTGAAGCAATGAACTCCGCGTGCCTCTCGAGGTGTCAACGGGATGTGAGGCATTCCGTCCAAATGAGGCAGGGACCTAGGGCTTTCTCTAAGGTCTCCACAGGGGATTCAGACATCCCTTCGTGTTGTGAGATCAAAGACGAGCCTGTATTCAAGCCACTGCAAGGAAATCCGGCCTCCTTTCAAGTTAGGGCTTCTCGCTGCATATTGCCCTTGAGGCAGCGTACTCGGGGTCCCTCGCACATACCTATTGCTGAGAGAAGCCTCCTCGTGAGGTGCGTCTGGAAAGTTGGCAGACGTCTTGAGCCTAAGCCAGGGAATCACCTCTCATCTCGAGACGATTTGGGGTACACGGAGCATTCCTCGAGGTGCCGTGCTGAAGTTGGTGTTCCTCTAGACTTGGGACATTGTTCTCGGGGCATCTCTGGAGTTGCCTGAAGGAAGTCGAGCCACCGGTCGTGGTGAATGGGGAACGGGGAATGGCTCTGGAGTCAATGCAGGGGAATCGGGCCTCATCTCGAGTTGATTTGGGGCCCATGGAGCTGCTTTGCGTTGCTGGGGTGACCTCAGGGTCCGTCGAGACTGGTGACAGTGTTCTTGGGGACTGTCTCGAGAACCATTAAGCAAGTCGAAGCTCCTGACTTGTTTGAATGGGACCACGGGATAGCTCTGTATGCACTGCAGGGGAATGGGGCCTCATCTCGCCTCTTGGGGGAAGTCTCATGGTTTTTCTCGAGTGGCGGCGGGGACCTGGGGTATGTTCTCGACTTACGGCGGGGATGGCCCTTCAAAACACGAGTTTCTTCAGTGACGTCAGGACTCCTGTCTAGTAACGAGGGACACCTCAGGAATCTCTTCGAGGCTTGGCAGGGCAAAAGGGACGCTTCTCGAGGTGAGGCAGGGCACCCAAGGACCCTTTCCAGTAGCCACAGGGATTTTGGGATTCCTATCAGTATTCAAGAGGAGTGAGGCATTGTCACCTTTTGAAGCAATGAACTTTGCGTGCCTCTTGAGGTGTCAACGGGATGTGAGGCATTCCGTCCAAATGAGGCAGGGACCTAGGGCTTTCTCTAAGGTCTCCACAGGGGATTCAGAAATCCCTTCATGTTGTGAGATGAAAGACGAGCCTGTATTCAAGCCACTGCAAGGAAATCCGGCCTCCTTTCAAGTTAGGGCTTCTCGCTGTATATTGCCCTTGAGGCAGAGAACTCGGGGTCCCTCCCACATACCTATTGCTGAGAGAAGCCTCCTCCTGAGGTGCGTCTGGAAAGTTGGCATACGTCTTGAGCCTAAGCCAGGGAATCACCTCTCATCTCGAGACGATTTGGGGTACACGGAACATTCCTCGAGGTGCCGTGCTGAAGTTCGTGTTCCTCTAGACTTGGGACAGTGTTTTCGGGGCATCTCTGGAGTTGCCTGAAGGAAGTCGAGCCACCGGTCGTGTTGAATGGGGAACGGGGAATGGCTCTGGAGTCAATGCAGGGGAATCGGGCCTCATCTCTAGTTGATTTGGGGCACATGGAGCGGCTTTGCGTTGCTGGGGTGACCTCAGCGTCCGTCGAGACTGGTGACAGTGTTCTTGGGGACTGTCTCGAGATCCATTAAGCAAGTCGAAGCTCCTGACTTGTTTGATGGGACCACGGAATAGCTCTGCATGCACTGCAGGGGAATGGGGCCTCATCTCGCCTCTAGGGGGAAGTCTCATGGTTTTTCTCGAGTTGCGGCGGGGACCTGGGGTATGTTCTCGTCTTACGGCGGGGATGGCCCTTCAAAACACGAGTTTCTTCAGTGACGTCAGGACTCCTGTCTAGTAACGAGGGAAAGCTCAGGAATCTCTTCGAGGCTTGGCAGGGCAAAAGGGACGCTTCTCGAGGTGAGTCAGGGCACCCAAGACACTTTCCAGTAGCCACAGGGATTTTGGGATTCCTATCAGTATTCAAGAGAAGTCAGGCATCGTCACCTTTTGAAGCAATGAACTCCGTGTGCCTCTCGAGGTGTCAACGGGATGTGAGGCATTACGTCCAAATGAGGCAGGGACTTATGGCTTTCTCTAAGGTCTACACAGGGGATTCAGACATCCCTTCATGTTGTGAGATGAAAGACGAGCCTGTATTCAAGCCACTGCAAGGAAATCCGGCCTCCTTTCAAGTTAGGGCTTCTCGCTGTATATTGCCCTTGAGGCAGCGAACTCGGGGTCCCTCCCACATACCTATTGCTGAGAGAAGCCTCCTCCAGAGGTGCGTCTGGAAAGTTGGCATAAGTCTTGAGCCTAAGCCAGGGAATCAGCTCTCATCTCGAGACGTTTTGGGGTACACGGTGCATTCTTCGAATTGCCGTGCTGAAGTTGGTGTTCCTCTAGACTTGGGACAGTGTTCTCGGGGCATCTCTGGAGTTGCCTGAAGGAAGTCGAGCCACCGGTCGTGTTGAATGGGGAACGGGGAATGGCTCTGGAGTCAATGCAGGGGAATCGGGCCTCATCTCGAGTTGATTTGGGGTCCATGGAGCCGCTTTGCGTTGCTGGGGTGACTTCAGGGTCCGTCGAGACTGGTGACAGTGTTCTTGGGGACTGTCTGGAGTACCATTAAGCAAGTCGAAGCTCCTGACTTGCTTGAATGGGACCACGGAAGCTCTGCATGCACTGCAGGGGAATGGGGCCTCATCTCGCCTCTAGGGGGAAATCTCATGGTTTTTCTCGAGTTGCGGCGGGGACCTGGGGTATGTTCTCGACTTACGGCGGGGATGGCCCTTCAAAACACGAGTTTCTTCAGTGACGTCAGGACTCCTGTCTAGTAACGAGGGACACATCAGGAATCTCTTCGAGGCTTGGCAGGGCAAAAGGGACGCTTCTCGAGGTGAGGCAGGGCACCCAAGGACCCTTTCCAGTAGCCACAGGGATTTTGGGTTTCCTATCAGTATTCAAGAGGAGTGAGGCATTGTCACCTTTTGAAGCAATGAACTTCGCGTGCCTCTTGAGGTGTCAACGGGATGTGAGGCATTCCGTCAAAATGAGGCAGGGACCTAGGGCTTTCTCTAAGGTCTCCACAGGGGATTCAGACATCCCTTCATGTTGTGAGATGAAAGACGAGCCTGTATTCAAGCCACTGCAAGGAAATCCGGCCTCCTTTCAAGTTAGGGCTTCTCGCTGTATATTGCCCTTGAGGCAGCGAACTCGGGGTCCCTCCCACATACCTATTGCTGAGAGAAGCCTCCTCCTGAGGTGCGTCTGGAAAGTTGGCATACGTCTTGAACCTAAGCCAGGGAATCAGCTCTCATCTCGAGACGATTTGGGGTACACGGTGCATTCCTCGAGTTGCTGTGCTGAAGTTGGTGTTCCTCTAGACTTGGGACAGTGTTCTCGGGGTATCTCTGGAGTTGCCTGAAGGAAGTCGAGCCACCGGTCGTGTTGAATGGGGAACGGGGAATGGCTCTGGAGTCAATGCAGGGGAATCGGGCCTCATCTCGAGTTGATTTGGGGCACATGGAGCTGCTTTGCGTTGCTGGGGTGACCTCAGCGTCCGTCGAGACTGGTGACAGTGTTCTTGGGGACTGTCTCGAGATCCATTAAGCAAGTGGAAGCTCCTGACTTGTTTGAATGGGACCACGGAATAGCTCTGCATGCACTGCAGGGGAATGGGGCCTCATCTCGCCTCTAGGGGGAAGTCTCATGGTTTTTCTCGAGTTGCGGCGGGGACCTGGGGTATGTTCTCAACTTACGGCGGGGATGGCCCTTCAAAACACGAGTTTCTTCAGTGACGTCAGGACTCCTGTCTAGTAACGAGGGACACCTCAGGAATCTCTTCGAGGCTTGGCAGGGCAAAAGGGACGCTTCTCGAGGTGAGGCAGGGCACCCAAGGACCCTTTCCAGTAGCCACAGGGATTTTGGGATTCCTATCAGTATTCAAGAGGAGTCAGGCATCGTCACCTTTTGAAGCAATGAACTTCGCGTGCCTCTTGAGTTGTCAACGGGATGTGAGGCATTCCGTCAAAATGAGGCAGATAACTAGGGCTTTCTCTAACGTCTCCACAGGGAATTCAGACATCCCTTCATGTTGTGAGATGAAAGACGAGCCTGTATTCAAGCCACTGCAAGGAAATCCGGCCTCCATTCAAGTTAGGGCTTCTCGCTGTATATTGCCCTTGAGGCAGCGAACTCGGGGTCCCTCCCACATACCTATTGCTGAGAGAAGCCTCCTCCTGAGGTGCGTCTTGAAAGTTGGCATACGTCTTGAGCCTAAGCCAGGGAATCAGCTCTCATCTCGAGACGATTTGGGGTACACGGAGCATTCCTCGAGTTGCTGTGCTGAAGTTGGTCTTCCTCTAGACTTGGGACAGTGTTCTCGGGGCATCTCTGGAGTTGCCTGAAGGAAGTCGAGCCACCGGTCGTGTTGAATGGGGAACCGGTAATGGCTCTGGAGTCAATGCAGGGGAATCGGGCCTCATCTCGAGTTGATTTGGGGCACATGGAGCTGCTTTGCGTTGCTGGGGTGACCTCAGCGTCCGTCGAGACTGGTGACAGTGTTCTTGGGGACTGTCTCGAGATCCATTAAGCAAGTCGAAGCTCCTGACTTGTTTGAATGGGACCACGGAATAGCTCTGCATGCACTGCAGGGGAATGGGGTCTCATCTCGCCTCTAGAGGGAAGTCTCATGGTTTTTCTCGAGTTGCGGCGGGGACCTGGGATATGTTCTCGACTTACGGCGGGGATGGCCCTTCAAAACACGAGTTTCTTCAGTGACGTCAGGACTCCTGTCTAGTAACGAGGGACACTTAAGGAATCTCTTCGAGGCTTGGCAGGGCAAAAGGGACGCTTCTCGAGGTGATGCAGGGCACCCAAGGACCCTTTCCAGTAGCCACAGGGATTTTGGGATTCCTATCAGTATTCAAGAGGAGTCAGGCATCGTCAGGTTTGAAGCAATGAACTCCGCGTGCCTCTCGAGGTGTCAACGGGATGTGAGGCATTCCGTCCAAATGAGGCAGGGACCTAGGGCTTTCTCTAAGGTCTCCACAGGGGAATCAGACATCCCTTCATGTTGTGAGATCAAAGACGAGCCTGTATTCAAGCCACGGCAAGGAAATCCGGCCTGCTTTCAAGTTAGGGCTTCTCGCTGTATATTGCCCTTGAGGCAGCGAACTCGGGGTCCCTCCCACATACCTATTGCTGAGAGAAGCCTCCTCCTGAGGTGCGTCTTGAAAGTTGGCATACGTCTTGAGCCTAAGCCAGGGAATCACCTCTCATCTCGAGACGATTTGGGGTACACGGATCATTCCTCGAGTTGCCGTGCTGAAGTTCGTGTTCCTCTAGACTTGGGACAGTGTTCTCGGGGCATCTCTGGAGTTGCCTGAAGGAAGTCGAGCCACCGGTCGTGTTGAATGGGGAACGGGGAATGGCTCTGGAGTCAATGCAGGGGAATCGCGCCTCATCTCGAGTTGATTTGGGGCCCATGGAGCTGCTTTGTGTTGCTGGGGTGACCTCAGGGTCTGTCGAGACTTGTGACAGTGTTCTTGGGGACTGTCTCGAGATCCATTAAGCAAGTCGAAGCTCCTGACTTGTTTGAATGGGACCACGGAATAGCTCTGCATGCACTGCAGGGGATTGGGGTCTCATCTCGCCTCTAGGGGGAAGTCTCATTGTTTTTCTCGAGTTGTGGCGGGGACCTGGGGTATGTTCTCGACTTACGGCGGGGATGGCCCTTCAAAACACGAGTTTCTTCAGTGACGTCAGGACTCCTGTCTAGTAACGAGGGACAACTCAGGAATCTCTTCGAGGGTTGGCAGGGCAAAAGGGACGCTTCTCGACGTGAGGCAGGGCACCCAAGGACCCTTTCCAGCAGCCACAGGGATTTTGGGATTCCTATCAGTATTCAAGAGGAGTGAGGCATTGTCACCTTTTGAAGCAATGAACTTCGCGTGCCTCTTGAGGTGTCAACGGGATGTGAGGCATTCCGTCAAAATGAGGCAGGGACCTAGGGCTTTCTCTAAGGTCTCCACAAGGGATTCAGACATCCCTTCATGTTGTGAGATGAAAGACGAGCCTGTATTCAAGCCACTGCAAGGAAATCCGGCCTCTTTTCAAGTTAGGGCTTCTCGCTGTATATTGCCCTTGAGGCAGCGAACTCGGGGTCCCTCCCACATACCTATTGCTGAGAGAAGCCTCCTCCTGAGGTGCGTCTGGAAAGTTGGCATACGTCTTGAGCCTAAGCCAGGGAATCAGCTCTCATCTCGAGACGATTTGGGGTACACAGAGCATTCCTCGAGTTGCTGTGCTGAAGTTGGTGTTCCTCTAGACTTGGGACAGTGTTCTCCGGGTATCTCTGGAGTTGCCTGAAGGAAGTCGAGCCACCGGTCGTGTTGAATGGGGAACGGGTAATGGCTCTTCAGTCAATGCAGGGGAATCGGGCCTCATCTCGAGTTGATTTGGGGCACATGGAGCTGCTTTGCGTTGCTGGGGTGACCTCAGCGTAGGTCAAGACTGGTGACAGTGTTCTTGGGGACTGTCTCGAGATCGATTAAGCAAGTCGAAGCTCCTGACTTGTTTGAATGGGACCACGGAATAGCTCTGCATGCACTGCAGGGGAATGGGGCCTCATCTCGATTCTAGGGGGAAGTCTCATGGTTTTTTTCGAGTTCCGGCGGGGACCTGGGGTATGTTCTCGACTTACGGCGGGGATGGCCCTTCAAAACACGAGTTTCTTCAGTGACGTCAGGACTCCTGTCTAGTAACGAGGGACACCTCAGGAATATCATCGAGGCTTGGCAGTGCAAATGGGACGCTTCTTGAGGTGAGGCAGGGCACCCAAGGACCCTTTCCAGTAGCCACAGGGATTTTGGGATTCCTATCAGAATTCAAGAGGAGTCAGGCATCGTCACCTTTTGAAGCAATGAACTCCGCATGCCTCTCGAGGTGTCAACGGGATGTGAGGCATTCCGTCCAAATGAGGCAGGGACCTAGGGCTTTCTCTAAGGTCTCCACAGGGGATTCAGACATCCCTTCATGTTGTGAGAAGAAAGACGAGCCTGTATTCAAGCCACTGCAAGGAAATCCGGCCTCCATTCAAGTTAGGGCTTCTCGCTGTATATTGCCCTTGAGGCAGCAAACTCGGGGTCCCTCCCACATACCTATTGCTGAAAGAAGCCTCCTCCTGAGGTGCGTCTTGAAAGTTGGCATACGTCTTGAGCCTAAGCCAGGGAATCATCTCTCATCTCGAGAAGATTTGGGGTACACGGAGCATTCCTCGAGTTGCTGTGCTGAAGTTGGTGTTCCTCTAGACTTGGGTCAGTGTTCTCGGGGTATCTCTGGAGTTGCCTGAAGGAAGTCGAGCCACCGGTCGTGTTGAATGGGGAACGGGGAATGGCTCTGGAGTCAATGCAGGGGAATCGGGCCTCATCTCGAGTTGATTTGGGGCACATGGAGCTGCTTTGCGTTGCTGGGGTGACCTCAGCGTCCGTCGAGACTGGTGACAGTGTTCTTGGGGACTGTCTCGAGATCCATTAAGCAAGTCGAAGCTCCTGACTTGTTTGAATGGGACCACGGAATAGCTCTACATGCACTGCAGGGGAATGGGGCCTCATCTCGCCTCTTGGGGGAAGTCTCATGGTTTTTCTCGAGTTGCGGCGGGGACCTGGGGTATGTTCTCGACTTACGGCGGGGATGGCCCTTCAAAACACGAGTTTCTTCAGTGACGTCAGGACTCCTGTCTAGTAACGAGGGACACCTCAGGAATCACTTCGAGGCTTGGCAGTGCAAATGGGACGCTTCTTGAGGTGAGGCAGGGCACCCAAGGACCCTTTCCAGTAGCAACAGGGATTTTGGGATTCCTATCAGAATTCAAGAGGAGTCAGGCATCTTCACCTTTTGAAGCAATGAACTCCGCGTGCCTCTCGAGGTGTCAACGTGATGTGAGGCATTCCGTCAAAATGAGGCAGGGATCTAGGGCTTTCTCTAAGGTCTCCACAGGGGATTCAGACATCCCTTCATGTTGTGAGATCAAAGACGAGCCTGTATTCAAGCCACTGCAAGGAAATCCGGCCTCCTTTCAAGTTAGGGCTTCTCGCTGTATATTGCCCTTGAGGCAGCGAACTGGGGGTCCCTTCCACATACCTATTGCTGAGAGAAGCCTCCTCCTGAGGTGCGTCTTGAAAGTTGGCATACGTCTTGAGCCTAAGCCAGGGAATCACCTCTAATCTCGAGACGATTTGGGGTACACAGAGCATTCCTCGAGTTGCCGTGCTGAAGTTGGTGTTCCTCTAGACTTGGGACAGTGTTCTCGGGGCATCTCTGGAGTTGCCTGAAGGAAGTCGAGCCACCGGTCGTGTTGAATGGGGAACGCGGAATGGCTCTGGAGTCAATGCAGGGGAATCGGGCCTCATCCCGAGTTGATTTGGGGCCCATGGAGCTGCTTTGCTTTGCTCAGGTGACCTCAGGGTCCGTCGAGACTGGTGACAGTGTTCTTGGGGACTGTCTCGAGAACCATTAAGCAAGTCGAAGCTCCTGACTTGCTTGAATTGGACCACGGAATAGCTCTGCATGCACTGCAGGGGAATGGGGCCTCATCTCGCCTCTAGGGGGAAGTCTCATGGTTTTTCTCGAGTTGCGGCGGGGACCTGGGGTATGTTCTCGACTTACGGCGGGGATGGCCCTTCAAAACACGAGTTTCTTCAGTGACTTCAGGACTCCTGTCTAGTAACAAGGGACACCTCAGGAATCTCTTCGAGGCTTGGCAGGGCAAAAGGGACGCTTCTTGAGGTGAGGCAGGGCACCCAAGGACCCTTTCCAGTAGCCACAGGGATTTTGGGATTCCTATCAGTATTCAAGAGGAGTGAGGTATTGTCACCTTTTTAAGCAATGAACTTCGCGTGCCTCTTGAGGTGTCAACGGGATGTGAGGCATTCCGTCAAAATGAGGCAGGGACCTAGGGCTTTCTCTAAGGTCTCCACAGGGGATTCAGACATCCGTTCATGTTGGAGATCAAAGACGAGCCTGTATTCAAGCCACTGAAAGGAAATCCGGCCTCCTTTCAAGTTAGGGCTTCTCGCTGTACATTGCCTTTGAGGCAGCGAACTCGGGGTCCCTCCCACATAACTATTGCTGAGAGAAGCCTCCTCCTGAGGTGCGTCTGGAAAGTTGGCATACGTCTTGAGCCTAAGCCAGGGAATCAGCTCTAATCTTGAGACGATTTGGGATACACGGAGCATTCCTCGAGTTGCTGTGCTGAAGTTGGTGTTTCTCTAGACTTCGGACAGTGTTCTCGGGGTATCTCTGGAGTTGCCTGAAGGAAGTCGAGCCACAGTTCGTGTTGAATGGGGAACGCGGAATGGCTCTGGAGTCAATGCAGGGGAATCGGGCCTCATCTCGAGTTGATTTGGGGCACATGGAGCTGCTTTGCGTTGCTGGGGTGACCTCAGCGTCCGTCGAGACTGGTGACAGTGTTCTTGGGGACTGTCTCGAGATCCATTAAGCAAGTCGAAGCTCCTGACTTGTTTGAATGGGACCACGGAATAGCTCTGCATGCACTGCAGGGGAATGGGGTCTCATCTCGCCTCTAGAGGGAAGTCTCATGGTTTTTCTCGAGTTGCGGCGGGGACCTGGGATATGTTCTCGACTTACGGCGGGGATGGCCCTTCAAAACACGAGTTTCTTCAGTGACGTCAGGACTCCTGTCTAGTAACGAGGGACACTTAAGGAATCTCTTCGAGGCTTGGCAGGGCAAAAGGGACGCTTCTCGAGGTGAGACAGGGCACCCAAGACCCTTTCCAGTAGCCACAGGGATTTTGGGATTCCTACAGTATTCAAGAGGAGTCAGGCATCGTCACGTTTTGAAGCAATGAACTCCGCGTGCCTCTCGAGGTGTCAACGCGATGTGAGGCATTCCGTCCAAATGAGGCAGGGACCTAGGGCTTTCTCTAAGGTCTCCACAGGGGATTCAGACATCCCTTCATGTTGTGAGATCAAAGACGAGCCTGTATTCAAGCCACTGCAAGGAAATCCGGCCTGCTTTCAAGTTAGGGCTTCTCGCTGTATATTGCCCTTGAGGCAGCGAACTCGGGGTCCCTCCCACATACCTATTGCTGAGAGAAGCCTCCTCCTGAGGTGCGTCTTGAAAGTTGGCATATGTCTTGAGCCTAAGCCAGGGAATCACCTCTCATCTCGAGACGATTTGGGGTACACGGATCATTCCTCGAGTTGCCGTGCTGAAGTTGGTGTTCCTCTAGACTTGGGACAGTGTTCTCGGGGCATCTCTGGAGTTGCCTGAAGGAAGTCGAGCCACCGGTCGTGTTGAATGGGGAACGGGGAATGGCTCTGGAGTCAATGCAGGGGAATCGCGCCTCATCTCGAGTTGATTTGGGGCCCATGGAGCTGCTTTGTGTTGCTGGGGTGACCTCAGGGTCTGTCGAGACTTGTGACAGTGATCTTGGTGACTGTCTCGAGATCCATTAAGCAAGTCGAAGCTCCTGACTTGTTTGAATGGGACCACGGAATAGCTCTGCATGCACTGCAGGGGAATGGGGTCTCATCTCGCCTCTAGGGGGAAGTCTCATGGTTTTTCTCGAGTTGCGTCGGGGACCTGGGGTATGTTCTCGACTTACGGCGGGGATGGCCCTTCAAAACACGAGTTTCTTCAGTGACGTCAGGACTCGTGTCTAGTAACGAGGGACACCTCAGGAATCTCTTCGAGGCTTGGCAGGGCAAAAGGGACGCTTCTCGAGGTGAGGCAGGGCACCCAAGGACCCTTTCCAGTAGCCACAGGGATTTTGGGATTCCTATCAGTATTCAAGAGGAGTGAGGCATTGTCACCTTTTGAAGCAATGAACTTCGCGTGCCTCTTGAGGTGTCAACGGGATGTGAGGCATTCCGTCCAAATGAGGCAGAGACCTAGGGCTTTCTCTAAGGTCTCCACAGGGGATTCAGACATCCGTTCATGTCCTGAGATGAAAGACGAGCCTGTATTCAAGCCACTGCAAGGAAATCTGGCCTCCTTCAAGTTAGGGCTTCTCGCTGTATATTGCCCTTGAGGCAGCGAACTCGGGGTCCCTCCCACATACCTATTGCTGAGAGAAGCCTCTTCCAGAGGTGCGTCTGGAAAGTTGGCATACGTCTTGAGCCTAAGCCAGGGAATCAGTTCTCATCTCGAGACGATTTGGGGTACACGGAGCATTCCTCGAGTTGCTGTGCAGAAGTTGGTGTTCCTCTAGACTTGGGACAGTGTTCTCGGGGTATCTCTGGAGTTGCCTGAAGGAAGTCGAGCCACCGGTCGTGTTGAATGGGGAACGGGGAATGGCTCTGGAGTCAATGCAGGGGAATCGGGCCTCATCTCGAGTTGATTTGGGGCACATGGAGCTGCTTTGTGTTGCTGGGGTGACCTCAGCGTCCGTCGAGACTGGTGACAGTGTTCTTGGGGACTGTCTCGAGATCCATTAAGCAAGTCGAAGCTCCTGACTTGTTTGAATGGGACCACGGAATAGCTCTGCATGCACTGCAGGGGAATGGGGTCTCATCTCGCCTCTAGGGGGAAGTCTCATGGTTTTTCTCGAGTTGCGGCGGGGACCTGGGGTATGTTCTCGACTTACGGCGGGGATGGCCCTTCAAAACACGAGTTTCTTCAGTGACGTCAGGACTCCTGTCTAGTAACGAGGGACACCTCAGGAATCTCATCGAGGCCTGGCAGTGCAAATGGGACGCTTCTTGAGGTGAGGCAGGGCACCCAAGGACCCTTTCCAGTAGCCACAGGGATTTTGGGATTCCTATCAGAATTCAAGAGGAGTCAGGCATCGTCACCTTTTGAAGCAATGAACTCCGCGTGCCTCTCGAGGTGTCAACGGGATGTGAGGCATTCCGTCCAAATGAGGCAGGGACCTAGGGCTTTCTCTAAGGTCTCCACAGGGGATTCAGACATCCCTTCATGTTGTGAGAAGAAAGACGAGCCTGTATTCAAGCCACTGCAAGGAAATCCGGCCTGCTTTCAAGTTAGGGCTTCTCGCTCTATATTGCCTTTGAGGCAGCGAACTCGGGGTCCCTCCCACATACCTATTGCTGAGAGAAGCCTCCTCCTGAGGTGCGTCTTGAAAGTTGGCATACGTCTTGAGCCTAAGCCAGGGAATCACCTCTCATCTCGAGACGATTTGGGGTACACGGAGCATTCCTCGAGTTGCCGTGCTGAAGTTGGTGTTCCTCTAGACTTGGGACAGTGTTCTCGGGGCATCTCTGGAGTTGCCTGAAGGAAGTCGAGCCACCGGTCGTGTTGAATGGGGAACGGGGAATGGCTCTGGAGTCAATGCAGGGGAATCGGGCCTCATCTCGAGTTGATTTGGGGCACATGGAGCTGCTTTGCGTTGCTAGGGTGACCTCAGCGTCCGTCGAGACTGGTGACAGTGTTCTTGGGGACTGTCTCGAGATCCATTAAGCAAGTCGAAGCTCCTGACTTGCTTGAATGGGACCACGGAATAGCTCTGCATGCACTGCAGGGGAATGGGGTCTCATCTCGCCTCTAGGGGGAAGTCTCATGGTTTTTCTCGAGTTGCGGCGGGGACCTGGGGTATGTTCTCGACTTACGGCGGGGATGGCCCTTCAAAACACGAGTTTCTTCAGTGACGTCAGGAATCCTGTCTAGTAACGAGGGACACCTCAGGAATCTCTTCCAGGCTTGGCAGGGCAAAAGGGACGCTTCTCGAGGTGAGGCAGGGCACCCAAGGACCCTTTCCAGTAGCCACGGGGATTTTGGGATTCCTATCAGTATTCAAGAGGAGTCAGGCATCTTCACCTTTTGAAGCAATGAACTCTGCGTGCCTCTCGAGGTGTCAACGGGATGTGAGGCATTCCGTCCAAATGAGGCAGGGACCTAGGGCTTTCTCTAAGGTCTACACAGGGGATTCAGACATCCCTTCATGTTGTGAGATCAAAGACGAGCCTGTATTCAAGCCACTGCAAGGAAATCCGGCCTGCTTTCAAGTTAGGGCTTCTCGCTTTATATTGCCCTTGAGGAAGCGAACTCGGGGTCCCTCCCACATACCTATTGCTGAGAAAAGCCTCCTCCTGAGGTGCGTCTTGAAAGTTGGCATACGTCTTGAGCCTAAGCCAGGGAATCATCTCTCATCTCGAGAAGATTTGGGGTACACGGAGCATTCCTCGAGTTGCTGTGCTGAAGTTGGTGTTCCTCTAGACTTGGGTCAGTGTTCTCGGGGTATCTCTGGAGTTGCCTGAAGGAAGTCGAGCCACCGGTCGTGTTGAATGGGGAACGGGGAATGGCTCTGGAGTCAATGCAGGGGAATCGGGCCTCATCTCGAGTTGATTTGGGGCACATGGAGCTGCTTTGCGTTGCTGGGGTGACCTCAGCGTCCGTCGAGACTGGTGACAGTGTTCTTGGGGACTGTCTCGAGATCCATTAAGCAAGTCGAAGCTCCTGACTTGTTTGAATGGGACCACGGAATAGCTCTACATGCACTGCAGGGGAATGGGGCCTCATCTCGCCTCTTGGGGGAAGTCTCATGGTTTTTCTCGAGTTGCGGCGGGGACCTGGGGTATGTTCTCGACTTACGGCGGGGATGGCCCTTCAAAACACGAGTTTCTTCAGTGACGTCAGGACTCCTGTCTAGTAACGAGGGACACCTCAGGAATCACTTCGAGGCTTGGCAGTGCAAATGGGACGCTTCTTGAGGTGAGGCAGGGCACCCAAGGACCCTTTCCAGTAGCAACAGGGATTTTGGGATTCCTATCAGAATTCAAGAGGAGTCAGGCATCTTCACCTTTTGAAGCAATGAACTCCGCGTGCCTCTCGAGGTGTCAACGTGATGTGAGGCATTCCGTCAAAATGAGGCAGGGATCTAGGGCTTTCTCTAAGGTCTCCACAGGGGATTCAGACATCCCTTCATGTTGTGAGATCAAAGACGAGCCTGTATTCAAGCCACTGCAAGGAAATCCGGCCTCCTTTCAAGTTAGGGCTTCTCGCTGTATATTGCCCTTGAGGCAGCGAACTGGGGGTCCCTTCCACATACCTATTGCTGAGAGAAGCCTCCTCCTGAGGTGCGTCTTGAAAGTTGGCATACGTCTTGAGCCTAAGCCAGGGAATCACCTCTCATCTCGAGACGATTTGGGGTACACGGAGCATTCCTCGAGTTGCCGTGCTGAAGTTGGTGTTCCTCTAGACTTGGGACAGTGTTCTCGGGGCATCTCTGGAGTTGCCTGAAGGAAGTCGAGCCACCGGTCGTGTTGAATGGGGAACGCGGAATGGCTCTGGAGTCAATGCAGGGGAATCGGGCCTCATCTCGAGTTGATTTGGGGCCCATGGAGCTGCTTTGCTTTGCTGGGGTGACCTCAGGGTCCGTCGAGACTGGTGACAGTGTTCTTGGGGACTGTCTCGAGAACCATTAAGCAAGTCGAAGCTCCTGACTTGCTTGAATTGGACCACGGAATAGCTCTGCATGCACTGCAGGGGAATGGGGCCTCATCTCGCCTCTAGGGGGAAGTCTCATGGTTTTTCTCGAGTTGCGGCGGGGACCTGGGGTATGTTCTCGACTTACGGCGGGGATGGCCCTTCAAAACACGAGTTTCTTCAGTGACTTCAGGACTCCTGTCTAGTAACGAGGGACACCTCAGGAATCTCTTCGAGGCTTGGCAGGGCAAAAGGGACGCTTCTTGAGGTGAGGCAGGGCACCCAAGGACCCTTTCCAGTAGCCACAGGGATTTTGGGATTCCTATCAGTATTCAAGAGGAGTGAGGTATTGTCACCTTTTTAAGCAATGAACTTCGCGTGCCTCTTGAGGTGTCAACGGGATGTGAGGCATTCCGTCAAAATGAGGCAGGGACCTAGGGCTTTCTCTAAGGTCTCCACAGGGGATTCAGACATCCGTTCATGTTGGAGATCAAAGACGAGCCTGTATTCAAGCCACTGAAAGGAAATCCGGCCTCCTTTCAAGTTAGGGCTTCTCGCTGTACATTGCCTTTGAGGCAGCGAACTCGGGGTCCCTCCCACATAACTATTGCTGAGAGAAGCCTCCTCCTGAGGTGCGTCTGGAAAGTTGGCATACGTCTTGAGCCTAAGCCAGGGAATCAGCTCTAATCTTGAGACGATTTGGGATACACGGAGCATTCCTCGAGTTGCTGTGCTGAAGTTGGTGTTTCTCTAGACTTCGGACAGTGTTCTCGGGGTATCTCTGGAGTTGCCTGAAGGAAGTCGAGCCACAGTTCGTGTTGAATGGGGAATGCGGAATGGCTCTGGAGTCAATGCAGGGGAATCGGGCCTCATCTCGAGTTGATTTGGGGCACATGGAGCTGCTTTGCGTTGCTGGGGTGACCTCAGCGTCCGTCGAGACTGGTGACAGTGTTCTTGGGGACTGTCTCGAGATCCATTAAGCAAGTCGAAGCTCCTGACTTGTTTGAATGGGACCACGGAATAGCTCTGCATGCACTGCAGGGGAATGGGGTCTCATCTCGCCTCTAGAGGGAAGTCTCATGGTTTTTCTCGAGTTGCGGCGGGGACCTGGGATATGTTCTCGACTTACGGCGGGGATGGCCCTTCAAAACACGAGTTTCTTCAGTGACGTCAGGACTCCTGTCTAGTAACGAGGGACACTTAAGGAATCTCTTCGAGGCTTGGCAGGGCAAAAGGGACGCTTCTCGAGGTGAGACAGGGCACCCAAGACCCTTTCCAGTAGCCACAGGGATTTTGGGATTCCTATCAGTATTCAAGAGGAGTCAGGCATCGTCACGTTTTGAAGCAATGAACTCCGCGTGCCTCTCGAGGTGTCAACGCGATGTGAGGCATTCCGTCCAAATGAGGCAGGGACCTAGGGCTTTCTCTAAGGTCTCCACAGGGGATTCAGACATCCCTTCATGTTGTGAGATCAAAGACGAGCCTGTATTCAAGCCACTGCAAGGAAATCCGGCCTGCTTTCAAGTTAGGGCTTCTCGCTGTATATTGCCCTTGAGGCAGCGAACTCGGGGTCCCTCCCACATACCTATTGCTGAGAGAAGCCTCCTCCTGAGGTGCGTCTTGAAAGTTGGCATATGTCTTGAGCCTAAGCCAGGGAATCACCTCTCATCTCGAGACGATTTGGGGTACACGGATCATTCCTCGAGTTGCCGTGCTGAAGTTGGTGTTCCTCTAGACTTGGGACAGTGTTCTCGGGGCATCTCTGGAGTTGCCTGAAGGAAGTCGAGCCACCGGTCGTGTTGAATGGGGAACGGGGAATGGCTCTGGAGTCAATGCAGGGGAATCGCGCCTCATCTCGAGTTGATTTGGGGCCCATGGAGCTGCTTTGTGTTGCTGGGGTGACCTCAGGGTCTGTCCAGACTTGTGACAGTGATCTTGGGGACTGTCTCGAGATCCATTAAGCAAGTCGAAGCTCCTGACTTGTTTGAATGGGACCACGGAATAGCTCTGCATGCACTGCAGGGGATTGGGGTCTCATCTCGCCTCTAGGGGGAAGTCTCATGGTTTTTCTCGAGTTGCGTCGGGGACCTGGGGTATGTTCTCGACTTACGGCGGGGATGGCCCTTCAAAACACGAGTTTCTTCAGTGACGTCAGGACTCGTGTCTAGTAACGAGGGACACCTCAGGAATCTCTTCGAGGCTTGGCAGGGCAAAAGGGACGCTTCTCGAGGTGAGGCAGGGCACCCAAGGACCCTTTCCAGTAGCCACAGGGATTTTGGGATTCCTATCAGTATTCAAGAGGAGTGAGGCATTGTCACCTTTTGAAGCAATGAACTTCGCGTGCCTCTTGAGGTGTCAACGGGATGTGAGGCATTCCGTCCAAATGAGGCAGAGACCTAGGGCTTTCTCTAAGGTCTCCACAGGGGATTCAGACATCCGTTCATGTCGTGAGATGAAAGACGAGCCTGTATTCAAGCCACTGCAAGGAAATCTGGCCTCCTTCAAGTTAGGGCTTCTCGCTGTATATTGCCCTTGAGGCAGCGAACTCGGGGTCCCTCCCACATACCTATTGCTGAGAGAAGCCTCTTCCAGAGGTGCGTCTGGAAAGTTGGCATACGTCTTGAGCCTAAGCCAGGGAATCAGTTCTCATCTCGAGACGATTTGGGGTACACGGAGCATTCCTCGAGTTGCTGTGCAGAAGTTGGTGTTCCTCTAGACTTGGGACAGTGTTCTCGGGGTATCTCTGGAGTTTCCTGAAGGAAGTCGAGCCACCGGTCGTGTTGAATGGGGAACGGGGAATGGCTCTGGAGTCAATGCAGGGGAATCGGGCCTCATCTCGAGTTGATTTGGGGCACATGGAGCTGCTTTGCGTTGCTGGGGTGACCTCAGCGTCCGTCGAGACTGGTGACAGTGTTCTTGGGGACTGTCTCGAGATCCATTAAGCAAGTCGAAGCTCCTGACTTGTTTGAATGGGACCACGGAATAGCTCTGCATGCACTGCAGGGGAATGGGGTCTCATCTCGCCTCTAGGGGGAAGTCTCATGGTTTTTCTCGAGTTGCGGCGGGGACCTGGGGTATGTTCTCGACTTACGGCGGGGATGGCCCTTCAAAACACGAGTTTCTTCAGTGACGTCAGGAATCCTGTCTAGTAACGAGGGACACCTCAGGAATCTCTTCCAGGCTTGGCAGGGCAAAAGGGACGCTTCTCGAGGTGAGGCAGGGCACCCAAGGACCCTTTCCAGTAGCCACGGGGATTTTGGGATTCCTATCAGTATTCAAGAGGAGTCAGGCATCTTCACCTTTTGAAGCAATGAACTCTGCGTGCCTCTCGAGGTGTCAACGGGATGTGAGGCATTCCGTCCAAATGAGGCAGGGACCTAGGGCTTTCTCTAAGGTCTACACAGGGGATTCAGACATCCCTTCATGTTGTGAGATCAAAGACGAGCCTGTATTCAAGCCACTGCAAGGAAATCCGGCCTGCTTTCAAGTTAGGGCTTCTCGCTTTATATTGCCCTTGAGGAAGCGAACTCGGGGTCCCTCCCACATACCTATTGCTGAGAAAAGCCTCCTCCTGAGGTGCGTCTTGAAAGTTGGCATACGTCTTGAGCCTAAGCCAGGGAATCAGCTCTCATCTCGAGAAGATTTGGGGTACACGGAGCATTCCTCGAGTTGCTGTGCTGAAGTTGGTGTTCCTCTAGACTTGGGTCAGTGTTCTCGGGGTATCTCTGGAGTTGCCTGAAGGAAGTCGAGCCACCGGTCGTGTTGAATGGGGAACGGGGAATGGCTCTGGAGTCAATGCAGGGGAATCGGGCCTCATCTCGAGTTGATTTGGGGCACATGGAGCTGCTTTGCGTTGCTGGGGTGACCTCAGCGTCCGTCGAGACTGGTGACAGTGTTCTTGGGGACTGTCTCGAGATCCATTAAGCAAGTCGAAGCTCCTGACTTGTTTGAATGGGACCACGGAATAGCTCTACATGCACTGCAGGGGAATGGGGCCTCATCTCGCCTCTTGGGGGAAGTCTCATGGTTTTTCTCGAGTTGCGGCGGGGACCTGGGGTATGTTCTCGACTTACGGCGGGGATGGCCCTTCAAAACACGAGTTTCTTCAGTGACGTCAGGACTCCTGTCTAGTAACGAGGGACACCTCAGGAATCACTTCGAGGCTTGGCAGTGCAAATGGGACGCTTCTTGAGGTGAGGCAGGGCACCCAAGGACCCTTTCCAGTAGCAACAGGGATTTTGGGATTCCTATCAGAATTCAAGAGGAGTCAGGCATCTTCACCTTTTGAAGCAATGAACTCCGCGTGCCTCTCGAGGTGTCAACGTGATGTGAGGCATTCCGTCAAAATGAGGCAGGGATCTAGGGCTTTCTCTAAGGTCTCCACAGGGGATTCAGACATCCCTTCATGTTGTGAGATCAAAGACGAGCCTGTATTCAAGCCACTGCATGGAAATCCGGCCTCCTTTCAAGTTAGGGCTTCTCGCTGTATATTGCCCTTGAGGCAGCGAACTGGGGGTCCCTTCCACATACCTATTGCTGAGAGAAGCCTCCTCCTGAGGTGCGTCTTGAAAGTTGGCATACGTCTTGAGCCTAAGCCAGGGAATCACCTCTCATCTCGAGACGATTTGGGGTACACGGAGCATTCCTCGAGTTGCCGTGCTGAAGTTGGTGTTCCTCTAGACTTGGGACAGTGTTCTCGGGGCATCTCTGGAGTTGCCTGAAGGAAGTCGAGCCACCGGTCGTGTTGAATGGGGAACGCGGAATGGCTCTGGAGTCAATGCAGGGGAATCGGGCCTCATCTCGAGTTGATTTGGGGCCCATGGAGCTGCTTTGCTTTGCTGGGGTGACCTCAGGGTCCGTCGAGACTGGTGACAGTGTTCTTGGGGACTGTCTCGAGAACCATTAAGCAAGTCGAAGCTCCTGACTTGCTTGAATTGGACCACGGAATAGCTCTGCATGCACTGCAGGGGAATGGGGCCTCATCTCGCCTCTAGGGGGAAGTCTCATGGTTTTTCTCGAGTTGCGGCGGGGACCTGGGGTATGTTCTCGACTTACGGCGCGGATGGCCCTTCAAAACACGAGTTTCTTCAGTGACGTCAGGACTCCTGTCTAGTAACGAGGGACACCTCAGGAATCTCTTCGAGGCTTGGCAGGGCAAAAGGGACGATTCTCGATGTGAGGCAGGGCACCCAAGGACCCTTTCCAGTAGCCAAAGGGATTTTGGGATTCCTATCAGTATTCAAGAGGAGTGAGGCATTGTCACCTTTTGAAGCAATGAACTTCGCGTGCCTCTTAAGGTGTTAACGGGATGTGAGGCATTCCGTCAAAATGAGGCAGGGACCTAGGGCTTTCTCTAAGGTCTCCACAGGGGATTCAGACATCCCTTCATGTTGTGAGATGAAAGACGAGCCTGTATTCAAGCCACTGCAAGGAAATCCGGCCTCCTTTCAAGTTAGGGCTTCTCGCTGTATATTGCCCTTGAGGCAGCGAACTCGGGGTCCCTCCCACATTCCTATTGCTGAGAGAAGCCTACTCCTGAGGTGCGTCTGGAAAGTTGGCATACGTCTTGAGCCTAAGCCAGGGAATCAGCTCTCATCTCGAGACGATTTGGGGTACACGGAGCATTCCTCGAGTTGCTGTGCTGAAGTTGGTGTTCCTCTAGACTTGGGACAGTGTTCTTGGAGTATCTCTGGAGTTGCCTGAAGTTAGTCGAGCCACCGGTCGTGTTGAATGGGGAACGGGGAATGGCTCTGGAGTCAATGCAGGGGAATCGGGCCTCATCTCGAGTTGATTTGGGGCACATGGAGCTGCTTTGCGTTGCTGGGGTGACCTCAGCGTCCGTCGAGACTGGTGACAGTGTTCTTGGGGACTGTCTCGAGATCCATTAAGCAAGTCGAAGCTCCTGACTTGTTTGAATGGGACCACGGAATAGCTCTGCATGCACTGCAGGGGAATGGGGCCTCATCTCGCCTCTAGGGGGAAGTCTCATGGTTTTTCTCGAGTTGTGGTGGGGACCTGGGTTATGTTCTCGACTTACGGCGGGGATGGCCCTTCAAAACACGAGTTTCTTCAGTGACGTCAGGACTCCTGTCTAGTAACGAGGGACACCTCAGGAATCTCTTCGAGGCTTGGCAGGGCAAAAGGGACGCTTCTCGAGGTGAGGCAGGGCACCCAAGGACCCTTTCCAGTAGCCACAGGGATTTTGGGATTCCTATCAGAATTCAAGAGGAGTGAGGCATTGTCACCTTTTGAAGCAATGAACTTCGCGTGCCTCTTGAGGTGTCAACGGGATGTGAGGCATTCCGTCAAAATGAGGCAGGGACCTAGGGCTTTCTCTAAGGTCTCCACAGGGGATTCAGACATCCCTTCATGTTGTGAGATGAAAGACGAGCCTGTATTCAAGCCACTGCAAGGAAATCCGGCCTCCTTTCAAGTAAGGGCTTCTCGCTGTATATTGCCCTTGAGGCAGCGAACTCGGGGTCCCTCCCACATACCTATTGCTGAGAGAAGCCTCCTCCTGAGGTGCGTCTGGAAAGTTGGCATACGTCTTGAGCCTAAGCCAGGGAATCAGCTCTCATCTCGAGACGATTTGGGGTACACAGAGCATTCCTCGAGTTGCTGTGCTGAAGTTGGTGTTCCTCTAGACTTGGGACAGTGTTCTCGGGGTATCTCTGGAGTTGCCTGAAGGAAGTCGAGCCACCGGTCGTGTTGAATGGGGAACGGGGAATGGCTCTGGAGTCAATGCAGGGGAATCGGGCCTCATCTCGAGTTGATTTGGGGCACATGGAGCTGCTTTGCGTTGCTGGGGTGACCTCAGCGTCCGTCGAGACTGGTGACAGTGTTCTTGGGGACTGTCTCGAGATCCATTAAGCAAGTCGAAGCTCCTGACTTGTTTGAATGGGACCACGGAATAGCTCTGCATGCACTGCAGGGGAATGGGGTCTCATCTCGCCTCTAGGGGGAAGTCTCATGGTTTTTCTCGAGTTGCGGCGGGGACCTGGGGTATGTTCTCGACTTACGGCGGGGATGGCCCTTCAAAACACGAGTTTCTTCAGTGACGTCAGGACTCCTGTCTAGTAACGAGGGACACCTCAGGAATCTCATCGAGGCCTGGCAGTGCAAATGGGACGCTTCTTGAGGTGAGGCAGGGCACCCAAGGACCCTTTCCAGTAGCCACAGGGATTTTGGGATTCCTATCAGAATTCAAGAGGAGTCAGGCATCGTCACCTTTTGAAGCAATGAACTCCGCGTGCCTCTCGAGGTGTCAACGGGATGTGAGGCATTCCGTCCAAATGAGGCAGGGACCTAGGGCTTTCTCTAAGGTCTCCACAGGGGATTCAGACATCCCTTCATGTTGTGAGAAGAAAGACGAGCCTGTATTCAAGCCACTGCAAGGAAATCCGGCCTCCTTTCAAGTTAGGGCTTCTCGCTGTATATTGCCTTTGAGGCAGCGAACTCGGGGTCCCTCCCACATACCTATTGCTGAGAGAAGCCTCCTCCTGAGGTGCGTCTTGAAAGTTGGCATACGTCTTGAGCCTAAGCCAGGGAATCACCTCTCATCTCGAGACGATTTGGGGTACACGGAGCATTCCTCGAGTTGCCGTGCTGAAGTTGGTGTTCCTCTAGACTTGGGACAGTGTTCTCGGGGCATCTCTGGAGTTGCCTGAAGGAAGTCGAGCCACCGGTCGTGTTGAATGGGGAACGGGGAATGGCTCTGGAGTCAATGCAGGGGAATCGGGCCTCATCTCGAGTTGATTTGGGGCACATGGAGCTGCTTTGCGTTGCTAGGGTGACCTCAGCGTCCGTCGAGACTGGTGACAGTGTTCTTGGGGACTGTCTCGAGATCCATTAAGCAAGTCGAAGCTCCTGACTTGCTTGAATGGGACCACGGAATAGCTCTGCATGCACTGCAGGGGAATGGGGTCTCATCTCGCCTCTAGGGGGAAGTCTCATGGTTTTTCTCGAGTTGCGGCGGGGACCTGGGGTATGTTCTCGACTTACGGCGGAGATGGCCCTTCAAAACACGAGTTTCTTCAGTGACGTCAGGAATCCTGTCTAGTAACGAGGGACACCTCAGGAATCTCTTCCAGGCTTGGCAGGGCAAAAGGGACGCTTCTCGAGGTGAGGCAGGGCACCCAAGGACCCTTTCCAGTAGCCACGGGGATTTTGGGATTCCTATCAGTATTCAAGAGGAGTCAGGCATCTTCACCTTTTGAAGCAATGAACTCTGCGTGCCTCTCGAGGTGTCAACGGGATGTGAGGCATTCCGTCCAAATGAGGCAGGGACCTAGGGCTTTCTCTAAGGTCTACACAGGGGATTCAGACATCCCTTCATGTTGTGAGATCAAAGACGAGCCTGTATTCAAGCCACTGCAAGGAAATCCGGCCTGCTTTCAAGTTAGGGCTTCTCGCTTTATATTGCCCTTGAGGAAGCGAACTCGGGGTCCCTCCCACATACCTATTGCTGAGAAAAGCCTCCTCCTGAGGTGCGTCTTGAAAGTTGGCATACGTCTTGAGCCTAAGCCAGGGAATCAGCTCTCATCTCGAGAAGATTTGGGGTACACGGAGCATTCCTCGAGTTGCTGTGCTGAAGTTGGTGTTCCTCTAGACTTGGGTCAGTGTTCTCGGGGTATCTCTGGAGTTGCCTGAAGGAAGTCGAGCCACCGGTCGTGTTGAATGGGGAACGGGGAATGGCTCTGGAGTCAATGCAGGGGAATCGGGCCTCATCTCGAGTTGATTTGGGGCACATGGAGCTGCTTTGCGTTGCTGGGGTGACCTCAGCGTCCGTCGAGACTGGTGACAGTGTTCTTGGGGTCTGTCTCGAGATCCATTAAGCAAGTCGAAGCTCCTGACTTGTTTGAATGGGACCACGGAATAGCTCTACATGCACTGCAGGGGAATGGGGCCTCATCTCGCCTCTTGGGGGAAGTCTCATGGTTTTTCTCGAGTTGCGGCGGGGACCTGGGGTATGTTCTCGACTTACGGCGGGGATGGCCCTTCAAAACACGAGTTTCTTCAGTGAGGTCAGGACTCCTGTCTAGTAACGAGGGACACCTCAGGAATCACTTCGAGGCTTGGCAGTGCAAATGGGACGCTTCTTGAGGTGAGGCAGGGCACCCAAGGACCCTTTCCAGTAGCAACAGGGATTTTGGGATTCCTATCAGAATTCAAGAGGAGTCAGGCATCTTCACCTTTTGAAGCAATGAACTCCGCGTGCCTCTCGAGGTGTCAACGTGATGTGAGGCATTCCGTCAAAATGAGGCAGGGATCTAGGGCTTTCTCTAAGGTCTCCACAGGGGATTCAGACATCCCTTCATGTTGTGAGATCAAAGACGAGCCTGTATTCAAGCCACTGCATGGAAATCCGGCCTCCTTTCAAGTTAGGGCTTCTCGCTGTATATTGCCCTTGAGGCAGCGAACTGGGGGTCCCTTCCACATACCTATTGCTGAGAGAAGCCTCCTCCTGAGGTGCGTCTTGAAAGTTGGCATACGTCTTGAGCCTAAGCCAGGGAATCACCTCTCATCTCGAGACGATTTGGGGTACACGGAGCATTCCTCGAGTTGCCGTGCTGAAGTTGGTGTTCCTCTAGACTTGGGACAGTGTTCTCGGGGCATCTCTGGAGTTGCCTGAAGGAAGTCGAGCCACCGGTCGTGTTGAATGGGGAACGCGGAATGGCTCTGGAGTCAATGCAGGGGAATCGGGCCTCATCTCGAGTTGATTTGGGGCCCATGGAGCTGCTTTGCTTTGCTGGGGTGACCTCAGGGTCCGTCGAGACTGGTGACAGTGTTCTTGGGGACTGTCTCGAGAACCATTAAGCAAGTCGAAGCTCCTGACTTGCTTGAATTGGACCACGGAATAGCTCTGCATGCACTGCAGGGGAATGGGGCCTCATCTCGCCTCTAGGGGGAAGTCTCATGGTTTTTCTCGAGTTGCGGCGGGGACCTGGGGTATGTTCTCGACTTACGGCGCGGATGGCCCTTCAAAACACGAGTTTCTTCAGTGACGTCAGGACTCCTGTCTAGTAACGAGGGACACCTCAGGAATCTCTTCGAGGCTTGGCAGGGCAAAAGGGACGATTCTCGATGTGAGGCAGGGCACCCAAGGACCCTTTCCAGTAGCCAAAGGGATTTTGGGATTCCTATCAGTATTCAAGAGGAGTGAGGCATTGTCACCTTTTGAAGCAATGAACTTCGCGTGCCTCTTAAGGTGTTAACGGGATGTGAGGCATTCCGTCAAAATGAGGCAGGGACCTAGGGCTTTCTCTAAGGTCTCCACAGGGGATTCAGACATCCCTTCATGTTGTGAGATGAAAGACGAGCCTGTATTCAAGCCACTGCAAGGAAATCCGGCCTCCTTTCAAGTTAGGGCTTCTCGCTGTATATTGCCCTTGAGGCAGCGAACTCGGGGTCCCTCCCACATTCCTATTGCTGAGAGAAGCCTACTCCTGAGGTGCGTCTGGAAAGTTGGCATACGTCTTGAGCCTAAGCCAGGGAATCAGCTCTCATCTCGAGACGATTTGGGGTACACGGAGCATTCCTCGAGTTGCTGTGCTGAAGTTGGTGTTCCTCTAGACTTGGGACAGTGTTCTTGGAGTATCTCTGGAGTTGCCTGAAGTTAGTCGAGCCACCGGTCGTGTTGAATGGGGAACGGGGAATGGCTCTGGAGTCAATGCAGGGGAATCGGGCCTCATCTCGAGTTGATTTGGGGCACATGGAGCTGCTTTGCGTTGCTGGGGTGACCTCAGCGTCCGTCGAGACTGGTGACAGTGTTCTTGGGGACTGTCTCGAGATCCATTAAGCAAGTCGAAGCTCCTGACTTGTTTGAATGGGACCACGGAATAGCTCTGCATGCACTGCAGGGGAATGGGGCCTCATCTCGCCTCTAGGGGGAAGTCTCATGGTTTTTCTCGAGTTGTGGTGGGGACCTGGGTTATGTTCTCGACTTACGGCGGGGATGGCCCTTCAAAACACGAGTTTCTTCAGTGACGTCAGGACTCCTGTCTAGTAACGAGGGACACCTCAGGAATCTCTTCGAGGCTTGGCAGGGCAAAAGGGACGCTTCTCGAGGTGAGGCAGGGCACCCAAGGACCCTTTCCAGTAGCCACAGGGATTTTGGGATTCCTATCAGAATTCAAGAGGAGTGAGGCATTGTCACCTTTTGAAGCAATGAACTTCGCGTGCCTCTTGAGGTGTCAACGGGATGTGAGGCATTCCGTCAAAATGAGGCAGGGACCTAGGGCTTTCTCTAAGGTCTCCACAGGGGATTCAGACATCCCTTCATGTTGTGAGATGAAAGACGAGCCTGTATTCAAGCCACTGCAAGGAAATCCGGCCTCCTTTCAAGTAAGGGCTTCTCGCTGTATATTGCCCTTGAGGCAGCGAACTCGGGGTCCCTCCCACATACCTATTGCTGAGAGAAGCCTCCTCCTGAGGTGCGTCTGGAAAGTTGGCATACGTCTTGAGCCTAAGCCAGGGAATCAGCTCTCATCTCGAGACGATTTGGGGTACACAGAGCATTCCTCGAGTTGCTGTGCTGAAGTTGGTGTTCCTCTAGACTTGGGACAGTGTTCTCGGGGTATCTCTGGAGTTGCCTGAAGGAAGTCGAGCCACCGGTCGTGTTGAATGGGGAACGGGGAATGGCTCTGGAGTCAATGCAGGGGAATCGGGCCTCATCTCGAGTTGATTTGGGGCACATGGAGCTGCTTTGCGTTGCTGGGGTGACCTCAGCGTCCGTCGAGACTGGTGACAGTGTTCTTGGGGACTGTCTCGAGATCCATTAAGCAAGTCGAAGCTCCTGACTTGTTTGAATGGGACCACGGAATAGCTCTGCATGCACTGCAGGGGAATGGGGTCTCATCTCGCCTCTAGGGGGAAGTCTCATGGTTTTTCTCGAGTTGCGGCGGGGACCTGGGGTATGTTCTCGACTTACGGCGGGGATGGCCCTTCAAAACACGAGTTTCTTCAGTGACGTCAGGACTCCTGTCTAGTAACGAGGGACACCTCAGGAATCTCATCGAGGCCTGGCAGTGCAAATGGGACGCTTCTTGAGGTGAGGCAGGGCACCCAAGGACCCTTTCCAGTAGCCACAGGGATTTTGGGATTCCTATCAGAATTCAAGAGGAGTCAGGCATCGTCACCTTTTGAAGCAATGAACTCCGCGTGCCTCTCGAGGTGTCAACGGGATGTGAGGCATTCCGTCCAAATGAGGCAGGGACCTAGGGCTTTCTCTAAGGTCTCCACAGGGGATTCAGACATCCCTTCATGTTGTGAGAAGAAAGACGAGCCTGTATTCAAGCCACTGCAAGGAAATCCGGCCTCCTTTCAAGTTAGGGCTTCTCGCTGTATATTGCCTTTGAGGCAGCGAACTCGGGGTCCCTCCCACATACCTATTGCTGAGAGAAGCCTCCTCCTGAGGTGCGTCTTGAAAGTTGGCATACGTCTTGAGCCTAAGCCAGGGAATCACCTCTCATCTCGAGACGATTTGGGGTACACGGAGCATTCCTCGAGTTGCCGTGCTGAAGTTGGTGTTCCTCTAGACTTGGGACAGTGTTCTCGGGGCATCTCTGGAGTTGCCTGAAGGAAGTCGAGCCACCGGTCGTGTTGAATGGGGAACGGGGAATGGCTCTGGAGTCAATGCAGGGGAATCGGGCCTCATCTCGAGTTGATTTGGGGCACATGGAGCTGCTTTGCGTTGCTAGGGTGACCTCAGCGTCCGTCGAGACTGGTGACAGTGTTCTTGGGGACTGTCTCGAGATCCATTAAGCAAGTCGAAGCTCCTGACTTGCTTGAATGGGACCACGGAATAGCTCTGCATGCACTGCAGGGGAATGGGGTCTCATCTCGCCTCTAGGGGGAAGTCTCATGGTTTTTCTCGAGTTGCGGCGGGGACCTGGGGTATGTTCTCGACTTACGGCGGAGATGGCCCTTCAAAACACGAGTTTCTTCAGTGACGTCAGGAATCCTGTCTAGTAACGAGGGACACCTCAGGAATCTCTTCCAGGCTTGGCAGGGCAAAAGGGACGCTTCTCGAGGTGAGGCAGGGCACCCAAGGACCCTTTCCAGTAGCCACGGGGATTTTGGGATTCCTATCAGTATTCAAGAGGAGTCAGGCATCTTCACCTTTTGAAGCAATGAACTCTGCGTGCCTCTCGAGGTGTCAACGGGATGTGAGGCATTCCGTCCAAATGAGGCAGGGACCTAGGGCTTTCTCTAAGGTCTACACAGGGGATTCAGACATCCCTTCATGTTGTGAGATCAAAGACGAGCCTGTATTCAAGCCACTGCAAGGAAATCCGGCCTGCTTTCAAGTTAGGGCTTCTCGCTTTATATTGCCCTTGAGGAAGCGAACTCGGGGTCCCTCCCACATACCTATTGCTGAGAAAAGCCTCCTCCTGAGGTGCGTCTTGAAAGTTGGCATACGTCTTGAGCCTAAGCCAGGGAATCAGCTCTCATCTCGAGAAGATTTGGGGTACACGGAGCATTCCTCGAGTTGCTGTGCTGAAGTTGGTGTTCCTCTAGACTTGGGTCAGTGTTCTCGGGGTATCTCTGGAGTTGCCTGAAGGAAGTCGAGCCACCGGTCGTGTTGAATGGGGAACGGGGAATGGCTCTGGAGTCAATGCAGGGGAATCGGGCCTCATCTCGAGTTGATTTGGGGCACATGGAGCTGCTTTGCGTTGCTGGGGTGACCTCAGCGTCCGTCGAGACTGGTGACAGTGTTCTTGGGGTCTGTCTCGAGATCCATTAAGCAAGTCGAAGCTCCTGACTTGTTTGAATGGGACCACGGAATAGCTCTACATGCACTGCAGGGGAATGGGGCCTCATCTCGCCTCTTGGGGGAAGTCTCATGGTTTTTCTCGAGTTGCGGCGGGGACCTGGGGTATGTTCTCGACTTACGGCGGGGATGGCCCTTCAAAACACGAGTTTCTTCAGTGAGGTCAGGACTCCTGTCTAGTAACGAGGGACACCTCAGGAATCACTTCGAGGCTTGGCAGTGCAAATGGGACGCTTCTTGAGGTGAGGCAGGGCACCCAAGGACCCTTTCCAGTAGCAACAGGGATTTTGGGATTCCTATCAGAATTCAAGAGGAGTCAGGCATCTTCACCTTTTGAAGCAATGAACTACGCGTGCCTCTCGAGGTGTCAACGTGATGTGAGGCATTCCGTCAAAATGAGGCAGGGATCTAGGGCTTTCTCTAAGGTCTCCACAGGGGATTCAGACATCCCTTCATGTTGTGAGATCAAAGACGAGCCTGTATTCAAGCCACTGCATGGAAATCCGGCCTCCTTTCAAGTTAGGGCTTCTCGCTGTATATTGCCCTTGAGGCAGCGAACTGGGGGTCCCTTCCACATACCTATTGCTGAGAGAAGCCTCCTCCTGAGGTGCGTCTTGAAAGTTGGCATACGTCTTGAGCCTAAGCCAGGGAATCACCTCTCATCTCGAGACGATTTGGGGTACACGGAGCATTCCTCGAGTTGCCGTGCTGAAGTTGGTGTTCCTCTAGACTTGGGACAGTGTTCTCGGGGCATCTCTGGAGTTGCCTGAAGGAAGTCGAGCCACCGGTCGTGTTGAATGGGGAACGCGGAATGGCTCTGGAGTCAATGCAGGGGAATCGGGCCTCATCTCGAGTTGATTTGGGGCCCATGGAGCTGCTTTGCTTTGCTGGGGTGACCTCAGGGTCCGTCGAGACTGGTGACAGTGTTCTTGGGGACTGTCTCGAGAACCATTAAGCAAGTCGAAGCTCCTGACTTGCTTGAATTGGACCACGGAATAGCTCTGCATGCACTGCAGGGGAATGGGGCCTCATCTCGCCTCTAGGGGGAAGTCTCATGGTTTTTCTCGAGTTGCGGCGGGGACCTGGGGTATGTTCTCGACTTACGGCGCGGATGGCCCTTCAAAACACGAGTTTCTTCAGTGACGTCAGGACTCCTGTCTAGTAACGAGGGACACCTCAGGAATCTCTTCGAGGCTTGGCAGGGCAAAAGGGACGATTCTCGATGTGAGGCAGGGCACCCAAGGACCCTTTCCAGTAGCCAAAGGGATTTTGGGATTCCTATCAGTATTCAAGAGGAGTGAGGCATTGTCACCTTTTGAAGCAATGAACTTCGCGTGCCTCTTAAGGTGTTAACGGGATGTGAGGCATTCCGTCAAAATGAGGCAGGGACCTAGGGCTTTCTCTAAGGTCTCCACAGGGGATTCAGACATCCCTTCATGTTGTGAGATGAAAGACGAGCCTGTATTCAAGCCACTGCAAGGAAATCCGGCCTCCTTTCAAGTTAGGGCTTCTCGCTGTATATTGCCCTTGAGGCAGCGAACTCGGGGTCCCTCCCACATTCCTATTGCTGAGAGAAGCCTACTCCTGAGGTGCGTCTGGAAAGTTGGCATACGTCTTGAGCCTAAGCCAGGGAATCAGCTCTCATCTCGAGACGATTTGGGGTACACGGAGCATTCCTCGAGTTGCTGTGCTGAAGTTGGTGTTCCTCTAGACTTGGGACAGTGTTCTTGGAGTATCTCTGGAGTTGCCTGAAGTTAGTCGAGCCACCGGTCGTGTTGAATGGGGAACGGGGAATGGCTCTGGAGTCAATGCAGGGGAATCGGGCCTCATCTCGAGTTGATTTGGGGCACATGGAGCTGCTTTGCGTTGCTGGGGTGACCTCAGCGTCCGTCGAGACTGGTGACAGTGTTCTTGGGGACTGTCTCGAGATCCATTAAGCAAGTCGAAGCTCCTGACTTGTTTGAATGGGACCACGGAATAGCTCTGCATGCACTGCAGGGGAATGGGGCCTCATCTCGCCTCTAGGGGGAAGTCTCATGGTTTTTCTCGAGTTGTGGTGGGGACCTGGGTTATGTTCTCGACTTACGGCGGGGATGGCCCTTCAAAACACGAGTTTCTTCAGTGACGTCAGGACTCCTGTCTAGTAACGAGGGACACCTCAGGAATCTCTTCGAGGCTTGGCAGGGCAAAAGGGACGCTTCTCGAGGTGAGGCAGGGCACCCAAGGACCCTTTCCAGTAGCCACAGGGATTTTGGGATTCCTATCAGAATTCAAGAGGAGTGAGGCATTGTCACCTTTTGAAGCAATGAACTTCGCGTGCCTCTTGAGGTGTCAACGGGATGTGAGGCATTCCGTCAAAATGAGGCAGGGACCTAGGGCTTTCTCTAAGGTCTCCACAGGGGATTCAGACATCCCTTCATGTTGTGAGATGAAAGACGAGCCTGTATTCAAGCCACTGCAAGGAAATCCGGCCTCCTTTCAAGTAAGGGCTTCTCGCTGTATATTGCCCTTGAGGCAGCGAACTCGGGGTCCCTCCCACATACCTATTGCTGAGAGAAGCCTCCTCCTGAGGTGCGTCTGGAAAGTTGGCATACGTCTTGAGCCTAAGCCAGGGAATCAGCTCTCATCTCGAGACGATTTGGGGTACACAGAGCATTCCTCGAGTTGCTGTGCTGAAGTTGGTGTTCCTCTAGACTTGGGACAGTGTTCTCGGGGTATCTCTGGAGTTGCCTGAAGGAAGTCGAGCCACCGGTCGTGTTGAATGGGGAACGGGTAATGGCTCTGGAGTCAATGCAGGGGAATCGGGCCTCATCTCGAGTTGATTTGGGGCACACGGAGCTGCTTTGCGTTGCTGGGGTGACCTCAGCGTCGGTCGAGACTGGTGACAGTGTTCTTGGGGACTGTCTCGAGATCGATTAAGCAAGTCGAAGCTCCTGACTTGTTTGAATGGGACCACGGAATAGCTCTGCATGCACTGCAGGGGAATGGGGCCTCATCTCGCCTCTAGGGGGAAGTCTCATGGTTTTTCTCGAGTTGCGGCGGGGACCTGGGGTATGTTCTCGACTTACAGCGGGGATGGCCCTTCAAAACACGAGTTTCTTCAGTGACGTCAGGACTCCTGTCTAGTAACGAGGGACACCTCAGGAATCTCTTCGAGGCTTGGCAGGGCAAAAGGGACGCTTCTCGAGGTGAGGCAGGACACCCAAGGACACTTTCCAGTAGCCACAGGGATTTTGGGTTTCCTATCAGTATTCAAGAGGAGTGAGTCATTGTCACCTTTTGAAGCAATGAACTTTGCGTGCCTCTTGAGGTGTCAACGGGATGTGAGGCATTCCGTCAAAATGAGGCAGGGACCTAGGGCTTTCTCTAAGGTCTCCACAGGGGATTCAGACATCCCTTCATGTTGTGAGATCAAAGACGAGCCTGTATTCAAGCCACTGCAAGGAAATCCGGCCTCCTTTCAAGTTAGGGCTTCTCGCTGTATATTGCCCTTGAGGCAGCGAACTCGGGGTCCCTCCCACATACCTATTGCTGAGAGAAGCCTCCTCCTGAGGTGCGTCTGGAAAGTTGGCATACGTCTTGAGCCTAAGCCAGGGAATCAGCTCTCATCTCGAGACGATTTGGGGTACACGGAGCATTCCTCGAGTTGCTGTGCTGAAGTTGGTGTTCCTCTAGACTTGGGACAGTGTTCTCGGGGTATCTCTGGAGTTGCCTGAAGGAAGTCGAGCCACCGGTCGTGTTGAATGGGGAACGGGTAATGGCTCTGGAGTCAATGCAGGGGAATCGGGCCTCATCTCGAGTTGATTTGGGGCACATGGAGCTGCTTTGCGTTGCTGTTGTGACCTCAGCGTCGGTCGAGACTGGTGACAGTGTTCTTGGGGACTGTCTCGAGATCGATTAAGCAAATCGAAGCTCCTGACTTGTTTGAATGGGACCACGGAATAGCTCTGCATGCACTGCAGGGGAATGGGGCCTCATCTCGCCTCTAGGGGGAAGTCTCATGATTTTTCTCGAGTTGCGGCGGGGACCTGGGGTATGTTCTCGACTTACGGCGGCGATGGCCCTTCAAAACACGAGTTTCTTCAGTGACGTCAGGACTCCTGTCTAGTAACGAGGGACACCTCAGGAATATCATCGAGGCTTGGCAGGGCAAAAGGGACGCTTCTCGAGGTGAGGCAGGGCACCCAAGGACCCTTTCCAGTAGCCACAGGGATTTTGGGATTCCTATCAGTATTCAAGAGGAGTGAGGCATTGTCACCTTTTGAAGCAATGAACTTTGCGTGCCTCTTGAGGTGTCAACGGGATGTGAGGCATTCCGTCAAAATGAGGCAGGGACCTAGGGCTTTTTCTAAGGTCTCCACAGGGGATTCAGACATCCCTTCATGTTGTGAGATCAAAGACGAGCCTGTATTCAAGCCACTGCAAGGAAATCCGGCCTCCTTTCAAGTTAGGGCTTCTCGCTGTATATTGCCCTTGAGGCAGAGAATTCGGGGTCCCTCCCACATACTTATTGCTGAGAGAAGCCTCCTCCTGAGGTGCGTCTTGAAAGTTGGCATACGTCTTGAGCCTAAGCCAGGGAATCACCTCTCATCTCGAGACGATTTGGGGTACACGGAGCATTCCTCGAGTTGCCGTGCTGAAGTTGGTGTTCCTCTAGACGTGGGACAGTGTTCTCGGGGCATCTCTGGAGTTGCCTGAAGGAAGTCGAGCCACGGGTCGTGTTGAATGGGGAACGGGGAATGGCTCTGGAGTCAATGCAGGGGAATCGGGCCTCATCTCGAGTTGATTTGGGGCCCATGGAGCTGCTTTGCGTTGCTGTGGTGACGTCAGGGTCCGTCGAGACTGGTGACAGTGTTCTTGGGGACTGTCTCGAGAACAATTAAGCAAGTCGAAGCTCCTGACTTGCTTGAATGGGACCACGGAATAGCTCTGCATGCACTGCAGGGGAATGGGACCTCATCTCGCCTCTAGGGGGAAGTCTCATGGTTTTTCTCGAGTTGCGGCGGGGACCTGGGGTATGTTCTCGACTTACGGCGGGGATGGCCCTTCAAAACACGAGTTTCTTCAGTGACGTCAGGACTCCTGTCTAGTAACGAGGGACACCTCAGGAATCTCTTCCAGGCTTGGCAGGGCAAAAGGGACGCTTCTCGAGGTGAGGCAGGGCACCCAAGGACCCTTTCCAGTAGACACGGGGATTTTGGGATTCCTATCAGTATTCAAGAGGAGTCAGGCATCTTCACCTTTTGAAGCAATGAACTCTGCGTGCCTCTCGAGGTGTCAACGGGATGTGAGGCATTCCGTCCAAATGAGGCAGGGACCTAGGGCTTTCTCTAAGGTCTACACAGGGGATTCAGACATCCCTTCATGTTGTGAGATGAAAGACGAGCCTGTATTCAAGCTACTGCAAGGAAATCCGGCCTCCTTTCAAGTTAGGGCTTCTCGCTGTATATTGCCCTTGAGGCAGCGAACTCGGGGTCCCTCCCACATACCTATTGCTGAGAGAAGCCTACTCCTGAGGTGCGTCTGGAAAGTTGGCATACGTCTTGAGCCTAAGCCAGGGAATCAGCTCTCATCTCGAGACGATTTGGGGTACACGGAGCATTCCTCGAGTTGCTGTGCTGAAGTTGGTGTTCCTCTAGACTTGGGACAATGTTCTTGGGGTATCTCTGGAGTTGCCTGAAGTTAGTCGAGCCACCGGTCGTGTTGAATGGGGAACGGGGAATGGCTCTGGAGTCAATGCAGGGGAATCGGGCCTCATCTCGAGTTGTTTTGGGGCACATGGAGCTGCTTTGCGTTGCTGGGGTGACCTCAGCGTCCGTCGAGACTGGTGACAGTGTTCTTGGGGACTGTCTCGAGATCCATTAAGCAAGTCGAAGCTCCTGACTTGTTTGAATGGGACCACGGAATAGCTCTGCATGCACTGCAGGGGAATGGGGCCTCATCTCGCCTCTAGGGGGAAGTCTCATGGTTTTTCTCGAGTTGCGGCAGGGACCTGGGTTATGTTCTCGACTTAAGGCGGGGATGGCCCTTCAAAACACGAGTTTCTTCAGTGACGTCAGGACTCCTGTCTAGTAACGAGGGACACCTCAGGAATCTCTTCGAGGCTTGGCAGGGCAAAAGGGACGCTTCTCGAGGTGAGGCAGGGCACCCAAGGACCCTTTCCAGTAGCCACAGGGATTTTGGGATTCCTATCAGAATTCAAGAGGAGTGAGGCATTGTCACCTTTTGAAGCAATGAACTTCGCGTGCCTCTTGAGGTGTCAACGGGATGTGAGGCATTCCGTCAAAATGAGGCAGGGACCTAGGGCTTTCTCTAAGGTCTCCACAGGGGATTCAGACATCCCTTCATGTTGTGAGATGAAAGACGAGCCTGTATTCAAGCCACTGCAAGGAAATCCGGCCTCCTTTGAAGTTAGGGCTTCTCGCTGTATATTGCCCTTTAGGCAGCGAACTCGGGGTCCCTCCCACATACCTATTGCTGAGAGAAGCCTCCTCCTGAGGTGCTTCTGGAAAGTTGGCATACGTCTTGAGCCTAAGCCAGGGAATCAGCTCTCATCTCGAGACGATTTGGGGTACACAGAGCATTCCTCGAGTTGCTGTGCTGAAGTTGGTGTTCCTCTAGACTTGGGACAGTGTTCTCGGGGTATCTCTGGAGTTGCCTGAAGGAAGTCGAGCCACCGGTCGTGTTGAATGGGGAACGGGTAATGGCTCTGGAGTCAATGCAGGGGAATCGGGCCTCATCTCGAGTTGATTTGGGGCACATGGAGCTGCTTTGCGTTGCTGGGGTGACCTCAGCGTCGGTCGAGACTGGTGACAGTGTTCTTGGGGACTGTCTCGAGATCGATTAAGCAAGTCGAAGCTCCTGACTTGTTTGAATGGGACCACGGAATAGCTCTGCATGCACTGCAGGGGAATGGGGCCTCATCTCGCCTCTAGGGGGAAGTCTCATGGTTTTTCTCGAGTTGCGGCGGGAACCTGGGGTATGTTCTCGACTTACAGCGGGGATGGCCCTTCAAAACACGAGTTTCTTCAGTGACGTCAGGACTCCTGTCTAGTAACGAGGGACACCTCAGGAATCTCTTCGAGGCTTGGCAGGGCAAAAGGGACGCTTCTCGAGGTGAGGCAGGGCACCCAAGGACCCTTTCCAGTAGCCACAGGGATTTTGGGATTCCTATCAGTATTCAAGAGGAGTGAGGCATTGTCACCTTTTGAAGCAATGAACTTTGCGTGCCTCTTGAGGTGTCAACGGGATGTGAGGCATTCCGTCAAAATGAGGCAGGGACCTAGGGCTTTCTCTAAGGTCTCCACAGGGGATTCAGACATCCCTTCATGTTGTGAGATCAAAGACGAGCCTGTATTCAAGCCACTGCAAGGAAATCCGGCCTCCTTTCAAGTTAGGGCTTCTCGCTGTATATTGCCCTTGAGTCAGAGAACTCGGGGTCCCTCCCACATACTTATTGCTGAGAGAAGCCTCCTCCTGAGGTGCGTCTTGAAAGTTGGCATACGTCTTGAGCCTAAGCCAGGGAATCACCTCTCATCTCGAGACGATTTGGGGTACACGGAGAATTCCTCGAGTTGCCGTGCTGAAGTTGGTGTTCCTCTAGACTTGGGACAGTGTTCTCGGGGCATCTCTGGAGTTGCCTGAAGGAAGTCGAGCCACCGGTCGTGTTGAATGGGGAACGGGGAATGGCTCTGGAGTCAATGCAGGGGAATCGGGCCTCATCTCGAGTTGATTTGGGGCACATGGAGCTGCTTTGCTTTGCTGGGGTGACCTCAGCGTCCGTCGAGACTGGTGACAGTGTTCTTGGGGACTGTCTCGAGATCCATTAAGCAAGTCGAAGCTCCTGACTTGTTTGAATGGGACCACGGAATAGCTCTGCATGCACTGCAGGGGAATGGGGCCTCATCTCGCCTCTAGGGGGAAGTCTCATGGTTTTTCTCGAGTTGCGGCGGGGACCTGGGTTATGTTCTCGACTTACGGCGGGGATGGCCCTTCAAAACACGAGTTTCTTCAGTGACGTCAGGACTCCTGTCTGGTAACGAGGGACATCACAGGAATCTCATCGAGGCTTGGCAGTGCAAATGGGACGCTTCTTGAGGTGAGGCAGGGCACCCAAGGACCCTTTCCAGTAGCCACAGGGATTTTGGGATTCCTATCAGAATTCAAGAGGAGTCAGGCATCGTCACCTTTTGAAGCAATGAACTCCGCGTGCCTCTCGAGGTGTCAACGGGATGTGAGGCATTCCGTCCAAATGAGGCAGGGACCTAGGGCTTTCTCTAAGGTCTCCACAGGGGATTCAGACATCCCTTCATGTTGTGAGAAGAAAGACGAGCCTGTATTCAAGCCACTGCAAGGAAATCCGGCCTCCTTTCAAGTTAGGGCTTCTCGCTGTATATTGCCTTTGAGGCAGCGAACTCGGGGTCCCTCCCACATACCTATTGCTGAGAGAAGCCTCCTCCTGAGGTGCGTCTTGAAAGTTGGCATACGTCTTGAGCCTAAGCCAGGGAATCACCTCTCATCTCGAGACGATTTGAGGTACACGGAGCATTCCTCGAGTTGCCTTGTTGAAGTTGGTGTTCCTCTAGACTTGGGACAGTGTTCTCGGGGCATCTCTGGAGTTGCCTGAAGGAAGTCGAGCCACCGGTCGTGTTGAATGGGGAACGGGGAATGGCTCTGGAGTCAATGCAGGGGAATCGGGCCTCATCTCGAGTTGATTTGGGGCACATGGAGCTGCTTTGCGTTGCTAGGGTGACCTCAGCGTCCGTCGAGACTGGTGACAGTGTTCTTGGGGACTGTCTCGAGATCCATTAAGCAAGTCGAAGCTCCTGACTTGCTTGAATGGGACCACGGAATAGCTCTGCATGCACTGCAGGGGAATGGGGTCTCATCTCGCCTCTAGGGGGAAGTCTCATGGTTTTTCTCGAGTTGCGGCGGGGACCTGGGGTATGTTCTCGACTTACGGCGGGGATGGCCCTTCAAAACACGAGTTTCTTCAGTGACGTCAGGAATCCTGTCTAGTAACGAGGGACACCTCAGGAATCTCTTCCAGGCTTGGCAGGGCAAAAGGGACGCTTCTCGAGGTGAGGCAGGGCACCCAAGGACCCTTTCCAGTAGACACGGGGATTTTGGGATTCCTATCAGTATTCAAGAGGAGTCAGGCATCTTCACCTTTTGAAGCAATGAACTCTGCGTGCCTCTCGAGGTGTCAACGGGATGTGAGGCATTCCGTCCAAATGAGGCAGGGACCTAGGGCTTTCTCTAAGGTCTCCACAGGGGATTCAGACATCCCTTCATGTTGTGAGATGAAAGACGAGCCTGTATTCAAGCTACTGCAAGGAAATCCGGCCTCCTTTCAAGTTAGGGCTTCTCGCTGTATATTGCCCTTGAGGCAGCGAACTCGGGGTCCCTCCCACATACCTATTGCTGAGAGAAGCCTACTCCTGAGGTGCGTCTGGAAAGTTGGCATACGTCTTGAGCCTAAGCCAGGGAATCAGCTCTCATCTCGAGACGATTTGGGGTACACGGAGCATTCCACGAGTTGCTGTGCTGAAGTTGGTGTTCCTCTAGACTTGGGACAATGTTCTTGGGGTATCTCTGGAGTTGCCTGAAGTTAGTCGAGCCACCGGTCGTGTTGAATGGGGAACGGGGAATGGCTCTGGAGTCAATGCAGGGGAATCGGGCCTCATCTCGAGTTGTTTTGGGGCACATGGAGCTGCTTTGCGTTGCTGGGGTGACCTCAGCGTCCGTCGAGACTGGTGACAGTGTTCTTGGGGACTGTCTCGAGATCCATTAAGCAAGTCGAAGCTCCTGACTTGTTTGAATGGGACCACGGAATAGCTCTGCATGCACTGCAGGGGAATGGGGCCTCATCTCGCCTCTAGGGGGAAGTCTCATGGTTTTTCTCGAGTTGCGGCGGGGACCTGGGTTATGTTCTCGACTTAAGGCGGGGATGGCCCTTCAAAACACGAGTTTCTTCAGTGACGTCAGGACTCCTGTCTAGTAACGAGGGACACCTCAGGAATCTCTTCGAGGCTTGGCAGGGCAAAAGGGACGCTTCTCGAGGTGAGGCAGGGCACCCAAGGACCCTTTCCAGTAGCCACAGGGATTTTGGGATTCCTATCAGAATTCAAGAGGAGTGAGGCATTGTCACCTTTTGAAGCAATGAACTTCGCGTGCCTCTTGAGGTGTCAACGGGATGTGAGGCATTCCGTCAAAATGAGGCAGGGACCTAGGGCTTTCTCTAAGGTCTCCACAGGGGATTCAGACATCTCTTCATGTTGTGAGATGAAAGACGAGCCTGTATTCAAGCCACTGCAAGGAAATCCGGCCTCCTTTCAAGTTAGGGCTTCTCGCTGTATATTGCCCTTGAGGCAGCGAACTCGGGGTCCCTCCCACATACCTATTGCTGAGAGAAGCCTCCTCCTGAGGTGCGTCTGGAAAGTTGGCATACGTCTTGAGCCTAAGCCAGGGAATCAGCTCTCATCTCGAGACGATTTGGGGTACACAGAGCATTCCTCGAGTTGCTGTGCTGAAGTTGGTGTTCCTCTAGACTTGGGACAGTGTTCTCGGGGTATCTCTGGAGTTGCCTGAAGGAAGTCGAGCCACCGGTCGTGTTGAATGGGGAACGGGTAATGGCTCTGGGGTCAATGCAGGGGAATCGGGCCTCATCTCGAGTTGATTTGGGGCACATGGAGCTGCTTTGCGTTGCTGGGGTGACCTCAGCGTCGGTCGAGACTGGTGACAGTGTTCTTGGGGACTGTCTCGAGATCGATTAAGCAAGTCGAAGCTCCTGACTTGTTTGAATGGGACCACGGAATAGCTCTGCATGCACTGCAGGGGAATGGGGCCTCATCTCGCCTCTAGGGGGAAGTCTCATGGTTTTTCTCGAGTTGCGGCGGGGACCTGGGGTATGTTCTCGACTTACAGCGGGGATGGCCCTTCAAAACACGAGTTTCTTCAGTGACGTCAGGACTCCTGTCTAGTAACGAGGGACACCTCAGGAATCTCTTCGAGGCTTGGCAGGGCAAAAGGGACGCTTCTCGAGGTGAGGCAGGGCACCCAAGGACCCTTTCCAGTAGCCACAGGGATTTTGGGATTCCTATCAGTATTCAAGAGGAGTGAGGCATTGTCACCTTTTGAAGCAATGAACTTTGCGTGCCTCTTGAGGTGTCAACGGGATGTGAGGCATTCCGTCAAAATGAGGCAGGGACCTAGGGCTTTCTCTAAGGTCTCCACAGGGGATTCAGACATCCCTTCATGTTGTGAGATGAAAGACGAGCCTGTATTCAAGCCACTGCAAGGAAATCCGACCTCCTTTCAAGTTAGGGCTTCTCGCTGTATATTGCCCTTGAGTCAGAGAACTCGGGGTCCCTCCCACATACTTATTGCTGAGAGAAGCCTCCTCCTGAGGTGCGTCTTGAAAGTTGGCATACGTCTTGAGCCTAAGCCAGGGAATCACCTCTCATCTCGAGACGATTTGGGGTACACGGAGAATTCCTCGAGTTGCCGTGCTGAAGTTGGTGTTCCTCTAGACTTGGGACAGTGTTCTCGGGGCATCTCTGGAGTTGCCTGAAGGAAGTCGAGCCACCGGTCGTGTTGAATGTGGAACGGGGAATGGCTCTGGAGTCAATGCAGGGGAATCGGGCCTCATCTCGAGTTGATTTGGGGTCCATGGAGCCGCTTTGCGTTGCTGGGGTGACTTCAGGGTCCGTCGAGACTGGTGACAGTGTTCTTGGGGACTGTCTGGAGAACCATTAAGCAAGTCGAAGCTCCTGACTTGCTTGAATGGGACCACGGAAGCTCTGCATGCACTGCAGGGGAATGGGGCCTCATCTCGCCTCTAGGGGGAAATCTCATGGTTTTTCTCGAGTTGCGGCGGGGACCTGGGGTATGTTTTCGACTTACGGCGGGGATGGCCCTTCAAAACACGAGTTTCTTCAGTGACGTCAGGACTCCTGTCTAGTAACGAGGGACACATCAGGAATCTCTTCGAGGCTTGGCAGGGCAAAAGGGACGCTTCTCGAGGTGAGGCAGGGCACCCAAGGACCCTTTCCAGTAGAAACAGGGATTTTGGGTTTCCTATCAGTATTCAAGAGGAGTGAGGCATTGTCACCTTTTGAAGCAATGAACTTCGCGTGCCTCTTGAGGTGTCAACGGAATGTGAGGCATTCCGTCAAAATGAGGCAGGGACCTAGGGCTTTCTCTAAGGTCTCCACAGGGGATTCAGACATCCCTTCATGTTGTGAGATGAAAGACGAGCCTGTATTCAAGCCACTGCAAGGAAATCCGGCCTCCTTTCAAGTTAGGGCTTCTCGCTGTATATTGCCCTTGAGGCAGCGAACTCGGGGTCCCTCCCACATACCTATTGCTGAGAGAAGCCTCCTCCTGAGGTGCTTCTGGAAAGTTGGAATACGTCTTGAGCCTAAGCCAGGGAATCAGCTCTCATCTCGATATGATTTGGGGTACACGGAGCATTCCTCGAGTTGCTGTGCTGAAGTTGGTGTTCCTCTAGACATGGGACAGTGTTCTCCGGGTATCTCTGGAGTTGCCTGAAGGAAGTCGAGCCACCGGTCGTGTTGAATGGGGAACGGGGAATGGCTCTCGAGTCAATGCAGGGGAATCGGGCCTCATCTCGAGTTGATTTGGGGCACATGGAGCTGCTTTGCGTTGCTGGGGTGACCTCAGGGTCCGTCGAGACTGGTGACAGTGTTCTTGGGGACTCTCTCGAGAACCATTAAGCAAGTCGAAGCTCCTGACTTGCTTGAATGGGACCACGGAATAGCTCTGCATGCACTGCAGGGGAATGGGGCCTCATCTCGCCTCTAGGGGGAAGTCTCATGGTTTTTCTCGAGTTGCGGCGGGGACCTGGGGTATGTTCTCGACTTACGGCGGGGATGGCCCTTCAAAACACGAGTTTCTTCAGTGACGTCAGGACTCCTGTCTAGTAACGAGGGACACCTCAGGAATCTCTGCGAGGCTTGGCAGGGCAAAAGGGACGCTTCTCGAGGTGAGGCAGGGCACCCAAGGACCCTTTCCAGTAGCCACAGGGATTTTGGGATTCCTATCAGAATTCAAGAGGAGTGAGGCATTGTCACCTTTTGAAGCAATGAACTTCGCGTGCCTCTTGAGGTGTCAACGGGATGTGAGGCATTCCGTCAAAATGAGGCAGGGACCTAGGGCTTTCTCTAAGGTCTCCACAGGGGATTCAGACATCTCTTCATGTTGTGAGATGAAAGACGAGCCTGTATTCAAGCCACTGCAAGGAAATCCGGCCTCCTTTCAAGTTAGGGCTTCTCGCTGTATATTGCCCTTGAGGCAGCGAACTCGGGGTCCCTCCCACATACCTATTGCTGAGAGAAGCCTCCTCCTGAGGTGCGTCTGGAAAGTTGGCATACGTCTTGAGCCTAAGCCAGGGAATCAGCTCTCATCTCGAGACGATTTGGGGTACACAGAGCATTCCTCGAGTTGCTGTGCTGAAGTTGGTGTTCCTCTAGACTTGGGACAGTGTTCTCGGGGTATCTCTGGAGTTGCCTGAAGGAAGTCGAGCCACCGGTCGTGTTGAATGGGGAACGGGTAATGGCTCTGGAGTCAATGCAGGGGAATCGGGCCTCATCTCGAGTTGATTTGGGGCACATGGAGCTGCTTTGCGTTGCTGGGGTGACCTCAGCGTCGGTCGAGACTGGTGACAGTGTTCTTGGGGACTGTCTCGAGATCGATTAAGCAAGTCGAAGCTCCTGACTTGTTTGAATGGGACCACGGAATAGCTCTGCATGCACTGCAGGGGAATGGGGCCTCATCTCGCCTCTAGGGGGAAGTCTCATGGTTTTTCTCGAGTTGCGGCGGGGACCTGGGGTAGGTTCTCGACTTACAGCGGGGATGGCCCTTCAAAACACGAGTTTCTTCAGTGACGTCAGGACTCCTGTCTAGTAACGAGGGACACCTCAGGAATCTCTTCGAGGCTTGGCAGGGCAAAAGGGACGCTTCTCGAGGTGAGGCAGGGCACCCAAGGACCCTTTCCAGTAGCCACAGGGATTTTGGGATTCCTATCAGTATTCAAGAGGAGTGAGGCATTGTCACCTTTTGAAGCAATGAACTTTGCGTGCCTCTTGAGGTGTCAACGGGATGTGAGGCATTCCGTCAAAATGAGGCAGGGACCTAGGGCTTTCTCTAAGGTCTCCACAGGGGATTCAGACATCCCTTCATGTTGTGAGATGAAAGACGAGCCTGTATTCAAGCCACTGCAAGGAAATCCGACCTCCTTTCAAGTTAGGGCTTCTCGCTGTATATTGCCCTTGAGTCAGAGAACTCGGGGTCCCTCCCACATACTTATTGCTGAGAGAAGCCTCCTCCTGAGGTGCGTCTTGAAAGTTGGCATACGTCTTGAGCCTAAGCCAGGGAATCACCTCTCATCTCGAGACGATTTGGGGTACACGGAGAATTCCTCGAGTTGCCGTGCTGAAGTTGGTGTTCCTCTAGACTTGGGACAGTGTTCTCGGGGCATCTCTGGAGTTGCCTGAAGGAAGTCGAGCCACCGGTCGTGTTGAATGGGGAACGGGGAATGGCTCTGGAGTCAATGCAGGGGAATCGGGCCTCATCTCGAGTTGATTTGGGGTCCATGGAGCCGCTTTGCGTTGCTGGGGTGACTTCAGGGTCCGTCGAGACTGGTGACAGTGTTCTTGGGGACTGTCTGGAGAACCATTAAGCAAGTCGAAGCTCCTGACTTGCTTGAATGGGACCACGGAAGCTCTGCATGCACTGCAGGGGAATGGGGCCTCATCTCGCCTCTAGGGGGAAATCTCATGGTTTTTCTCGAGTTGCGGCGGGGACCTGGGGTATGTTTTCGACTTACGGCGGGGATGGCCCTTCAAAACACGAGTTTCTTCAGTGACGTCAGGACTCCTGTCTAGTAACGAGGGACACATCAGGAATCTCTTCGAGGCTTGGCAGGGCAAAAGGGACGCTTCTCGAGGTGAGGCAGGGCACCCAAGGACCCTTTCCAGTAGAAACAGGGATTTTGGGTTTCCTATCAGTATTCAAGAGGAGTGAGGCATTGTCACCTTTTGAAGCAATGAACTTCGCGTGCCTCTTGAGGTGTCAACGGGATGTGAGGCATTCCGTCAAAATGAGGCAGGGACCTAGGGCTTTCTCTAAGGTCTCCACAGGGGATTCAGACATCCCTTCATGTTGTGAGATGAAAGACGAGCCTGTATTCAAGCCACTGCAAGGAAATCCGGCCTCCTTTCAAGTTAGGGCTTCTCGCTGTATATTGCCCTTGAGGCAGCGAACTCGGGGTCCCTCCCACATACCTATTGCTGAGAGAAGCCTCCTCCTGAGGTGCTTCTGGAAAGTTGGAATACGTCTTGAGCCTAAGCCAGGGAATCAGCTCTCATCTCGAGATGATTTGGGGTACACGGTGCATTCCTCGAGTTGCTGTGCTGAAGTTGGTGTTCCTCTAGACTTGGGACAGTGTTCTCGGGGTATCTCTGGAGTTGCCTGAAGGAAGTCGAGCCACCGGTCGTGTTGAATGGGGAACGGGGAATGGCTCTGGAGTCAATGCAGGGGAATCGGGCCTCATCTCGAGTTGATTTGGGGCACATGGAGCTGCTTTGCGTTGCTGGGGTGACCTCAGCGTCCGTCGAGACTGGTGACAGTGTTCTTGGGGACTGTCTCGAGATCCATTAAGCAAGTCGAAGCTCCTGACTTGTTTGAATGGGACCACGGAATAGCTCTGCATGCACTGCAGGGGAATGGGGCCTCATCTCGCCTCTAGGGGGAAGTCTCATGGTTTTTCTCGAGTTGAGGCGGGGACCTGGGGTATGTTCTCGACTTACGGCGGGGATGGCCCTTCAAAACACGAGTTTCTTCAGTGACGTCAGGACTCCTGTCTAGTAACGAGGGACACCTCAGGAATCTCTTCGAGGCTTGGCAGGGCAAAAGGGACGCTTCTCGAGGTGAGGCAGGGCACCCAAGGACCCTTTCCAGTAGCCACAGGGATTTTGGGATTCCTATCAGTATTCAAGAGGAGTCAGGCATCGTCACCTTTTGAAGCAATGAACTTCGCGTGCCTCTTGAGGTGTCAACGGGATGTGAGGCATTCCGTCAAAATGAGGCAGATAACTAGGGCTTTCTCTAACGTCTCCACAGGGAATTCAGACATCCCTTCATGTTGTGAGATGAAAGACGAGCCTGTATTCAAGCCACTGCAAGGAAATCCGGCCTCCATTCAAGTTAGGGCTTCTCGCTGTATATTGCCCTTGAGGCAGCGAACTCGGGGTCCCTCCCACATACCTATTGCTGAGAGAAGCCTCCTCCTGAGGTGCGTCTTGAAAGTTGGCATACGTCTTGAGCCTAAGCCAGGGAATCAGCTCTCATCTCGAGACGATTTGGGGTACACGGAGCATTCCTCGAGTTGCTGTGCTGAAGTTGGTCTTCCTCTAGACTTGGGACAGTGTTCTCGGGGCATCTCTGGAGTTGCCTGAAGGAAGTCGAGCCACCGGTCGTGTTGAATGGGGAACGGGGAATGGCTCTGGAGTCAATGCAGGGGAATCGCGCCTCATCTCGAGTTGATTTGGGGCCCATGGAGCTGCTTTGTGTTGCTGGGGTGACCTCAGGGTCTGTCGAGACTTGTGACAGTGTTCTTGGGGACTGTCTCGAGATCCATTAAGCAAGTCGAAGCTCCTGACTTGTTTGAATGGGACCACGGAATAGCTCTGCATGCACTGCAGGGGATTGGGGTCTCATCTCGCCTCTAGGGGGAAGTCTCATGGTTTTCCTCGAGTTGCGGCGGGGACCTGGGGTATGTTCTCGACTTACGGCGGGGATGGCCCTTCAAAACACGAGTTTCTTCAGTGACGTCAGGACTCCTGTCTAGTAACGAGGGACACCTCAGGAATCTCTTCGAGGCTTGGCAGGGCAAAAGGGACGCTTCTCGACGTGAGGCAGGGCACCCAAGGACCCTTTCCAGCAGCCACAGGGATTTTGGGATTCCTATCAGTATTCAAGAGGAGTGAGGCATTGTCACCTTTTGAAGCAATGAACTTCACGTGCCTCTTGAGGTGTCAACGGGATGTGAGGCATTCCGTCAAAATGAGGCAGGGACCTAGGGCTTTCTCTAAGGTCTCCACAGGGGATTCAGACATCCCTTCATGTTGTGAGATGAAAGACGAGCCTGTATTCAAGCCACTGCAAGGAAATCCGGCCTCCGTTCAAGTTAGGGCTTCTCGCTGTATATTGCCCTTGAGGCAGCGAACTCGGGGTCCCTCCCACATACCTATTGCTGAGAGAAGCCTCCTCCTGAGGTGCGTCTGGAAAGTTGGCATACGTCTTGAGCCTAAGCCAGGGAATCAGCTCTCATCTCGAGACGATTTGGGGTACACAGAGCATTCCTCGAGTTGCTGTGCTGAAGTTGGTGTTCCTCTAGACTTGGGACAGTGTTCTTGGGGTATCTCTGGAGTTGCCTGAAGGAAGTCGAGCCACCGGTCGTGTTGAATGGGGAACGGGTAATGGCTCTGGAGTCAATGCAGGGGAATCGGGCCTCATCTCGAGTTGATTTGGGGCACATGGAGCTGCTTTGCGTTGCTGGGGTGACCTCAGCGTAGGTCAAGACTGGTGACAGTGTTCTTGGGGACTGTCTCGAGATCGATTAAGCAAGTCGAAGCTCCTGACTTGTTTGAATGGGACCACGGAATAGCTCTGCATGCACTGCAGGGGAATGGGGCCTCATCTCGATTCTAGGGGGAAGTCTCATGGTTTTTCTCGAGTTGCGGCGGGGACCTGGGGTATGTTCTCGACTTACGGCGGGGATGGCCCTTCAAAACACGAGTTTCTTCAGTGACGTCAGGACTCCTGTCTAGTAACGAGGGACACCTCAGGAATATCATCGAGGCTTGGCAGTGCAAATGGGACGCTTCTTGAGGTGAGGCAGGGCATCCAAGGACCCTTTCCAGTAGCCACAGGGATTTTGGGATTCCTATCAGAATTCAAGAGGAGTCAGGCATCGTCACATTTTGAAGCAATGAACTCCGCATGCCTCTCGAGGTGTCAACGGGATGTGAGGCATTCCGTCCAAATGAGGCAGGGACCTAGGGCTTTCTCTAAGGTCTCCACAGGGGATTCAGACATCCCTTCATGTTGTGAGAAGAAAGACGAGCCTGTATTCAAGCCACTGCAAGGAAATCCGGCCTCCATTCAAGATAGGGCTTCTCGCTGTATATTGCCCTTGAGGCAGCAAACTCGGGGTCCCTCCCACATACCTATTGCTGAAAGAAGCCTCCTCCTGAGGTGCGTCTTGAAAGTTGGCATACGTCTTGAGCCTAAGCCAGGGAATCACCTCTCATCTCGAGACGATTTGTGGTACATGGAGCATTCCTCGAGTTGCCGTGCTGAAGTTGGTGTTCCTCTAGACTTGAGACAGTGTTCTCTGGGCATCTCTGGACTTGCCTGAAGGAAGTCGAGCCACCGGTCGTGTTGAATTGGGAACGGGGAATGGCTCTGGAGACAATGCAGGGGAATCGGGCCTCATCTCGAGTTGATTTGGGGCCCATGGAGCTGCTTTGCGTTGCTGGGGTGACCTCAGGGTCGTCGAGACTGGTGACAGTGTTCTTGCGGACTGTCTCGAGAACCATTAAGCAAGTCGAAGCTCCTGACTTGCTTGAATGGGACCACGGAATAGCTCTGCATGCACTGCAGGGGAATGGGGCCTCATCTCGCCTCTAAGGGGAAGTCTCATGGTTTTTCTCAAGTTGCGGCGGGGACCTGGGGTATGTTCTCGACTTACAGCGGGGATGGCCCTTCAAAACACGAGTTTCTTCAGTGACGTCAGGACTCCTGTCTAGTAACGAGGGACACCTCAGGAATCTCTTCGAGGCTTGGCAGGGCAAAAGGGACGCTTCTCGAGGTGAGGCAGGGCACCCAAGGACCCTTTCCAGTAGCCACAGGGATTTTGGGATTCCTATCAGTATTCAAGAGGAGTGAGGCATTGTCACCTTTTGAAGCAATGAACTCCGCGTGCCTCTTGAGGTGTCAACGGGATGTGAGGCATTCTGTCAAAATGAGGCAGGGACCTAGGGCTTTCTCTAAGGTCTCCACAGGGGATTCAGACATCCCTTCATGTTGTGAGATCAAAGACGAGCCTGTATTCAAGCCACTGCAAGGAAATCCGGCCTCCTTTCAAGTTAGGGCTTCTCGCTGTATATTGCCCTTGAGTCAGAGAACTCGGGGTCCCTCCCACATACTTATTGCTGAGAGAAGCCTCCTCCTGAGGTGCGTCTTGAAAGTTGGCATACGTCTTGAGCCTAAGCCAGGGAATCACCTCTCATCTCGAGACGATTTGGGGTACACGGAGCATTCCTCGAGTTGCCGTGCTGAAGTTGGTGTTCCTCTAGACTTGGGACAGTGTTCTCGGGGCATCTCTGGAGTTGCCTGAAGGAAGTCGAGCCACCGGTCGTGTTGAATGGGGAACGGGGAATGGCTCTGGAGTCAATGCAGGGGAATCGGGCCTCATCTCGAGTTGATTTGGGGCCCATGGAGCTGCTTTGCGTTGCTGGGGTGACGTCAGGGTCCGTCGAGACTGGTGACAGTGTTCTTGGGGACTGTCTCGAGAACCATTAAGCAAGTCGAAGCTCCTGACTTGCTTGAATGGGACCACGGAATAGCTCTGCATGCACTGCAGGGGAATGGGGCCTCATCTCGCCTCTTGGGGGAAGTCTCATGGTTTTTCTCGAGTTGCGGCGGGAACCTGGGGTATGTTCTCGACTTACGGCGGGGATGGCCCTTCAAAACACGAGTTTCTTCAGTGACGTCAGGACTCCTGTCTAGTAACGAGGGACACCTCTGGAATCTCTTCGAGGCTTGGCAGGGCAAAAGGGACGCTTCTCGAGGTGAGGCAGGGCACCCAAGGACCCTTTCCAGTAGCCACAGGGATTTTGGGATTCCTATCAGTATTCAAGATGAGTGAGGCATTGTCACCTTTTGAAGCAATGAACTTCGCGTGCCTCTTGAGGTGTCAACGGGATGTGAGGCATTCGGTCAAAATGAGGCAGGGACCTAGGGCTTTCTCTAAGGTCTCCACAGGGGAATCATACATCCCTTCATGTTGTGAGATGAAAGACGAGCCTGTATTCAAGCCACTGCAAGGAAATCCGGCCTCCTTTCAAGTTAGGGCTTCTCGCTGTATATTGCCCTTGAGGCAGCGAACTCGGTGTCCCTCCCACATACCTATTGCTGAGAGAAGCCTCCTCCTGAGGTGCTTCTGGAAAGTTGGCATACGTCTTGAGCCTAAGTCAGGGAATCAGCTCTCATCTCGAGACGATTTGGGGTACACGGAGCATTCCTCGAGTTGCTGTGCTGAAGTTGGTGTTCCTCTAGACTTGGGACAGTGTTCTCGGGGTATCTCTGGAGTTGCCTGAAGGAAGTCGAGCCACCGGTCGTGTTGAATGGGGAACGGGGAATGGCTCTGGAGTCAATGCAGGGGAATCGGGCCTCATCTCGAGTTGATTTGGGGCACATGGAGCTGCTTTGCGTTGCTGGGGTGACCTCAGCGTCCGTCGAGACTGGTGACAGTGTTCTTGGGGACTGTCTCGAGATCCATTAAGCAAGTCGAAGCTCCTGACTTGTTTGAATGGGACCACGGAATAGCTCTGCATACACAGCAGGTGAATGGGGCCTCATCTCGCCTCTAGGGGGAAGTCTCATGGTTTTTCTCGAGTTGCGGCGGGGACCTGGGGTATGTTCTCGACTTACGGCGGGGATGGCCCTTCAAAACACGAGTTTCTTCAGTGACGTCAGGACTCCTGTCTAGTAACGAGGGACACCTCAGGAATCTCTTCGAGGCTTGGCAGGGCAAAAGGGACGCTTCTCGAGGTGAGGCAGGGCACCCAAGGACCCTTTCCAGTAGCCACAGGGATTTTGGGATTCCTATCAGTATTCAAGAGGAGTGAGGTATTGTCACCTTTTTAAGCAATGAACTTCGCGTGCCTCTTGAGGTGTCAACGGGATGTGAGGCATTCCGTCAAAATGAGGCAGGGACCTAGGGCTTTCTCTAAGGTCTCCACAGGGGATTCAGACATCCGTTCATGTTGGAGATCAAAGACGAGCCTGTATTCAAGCCACTGAAAGGAAATCCGGCCTCCTTTCAAGTTAGGGCTTCTCGCTGTACATTGCCTTTGAGGCAGCGAACTCGGTGTCCCTCCCACATAACTATTGCTGAGAGAAGCCTCCTCCTGAGGTGCGTCTGGAAAGTTGGCATACGTCTTGAGCCTAAGCCAGGGAATCAGCTCTAATCTTGAGACGATTTGGGATACACGGAGCATTCCTCGAGTTGCTGTGCTGAAGTTGGTGTTTCTCTAGACTTCGGAGAGTGTTCTCGGGGTATCTCTGGAGTTGCCTGAAGGAAGTCGAGCCACAGTTCGTGTTGAATGGGGAACGCGGAATGGCTCTGGAGTCAATGCAGGGGAATCGGGCCTCATCTCGAGTTGATTTGGGGCACATGGAGCTGCTTTGCGTTGCTGGGGTGACCTCAGCGTCCGTCGAGACTGGTGACAGTGTTCTTGGGGACTGTCTCGAGATCCATTAAGCAAGTCGAAGCTCCTGACTTGTTTGAATGGGACCACGGAATAGCTCTGCATGCACTGCAGGGGAATGGGGTCTCATCTCGCCTCTAGAGGGAAGTCTCATGGTTTTTCTCGAGTTGCGGCGGGGACCTGGGATATGTTCTCGACTTACGGCGGGGATGGCCCTTCAAAACACGAGTTTCTTCAGTGACGTCAGGACTCCTGTCTAGTAACGAGGGACACTTAAGGAATCTCTTCGAGGCTTGGCAGGGCAAAACGGACGCTTCTCGAGGTGAGGCAGGGCACCCAAGGACCCTTTCCAGTAGCCACAGGGATTTTGGGATTCCTATCAGTATTCAAGAGGAGTCAGGCATCGTCACGTTTTGAAGCAATGAACTCCGCGTGCCTCTCGAGGTGTCAACGGGATGTGAGGCATTCCGTCCAAATGAGGCAGGGACCTAAGGCTTTCTCTAAGGTCTCCACAGGGGATTCAGACATCCCTTCATGTTGTGAGATCAAAGACGAGCCTGTATTCAAGCCACTGCAAGGAAATCCGGCCTGCTTTCAAGTTAGGGCTTCTCGCTGTATATTGCCCTTGAGGCAGCGAACTCGGGGTCCCTCCCACATACCTATTGCTGAGAGAAGCCTCCTCCTGAGGTGCGTCTTGAAAGTTGGCATATGTCTTGAGCCTAAGCCAGGGAATCACCTCTCATCTCGAGACGATTTGGGGTACACGGATCATTCCTCGAGTTGCCGTGCTGAAGTTGGTGTTCCTCTAGACTTGGGACAGTGTTCTCGGGGCATCTCTGGAGTTGCCTGAAGGAAGTCGAGCCACCGGTCGTGTTGAATGGGGAACGGGGAATGCCTCTGGAGTCAATGCAGGGGAATCGCGCCTCATCTCGAGTTGATTTGGGGCCCATGGAGCTGCTTTGTGTTGCTGGGGTGACCTCAGGGTCTGTCGAGACTTGTGACAGTGTTCTTGGGGACTGTCTCGAGATCCATTAAGCAAGTCGAAGCTCCTGACTTGTTTGAATGGGACCACGGAATAGCTCTGCATGCGCTGCAGGGGATTGGGGTCTCATCTCGCCTCTAGGGGGAAGTCTCATGGTTTTTTTCGAGTTGCGGCGGGGACCTGGGGTATGTTCTCGACTTACGGCGGGGATGGCCCTTCAAAACACGAGTTTCTTCAGTGACGTCAGGACTCCTGTCTAGTAACGAGGGACACCTCAGGAATCTCTTCGAGGCTTGGCAGGGCAAAAGGGACGCTTCTCGACGTGAGGCAGGGCACCCAAGGACCCTTTCCAGTAGCCACAGGGATTTTGGGATTCCTATCAGTATTCAAGAGGAGTGAGGCATTGTCACCTTTTGAAGCAATGAACTTTGCGTGCCTCTTGAGGTGTCAACGGGATGTGAGGCATTCCGTCAAAATGAGGCAGGGACCTAGGGCTTTCTCTAAGGTCTCCACAGGGGATTCAGACATCCCTTCATGTTGTGAGATGAAAGACGAGCCTGTATTCAAGCCACTGCAAGGAAATCCGGCCTCCTTTCAAGTTAGGGCTTCTCGCTGTATATTGCCCTTGAGGCAGCGAACTCGGGGTCCCTCCCACATACCTATTGCTGAGAGAAGCCTCCTCCTGAGGTGCGTCTGGAAAGTCGGCATACGTCTTGAGCCTAAGCCAGGGAATCAGCTCTCATCTCGAGACGATTTGTGGTACACGGAGCATTCCTCGAGTTGCTGTGCTGAAGTTGGTGTTCCTCTAGACTTGGGACAGTGTTCTCGGGGTATCTCTGGAGTTGCCTGAAGGAAGTCGAGCCACCGGTCGTGTTGAATGGGGAACGGGTAATGGCTCTGGAGTCAATGCAGGGGAATCGGGCCTCATCTCGAGTTGATTTGGGGCACATGGAGCTGCTTTGCGTTGCTGGGGTGACCTCAGCGTCGGTCGAGACTGGTGACAGTGTTCTTGGGGACTGTCTCGAGATCGATTAAGCAAGTCGAAGCTCCTGACTTGTTTGAATGGGACCACGGAATAGCTCTGCATGCACTGCAGGGGAATGGGGCCTCATCTCGCCTCTAGGGGGAAGTCTCATGATTTTTCTCGAGTTGCGGCGGGGACCTGGGGTATGTTCTCGACTTACGGCGGGGATGGCCCTTCAAAACACGAGTTTCTTCAGTGACGTCACGACTCCTGTCTAGTAACGAGGGACACCTCAGGAATATCCTCGAGGCTTGGCAGTGCAAATGGGACTTTTCTTGAGGTGAGGCAGGGCACCCAAGGACCCTTTCCAGTAGCCACAGGGATTTTGGGATTCCTATCAGAATTCAAGAGGAGTCAGGCATCGTCACCTTTTGAAGCAATGAACTCCGCATGCCTCTCGAGGTGTCAACGGGATGTGAGGCATTCCGTCCAAATGAGGCAGGGACCTAGGGCTTTCTCTAAGGTCTCCACAGGGGATTCAGACATCCCTTCATGTTGTGAGAAGAAAGACGAGCCTGTATTCAAGCCACTGCAAGGAAATCCGGCCTCCATTCAAGTTAGGGCTTCTCGCTGTATATTGCCCTTGAGGCAGCGAACTCGGGGTCCCTCCCACATACCTATTGCTGAAAGAAGCCTCCTCCTGAGGTGCGTCTTGAAAGTTGGCATACGTCTTGAGCCTAAGCCAGGGAATCACCTCTCATCTCGAGACGATTTGTGGTACATAGAGCATTCCTCGAGTTGCCGTGCTGAAGTTGGTGTTCCTCTAGACTTGGGACAGTGTTCTCGGGGCATCTCTGGAGTTGCTTGAAGGAAGTCGAGCCACCGGTCGTGTTGAATTGGGAACGGGGAATGGCTCTGGAGTCAATGCAGGGGAATCGGGCCTCATCGCGAGTTGATTTGGGGCCCATGGAGCTGCTTTGCGTTGCTGGGGTGACCTCAGGGTCGTCGAGACTGGTGACAGTGTTCTTGGGGACTGTCTCGAGAACCATTAAGCAAGTCGAAGCTCCTGACTTGCTTGAATGGGACCACGGAATAGCTCTGCATGCACTGCAGGGGAATGGGGCCTCATCTCGCCCCTAGGGGGAAGTCTCATGGTTTTTCTCGAGTTGCGGCGGGGACCTGGGGTATGTTCTCGACTTACAGCGGGGATGGCCCTTCAAAACACGAGTTTCTTCAGTGGCGTCAGGACTCCTGTCTAGTAACGAGGGACACCTCAGGAATCTCTTCGAGGCTTGGCAGGGCAAAAAGGACGCTTCTCGAGGTGAGGCCGGGCACCCAAGGACCCTTTCCAGTAGCCACAAGGATTTTGGGATTCCTATCAGTATTCAAGAGGAGTCAGGCATCGTCACCTTTTGAAGCAATGAACTCAGCGTGCCTCTCGAGGTGTCAACGGGATGTGAGGCATTACGTCCAAATGAGGCAGGGACCTAGGGCTTTCTCTAAGGTCTCCACAGGGGATTCAGACATCCCTTCATGTTGTGAGATCAAAGACGAACCTGTATTCAAGCCACTGCAAGGAAATCCGGCCTCCTTTCAAGTTAGGGCTTCTCGCTGTATATTGCCCTTGAGGCAGCGAACTCGGGGTCCCTCCCACATACCTATTGCTGAGAGAAGCCTCCTCCTGAGGTGCGTCTTGAAAGTTGGCATACGTCTTGAGCCTAAGCCAGGGAATCAGCTCTCATCTCGAGACGATTTGAGGTACACGGAGCATTCCTCGAGTTGCCGTGCTGAAGTTGGTGTTCCTCTAGACTTGGGACAGTGTTCTCGGGGCATCTCTGGAGTTGCCTGAAGGAAGTCGAGCCACCGGTCGTGTTGAATGGGGAACGGGGAATGGCTCTGGAGTCAATGCAGGGGAATCGGGCCTCATCTCGAGTTGATTTGGGGCACATGGAGCTGCTTTGCGTTGCTGGGGTGACCTCAGGGTCCGTCGAGACTGGTGACAGTGTTCTTGAGGACTGTCTTGAGATCCATTAAGCAAGTCGAAGCTCCTGACTTGTTTGAATGGGACCACGGAATAGCTCTGCATGCACTGCAGGGGAATGGGGTCTCATCTCGCCTCTAGGGGGAAGTCTCATGGTTTTTCTCGAGTTGCGGCGGGGACCTGGGGTATGTTCTCGACTTACGGCGGGGATGGCCCTTCAAAACACGAGTTTCTTCAGTGACGTCAGGACTCCTGTCTAGTAACGCGGGACACCTCAGGAATCTCTTCGAGGCTTGGCAGGGCAAAAGGGACGCTTCCCGAGGTGTGGCAGGCCACCCAAGGACCCTTTCCAGTAGCCACAGGGATTTTGGTATTCCTATCAGTATTCAAGAGGAGTGAGGCATTGTCACCTTTTGAAGCAATGAACTTCGCGTGCCTCTTGAGGTGTCAACGGGATGTGAGGCATTCCGTCAAAATGAGGCAGGGACCTAGGGCTTTCTCTAAGGTCTCCACAGGGGATTCAGACATCCCTTCATGTTGTGAGATGAAAGACGAGCCTGTATTCAAGCCACTGCAAGGAAATCCGGCCTCCTTTCAAGTTAGGGCTTCTCGCTGTATATTGCCCTTGAGGCAGCGAACTCGGGGTCCCTCCCACATACCTATTGCTGAAAGAAGCCTCCTCCTGAGGTGCGTCTTGAAAGTTGGCATACGTCTTGAGCCTAAGCCAGGGAATCACCTCTCATCTCGAGACGATTTGTGGTACATGGAGCATTCCTCAAGTTGCCGTGCTGAAGTTGGTGTTCCTCTAGACTTGAGACAGTGTTCTCTGGGCATCTCTGGACTTGCCTGAAGGAAGTCGAGCCACCGGTCGTGTTGAATTGGGAACGGGGAATGGCTCTGGAGACAATGCAGGGGAATCGGGCCTCATCTCGAGTTGATTTGGGGCCCATGGAGCTGCTTTGCGTTGCTGGGGTGACCTCAGGGTCGTCGAGACTGGTGACAGTGTTCTTGGGGACTGTCTCGAGAACCATTAAGCAAGTCGAAGCTCCTGACTTGCTTGAATGGGACCACGGAATAGCTCTGCATGCACTGCAGGGGAATGGGGCCTCATCTCGCCTCTAAGGGGAAGTCTCATGGTTTTTCTCAAGTTGCGGCGGGGACCTGGGGTATGTTCTCGACTTACAGCGGGGATGGCCCTTCAAAACACGAGTTTCTTCAGTGACGTCAGGACTCCTGTCTAGTAACGAGGGACACCTCAGGAATCTCTTCGAGGCTTGGCAGGGCAAAAGGGACGCTTCTCGAGGTGAGGCAGGGCACCCAAGGACCCTTTCCAGTAGCCACAGGGATTTTGGGATTCCTATCAGTATTCAAGAGGAGTGAGGCATTGTCACCTTTTGAAGCAATGAACTTTGCGTGCCTCTTGAGGTGTCAACGGGATGTGAGGCATTCCGTCAAAATGAGGCAGGGACCTAGGGCTTTCTCTAAGGTCTCCACAGGGGATTCAGACATCCCTTCATGTTGTGAGATCAAAGACGAGCCTGTATTCAAGCCACTGCAAGGAAATCCGGCCTCCTTTCAAGTTAGGGCTTCTCGCTGTATATTGCCCTTGAGTCAGAGAACTCGGGGTCCCTCCCACATACTTATTGCTGAGAGAAGCCTCCTCCTGAGGTGCGTCTTGAAAGTTGGCATACGTCTTGAGCCTAAGCCAGGGAATCACCTCTCATCTCGAGACGATTTGGGGTACACGGAGCATTCCTCGAGTTGCCGTGCTGAAGTTGGTGTTCCTCTAGACTTGGGACAGTGTTCTCGGGGCATCTCTGGAGTTGCCTGAAGGAAGTCGAGCCACCGGTCGTGTTGAATGGGGAACGGGGAATGGCTCTGGAGTCAATGCAGGGGAATCGGGCCTCATCTCGAGTTGATTTGGGGTCCATGGAGCTGCTTTGCGTTGCTGGGGTGACGTCAGGGTCCGTCGAGACTGGTGACAGTGTTCTTGGGGACTGTCTCGAGAACCATTAAGCAAGTCGAAGCTCCTGACTTGCTTGAATGGGACCACGGAATAGCTCTGCATGCACTGCAGGGGAATGGGGCCTCATCTCGCCTCTTGGGGGAAGTCTCATGGTTTTTCTCGAGTTGCGGCGGGAACCTGGGGTATGTTCTCGACTTACGGCGGGGATGGCCCTTCAAAACACGAGTTTCTTCAGTGACGTCAGGACTCCTGTCTAGTAACGAGGGACACCTCTGGAATCTCTTCGAGGCTTGGCAGGGCAAAAGGGACGCTTCTCGAGGTGAGGCAGGGCACCCAAGGACCCTTTCCAGTAGCCACAGGGATTTTGGGATTCCTATCAGTATTCAAGATGAGTGAGGCATTGTCACCTTTTGAAGCAATGAACTTCGCGTGCCTCTTGAGGTGTCAACGGGATGTGAGGCATTCGGTCAAAATGAGGCAGGGACCTAGGGCTTTCTCTAAGGTCTCCACAGGGGATTCAGACATCCCTTCATGTTGTGAGATGAAAGACGAGCCTGTATTCAAGCCACTGCAAGGAAATCCGGCCTCCTTTCAAGTTAGGGCTTCTCGCTGTATATTGCCCTTGAGGCAGCGAACTCGGTGTCCCTCCCACATACCTATTGCTGAGAGAAGCCTCCTCCTGAGGTGCTTCTGGAAAGTTGGCATACGTCTTGAGCCTAAGTCAGGGAATCAGCTCTCATCTCGAGACGATTTGGGGTACACGGAGCATTCCTCGAGTTGCTGTGCTGAAGTTGGTGTTCCTCTAGACTTGGGACAGTGTTCTCGGGGTATCTCTGGAGTTGCCTGAAGGAAGTCGAGCCACCGGTCGTGTTGAATGGGGAACGGGGAATGGCTCTGGAGTCAATGCAGGGGAATCGGGCCTCATCTCGAGTTGATTTGGGGCACATGGAGCTGCTTTGCGTTGCTGGGGTGACCTCAGCGTCCGTCGAGACTGGTGACAGTGTTCTTGGGGACTGGCTCGAGATCCATTAAGCAAGTCGAAGCTCCTGACTTGTTTGAATGGGACCACGGAATAGCTCTGCATACACAGCAGGTGAATGGGGCCTCATCTCGCCTCTAGGGGGAAGTCTCATGGTTTTTCTCGAGTTGCGGCGGGGACCTGGGGTATGTTCTCGACTTACGGCGGGGATGGCCCTTCAAAACACGAGTTTCTTCAGTGACGTCAGGACTCCTGTCTAGTAACGAGGGACACCTCAGGAATCTCTTCGAGGCTTGGCAGGGCAAAAGGGACGCTTCTCGAGGTGAGGCAGGGCACCCAAGGACCCTTTCCAGTAGCCACAGGGATTTTGGGATTCCTATCAGTATTCAAGAGGAGTGAGGTATTGTCACCTTTTTAAGCAATGAACTTCGCGTGCCTCTTGAGGTGTCAACGGGATGTGAGGCATTCCGTCAAAATGAGGCAGGGACCTAGGGCTTTCTCTAAGGTCTCCACAGGGGATTCAGACATCCCTTCATGTTGTGAGATGAAAGACGAGCCTGTATTCAAGCCACTGCAAGGAAATCCGGCCTCCTTTCAAGTTAGGGCTTCTCGCTGTATATTGCCCTTGAGGCAGCGAACTCGGGGTCCCTCCCACATACCTATTGCTGAGAGAAGCCTCCTCCTGAGGTGCTTCTGGAAAGTTGGAATACGTCTTGAGCCTAAGCCAGGGAATCAGCTCTCATCTCGAGATGATTTGGGGTACACGGTGCATTCCTCGAGTTGCTGTGCTGAAGTTGGTGTTCCTCTAGACTTGGGACAGTGTTCTCGGGGTATCTCTGGAGTTGCCTGAAGGAAGTCGAGCCACCGGTCGTGTTGAATGGGGAACGGGGAATGGCTCTGGAGTCAATGCAGGGGAATCGGGCCTCATCTCGAGTTGATTTGGGGCACATGGAGCTGCTTTGCGTTGCTGGGGTGACCTCAGCGTCCGTCGAGACTGGTGACAGTGTTCTTGGGGACTGTCTCGAGATCCATTAAGCAAGTCGAAGCTCCTGACTTGTTTGAATGGGACCACGGAATAGCTCTGCATGCACTGCAGGGGAATGGGGCCTCATCTCGCCTCTAGGGGGAAGTCTCATGGTTTTTCTCGAGTTGCGGCGGGGACCTGGGGTATGTTCTCGACTTACGGCGGGGATGGCCCTTCAAAACACGAGTTTCTTCAGTGACGTCAGGACTCCTGTCTAGTAACGAGGGACACCTCAGGAATCTCTTCGAGGCTTGGCAGGGCAAAAGGGACGCTTCTCGAGGTGAGGCAGGGCACCCAAGGACCCTTTCCAGTAGCCACAGGGATTTTGGGATTCCTATCAGTATTCAAGAGGAGTCAGGCATCGTCACCTTTTGAAGCAATGAACTTCGCGTGCCTCTTGAGGTGTCAACGGGATGTGAGGCATTCCGTCAAAATGAGGCAGATAACTAGGGCTTTCTCTAACGTCTCCACAGGGAATTCAGACATCCCTTCATGTTGTGAGATGAAAGACGAGCCTGTATTCAAGCCACTGCAAGGAAATCCGGCCTCCATTCAAGTTAGGGCTTCTCGCTGTATATTGCCCTTGAGGCAGCGAACTCGGGGTCCCTCCCACATACCTATTGCTGAGAGAAGCCTCCTCCTGAGGTGCGTCTTGAAAGTTGGCATACGTCTTGAGCCTAAGCCAGGGAATCAGCTCTCATCTCGAGACGATTTGGGGTACACGGAGCATTCCTCGAGTTGCTGTGCTGAAGTTGGTCTTCCTCTAGACTTGGGACAGTGTTCTCGGGGCATCTCTGGAGTTGCCTGAAGGAAGTCGAGCCACCGGTCGTGTTGAATGGGGAACGGGGAATGGCTCTGGAGTCAATGCAGGGGAATCGCGCCTCATCTCGAGTTGATTTGGGGCCCATGGAGCTGCTTTGTGTTGCTGGGGTGACCTCAGGGTCTGTCGAGACTTGTGACAGTGTTCTTGGGGACTGTCTCGAGATCCATTAAGCAAGTCGAAGCTCCTGACTTGTTTGAATGGGACCACGGAATAGCTCTGCATGCACTGCAGGGGATTGGGGTCTCATCTCGCCTCTAGGGGGAAGTCTCATGGTTTTCCTCGAGTTGCGGCGGGGACCTGGGGTATGTTCTCGACTTACGGCGGGGATGGCCCTTCAAAACACGAGTTTCTTCAGTGACGTCAGGACTCCTGTCTAGTAACGAGGGACACCTCAGGAATCTCTTCGAGGCTTGGCAGGGCAAGAGGGACGCTTCTCGACGTGAGGCAGGGCACCCAAGGACCCTTTCCAGCAGCCACAGGGATTTTGGGATTCCTATCAGTATTCAAGAGGAGTGAGGCATTGTCACCTTTTGAAGCAATGAACTTCACGTGCCTCTTGAGGTGTCAACGGGATGTGAGGCATTCCGTCAAAATGAGGCAGGGACCTAGGGCTTTCTCTAAGGTCTCCACAGGGGATTCAGACATCCCTTCATGTTGTGAGATGAAAGACGAGCCTGTATTCAAGCCACTGCAAGGAAATCCGGCCTCCTTTCAAGTTAGGGCTTCTCGCTGTATATTGCCCTTGAGGCAGCGAACTCGGGGTCCCTCCCACATACCTATTGCTGAGAGAAGCCTCCTCCTGAGGTGCGTCTGGAAAGTTGGCATACGTCTTGAGCCTAAGCCAGGGAATCAGCTCTCATCTCGAGACGATTTGGGGTACACAGAGCATTCCTCGAGTTGCTGTGCTGAAGTTGGTGTTCCTCTAGACTTGGGACAGTGTTCTTGGGGTATCTCTGGAGTTGCCTGAAGGAAGTCGAGCCACCGGTCGTGTTGAATGGGGAACGGGTAATGGCTCTGGAGTCAATGCAGGGGAATCGGGCCTCATCTCGAGTTGATTTGGGGCACATGGAGCTGCTTTGCGTTGCTGGGGTGACCTCAGCGTAGGTCAAGACTGGTGACAGTGTTCTTGGGGACTGTCTCGAGATCGATTAAGCAAGTCGAAGCTCCTGACTTGTTTGAATGGGACCACGGAATAGCTCTGCATGCACTGCAGGGGAATGGGGCCTCATCTCGATTCTAGGGGGAAGTCTCATGGTTTTTCTCGAGTTGCGGCGGGGACCTGGGGTATGTTCTCGACTTACGGCGGGGATGGCCCTTCAAAACACGAGTTTCTTCAGTGACGTCAGGACTCCTGTCTAGTAACGAGGGACACCTCAGGAATATCATCGAGGCTTGGCAGTGCAAATGGGACGCTTCTTGAGGTGAGGCAGGGCATCCAAGGACCCTTTCCAGTAGCCACAGGGATTTTGGGATTCCTATCAGAATTCAAGAGGAGTCAGGCATCGTCACATTTTGAAGCAATGAACTCCGCATGCCTCTCGAGGTGTCAACGGGATGTGAGGCATTCCGTCCAAATGAGGCAGGGACCTAGGGCTTTCTCTAAGGTCTCCACAGGGGATTCAGACATCCCTTCATGTTGTGAGAAGAAAGACGAGCCTGTATTCAAGCCACTGCAAGGAAATCCGGCCTCCATTCAAGATAGGGCTTCTCGCTGTATATTGCCCTTGAGGCAGCAAACTCGGGGTCCCTCCCACATACCTATTGCTGAAAGAAGCCTCCTCCTGAGGTGCGTCTTGAAAGTTGGCATACGTCTTGAGCCTAAGCCAGGGAATCACCTCTCATCTCGAGACGATTTGTGGTACATGGAGCATTCCTCGAGTTGCCGTGCTGAAGTTGGTGTTCCTCTAGACTTGAGACAGTGTTCTCTGGGCATCTCTGGACTTGCCTGAAGGAAGTCGAGCCACCGGTCGTGTTGAATTGGGAACGGGGAATGGCTCTGGAGACAATGCAGGGGAATCGGGCCTCATCTCGAGTTGATTTGGGCCCATGGAGCTGCTTTGCGTTGCTGGGGTGACCTCAGGGTCGTCGAGACTGGTGACAGTGTTCTTGCGGACTGTCTCGAGAACCATTAAGCAAGTCGAAGCTCCTGACTTGCTTGAATGGGACCACGGAATAGCTCTGCATGCACTGCAGGGGAATGGGGCCTCATCTCGCCTCTAAGGGGAAGTCTCATGGTTTTTCTCAAGTTGCGGCGGGGACCTGGGGTATGTTCTCGACTTACAGCGGGGATGGCCCTTCAAAACACGAGTTTCTTCAGTGACGTCAGGACTCCTGTCTAGTAACGAGGGACACCTCAGGAATCTCTTCGAGGCTTGGCAGGGCAAAAGGGACGCTTCTCGAGGTGAGGCAGGGCACCCAAGGACCCTTTCCAGTAGCCACAGGGATTTTGGGATTCCTATCAGTATTCAAGAGGAGTGAGGCATTGTCACCTTTTGAAGCAATGAACTCCGCGTGCCTCTTGAGGTGTCAACGGGATGTGAGGCATTCTGTCAAAATGAGGCAGGGACCTAGGGCTTTCTCTAAGGTCTCCACAGGGGATTCAGACATCCCTTCATGTTGTGAGATCAAAGACGAGCCTGTATTCAAGCCACTGCAAGGAAATCCGGCCTCCTTTCAAGTTAGGGCTTCTCGCTGTATATTGCCCTTGAGTCAGAGAACTCGGGGTCCCTCCCACATACTTATTGCTGAGAGAAGCCTCCTCCTGAGGTGCGTCTTGAAAGTTGGCATACGTCTTGAGCCTAAGCCAGGGAATCACCTCTCATCTCGAGACGATTTGGGGTACACGGAGCATTCCTCGAGTTGCCGTGCTGAAGTTGGTGTTCCTCTAGACTTGGGACAGTGTTCTCGGGGCATCTCTGGAGTTGCCTGAAGGAAGTCGAGCCACCGGTCGTGTTGAATGGGGAACGGGGAATGGCTCTGGAGTCAATGCAGGGGAATCGGGCCTCATCTCGAGTTGATTTGGGGCCCATGGAGCTGCTTTGCGTTGCTGGGGTGACGTCAGGGTCCGTCGAGACTGGTGACAGTGTTCTTGGGGACTGTCTCGAGAACCATTAAGCAAGTCGAAGCTCCTGACTTGCTTGAATGGGACCACGGAATAGCTCTGCATGCACTGCAGGGGAATGGGGCCTCATCTCGCCTCTTGGGGGAAGTCTCATGGTTTTTCTCGAGTTGCGGCGGGAACCTGGGGTATGTTCTCGACTTACGGCGGGGATGGCCCTTCAAAACACGAGTTTCTTCAGTGACGTCAGGACTCCTGTCTAGTAACGAGGGACACCTCTGGAATCTCTTCGAGGCTTGGCAGGGCAAAAGGGACGCTTCTCGAGGTGAGGCAGGGCACCCAAGGACCCTTTCCAGTAGCCACAGGGATTTTGGGATTCCTATCAGTATTCAAGATGAGTGAGGCATTGTCACCTTTTGAAGCAATGAACTTCGCGTGCCTCTTGAGGTGTCAACGGGATGTGAGGCATTCGGTCAAAATGAGGCAGGGACCTAGGGCTTTCTCTAAGGTCTCCACAGGGGAATCATACATCCCTTCATGTTGTGAGATGAAAGACGAGCCTGTATTCAAGCCACTGCAAGGAAATCCGGCCTCCTTTCAAGTTAGGGCTTCTCGCTGTATATTGCCCTTGAGGCAGCGAACTCGGTGTCCCTCCCACATACCTATTGCTGAGAGAAGCCTCCTCCTGAGGTGCTTCTGGAAAGTTGGCATACGTCTTGAGCCTAAGTCAGGGAATCAGCTCTCATCTCGAGACGATTTGGGGTACACGGAGCATTCCTCGAGTTGCTGTGCTGAAGTTGGTGTTCCTCTAGACTTGGGACAGTGTTCTCGGGGTATCTCTGGAGTTGCCTGAAGGAAGTCGAGCCACCGGTCGTGTTGAATGGGGAACGGGGAATGGCTCTGGAGTCAATGCAGGGGAATCGGGCCTCATCTCGAGTTGATTTGGGGCACATGGAGCTGCTTTGCGTTGCTGGGGTGACCTCAGCGTCCGTCGAGACTGGTGACAGTGTTCTTGGGGACTGTCTCGAGATCCATTAAGCAAGTCGAAGCTCCTGACTTGTTTGAATGGGACCACGGAATAGCTCTGCATACACAGCAGGTGAATGGGGCCTCATCTCGCCTCTAGGGGGAAGTCTCATGGTTTTTCTCGAGTTGCGGCGGGGACCTGGGGTATGTTCTCGACTTACGGCGGGGATGGCCCTTCAAAACACGAGTTTCTTCAGTGACGTCAGGACTCCTGTCTAGTAACGAGGGACACCTCAGGAATCTCTTCGAGGCTTGGCAGGGCAAAAGGGACGCTTCTCGAGGTGAGGCAGGGCACCCAAGGACCCTTTCCAGTAGCCACAGGGATTTTGGGATTCCTATCAGTATTCAAGAGGAGTGAGGTATTGTCACCTTTTTAAGCAATGAACTTCGCGTGCCTCTTGAGGTGTCAACGGGATGTGAGGCATTCCGTCAAAATGAGGCAGGGACCTAGGGCTTTCTCTAAGGTCTCCACAGGGGATTCAGACATCCGTTCATGTTGGAGATCAAAGACGAGCCTGTATTCAAGCCACTGAAAGGAAATCCGGCCTCCTTTCAAGTTAGGGCTTCTCGCTGTACATTGCCTTTGAGGCAGCGAACTCGGTGTCCCTCCCACATAACTATTGCTGAGAGAAGCCTCCTCCTGAGGTGCGTCTGGAAAGTTGGCATACGTCTTGAGCCTAAGCCAGGGAATCAGCTCTAATCTTGAGACGATTTGGGATACACGGAGCATTCCTCGAGTTGCTGTGCTGAAGTTGGTGTTTCTCTAGACTTCGGAGAGTGTTCTCGGGGTATCTCTGGAGTTGCCTGAAGGAAGTCGAGCCACAGTTCGTGTTGAATGGGGAACGCGGAATGGCTCTGGAGTCAATGCAGGGGAATCGGGCCTCATCTCGAGTTGATTTGGGGCACATGGAGCTGCTTTGCGTTGCTGGGGTGACCTCAGCGTCCGTCGAGACTGGTGACAGTGTTCTTGGGGACTGTCTCGAGATCCATTAAGCAAGTCGAAGCTCCTGACTTGTTTGAATGGGACCACGGAATAGCTCTGCATGCACTGCAGGGGAATGGGGTCTCATCTCGCCTCTAGAGGGAAGTCTCATGGTTTTCCTCGAGTTGCGGCGGGGACCTGGGATATGTTCTCGACTTACGGCGGGGATGGCCCTTCAAAACACGAGTTTCTTCAGTGACGTCAGGACTCCTGTCTAGTAACGAGGGACACTTAAGGAATCTCTTCGAGGCTTGGCAGGGCAAAACGGACGCTTCTCGAGGTGAGGCAGGGCACCCAAGGACCCTTTCCAGTAGCCACAGGGATTTTGGGATTCCTATCAGTATTCAAGAGGAGTCAGGCATCGTCACGTTTTGAAGCAATGAACTCCGCGTGCCTCTCGAGGTGTCAACGGGATGTGAGGCATTCCGTCCAAATGAGGCAGGGACCTAAGGCTTTCTCTAAGGTCTCCACAGGGGATTCAGACATCCCTTCATGTTGTGAGATCAAAGACGAGCCTGTATTCAAGCCACTGCAAGGAAATCCGGCCTGCTTTCAAGTTAGGGCTTCTCGCTGTATATTGCCCTTGAGGCAGCGAACTCGGGGTCCCTCCCACATACCTATTGCTGAGAGAAGCCTCCTCCTGAGGTGCGTCTTGAAAGTTGGCATATGTCTTGAGCCTAAGCCAGGGAATCACCTCTCATCTCGAGACGATTTGGGGTACACGGATCATTCCTCGAGTTGCCGTGCTGAAGTTGGTGTTCCTCTAGACTTGGGACAGTGTTCTCGGGGCATCTCTGGAGTTGCCTGAAGGAAGTCGAGCCACCGGTCGTGTTGAATGGGGAACGGGGAATGCCTCTGGAGTCAATGCAGGGGAATCGCGCCTCATCTCGAGTTGATTTGGGGCCCATGGAGCTGCTTTGTGTTGCTGGGGTGACCTCAGGGTCTGTCGAGACTTGTGACAGTGTTCTTGGGGACTGTCTCGAGATCCATTAAGCAAGTCGAAGCTCCTGACTTGTTTGAATGGGACCACGGAATAGCTCTGCATGCGCTGCAGGGGATTGGGGTCTCATCTCGCCTCTAGGGGGAAGTCTCATGGTTTTTTTCGAGTTGCGGCGGGGACCTGGGGTATGTTCTCGACTTACGGCGGGGATGGCCCTTCAAAACACGAGTTTCTTCAGTGACGTCAGGACTCCTGTCTAGTAACGAGGGACACCTCAGGAATCTCTTCGAGGCTTGGCAGGGCAAAAGGGACGCTTCTCGACGTGAGGCAGGGCACCCAAGGACCCTTTCCAGTAGCCACAGGGATTTTGGGATTCCTATCAGTATTCAAGAGGAGTGAGGCATTGTCACCTTTTGAAGCAATGAACTTTGCGTGCCTCTTGAGGTGTCAACGGGATGTGAGGCATTCCGTCAAAATGAGGCAGGGACCTAGGGCTTTCTCTAAGGTCTCCACAGGGGATTCAGACATCCCTTCATGTTGTGAGATGAAAGACGAGCCTGTATTCAAGCCACTGCAAGGAAATCCGGCCTCCTTTCAAGTTAGGGCTTCTCGCTGTATATTGCCCTTGAGGCAGCGAACTCGGGGTCCCTCCCACATACCTATTGCTGAGAGAAGCCTCCTCCTGAGGTGCGTCTGGAAAGTCGGCATACGTCTTGAGCCTAAGCCAGGGAATCAGCTCTCATCTCGAGACGATTTGTGGTACACGGAGCATTCCTCGAGTTGCTGTGCTGAAGTTGGTGTTCCTCTAGACTTGGGACAGTGTTCTCGGGGTATCTCTGGAGTTGCCTGAAGGAAGTCGAGCCACCGGTCGTGTTGAATGGGGAACGGGTAATGGCTCTGGAGTCAATGCAGGGGAATCGGGCCTCATCTCGAGTTGATTTGGGGCACATGGAGCTGCTTTGCGTTGCTGGGGTGACCTCAGCGTCGGTCGAGACTGGTGACAGTGTTCTTGGGGACTGTCTCGAGATCGATTAAGCAAGTCGAAGCTCCTGACTTGTTTGAATGGGACCACGGAATAGCTCTGCATGCACTGCAGGGGAATGGGGCCTCATCTCGCCTCTAGGGGGAAGTCTCATGATTTTTCTCGAGTTGCGGCGGGGACCTGGGGTATGTTCTCGACTTACGGCGGGGATGGCCCTTCAAAACACGAGTTTCTTCAGTGACGTCAGGACTCCTGTCTAGTAACGAGGGACACCTCAGGAATATCCTCGAGGCTTGGCAGTGCAAATGGGACTTTTCTTGAGGTGAGGCAGGGCACCCAAGGACCCTTTCCAGTAGCCACAGGGATTTTGGGATTCCTATCAGAATTCAAGAGGAGTCAGGCATCGTCACCTTTTGAAGCAATGAACTCCGCATGCCTCTCGAGGTGTCAACGGGATGTGAGGCATTCCGTCCAAATGAGGCAGGGACCTAGGGCTTTCTCTAAGGTCTCCACAGGGGATTCAGACATCCCTTCATGTTGTGAGAAGAAAGACGAGCCTGTATTCAAGCCACTGCAAGGAAATCCGGCCTCCATTCAAGTTAGGGCTTCTCGCTGTATATTGCCCTTGAGGCAGCGAACTCGGGGTCCCTCCCACATACCTATTGCTGAAAGAAGCCTCCTCCTGAGGTGCGTCTTGAAAGTTGGCATACGTCTTGAGCCTAAGCCAGGGAATCACCTCTCATCTCGAGACGATTTGTGGTACATAGAGCATTCCTCGAGTTGCCGTGCTGAAGTTGGTGTTCCTCTAGACTTGGGACAGTGTTCTCGGGGCATCTCTGGAGTTGCTTGAAGGAAGTCGAGCCACCGGTCGTGTTGAATTGGGAACGGGGAATGGCTCTGGAGTCAATGCAGGGGAATCGGGCCTCATCGCGAGTTGATTGGGGGCCCATGGAGCTGCTTTGCGTTGCTGGGGTGACCTCAGGGTCGTCGAGACTGGTGACAGTGTTCTTGGGGACTGTCTCGAGAACCATTAAGCAAGTCGAAGCTCCTGACTTGCTTGAATGGGACCACGGAATAGCTCTGCATGCACTGCAGGGGAATGGGGCCTCATCTCGCCCCTAGGGGGAAGTCTCATGGTTTTTCTCGAGTTGCGGCGGGGACCTGGGGTATGTTCTCGACTTACAGCGGGGATGGCCCTTCAAAACACGAGTTTCTTCAGTGGCGTCAGGACTCCTGTCTAGTAACGAGGGACACCTCAGGAATCTCTTCGAGGCTTGGCAGGGCAAAAAGGACGCTTCTCGAGGTGAGGCCGGGCACCCAAGGACCCTTTCCAGTAGCCACAAGGATTTTGGGATTCCTATCAGTATTCAAGAGGAGTCAGGCATCGTCACCTTTTGAAGCAATGAACTCAGCGTGCCTCTCGAGGTGTCAACGGGATGTGAGGCATTACGTCCAAATGAGGCAGGGACCTAGGGCTTTCTCTAAGGTCTCCACAGGGGATTCAGACATCCCTTCATGTTGTGAGATCAAAGACGAACCTGTATTCAAGCCACTGCAAGGAAATCCGGCCTCCTTTCAAGTTAGGGCTTCTCGCTGTATATTGCCCTTGAGGCAGCGAACTCGGGGTCCCTCCCACATACCTATTGCTGAGAGAAGCCTCCTCCTGAGGTGCGTCTTGAAAGTTGGCATACGTCTTGAGCCTAAGCCAGGGAATCAGCTCTCATCTCGAGACGATTTGAGGTACACGGAGCATTCCTCGAGTTGCCGTGCTGAAGTTGGTGTTCCTCTAGACTTGGGACAGTGTTCTCGGGGCATCTCTGGAGTTGCCTGAAGGAAGTCGAGCCACCGGTCGTGTTGAATGGGGAACGGGGAATGGCTCTGGAGTCAATGCAGGGGAATCGGGCCTCATCTCGAGTTGATTTGGGGCACATGGAGCTGCTTTGCGTTGCTGGGGTGACCTCAGGGTCCGTCGAGACTGGTGACAGTGTTCTTGAGGACTGTCTTGAGATCCATTAAGCAAGTCGAAGCTCCTGACTTGTTTGAATGGGACCACGGAATAGCTCTGCATGCACTGCAGGGGAATGGGGTCTCATCTCGCCTCTAGGGGGAAGTCTCATGGTTTTTCTCGAGTTGCGGCGGGGACCTGGGGTATGTTCTCGACTTACGGCGGGGATGGCCCTTCAAAACACGAGTTTCTTCAGTGACGTCAGGACTCCTCTCTAGTAACGCGGGACACCTCAGGAATCTCTTCGAGGCTTGGCAGGGCAAAAGGGACGCTTCCCGAGGTGTGGCAGGCCACCCAAGGACCCTTTCCAGTAGCCACAGGGATTTTGGTATTCCTATCAGTATTCAAGAGGAGTGAGGCATTGTCACCTTTTGAAGCAATGAACTTCGCGTGCCTCTTGAGGTGTCAACGGGATGTGAGGCATTCCGTCAAAATGAGGCAGGGACCTAGGGCTTTCTCTAAGGTCTCCACAGGGGATTCAGACATCCCTTCATGTTGTGAGATGAAAGACGAGCCTGTATTCAAGCCACTGCAAGGAAATCCGGCCTCCTTTCAAGTTAGGGCTTCTCGCTGTATATTGCCCTTGAGGCAGCGAACTCGGGGTCCCTCCCACATACCTATTGCTGAGAGAAGCCTCCTCCTGAGGTGCGTCTGGAAAGTTGGCATACGTCTTGAGCCTAAGCCAGGGAATCAGCTCTCATCTCGAGACGATTTGGGGTACACGGAGCATTCCTCGAGTTGCTGTGCTGAAGTTGGTGTTCCTCTAGACTTGGGACAGTGTTCTCGGGGTATCTCTGGAGTTGCCTGAAGGAAGTCGAGCCACCGGTCGTGTTGAATGGGGAACGGGTAATGGCTCTGGAGTCAATGCAGGGGAATCGGGCCTCATCTCGAGTTGATTTGGGGCACATGGAGCTGCTTTGCGTTGCTGGGGTGACCTCAGCGTAGGTCAAGACTGGTGACAGTGTTCTTGGGGACTGTCTCGAGATCGATTAAGCAAGTCGAAGCTCCTGACTTGTTTGAATGGGACCACGGAATAGCTCTGCATGCACTGCAGGGGAATGGGGCCTCATCTCGATTCTAGGGAGAAGTCTCATGGTTTTTCTCGAGTTGCGGCGGGGACCTGGGGTATGTTCTCGACTTACGGCGGGGATGGCCCTTCAAAACACGAGTTTCTTCAGTGACGTCAGGACTCCTGTCTAGTAACGAGGGACACCTCAGGAATATCATCGAGGCTTGGCAGTGCAAATGGGACGCTTCTTGAGGTGAGGCAGGGCATCCAAGGACCCTTTCCAGTAGCCACAGGGATTTTGGGATTCCTATCAGAATTCAAGAGGAGTCAGGCATCGTCACATTTTGAAGCAATGAACTCCGCATGCCTCTCGAGGTGTCAACGGGATGTGAGGCATTCCGTCCAAATGAGGCAGGGACCTAGGGCTTTCTCTAAGGTCTCCACAGGGGATTCAGACATCCCTTCATGTTGTGAGAAGAAAGACGAGCCTGTATTCAAGCCACTGCAAGGAAATCCGGCCTCCATTCAAGTTAGGGCTTCTCGCTGTATATTGCCCTTGAGGCAGCAAACTCGGGGTCCCTCCCACATACCTATTGCTGAAAGAAGCCTCCTCCTGAGGTGCGTCTTGAAAGTTGGCATACGTCTTGAGCCTAAGCCAGGGAATCACCTCTCATCTCGAGACGATTTGTGGTACATGGAGCATTCCTCAAGTTGCCGTGCTGAAGTTGGTGTTCCTCTAGACTTGAGACAGTGTTCTCTGGGCATCTCTGGACTTGCCTGAAGGAAGTCGAGCCACCGGTCGTGTTGAATTGGGAACGGGGAATGGCTCTGGAGACAATGCAGGGGAATCGGGCCTCATCTCGAGTTGATTTGGGGCCCATGGAGCTGCTTTGCGTTGCTGGGGTGACCTCAGGGTCGTCGAGACTGGTGACAGTGTTCTTGGGGACTGTCTCGAGAACCATTAAGCAAGTCGAAGCTCCTGACTTGCTTGAATGGGACCACGGAATAGCTCTGCATGCACTGCAGGGGAATGGGGCCTCATCTCGCCTCTAAGGGGAAGTCTCATGGTTTTTCTCAAGTTGCGGCGGGGACCTGGGGTATGTTCTCGACTTACAGCGGGGATGGCCCTTCAAAACACGAGTTTCTTCAGTGACGTCAGGACTCCTGTCTAGTAACGAGGGACACCTCAGGAATCTCTTCGAGGCTTGGCAGGGCAAAAGGGACGCTTCTCGAGGTGAGGCAGGGCACCCAAGGACCCTTTCCAGTAGCCACAGGGATTTTGGGATTCCTATCAGTATTCAAGAGGAGTGAGGCATTGTCACCTTTTGAAGCAATGAACTTTGCGTGCCTCTTGAGGTGTCAACGGGATGTGAGGCATTCCGTCAAAATGAGGCAGGGACCTAGGGCTTTCTCTAAGGTCTCCACAGGGGATTCAGACATCCCTTCATGTTGTGAGATCAAAGACGAGCCTGTATTCAAGCCACTGCAAGGAAATCCGGCCTCCTTTCAAGTTAGGGCTTCTCGCTGTATATTGCCCTTGAGTCAGAGAACTCGGGGTCCCTCCCACATACTTATTGCTGAGAGAAGCCTCCTCCTGAGGTGCGTCTTGAAAGTTGGCATACGTCTTGAGCCTAAGCCAGGGAATCACCTCTCATCTCGAGACGATTTGGGGTACACGGAGCATTCCTCGAGTTGCCGTGCTGAAGTTGGTGTTCCTCTAGACTTGGGACAGTGTTCTCGGGGCATCTCTGGAGTTGCCTGAAGGAAGTCGAGCCACCGGTCGTGTTGAATGGGGAACGGGGAATGGCTCTGGAGTCAATGCAGGGGAATCGGGCCTCATCTCGAGTTGATTTGGGGTCCATGGAGCTGCTTTGCGTTGCTGGGGTGACGTCAGGGTCCGTCGAGACTGGTGACAGTGTTCTTGGGGACTGTCTCGAGAACCATTAAGCAAGTCGAAGCTCCTGACTTGCTTGAATGGGACCACGGAATAGCTCTGCATGCACTGCAGGGGAATGGGGCCTCATCTCGCCTCTTGGGGGAAGTCTCATGGTTTTTCTCGAGTTGCGGCGGGAACCTGGGGTATGTTCTCGACTTACGGCGGGGATGGCCCTTCAAAACACGAGTTTCTTCAGTGACGTCAGGACTCCTGTCTAGTAACGAGGGACACCTCTGGAATCTCTTCGAGGCTTGGCAGGGCAAAAGGGACGCTTCTCGAGGTGAGGCAGGGCACCCAAGGACCCTTTCCAGTAGCCACAGGGATTTTGGGATTCCTATCAGTATTCAAGATGAGTGAGGCATTGTCACCTTTTGAAGCAATGAACTTCGCGTGCCTCTTGAGGTGTCAACGGGATGTGAGGCATTCGGTCAAAATGAGGCAGGGACCTAGGGCTTTCTCTAAGGTCTCCACAGGGGATTCAGACATCCCTTCATGTTGTGAGATGAAAGACGAGCCTGTATTCAAGCCACTGCAAGGAAATCCGGCCTCCTTTCAAGTTAGGGCTTCTCGCTGTATATTGCCCTTGAGGCAGCGAACTCGGTGTCCCTCCCACATACCTATTGCTGAGAGAAGCCTCCTCCTGAGGTGCTTCTGGAAAGTTGGCATACGTCTTGAGCCTAAGTCAGGGAATCAGCTCTCATCTCGAGACGATTTGGGGTACACGGAGCATTCCTCGAGTTGCTGTGCTGAAGTTGGTGTTCCTCTAGACTTGGGACAGTGTTCTCGGGGTATCTCTGGAGTTGCCTGAAGGAAGTCGAGCCACCGGTCGTGTTGAATGGGGAACGGGGAATGGCTCTGGAGTCAATGCAGGGGAATCGGGCCTCATCTCGAGTTGATTTGGGGCACATGGAGCTGCTTTGCGTTGCTGGGGTGACCTCAGCGTCCGTCGAGACTGGTGACAGTGTTCTTGGGGACTGGCTCGAGATCCATTAAGCAAGTCGAAGCTCCTGACTTGTTTGAATGGGACCACGGAATAGCTCTGCATACACAGCAGGTGAATGGGGCCTCATCTCGCCTCTAGGGGGAAGTCTCATGGTTTTTCTCGAGTTGCGGCGGGGACCTGGGGTATGTTCTCGACTTACGGCGGGGATGGCCCTTCAAAACACGAGTTTCTTCAGTGACGTCAGGACTCCTGTCTAGTAACGAGGGACACCTCAGGAATCTCTTCGAGGCTTGGCAGGGCAAAAGGGACGCTTCTCGAGGTGAGGCAGGGCACCCAAGGACCCTTTCCAGTAGCCACAGGGATTTTGGGATTCCTATCAGTATTCAAGAGGAGTGAGGTATTGTCACCTTTTTAAGCAATGAACTTCGCGTGCCTCTTGAGGTGTCAACGGGATGTGAGGCATTCCGTCAAAATGAGGCAGGGACCTAGGGCTTTCTCTAAGGTCTCCACAGGGGATTCAGACATCCGTTCATGTTGGAGATCAAAGACGAGCCTGTATTCAAGCCACTGAAAGGAAATCCGGCCTCCTTTCAAGTTAGGGCTTCTCGCTGTACATTGCCTTTGAGGCAGCGAACTCGGTGTCCCTCCCACATAACTATTGCTGAGAGAAGCCTCCTCCTGAGGTGCGTCTGGAAAGTTGGCATACGTCTTGAGCCTAAGCCAGGGAATCAGCTCTAATCTTGAGACGATTTGGGATACACGGAGCATTCCTCGAGTTGCTGTGCTGAAGTTGGTGTTTCTCTAGACTTCGGACAGTGTTCTCGGGGTATCTCTGGAGTTGCCTGAAGGAAGTCGAGCCACAGTTCGTGTTGAATGGGGAACGCGGAATGGCTCTGGAGTCAATGCAGGGGAATCGGGCCTCATCTCGAGTTGATTTGGGGCACATGGAGCTGCTTTGCGTTGCTGGGGTGACCTCAGCGTCCGTCGAGACTGGTGACAGTGTTCTTGGGGACTGTCTCGAGATCCATTAAGCAAGTCGAAGCTCCTGACTTGTTTGAATGGGACCACGGAATAGCTCTGCATGCACTGCAGGGGAATGGGGTCTCATCTCGCCTCTAGAGGGAAGTCTCATGGTTTTTCTCGAGTTGCGGCGGGGACCTGGGATATGTTCTCGACTTACGGCGGGGATGGCCCTTCAAAACACGAGTTTCTTCAGTGACGTCAGGACTCCTGTCTAGTAACGAGGGACACTTAAGGAATCTCTTCGAGGCTTGGCAGGGCAAAAGGGACGCTTCTCGAGGTGAGGCAGGGCACCCAAGGACCCTTTCCAGTAGCCACAGGGATTTTGGGATTCCTATCAGTATTCAAGAGGAGTCAGGCATCGTCACGTTTTGAAGCAATGAACTCCGCGTGCCTCTCGAGGTGTCAACGGGATGTGAGGCATTCCGTCCAAATGAGGCAGGGACCTAGGGCTTTCTCTAAGGTCTCCACAGGGGATTCAGACATCCCTTCATGTTGTGAGATCAAAGACGAGCCTGTATTCAAGCCACTGCAAGGAAATCCGGCCTGCTTTCAAGTTAGGGCTTCTCGCTGTATATTGCCCTTGAGGCAGCGAACTCGGGGTCCCTCCCACATACCTATTGCTGAGAGAAGCCTCCTCCTGAGGTGCGTCTGGAAAGTTGGCATATGTCTTGAGCCTAAGCCAGGGAATCACCTCTCATCTCGAGACGATTTGGGGTACACGGATCATTCCTCGAGTTGCCGTGCTGAAGTTGGTGTTCCTCTAGACTTGGGACAGTGTTCTCGGGGCATCTCTGGAGTTGCCTGAAGGAAGTCGAGCCACCGGTCGTGTTGAATGGGGAACGGGGAATGGCTCTGGAGTCAATGCAGGGGAATCGCGCCTCATCTCGAGTTGATTTGGGGCCCATGGAGCTGCTTTGTGTTGCTGGGGTAACCTCAGGGTCTGTCGAGACTTGTGACAGTGTTCTTGGGGACTGTCTCGAGATCCATTAAGCAAGTCGAAGCTCCTGACTTGTTTGAATGGGACCACGGAATAGCTCTGCATGCACTGCAGGGGATTGGGGTCTCATCTCGCCTCTAGGGGGAAGTCTCATGGTTTTTTTCGAGTTGCGGCGGGGACCTGGGGTATGTTCTCGACTTACGGCGGGGATGGCCCTTCAAAACACGAGTTTCTTCAGTGACGTCAGGACTCCTGTCTAGTAACGAGGGACACCTCAGGAATCTCTTCGAGGCTTGGCAGGGCAAAAGGGACGCTTCTCGACGTGAGGCAGGGCACCCAAGGACCCTTTCCAGTAGCCACAGGGATTTTGGGATTCCTATCAGTATTCAAGAGGAGTGAGGCATTGTCACCTTTTGAAGCAATGAACTTCGCGTGCCTCTTGAGGTGTCAACGGGATGTGAGGCATTCCGTCAAAATGAGGCAGGGACCTAGGGCTTTCTCTAAGGTCTCCACAGGGGATTCAGACATCCCTTCATGTTGTGAGATGAAAGACGAGCCTGTATTCAAGCCACTGCAAGGAAATCCGGCCTCCTTTCAAGTTAGGGCTTCTCGCTGTATATTGCCCTTGAGGCAGCGAACTCGGGGTCCCTCCCACATACCTATTGCTGAGAGAAGCCTCCTCCTGAGGTGCGTCTGGAAAGTTGGCATACGTCTTGAGCCTAAGCCAGGGAATCAGCTCTCATCTCGAGACGATTTGGGGTACACGGAGCATTCCTCGAGTTGCTGTGCTGAAGTTGGTGTTCCTCTAGACTTGGGACAGTGTTCTCGGGGTGTCTCTGGAGTTGCCTGAAGGAAGTCGAGCCACCGGTCGTGTTGAATGGGGAACGGGTAATGGCTCTGGAGTCAATGCAGGGGAATCGGGCCTCATCTCGAGTTGATTTGGGGCACATGGAGCTGCTTTGCGTTGCTGGGGTGACCTCAGCGTCGGTCGAGACTGGTGACAGTGTTCTTGGGGACTGTCTCGAGATCGATTAAGCAAGTCGAAGCTCCTGACTTGTTTGAATGGGACCACGGAATAGCTCTGCATGCACTGCAGGGGAATGGGGCCTCATCTCGCCTCTAGGGGGAAGTCTCATGATTTTTCTCGAGTTGCGGCGGGGACCTGGGGTATGTTCTCGACTTACGGCGGGGATGGCCCTTCAAAACACGAGTTTCTTCAGTGACGTCAGGACTCCTGTCTAGTAACGAGGGACACCGCAGGAATATCCTCGAGGCTTGGCAGTGCAAATGGGACTCTTCTTGAGGTGAGGCAGGGCACCCAAGGACCCTTTCCAGTAGCCACAGGGATTTTGGGATTCCTATCAGAATTCAAGAGGAGTCAGGCATCGTCACCTTTTGAAGCAATGAACTCAGCGTGCCTCTCGAGGTGTCAACGGGATGTGAGGCATTACGTCCAAATGAGGCAGGGACCTAGGGCTTTCTCTAAGGTCTCCACAGGGGATTCAGACATCCCTTCATGTTGTGAGATCAAAGACGAACCTGTATTCAAGCCACTGCAAGGAAATCCGGCCTCCTTTCAAGTTAGGGCTTCTCGCTGTATATTGCCCTTGAGGCAGCGAACTCGGGGTCCCTCCCACATACCTATTGCTGAGAGAAGCCTCCTCCTGAGGTGCGTCTGGAAAGTTGGCATACGTCTTGAGCCTAAGCCAGGGAATCAGCTCTCATCTCGAGACGATTTGGGGTACACGGAGCATTCCTCGAGTTGCTGTGCTGAAGTTGGTGTTCCTCTAGACTTGGGACAGTGTTCTCGGGGTGTCTCTGGAGTTGCCTGAAGGAAGTCGAGCCACCGGTCGTGTTGAATGGGGAACGGGTAATGGCTCTGGAGTCAATGCAGGGGAATCGGGCCTCATCTCGAGTTGATTTGGGGCACATGGAGCTGCTTTGCGTTGCTGGGGTGACCTCAGCGTCGGTCGAGACTGGTGACAGTGTTCTTGGGGACTGTCTCGAGATCGATTAAGCAAGTCGAAGCTCCTGACTTGTTTGAATGGGACCACGGAATAGCTCTGCATGCACTGCAGGGGAATGGGGCCTCATCTCGCCTCTAGGGGGAAGTCTCATGATTTTTCTCGAGTTGCGGCGGGGACCTGGGGTATGTTCTCGACTTACGGCGGGGATGGCCCTTCAAAACACGAGTTTCTTCAGTGACGTCAGGACTCCTGTCTAGTAACGAGGGACACCGCAGGAATATCCTCGAGGCTTGGCAGTGCAAATGGGACTCTTCTTGAGGTGAGGCAGGGCACCCAAGGACCCTTTCCAGTAGCCACAGGGATTTTGGGATTCCTATCAGAATTCAAGAGGAGTCAGGCATCGTCACCTTTTGAAGCAATGAACTCAGCGTGCCTCTCGAGGTGTCAACGGGATGTGAGGCATTACGTCCAAATGAGGCAGGGACCTAGGGCTTTCTCTAAGGTCTCCACAGGGGATTCAGACATCCCTTCATGTTGTGAGATCAAAGACGAACCTGTATTCAAGCCACTGCAAGGAAATCCGGCCTCCTTTCAAGTTAGGGCTTCTCGCTGTATATTGCCCTTGAGGCAGCGAACTCGGGGTCCCTCCCACATACCTATTGCTGAGAGAAGCCTCCTCCTGAGGTGCGTCTTGAAAGTTGGCATACGTCTTGAGCCTAAGCCAGGGAATCAGCTCTCATCTCGAGACGATTTGAGGTACACGGAGCATTCCTCGAGTTGCCGTGCTGAAGTTGGTGTTCCTCCAGACTTGGGACAGTGTTCTCGGGGCATCTCTGGAGTTGCCTGAAGGAAGTCGAGCCACCGGTCGTGTTGAATGGGGAACGGGGAATGGCTCTGGAGTCAATGCAGGGGAATCGGGCCTCATCTCGAGTTGATTTGGGGCACATGGAGCTGCTTTGCGTTGCTGGGGTGACCTCAGGGTCCGTCGAGACTGGTGACAGTGTTCTTGAGGACTGTCTTGAGATCCATTAAGCAAGTCGAAGCTCCTGACTTGTTTGAATGGGACCACGGAATAGCTCTGCATGCACTGCAGGGGAATGGGGTCTCATCTCGCCTCTAGGGGGAAGTCTCATGGTTTTTCTCGAGTTGCGGCGGGGACCTGGGGTATGTTCTCGACTTACGGCGGGGATGGCCCTTCAAAACACGAGTTTCTTCAGTGACGTCAGGACTCCTGTCTAGTAACGCGGGACACCTCAGGAATCTCTTCGAGGCTTGGCAGGGCAAAAGGGACGCTTCCCGAGGTGTGGCAGGCCACCCAAGGACCCTTTCCAGTAGCCACAGGGATTTTGGTATTCCTATCAGTATTCAAGAGGAGTGAGGCATTGTCACCTTTTGAAGCAATGAACTTCGCGTGCCTCTTGAGGTGTCAACGGGATGTGAGGCATTCCGTCAAAATGAGGCAGGGACCTAGGGCTTTCTCTAAGGTCTCCACAGGGGATTCAGACATCCCTTCATGTTGTGAGATGAAAGACGAGCCTGTATTCAAGCCACTGCAAGGAAATCCGGCCTCCTTTCAAGTTAGGGCTTCTCGCTGTATATTGCCCTTGAGGCAGCGAACTCGGGGTCCCTCCCACATACCTATTGCTGAGAGAAGCCTCCTCCTGAGGTGCGTCTGGAAAGTTGGCATACGTCTTGAGCCTAAGCCAGGGAATCAGCTCTCATCTCGAGACGATTTGGGGTACACGGAGCATTCCTCGAGTTGCTGTGCTGAAGTTGGTGTTCCTCTAGACTTGGGACAGTGTTCTCGGGGTATCTCTGGAGTTGCCTGAAGGAAGTCGAGCCACCGGTCGTGTTGAATGGGGAACGGGTAATGGCTCTGGAGTCAATGCAGGGGAATCGGGCCTCATCTCGAGTTGATTTGGGGCACATGGAGCTGCTTTGCGTTGCTGGGGTGACCTCAGCGTCGGTCGAGACTGGTGACAGTGTTCTTGGGGACTGTCTCGAGATCGATTAAGCAAGTCGAAGCTCCTGACTTGTTTGAATGGGACCACGGAATAGCTCTGCATGCACTGCAGGGGAATGGGGCCTCCTCTCGCCTCTAGGGGGAAGTCTCATGATTTTTCTCGAGTTGCGGCGGGGACCTGGGGTATGTTCTCGACTTACGGCGGGGATGGCCCTTCAAAACACGAGTTTCTTCAGTGACGTCAGGACTCCTGTCTAGTAACGAGGGACACCTCAGGAATATCATCGAGGCTTGGCAGTGCAAATGGGACGCTTCTTGAGGTGAGGCAGGGCACCCAAGGACCCTTTCCAGTAGCCACAGGGATTTTGGGATTCCTATCAGAATTCAAGAGGAGTCAGGCATCGTCACCTTTTGAAGCAATGAACTCCGCATGCCTCTCGAGGTGTCAACGGGATGTGAGGCATTCCGTCCAAATGAGGCAGGGACCTAGGGCTTTCTCTAAGGTCTCCACAGGGGATTCAGACATCCCTTCATGTTGTGAGAAGAAAGACGAGCCTGTATTCAAGCCACTGCAAGGAAATCCGGCCTCCTTTCAAGTTAGGGCTTCTCGCTGTATATTGCCCTTGAGGCAGAGAACTCGGGGTCCCTCCCACATACTTATTGCTGAGAGAAGCCTCCTCCTGAGGTGCGTCTTGAAAGTTGGCATACGTCTTGAGCCTAAGCCAGGGAATCACCTCTCATCTCGAGACGATTTGGGGTACACGGAGCATTCCTCGAGTTGCCGTGCTGAAGTTGGTGTTCCTCTAGACTTGGGACAGTGTTCTCGGGGCATCTCTGGAGTTGCCTGAAGGAAGTCGAGCCACCGGTCGTGTTGAATGGGGAACGGGGAATGGCTCTGGAGTCAATGCAGGGGAATCGGGCCTCATCTCGAGTTGATTTAGGGCCCATGGAGCTGCTTTGCGTTGCTGGGGTGACCTCAGGGTCCGTCGAGACTGGTGACAGTGTTCTTGGGGACTGTCTCGAGAACCATTAAGCAAGTCGAAGCTCCTGACTTGCTTGAATGGGACCACGGAATAGCTCTGCATGCACTGCAGGGGAATGGGGCCTCATCTCACCTCTAGGGGGAAGTCTCATGGTTTTTCTCGAGTTGCGGCGGGGACCTGGGGTATGTTCTCGACTTACGGCGGGGATGGCCCTTCAAAACACGAGTTTCTTCAGTGACGTCAGGACTCCTGTCTAGTAACGAGGGACACCTCAGGAATCTCTTCGAGGCTTGGCAGGGCAAAAGGGACGCTTCTCGAGGTGAGGCAGGGCACCCAAGGACCCTTTCCAGTAGCCACAGGGATTTTGGGATTCCTATCAGTATTCAAGAGGAGTGAGGCATTGTCACCTTTTGAAGCAATGAACTTTGCGTGCCTCTTGAGGTGTCAACGGGATGTGAGGCATTCCGTCAAAATGAGGCAGGGACCTAGGGCTTTCTCTAAGGTCTCCACAGGGGATTCAGACATCCCTTCCTGTTGTGAGATCAAAGACGAGCCTGTATTCAAGCCACTGCAAGGAAATCCGGCCTCCTTTCAAGTTAGGGCTTCTCGCTGTATATTGCCCTTGAGGCAGAGAACTCGGGGTCCCTCCCACATACTTATTGCTGAGAGAAGCTTCCTCCTGAGGTGCGTCTTGAAAGTTGGCATACGTCTTGAGCCTAAGCCAGGGAATCACCTCTCATCTCGAGACGATTTGGGGTACACGGAGCATTCCTCGAGTTGCCGTGCTGAAGTTGGTGTTCCTCTAGACTTGGGACAGTGTTCTCGGGGCATCTATGGAGTTGCCTGAAGGAAGTCGAGCCACCGGTCGTGTTGAGTGGGGAACGGGGAATGGCTCTGGAGTCAATGCAGGGGAATCGGGCCTCATCTCGAGTTGATTTGGGGCCCATGGAGCTGCTTTGCGTTGCTGTGGTGACGTCAGGGTCCGTCGAGACTGGTGACAGTGTTCTTGGGGACTGTCTCGAGAACAATTAAGCAAGTCGAAGCTCCTGACTTGCTTGAATGGGACCACGGAATAGCTCTGCATGCACTGCAGGGGAATGGGACCTCATCTCGCCTCTAGGGGGAAGTCTCATGGTTTTTCTCGAGTTGCGGCGGGGACCTGGGGTATGTTCTCGACTTACTGCGGGGATGGCCCTTCAAAACACGAGTTTCTTCAGTGACGTCAGGACTCCTGTCTAGTAACGAGGGACACCTCAGGAATCTCTTCGAGGCTTGGCAGGGCAAAAGGGACGCTTCTCGAGGTGAGGCAGGGCACCCAAGGACCCTTTCCAGTAGCCACAGGGATTTTGGGATTCCTATCAGTATTCAAGAGGAGTGAGGCATTGTCACCTTTTGAAGCAATGAACTTCGCGTGCCTCTTGAGGTGTCAAAGGGATGTGAGGCATTCCGTCAAAATGAGGCAGGGACCTAGGGCTTTCTCTAAGGTCTCCACAGGGGATTCAGACATCCGTTCATGTCGTGAGATGAAAGACGAGCCTGTATTCAAGCCACTGCAAGGAAATCTGGCCTCCTTCAAGTTAGGGCTTCTCGCTGTATATTGCCCTTGAGGCAGCGAACTCGGGGTCCCTCCCACATACCTATTGCTGAGAGAAGCCTCTTCCAGAGGTGCGTCTGGAAAGTTGGCATACGTCTTGAGCCTAAGCCAGGGAATCAGTTCTCATCTCGAGACGATTTGGGGTACACGGAGCATTCCTCGAGTTGCTGTGCAGAAGTTGGTGTTCCTCTAGACTTGGGACAGTGTTCTCGGGGTATCTCTGGAGTTGCCTGAAGGAAGTCGAGCCACCGGTCGTGTTGAATGGGGAACGGGGAATGGCTCTGGAGTCAATGCAAGATAATCGGGCCTCATCTCGAGTTGATTTGGGGCACATGGAGCTGCTTTGCGTTGCTGGGGTGACCTCAGCGTCCGTCGAGACTGGTGACAGTGTTCTTGGGGACTGTCTCGAGATCCATTAAGCAAGTCGAAGCTCCTGACTTGTTTGAATGGGACCACGGAATAGCTCTGCATGCACTGCAGGGGAATGGGGTCTCATCTCGCCTCTAGGGGGAAGTCTCATGGTTTTTCTCGAGTTGCGGCGGGGACCTGGGTTATGTTCTCGACTTACGGCGGGGATGGCCCTTCAAAACACGAGTTTCTTCAGTGACGTCAGGACTCCTGTCTAGTAACGAGGGACACCTCAGGAATCTCATCGAGGCTTGGCAGTGCAAATGGGACGCTTCTAGAGGTGAGGCAGGGCACCCAAGGACCCTTTCCAGTAGCCACAGGGATTTTGGGATTCCTATCAGAATTCAAGAGGAGTCAGGCATCGTCACCTTTTGAAGCAATGAACTCCGCGTGCCTCTCGAGGTGTCAACGGGATGTGAGGCATTCCGTCCAAATGAGGCAGGGACCTAGGGCTTTCTCTAAGGTCTCCACAGGGGATTCAGACATCCCTTCATGTTGTGAGAAGAAAGACGAGCCTGTATTCAAGCCACTGCAAGGAAATCCGGCCTCCTTTCAAGTTAGGGCTTCTCGCTGTATATTGCCTTTGAGGCAGCGAACTCGGGGTCCCTCCCACATACCTATTGCTGAGAGAAGCCTCCTCCTGAGGTGCGTCTTGAAAGTTGGCATACGTCTTGAGCCTAAGCCAGGGAATCACCTCTCATCTCAAGACGATTTGGGGTACACGGAGCATTCCTCGAGTTGCCGTGCTGAAGTTGGTGTTCCTCTAGACTTGGGACAGTGTTCTCGGGGCATCTCTGGAGTTGCCTGAAGGAAGTCGAGCCACCGGTCGTGTTGAATGGGGAACGGGGAATGGCTCTGGAGTCAATGCAGGGGAATCGGGCCTCATCTCGAGTTGATTTGGGGCACATGGAGCTGCTTTGCGTTGCTAGGGTGACCTCAGCGTCCGTCGAGACTGGTGACAGTGTTCTTGGGGACTGTCTCGAGATCCATTAAGCAAGTCGAAGCTCCTGACTTGCTTGAATGGGACCACGGAATAGCTCTGCATGCACTGCAGGGGAATGGGGTCTCATCTCGCCTCTAGGGGGAAGTCTCATGGTTTTTCTCGAGTTGCGGCGGGGACCTGGGGTATGTTCTCGACTTACGGCGGGGATGGCCCTTCAAAACACGAGTTTCTTCAGTGACGTCAGGAATCCTGTCTAGTAACGAGGGACACCTCAGGAATCTCTTCCAGGCTTGGCAGGGCAAAAGGGACGCTTCTCGAGGTGAGGCAGGGCACCCAAGGACCCTTTCCAGTAGCCACGGGGATTTTGGGATTCCTATCAGTATTCAAGAGGAGTCAGGCATCTTCACCTTTTGAAGCAATGAACACTGCGTGCCTCTCGAGGTGTCAACGGGATGTGAGGCATTCCGTCAAAATGAGGCAGGGACCTAGGGCTTTCTCTAAGGTCTACACAGGGGATTCAGACATCCCTTCATGTTGTGAGATCAAAGACGAGCCTGTATTCAAGCCACTGCAAGGAAATCCGGCCTGCTTTCAAGTTAGGGCTTCTCGCTTTATATTGCCCTTGAGGAAGCGAACTCGGGGTCCCTCCCACATACCTATTGCTGAGAAAAGCCTCCTCCTGAGGTGCGTCTTGAAAGTTGGCATACGTCTTGAGCCTAAGCCAGGGAATCAGCTCTCATCTCGAGAAGATTTGGGGTACACGGAGCATTCCTCGAGTTGCTGTGCTGAAGTTGGTGTTCCTCTAGACTTGGGTCAGTGTTCTCGGGGTATCTCTGGAGTTGCCTGAAGGAAGTCGAGCCACCGGTCGTGTTGAATGGGGAACAGGGAATGGCTCTGGAGTCAATGCAGGGGAATCGGGCCTCATCTCGAGTTGATTTGGGGCACATGGAGCTGCTATGCGTTGCTGGGGTGACCTCAGCGTCCGTCGAGACTGGTGACAGTGTTCTTGGGGACTGTCTCGAGATCCATTAAGCAAGTCGAAGCTCCTGACTTGTTTGAATGGGACCACGGAATAGCTCTGCATGCACTGCAGGGGAATGGGGCCTCATCTCGCCTCTTGGAGGAAGTCTCATGGTTTTTCTCGAGTTGCGGCGTGGACCTGGGGTATGTTCTCGACTTACGGCGGGGATGGCCCTTCAAAACCCGAGTTTCTTCAGTGACGTCAGGACTCCTGTCTAGTAACGAGGGCCACCTCAGGAATCACATCGAGGCTTGGCAGTGCAAAAGGGACGCTTCTTGAGGTGAGGCAGGGCACCCAAGGACCCTTTCCAGTAGCCACAGGGATTTTGGGATTCCTATCAGAATTCAAGAGGAATCAGGCATCTTCACCTTTTGAAGCAATGAACTCCGCGTGCCTCTCGAGGTGTCAACGTGATGTGAGGCATTCCGTCAAAATGAGGCAGGGATCTAGGGCTTTCTCTAAGGTCTCCACAGGGGATTCAGACATCCCTTCATGTTGTGAGATCAAAGACGAGCCTGTATTCAAGCCACTGCAAGGAAATCCGGCCTCCTTTCAAGTTAGGGCTTCTCGCTGTATATTGCCCTTGAGGCAGAGAACTCGGGGTCCCTCCCACATACCTATTGCTGAGAGAAGCCTCCTCCTGAGGTGCGTCTTGAAAGTTGGCATACGTCTTGAGCCTAAGCCAGGGAATCACCTCTCATCTCGAGACGATTTGGGGTACACGGAGCATTCCTCGAGTTGCCGTGCTGAAGTTGGTGTTCCTCTAGACTTGGGACAGTGTTCTCGGGGCATCTCTGGAGTTGCCTGAAGGAAGTCGAGCCACCGGTCGTGTTGAATGGGGAACGGGGAATGGCTCTGGAGTCAATGCAGGGGAATCGGGCCTCATCTCGAGTTGATTTAGGGCCCATGGAGCTGCTTTGCGTTGCTGGGGTGACCTCAGGGTCCGTCGAGACTGGTGACAGTGTTCTTGGGGACTGTCTCGAGAACCATTAAGCAAGTCGAAGCTCCTGACTTGCTTGAATTGGACCACGGAATAGCTCTGCATGCACTGCAGGGGAATGGGGCCTCATCTCGCCTCTAGGGGGAAGTCTCATGGTTTTTCTCGAGTTGCGGCGGGGACCTGGGGTATGTTCTCGACTTACGGCGCGGATGGCCCTTCAAAACACGAGTTTCTTCAGTGACGTCAGGACTCCTGTCTAGTAACGAGGGACACCTCAGGAATCTCTTCGAGGCTTGGCAGGGCAAAAGGGACGATTCTCGATGTGAGGCAGGGCACCCAAGGACCCTTTCCAGTAGCCAAAGGGATTTTGGGATTCCTATCAGTATTCAAGAGGAGTGAGGCATTGTCACCTTTTGAAGAAATGAACTTCGCGTGCCTCTTAAGGTGTTAACGGGATGTGAGGCATTCCGTCAAAATGAGGCAGGGACCTAGGGCTTTCTCTAAGGTCTCCACAGGGGATTCAGACATCCCTTCATGTTGTGAGATGAAAGACGAGCCTGTATTCAAGCCACTGCAAGGAAATCCGGCCTCCTTTCAAGTTAGGGCTTCTCGCTGTATATTGCCCTTGAGGCAGCGAACTCGGGGTCCCTCCCACATACCTATTGCTGAGAGAAGCCTACTCCTGAGGTGCGTCTGGAAAGTTGGCATACGTCTTGAGCCTAAGCCAGGGAATCAGCTCTCATCTCGAGACGATTTGGGGTACACGGAGCATTCCTCGAGTTGCTGTGCTGAAGTTGGTGTTCCTCTAGACTTGGGAAAATGTTCTTGGAGTATCTCTGGAGTTGCCTGAAGTTAGTCGAGCCACCGGTCGTGTTGAATGGGGAACGGGGAATGGCTCTGGAGTCAATGCAGGGGAATCGGGCCTCATCTCGAGTTGATTTGGGGCCCATGGAGCTGCTTTGCTTTGCTGGGGTGACCTCAGGGTCCGTCGAGACTGGTGACAGTGTTCTTGGGGACTGTCTCGAGAACCATTAAGCAAGTCGAAGCTCCTGACTTGCTTGAATTGGACCACGGAATAGCTCTGCATGCACTGCAGGGGAATGGGGCCTCATCTCGCCTCTAGGGGGAAGTCTCATGGTTTTTCTCGAGTTGCAGCGGGGACCTGGGGTATGTTCTCGACTTACGGCGCGGATGGCCCTTCAAAACACGAGTTTCTTCAGTGACGTCAGGACTCCTGTCTAGTAACGAGGGACACCTCAGGAATCTCTTCGAGGCTTGGCAGGGCAAAAGGGACGATTCTCGATGTGAGGCAGGGCACCCAAGGACCCTTTCCAGTAGCCAAAGGGATTTTGGGATTCCTATCAGTATTCAAGAGGAGTGAGGCATTGTCACCTTTTGAAGCAATGAACTTCGCGTGCCTCTTAAGGTGTTAACGGGATGTGAGGCATTCCGTCAAAATGAGGCAGGGACCTAGGGCTTTCTCTAAGGTCTCCACAGGGGATTCAGACATCCCTTCATGTTGTGAAATGAAAGACGAGCCTGTATTCAAGCCACTGCAAGGAAATCCGGCCTCCTTTCAAGTTAGGGCTTCTCGCTGTATATTGCCCTTGAGGCAGCGAACTCGGGGTCCCTCCCACATACCTATTGCTGAGAGAAGCCTACTCCTGAGGTGCGTCTGGAAAGTTGGCATACGTCTTGAGCCTAAGCCAGGGAATCAGCTCTCATCTCGAGACGATTTGGGGTACACGGAGCATTCCTCGAGTTGCTGTGCTGAAGTTGGTGTTCCTCTAGACTTGGGACAATGTTCTTGGAGTATCTCTGGAGTTGCCTGAAGTTAGTCGAGCCACCGGTCGTGTTGAATGGGGAACGGGGAATGGCTCTGGAGTCAATGCAGGGGAATCGGGCCTCATCTCGAGTTGATTTGGGGCACATGGAGCTGCTTTGCGTTGCTGGGGTGACCTCAGCGTCCGTCGAGACTGGTGACAGTGTTCTTGGGGACTGTCTCGAGATCCATTAAACAAGTCGAAGCTCCTGACTTGTTTGAATGGGACCACGGAATAGCTCTGCATGCACTGCAGGGGAATGGGGCCTCATCTCGCCTCTAGGGGGAAGTCTCATGGTTTTTCTCGAGTTGCGGCGGGGACCTGGGGTATGTTCTCGACTTACGGCGGTGATGGCCCTTCAAAACACGAGTTTCTTCAGTGACGTCAGGACTCCTGTCTAGTAACGAGGGACACCTCAGGAATCTCTTCGAGGCTTGGCAGGGCAAAAGGGACGCTTCTCGAGGTGAGGCAGGGCACCCAAGGACCCTTTCCAGTAGCCACAGGGATTTTAGGTTTCCTATCAGTATTCAAGTGGAGTGAGGCATTGTCACCTTTTGAAGCAATGAACTTCGCGTGCCTCTTGAGGTGTCAACGGGATGTGAGGCATTCCGTCAAAATGAGGCAGATAACTAGGGCTTTCTCTAACGTCTCCACAGGGAATTCAGACATCCCTTCATGTTGTGAGATGAAAGACGAGCCTGTATTCAAGCCACTGCAAGGAAATCCGGCCTCCATTCAAGTTAGGGCTTCTCGCTGTATATTGCCCTTGAGGCAGCGAACTTGGGGTCCCTCCCACATACCTATTGCTGAGAGAAGCCTCCTCCTGAGGTGCGTCTTGAAAGTTGGCATACGTCTTGAGCCTAAGCCAAGGAATCAGCTCTCATCTCGAGACGATTTGGGGTACACGGAGCATTCCTCGAGTTGCTGTGCTGAAGTTGGTGTTCCTCTAGACTTGGGACAGTGTTCTCGGGGCATCTCTGGAGTTGCCTGAAGGAAGTCGAGCCACCGGTCGTGTTGAATGGGGAACCGGTAATGGCTCTGGAGTCAATGCAGGGGAATCGGGCCTCATCTCGAGTTGATTTGGGGCCCATGGAGCTGCTTTGCGTTGCTGGGGTGACGTCAGGGTCCGTCGAGACTGGTGACAGTGTTCTTGGGGACTGTCTCGAGAACCATTAAGCAAGTCGAAGCTCCTGACTTGCTTGAATGGGACCACGGAATAGCTCTGCATGCACTGCAGGGAATGGGGCCTCATCTCGCCTCTAGGGGGAAGTCTCATGGTTTTGCTCGAGTTGCGACGGGAACCTGGGGTATGTTCTCGACTTACGGCGGGGATGGCCCTTCAAAACACGAGTTTCTTCAGTGACGTCAGGACTCCTGTCTAGTAACGAGGGACACCTCTGGAATCTCTTCGAGGCTTGTCAGGGCAAAAGGAACGCTTCTCGACGTGAGGCAGGGCACCCAAGGACCCTTTCCAGTAGCCACAGGGATTTTGGGATTCCTATCAGTATTCAAGAGGAGTGAGGCATTGTCACCTTTTGAAGCAATGAACTTCGCGTGCCTCTTGAGGTGTCAACGGGATGTGAGGCATTCCGTCAAAATGAGGCAGGGACCTAGGGCTTTCTCTAAGGTCTCCACAGGGGATTCACACATCCCTTCATGTTGTGAGATGAAAGACGAGCCTGTATTCAAGCCACTGCAAGGAAATCCGGCCTCCTTTCAAGTTAGGGCTTCTCGCTGTATATTGCCCTTGAGGCAGCGAACTCGGTGTCCCTCCCACATACCTATTGCTGAGAGAAGCCTCCTCCTGAGGTGCGTCTGGAAAGTTGGCATACGTCTTGAGCCTAAGTCAGGGAATCAGCTCTCATCTCGAGACGATTTGTGGTACACGGAGCATTCCTCGAGTTGCTGTGCTGAAGTTGGTGTTCCTCTAGACTTGGGACAGTGTTCTCGGGGTATCTCTGGAGTTGCCTGAAGGAAGTCGAGCCACCGGTCGTGTTGAATGGGGAACGGGGAATGGCTCTGGAGTCAATGCAGGGGAATCGGGCCTCATCTCGAGTTGATTTGGGGCACATGGAGCTGCTTTGCGTTGCTGGGGTGACCTCAGCGTTCGTCGAGACTGGTGACAGTTTTCTTGGGGACTGTCTCGAGATCCATTAACAAGTCGAAGCTCCTGACTCGTTTGAATGGGACCACGGAATAGCTCTGCATGCACTGCAGGGGAATGGGGCCTCATCTCGCCTCTTGGAGGAAGTCTCATGGTTTTTCTCGAGTTGCGGCGGGGACCTGGGGTATGTTCTCGACTTACGGCGGGGATGGCCCTTCAAAACACGAGTTTCTTCAGTGATGTCAGGACTCCTGTCTAGTAACGAGGGACATCTCAGGAATCTCATCGAGGCTTGGCAGTGCAAATGGGACGCTTCTTGAGGTGAGGCAGGGCACCCAAGGACCCTTTCCAGTAGCCACAGGGATTTTGGGATTCCTATCAGAATTCAAGAGGAGTCAGGCATCGTCACCTTTTGAAGCAATGAACTCCGCGTGCCTCTCGAGGTGTCAACGGGATGTGAGGCATTCCGTCCAAATGAGGCAGGGACCTAGGGCTTTCTCTAAGGTCTCCACAGGGGATTCAGACATCCCTTCGTGTTGTGAGATCAAAGACGAGCCTGTATTCAAGCCACTGCAAGGAAATCCGGCCTCCTTTCAAGTTAGGGCTTCTCGCTGCATATTGCCCTTGAGGCAGCGTACTCGGGGTCCCTCGCACATACCTATTGCTGAGAGAAGCCTCCTCCTGAGGTGCGTCTGGAAAGTTGGCAGACGTCTTGAGCCTAAGCCAGGGAATCACCTCTCATCTCGAGACGATTTGGGGTACACGGAGCATTCCTCGAGGTGCCGTGCTGAAGTTGGTGTTCCTCTAGACTTGGGACATTGTTCTCGGGGCATCTCTGGAGTTGCCTGAAGGAAGTCGAGCCACCGGTCGTGGTGAATGGGGAACGGGGAATGGCTCTGGAGTCAATGCAGGGGAATCGGGCCTCATCTCGAGTTGATTTGGGGCCCATGGAGCTGCTTTGCGTTGCTGGGGTGACCTCAGGGTCCGTCGAGACTGGTGACAGTGTTCTTGGGGACTGTCTCGAGAACCATTAAGCAAGTCGAAGCTCCTGACTTGCTTGAATTGGACCACGGAATAGCTCTGCATGCACTGCAGGGGAATGGGGCCTCATCTCGCCTCTAGGGGGAAGTCTCATGGTTTTTCTCGAGTTGCGGCGGGGACCTGGGGTATGTTCTCGACTTACGGCGCGGATGGCCCTTCAAAACACGAGTTTCTTCAGTGACGTCAGGACTCCTGTCTAGTAACGAGGGACACCTCAGGAATCTCTTCGAGGCTTGGCAGGGCAAAAGGGACGATTCTCGATGTGAGGCAGGGCACCCAAGGACCCTTTCCAGTAGCCAAAGGGATTTTGGGATTCCTATCAGTATTCAAGAGGAGTGAGGCATTGTCACCTTTTGAAGAAATGAACTTCGCGTGCCTCTTAAGGTGTTAACGGGATGTGAGGCATTCCGTCAAAATGAGGCAGGGACCTAGGGCTTTCTCTAAGGTCTCCACAGGGGATTCAGACATCCCTTCATGTTGTGAGATGAAAGACGAGCCTGTATTCAAGCCACTGCAAGGAAATCCGGCCTCCTTTCAAGTTAGGGCTTCTCGCTGTATATTGCCCTTGAGGCAGCGAACTCGGGGTCCCTCCCACATACCTATTGCTGAGAGAAGCCTACTCCTGAGGTGCGTCTGGAAAGTTGGCATACGTCTTGAGCCTAAGCCAGGGAATCAGCTCTCATCTCGAGACGATTTGGGGTACACGGAGCATTCCTCGAGTTGCTGTGCTGAAGTTGGTGTTCCTCTAGACTTGGGAAAATGTTCTTGGAGTATCTCTGGAGTTGCCTGAAGTTAGTCGAGCCACCGGTCGTGTTGAATGGGGAACGGGGAATGGCTCTGGAGTCAATGCAGGGGAATCGGGCCTCATCTCGAGTTGATTTGGGGCCCATGGAGCTGCTTTGCTTTGCTGGGGTGACCTCAGGGTCCGTCGAGACTGGTGACAGTGTTCTTGGGGACTGTCTCGAGAACCATTAAGCAAGTCGAAGCTCCTGACTTGCTTGAATTGGACCACGGAATAGCTCTGCATGCACTGCAGGGGAATGGGGCCTCATCTCGCCTCTAGGGGGAAGTCTCATGGTTTTTCTCGAGTTGCAGCGGGGACCTGGGGTATGTTCTCGACTTACGGCGCGGATGGCCCTTCAAAACACGAGTTTCTTCAGTGACGTCAGGACTCCTGTCTAGTAACGAGGGACACCTCAGGAATCTCTTCGAGGCTTGGCAGGGCAAAAGGGACGATTCTCGATGTGAGGCAGGGCACCCAAGGACCCTTTCCAGTAGCCAAAGGGATTTTGGGATTCCTATCAGTATTCAAGAGGAGTGAGGCATTGTCACCTTTTGAAGCAATGAACTTCGCGTGCCTCTTAAGGTGTTAACGGGATGTGAGGCATTCCGTCAAAATGAGGCAGGGACCTAGGGCTTTCTCTAAGGTCTCCACAGGGGATTCAGACATCCCTTCATGTTGTGAGATGAAAGACGAGCCTGTATTCAAGCCACTGCAAGGAAATCCGGCCTCCTTTCAAGTTAGGGCTTCTCGCTGTATATTGCCCTTGAGGCAGCGAACTCGGGGTCCCTCCCACATACCTATTGCTGAGAGAAGCCTACTCCTGAGGTGCGTCTGGAAAGTTGGCATACGTCTTGAGCCTAAGCCAGGGAATCAGCTCTCATCTCGAGACGATTTGGGGTACACGGAGCATTCCTCGAGTTGCTGTGCTGAAGTTGGTGTTCCTCTAGACTTGGGACAATGTTCTTGGAGTATCTCTGGAGTTGCCTGAAGTTAGTCGAGCCACCGGTCGTGTTGAATGGGGAACGGGGAATGGCTCTGGAGTCATTGCAGGGGAATCGGGCCTCATCTCGAGTTGATTTGGGGCACATGGAGCTGCTTTGCGTTGCTGGGGTGACCTCAGCGTCCGTCGAGACTGGTGACAGTGTTCTTGGGGACTGTATCGAGATCCATTAAACAAGTCGAAGCTCCTGACTTGTTTGAATGGGACCACGGAATAGCTCTGCATGCACTGCAGGGGAATGGGGCCTCATCTCGCCTCTAGGGGGAAGTCTCATGGTTTTTCTCGAGTTGCGGCGGGGACCTGGGGTATGTTCTCGACTTACGGCGGTGATGGCCCTTCAAAACACGAGTTTCTTCAGTGACGTCAGGACTCCTGTCTAGTAACGAGGGACACCTCAGGAATCTCTTCGAGGCTTGGCAGGGCAAAAGGGACGCTTCTCGAGGTGAGGCAGGGCACCCAAGGACCCTTTCCAGTAGCCACAGGGATTTTAGGTTTCCTATCAGTATTCAAGTGGAGTGAGGCATTGTCACCTTTTGAAGCAATGAACTTCGCGTGCCTCTTGAGGTGTCAACGGGATGTGAGGCATTCCGTCAAAATGAGGCAGATAACTAGGGCTTTCTCTAACGTCTCCACAGGGAATTCAGACATCCCTTCATGTTGTGAGATGAAAGACGAGCCTGTATTCAAGCCACTGCAAGGAAATCCGGCCTCCATTCAAGTTAGGGCTTCTCGCTGTATATTGCCCTTGAGGCAGCGAACTCGGGGTCCCTCCCACATACCTATTGCTGAGAGAAGCCTCCTCCTGAGGTGCGTCTTGAAAGTTGGCATACGTCTTGAGCCTAAGCCAAGGAATCAGCTCTCATCTCGAGACGATTTGGGGTACACGGAGCATTCCTCGAGTTGCTGTGCTGAAGTTGGTGTTCCTCTAGACTTGGGACAGTGTTCTCGGGGCATCTCTGGAGTTGCCTGAAGGAAGTCGAGCCACCGGTCGTGTTGAATGGGGAACCGGTAATGGCTCTGGAGTCAATGCAGGGGAATCGGGCCTCATCTCGAGTTGATTTGGGGCCCATGGAGCTGCTTTGCGTTGCTGGGGTGACGTCAGGGTCCGTCGAGACTGGTTACAGTGTTCTTGGGGACTGTCTCGAGAACCATTAAGCAAGTCGAAGCTCCTGACTTGCTTGAATGGGACCACGGAATAGCTCTGCATGCACTGCAGGGAATGGGGCCTCATCTCGCCTCTAGGGGGAAGTCTCATGGTTTTGCTCGAGTTGCGACGGGAACCTGGGGTATGTTCTCGACTTACGGCGGGGATGGCCCTTCAAAACACGAGTTTCTTCAGTGACGTCAGGACTCCTGTCTAGTAACGAGGGACACCTCTGGAATCTCTTCGAGGCTTGTCAGGGCAAAAGGAACGCTTCTCGACGTGAGGCAGGGCACCCAAGGACCCTTTCCAGTAGCCACAGGGATTTTGGGATTCCTATCAGTATTCAAGAGGAGTGAGGCATTGTCACCTTTTGAAGCAATGAACTTCGCGTGCCTCTTGAGGTGTCAACGGGATGTGAGGCATTCCGTCAAAATGAGGCAGGGACCTAGGGCTTTCTCTAAGGTCTCCACAGGGGATTCACACATCCCTTCATGTTGTGAGATGAAAGACGAGCCTGTATTCAAGCCACTGCAAGGAAATCCGGCCTCCTTTCAAGTTAGGGCTTCTCGCTGTATATTGCCCTTGAGGCAGCGAACTCGGTGTCCCTCCCACATACCTATTGCTGAGAGAAGCCTCCTCCTGAGGTGCGTCTGGAAAGTTGGCATACGTCTTGAGCCTAAGTCAGGGAATCAGCTCTCATCTCGAGACGATTTGTGGTACACGGAGCATTCCTCGAGTTGCTGTGCTGAAGTTGGTGTTCCTCTAGACTTGGGACAGTGTTCTCGGGGTATCTCTGGAGTTGCCTGAAGGAAGTCGAGCCACCGGTCGTGTTGAATGGGGAACGGGGAATGGCTCTGGAGTCAATGCAGGGGAATCGGGCCTCATCTCGAGTTGATTTGGGGCACATGGAGCTGCTTTGCGTTGCTGGGGTGACCTCAGCGTTCGTCGAGACTGGTGACAGTTTTCTTGGGGACTGTCTCGAGATCCATTAACAAGTCGAAGCTCCTGACTCGTTTGAATGGGACCACGGAATAGCTCTGCATGCACTGCAGGGGAATGGGGCCTCATCTCGCCTCTTGGAGGAAGTCTCATGGTTTTTCTCGAGTTGCGGCGGGGACCTGGGGTATGTTCTCGACTTACGGCGGGGATGGCCCTTCAAAACACGAGTTTCTTCAGTGATGTCAGGACTCCTGTCTAGTAACGAGGGACATCTCAGGAATCTCATCGAGGCTTGGCACTGCAAATGGGACGCTTCTTGAGGTGAGGCAGGGCACCCAAGGACCCTTTCCAGTAGCCACAGGGATTTTGGGATTCCTATCAGAATTCAAGAGGAGTCAGGCATCGTCACCTTTTGAAGCAATGAACTCCGCGTGCCTCTCGAGGTGTCAACGGGATGTGAGGCATTCCGTCCAAATGAGGCAGGGACCTAGGGCTTTCTCTAAGGTCTCCACAGGGGATTCAGACATCCCTTCGTGTTGTGAGATCAAAGACGAGCCTGTATTCAAGCCACTGCAAGGAAATCCGGCCTCCTTTCAAGTTAGGGCTTCTCGCTGCATATTGCCCTTGAGGCAGCGTACTCGGGGTCCCTCGCACATACCTATTGCTGAGAGAAGCCTCCTCCTGAGGTGCGTCTGGAAAGTTGGCAGACGTCTTGAGCCTAAGCCAGGGAATCACCTCTCATCTCGAGACGATTTGGGGTACACGGAGCATTCCTCGAGGTGTCGTGCTGAAGTTGGTGTTCCTCTAGACTTGGGACATTGTTCTCGGGGCATCTCTGGAGTTGCCTGAAGGAAGTCGAGCCACCGGTCGTGGTGAATGGGGAACGGGGAATGGCTCTGGAGTCAATGCAGGGGAATCGGGCCTCATCTCGAGTTGATTTGGGGCCCATGGAGCTGCTTTGCGTTGCTGGGGTGACCTCAGGGTCCGTCGAGACTGGTGACAGTGTTCTTGGGGACTGTCTCGAGAACCATTAAGCAAGTCGAAGCTCCTGACTTGTTTGAATGGGACCACGGGATAGCTCTGTATGCACTGCAGGGGAATGGGGCCTCATCTCGCCTCTAGGGGTAAGTCTCATGGTTTTTCTCGAGTGGCGGCGGGGACCTGGGGTATGTTCTCGACTTACGGCGGGGATGGCCCTTCAAAACACGAGTTTCTTCAGTGACGTCAGGACTCCTGTCTAGTAACGAGGGACACCTCAGGAATCTCTTCGAGGCTTGGCAGGGCAAAAGGGACGCTTCTCGAGGTGAGGCAGGGCACCCAAGGACCCTTTCCAGTAGCCACAGGGATTTTGGGATTCCTATCAGTATTCAAGAGGAGTGAGGCATTGTCACCTTTTGAAGCAATGAACTTTGCGTGCCTCTTGAGGTGTCAACGGGATGTGAGGCATTCCGTCCAAATGAGGCAGGGACCTAGGGCTTTCTCTAAGGTCTCCACAGGGGATTCAGAAATCCCTTCATGTTGTGAGATGAAAGACGAGCCTGTATTCAAGCCACTGCAAGGAAATCCGGCCTCCTTTCAAGTTAGGGCTTCTCGCTGTATATTGCCCTTGAGGCAGAGAACTCGGGGTCCCTCCCACATACCTATTGCTGAGAGAAGCCTCCTCCTGAGGTGCGTCTGGAAAGTTGGCATACGTCTTGAGCCTAAGCCAGGGAATCACCTCTCATCTCGAGACGATTTGGGGTATACGGAACATTCCTCGAGGTGCCGTGCTGAAGTTCGTGTTCCTCTAGACTTGGGACAGTGTTTTCGGGGCATCTCTGGAGTTGCCTGAAGGAAGTCGAGCCACCGGTCGTGTTGAATGGGGAACGGGGAATGGCTCTGGAGTCAATGCAGGGGAATCGGGCCTCATCTCTAGTTGATTTGGGGCACATGGAGCGGCTTTGCGTTGCTGGGGTGACCTCAGCGTCCGTCGAGACTGGTGACAGTGTTCTTGGGGACTGTCTCGAGATCCATTAAGCAAGTCGAAGCTCCTGACTTGTTTGATGGGACCACGGAATAGCTCTGCATGCACTGCAGGGGAATGGGGCCTCATCTCGCCTCTAGGGGGAAGTCTCATGGTTTTTCTCGAGTTGCGGCGGGGACCTGGGGTATGTTCTCGTCTTACGGCGGGGATGGCCCTTCAAAACACGAGTTTCTTCAGTGACGTCAGGAGTCCTGTCTAGTAACGAGGGAAAGCTCAGGAATCTCTTCGAGGCTTGGCAGGGCAAAAGGGACGCTTCTCGAGGTGAGTCAGGGCACCCAAGACACTTTCCAGTAGCCACAGGGATTTTGGGATTCCTATCAGTATTCAAGAGAAGTCAGGCATCGTCACCTTTTGAAGCAATGAACTCCGTGTGCCTCTCGAGGTGTCAACGGGATGTGAGGCATTACGTCCAAATGAGGCAGGGACTTATGGCTTTCTCTAAGGTCTACACAGGGGATTCAGACATCCCTTCATGTTGTGAGATGAAAGACGAGCCTGTATTCAAGCCACTGCAAGGAAATCCGGCCTCCTTTCAAGTTAGGGCTTCTCGCTGTATATTGCCCTTGAGGCAGCGAACTCGGGGTCCCTCCCACATACCTATTGCTGAGAGAAGCCTCCTCCAGAGGTGCGTCTGGAAAGTTGGCATAAGTCTTGAGCCTAAGCCAGGGAATCAGCTCTCATCTCGAGACGATTTGGGGTACACGGTGCATTCCTCGAATTGCCGTGCTGAAGTTGGTGTTCCTCTAGACTTGGGACAGTGTTCTCGGGGCATCTCTGGAGTTGCCTGAAGGAAGTCGAGCCACCGGTCGTGTTGAATGGGGAACGGGGAATGGCTCTGGAGTCAATGCAGGGGAATCGGGCCTCATCTCGAGTTGATTTGGGGTCCATGGAGCCGCTTTGCGTTGCTGGGGTGACTTCAGGGTCCGTCGAGACTGGTGACAGTGTTCTTGGGGACTGTCTGGAGAACCATTAAGCAAGTCGAAGCTCCTGACTTGCTTGAATGGGACCACGGAAGCTCTGCATGCACTGCAGGGGAATGGGGCCTCATCTCGCCTCTAGGGGGAAATCTCATGGTTTTTCTCGAGTTGCGGCGGGGACCTGGGGTATGTTCTCGACTTACGGCGGGGATGGCCCTTCAAAACACGAGTTTCTTCAGTGACGTCAGGACTCCTGTCTAGTAACGAGGGACACATCAGGAATCTCTTCGAGGCTTGGCAGGGCAAAAGGGACGCTTCTCGAGGTGAGGCAGGGCACCCAAGGACCCTTTCCAGTAGCCACAGGGATTTTGGGTTTCCTATCAGTATTCAAGAGGAGTGAGGCATTGTCACCTTTTGAAGCAATGAACTTCGCGTGCCTCTTGAGGTGTCAACGGGATGTGAGGCATTCCGTCAAAATGAGGCAGGGACCTAGGGCTTTCTCTAAGGTCTCCACAGGGGATTCAGACATCCCTTCATGTTGTGAGATGAAAGACGAGCCTGTATTCAAGCCACTGCAAGGAAATCCGGCCTCCTTTCAAGTCAGGGCTTCTCGCTGTATATTGCCCTTGAGGCAGCGAACTCGGGGTCCCTCCCACATACCTATTGCTGAGAGAAGCCTCCTCCTGAGGTGCTTCTGGAAAGTTGGAATACGTCTTGAGCCTAAGCCAGGGAATCAGCTCTCATCTCGAGATGATTTGGGGTACACGGAGCATTCCTCGAGTTGCTGTGCTGAAGTTGGTGTTCCTCTAGACATGGGACAGTGTTCTCCGGGTATCTCTGGAGTTGCCTGAAGGAAGTCGAGCCACCGGTCGTGTTGAATGGGGAACGGGGAATGGCTCTCGAGTCAATGCAGGGGAATCGGCCCTCATCTCGAGTTGATTTGGGGCACATGGAGCTGCTTTGCGTTGCTGGGGTGACCTCAGGGTCCGTCGAGACTGGTGACAGTGTTCTTGGGGACTCTCTCGAGAACCATTAAGCAAGTCGAAGCTCCTGACTTGCTTGAATGGGACCACGGAATAGCTCTGCATGCACTGCAGGGGAATGGGGCCTCATCTCGCCTCTAGGGGGAAGTCTCATGGTTTTTCTCGAGTTGCGGCGGGGACCTGGGTTATGTTCTCGACTTACGGCGGGGATGGCCCTTCAAAACACGAGTTTCTTCAGTGACGTCAGGACTCCTGTCTAGTAACGAGGGACACCTCAGGAATCTCTTCGAGGCTTGGCAGGGCAAAAGGGACGCTTCTCGAGGTGAGGCAGGGCACCCAAGGACCCTTTCCAGTAGCCACAGGGATTTTGGGTTTCCTATCAGTATTCAAGTGGAGTGAGGCATTGTCACCTTTTGAAGCAATGAACTTCGCGTGCCTCTTGAGGTGTCAACGGGATGTGAGGCATTCCGTCAAAATGAGGCAGGGACCTAGGGCTTTCTCTAAGGTCTACACAGGGGATTCAGACATCCCTTCATGTTGTGAGATGAAAGACGAGCCTGTATTCAAGCTACTGCAAGGAAATCCGGCCTCCTTTCAAGTTAGGGCTTCTCGCTGTATATTGCCCTTGAGGCAGCGAACTCGGGGTCCCTCCCACATACCTATTGCTGAGAGAAGCCTCCCCCTGAGGTGCGTCTGGAAAGTTGGCATACGTCTTGAACCTAAGCCAGGGAATCAGCTCTCATCTCGAGACGATTTGGGGTACACGGTGCATTCCTCGAGTTGCTGTGCTGAAGTTGGTGTTCCTCTAGACTTGGGACAGTGTTCTCGGGGTATCTCTGGAGTTGCCTGAAGGAAGTCGAGCCACCGGTCGTGTTGAATGGGGAACGGGGAATGGCTCTGGAGTCAATGCAGGGGAATGGGCCTCATCTCGAGTTGATTTGGGGCACATGGAGCTGCTTTGCGTTGCTGGGGTGACCTCAGCGTCCGTCGAGACTGGTGACAGTGTTCTTGGGGACTGTCTCGAGATCCATTAAGCAAGTCGAAGCTCCTGACTTGTTTGAATGGGACCACGGAATAGCTCTGCATGCACTGCAGGGGAATGGGGCCTCATCTCGCCTCTAGGGGGAAGTCTCATGGTTTTTCTCGAGTTGCGGCGGGGACCTGGGGTATGTTCTCGACTTACGGCGGGGATGGCCCTTCAAAACACGAGTTTCTTCAGTGACGTCAGGACTCCTGTCTAGTAACGAGGGACACCTCAGGAATCTCTTCGAGGCTTGGCAGGGCAAAAGGGACGCTTCTCGAGGTGAGGCAGAGCACCCAAGGACCCTTTCCAGTAGCCACAGGGATTTTGGGATTCCTATCAGTATTCAAGAGGAGTCAGGCATCCTCACCTTTTGAAGCAATGAACTTCGCGTGCCTCTTGAGGTGTCAACGGGATGTGAGGCATTCCGTCAAAATGAGGCAGATAACTAGGGCTTTCTCTAACGTCTCCACAGGGAATTCAGACATCCCTTCATGTTGTGAGATGAAAGACGAGCCTGTATTCAAGCCACTGCAAGGAAATCCGGCCTCCATTCAAGTTAGGGCTTCTCGCTGTATATTGCCCTTGAGGCAGCGAACTCGGGGTCCCTCCCACATACCTATTGCTGAGAGAAGCCTCCTCCTGAGGTGCGTCTTGAAAGTTGGCATACGTCTTGAGCCTAAGCCAGGGAATCAGCTCTCATCTCGAGACGATTTGGGGTACACGGAGCATTCCTCGAGTTGCTGTGCTGAAGTTGGTCTTCCTCTAGACTTGGGACAGTGTTCTCGGGGCATCTCTGGAGTTGCCTGAAGGAAGTCGAGCCACCGGTCGTGTTGAATGGGGAACCGGTAATGGCTCTGGAGTCAATGCAGGGGAATCGGGCCTCATCTCGAGTTGATTTGGGGCCCATGGAGCTGCTTTGCGTTGCTGGGGTGACCTCAGCGTCCGTCGAGACTGGTGACAGTGTTCTTGGGGACTGTCTCGAGATCCATTAAGCAAGTCGAAGCTCCTGACTTGTTTGAATGGGACCACGGAATAGCTCTGCATGCACTGCAGGGGAATGGGGTCTCATCTCGCCTCTAGAGGGAAGTCTCATGGTTTTTCTCGAGTTGCGGCGGGGACCTGGGATATGTTCTCGACTTACGGCGGGGATGGCCCTTCAAAACACGAGTTTCTTCAGTGACGTCAGGACTCCTGTCTAGTAACGAGGGACACTTAAGGAATCTCTTCGAGGCTTGGCAGGGCAAAAGCGACGCTTCTCGAGGTGATGCAGGGCACCCAAGGACCCTTTCCAGTAGCCACAGGGATTTTGGGATTCCTATCAGTATTCAAGAGGAGTCAGGCATCGTCACGTTTTGAAGCAATGAACTCCGCGTGCCTCTCGAGGTGTCAACGGGATGTGAGGCATTCCGTCCAAATGAGGCAGGGACCTAGGGCTTTCTCTAAGGTCTCCACAGGGGAATCAGACATCCCTTCATGTTGTGAGATCAAAGACGAGCCTGTATTCAAGCCACGGCAAGGAAATCCGGCCTGCTTTCAAGTTAGGGCTTCTCGCTCTATATTGCCCTTGAGGCAGCGAACTCGGGGTCCCTCCCACATACCTATTGCTGAGAGAAGCCTCCTCCTGAGGTGCGTCTTGAAAGTTGGCATACGTCTTGAGCCTAAGCCAGGGAATCACCTCTCATCTCGAGACGATTTGGGGTACACGGATCATTCCTCGAGTTGCCGTGCTGAAGTTCGTGTTCCTCTAGACTTGGGACAGTGTTCTCGGGGCATCTCTGGAGTTGCCTGAAGGAAGTCGAGCCACCGGTCGTGTTGAATGGGGAACGGGGAATGGCTCTGGAGTCAATGCAGGGGAATCGCGCCTCATCTCGAGTTGATTTGGGGCCCATGGAGCTGCTTTGTGTTGCTGGGGTGACCTCAGGGTCTGTCGAGACTTGTGACAGTGTTCTTGGGGACTGTCTCGAGATCCATTAAGCAAGTCGAAGCTCCTGACTTGTTTGAATGGGACCACGGAATAGCTCTGCATGCACTGCAGGGGATTGGGGTCTCATCTCGCCTCTAGGGGGAAGTCTCATTGTTTTTCTCGAGTTGCGGCGGGGACCTGGGGTATGTTCTCGACTTACGGCGGGGATGGCCCTTCAAAACACGAGTTTCTTCAGTGACGTCAGGACTCCTGTCTAGTAACGAGGGACAACTCAGGAATCTCTTCGAGGGTTGGCAGGGCAAAAGGGACGCTTCTCGACGTGAGGCAGGGCACCCAAGGACCCTTTCCAGCAGCCACAGGGATTTTGGGATTCCTATCAGTATTCAAGAGGAGTGAGGCATTGTCACCTTTTGAAGCAATGAACTTCGCGTGCCTCTTGAGGTGTCAACGGGATGTGAGGCATTCCGTCAAAATGAGGCAGGGACCTAGGGCTTTCTCTAAGGTCTCCACAAGGGATTCAGACATCCCTTCATGTTGTGAGATGAAAGACGAGCCTGTATTCAAGCCACTGCAAGGAAATCCGGCCTCTTTTCAAGTTAGGGCTTCTCGCTGTATATTGCCCTTGAGGCAGCGAACTCGGGGTCCCTCCCACATACCTATTGCTGAGAGAAGCCTCCTCCTGAGGTGCGTCTGGAAAGTTGGCATACGTCTTGAGCCTAAGCCAGGGAATCAGCTCTCATCTCGAGACGATTTGGGGTACACAGAGCATTCCTCGAGTTGCTGTGCTGAAGTTGGTGTTCCTCTAGACTTGGGACAGTGTTCTCCGGGTATCTCTGGAGTTGCCTGAAGGAAGTCGAGCCACCGGTCGTGTTGAATGGGGAACGGGTAATGGCTCTTCAGTCAATGCAGGGGAATCGGGCCTCATCTCGAGTTGATTTGGGGCACATGGAGCTGCTTTGCGTTGCTGGGGTGACCTCAGCGTAGGTCAAGACTGGTGACAGTGTTCTTGGGGACTGTCTCGAGATCGATTAAGCAAGTCGAAGCTCCTGACTTGTTTGAATGGGACCACGGAATAGCTCTGCATGCACTGCAGGGGAATGGGGCCTCATCTCGATTCTAGGGGGAAGTCTCATGGTTTTTTTCGAGTTCCGGCGGGGACCTGGGGTATGTTCTCGACTTACGGCGGGGATGGCCCTTCAAAACACGAGTTTCTTCAGTGACGTCAGGACTCCTGTCTAGTAACGAGGGACACCTCAGGAATATCATCGAGGCTTGGCAGTGCAAATGGGACGCTTCTTGAGGTGAGGCAGGGCACCCAAGGACCCTTTCCAGTAGCCACAGGGATTTTGGGATTCCTATCAGAATTCAAGAGGAGTCAGGCATCGTCACCTTTTGAAGCAATGAACGCCGCATGCCTCTCGAGGTGTCAACGGGATGTGAGGCATTCCGTCCAAATGAGGCAGGGACCTAGGGCTTTCTCTAAGGTCTCCACAGGGGATTCAGACATCCCTTCGTGTTGTGAGATCAAAGACGAGCCTGTATTCAAGCCACTGCAAGGAAATCCGGCCTCCTTTCAAGTTAGGGCTTCTCGCTGTATATTGCCCTTGAGGCAGCAAACTCGGGGTCCCTCCCACATACCTATTGCTGAAAGAAGCCTCCTCCTGAGGTGCGTCTTGAAAGTTGGCATACGTCTTGAGCCTAAGCCAGGGAATCACCTCTCATCTCGAGACGATTTGAGGTACATGGAGCATTCCTCGAGTTGCCGTGCTGAAGTTGGTGTTCCTCTAGACTTGAGACAGTGTTCTCTGGGCATCTCTGGACTTGCCTGAAGGAAGTCGAGCCACCGGTCGTGTTGAATTGGGAACGGGGAATGGCTCTGGAGTCAATGCAGGGGAATCGGGCCTCATCTCGAGTTGATTTGGGGCCCATGGAGCTGCTTTGCGTTGCTGGGGTGACCTCAGGGTCGTCGAGACTGGTGACAGTGTTCTTGGGGACTGTCTCGAGAACCATTAAGCAAGTCGAAGCTCCTGACTTGCTTGAATGGGACCACGGAATAGCTCTGCATGCACTGCAGGGGAATGGGGCCTCATCTCGCCTCTAGGGGGAAGTCTCATGGTTTTTCTCAAGTTGCGGCGGGGACCTGGGGTATGTTCTCGACTTACAGCGGGGATGGCCCTTCAAAACACGAGTTTCTTCAGTGACGTCAGGATTCCTGTCTAGTAACGAGGGACACCTCAGGAATCTCTTCGAGGCTTGGCAGGGCAAAAGGGACGCTTCTCGAGGTGAGGCAGGGCACCCAAGGACCCTTTCCAGTAGCCACAGGGATTTTGGGATTCCTATCAGTATTCAAGAGGAGTGAGGCATTGTCACCTTTTGAAGCAATGAACTTTGCGTGCCTCTTGAGGTGTCAACGGGATGTGAGGCATTCCGTCAAAATGAGGCAGGGACCTAGGGCTTTCTCTAAGGTCTCCACAGGGGATTCAGACATCCCTTCATGTTGTGAGATCAAAGACGAGCCTGTATTCAAGCCACTGCAAGGAAATCCGGCCTCCTTTCAAGTTAGGGCTTCTCGCTGTATATTGCCCTTGAGTCAGAGAACTCGGGGTCCCTCCCACATACTTATTGCTGAGAGAAGCCTCCTCCTGAGGTGCGTCTTGAAAGTTGGCATACGTCTTGAGCCTAAGCCAGGGAATCACCTCTCATCTCGAGACGATTTGGGGTACACGGAGCATTCCTCGAGTTGCCGTGCTGAAGTTGGTGTTCCTCTAGACTTGGGACAGTGTTCTCGGGGCATCTCTGGAGTTGCCTGAAGGAAGTCGAGCCACCGGTCATGTTGAATGGGGAACGGGGAATGGCTCTGGAGTCAATGCAGGGGAATCGGGCCTCATCTCGAGTTGATTTGGGGCCCATGGAGCTGCTTTGCGTTGCTGGGGTGACGTCAGGGTCCGTCGAGACTGGTGACAGTGTTCTTGGGGACTGTCTCGAGAACCATTAAGCAAGTCGAAGCTCCTGACTTGCTTGAATGGGACCACGGAATAGCTCTGCATGCACTGCAGGGGAATGGGGCCTCACCTCGCCTCTTGGGGGACGTCTCATGGTTTTTCTCGAGTTGCGGCGGGAACCTGGGGTATGTTCTCGATTTACGGCGGGGATGGCCCTTCAAAACACGAGTTTCTTCAGTGACGTCAGGACTCCTGTCTAGTAACGAGGGACACCTCTGGAATCTCTTCGAGGCTTGGCAGGGCAAAAGGGACGCTTCTCGAGGTGAGGCAGGGCACCCAAGGACCATTTCCAGTAGCCACAGGGATTTTGGGATTCCTATCAGTATTCAAGATGAGTGAGGCATTGTCACCTTTTGAAGCAATGAACTTCGCGTGCCTCTTGAGATGTCAACGGGATGTGAGGCATTCCGTCAAAATGAGGCAGGGACCTAGGGATTTCTCTAAGGTCTCCACAGGGGATTCAGACATCCCTTCATGTTGTGAGATGAAAGACGAGCCTGTATTCAAGCCACTGCAAGGAAATCCGGCCTCCTTTCAAGTTAGGGCTTCTCGCTGTATATTGCCCTTGAGGCAGCGAACTCGGGGTCCCTCCCACATACCTATTGCTGAGAGAAGCCTCCTCCTGAGGTGCGTCTGGAAAGTTGGCATACGTCTTGAGCCTAAGTCAGGGAATCAGCTCTCATCTCGAGACGATTTGTGGTACACGGAGCATTCCTCGAGTTGCTGTGCTGAAGTTGGTGTTCCTCTAGACTTGGGACAGTGTTCTCGGGGTATCTCTGGAGTTGCCTGAAGGAAGTCGAGCCACCGGTCGTGTTGAATGGGGAACGGGGAATGGCTCTGGAGTCAATGCAGGGGAATCGGGCCTCATCTCGAGTTGATTTGGGGCACATGGAGCTGCTTTGCGTTGCTGGGGTGACCTCAGCGTCCGTCGAGACTGGTGACAGTGTTCTTGGGGACTGTCTCGAGATCCATTAAGCAAGTCGAAGCTCCTGACTTGTTTGAATGGGACCACGGAATAGCTCTGCATACACTGCAGGTGAATGGGGCCTCATCTCGCCTCTAGGGGGAAGTCTCATGATTTTTCTCGAGTTGCGGCGGGGACCTGGGGTATGTTCTCGACTTACGGCGGGGATGGCCCTTCAAAACACGAGTTTCTTCAGTGACTTCAGGACTCCTGTCTAGTAACGAGGGACACCTCAGGAATCTCTTCGAGGCTTGGCAGGGCAAAAGGGACGCTTCTCGAGGTGAGGCAGGGCACCCAAGGACCCTTTCCAGTAGCCACAGGGATTTTGGGATTCCTATCAGTATTCAAGAGGAGTGAGGTATTGTCACCTTTTTAAGCAATGAACTTCGCGTGCCTCTTGAGGTGTCAACGGGATGTGAGGCATTCCGTCAAAATGAGGCAGGGACCTAGGGCTTTCTCTAAGGTCTCCACAGGGGATTCAGACATCCGTTCATGTTGGAGATCAAAGACGAGCCTGTATTCAAGCCACTGAAAGGAAATCCGGCCTCCTTTCAAGTTAGGGCTTCTCGCTGTACATTGCCTTTGAGGCAGCGAACTCGGGGTCCCTCCCACATAACTATTGATGAGAGAAGCCTCCTCCTGAGGTGCGTCTGGAAAGTTGGCATACGTCTTGAGCCTAAGCCAGGGAATCAGCTCTAATCTTGAGACGATTTGGGATACACGGAGCATTCCTCGAGTTGCTGTGCTGAAGTTGGTATTTCTCTAGACTTCGGACAGTGTTCTCGGGGTATCTCTGGAGTTGCCTGAAGGAAGTCGAGCCACAGTTCGTGTTGAATGGGGAACGCAGAATGGCTCTGGAGTCAATGCAGGGGAATCGGGCCTCATCTCGAGTTGATTTGGGGCACATGGAGCTGCTTTGCGTTGCTGGGGTGACCTCAGCGTCCGTCGAGACTGGTGACAGTGTTCTTGGGGACTGTCTCGAGATCCATTAAGCAAGTCGAAGCTCCTGACTTGTTTGAATGGGACCACGGAATAGCTCTGCATGCACTGCAGGGGAATGGGGTCTCATCTCGCCTCTAGAGGGAAGTCTCATGGTTTTTCTCGAGTTGCGGCGGGGACCTGGGATATGTTCTCGACTTACGGCGGGGATGGCCCTTCAAAACACGAGTTTCTTCAGTGACGTCAGGACTCCTGTCTAGTAACGAGGGACACTTAAGGAATCTCTTCGAGGCTTGGCAGGGCAAAAGGGACGCTTCTCGAGGTGAGACAGGGCACCCAAGACCCTTTCCAGTAGCCACAGGGATTTTGGGATTCCTATCAGTATTCAAGAGGAGTCAGGCATCGTCACGTTTTGAAGCAATGAACTCCGCGTGCCTCTCGAGGTGTCAACGCGATGTGAGGCATTCCGTCCAAATGAGGCAGGGACCTAGGGCTTTCTCTAAGGTCTCCACAGGGGATTCAGACATCCCTTCATGTTGTGAGATCAAAGACGAGCCTGTATTCAAGCCACTGCAAGGAAATCCGGCCTGCTTTCAAGTTAGGGCTTCTCGCTGTATATTGCCCTTGAGGCAGCGAACTCGGGGTCCCTCCCACATACCTATTGCTGAGAGAAGCCTCCTCCTGAGGTGCGTCTTGAAAGTTGGCATATATCTTGAGCCTAAGCCAGGGAATCACCTCTCATCTCGAGACGATTTGGGGTACACGGATCATTCCTCGAGTTGCCGTGCTGAAGTTGGTGTTCCTCTAGACTTGGGACAGTGTTCTCGGGGCATCTCTGGAGTTGCCTGAAGGAAGTCGAGCCACCGGTCGTGTTGAATGGGGAACGGGGAATGGCTCTGGAGTCAATGCAGGGGAATCGCGCCTCATCTCGAGTTGATTTGGGGCCCATGGAGCTGCTTTGTGTTGCTGGGGTGACCTCAGGGTCTGTCGAGACTTGTGACAGTGTTCTTGGGGACTGTCTCGAGATCCATTAAGCAAGTCGAAGCTCCTGACTTGTTTGAATGGGACCACGGAATAGCTCTGCATGCACTGCAGGGGATTGGGGTCTCATCTCGCCTCTAGGGGGAAGTCTCATGGTTTTTCTCGAGTTGCGTCGGGGACCTGGGGTATGTTCTCGACTTACGGCGGGGATGGCCCTTCAAAACACGAGTTTCTTCAGTGACGTCAGGACTCGTGTCTAGTAACGAGGGACACCTCAGGAATCTCTTCGAGGCTTGGCAGGGCAAAAGGGACGCTTCTCGAGGTGAGGCAGGGCACCCAAGGACCCTTTCCAGTAGCCACAGGGATTTTGGGATTCCTATCAGTATTCAAGAGGAGTGAGGCATTGTCACCTTTTGAAGCAATGAACTTCGCGTGCCTCTTGAGGTGTCAACGGGATGTGAGGCATTCCGTCAAAATGAGGCAGGGACCTAGGGCTTTCTCTAAGGTCTCCACAGGGGATTCAGACATCCGTTCATGTCGTGAGATGAAAGACGAGCCTGTATTCAAGCCACTGCAAGGAAATCTGGCCTCCTTCAAGTTAGGGCTTCTCGCTGTATATTGCCCTTGAGGCAGCGAACTCGGGGTCCCTCCCACATACCTATTGCTGAGAGAAGCCTCTTCCAGAGGTGCGTCTGGAAAGTTGGCATACGTCTTGAGCCTAAGCCAGGGAATCACCTCTCATCTCGAGACGATTTGGGGTACACGGAGCATTCCTCGAGTTGCCGTGCTGAAGTTGGTGTTCCTCTAGACTTGGGACAGTGTTCTCGGGGCATCTCTGGAGTTGCCTGAAGGAAGTCGAGCCACCGGTCGTGTTGAATGGGGAACGGGGAATGGCTCTGGAGTCAATGCAGGGGAATCGGGCCTCATCTCGAGTTGATTTGGGGCCCATGGAGCTGCTTTGCGTTGCTAGGGTGACCTCAGGGTCCGTCGAGACTGGTGACAGTGTTCTTGGGGACTGTCTCGAGATCCATTAAGCAAGTCGAAGCTCCTGACTTGCTTGAATGGGACCACGGAATAGCTCTGCATGCACTGCAGGGGAATGGGGTCTCATCTCGCCTCTAGGGGGAAGTCTCATGGTTTTTCTCGAGTTGCGGCGGGGACCTGGGGTATGTTCTCGACTTACGGCGGGGATGGCCCTTCAAAACACGAGTTTCTTCAGTGACGTCAGGAATCCTGTCTAGTAACGAGGGACACCTCAGGAATCTCTTCCAGGCTTGGCAGGGCAAAAGGGACGCTTCTCGAGGTGAGGCAGGGCACCCAAGGACCCTTTCCAGTAGCCACGGGGATTTTGGGATTCCTATCAGTATTCAAGAGGAGTCAGGCATCTTCACCTTTTGAAGCAATGAACTCTGCGTGCCTCTCGAGGTGTCAACGGGATGTGAGGCATTCCGTCCAAATGAGGCAGGGACCTAGGGCTTTCTCTAAGGTCTACACAGGGGATTCAGACATCCCTTCATGTTGTGAGATCAAAGACGAGCCTGTATTCAAGCCACTGCAAGGAAATCCGGCCTGCTTTCAAGTTAGGGCTTCTCGCTTTATATTGCCCTTGAGGAAGCGAACTCGGGGTCCCTCCCACATACCTATTGCTGAGAAAAGCCTCCTCCTGAGGTGCGTCTTGAAAGTTGGCATACGTCTTGAGCCTAAGCCAGGGAATCAGCTCTCATCTCGAGAAGATTTGGGGTACACGGAGCATTCCTCGAGTTGCTGTGCTGAAGTTGGTGTTCCTCTAGACTTGGGTCAGTGTTCTCGGGGTATCTCTGGAGTTGCCTGAAGGAAGTCGAGCCACCGGTCGTGTTGAATGGGGAACGGGGAATGGCTCTGGAGTCAATGCAGGGGAATCGGGCCTCATCTCGAGTTGATTTGGGGCACATGGAGCTGCTTTGCGTTGCTGGGGTGACCTCAGCGTCCGTCGAGACTGGTGACAGTGTTCTTGGGGACTGTCTCGAGATCCATTAAGCAAGTCGAAGCTCCTGACTTGTTTGAATGGGACCACGAAATAGCTCTACATGCACTGCAGGGGAATGGGGCCTCATCTCGCCTCTTGGGGGAAGTCTCATGGTTTTTCTCGAGTTGCGGCGGGGACCTGGGGTATGTTCTCGACTTACGGCGGGGATGGCCCTTCAAAACACGAGTTTCTTCAGTGACGTCAGGACTCCTGTCTAGTAACGAGGGACACCTCAGGAATCACTTCGAGGCTTGGCAGTGCAAATGGGACGCTTCTTGAGGTGAGGCAGGGCACCCAAGGACCCTTTCCAGTAGCAACAGGGATTTTGGGATTCCTATCAGAATTCAAGAGGAGTCAGGCATCTTCACCTTTTGAAGCAATGAACTCCGCGTGCCTCTCGAGGTGTCAACGTGATGTGAGGCATTCCGTCAAAATGAGGCAGGGATCTAGGGCTTTCTCTAAGGTCTCCACAGGGGATTCAGACATCCCTTCATGTTGTGAGATCAAAGACGAGCCTGTATTCAAGCCACTGCAAGGAAATCCGGCCTCCTTTCAAGTTAGGGCTTCTCGCTGTATATTGCCCTTGAGGCAGCGAACTGGGGGTCCCTTCCACATACCTATTGCTGAGAGAAGCCTCCTCCTGAGGTGCGTCTTGAAAGTTGGCATACGTCTTGAGCCTAAGCCAGGGAATCACCTCTCATCTCGAGACGATTTGGGGTACACGGAGCATTCCTCGAGTTGCCGTGCTGAAGTTGGTGTTCCTCTAGACTTGGGACAGTGTTCTCGGGGCATCTCTGGAGTTGCCTGAAGGAAGTCGAGCCACCGGTCGTGTTGAATGGGGAACGCGGAATGGCTCTGGAGTCAATGCAGGGGAATCGGGCCTCATCTCGAGTTGATTTGGGGCCCATGGAGCTGCTTTGCTTTGCTGGGGTGACCTCAGGGTCCGTCGAGACTGGTGACAGTGTTCTTGGGGACTGTCTCGAGAACCATTAAGCAAGTCGAAGCTCCTGACTTGCTTGAATTGGACCACGGAATAGCTCTGCATGCACTGCAGGGGAATGGGGCCTCATCTCGCCTCTAGGGGGAAGTCTCATGGTTTTTCTCGAGTTGCGGCGGGGACCTGGGGTATGTTCTCGACTTACGGCGCGGATGGCCCTTCAAAACACGAGTTTCTTCAGTGACTTCAGGACTCCTGTCTAGTAACGAGGGACACCTCAGGAATCTCTTCGAGGCTTGGCAGGGCAAAAGGGACGCTTCTTGAGGTGAGGCAGGGCACCCAAGGACCCTTTCCAGTAGCCACAGGGATTTTGGGATTCCTATCAGTATTCAAGAGGAGTGAGGTATTGTCACCTTTTTAAGCAATGAACTTCGCGTGCCTCTTGAGGTGTCAACGGGATGTGAGGCATTCCGTCAAAATGAGGCAGGGACCTAGGGCTTTCTCTAAGGTCTCCACAGGGGATTCAGACATCCGTTCATGTTGGAGATCAAAGACGAGCCTGTATTCAAGCCACTGAAAGGAAATCCGGCCTCCTTTCAAGTTAGGGCTTCTCGCTGTACATTGCCTTTGAGGCAGCGAACTCGGGGTCCCTCCCACATAACTATTGCTGAGAGAAGCCTCCTCCTGAGGTGCGTCTGGAAAGTTGGCATACGTCTTGAGCCTAAGCCAGGGAATCAGCTCTAATCTTGAGACGATTTGGGATACACGGAGCATTCCTCGAGTTGCTGTGCTGAAGTTGGTGTTTCTCTAGACTTCGGACAGTGTTCTCGGGGTATCTCTGGAGTTGCCTGAAGGAAGTCGAGCCACAGTTCGTGTTGAATGGGGAACGCGGAATGGCTCTGGAGTCAATGCAGGGGAATCGGGCCTCATCTCGAGTTGATTTGGGGCACATGGAGCTGCTTTGCGTTGCTGGGGTGACCTCAGCGTCCGTCGAGACTGGTGACAGTGTTCTTGGGGACTGTCTCGAGATCCATTAAGCAAGTCGAAGCTCCTGACTTGTTTGAATGGGACCACGGAATAGCTCTGCATGCACTGCAGGGGAATGGGGTCTCATCTCGCCTCTAGAGGGAAGTCTCATGGTTTTTCTCGAGTTGCGGCGGGGACCTGGGATATGTTCTCGACTTACGGCGGTGATGGCCCTTCAAAACACGAGTTTCTTCAGTGACGTCAGGACTCCTGTCTAGTAACGAGGGACACTTAAGGAATCTCTTCGAGGCTTGGCAGGGCAAAAGGGACGCTTCTCGAGGTGAGACAGGGCACCCAAGACCCTTTCCAGTAGCCACAGGGATTTTGGGATTCCTATCAGTATTCAAGAGGAGTCAGGCATCGTCACGTTTTGAAGCAATGAACTCCGCGTGCCTCTCGAGGTGTCAACGCGATGTGAGGCATTCCGTCCAAATGAGGCAGGGACCTAGGGCTTTCTCTAAGGTCTCCACAGGGGATTCAGACATCCCTTCATGTTGTGAGATCAAAGACGAGCCTGTATTCAAGCCACTGCAAGGAAATCCGGCCTGCTTTCAAGTTAGGGCTTCTCGCTGTATATTGCCCTTGAGGCAGCGAACTCGGGGTCCCTCCCACATACCTATTGCTGAGAGAAGCCTCCTCCTGAGGTGCGTCTTGAAAGTTGGCATATGTCTTGAGCCTAAGCCAGGGAATCACCTCTCATCTCGAGACGATTTGGGGTACACGGATCATTCCTCGAGTTGCCGTGCTGAAGTTGGTGTTCCTCTAGACTTGGGACAGTGTTCTCGGGGCATCTCTGGAGTTGCCTGAAGGAAGTCGAGCCACCGGTCGTGTTGAATGGGGAACGGGGAATGGCTCTGGAGTCAATGCAGGGGAATCGCGCCTCATCTCGAGTTGATTTGGGGCCCATGGAGCTGCGTTGTGTTGCTGGGGTGACCTCAGGGTCTGTCGAGACTTGTGACAGTGTTCTTGGGGACTGTCTCGAGATCCATTAAGCAAGTCGAAGCTCCTGACTTGTTTGAATGGGACCACGGAATAGCTCTGCATGCACTGCAGGGGATTGGGGTCTCATCTCGCCTCTAGGGGGAAGTCTCATTGTTTTTCTCGAGTTGCGGCGGGGACCTGGGGTATGTTCTCGACTTACGGCGGGGATGGCCCTTCAAAACACGAGTTTCTTCAGTGACGTCAGGACTCCTGTCTAGTAACGAGGGACAACTCAGGAATCTCTTCGAGGGTTGGCAGGGCAAAAGGGACGCTTCTCGACGTGAGGCAGGGCACCCAAGGACCCTTTCCAGCAGCCACAGGGATTTTGGGATTCCTATCAGTATTCAAGAGGAGTGAGGCATTGTCACCTTTTGAAGCAATGAACTTCGCGTGCCTCTTGAGGTGTCAACGGGATGTGAGGCATTCCGTCAAAATGAGGCAGGGACCTAGGGCTTTCTCTAAGGTCTCCACAAGGGATTCAGACATCCCTTCATGTTGTGAGATGAAAGACGAGCCTGTATTCAAGCCACTGCAAGGAAATCCGGCCTCTTTTCAAGTTAGGGCTTCTCGCTGTATATTGCCCTTGAGGCAGCGAACTCGGGGTCCCTCCCACATACCTATTGCTGAGAGAAGCCTCCTCCTGAGGTGCGTCTGGAAAGTTGGCATACGTCTTGAGCCTAAGCCAGGGAATCAGCTCTCATCTCGAGACGATTTGGGGTACACAGAGCATTCCTCGAGTTGCTGTGCTGAAGTTGGTGTTCCTCTAGACTTGGGACAGTGTTCTCCGGGTATCTCTGGAGTTGCCTGAAGGAAGTCGAGCCACCGGTCGTGTTGAATGGGGAACGGGTAATGGCTCTTCAGTCAATGCAGGGGAATCGGGCCTCATCTCGAGTTGATTTGGGGCACATGGAGCTGCTTTGCGTTGCTGGGGTGACCTCAGCGTAGGTCAAGACTGGTGACAGTGTTCTTGGGGACTGTCTCGAGATCGATTAAGCAAGTCGAAGCTCCTGACTTGTTTGAATGGGACCACGGAATAGCTCTGCATGCACTGCAGGGGAATGGGGCCTCATCTCGATTCTAGGGGGAAGTCTCATGGTTTTTTTCGAGTTCCGGCGGGGACCTGGGGTATGTTCTCGACTTACGGCGGGGATGGCCCTTCAAAACACGAGTTTCTTCAGTGACGTCAGGACTCCTGTCTAGTAACGAGGGACACCTCAGGAATATCATCGAGGCTTGGCAGTGCAAATGGGACGCTTCTTGAGGTGAGGCAGGGCACCCAAGGACCCTTTCCAGTAGCCACAGGGATTTTGGGATTCCTATCAGAATTCAAGAGGAGTCAGGCATCGTCACCTTTTGAAGCAATGAACTCCGCATGCCTCTCGAGGTGTCAACGGGATGTGAGGCATTCCGTCCAAATGAGGCAGGGACCTAGGGCTTTCTCTAAGGTCTCCACAGGGGATTCAGACATCCCTTCGTGTTGTGAGATCAAAGACGAGCCTGTATTCAAGCCACTGCAAGGAAATCCGGCCTCCTTTCAAGTTAGGGCTTCTCGCTGTATATTGCCCTTGAGGCAGCAAACTCGGGGTCCCTCCCACATACCTATTGCTGAAAGAAGCCTCCTCCTGAGGTGCGTCTTGAAAGTTGGCATACGTCTTGAGCCTAAGCCAGGGAATCACCTCTCATCTCGAGACGATTTGAGGTACATGGAGCATTCCTCGAGTTGCCGTGCTGAAGTTGGTGTTCCTCTAGACTTGAGACAGTGTTCTCTGGGCATCTCTGGACTTGCCTGAAGGAAGTCGAGCCACCGGTCGTGTTGAATTGGGAACGGGGAATGGCTCTGGAGTCAATGCAGGGGAATCGGGCCTCATCTCGAGTTGATTTGGGGCCCATGGAGCTGCTTTGCGTTGCTGGGGTGACCTCAGGGTCGTCGAGACTGGTGACAGTGTTCTTGGGGACTGTCTCGAGAACCATTAAGCAAGTCGAAGCTCCTGACTTGCTTGAATGGGACCACGGAATAGCTCTGCATGCACTGCAGGGGAATGGGGCCTCATCTCGCCTCTAGGGGGAAGTCTCATGGTTTTTCTCAAGTTGCGGCGGGGACCTGGGGTATGTTCTCGACTTACAGCGGGGATGGCCCTTCAAAACACGAGTTTCTTCAGTGACGTCAGGATTCCTGTCTAGTAACGAGGGACACCTCAGGAATCTCTTCGAGGCTTGGCAGGGCAAAAGGGACGCTTCTCGAGGTGAGGCAGGGCACCCAAGGACCCTTTCCAGTAGCCACAGGGATTTTGGGATTCCTATCAGTATTCAAGAGGAGTGAGGCATTGTCACCTTTTGAAGCAATGAACTTTGCGTGCCTCTTGAGGTGTCAACGGGATGTGAGGCATTCCGTCAAAATGAGGCAGGGACCTAGGGCTTTCTCTAAGGTCTCCACAGGGGATTCAGACATCCCTTCATGTTGTGAGATCAAAGACGAGCCTGTATTCAAGCCACTGCAAGGAAATCCGGCCTCCTTTCAAGTTAGGGCTTCTCGCTGTATATTGCCCTTGAGTCAGAGAACTCGGGGTCCCTCCCACATACTTATTGCTGAGAGAAGCCTCCTCCTGAGGTGCGTCTTGAAAGTTGGCATACGTCTTGAGCCTAAGCCAGGGAATCACCTCTCATCTCGAGACGATTTGGGGTACACGGAGCATTCCTCGAGTTGCCGTGCTGAAGTTGGTGTTCCTCTAGACTTGGGACAGTGTTCTCGGGGCATCTCTGGAGTTGCCTGAAGGAAGTCGAGCCACCGGTCGTGTTGAATGGGGAACGGGGAATGGCTCTGGAGTCAATGCAGGGGAATCGGGCCTCATCTCGAGTTGATTTGGGGCCCATGGAGCTGCTTTGCGTTGCTGGGGTGACGTCAGGGTCCGTCGAGACTGGTGACAGTGTTCTTGGGGACTGTCTCGAGAACCATTAAGCAAGTCGAAGCTCCTGACTTGCTTGAATGGGACCACGGAATAGCTCTGCATGCACTGCAGGGGAATGGGGCCTCACCTCGCCTCTTGGGGGACGTCTCATGGTTTTTCTCGAGTTGCGGCGGGAACCTGGGGTATGTTCTCGATTTACGGCGGGGATGGCCCTTCAAAACACGAGTTTCTTCAGTGACGTCAGGACTCCTGTCTAGTAACGAGGGACACCTCTGGAATCTCTTCGAGGCTTGGCAGGGCAAAAGGGACGCTTCTCGAGGTGAGGCAGGGCACCCAAGGACCATTTCCAGTAGCCACAGGGATTTTGGGATTCCTATCAGTATTCAAGATGAGTGAGGCATTGTCACCTTTTGAAGCAATGAACTTCGCGTGCCTCTTGAGGTGTCAACGGGATGTGAGGCATTCCGTCAAAATGAGGCAGGGACCTAGGGATTTCTCTAAGGTCTCCACAGGGGATTCAGACATCCCTTCATGTTGTGAGATGAAAGACGAGCCTGTATTCAAGCCACTGCAAGGAAATCCGGCCTCCTTTCAAGTTAGGGCTTCTCGCTGTATATTGCCCTTGAGGCAGCGAACTCGGGGTCCCTCCCACATACCTATTGCTGAGAGAAGCCTCCTCCTGAGGTGCGTCTGGAAAGTTGGCATACGTCTTGAGCCTAAGTCAGGGAATCAGCTCTCATCTCGAGACGATTTGTGGTACACGGAGCATTCCTCGAGTTGCTGTGCTGAAGTTGGTGTTCCTCTAGACTTGGGACAGTGTTCTCGGGGTATCTCTGGAGTTGCCTGAAGGAAGTCGAGCCACCGGTCGTGTTGAATGGGGAACGGGGAATGGCTCTGGAGTCAATGCAGGGGAATCGGGCCTCATCTCGAGTTGATTTGGGGCACATGGAGCTGCTTTGCGTTGCTGGGGTGACCTCAGCGTCCGTCGAGACTGGTGACAGTGTTCTTGGGGACTGTCTCGAGATCCATTAAGCAAGTCGAAGCTCCTGACTTGTTTGAATGGGACCACGGAATAGCTCTGCATACACTGCAGGTGAATGGGGCCTCATCTCGCCTCTAGGGGGAAGTCTCATGATTTTTCTCGAGTTGCGGCGGGGACCTGGGGTATGTTCTCGACTTACGGCGGGGATGGCCCTTCAAAACACGAGTTTCTTCAGTGACTTCAGGACTCCTGTCTAGTAACGAGGGACACCTCAGGAATCTCTTCGAGGCTTGGCAGGGCAAAAGGGACGCTTCTCGAGGTGAGGCAGGGCACCCAAGGACCCTTTCCAGTAGCCACAGGGATTTTGGGATTCCTATCAGTATTCAAGAGGAGTGAGGTATTGTCACCTTTTTAAGCAATGAACTTCGCGTGCCTCTTGAGGTGTCAACGGGATGTGAGGCATTCCGTCAAAATGAGGCAGGGACCTAGGGCTTTCTCTAAGGTCTCCACAGGGGATTCAGACATCCGTTCATGTTGGAGATCAAAGACGAGCCTGTATTCAAGCCACTGAAAGGAAATCCGGCCTCCTTTCAAGTTAGGGCTTCTCGCTGTACATTGCCTTTGAGGCAGCGAACTCGGGGTCCCTCCCACATAACTATTGATGAGAGAAGCCTCCTCCTGAGGTGCGTCTGGAAAGTTGGCATACGTCTTGAGCCTAAGCCAGGGAATCAGCTCTAATCTTGAGACGATTTGGGATACACGGAGCATTCCTCGAGTTGCTGTGCTGAAGTTGGTATTTCTCTAGACTTCGGACAGTGTTCTCGGGGTATCTCTGGAGTTGCCTGAAGGAAGTCGAGCCACAGTTCGTGTTGAATGGGGAACGCAGAATGGCTCTGGAGTCAATGCAGGGGAATCGGGCCTCATCTCGAGTTGATTTGGGGCACATGGAGCTGCTTTGCGTTGCTGGGGTGACCTCAGCGTCCGTCGAGACTGGTGACAGTGTTCTTGGGGACTGTCTCGAGATCCATTAAGCAAGTCGAAGCTCCTGACTTGTTTGAATGGGACCACGGAATAGCTCTGCATGCACTGCAGGGGAATGGGGTCTCATCTCGCCTCTAGAGGGAAGTCTCATGGTTTTTCTCGAGTTGCGGCGGGGACCTGGGATATGTTCTCGACTTACGGCGGGGATGGCCCTTCAAAACACGAGTTTCTTCAGTGACGTCAGGACTCCTGTCTAGTAACGAGGGACACTTAAGGAATCTCTTCGAGGCTTGGCAGGGCAAAAGGGACGCTTCTCGAGGTGAGACAGGGCACCCAAGACCCTTTCCAGTAGCCACAGGGATTTTGGGATTCCTATCAGTATTCAAGAGGAGTCAGGCATCGTCACGTTTTGAAGCAATGAACTCCGCGTGCCTCTCGAGGTGTCAACGCGATGTGAGGCATTCCGTCCAAATGAGGCAGGGACCTAGGGCTTTCTCTAAGGTCTCCACAGGGGATTCAGACATCCCTTCATGTTGTGAGATCAAAGACGAGCCTGTATTCAAGCCACTGCAAGGAAATCCGGCCTGCTTTCAAGTTAGGGCTTCTCGCTGTATATTGCCCTTGAGGCAGCGAACTCGGGGTCCCTCCCACATACCTATTGCTGAGAGAAGCCTCCTCCTGAGGTGCGTCTTGAAAGTTGGCATATATCTTGAGCCTAAGCCAGGGAATCACCTCTCATCTCGAGACGATTTGGGGTACACGGATCATTCCTCGAGTTGCCGTGCTGAAGTTGGTGTTCCTCTAGACTTGGGACAGTGTTCTCGGGGCATCTCTGGAGTTGCCTGAAGGAAGTCGAGCCACCGGTCGTGTTGAATGGGGAACGGGGAATGGCTCTGGAGTCAATGCAGGGGAATCGCGCCTCATCTCGAGTTGATTTGGGGCCCATGGAGCTGCTTTGTGTTGCTGGGGTGACCTCAGGGTCTGTCGAGACTTGTGACAGTGTTCTTGGGGACTGTCTCGAGATCCATTAAGCAAGTCGAAGCTCCTGACTTGTTTGAATGGGACCACGGAATAGCTCTGCATGCACTGCAGGGGATTGGGGTCTCATCTCGCCTCTAGGGGGAAGTCTCATGGTTTTTCTCAAGTTGCGTCGGGGACCTGGGGTATGTTCTCGACTTACGGCGGGGATGGCCCTTCAAAACACGAGTTTCTTCAGTGACGTCAGGACTCGTGTCTAGTAACGAGGGACACCTCAGGAATCTCTTCGAGGCTTGGCAGGGCAAAAGGGACGCTTCTCGAGGTGAGGCAGGGCACCCAAGGACCCTTTCCAGTAGCCACAGGGATTTTGGGATTCCTATCAGTATTCAAGAGGAGTGAGGCATTGTCACCTTTTGAAGCAATGAACTTCGCGTGCCTCTTGAGGTGTCAACGGGATGTGAGGCATTCCGTCAAAATGAGGCAGGGACCTAGGGCTTTCTCTAAGGTCTCCACAGGGGATTCAGACATCCGTTCATGTCGTGAGATGAAAGACGAGCCTGTATTCAAGCCACTGCAAGGAAATCTGGCCTCCTTCAAGTTAGGGCTTCTCGCTGTATATTGCCCTTGAGGCAGCGAACTCGGGGTCCCTCCCACATACCTATTGCTGAGAGAAGCCTCTTCCAGAGGTGCGTCTGGAAAGTTGGCATACGTCTTGAGCCTAAGCCAGGGAATCACCTCTCATCTCGAGACGATTTGGGGTACACGGAGCATTCCTCGAGTTGCCGTGCTGAAGTTGGTGTTCCTCTAGACTTGGGACAGTGTTCTCGGGGCATCTCTGGAGTTGCCTGAAGGAAGTCGAGCCACCGGTCGTGTTGAATGGGGAACGGGGAATGGCTCTGGAGTCAATGCAGGGGAATCGGGCCTCATCTCGAGTTGATTTGGGGCCCATGGAGCTGCTTTGCGTTGCTAGGGTGACCTCAGGGTCCGTCGAGACTGGTGACAGTGTTCTTGGGGACTGTCTCGAGATCCATTAAGCAAGTCGAAGCTCCTGACTTGCTTGAATGGGACCACGGAATAGCTCTGCATGCACTGCAGGGGAATGGGGTCTCATCTCGCCTCTAGGGGGAAGTCTCATGGTTTTTCTCGAGTTGCGGCGGGGACCTGGGGTATGTTCTCGACTTACGGCGGGGATGGCCCTTCAAAACACGAGTTTCTTCAGTGACGTCAGGAATCCTGTCTAGTAACGAGGGACACCTCAGGAATCTCTTCCAGGCTTGGCAGGGCAAAAGGGACGCTTCTCGAGGTGAGGCAGGGCACCCAAGGACCCTTTCCAGTAGCCACGGGGATTTTGGGATTCCTATCAGTATTCAAGAGGAGTCAGGCATCTTCACCTTTTGAAGCAATGAACTCTGCGTGCCTCTCGAGGTGTCAACGGGATGTGAGGCATTCCGTCCAAATGAGGCAGGGACCTAGGGCTTTCTCTAAGGTCTACACAGGGGATTCAGACATCCCTTCATGTTGTGAGATCAAAGACGAGCCTGTATTCAAGCCACTGCAAGGAAATCCGGCCTGCTTTCAAGTTAGGGCTTCTCGCTTTATATTGCCCTTGAGGAAGCGAACTCGGGGTCCCTCCCACATACCTATTGCTGAGAAAAGCCTCCTCCTGAGGTGCGTCTTGAAAGTTGGCATACGTCTTGAGCCTAAGCCAGGGAATCAGCTCTCATCTCGAGAAGATTTGGGGTACACGGAGCATTCCTCGAGTTGCTGTGCTGAAGTTGGTGTTCCTCTAGACTTGGGTCAGTGTTCTCGGGGTATCTCTGGAGTTGCCTGAAGGAAGTCGAGCCACCGGTCGTGTTGAATGGGGAACGGGGAATGGCTCTGGAGTCAATGCAGGGGAATCGGGCCTCATCTCGAGTTGATTTGGGGCACATGGAGCTGCTTTGCGTTGCTGGGGTGACCTCAGCGTCCGTCGAGACTGGTGACAGTGTTCTTGGGGACTGTCTCGAGATCCATTAAGCAAGTCGAAGCTCCTGACTTGTTTGAATGGGACCACGGAATAGCTCTACATGCACTGCAGGGGAATGGGGCCTCATCTCGCCTCTTGGGGGAAGTCTCATGGTTTTTCTCGAGTTGCGGCGGGGACCTGGGGTATGTTCTCGACTTACGGCGGGGATGGCCCTTCAAAACACGAGTTTCTTCAGTGACGTCAGGACTCCTGTCTAGTAACGAGGGACACCTCAGGAATCACTTCGAGGCTTGGCAGTGCAAATGGGACGCTTCTTGAGGTGAGGCAGGGCACCCAAGGACCCTTTCCAGTAGCAACAGGGATTTTGGGATTCCTATCAGAATTCAAGAGGAGTCAGGCATCTTCACCTTTTGAAGCAATGAACTCCGCGTGCCTCTCGAGGTGTCAACGTGATGTGAGGCATTCCGTCAAAATGAGGCAGGGATCTAGGGCTTTCTCTAAGGTCTCCACAGGGGATTCAGACATCCCTTCATGTTGTGAGATCAAAGACGAGCCTGTATTCAAGCCACTGCAAGGAAATCCGGCCTCCTTTCAAGTTAGGGCTTCTCGCTGTATATTGCCCTTGAGGCAGCGAACTGGGGGTCCCTTCCACATACCTATTGCTGAGAGAAGCCTCCTCCTGAGGTGCGTCTTGAAAGTTGGCATACGTCTTGAGCCTAAGCCAGGGAATCACCTCTCATCTCGAGACGATTTGGGGTACACGGAGCATTCCTCGAGTTGCCGTGCTGAAGTTGGTGTTCCTCTAGACTTGGGACAGTGTTCTCGGGGCATCTCTGGAGTTGCCTGAAGGAAGTCGAGCCACCGGTCGTGTTGAATGGGGAACGCGGAATGGCTCTGGAGTCAATGCAGGGGAATCGGGCCTCATCTCGAGTTGATTTGGGGCCCATGGAGCTGCTTTGCTTTGCTGGGGTGACCTCAGGGTCCGTCGAGACTGGTGACAGTGTTCTTGGGGACTGTCTCGAGAACCATTAAGCAAGTCGAAGCTCCTGACTTGCTTGAATTGGACCACGGAATAGCTCTGCATGCACTGCAGGGGAATGGGGCCTCATCTCGCCTCTAGGGGGAAGTCTCATGGTTTTTCTCGAGTTGCGGCGGGGACCTGGGGTATGTTCTCGACTTACGGCGCGGATGGCCCTTCAAAACACGAGTTTCTTCAGTGACTTCAGGACTCCTGTCTAGTAACGAGGGACACCTCAGGAATCTCTTCGAGGCTTGGCAGGGCAAAAGGGACGCTTCTTGAGGTGAGGCAGGGCACCCAAGGACCCTTTCCAGTAGCCACAGGGATTTTGGGATTCCTATCAGTATTCAAGAGGAGTGAGGTATTGTCACCTTTTTAAGCAATGAACTTCGCGTGCCTCTTGAGGTGTCAACGGGATGTGAGGCATTCCGTCAAAATGAGGCAGGGACCTAGGGCTTTCTCTAAGGTCTCCACAGGGGATTCAGACATCCGTTCATGTTGGAGATCAAAGACGAGCCTGTATTCAAGCCACTGAAAGGAAATCCGGCCTCCTTTCAAGTTAGGGCTTCTCGCTGTACATTGCCTTTGAGGCAGCGAACTCGGGGTCCCTCCCACATAACTATTGCTGAGAGAAGCCTCCTCCTGAGGTGCGTCTGGAAAGTTGGCATACGTCTTGAGCCTAAGCCAGGGAATCAGCTCTAATCTTGAGACGATTTGGGATACACGGAGCATTCCTCGAGTTGCTGTGCTGAAGTTGGTGTTTCTCTAGACTTCGGACAGTGTTCTCGGGGTATCTCTGGAGTTGCCTGAAGGAAGTCGAGCCACAGTTCGTGTTGAATGGGGAACGCGGAATGGCTCTGGAGTCAATGCAGGGGAATCGGGCCTCATCTCGAGTTGATTTGGGGCACATGGAGCTGCTTTGCGTTGCTGGGGTGACCTCAGCGTCCGTCGAGACTGGTGACAGTGTTCTTGGGGACTGTCTCGAGATCCATTAAGCAAGTCGAAGCTCCTGACTTGTTTGAATGGGACCACGGAATAGCTCTGCATGCACTGCAGGGGAATGGGGTCTCATCTCGCCTCTAGAGGGAAGTCTCATGGTTTTTCTCGAGTTGCGGCGGGGACCTGGGATATGTTCTCGACTTACGGCGGGGATGGCCCTTCAAAACACGAGTTTCTTCAGTGACGTCAGGACTCCTGTCTAGTAACGAGGGACACTTAAGGAATCTCTTCGAGGCTTGGCAGGGCAAAAGGGACGCTTCTCGAGGTGAGACAGGGCACCCAAGACCCTTTCCAGTAGCCACAGGGATTTTGGGATTCCTATCAGTATTCAAGAGGAGTCAGGCATCGTCACGTTTTGAAGCAATGAACTCCGCGTGCCTCTCGAGGTGTCAACGCGATGTGAGGCATTCCGTCCAAATGAGGCAGGGACCTAGGGCTTTCTCTAAGGTCTCCACAGGGGATTCAGACATCCCTTCATGTTGTGAGATCAAAGACGAGCCTGTATTCAAGCCACTGCAAGGAAATCCGGCCTGCTTTCAAGTTAGGGCTTCTCGCTGTATATTGCCCTTGAGGCAGCGAACTCGGGGTCCCTCCCACATACCTATTACTGAGAGAAGCCTCCTCCTGAGGTGCGTCTTGAAAGTTGGCATATGTCTTGAGCCTAAGCCAGGGAATCACCTCTCATCTCGAGACGATTTGGGGTACACGGATCATTCCTCGAGTTGCCGTGCTGAAGTTGGTGTTCCTCTAGACTTGGGACAGTGTTCTCGGGGCATCTCTGGAGTTGCCTGAAGGAAGTCGAGCCACCGGTCGTGTTGAATGGGGAACGGGGAATGGCTCTGGAGTCAATGCAGGGGAATCGCGCCTCATCTCGAGTTGATTTGGGGCCCATGGAGCTGCGTTGTGTTGCTGGGGTGACCTCAGGGTCTGTCGAGACTTGTGACAGTGTTCTTGGGGACTGTCTCGAGATCCATTAAGCAAGTCGAAGCTCCTGACTTGTTTGAATGGGACCACGGAATAGCTCTGCATGCACTGCAGGGGATTGGGGTCTCATCTCGCCTCTAGGGGGAAGTCTCATGGTTTTTCTCGAGTTGCGGCGGGGACCTGGGGTATGTTCTCGACTTACGGCGGGGATGGCCCTTCAAAACACGAGTTTCTTCAGTGACGTCAGGACTCGTGTCTAGTAACGAGGGACACCTCAGGAATCTCTTCGAGGCTTGGCAGGGCAAAAGGGACGCTTCTCGAGGTGAGGCAGGGCACCCAAGGACCCTTTCCAGTAGCCACAGGGATTTTGGGATTCCTATCAGTATTCAAGAGGAGTGAGGCATTGTCACCTTTTGAAGCAATGAACTTCGCGTGCCTCTTGAGGTGTCAACGGGATGTGAGGCATTCCGTCCAAATGAGGCAGAGACCTAGGGCTTTCTCTAAGGTCTCCACAGGGGATTCAGACATCCGTTCATGTCGTGAGATGAAAGACGAGCCTGTATTCAAGCCACTGCAAGGAAATCTGGCCTCCTTCAAGTTAGGGCTTCTCGCTGTATATTGCCCTTGAGGCAGCGAACTCGGGGTCCCTCCCACATACCTATTGCTGAGAGAAGCCTCTTCCAGAGGTGCGTCTGGAAAGTTGGCATACGTCTTGAGCCTAAGCCAGGGAATCAGTTCTCATCTCGAGACGATTTGGGGTACACGGAGCATTCCTCGAGTTGCTGTGCAGAAGTTGGTGTTCCTCTAGACTTGGGACAGTGTTCTCGGGGTATCTCTGGAGTTGCCTGAAGGAAGTCGAGCCACCGGTCGTGTTGAATGGGGAACGGGGAATGGCTCTGGAGTCAATGCAGGGGAATCGGGCCTCATCTCGAGTTGATTTGGGGCACATGGAGCTGCTTTGCGTTGCTGGGGTGACCTCAGCGTCCGTCGAGACTGGTGACAGTGTTCTTGGGGACTGTCTCGAGATCCATTAAGCAAGTCGAAGCTCCTGACTTGTTTGAATGGGACCACGGAATAGCTCTGCATGCACTGCAGGGGAATGGGGTCTCATCTCGCCTCTAGGGGGAAGTCTCATGGTTTTTCTCGAGTTGCGGCGGGGACCTGGGGTATGTTCTCGACTTACGGCGGGGATGGCCCTTCAAAACACGAGTTTCTTCAGTGACGTCAGGACTCCTGTCTAGTAACGAGGGACACCTCAGGAATCTCATCGAGGCCTGGCAGTGCAAATGGGACGCTTCTTGAGGTGAGGCAGGGCACCCAAGGACCCTTTCCAGTAGCCACAGGGATTTTGGGATTCCTATCAGAATTCAAGAGGAGTCAGGCATCGTCACCTTTTGAAGCAATGAACTCCGCGTGCCTCTCGAGGTGTCAACGGGATGTGAGGCATTCCGTCCAAATGAGGCAGGGACCTAGGGCTTTCTCTAAGGTCTCCACAGGGGATTCAGACATCCCTTCATGTTGTGAGAAGAAAGACGAGCCTGTATTCAAGCCACTGCAAGGAAATCCGGCCTCCTTTCAAGTTAGGGCTTCTCGCTGTATATTGCCTTTGAGGCAGCGAACTCGGGGTCCCTCCCACATACCTATTGCTGAGAGAAGCCTCCTCCTGAGGTGCGTCTTGAAAGTTGGCATACGTCTTGAGCCTAAGCCAGGGAATCACCTCTCATCTCGAGACGATTTGGGGTACACGGAGCATTCCTCGAGTTGCCGTGCTGAAGTTGGTGTTCCTCTAGACTTGGGACAGTGTTCTCGGGGCATCTCTGGAGTTGCCTGAAGGAAGTCGAGCCACCGGTCGTGTTGAATGGGGAACGGGGAATGGCTCTGGAGTCAATGCAGGGGAATCGGGCCTCATCTCGAGTTGATTTGGGGCACATGGAGCTGCTTTGCGTTGCTAGGGTGACCTCAGCGTCCGTCGAGACTGGTGACAGTGTTCTTGGGGACTGTCTCGAGATCCATTAAGCAAGTCGAAGCTCCTGACTTGCTTGAATGGGACCACGGAATAGCTCTGCATGCACTGCAGGGGAATGGGGTCTCATCTCGCCTCTAGGGGGAAGTCTCATGGTTTTTCTCGAGTTGCGGCGGGGACCTGGGGTATGTTCTCGACTTACGGCGGGGATGGCCCTTCAAAACACGAGTTTCTTCAGTGACGTCAGGAATCCTGTCTAGTAACGAGGGACACCTCAGGAATCTCTTCCAGGCTTGGCAGGGCAAAAGGGACGCTTCTCGAGGTGAGGCAGGGCACCCAAGGACCCTTTCCAGTAGCCACGGGGATTTTGGGATTCCTATCAGTATTCAAGAGGAGTCAGGCATCTTCACCTTTTGAAGCAATGAACTCTGCGTGCCTCTCGAGGTGTCAACGGGATGTGAGGCATTCCGTCCAAATGAGGCAGGGACCTAGGGCTTTCTCTAAGGTCTACACAGGGGATTCAGACATCCCTTCATGTTGTGAGATCAAAGACGAGCCTGTATTCAAGCCACTGCAAGGAAATCCGGCCTGCTTTCAAGTTAGGGCTTCTCGCTTTATATTGCCCTTGAGGAAGCGAACTCGGGGTCCCTCCCACATACCTATTGCTGAGAAAAGCCTCCTCCTGAGGTGCGTCTTGAAAGTTGGCATACGTCTTGAGCCTAAGCCAGGGAATCAGCTCTCATCTCGAGAAGATTTGGGGTACACGGAGCATTCCTCGAGTTGCTGTGCTGAAGTTGGTGTTCCTCTAGACTTGGGTCAGTGTTCTCGGGGTATCTCTGGAGTTGCCTGAAGGAAGTCGAGCCACCGGTCGTGTTGAATGGGGAACGGGGAATGGCTCTGGAGTCAATGCAGGGGAATCGGGCCTCATCTCGAGTTGATTTGGGGCACATGGAGCTGCTTTGCGTTGCTGGGGTGACCTCAGCGTCCGTCGAGACTGGTGACAGTGTTCTTGGGGACTGTCTCGAGATCCATTAAGCAAGTCGAAGCTCCTGACTTGTTTGAATGGGACCACGGAATAGCTCTACATGCACTGCAGGGGAATGGGGCCTCATCTCGCCTCTTGGGGGAAGTCTCATGGTTTTTCTCGAGTTGCGGCGGGGACCTGGGGTATGTTCTCGACTTACGGCGGGGATGGCCCTTCAAAACACGAGTTTCTTCAGTGACGTCAGGACTCCTGTCTAGTAACGAGGGACACCTCAGGAATCACTTCGAGGCTTGGCAGTGCAAATGGGACGCTTCTTGAGGTGAGGCAGGGCACCCAAGGACCCTTTCCAGTAGCAACAGGGATTTTGGGATTCCTATCAGAATTCAAGAGGAGTCAGGCATCTTCACCTTTTGAAGCAATGAACTCCGCGTGCCTCTCGAGGTGTCAACGTGATGTGAGGCATTCCGTCAAAATGAGGCAGGGATCTAGGGCTTTCTCTAAGGTCTCCACAGGGGATTCAGACATCCCTTCATGTTGTGAGATCAAAGACGAGCCTGTATTCAAGCCACTGCATGGAAATCCGGCCTCCTTTCAAGTTAGGGCTTCTCGCTGTATATTGCCCTTGAGGCAGCGAACTGGGGGTCCCTTCCACATACCTATTGCTGAGAGAAGCCTCCTCCTGAGGTGCGTCTTGAAAGTTGGCATACGTCTTGAGCCTAAGCCAGGGAATCACCTCTCATCTCGAGACGATTTGGGGTACACGGAGCATTCCTCGAGTTGCCGTGCTGAAGTTGGTGTTCCTCTAGACTTGGGACAGTGTTCTCGGGGCATCTCTGGAGTTGCCTGAAGGAAGTCGAGCCACCGGTCGTGTTGAATGGGGAACGCGGAATGGCTCTGGAGTCAATGCAGGGGAATCGGGCCTCATCTCGAGTTGATTTGGGGCCCATGGAGCTGCTTTGCTTTGCTGGGGTGACCTCAGGGTCCGTCGAGACTGGTGACAGTGTTCTTGGGGACTGTCTCGAGAACCATTAAGCAAGTCGAAGCTCCTGACTTGCTTGAATTGGACCACGGAATAGCTCTGCATGCACTGCAGGGGAATGGGGCCTCATCTCGCCTCTAGGGGGAAGTCTCATGGTTTTTCTCGAGTTGCGGCGGGGACCTGGGGTATGTTCTCGACTTACGGCGCGGATGGCCCTTCAAAACACGAGTTTCTTCAGTGACGTCAGGACTCCTGTCTAGTAACGAGGGACACCTCAGGAATCTCTTCGAGGCTTGGCAGGGCAAAAGGGACGATTCTCGATGTGAGGCAGGGCACCCAAGGACCCTTTCCAGTAGCCAAAGGGATTTTGGGATTCCTATCAGTATTCAAGAGGAGTGAGGCATTGTCACCTTTTGAAGCAATGAACTTCGCGTGCCTCTTAAGGTGTTAACGGGATGTGAGGCATTCCGTCAAAATGAGGCAGGGACCTAGGGCTTTCTCTAAGGTCTCCACAGGGGATTCAGACATCCCTTCATGTTGTGAGATGAAAGACGAGCCTGTATTCAAGCCACTGCAAGGAAATCCGGCCTCCTTTCAAGTTAGGGCTTCTCGCTGTATATTGCCCTTGAGGCAGCGAACTCGGGGTCCCTCCCACATTCCTATTGCTGAGAGAAGCCTACTCCTGAGGTGCGTCTGGAAAGTTGGCATACGTCTTGAGCCTAAGCCAGGGAATCAGCTCTCATCTCGAGACGATTTGGGGTACACGGAGCATTCCTCGAGTTGCTGTGCTGAAGTTGGTGTTCCTCTAGACTTGGGACAGTGTTCTTGGAGTATCTCTGGAGTTGCCTGAAGTTAGTCGAGCCACCGGTCGTGTTGAATGGGGAACGGGGAATGGCTCTGGAGTCAATGCAGGGGAATCGGGCCTCATCTCGAGTTGATTTGGGGCACATGGAGCTGCTTTGCGTTGCTGGGGTGACCTCAGCGTCCGTCGAGACTGGTGACAGTGTTCTTGGGGACTGTCTCGAGATCCATTAAGCAAGTCGAAGCTCCTGACTTGTTTGAATGGGACCACGGAATAGCTCTGCATGCACTGCAGGGGAATGGGGCCTCATCTCGCCTCTAGGGGGAAGTCTCATGGTTTTTCTCGAGTTGTGGCGGGGACCTGGGTTATGTTCTCGACTTACGGCGGGGATGGCCCTTCAAAACACGAGTTTCTTCAGTGACGTCAGGACTCCTGTCTAGTAACGAGGGACACCTCAGGAATCTCTTCGAGGCTTGGCAGGGCAAAAGGGACGCTTCTCGAGGTGAGGCAGGGCACCCAAGGACCCTTTCCAGTAGCCACAGGGATTTTGGGATTCCTATCAGAATTCAAGAGGAGTGAGGCATTGTCACCTTTTGAAGCAATGAACTTCGCGTGCCTCTTGAGGTGTCAACGGGATGTGAGGCATTCCGTCAAAATGAGGCAGGGACCTAGGGCTTTCTCTAAGGTCTCCACAGGGGATTCAGACATCCCTTCATGTTGTGAGATGAAAGACGAGCCTGTATTCAAGCCACTGCAAGGAAATCCGGCCTCCTTTCAAGTAAGGGCTTCTCGCTGTATATTGCCCTTGAGGCAGCGAACTCGGGGTCCCTCCCACATACCTATTGCTGAGACAAGCCTCCTCCTGAGGTGCGTCTGGAAAGTTGGCATACGTCTTGAGCCTAAGCCAGGGAATCAGCTCTCATCTCGAGACGATTTGGGGTACACAGAGCATTCCTCGAGTTGCTGTGCTGAAGTTGGTGTTCCTCTAGACTTGGGACAGTGTTCTCGGGGTATCTCTGGAGTTGCCTGAAGGAAGTCGAGCCACCGGTCGTGTTGAATGGGGAACGGGTAATGGCTCTGGAGTCAATGCAGGGGAATCGGGCCTCATCTCGAGTTGATTTGGGGCACATGGAGCTGCTTTGCGTTGCTGGGGTGACCTCAGCGTCGGTCGAGACTGGTGACAGTGTTCTTGGGGACTGTCTCGAGATCGATTAAGCAAGTCGAAGCTCCTGACTTGTTTGAATGGGACCACGGAATAGCTCTGCATGCACTGCAGGGGAATGGGGCCTCATCTCGCCTCTAGGGGGAAGTCTCATGGTTTTTCTCGAGTTGCGGCGGGGACCTGGGGTATGTTCTCGACTTACAGCGGGGATGGCCCTTCAAAACACGAGTTTCTTCAGTGACGTCAGGACTCCTGTCTAGTAACGAGGGACACCTCAGGAATCTCTTCGAGGCTTGGCAGGGCAAAAGGGACGCTTCTCGAGGTGAGGCAGGACACCCAAGGACCCTTTCCAGTAGCCACAGGGATTTTGGGTTTCCTATCAGTATTCAAGAGGAGTGAGGCATTGTCACCTTTTGAAGCAATGAACTTTGCGTGCCTCTTGAGGTGTCAACGGGATGTGAGGCATTCCGTCAAAATGAGGCAGGGACCTAGGGCTTTCTCTAAGGTCTCCACAGGGGATTCAGACATCCCTTCATGTTGTGAGATCAAAGACGAGCCTGTATTCAAGCCACTGCAAGGAAATCCGGCCTCCTTTCAAGTTAGGGCTTCTCGCTGTATATTGCCCTTGAGTCAGAGAACTCGGGGTCCCTCCCACATACTTATTGCTGAGAGAAGCCTCCTCCTGAGGTGCGTCTTGAAAGTTGGCATACGTCTTGAGCCTAAGCCAGGGAATCACCTCTCATCTCGAGACGATTTGGGGTACACGGAGAATTCCTCGAGTTGCCGTGCTGAAGTTGGTGTTCCTCTAGACTTGGGACAGTGTTCTCGGGGCATCTCTGGAGTTGCCTGAAGGACGTCGAGCCACCGGTCGTGTTGAATGGGGAACGGGGAATGGCTCTGGAGTCAATGCAGGGGAATCGGGCCTCATCTCGAGTTGATTTGGGGCCCATGGAGCTGCTTTGCGTTGCTGGGGTGACGTCAGGGTCCGTCGAGACTGGTGACAGTGTTCTTGGGGACTGTCTCGAGAACCATTAAGCAAGTCGAAGCTCCTGACTTGCTTGAATGGGACCACGGAATAGCTCTGCATGCACTGCAGGGGAATGGGGCCTCATCTCGCCTCTTGGGGGAAGTCTCATGGTTTTTCTCGAGTTGCGGCGGGAACCTGGGGTATGTTCTCGACTTACGGCGGGGATGGCCCTTCAAAACACGAGTTTCTTCAGTGACGTCAGGACTCCTGTCTAGTAACGAGGGACACCTCTGGAACCTCTTCGAGGCTTGGCAGGGCAAAAGGGACGCTTCTCGAGGTGAGGCAGGGCACCCAAGGACCCTTTCCAGTAGCCACAGGGATTTTGGGATTCCTATCAGTATTCAAGATGAGTGAGGCATTGTCACCTTTTGAAGCAATGAACTTCGCGTGCCTCTTGAGGTGTAAACGGGATGTGAGGCATTCCGTCAAAATGAGGCAGGGACCTAGGGCTTTCTCTAAGGTCTCCACAGGGGATTCAGACATCCCTTCATGTTGTGAGATGAAAGACGAGCCTGTATTCAAGCCACTGCAAGGAAATCCGGCCTCCTTTCAAGTTAGGGCTTCTCGCTGTATATTGCCCTTGAGGCAGCGAACTCGGGGTCCCTCCCACATACCTATTGCTGAGAGAAGCCTACTCCTGAGGTGCGTCTGGAAAGTTGGCATACGTCTTGAGCCTAAGCCAGGGAATCAGCTCTCATCTCGAGACGATTTGGGGTACACGGAGCATTCCTCGAGTTGCTGTGCTGAAGTTGGTGTTCCTCTAGACTTGGGACAATGTTCTTGGAGTATCTCTGGAGTTGCCTGAAGTTAGTCGAGCCACCGGTCGTGTTGAATGGGGAACGGGGAATGGCTCTGGAGTCAATGCAGGGGAATCGGGCCTCATCTCGAGTTGATTTGGGGCACATGGAGCTGCTTTGCGTTGCTGGGGTGACCTCAGCGTCCGTCGAGACTGGTGACAGTGTTTTTGGGGACTGTCTCGAGATCCATTAAGCAAGTCGAAGCTCCTGACTTGTTTGAATGGGACCACGGAATAGCTCTGCATGCACTGCAGGGGAATGGGGCCTCATCTCGCCTCTAGGGGGAAGTCTCATGGTTTTTCTCGAGTTGCGGCGGGGACCTGGGTTATGTTCTCGACTTACGGCGGGGATGGCCCTTCAAAACACGAGTTTCTTCAGTGACGTCAGGACTCCTGTCTAGTAACGAGGGACACCTCAGGAATCTCTTCGAGGCTTGGCAGGGCAAAAGGGACGCTTCTCGAGGTGAGGCAGGGCACCCAAGGACCCTTTCCAGTAGCCACAGGGATTTTGGGATTCCTATCAGAATTCAAGAGGAGTGAGGCATTGTCACCTTTTGAAGCAATGAACTTCGCGTGCCTCTTGAGGTGTCAACGGGATGTGAGGCATTCCGTCAAAATGAGGCAGGGAACTAGGGCTTTCTCTAAGGTCTCCACAGGGGATTCAGACATCCCTTCATGTTGTGAGATGAAAGACGAGCCTGTATTCAAGCCCCTGCAAGGAAATCCGGCCTCCTTTCAAGTTAGGGCTTCTCGCTGTATATTGCCCTTGAGGCAGCGAACTCGGGGTCCCTCCCACATACCTATTGCTGAGAGAAGCCTCCTGAGGTGCGTCTGGAAAGTTGGCATACGTCTTGAGCCTAAGCCAGGGAATCAGCTCTCATCTCGAGACGATTTGGGGTACACAGAGCATTCCTCGAGTTGCTGTGCTGAAGTTGGTGTTCCTCTAGACTAGGGACAGTGTTCTCGGGGTAACTCTGGAGTTGCCTGAAGGAAGTCGAGCCACCGGTCGTGTTGAATGGGGAACGGGTAATGGCTCTGGAGTCAATGCAGGGGAATCGGGCCTCATCTCGAGTTGATTTGGGGCACATGGAGCTGCTTTGCGTTGCTGGGGTGACCTCAGCGTCGGTCGAGACTGGTGACAGTGTTCTTGGGGACTGTCTCGAGATCGATTAAGCAAGTCGAAGCTCCTGACTTGTTTGAATGGGACCACGGAATAGCTCTGCATGCACTGCAGGCGAATGGGGCCTCATCTCGCCTCTTGGGGGAAGTCTCATGGTTTTTCTCGAGTTGCGGCGGGAACCTGGGGTATGTTCTCGACTTACGGCGGGGATGGCCCTTCAAAACACGAGTTTCTTCAGTGACGTCAGGACTCCTGTCTAGTAACGAGGGACACCTCTGGAATCTCTTCGAGGCTTGGCAGGGCAAAAGGGACGCTTCTCGAGGTGAGGCAGGGCACCCAAGGACCCTTTCCAGTAGCCACAGGGATTTTGGGATTCCTATCAGTATTCAAGATGAGTGAGGCATTGTCACCTTTTGAAGCAATGAACTTCGCGTGCCTCTTGAGGTGTCAACGGGATGTGAGGCATTCCGTCAAAATGAGGCAGGGACCTAGGGCTTTCTCTAAGGTCTCCACAGGGGATTCAGACATCCCTTCATGTTGTGAGATCAAAGACGAGCCTGTATTCAAGCCACTGCAAGGAAATCCGGCCTCCTTTCAAGTTAGGGCTTCTCGCTGTATATTGCCCTTGAGGCAGCGAACTCGGTGTCCCTCCCACATACCTATTGCTGAAAGAAGCCTCCTCCTGAGGTGCGTCTGGAAAGTTGGCATACGTCTTGAGCCTAAGCCAGGGAATCACCTCTCATCTCGAGACGATTTGTGGTACATGGAGCATTCCTCGAGTTGCCGTGCTGAAGTTGGTGTTCCTCTAGACTTGAGACAGTGTTCTCTGGGCATCTCTGGACTTGCCTGAAGGAAGTCGAGCCACCGGTCGTGTTGAATTGGGAACGGGGAATGGCTCTGGAGTCAATGCAGGGGAATCGGGCCTCATCTCGAGTTGATTTAGGGCCCATGGAGCTGCTTTGCGTTGCTGGGGTGACCTCAGGGTCCGTCGAGACTGGTGACAGTGTTCTTGGGGACTGTCTCGAGAACCATTAAGCAAGTCGAAGCTCCTGACTTGCTTGAATGGGACCACGGAATAGCTCTGCATGCACTGCAGGGGAATGGGGCCTCATCTCACCTCTAGGGGGAAGTCTCATGGTTTTTCTCGAGTTGCGGCGGGGACCTGGGGTATGTTCTCGATTTACGGCGGGGATGGCCCTTCAAAACACGAGTTTCTTCAGTGACGTCAGGACTCCTGTCTAGTAACGAGGGACACCTCAGGAATCTCTTCGAGGCTTGGCAGGGCAAAAGGGACGATTCTCGAGGTGAGGCAGGGCACCCAAGGACCCTTTCCAGTAGCCAAAGGGATTTTGGGATTCCTATCAGTATTCAAGAGGAGTGAGGCATTGTCACCTTTTGAAGCAATGAACTTCGCGTGCCTCTTAAGGTGTTAACGGGATGTGAGGCATTCCGTCAAAATGAGGCAGGGACCTAGGGCTTTCTCTAAGGTCTCCACAGGGGATTCAGACATCCCTTCATGTTGTGAGATGAAAGACGAGCCTGTATTCAAGCCACTGCAAGGAAATCCGGCCTCCTTTCAAGTTAGGGCTTCTCGCTGTATATTGCCCTTGAGGCAGCGAACTCGGGGTCCCTCCCACATACCTATTGCTGAGAGAAGCCTACTCCTGAGGTGCGTCTGGAAAGTTGGCATACGTCTTGAGCCTAAGCCAGGGAATCAGCTCTCATCTCGAGACGATTTGGGGTACACGGAGCATTCCTCGAGTTGCTGTGCTGAAGTTGGTGTTCCTCTAGACTTGGGACAATGTTCTTGGAGTATCTCTGGAGTTGCCTGAAGTTAGTCGAGCCACCGGTCGTGTTGAATGGGGAACGGGGAATGGCTCTGGAGTCAATGCAGGGGAATCGGGCCTCATCTCGAGTTGATTTGGGGCACATGGAGCTGCTTTGCGTTGCTGGGGTGACCTCAGCGTCCGTCGAGACTGGTGACAGTGTTCTTGGGGACTGTCTCGAGATCCATTAAGCAAGTCGAAGCTCCTGACTTGTTTGAATGGGACCACGGAATAGCTCTGCATGCACTGCAGGGGAATGGGGCCTCATCTCGCCTCTAGGGGGAAGTCTCATGGTTTTTCTCGAGTTGCGGCGGGGACCTGGGTTATGTTCTCGACTTACGGCGGGGATGGCCCTTCAAAACACGAGTTTCTTCAGTGACGTCAGGACTCCTGTCTAGTAACGAGGGACACCTCAGGAATCTCTTCGAGGCTTGGCAGGGCAAAAGGGACGCTTCTCGAGGTGAGGCAGGGCACCCAAGGACCCTTTCCAGTAGCCACAGGGATTTTGGGATTCCTATCAGAATTCAAGAGGAGTGAGGCATTGTCACCTTTTGAAGCAATGAACTTCGCGTGCCTCTTGAAGTGTCAACGGGATGTGAGGCATTCCGTCAAAATGAGGCAGGGACCTAGGGCTTTCTCTAAGGTCTCCACAGGGGATTCAGACATCCCTTCATGTTGTGAGATGAAAGACGAGCCTGTATTCAAGCCACTGCAAGGAAATCCGGCCTCCTTTCAAGTTAGGGCTTCTCGCTGTATATTGCCCTTGAGGCAGCGAACTCGGGGTCCCTCCCACATACCTATTGCTGAGAGAAGCCTCCTCCTGAGGTGCGTCTGGAAAGTTGGCATACGTCTTGAGCCTAAGCCAGGGAATCAGCTCTCATCTCGAGACGATTTGGGGTACACAGAGCATTCCTCGAGTTGCTGTGCTGAAGTTGGTGTTCCTCTAGACTTGGGACAGTGTTCTCGGGGTATCTCTGGAGTTGCCTGAAGGAAGTCGAGCCACCGGTCGTGTTGAATGGGGAACGGGTAATGGCTCTGGAGTCAATGCAGGGGAATCGGGCCTCATCTCGAGTTGATTTGGGGCACATGGAGCTGCTTTGCTTTGCTGGGGTGACCTCAGCGTCGGTCGAGACTGGTGACAGTGTTCTTGGGGACTGTCTCGAGATCGATTAAGCAAGTCGAAGCTCCTGACTTGTTTGAATGGGACCACGGAATAGCTCTGCATGCACTGCAGGGGAATGGGGCCTCATCTCGCCTCTAGGGGGAAGTCTCATGGTTTTTCTCGAGTTGCGGCGGGGACCTGGGGTATGTTCTCGACTTACAGCGGGGAACGCCCTTCAAAACACGAGTTTCTTCAGTGACGTCAGGACTCCTGTCTAGTAACGAGGGACACCTCAGGAATCTCTTCGAGGCTTGGCAGGGCAAAAGGGACGCTTCTCGAGGTGAGGCAGGACACCCAAGGACCCTTTCCAGTAGCCACAGGGATTTTGGGATTCCTATCAGTATTCAAGAGGAGTGAGGCATTGTCACCTTTTGAAGCAATGAACTTTGCGTGCCTCTTGAGGTGTCAACGGGATGTGAGGCAATCCTTCAAAATGAGGCAGGGACCTAGGGCTTTCTCTGAGGTCTCCACAGGGGATTCAGACATCCCTTCATGTTGTGAGATCAAAGACGAGCCTGTATTCAAGCCACTGCAAGGAAATCCGGCCTCCTTTCAAGTTAGGGCTTCTCGCTGTATATTGCCCTTTAGTCAGAGAACTCGGGGTCCCTCCCACATACTTATTGCTGAGAGAAGCCTCCTCCTGAGGTGCGTCTTGAAAGTTGGCATACGTCTTGAGCCTAAGCCAGGGAATCACCTCTCATCTCGAGACGATTTGGGGTACACGGAGAATTCCTCGAGTTGCCGTGCTGAAGTTGGTGTTCCTCTAGACTTGGGACAGTGTTCTCGGGGCATCTCTGGAGTTGCCTGAAGGAAGTCGAGCCACCGGTCGTGTTGAATGGGGAACGGGGAATGGCTCTGGAGTCAATGCAGGGGAATCGGGCCTCATCTCGAGTTGATTTGGGGCCCATGGAGCTGCTTTGCGTTACTGGGGTGACGTCAGGGTCCGTCGAGACTGGTGACAGTGTTCTTGGGGACTCTCTCGAGAACCATTAAGCAAGTCGAAGCTCCTGACTTGCTTGAATGGGACCACGGAATAGCTCTGCATGCACTGCAGGGGAATGGGGCCTCATCTCGCCTCTTGGGGGAAGTCTCATGGTTTTTCTCGAGTTGCGGCGGGAACCTGGGGTATGTTCTCGACTTACGGCGGGGATGGCCCTTCAAAACACGAGTTTCTTCAGTGACGTCAGGACTCCTGTCTAGTAACGAGGGACACCTCTGGAATCTCTTCGAGGCTTGGCAGGGCAAAAGGGACGCTTCTCGAGGTGAGGCAGGGCACCCAAGGACCCTTTCCAGTAGCCACAGGGATTTTGGGATTCCTATCAGTATTCAAGAGGAGTGAGGCATTGTCACCTTTTGAAGCAATGAACTTTGCGTGCCTCTTGAGGTGTCAACGGGATGTGAGGCATTCCGTCAAAATGAGGCAGGGACCTAGGGCTTTCTCTAACGTCTCCACAGGGGATTCAGACATCCCTTCATGTTGTGAGATCAAAGACGAGCCTGTATTCAAGCCACTGCAAGGAAATCCGGCCTCCTTTCAAGTTAGGGCTTCTCGCTGTATATTGCCCTTGAGGCAGCGAACTCGGGGTCCCTCCCACATACCTATTGCTGAGAGAAGCCTCCTCCTGAGGTGCGTCTTGAAAGTTGGCATACGTCTTGAGCCTAAGCCAGGGAATCACCTCTCATCTCGAGACGATTTGGGGTACACGGAGCATTCCTCGAGTTGCCGTGCTGAAGTTGGTGTTCCTCTAGACTTGGGACAGTGTTCTCGGGGCATCTCTGGAGTTGCCTGAAGGAAGTCGAGCCACCGGTCGTGTTGAATGGGGAACGGGGAATGGCTCTGGAGTCAATGCATTGGAATCGGGCCTCATCTCGAGTTGATTTAGGGCCCATGGAGCTGCTTTGCGTTGCTGGGGTGACCTCAGGGTCCGTCGAGACTGGTGACAGTGTTCTTGGGGACTGTCTCGAGAACCATTAAGCAAGTCGAAGCTCCTGACTTGCTTGAATGGGACCACGGAATAGCTCTGCATGCACTGCAGGGGAATGGGGCCTCATCTCGCCTCTAGGGGGAAGTCTCATGGTTTTTCTCGAGTTGCGGCGGGGACCTGGGGTATGTTCTCGATTTACGGCGGGGATGGCCCTTCAAAACACGAGTTTCTTCAGTGACGTCAGGACTCCTGTCTAGTAACGAGGGACACCTCAGGAATCTCTTCGAGGCTTGTCAGGGCAAAAGGGACGCTTCTCGAGGTGAGGCAGGGCACCCAAGGACCCTTTCCAGTAGCCACAGGGATTTTGGGATTCCTATCAGTATTCAAGAGGAGTGAGGCATTGTCACCTTTTGAAGCAATGAACTTTGCGTGCCTCTTGAGGTGTCAACGGGATGTGAGGCATTCCGTCAAAATGAGGCAGGGACCTAGGGCTTTCTCTAAGGTCTCCACAGGGGATTCAGACATCCCTTCATGTTGTGAGATCAAAGACGAGCCTGTATTCAAGCCACTGCAAGGAAATCCGGCCTCCTTTCAAGTTAGGGCTTCTCGCTGTATATTGCCCTTGAGGCAGAGAACTCGGGGTCCCTCCCACATACTTATTGCTGAGAGAAGCCTCCTCCTGAGGTGCTTCTGGGAAGTTGGCATACGTCTTGAGCCTAAACCAGGGAATCACCTCTCATCTCGAGACGATTTGGGGTACACGGAGCATTCCTCGAGTTGCCGTGCTGAAGTTGGTGTTCCTCTAGACTTGGGACAGTGTTCTCGGGGCATCTCTGGAGTTGCCTGAAGGAAGTCGAGCCACTGGTCGTGTTGAATGGGGAACGGGGAATGGCTCTGGAGTCAATGCAGGGGAATCGGGCCTCATCTCGAGTTGATTTGGGGCCCATGGAGCTGCTTTGCGTTGCTGTGGTGACGTCAGGGTCCGTCGAGACTGGTGACAGTGTTCTTGGGGACTGTCTCGAGAACAATTAAGCAAGTCGAAGATCCTGACTTGCTTGAATGGGACCACGGAATAGCTCTGCAAGCACTGCAGGGGAATGGGACCTCATCTCGCCTCTAGGGGGAAGTCTCATGGATTTTCTCGAGTTGCGGCGGGGACCTGGGGTATGTTCTCGACTTACGGCGGGGATGGCCCTTCAAAACACGAGTTTCTTCAGTGACGTCAGGACTCCTGTCTAGTAACGAGGGACACCTCAGGAATCTCTTCGAGGCTTGGCAGGGCAAAAGGGACGCTTCTCGAGGTGAGGCAGGGCACCCAAGGACCCTTTCCGGTAGCCACAGGGATTTTGGGATTCCTATCAGTATTCAAGAGGAGTGAGGCATTGTCACCTTTTGAAGCAATGAACTTCGCGTGCCTCTTGAGGTGTCAACGGGATGTGAGGCATTCCGTCAAAATGAGGCAGGTAACTAGGGCTTTCTCTAAGGTCTCCACAGGGGATTCAGACATCCCTTCATGTTGTGAGATGAAAGACGAGCCTGTATTCAGGCCACTGCAAGGAAATCCGGCCTCCTTTCAAGTTAGGGCTTCTCGCTGTATATTGCCCTTGAGGCAGCGAACTCGGGGTCCCTCCCACATACCTATTGCTGAGAGAAGCCTCCTCCTGAGGTGCGTCTGGAAAGTTGGCATACGTCTTGAGCCTAAGCCAGGGAATCACCTCTCATCTCGAGACGATTTGGGGTACACGGAGCATTCCTCGAGTGGCTGTGCTGAATTTGGTGTTCCTCTAGACTTCGGACAATGTTCTCGGGGTATCTCTGGAGTTGCATGAAGGAAGTCGAGCCACCGGTCGTGTTGAATGGGGAACTGGGAATGGCTCTGGAGTCAATGCAGGGGAATCGGGCCTCATCTCGAGTTGATTTGGGGCCCACGGTGCTGCTTTGCGTTGCTGGGGTGACCTCAGGGTCCGTCGAGACTGAAGACAGTGTTCTTGGGGTCTGTGTCGAGAACCATTAAGCAAGTCGAAGCTCCTGACTTGCTTGAATGGGACCACGGAATAGCTCTGCATGCACTGCAGGGGAATGGGGCCTCATCTCGCCTCTAGGGGGAAGTCTCATGGTTTTTCTCGAGTTGCAGCGGGGACCTGTTGTATGTTCTTGACTTACGGCGTTGATGGCCCTTCAAAACACGAGTTTCTTCAGTGACGTCAGGACTCCTGTCTAGTAACGCGGGACACCTCAGGAATTTCTTCGAGGCTTGGCAGGGCAAAAGGGACGCTTCCCGAGGTGTGGCAGGGCACCCAAGGACCCTTTCCAGTAGCCACAGGGATTTTGGTATTCCTATCAGTATTCAAGAGGAGTGAGGCATTGTCACCTTTTGAAGCAATGAACTCCGCGTGCCTCTCGAGGTGTCAACGGGATGTGAGGCATTCCATCCAAATGAGGCAGGGACCTAGGGCTTTCTCTAAGGTCTCCACAGGGGATTCAGACATCCCTTCATGTTGTGAGAAGAAAGACGAGCCTGTATTCAAGCCACTGCAAGGAAATCCGGCCTCCTTTCAAGTTAGGGCTTCTCGCTGTATATTGCCTTTGAGGCAGCGAACTCGGGGTCCCTCCCACATACCTATTGCTGAGAGAAGCCTCCTCCTGAGGTGCGTCTTGAAAGTTGGCATACGTCTTGAGCCTAAGCCAGGGAATCAGCTCTCATCTCGAGACGATTTGGGGTACACGGAGCATTCCTCGAGTTGCCTTGTTGAAGTTGGTGTTCCTCTAGACTTGGGACAGTGTTCTCGGGGCATCTCTGGAGTTGCCTGAAGGAAGTCGAGCCACCGGTCGTGTTGAATGGGGAACGGGGAATGGCTCTGGAGTCAATGCAGGGGAATCGGGCCTCATCTCGGTTGATTTGGGGCACATGGAGCTGCTTTGCGTTGCTGGGGTGACCTCAGGGTCCGTCGAGACTGGTGACAGTGTTCTTGGGGACTGTCTCGAGATCCATTAAGCAAGTCGAAGCTCCTGACTTGCTTGAATGGGACCACGGAATAGCTCTGCATGCACTGCAGGGGAATGGGGTCTCATCTCGCCTCTAGGGGGAAGTCTCATGGTTTTTCTCGAGTTGCGGCGGGGACCTGGGGTATGTTCTCGACTTACGGCGGGGATGGCCCTTCAAAACACGAGTTTCTTCAGTGACGTCAGGAATCCTGTCTAGTAACGAGGGACACCTCAGGAATCTCTTCGAGGCTTGGCAGGGCAAAAGGGACGCTTCTTGAGGTGAGGCAGGGCACCCAAGGACCCTTTCCAGTAGCCACAGGGATTTTGGGATTCCTATCAGAATTCAAGAGGAGTCAGGCATCGTCACCTTTTGAAGCAATGAACTCCGCATGCCTCTCGAGGTGTCAACGGGATGTGAGGCATTCCGTCCAAATGAGGCAGGGACCTAGGGCTTTCTCTAAGGTCTCCACAGGGGATTCAGACATCCCTTCATGTTGTGAGAAGAAAGACGAGCCTGTATTCAAGCCACTGCAAGGAAATCCGGCCTCCATTCAAGTTAGGGCTTCTCGCTGTATATTGCCCTTGAGGCAGCGAACTCGGGGTCCCTCCCACATACCTATTGCTGAAAGAAGCCTCCTCCTGAGGTGCGTCTGGAAAGTTGGCATACGTCTTGAGCCTAAGCCAGGGAATCACCTCTCATCTCGAGACGATTTGTGGTACATGGAGCATTCCTCGAGTTGCCGTGCTGAAGTTGGTGTTCCTCTAGACTTGAGACAGTGTTCTCTGGGCATCTCTGGACTTGCCTGAAGGAAGTCGAGCCACCGGTCGTGTTGAATTGGGAAAAGGGAATGGCTCTGGAGTCAATGCAGGGGAATCGGGCCTCATCTCGAGTTGATTTGGGGCCCATGGAGCTGCTTTGCGTTGCTGGGGTGACCTCAGGGTCGTCGAGACTGGTGACAGTGTTCTTGGGGACTGTCTCGAGAACCATTAAGCAAGTCGAAGCTCCTGACTTGCTTGAATGGGACCACGGAATAGCTCTGCATGCACTGCAGGGGAATGGGGCCTCATCTCGCCTCTAGGGGGAAGTCTCATGGTTTTTCTCGAGTTGCGGCGGGGACCTGGGGTATGTTCTCGACTTACAGCGGGGATGGCCCTTCAAAACACGAGTTTCTTCAGTGACGTCAGGACTCCTGTCTAGTAACGTGGGACACCTCAGGAATCTCTTCGAGGCTTGGCAGGGCAAAAGGGACGCTTCTCGAGGTGAGGCAGGGCACCCAAGGACCCTTTCCAGTAGCCACAGGGATTTTGGGATTCCTATCAGTATTCAAGAGGAGTGAGGCATTGTCACCTTTTGAAGCAATGAACTTTGCGTGCCTCTTGAGGTGTCAACGGGATGTGAGGCATTCCGTCAAAATGAGGCAGGGACCTAGGGCTTTCTCTAAGGTCTCCACAGGGGATTCAGACATCCCTTCATGTTGTGAGATGAAAGACGAGCCTGTATTCAAGCCACTGCAAGGAAATGCGGCCTCCTTTCAAGTTAGGGCTTCTCGCTGTATATTGCCCTTGAGGCAGCGAACTCGGGGTCCCTCCCACATACCTATTGCTGAGAGAAGCCTCCTCCTGAGGTGCGTCTTGAAAGTTGGCATACGTCTTGAGCCTAAGCCAGGGAATCACCTCTCATCTCGAGACGATTTGGGGTACACGGAGCATTCCTCAAGTTGCCGTGCTGAAGTTGGTGTTCCTCTAGACTTGGGACAGTGTTCTCGGGGCATCTCTGGAGTTGCCTGAAGGAAGTCGAGCCACCGGTCGTGTTGAATGGGGAACGGGGAATGGCTCTGGAGTCAATGCAGGGGAATCGGGCCTCATCTCGAGTTGATTTGGGGCACATGGAGCTGCTTTGCGTTGCTGGGGTGACCTCAGCGTCCGTCGAGACTGGTGACAGTGTTCTTGGGGACTGTCTCGAGATCCATTAAGCAAGTCGAAGCTCCTGACTTGTTTGAATGGGACCACGGAATAGCTCTGCATGCACTGCAGGGGAATGGGGCCTCATCTCGCCTCTAGGGGGAAGTCTCATGGTTTTTCTCGAGTTGCGGCGGGGACCTGGGTTATGTTCTCGACTTACGGCGGGGATGGCCCTTCAAAACACGAGTTTCTTCAGTGACGTCAGGACTCCTGTCTAGTAACGAGGGACACCTCAGGAATCTCTTCGAAGCTTGGCAGGGCAAAAGGGACGATTCTCGAGGTGAGGCAGGGCACCCAAGGACCCTTTCCAGTAGCCAAAGGGATTTTGGGATTCCTATCAGTATTCAAGAGGAGTGAGGCATTGTCACCTTTTGAAGCAATGAACTTCGCGTGCCTCTTAAGGTGTTAACGGGATGTGAGGCATTCCGTCACAATGAGGCAGGGAACTAGGGCTTTCTCTAAGGTCTCCACAGGGGATTCAGACGTCCCTTCATGTTGTGAGATGAAAGACGAGCCTGTATTCAAGCCACTGCAAGGAAATCCGGCCTCCTTTCAAGTTAGGGCTTCTCGCTGTATATTGCCCTTGAGGCAGCGAACTCGGGGTCCCTCCCACATACCTATTGCTGAGAGAAGCCTACTCCTGAGGTGCGTCTGGAAAGTTGGCATACGTCTTGAGCCTAAGCCAGGGAATCAGCTCTCATCTCGAGACGATTTGGGGTACACGGAGCATTTCTCGAGTTGCTGTGCTGAAGTTGGTGTTCCTCTAGACTTGGGACAATGTTCTTGGAGTATCTCTGGAGTTGCCTGAAGTTAGTCGAGCCACCGGTCGTGTTGAATGGGGAACGGGGAATGGCTCTGGAGTCAATGCAGGGGAATCGGGCCTCATCTCGAGTTGATTTGGGGCACATGGAGCTGCTTTGCGTTGCTGGGGTGACCTCAGCGTCCGTCGAGACTGGTGACAGTGTTCTTGGGGACTGTCTCGAGATCCATTAAGCAAGTCGAAGCTCCTGACTTGTTTGAATGGGACCACGGAATAGCTCTGCATGCACTGCAGGGGAATGGGGCCTCATCTCGCCTCTAGGGGGAAGTCTCATGGTTTTTCTCGAGTTGCGGCGGGGACCTGGGTTATGTTCTCGACTTACGGCGGGGATGGCCCTTCAAAACACGAGTTTCTTCAGTGACGTCAGGACTCCTGTCTAGTAACGAGGGACACCTCAGGAATCTCTTCGAGGCTTGGCAGGGCAAAAGGGACGCTTCTCCAGGTGAGGCAGGGCACCCAAGGACCCTTTCCAGTAGCCACAGGGATTTTGGGATTCCTATCAGAATTCAAGAGGAGTGAGGCATTGTCACCTTTTGAAGCAATGAACTTCGCGTGCCTCTTGAGGTGTCAACGGGATGTGAGGCATTCCGTCAAAATGAGGCAGGGACCTAGGGCTTTCTCTAAGGTCTCCACAGGGGATTCAGACATCCCTTCATGTTGTGAGATCAAAGACGAGCCTGTATTCAAGCCACTGCAAGGAAATCCGGCCTCCTTTCAAGTTAGGGCTTCTCGCTGTATATTGCCCTTGAGGCAGCGAACTCGGGGTCCCTCCCACATACCTATTGCTGAGAGAAGCCTCCTCCTGAGGTGCGTCTGGAAAGTTGGCATACGTCTTGAGCCTAAGCCAGGGAATCAGCTCTCATCTCGAGACGATTTGGGGTACACAGAGCATTCCTCGAGTTGCTGTGCTGAAGTTGGTGTTCCTCTAGACTTGGGACAGTGTTCTCGGGGTATCTCTGGAGTTGCCTGAAGGAAGTCGAGCCACCGGTCGTGTTGAATGGGGAACGGGTAATGGCTCTGGAGTCAATGCAGGGGAATCGGGCCTCATCTCGAGTTGATTTGGGGCACATGGAGCTGCTTTGCGTTGCTGGGGTGACCTCAGCGTCGGTCGAGACTGGTGACAGTGTTCTTGGGGACTGTCTCGAGATCGATTAAGCAAGTCGAAGCTCCTGACTTGTTTGAATGGGACCACGGAATAGCTCTGCATGCACTGCAGGGGAATGGGGCCTCATCTCGCCTCTAGGGGGAAGTCTCCTGGTTTTTCTCGAGTTGCGGCGGGGACCTGGGGTATGTTCTCGACTTACAGCGGGGATGGCCCTTCAAAACACGAGTTTCTTCAGTGACGTCAGGACTCCTGTCTAGTAACGAGGGACACCTCAGGAATCTCTTCGAGGCTTGGCAGGGCAAAAGCGACGCTTCTCGAGGTGAGGCAGGACACCCAAGGACCCTTTCCAGTAGCCACAGGGATTTTGGGATTCCTATCAGTATTCAAGAGGAGTGAGGCATTGTCACCTTTTGAAGCAATGAACTTTGCGTGCCTCTTGAGGTGTCAACGGGATGTGAGGCATTCCGTCAAAATGAGGCAGGGACCTAGGGCTTTCTCTAAGGTCTCCACAGGGGATTCAGACATCCCTTCATGTTGTGAGATCAAAGACGAGCCTGTATTCAAGCCACTGCAAGGAAATCCGGCCTCCTTTCAAGTTAGGGCTTCTCGCTGTATATTGCCCTTGAGTCAGAGAACTCGGGGTCCCTCCCACATACTTATTGCTGAGAGAAGCCTCCTCCTGAGGTGCGTCTTGAAAGTTGGCATACGTCTTGAGCCTAAGCCAGGGAATCACCTCTCATCTCGAGACGATTTGGGGTACACGGAGAATTCCTCGAGTTGCCGTGCTGAAGTTGGTGTTCCTCTAGACTTGGGACAGTGTTCTCGGGGCATCTCTGGAGTTGCCTGAAGGAAGTCGAGCCACCGGTCGTGTTGAATGGGGAACGGGGAATGGCTCTGGAGTCAATGCAGGGGAATCGGGCCTCATCTCGAGTTGATTTGGGGCCCATGGAGCTGCTTTGCGTTGCTGGGGTGACGTCAGGGTCCGTCGAGACTGGTGACAGTGTTCTTGGGGACTGTCTCGAGAACCATTAAGCAAGTCGAAGCTCCTGACTTGCTTGAATGGGACCACGGAATAGCTCTGCATGCACTGCAGGGGAATGGGGCCTCATCTCGCCTCTTGGGGGAAGTCTCATGGTTTTTCTCGAGTTGCGGCGGGAACCTGGGGTATGTTCTCGACTTACGGCGGGGATGGCCCTTCAAAACACGAGTTTCTTCAGTGACGTCAGGACTCCTGTCTAGTAACGAGGGACACCTCTGGAATCTCTTCGAGGCTTGGCAGGGCAAAAGGGACGCTTCTCGAGGTGAGGCAGGGCACCCAAGGACCCTTTCCAGTAGCCACAGGGATTTTGGGATTCCTATCAGTATTCAAGATGAGTGAGGCATTGTCACCTTTTGAAGCAATGAACTTCGCGTGCCTCTTGAGGTGTCAACGGGATGTGAGGCATTCCGTCAAAATGAGGCAGGGACCTAGGGCTTTCTCTAAGGTCTCCACAGGGGATTCAGACATCCCTTCATGTTGTGAGATCAAAGACAAGCCTGTATTCAAGCCACTGCAAGGAAATCCGGCCTCCTTTCAAGTTAGGGCTTCTCGCTGTATATTGCCCTTGAGGCAGCGAACTCGGTGTCCCTCCCACATACCTATTGCTGAGAGAAGCCTCCTCCTGAGGTGCGTCTGGAAAGTTGGCATGCGTCTTGAGCCTAAGTCAGGGAATCAGCTCTCATCTCGAGATGATTTGTGGTACACGGAGCATTCCTCGAGTTGCTGTGCTGAAGTTGGTGTTCCTCTAGACTTGGGACAGTGTTCTCCGGGTATCTCTGGAGTTGCCTGAAGGAAGTCGAGCCACCGGTCGTGTTGAATGGGGAACGGGGAATGGCTCTGGAGTCAATGCAGGGGAATCGGGCCTCATCTCGAGTTCATTTGGGGCACATGGAGCTGCTTTGCGTTGCTGGGGTGACCTCAGCGTCCGTCAAGACTGGTGACAGTGTTCTTGGGGACTGTCTCGAGATCCATTAAGCAAGTCGAAGCTCCTGACTTGTTTGAATGGGACCACGGAATAGCTCTGCATGCACTGCAGGGGAATGGGGCCTCATCTCGCCTCTAGGGGGAAGTCTCATGGTTTTTCTCGAGTTGCGGCGGGGACCTGGGGTATGTTCTCGACTTACGGCGGGGATGGCCCTTCAAAACACGAGTTTCTTCAGTGACGTCAGGACTCCTGTCTAGTAACGAGGGACACCTCAGGAATCTCTTCGAGGCTTGGCAGGGCAAAAGGGACGCTTCTCGACGTGAGGCAGGGCACCCAAGGACCCTTTCCAGTAGCCACAGGGATTTTGGGATTCCTATCAGTATTCAAGAGGAGTGAGGCATTGTCACCTTTTGAAGCAATGAACTTCGCGTGCCTCTTGAGGTGTCAACGGGATGTGAGGCATTCCGTCAAAATGAGGCAGGGACCTAGGGCTTTCTCTAAGGTCTCCACAGGGTATTCAGACATCCCTTCATGTTGTGAGATGAAAGACGAGCCTGTATTCAAGCCACTGCAAGGAAATCCGGCCTCCTTTCAAGTTAGGGCTTCTCGCTGTATATTGCCCTTGAGGCAGCGAACTCGGGGTCCCTCCCACATACCTATTGCTGAGAGAAGCCTCCTCCTGAGGTGCGTCTGGAAAGTTGGCATACGTCTTGAGCCTAAGCCAGGGAATCAGCTCTCATCTCGAGACGATTTGGGGTACACGGAGCATTCCTCGAGTTGCTGTGCTGAAGTTGGTGTTCCTCTAGACTTGGGACAGTGTTCTCGGGGTATCTCTGGAGTTGCCTGAAGGAAGTCGAGCCACCGGTCGTGTTGAATGGGGAACGGGTAATGGCTCTGGAGTCAATGCAGGGGAATCGGGCCTCATCTCGAGTTGATTTGGGGCACATGGAGCTGCTTTGCGTTGCTGGGGTGACCTCAGCGTCCGTCGAGACTGGTGGCAGTGTTCTTGGGGACTGTCTCGAGATCGATTAAGCAAGTCGAAGCTCCTGACTTGTTTGAATGGGACCACGGAATAGCTCTGCATGCACTGCAGGGGAATGGGGCCTCATCTCGCCTCTAGGGGGAAGTCTCATGATTTTTCTCGAGTTGCGGCGGGGACCTGGGGTATGTTCTCGACTTACGGCGGGGATGGCCCTTCAAAACACGAGTTTCTTCAGTGACGTCAGGACTCCTGTCTAGTAACGAGGGACACCTCAGGAATATCATCGAGGCTTGGCAGTGCAAATGGGACGCTTCTTGAGGTGAGGCAGGGCACCCAAGGACCCTTTCCAGTAGCCACAGGGATTTTGGGATTCCTATCAGAATTCAAGAGGAGTCAGGCATCGTCACCTTTTGAAGCAATGAACTCCGCATGCCTCTCGAGGTGTCAACGGGATGTGAGGCATTCCGTCCAAATGAGGCAGGGACCTAGGGCTTTCTCTAAGGTCTCCACAGGGGATTCAGACATCCCTTCATGTTGTGAGAAGAAAGACGAGCCTGTATTCAAGCCACTGCAAGGAAATCCGGCCTCCATTCAAGTTAGGGCTTCTCGCTGTATATTGCCCTTGAGGCAGCGAACTCGGGGTCCCTCCCACATACCTATTGCTGAAAGAAGCCTCCTCCTGAGGTGCGTCTGGAAAGTTGGCATACGTCTTGAGCCTAAGCCAGGGAATCACCTCTCATCTCGAGACGATTTGTGGTACATGGAGCATTCCTCGAGTTGCCGTGCTGAAGTTGGTGTTCCTCTAGACTTGAGACAGTGTTCTCTGGGCATCTCTGGACTTGCCTGAAGGAAGTCGAGCCACCGGTCGTGTTGAATTGGGAACGGGGAATGGCTCTGGAGTCAATGCAGGGGAATCGGGCCTCATCTCGAGTTGATTTGGGGCCCATGGAGCTGCTTTGCGTTGCTGGGGTGACCTCAGGGTCGTCGAGACTGGTGACAGTGTTCTTGGGGACTGTCTCGAGAACCATTAAGCAAGTCGAAGCTCCTGACTTGCTTGAATGGGACCACGGAATAGCTCTGCATGCACTGCAGGGGAATGGGGACTCATCTCGCCTCTAGGGGGAAGTCTCATGGTTTTTCTCGAGTTGCGGCGGGGACCTGGGGTATGTTCTCGACTTACAGCGGGGATGGCCCTTCAAAACACGAGTTTCTTCAGTGACGTCAGGACTCCTGTCTAGTAACGAGGGACACCTCAGGAATCTCTTCGAGGCTTGGCAGGGCAAAAGGGACGCTTCTCGAGGTGAGGCAGGGCACCCACGGACCCTTTCCAGTAGCCACAGGGATTTTGGGATTCCTATCAGTATTCAAGAGGAGTGAGGCATTGTCACCTTTTGAAGCAATGAACTTTGCGTGCCTCTTGAGGTGTCAACGGGATGTGAGGCATTCCGTCAAAATGAGGCAGGGACCTAGGGCTTTCTCTAAGGTCTCCACAGGGGATTCAGACATCCCTTCATGTTGTGAGATCAAAGACGAGCCTGTATTCAAGCCACTGCAAGGAAATCCGGCCTCCTTTCAAGTTAGGGCTTCTCGCTGTATATTGCCCTTGAGGCAGCGAACTCGGGGTCCCTCCCACATACCTATTGCTGAGAGAAGCCTCCTCCTGAGGTGCGTCTTGAAAGTTGGCATACGTTTTGAGCCTAAGCCAGGGAATCACCTCTCATCTCGAGACGATTTGGGGTACACGGAGCATTCCTCGAGTTGCCGTGCTGAAGTTGGTGTTCCTCTAGACTTGGGACAGTGTTCTCGGGGCATCTCTGGAGTTGCCTGAAGGAAGTCGAGCCACCGGTCGTGTTGAATGGGGAACGGGGAATGGCTCTGGAGTCAATGCAGGGGAATCGGGCCTCATCTCGAGTTGATTTAGGGCCCATGGAGCTGCTTTGCGTTGCTGGGGTGACCTCAGGCTCCGTCGAGACTGGTGACAGTGTTCTTGGGGACTGTCTCGAGAACCATTAAGCAAGTCGAAGCTCCTGACTTGCTTGAATGGGACCACGGAATAGCTCTGCATGCACTGCAGGGGAATGGGGCCTCATCTCGCCTCTAGGGGGAAGTCTCATGGTTTTTCTCGAGTTGCGGCGGGGACCTGGGGTATGTTCTCGACTTACGGCGGGGATGGCCCTTCAAAACACGAGTTTCTTCAGTGACGTCAGGACTCCTGTCTAGTAACGAGGGACACCTCAGGAATCTCTTCGAGGCTTGTCAGGGCAAAAGGGACGCTTCTCGAGGTGAGGCAGGGCACCCAAGGACCCTTTCCAGTAGCCACAGGGATTTTGGGATTCCTATCAGTATTCAAGAGGAGTGAGGCATTGTCACCTTTTGAAGCAATGAACTTTGCGTGCCTCTTGAGGTGTCAACGGGATGTGAGGCATTCCGTCCAAATGAGGCAGGGACCTAGGGCTTTCTCTAAGGTCTCCACAGGGGATTCAGACATCCCTTCATGTTGTGAGATCAAAGACGAGCCTGTATTCAAGCCACTGCAAGGAAATCCGGCCTCCTTTCAAGTTAGGGCTTCTCGCTGTATATTGCCCTTGAGGCAGAGAACTCGGGGTCCCTCCCACATACTTATTGCTGAGAGAAGCCTCCTCCTGAGGTGCTTCTGGGAAGTTGGCATACGTCTTGAGCCTAAACCAGGGAATCACCTCTCATCTCGAGACGATTTGGGGTACACGGAGCATTCCTCGAGTTGCCGTGCTGAAGTTGGTGTTCCTCTAGACTTGGGAGAGTGTTCTCGGGGCATCTCTGGAGTTGCCTGAAGGAAGTCGAGCCACCGGTCGTGTTGAATGGGGAACGAGGAATGGCTCTGGAGTCAATGCAGGGGAATCGGGCCTCATCTCGAGTTGATTTGGGGCCCATGGAGCTGCTTTGCGTTGCTGTGGTGACGTCAGGGTCCGTCGAGACTGGTGACAGTGTTCTTGGGGACTGTCTCGAGAACAATTAAGCAAGTCGAAGATCCTGACTTGCTTGAATGGGACCACGGAATAGCTCTGCTTGCACTGCAGGGGAATGGGACCTCATCTCGCCTCTAGGGGGAAGTCTCATGGATTTTCTCGAGTTGCGGCGGGGACCTGGGGTATGTTCTCGACGTACGGCGGGGATGGCCCTTCAAAACACGAGTTTCTTCAGTGACGTCAGGACTCCTGTCTAGTAACGAGGGACACCTCAGGAATCTCTTCGAGGCTTGGCAGGGCAAAAGGGACGCTTCTCGAGGTGAGGCAGGGCACCCAAGGACCCTTTCCAGTAGCCACAGGGATTTTGGGATTCCTATCAGTATTCAAGAGGAGTGAGGCATTGTCACCTTTTGAAGCAATGAACTTCGCGTGCCTCTTGAGGTGTCAACGGGATGTGAGGCATTCCGTCAAAATGAGGCAGGTAACTAGGGCTTTCTCTAAGGTCTCCACAGGGGATTCAGACATCCCTTCATGTTGTGAGATGAAAGACGAGCCTGTATTCAGGCCACTGCAAGGAAATCCGGCCTCCTTTCAAGTTAGGGCTTCTCGCTGTATATTGCCCTTGAGGCAGCGAACTCGGGGTCCTTCCCACATACCTATTGCTGAGAGAAGCCTCCTCCTGAGGTGCGTCTGGAAAGTTGGCATACGTATTGAGCCTAAGCCAGGGAATCACCTCTCATCTCGAGACGATTTGGGGTACACGGAGCATTCCTCGAGTTGCTGTGCTGAATTTGGTGTTCCTCTAGACTTGGGACAATGTTCTCGGGGTATCTCTGGAGTTGCATGAAGGAAGTCGAGCCACCGGTCGTGTTGAATGGGGAACTGGGAATGGCTCTGGAGTCAATGCAGGGGAATCGGGCCTCATCTCGAGTTGATTTGGGGCCCACGGTGCTGCTTTGCGTTGCTGGGGTGACCTCAGGGTCCGTCGAGACTGAAGACAGTGTTCTTGGGGACTGTGTCGAGAACCATTAAGCAAGTCGAAGCTCCTGACTTGCTTGAATGGGACCACGGAATAGCTCTGCATGCACTGCAGGGGAATGGGGCCTCATCTCGCCTCTAGGGGGAAGTCTCATGGTTTTTCTCGAGTTGCAGCGGGGACCTGTTGTATGTTCTTGACTTACGGCGTTGATGGCCCTTCAAAACACGAGTTTCTTCAGTGACGTCAGGACTCCTGTCTAGTAACGCGGGACACCTCAGGAATTTCTTCGAGGCTTGGCAGGGCAAAAGGGACGCTTCCCGAGGTGTGGCAGGGCACCCAAGGACCCTTTCCAGTAGCCACAGGGATTTTGGTATTCCTATCAGTATTCAAGAGGAGTGAGGCATTGTCACCTTTTGAAGCAATGAACTCCGCGTGCCTCTCGAGGTGTCAACGGGATGTGAGGCATTCCATCCAAATGAGGCAGGGACCTAGGGCTTTCTCTAAGGTCTCCACAGGGGATTCAGACATCCCTTCATGTTGTGAGAAGAAAGACGAGCCTGTATTCAAGCCACTGCAAGGAAATCCGGCCTCCTTTCCAGTTAGGGCTTCTCGCTGTATATTGCCTTTGAGGCAGCGAACTCGGGGTCCCTCCCACATACCTATTGCTGAGAGAAGCCTCCTCCTGAGGTGCGTCTTGAAAGTTGGCATACGTCTTGAGCCTAAGCCAGGGAATCACCTCTCATCTCGAGACGATTTGGGGTACACGGAGCATTCCTCGAGTTGCCTTGTTGAAGTTGGTGTTCCTCTAGACTTGGGACAGTGTTCTCGGGGCATCTCTGGAGTTGCCTGAAGGAAGTCGAGCCACCGGTCGTGTTGAATGGGGAACGGGGAATGGCTCTGGAGTCAATGCAGGGGAATCGGGCCTCATCTCGGTTGATTTGGGGCACATGGAGCTGCTTTGCGTTGCTGGGGTGACCTCAGGGTCCGTCGAGACTGGTGACAGTGTTCTTGGGGACTGTCTCGAGATCCATTAAGCAAGTCGAAGCTCCTGACTTGCTTGAATGGGACCACGGAATAGCTCTGCATGCACTGCAGGGGAATGGGGCCTCATCTCGCCTCTAGGGGGAAGTCTCATGGTTTTTCTCGAGTTGCGGCGGGGACCTGGGGTATGTTCTCGACTTACGGCGGGGATGGCCCTTCAAAACACGAGTTTCTTCAGTGACGTCAGGACTCCTGTCTAGTAACGAGGGACACCTCAGGAATCTCTTCGAGGCTTGTCAGGGCAAAAGGGACGCTTCTCGAGGTGAGGCAGGGCACCCAAGGACCCTTTCCAGTAGCCACAGGGATTTTGGGATTCCTATCAGTATTCAAGAGGAGTGAGGCATTGTCACCTTTTGAAGCAATGAACTTTGCGTGCCTCTTGAGGTGTCAACGGGATGTGAGGCATTCCGTCCAAATGAGGCAGGGACCTAGGGCTTTCTCTAAGGTCTCCACAGGGGATTCAGACATCCCTTCATGTTGTGAGATCAAAGACGAGCCTGTATTCAAGCCACTGCAAGGAAATCCGGCCTCCTTTCAAGTTAGGGCTTCTCGCTGTATATTGCCCTTGAGGCAGAGAACTCGGGGTCCCTCCCACATACTTATTGCTGAGAGAAGCCTCCTCCTGAGGTGCTTCTGGGAAGTTGGCATACGTCTTGAGCCTAAACCAGGGAATCACCTCTCATCTCGAGACGATTTGGGGTACACGGAGCATTCCTCGAGTTGCCGTGCTGAAGTTGGTGTTCCTCTAGACTTGGGACAGTGTTCTCGGGGCATCTCTGGAGTTGCCTGAAGGAAGTCGAGCCACCGGTCGTGTTGAATGGGGAACGGGGAATGGCTCTGGAGTCAATGCAGGGGAATCGGGCCTCATCTCGAGTTGATTTGGGGCCCATGGAGCTGCTTTGCGTTGCTGTGGTGACGTCAGGGTCCGTCGAGACTGGTGACAGTGTTCTTGGGGACTGTCTCGAGAACAATTAAGCAAGTCGAAGATCCTGACTTGCTTGAATGGGACCACGGAATAGCTCTGCTTGCACTGCAGGGGAATGGGGCCTCATCTCGCCTCTAGGGGGAAGTCTCATGGATTTTCTCGAGTTGCGGCGGGGACCTGGGGTATGTTCTCGACTTACGGCGGGGATGGCCCTTCAAAACACGAGTTTCTTCAGTGACGTCAGGACTCCTGTCTAGTAACGAGGGACACCTCAGGAATCTCTTCGAGGCTTGGCAGGGCAAAAGGGACACTTCTCGAGGTGAGGCAGGGCACCCAAGGACCCTTTCCAGTAGCCACAGGGATTTTGGGATTCCTATCAGTATTCAAGAGGAGTGAGGCATTGTCACCTTTTGAAGCAATGAACTTCGCGTGCCTCTTGAGGTGTCAACGGGATGTGAGGCATTCCGTCAAAATGAGGCAGGTAACTAGGGCTTTCTCTAAGGTCTCCACAGGGGATTCAGACATCCCTTCATGTTGTGAGATGAAAGACGAGCCTGTATTCAGGCCACTGCAAGGAAATCCGGCCTCCTTTCAAGTTAGGGCTTCTCGCTGTATATTGCCCTTGAGGCAGCGAACTCGGGGTCCTTCCCACATACCTATTGCTGAGAGAAGCCTCCTCCTGAGGTGCGTCTGGAAAGTTGGCATACGTATTGAGCCTAAGCCAGGGAATCACCTCTCATCTCGAGACGATTTGGGGTACACGGAGCATTCCTCGAGTTGCTGTGCTGAATTTGGTGTTCCTCTAGACTTGGGACAATGTTCTCGGGGTATCTCTGGAGTTGCATGAAGGAAGTCGAGCCACCGGTCGTGTTGAATGGGGAACTGGGAATGGCTCTGGAGTCAATGCAGGGGAATCGGGCCTCATCTCGAGTTGATTTGGGGCCCACGGTGCTGCTTTGCGTTGCTGGGGTGACCTCAGGGTCCGTCGAGACTGAAGACAGTGTTCTTGGGGACTGTGTCGAGAACCATTAAGCAAGTCGAAGCTCCTGACTTGCTTGAATGGGACCACGGAATAGCTCTGCATGCACTGCAGGGGAATGGGGCCTCATCTCGCCTCTAGGGGGAAGTCTCATGGTTTTTCTCGAGTTGCAGCGGGGACCTGTTGTATGTTCTTGACTTACGGCGTTGATGGCCCTTCAAAACACGAGTTTCTTCAGTGACGTCAGGACTCCTGTCTAGTAACGCGGGACACCTCAGGAATTTCTTCGAGGCTTGGCAGGGCAAAAGGGACGCTTCCCGAGGTGTGGCAGGGCACCCAAGGACCCTTTCCAGTAGCCACAGGGATTTTGGTATTCCTATCAGTATTCAAGAGGAGTGAGGCATTGTCACCTTTTGAAGCAATGAACTCCGCGTGCCTGTCGAGGTGTCAACGGGATGTGAGGCATTCCATCCAAATGAGGCAGGGACCTAGGGCTTTCTCTAAGGTCTCCACAGGGGATTCAGACATCCCTTCATGTTGTGAGAAGAAAGACGAGCCTGTATTCAAGCCACTGCAAGGAAATCCGGCCTCCTTTCCAGTTAGGGCTTCTCGCTGTATATTGCCTTTGAGGCAGCGAACTCGGGGTCCCTCCCACATACCTATTGCTGAGAGAAGCCTCCTCCTGAGGTGCGTCTTGAAAGTTGGCATACGTCTTGAGCCTAAGCCAGGGAATCACCTCTCATCTCGAGACGATTTGGGGTACACGGAGCATTCCTCGAGTTGCCTTGTTGAAGTTGGTGTTCCTCTAGACTTGGGACAGTGTTCTCGGGGCATCTCTGGAGTTGCCTGAAGGAAGTCGAGCCACCGGTCGTGTTGAATGGGGAACGGGGAATGGCTCTGGAGTCAATGCAGGGGAATCGGGCCTCATCTCGGTTGATTTGGGGCACATGGAGCTGCTTTGCGTTGCTGGGGTGACCTCAGGGTCCGTCGAGACTGGTGACAGTGTTCTTGGGGACTGTCTCGAGATCCATTAAGCAAGTCGAAGCTCCTGACTTGCTTGAATGGGACCACGGAATAGCTCTGCATGCACTGCAGGGGAATGGGGTCTCATCTCGCCTCTAGGGGGAAGTCTCATGGTTTTTCTCGAGTTGCGGCGGGGACCTGGGGTATGTTCTCGACTTACGGCGGGGATGGCCCTTCAAAACACGAGTTTCTTCAGTGACGTCAGGAATCCTGTCTAGTAACGAGGGACACCTCAGGAATCTCTTCGAGGCTTGGCAGGGCAAAAGGGACGCTTCTCGAGGTGAAGCAGTGCACCCAAGGACCCTTTCCAGTAGCCACAGGGATTTTGGGATTCCTATCAGTATTCAAGAGGAGTCAGGCATCTTCACCTTTTGAAGCAATGAACTCTGCGTGCCTCTCGAGGTGTCAACGGGTTGTGAGGAATTCCGTCCAAATGAGGCAGGGACCTAGGGCTTTCTCTAAGGTCTCCACAGGGGATTCAGACATCCCTTCATGTTGTGAGATCAAAGACGAGCCTGTATTCAAGCCACTGCAAGGAAATCCGGCCTGCTTTCAAGTTAGGGCTTCTGGCTTTATATTGCCCTTGAGGAAGCGAACTCGGGGTCCCTCCCACATACCTATTGCTGAGAGAAGCCTCCTCCTGAGGTGCGTCTTGAAAGTTGGCATACGTCTTGAGCCTAAGCCAGGGAATCAGCTCTCATCTCGAGACGATTTGGGGTACACGGAGCATTCCTCGAGTTGCTGTGCTGAAGTTGGTGTTCCTCTAGACTTGGGTCAGTGTTCTCGGGATATCTCTGGAGTTGCCTGAAGGAAGTCGAGCCACCGGTCGTGTTGAATGGGGAACGGGGAATGGCTCTGGATTCAATGCAGGGGAATCGGGCCTCATCTCGAGTTGATTTGGGGCACATGGAGCTGCTTTGCGTTGCTGGGGTGACCTCAGCGTCCGTCGAGACTGGTGACAGTGTTCTTGGGGACTGTCTCGAGATCCATTAAGCAAGTCGAAGCTCCTGACTTGTTTGAATGGGACCACGGAATAGCTCTACATGCACTGCAGGGGAATGGGGCCTCATCTCGCCTCTTGGGGGAAGTCTCATGGTTTTTCTCGAGTTGCGGCGGGGACCTGGGGTATGTTCTCGACTTACGGCGGGGATGGCCCTTCAAAACACGAGTTTCTTCAGTGACGTCAGGACTCCTGTCTAGTAACGAGGGACACCTCAGGAATCACATCGAGGCTTGGCAGTGCAAATGGGACGCTTCTTGAGGTGAGGCAGGGCACCCAAGGACCCTTTCCAGTAGCCACAGGGATTTTGGAATTCCTATCAGAATTCAAGAGGAGTCAGGCATCTTCACCTTTTGAAGCAATGAACTCCGCGTGCCTCTCGAGGAGTCAACGTGATGTGAGGCATTCCGTCCAAATGAGGCAGGGATCTAGGGCTTTCTCTAAGGTCTCCACAGGGGATTCAGACATCCCTTCATGTTGTGAGATCAAAGACGAGCCTGTATTCAAGCCACTGCAAGGAAATCCGGCCTCCTTTCAAGTTAGGGCTTCTCGCTGTATATTGCCCTTTAGGCAGCGAACTGGGGGTCCCTTCCACATACCTATTGCTGAGAGAAGCCTCCTCCTGAGGTGCGTCTTGAAAGTTGGCATACGACTTGAGCCTAAGCCAGGGAATCACCTCTCATCTCGAGACGATTTGGGGTACACAGAGCATTCCTCGAGTTGCCGTGCTGAAGTTGGTGTTCCTCTAGACTTGGGACAGTGTTCTCGGGGCATCTCTGGAGTTGCCTGAAGGAAGTCGAGCCACCGGTCGTGTTGAATGGGGAACGGGGAATGGCTCTGGAGTCAATGCAGGGGAATCGGGCCTCATCTCGAGTTGATTTGGGGCCCATGGAGCTGCTTTGCGTTGCTGGGGTGACCTCAGGGTCCATCGAGACTGGTGACAGTGTTCTTGGGGACTGTCTCGAGAACCATTAAGCAAGTCGAAGCTCCTGACTTGCTTGAATGGGACCACGGAATAGCTCTGCATGCACTGCAGGGGAATGGGGCCTCATCTCGCCTCTAGGGGGAAGTCTCATGGTTTTTCTCGAGTTGCGGCGGGGACCTGGGGTATGTTCTCGACTTACGGCGGGGATGGCCCTTCAAAACACGAGTTTCTTCAGTGACGTCAGGACTCCTGTCTAGTAACGAGGGACACCTCAGGAATCTCTTCGAGGCTTGGCAGGGCAAAAGGGACGATTCTCGAGGTGAGGCAGGGCACCCAAGGACCCTTTCCAGTAGCCAAAGGGATTTTGGGATTCCTATCAGTATTCAAGAGGAGTGAGGCATTGTCACCTTTTGAAGCAATGAACTTCGCGTGCCTCTTAAGGTGTTAACGGGATGTGAGGCATTCCGTCAAAATGAGGCAGGGACCTAGGGCTTTCTCTAAGGTCTCCACAGGGGATTCAGACATCCCTTCATGTTGTGAGATGAAAGACGAGCCTGTATTCAAGCCACTGCAAGGAAATCCGGCCTCCTTTCAAGTTAGGGCTTCTCGCTGTATATTGCCCTTGAGGCAGCGAACTCGGGGTCCCTCCCACATACCTATTGCTGAGAGAAGCCTCCTCCTGAGGTGCGTCTGGAAAGTTGGCATACGTCTTGAGCCTAAGCCAGGGAATCAGCTCTCATCTCGAGACGATTTGGGGTACACGGAGCATTCCTCGCGTTGCTGTGCTGAAGTTGGTGTTCCTCTAGACTTGGGACAATGTTCTTGGGGTATCTCTGGAGTTGCCTGAAGTTAGTCGAGCCACCGGTCGTGTTGAATGGGGAACGGGGAATGGCTCTGGAGTCAATGCAGGGGAATCGGGCCTCATCTCGAGTTGATTTGAGGCACATGGAGCTGCTTTGCGTTGCTGGGGTGACCTCAGCGTCCGTCGAGACTGGTGACAGTGTTCTTGGGGACTGTCTCGAGATCCATTAAGCAAGTCGAAGCTCCTGACTTGTTTGAATGGGACCACGGAATAGCTCTGCATGCACTGCAGGGGAATGGGGCCTCATCTCGCCTCTAGGGGGAAGTCTCATGGTTTTTCTCGAGTTGCGGCGGGGACCTGGGGTATATTCTCGACTTACGGCGGGGATGGCCCTTCAAAACACGAGTTTCTTCAGTGACGTCACGACTCCTGTCTAGTAACGAGGGACACCTCAGGAATCTCATCAAGGCTTGGCAGTGCAAATGGGACGCTTCTTGAGGTGAGGCAGGGCACCCAAGGACCCTTTCCAGTAGCCACAGGGATTTTGGGATTAGTATCAGAATTCAAGAGGAGTCTGGCATCGTCACCTTTTGAAGCAATGAACTCCGCGTGCCTCTCGAAGTGTCAACGGGATGTGAGGCATTCCGTCCAAATGAGGCAGGGACCTAGGGCTTTCTCTAAGGTCTCCACAGGGGATTCAGACATCCCTTCATGTTGTGAGATCAAAGACGAGCCTGTATTCAAGCCACTGCAAGGAAATCCGGCCTCCTTTCAAGTTAGGGCTTCTCGCTGTATTTTGCCCTTGAGTCAGCGAACTCCGGGTCCCTCCCACATACCTATTGCTGAGAGAAGCCTCCTCCTGAGGTGCGTCTTGGAAGTTGGCATACGTCTTGAGCCTAAGCCAGGGAATCACCTCTCATCTCGAGACGATTTGGGGTACACGGAGCATTCCTCGAGTTGCCGTGCTGAAGTTGGTGTTCCTCTAGACTTGGGACAGTGTTCTCGGGGCATCTCTGGAGTTGCCTGAAGGAAGTCAAGCCACCGGTCGTGTTGAATGGGGAACCGGGAATGGCTCTGGAGTCAATGCAGTGGAATCGGGCCTCATCTCGAGTTGATTTGGGGCCCATGGAGCTGCTTTGCGTTGCTTGGGTGACCTCAGGGTCCGTCGAGACTGGTGACAGTGTTCTTGGGGACTCTCTCGAGAATCATTAAGCAAGTCGAAGCTCCTGACTTGCTTGAATGGGACCACGGAATAGCTCTGCATGCACTGCAGGGGAATGGGGCCTCATCTCGCCTCTAGGGGGAAGTCTCATGGTTTTTCTCGAGTTGCGGCGGGGACCTGGGGTATGTTCTCGACTTACGGCGGGGATGGCCCTTCAAAACACGAGTTTCTTCAGTGACGTCAGGACTCCTGTCTAGTAACGAGGGACACCTCAGGAATCTCTTCGAGGCTTGTCAGGGCAAAAGGGACGCTTCTCGAGGTGAGGCAGGGCACCCAAGGACCCTTTCCAGTAGCCACAGGGATTTTGGGATTCCTATCAGTATTCAAGAGGAGTGAGGCATTGTCACCTTTTGAAGCAATGAACTTTGCGTGCCTCTTGAGGTGTCAACGGGATGTGAGGCATTCCGTCCAAATGAGGCAGGGACCTAGGGCTTTCTCTAAGGTCTCCACAGGGGATTCAGACATCCCTTCATGTTGTGAGATCAAAGACGAGCCTGTATTCAAGCCACTGCAAGGAAATCCGGCCTCCTTTCAAGTTAGGGCTTCTCGCTGTATATTGCCCTTGAGGCAGAGAACTCGGGGTCCCTCCCACATACTTATTGCTGAGAGAAGCCTCCTCCTGAGGTGCTTCTGGGAAGTTGGCATACGTCTTGAGCCTAAACCAGGGAATCACCTCTCATCTCGAGACGATTTGGGGTACACGGAGCATTCCTCGAGTTGCCGTGCTGAAGTTGGTGTTCCTCTAGACTTGGGACAGTGTTCTCGGGGCATCTCTGGAGTTGCCTGAAGGAAGTCGAGCCACCGGTCGTGTTGAATGGGGAACGAGGAATGGCTCTGGAGTCAATGCAGGGGAATCGGGCCTCATCTCGAGTTGATTTGGGGCCCATGGAGCTGATTTGCGTTGCTGTGGTGACGTCAGGGTCCGTCGAGACTGGTGACAGTGTTCTTGGGGACTGTCTCGAGAACAATTAAGCAAGTCGAAGATCCTGACTTGCTTGAATGGGACCACGGAATAGCTCTGCTTGCACTGCAGGGGAATGGGACCTCATCTCGCCTCTAGGGGGAAGTCTCATGGATTTTCTCGAGTTGCGGCGGGGACCTGGGGTATGTTCTCGACGTACGGCGGGGATGGCCCTTCAAAACACGAGTTTCTTCAGTGACGTCAGGACTCCTGTCTAGTAACGAGGGACACCTCAGGAATCTCTTCGAGGCTTGTCAGGGCAAAAGGGACGCTTCTCGAGGTGAGGCAGGGCACCCAAGGACCCTTTCCAGTAGCCACAGGGATTTTGGGATTCCTATCAGTATTCAAGAGGAGTGAGGCATTGTCACCTTTTGAAGCAATGAACTTCGCGTGCCTCTTGAGGTGTCAACGGGATGTGAGGCATTCCGTCAAAATGAGGCAGGTAACTAGGGCTTTCTCTAAGGTCTCCACAGGGGATTCAGACATCCCTTCATGTTGTGAGATGAAAGACGAGCCTGTATTCAGGCCACTGCAAGGAAATCCGGCCTCCTTTCAAGTTAGGGCTTCTCGCTGTATATTGCCCTTGAGGCAGCGAACTCGGGGTCCTTCCCACATACCTATTGCTGAGAGAAGCCTCCTCCTGAGGTGCGTCTGGAAAGTTGGCATACGTATTGAGCCTAAGCCAGGGAATCACCTCTCATCTCGAGACGATTTGGGGTACACGGAGCATTCCTCGAGTTGCTGTGCTGAATTTGGTGTTCCTCTAGACTTGGGACAATGTTCTCGGGGTATCTCTGGAGTTGCATGAAGGAAGTCGAGCCACCGGTCGTGTTGAATGGGGAACTGGGAATGGCTCTGGAGTCAATGCAGGGGAATCGCGCCTCATCTCGAGTTGATTTGGGGCCCACGGTGCTGCTTTGCGTTGCTGGGGTGACCTCAGGGTCCGTCGAGACTGAAGACAGTGTTCTTGGGGACTGTGTCGAGAACCATTAAGCAAGTCGAAGCTCCTGACTTGCTTGAATGGGACCACGGAATAGCTCTGCATGCACTGCAGGGGAATGGGGCCTCATCTCGCCTCTAGGGGGAAGTCTCATGGTTTTTCTCGAGTTGCAGCGGGGACCTGTTGTATGTTCTTGACTTACGGCGTTGATGGCCCTTCAAAACACGAGTTTCTTCAGTGACGTCAGGACTCCTGTCTAGTAACGCGGGACACCTCAGGAATTTCTTCGAGGCTTGGCAGGGCAAAAGGGACGCTTCCCGAGGTGTGGCAGGGCACCCAAGGACCCTTTCCAGTAGCCACAGGGATTTTGGTATTCCTATCAGTATTCAAGAGGAGTGAGGCATTGTCACCTTTTGAAGCAATGAACTCCGCGTGCCTCTCGAGGTGTCAACGGGATGTGAGGCATTCCATCCAAATGAGGCAGGGACCTAGGGCTTTCTCTAAGGTCTCCACAGGGGATTCAGACATCCCTTCATGTTGTGAGAAGAAAGACGAGCCTGTATTCAAGCCACTGCAAGGAAATCCGGCCTCCTTTCCAGTTAGGGCTTCTCGCTGTATATTGCCTTTGAGGCAGCGAACTCGGGGTCCCTCCCACATACCTATTGCTGAGAGAAGCCTCCTCCTGAGGTGCGTCTTGAAAGTTGGCATACGTCTTGAGCCTAAGCCAGGGAATCACCTCTCATCTCGAGACGATTTGGGGTACACGGAGCATTCCTCGAGTTGCCTTGTTGAAGTTGGTGTTCCTCTAGACTTGGGACAGTGTTCTCGGGGCATCTCTGGAGTTGCCTGAAGGAAGTCGAGCCACCGGTCGTGTTGAATGGGGAACGGGGAATGGCTCTGGAGTCAATGCAGGGGAATCGGGCCTCATCTCGGTTGATTTGGGGCACATGGAGCTGCTTTGCGTTGCTGGGGTGACCTCAGGGTCCGTCGAGACTGGTGACAGTGTTCTTGGGGACTGTCTCGAGATCCATTAAGCAAGTCGAAGCTCCTGACTTGCTTGAATGGGACCACGGAATAGCTCTGCATGCACTGCAGGGGAATGGGGCCTCATCTCGCCTCTAGGGGGAAGTCTCATGGTTTTTCTCGAGTTGCGGCGGGGACCTGGGGTATGTTCTCGACTTACGGCGGGGATGGCCCTTCAAAACACGAGTTTCTTCAGTGACGTCAGGACTCCTGTCTAGTAACGAGGGACACCTCAGGAATCTCTTCGAGGCTTGTCAGGGCAAAAGGGACGCTTCTCGAGGTGAGGCAGGGCACCCAAGGACCCTTTCCAGTAGCCACAGGGATTTTGGGATTCCTATCAGTATTCAAGAGGAGTGAGGCATTGTCACCTTTTGAAGCAATGAACTTTGCGTGCCTCTTGAGGTGTCAACGGGATGTGAGGCATTCCGTCCAAATGAGGCAGGGACCTAGGGCTTTCTCTAAGGTCTCCACAGGGGATTCAGACATCCCTTCATGTTGTGAGATCAAAGACGAGCCTGTATTCAAGCCACTGCAAGGAAATCCGGCCTCCTTTCAAGTTAGGGCTTCTCGCTGTATATTGCCCTTGAGGCAGAGAACTCGGGGTCCCTCCCACATACTTATTGCTGAGAGAAGCCTCCTCCTGAGGTGCTTCTGGGAAGTTGGCATACGTCTTGAGCCTAAACCAGGGAATCACCTCTCATCTCGAGACGATTTGGGGTACACGGAGCATTCCTCGAGTTGCCGTGCTGAAGTTGGTGTTCCTCTAGACTTGGGACAGTGTTCTCGGGGCATCTCTGGAGTTGCCTGAAGGAAGTCGAGCCACCGGTCGTGTTGAATGGGGAACGGGGAATGGCTCTGGAGTCAATGCAGGGGAATCGGGCCTCATCTCGAGTTGATTTGGGGCCCATGGAGCTGCTTTGCGTTGCTGTGGTGACGTCAGGGTCCGTCGAGACTGGTGACAGTGTTCTTGGGGACTGTCTCGAGAACAATTAAGCAAGTCGAAGATCCTGACTTGCTTGAATGGGACCACGGAATAGCTCTGCTTGCACTGCAGGGGAATGGGACCTCATCTCGCCTCTAGGGGGAAGTCTCATGGATTTTCTCGAGTTGCGGCGGGGACCTGGGGTATGTTCTCGACTTACGGCGGGGATGGCCCTTCAAAACACGAGTTTCTTCAGTGACGTCAGGACTCCTGTCTAGTAACGAGGGACACCTCAGGAATCTCTTCGAGGCTTGGCAGGGCAAAAGGGACGCTTCTCGAGGTGAGGCAGGGCACCCAAGGACCCTTTCCAGTAGCCACAGGGATTTTGGGATTCCTATCAGTATTCAAGAGGAGTGAGGCATTGTCACCTTTTGAAGCAATGAACTTCGCGTGCCTCTTGAGGTGTCAACGGGATGTGAGGCATTCCGTCAAAATGAGGCAGGTAACTAGGGCTTTCTCTAAGGTCTCCACAGGGGATTCAGACATCCCTTCATGTTGTGAGATGAAAGACGAGCCTGTATTCAGGCCACTGCAAGGAAATCCGGCCTCCTTTCAAGTTAGGGCTTCTCGCTGTATATTGCCCTTGAGGCAGCGAACTCGGGGTCCTTCCCACATACCTATTGCTGAGAGAAGCCTCCTCCTGAGGTGCGTCTGGAAAGTTGGCATACGTATTGAGCCTAAGCCAGGGAATCACCTCTCATCTCGAGACGATTTGGGGTACACGGAGCATTCCTCGAGTTGCTGTGCTGAATTTGGTGTTCCTCTAGACTTGGGACAATGTTCTCGGGGTATCTCTGGAGTTGCATGAAGGAAGTCGAGCCACCGGTCGTGTTGAATGGGGAACTGGGAATGGCTCTGGAGTCAATGCAGGGGAATCGGGCCTCATCTCGAGTTGATTTGGGGCCCACGGTGCTGCTTTGCGTTGCTGGGGTGACCTCAGGGTCCGTCGAGACTGAAGACAGTGTTCTTGGGGACTGTGTCGAGAACCATTAAGCAAGTCGAAGCTCCTGACTTGCTTGAATGGGACCACGGAATAGCTCTGCATGCACTGCAGGGGAATGGGGCCTCATCTCGCCTCTAGGGGGAAGTCTCATGGTTTTTCTCGAGTTGCAGCGGGGACCTGTTGTATGTTCTTGACTTACGGCGTTGATGGCCCTTCAAAACACGAGTTTCTTCAGTGACGTCAGGACTCCTGTCTAGTAACGCGGGACACCTCAGGAATTTCTTCGAGGCTTGGCAGGGCAAAAGGGACGCTTCCCGAGGTGTGGCAGGGCACCCAAGGACCCTTTCCAGTAGCCACAGGGATTTTGGTATTCCTATCAGTATTCAAGAGGAGTGAGGCATTGTCACCTTTTGAAGCAATGAACTCCGCGTGCCTCTCGAGGTGTCAACGGGATGTGAGGCATTCCATCCAAATGAGGCAGGGACCTAGGGCTTTCTCTAAGGTCTCCACAGGGGATTCAGACATCCCTTCATGTTGTGAGAAGAAAGACGAGCCTGTATTCAAGCCACTGCAAGGAAATCCGGCCTCCTTTCCAGTTAGGGCTTCTCGCTGTATATTGCCTTTGAGGCAGCGAACTCGGGGTCCCTCCCACATACCTATTGCTGAGAGAAGCCTCCTCCTGAGGTGCGTCTTGAAAGTTGGCATACGTCTTGAGCCTAAGCCAGGGAATCACCTCTCATCTCGAGACGATTTGGGGTACACGGAGCATTCCTCGAGTTGCCTTGTTGAAGTTGGTGTTCCTCTAGACTTGGGACAGTGTTCTCGGGGCATCTCTGGAGTTGCCTGAAGGAAGTCGAGCCACCGGTCGTGTTGAATGGGGAACGGGGAATGGCTCTGGAGTCAATGCAGGGGAATCGGGCCTCATCTCGGTTGATTTGGGGCACATGGAGCTGCTTTGCGTTGCTGGGGTGACCTCAGGGTCCGTCGAGACTGGTGACAGTGTTCTTGGGGACTGTCTCGAGATCCATTAAGCAAGTCGAAGCTCCTGACTTGCTTGAATGGGACCACGGAATAGCTCTGCATGCACTGCAGGGGAATGGGGTCTCATCTCGCCTCTAGGGGGAAGTCTCATGGTTTTTCTCGAGTTGCGGCGGGGACCTGGGGTATGTTCTCGACTTACGGCGGGGATGGCCCTTCAAAACACGAGTTTCTTCAGTGACGTCAGGAATCCTGTCTAGTAACGAGGGACACCTCAGGAATCTCTTCGAGGCTTGGCAGGGCAAAAGGGACGCTTCTCGAGGTGAAGCAGGGCACCCAAGGACCCTTTCCAGTAGCCACAGGGATTTTGGGATTCCTATCAGAATTCAAGAGGAGTCAGGCATCTTCACCTTTTGAAGCAATGAACTCTGCGTGCCTCTCGAGGTGTCAACGGGTTGTGAGGAATTCCGTCCAAATGAGGCAGGGACCTAGGGCTTTCTCTAAGGTCTCCACAGGGGATTCAGACATCCCTTCATGTTGTGAGATCAAAGACGAGCCTGTATTCAAGCCACTGCAAGGAAATCCGGCCTGCTTTCAAGTTAGGGCTTCTGGCTTTATATTGCCCTTGAGGAAGCGAACTCGGGGTCCCTCCCACATACCTATTGCTGAGAGAAGCCTCCTCCTGAGGTGCGTCTTGAAAGTTGGCATACGTCTTGAGCCTAAGCCAGGGAATCAGCTCTCATCTCGAGACGATTTGGGGTACACGGAGCATTCCTCGAGTTGCTGTGCTGAAGTTGGTGTTCCTCTAGACTTGGGTCAGTGTTCTCGGGATATCTCTGGAGTTGCCTGAAGGAAGTCGAGCCACCGGTCGTGTTGAATGGGGAACGGGGAATGGCTCTGGATTCAATGCAGGGGAATCGGGCCTCATCTCGAGTTGATTTGGGGCACATGGAGCTGCTTTGCGTTGCTGGGGTGACCTCAGCGTCCGTCGAGACTGGTGACAGTGTTCTTGGGGACTGTCTCGAGATCCATTAAGCAAGTCGAAGCTCCTGACTTGTTTGAATGGGACCACGGAATAGCTCTACATGCACTGCAGGGGAATGGGGCCTCATCTCGCCTCTTGGGGGAAGTCTCATGGTTTTTCTCGAGTTGCGGCGGGGACCTGGGGTATGTTCTCGACTTACGGCGGGGATGGCCCTTCAAAACACGAGTTTCTTCAGTGACGTCAGGACTCCTGTCTAGTAACGAGGGACACCTCAGGAATCACATCGAGGCTTGGCAGTGCAAATGGGACGCTTCTTGAGGTGAGGCAGGGCACCCAAGGACCCTTTCCAGTAGCCACAGGGATTTTGGAATTCCTATCAGAATTCAAGAGGAGTCAGGCATCTTCACCTTTTGAAGCAATGAACTCCGCGTGCCTCTCGAGGAGTCAACGTGATGTGAGGCATTCCGTCCAAATGAGGCAGGGATCTAGGGCTTTCTCTAAGGTCTCCACAGGGGATTCAGACATCCCTTCATGTTGTGAGATCAAAGACGAGCCTGTATTCAAGCCACTGCAAGGAAATCCGGCCTCCTTTCAAGTTAGGGCTTCTCGCTGTATATTGCCCTTTAGGCAGCGAACTGGGGGTCCCTTCCACATACCTATTGCTGAGAGAAGCCTCCTCCTGAGGTGCGTCTTGAAAGTTGGCATACGTCTTGAGCCTAAGCCAGGGAATCACCTCTCATCTCGAGACGATTTGGGGTACACAGAGCATTCCTCGAGTTGCCGTGCTGAAGTTGGTGTTCCTCTAGACTTGGGACAGTGTTCTCGGGGCATCTCTGGAGTTGCCTGAAGGAAGTCGAGCCACCGGTCGTGTTGAATGGGGAACGGGGAATGGCTCTGGAGTCAATGCAGGGGAATCGGGCCTCATCTCGAGTTGATTTGGGGCCCATGGAGCTGCTTTGCGTTGCTGGGGTGACCTCAGGGTCCATCGAGACTGGTGACAGTGTTCTTGGGGACTGTCTCGAGAACCATTAAGCAAGTCGAAGCTCCTGACTTGCTTGAATGGGACCACGGAATAGCTCTGCATGCACTGCAGGGGAATGGGGCCTCATCTCGCCTCTAGGGGGAAGTCTCATGGTTTTTCTCGAGTTGCGGCGGGGACCTGGGGTATGTTCTCGACTTACGGCGGGGATGGCCCTTCAAAACACGAGTTTCTTCAGTGACGTCAGGACTCCTGTCTAGTAACGAGGGACACCTCAGGAATCTCTTCGAGGCTTGGCAGGGCAAAAGGGACGATTCTCGAGGTGAGGCAGGGCACCCAAGGACCCTTTCCAGTAGCCAAAGGGATTTTGGGATTCCTATCAGTATTCAAGAGGAGTGAGGCATTGTCACCTTTTGAAGCAATGAACTTCGCGTGCCTCTTAAGGTGTTAACGGGATGTGAGGCATTCCGTCAAAATGAGGCAGGGACCTAGGGCTTTCTCTAAGGTCTCCACAGGGGATTCAGACATCCCTTCATGTTGTGAGATGAAAGACGAGCCTGTATTCAAGCCACTGCAAGGAAATCCGGCCTCCTTTCAAGTTAGGGCTTCTCGCTGTATATTGCCCTTGAGGCAGCGAACTCGGGGTCCCTCCCACATACCTATTGCTGAGAGAAGCCTCCTCCTGAGGTGCGTCTGGAAAGTTGGCATACGTCTTGAGCCTAAGCCAGGGAATCAGCTCTCATCTCGAGACGATTTGGGGTACACGGAGCATTCCTCGCGTTGCTGTGCTGAAGTTGGTGTTCCTCTAGACTTGGGACAATGTTCTTGGGGTATCTCTGGAGTTGCCTGAAGTTAGTCGAGCCACCGGTCGTGTTGAATGGGGAACGGGGAATGGCTCTGGAGTCAATGCAGGGGAATCGGGCCTCATCTCGAGTTGATTTGGGGCACATGGAGCTGCTTTGCGTTGCTGGGGTGACCTCAGCGTCCGTCGAGACTGGTGACAGTGTTCTTGGGGACTGTCTCGAGATCCATTAAGCAAGTCGAAGCTCCTGACTTGTTTGAATGGGACCACGGAATAGCTCTGCATGCACTGCAGGGGAATGGGGCCTCATCTCGCCTCTAGGGGGAAGTCTCATGGTTTTTCTCGAGTTGCGGCGGGGACCTGGGGTATATTCTCGACTTACGGCGGGGATGGCCCTTCAAAACACGAGTTTCTTCAGTGACGTCACGACTCCTGTCTAGTAACGAGGGACACCTCAGGAATCTCATCAAGGCTTGGCAGTGCAAATGGGACGCTTCTTGAGGTGAGGCAGGGCACCCAAGGACCCTTTCCAGTAGCCACAGGGATTTTGGGATTAGTATCAGAATTCAAGAGGAGTCTGGCATCGTCACCTTTTGAAGCAATGAACTCCGCGTGCCTCTCGAAGTGTCAACGGGATGTGAGGCATTCCGTCCAAATGAGGCAGGGACCTAGGGCTTTCTCTAAGGTCTCCACAGGGGATTCAGACATCCCTTCATGTTGTGAGATCAAAGACGAGCCTGTATTCAAGCCACTGCAAGGAAATCCGGCCTCCTTTCAAGTTAGGGCTTCTCGCTGTATTTTGCCCTTGAGTCAGCGAACTCCGGGTCCCTCCCACATACCTATTGCTGAGAGAAGCCTCCTCCTGAGGTGCGTCTTGGAAGTTGGCATACGTCTTGAGCCTAAGCCAGGGAATCACCTCTCATCTCGAGACGATTTGGGGTACACGGAGCATTCCTCGAGTTGCCGTGCTGAAGTTGGTGTTCCTCTAGACTTGGGACAGTGTTCTCGGGGCATCTCTGGAGTTGCCTGAAGGAAGTCAAGCCACCGGTCGTGTTGAATGGGGAACCGGGAATGGCTCTGGAGTCAATGCAGTGGAATCGGGCCTCATCTCGAGTTGATTTGGGGCCCATGGAGCTGCTTTGCGTTGCTTGGGTGACCTCAGGGTCCGTCGAGACTGGTGACAGTGTTCTTGGGGACTCTCTCGAGAATCATTAAGCAAGTCGAAGCTCCTGACTTGCTTGAATGGGACCACGGAATAGCTCTGCATGCACTGCAGGGGAATGGGGCCTCATCTCGCCTCTAGGGGGAAGTCTCATGGTTTTTCTCGAGTTGCGGCGGGGACCTGGGGTATGTTCTCGACTTACGGCGGGGATGGCCCTTCAAAACACGAGTTTCTTCAGTGACGTCAGGACTCCTGTCTAGTAACGAGGGACACCTCAGGAATCTCTTCGAGGCTTGGCAGGGCAAAAGGGACGCTTCTCGAGGTGAGGCAGGGCACCCAAGGACCCTTTCCAGTAGCCACAGGGATTTTGGGATTCCTATCAGAATTCAAGAGGAGTGAGGCATTGTCACCTTTTGAAGCAATGAACTTCGCGTGCCTCTTGAGGTGTCAACGGGATGTGAGGCATTCCGTCAAAATGAGGCAGGGACCTAGGGCTTTCTCTAAGGTCTCCACAGGGGATTCAGACATCCCTTCATGTTGTGAGATGAAAGACGAGCCTGTATTCAAGCCACTGCAAGGAAATCCGGCCTCCTTTCAAGTTAGGGCTTCTCGCTGTATATTGCCCTTGAGGCAGCGAACTCGGGGTACCTCCCACATACCTATTGCTGAGAGAAGCCTCCTCCTGAGGTGCGTCTGGAAAGTTGGCATACGTCTTGAGCCTAAGCCAGGGAATCAGCTCTCATCTCGAGACGATTTGGGGTACACGGAGCATTCCTCGAGTTGCTGTGCTGAAGTTGGTGTTCCTCTAGACTTGGGACAGTGTTCTCGGGGTATCTCTGGAGTTGCCTGAAGGAAGTCGAGCCACCGGTCGTGTTGAATGGGGAACGGGGAATGGCTCTGGAGTCAATGCAGGGGAATCGGGCCTCATCTCGAGTTGATTTGGGGCACATGGAGCTGCTTTGCGTTGCTGGGGTGACCTCAGCGTCCGTCGAGACTGGTGACAGTGTTCTTGGGGACTCTCTCGAGATCCATTAAGCAAGTCGAAGCTCCTGACTTGCTTGAATGGGACCACGGAATAGCTCTGCATGCACTGCAGGGGAATGGGGCCTCATCTCGCCTCTAGGGGGAAGTCTAATGGTTTTTCTCGAGTTGCGGCGGGGACCTGGGGTATGTTCTCGACTTACGGCGGGGATGGCCCTTCAAAACACGAGTTTCTTCAGTGACGTCAGGACTCCTGTCTAGTAACGAGGGACACCTCAGGAATCTCATCGAGGCTTGGCAGTGCAAATGGGACGCTTCTTGAGGTGAGGCAGGGCACCCAAGGACCCTTTCCAGTAGCCACAGGGATTTTGGGATTAGTATCAGAATTCAAGAGGAGTCAGGCATCGTCACCTTTTGAAGCAATGAACTCCGCGTGCCTCTCGAAGTGTCAACGGGATGTGAGGCATTCCGTCCAAATGAGGCAGGGACCTAGGGCTTTCTCTAAGGTCTCCACAGGGGATTCAGACATCCCTTCATGTTGTGAGATCAAAGACGAGCCTGTATTCAAGCCACTGCAAGGAAATCCGGCCTCCTTTCAAGTTAGGGCTTCTCGCTGTATATTGCCCTTGAGTCAGCGAACTCCGGGTCCCTCCCACATACCTATTGCTGAGAGAAGCCTCCTCCTGAGGTGCGTCTTGAAAGTTGGCATACGTATTGAGCCTAAGCCAGGGAATCACCTCTCATCTCGAGACGATTTGGGGTACACAGAGCATTCCTCGAGTTGCCGTGCTGAAGTTGGTGTTCCTCTAGACTTGGGACAGTGTTCTCGGGGCATCTCTGGAGTTGCCTGAAGGAAGTCAAGCCACCGGTCGTGTTGAATGGGGAACCGGGAATGGCTCTGGAGTCAATGAAGGGGAATCGGGCCTCATCTCGAGTTGATTTGGGGCCCATGGAGCTGCTTTGCGTTGCTTGGGTGACCTCAGGGTCCGTCGAGACTGGTGACAGTGTTCTTGGGGACTCTCTCGAGAATCATTAAGCAAGTCGAAGCTCCTGACTTGCTTGAATGGGACCACGGAATAGCTCTGCATGCACTGCAGGGGAATGGGGCCTCATCTCGCCTCTAGGGGGAAGTCTCATGGTTTTTCTCGAGTTGCGGCGGGGACCTGGGGTATGTTCTCGACTTACGGCGGGGATGGCCCTTCAAAACACGAGTTTCTTCAGTGAGGTCAGGACTCCTGTCTAGTAACGAGGGACACCGCAGGAATCTCTTCGAGGCTTGGCAGGGCAAAAGGGACGCTTCTCGAGGTGAGGCAGGGCACCCAAGGACCCTTTCCAGTAGCCACAGGGATTTTGGGATTCCTATCAGAATTCAAGAGGAGTGAGGCATTGTCACCTTTTGAAGCAATGAACTTCGCATGCCTCTTGAGGTGTCAACGGGATGTGAGGCATTCTGTCAAAATGAGGCAGGGACCTAGGGCTTTCTCTAAGGTCTCCACAGGGGATTCAGACATCCCTTCATGTTGTGAGATGAAAGACGAGCCTGTATTCAAGCCACTGCAAGGAAATCCGGCCTCCTTTCAAGTTAGGGCTTCTCGCTGTATATTGCCCTTGAGGCAGCGAACTCGGGGTACCTCCCACATACCTATTGCTGAGAGAAGCCTCCTCCTGAGGTGCGTCTGGAAAGTTGGCATACGTCTTGAGCCTAAGCCAGGGAATCAGCTTTCATCTCGAGACGATTTGGGGTACACGGAGCATTCCTCGAGTTGCTGTGCTGAAGTTGGTGTTCCTCTAGACTTGGGACAGTGTTCTCGGGGTATCTCTGGAGTTGCCTGAAGGAAGTCGAGCCACCGGTCGTGTTGAATGGGGAACGGGGAATGGCTCTGGAGTCAATGCAGGGGAATCGGGCCTCATCTCGAGTTGATTTGGGGCACATGGAGCTGCTTTGCGTTGCTGGGGTGACCTCAGCGTCCGTCGAGACTGGTGACAGTGTTCTTGGGGACTGTCTCGAGATCCATTAAGCAAGTCGAAGCTCCTGACTTGTTTGAATGGGACCACGGAATAGCTCTGCATGCACTGCAGGGGAATGGGGCCTCATCTCGCCTCTAGGGGGAAGTCTAATGGTTTTTCTCGAGTTGCGGCGGGGACCTGGGGTATGTTCTCGACTTACGGCGGGGATGGCCCTTCAAAACACGAGTTTCTTCAGTGACGTCAGGACTCCTCTCTAGTAACGAGGGACACCTCAGGAATCTCATCGAGGCTTGGCAGTGCAAATGGGACGCTTCTTGAGGTGAGGCAGGGCACCCAAGGACCCTTTCCAGTAGCCACAGGGATTTTGGGATTCCTATCAGAATTCAAGAGGAGTCAGGCATCGTCACCTTTTGAAGCAATGAACTCCGTGTGCCTCTCGAGGTGTCAACGGGATGTGAGGCATTCCGTCAAAATGAGGCAGGGACCTAGGGCTTTCTCTAAGGTCTCCACAGGGGATTCAGACATCCCTTCATGTTGTGAGATGAAAGACGAGCCTGTATTCAAGCCACTGCAAGGAAATCCGGTCTCCTTTCAAGTTAGGGCTTCTCGCTGTATATTGCCCTTGAGGCAGCGAACTCGGGGTCCCTCCCACATACCTATTGCTGAGAGAAGCCTCCTCCTGAGGTGCGTCTTGAAAGTTGGCATACGTCTTGAGCCTAAGCCAGGTAATCACCTCTCATCTCGAGACGATTTGGGGTACACGGAGCATTCCTCCAGTTGCCGTGCTGAAGTTGGTGTTCCTCTAGACTTGGGACAGTGTTCTCGGGGCATCTCTGGAGTTGCTTGAAGGAAGTCGAGCCACCGGTCGTGTTGAATGGGGAATGGGGAATGGCTCTGGAGTCAATGCAGGGGAATCGGGCCTCATCTCGAGTTGATTTGGGGCCCATGGAGCTGCTTTGCGTTGCTGGGGTGACCTCAGGGTCCGTCGAGACTGGTGACAGTGTTCTTGGGGACTGTCTCGAGATCCATTAAGCAAGTAGAAGCTCCTGACTTGTTTGAATGGGACCACGGAATAGCTCTGCATGCACTGCAGGGGAATGGGGTCTCATCTCGCCTCTAGGGAGAAGTCTCATGGTTTTTCTCGAGTTGCGGCGGGGACCTGGGGTATGTTCTCGACTTACGGCGGGGTTGGCCCTTCAAAACACAAGTTTCTTCAGTGACGTCAGGACTCCTGTCTAGTAACGAGGGACACCTCAGGAATCTCTTCGAGGCTTGGCAGGGCAAAAGGGACGCTTCTCGAGGTGAGGCAGGGCACCCAAGGACCCTTTCCAGTAGCCACAGGGATTTTGGGATTCCTATCAGAATTCAAGAGGAGTCAGGCATCGTCACCTTTTGAAGCAATGAACTCCGCATGCCTCTCGAGGTGTCAACGGGATGTGAGGCATTCCGTCCAAATGAGGCAGGGACCTAGGGCTTTCTCTAAGGTCTCCACAGGGGATTCAGACATCCCTTCATGTTGTGAGAAGAAAGACGAGCCTGTATTCAAGCCACTGCAAGGAAATCCGGCCTCCATTCAAGTTAGGGCTTCTCGCTGTATATTGCCCTTGAGGCAGCGAACTCGGGGTCCCTCCCACATACCTATTGCTGAAAGAAGCCTCCTCCTGAGGTGCGTCTGGAAAGTTGGCATACGTCTTGAGCCTAAGCCAGGGAATCACCTCTCATCTCGAGACGATTTGTGGTACATGGAGCATTCCTCGAGTTGCCGTGCTGAAGTTGGTGTTCCTCTAGACTTGAGACAGTGTTCTCTGGGCATCTCTGGACTTGCCTGAAGGAAGTCGAGCCACCGGTCGTGTTGAATTGGGAAAAGGGAATGGCTCTGGAGTCAATGCAGGGGAATCGGGCCTCATCTCGAGTTGATTTGGGGCCCATGGAGCTGCTTTGCGTTGCTGGGGTGACCTCAGGGTCGTCGAGACTGGTGACAGTGTTCTTGGGGACTGTCTCGAGAACCATTAAGCAAGTCGAAGCTCCTGACTTGCTTGAATGGGACCACGGAATAGCTCTGCATGCACTGCAGGGGAATGGGGCCTCATCTCGCCTCTAGGGGGAAGTCTCATGGTTTTTCTCGAGTTGCGGCGGGGACCTGGGGTATGTTCTCGACTTACAGCGGGGATGGCCCTTCAAAACACGAGTTTCTTCAGTGACGTCAGGACTCCTGTCTAGTAACGTGGGACACCTCAGGAATCTCTTCGAGGCTTGGCAGGGCAAAAGGGACGCTTCTCGAGGTGAGGCAGGGCACCCAAGGACCCTTTCCAGTAGCCACAGGGATTTTGGGATTCCTATCAGTATTCAAGAGGAGTGAGGCATTGTCACCTTTTGAAGCAATGAACTTTGCGTGCCTCTTGAGGTGTCAACGGGATGTGAGGCATTCCGTCAAAATGAGGCAGGGACCTAGGGCTTTCTCTAAGGTCTCCACAGGGGATTCAGACATCCCTTCATGTTGTGAGATGAAAGACGAGCCTGTATTCAAGCCACTGCAAGGAAATGCGGCCTCCTTTCAAGTTAGGGCTTCTCGCTGTATATTGCCCTTGAGGCAGCGAACTCGGGGTCCCTCCCACATACCTATTGCTGAGAGAAGCCTCCTCCTGAGGTGCGTCTTGAAAGTTGGCATACGTCTTGAGCCTAAGCCAGGGAATCACCTCTCATCTCGAGACGATTTGGGGTACACGGAGCATTCCTCGAGTTGCCGTGCTGAAGTTGGTGTTCCTCTAGACTTGGGACAGTGTTCTCGGGGCATCTCTGGAGTTGCCTGAAGGAGGTCGAGCCACCGGTCGTGTTGAATGGGGAACGGGGAATGGCTCTGGAGTCAATGCAGGGGAATCGGGCCTCATCTCGAGTTGATTTGGGGCACATGGAGCTGCTTTGCGTTGCTGGGGTGACCTCAGCGTCCGTCGAGACTGGTGACAGTGTTCTTGGGGACTGTCTCGAGATCCATTAAGCAAGTCGAAGCTCCTGACTTGTTTGAATGGGACCACGGAATAGCTCTGCATGCACTGCAGGGGAATGGGGCCTCATCTCGCCTCTAGGGGGAAGTCTCATGGTTTTTCTCGAGTTGCGGCGGGGACCTGGGGTATGTTCTCGACTTACGGCGGGGATGGCCCTTCAAAACACGAGTTTCTTCAGTGACGTCAGGACTCCTGTCTAGTAACGAGGGACACCTCAGGAATCTCTTCGAGGCTTGGCAGGGCAAAAGGGACGATTCTCGAGGTGAGGCAGGGCACCCAAGGACCCTTTCCAGTAGCCAAAGGGATTTTGGGATTCCTATCAGTATTCAAGAGGAGTGAGGCATTGTCACCTTTTGAAGCAATGAACTTCGCGTGCCTCTTAAGGTGTTAACGGGATGTGAGGCATTCCGTCACAATGAGGCAGGGAACTAGGGCTTTCTCTAAGGTCTCCACAGGGGATTCAGACGTCCCTTCATGTTGTGAGATGAAAGACGAGCCTGTATTCAAGCCACTGCAAGGAAATCCGGCCTCCTTTCAAGTTAGGGCTTCTCGCTGTATATTGCCCCTGAGGCAGCGAACTCGGGGTCCCTCCCACATACCTATTGCTGAGAGAAGCCTACTCCTGAGGTGCGTCTGGAAAGTTGGCATACGTCTTGAGCCTAAGCCAGGGAATCAGCTCTCATCTCGAGACGATTTGGGGTACACGGAGCATTTCTCGAGTTGCTGTGCTGAAGTTGGTGTTCCTCTAGACTTGGGACAATGTTCTTGGAGTATCTCTGGAGTTGCCTGAAGTTAGTCGAGCCACCGGTCGTGTTGAATGGGGAACGGGGAATGGCTCTGGAGTCAATGCAGGGGAATCGGGCCTCATCTCGAGTTGATTTGGGGCACATGGAGCTGCTTTGCGTTGCTGGGGTGACCTCAGCGTCCGTCGAGACTGGTGACAGTGTTCTTGGGGACTGTCTCGAGATCCATTAAGCAAGTCGAAGCTCCTGACTTGTTTGAATGGGACCACGGAATAGCTCTGCATGCACTGCAGGGGAATGGGGCCTCATCTCGCCTCTAGGGGGAAGTCTCATGGTTTTTCTCGAGTTGCGGCGGGGACCTGGGTTATGTTCTCGACTTACGGCGGGGATGGCCCTTCAAAACACGAGTTTCTTCAGTGACGTCAGGACTCCTGTCTAGTAACGAGGGACACCTCAGGAATCTCTTCGAGGCTTGGCAGGGCAAAAGGGACGCTTCTCCAGGTGAGGCAGGGCACCCAAGGACCCTTTCCAGTAGCCACAGGGATTTTGGGATTCCTATCAGAATTCAAGAGGAGTGAGGCATTGTCACCTTTTGAAGCAATGAACTTCGCGTGCCTCTTGAGGTGTCAACGGGATGTGAGGCATTCCGTCAAAATGAGGCAGGGACCTAGGGCTTTCTCTAAGGTCTCCACAGGGGATTCAGACATCCCTTCATGTTGTGAGATCAAAGACGAGCCTGTATTCAAGCCACTGCAAGGAAATCCGGCCTCCTTTCAAGTTAGGGCTTCTCGCTGTATATTGCCCTTGAGGCAGCGAACTCGGGGTCCCTCCCACATACCTATTGCTGAGAGAAGCCTCCTCCTGAGGTGCGTCTGGAAAGTTGGCATACGTCTTGAGCCTAAGCCAGGGAATCAGCTCTCATCTCGAGACGATTTGGGGTACACAGAGCATTCCTCGAGTTGCTGTGCTGAAGTTGGTGTTCCTCTAGACTTGGGACAGTGTTCTCGGGGTATCTCTGGAGTTGCCTGAAGGAAGTCGAGCCACCGGTCGTGTTGAATGGGGAACGGGTAATGGCTCTGGAGTCAATGCAGGGGAATCGGGCCTCATCTCGAGTTGATTTGGGGCACATGGAGCTGCTTTGCGTTGCTGGGGTGACCTCAGCGTCGGTCGAGACTGGTGACAGTGTTCTTGGGGACTGTCTCGAGATCGATTAAGCAAGTCGAAGCTCCTGACTTGTTTGAATGGGACCACGGAATAGCTCTGCATGCACTGCAGGGGAATGGGGCCTCATCTCGCCTCTAGGGGGAAGTCTCCTGGTTTTTCTCGAGTTGCGGCGGGGACCTGGGGTATGTTCTCGACTTACAGCGGGGATGGCCCTTCAAAACACGAGTTTCTTCAGTGACGTCAGGACTCCTGTCTAGTAACGAGGGACACCTCAGGAATCTCTTCGAGGCTTGGCAGGGCAAAAGCGACGCTTCTCGAGGTGAGGCAGGACACCCAAGGACCCTTTCCAGTAGCCACAGGGATTTTGGGATTCCTATCAGTATTCAAGAGGAGTGAGGCATTGTCACCTTTTGAAGCAATGAACTTTGCGTGCCTCTTGAGGTGTCAACGGGATGTGAGGCATTCCGTCAAAATGAGGCAGGGACCTAGGGCTTTCTCTAAGGTCTCCACAGGGGATTCAGACATCCCTTCATGTTGTGAGATCAAAGACGAGCCTGTATTCAAGCCACTGCAAGGAAATCCGGCCTCCTTTCAAGTTAGGGCTTCTCGCTGTATATTGCCCTTGAGTCAGAGAACTCGGGGTCCCTCCCACATACTTATTGCTGAGAGAAGCCTCCTCCTGAGGTGCGTCTTGAAAGTTGGCATACGTCTTGAGCCTAAGCCAGGGAATCACCTCTCATCTCGAGACGATTTGGGGTACACGGAGAATTCCTCGAGTTGCCGTGCTGAAGTTGGTGTTCCTCTAGACTTGGGACAGTGTTCTCGGGGCATCTCTGGAGTTGCCTGAAGGAAGTCGAGCCACCGGTCGTGTTGAATGGGGAACGGGGAATGGCTCTGGAGTCAATGCAGGGGAATCGGGCCTCATCTCGAGTTGATTTGGGGCCCATGGAGCTGCTTTGCGTTGCTGGGGTGACGTCAGGGTCCGTCGAGACTGGTGACAGTGTTCTTGGGGACTGTCTCGAGAACCATTAAGCAAGTCGAAGCTCCTGACTTGCTTGAATGGGACCACGGAATAGCTCTGCATGCACTGCAGGGGAATGGGGCCTCATCTCGCCTCTTGGGGGAAGTCTCATGGTTTTTCTCGAGTTGCGGCGGGAACCTGGGGTATGTTCTCGACTTACGGCGGGGATGGCCCTTCAAAACACGAGTTTCTTCAGTGACGTCAGGACTCCTGTCTAGTAACGAGGGACACCTCTGGAATCTCTTCGAGGCTTGGCAGGGCAAAAGGGACGCTTCTCGAGGTGAGGCAGGGCACCCAAGGACCCTTTCCAGTAGCCACAGGGATTTTGGGATTCCTATCAGTATTCAAGATGAGTGAGGCATTGTCACCTTTTGAAGCAATGAACTTCGCGTGCCTCTTGAGGTGTCAGCGGGATGTGAGGCATTCCGTCAAAATGAGGCAGGGACCTAGGGCTTTCTCTAAGGTCTCCACAGGGGATTCAGACATCCCTTCATGTTGTGAGATCAAAGACAAGCCTGTATTCAAGCCACTGCAAGGAAATCCGGCCTCCTTTCAAGTTAGGGCTTCTCGCTGTATATTGCCCTTGAGGCAGCGAACTCGGTGTCCCTCCCACATACCTATTGCTGAGAGAAGCCTCCTCCTGAGGTGCGTCTGGAAAGTTGGCATGCGTCTTGAGCCTAAGTCAGGGAATCAGCTCTCATCTCGAGATGATTTGTGGTACACGGAGCATTCCTCGAGTTGCTGTGCTGAAGTTGGTGTTCCTCTAGACATGGGACAGTGTTCTCGGGGTATCTCTGGAGTTGCCTGAAGGAAGTCGAGCCACCGGTCGTGTTGAATGGGGAACGGGGAATGGCTCTGGAGTCAATGCAGGGGAATCGGGCCTCATCTCGAGTTGATTTGGGGCACATGGAGCTGCTTTGCGTTGCTGGGGTGACCTCAGCGTCCGTCAAGACTGGTGACAGTGTTCTTGGGGACTCTCTCGAGATCCATTAAGCAAGTCGAAGCTCCTGACTTGTTTGAATGGGACCACGGAATAGCTCTGCATGCACTGCAGGGGAATGGGGCCTCATCTCGCCTCTAGGGGGAAGTCTCATGGTTTTTCTCGAGTTGCGGCGGGGACCTGGGGTATGTTCTCGACTTACGGCGGGGATGGCCCTTCAAAACACGAGTTTCTTCAGTGACGTCAGGACTCCTGTCTAGTAACGAGGGACACCTCAGGAATCTCTTCGAGGCTTGGCAGGGCAAATGGGACGCTTCTCGAGGTGAGTCAGGGCACCCAAGACCCTTTCCAGTAGCCACAGGGATTTTCGGATTCCTATCAGTATTCAAGAGGAGTGAGGCATTGTCACCTTTTGAAGCAATGAACTTCGCGTGCCTCTTGAGGTGTCAACGGGATGTGAGGCATTCCGTCAAAATGAGGCAGGGACCTAGGGCTTTCTCTAAGGTCTCCACAGGGTATTCAGACATCCCTTCATGTTGTGAGATGAAAGACGAGCCTGTATTCAAGCCACTGCAAGGAAATCCGGCCTCCTTTCAAGTTAGGGCTTCTCGCTGTATATTGCCCTTGAGGCAGCAAACTCGGGGTCCCTCCCACATACCTATTGCTGAGAGAAGCCTCCTCCTGAGGTGCGTCTGGAAAGTTGGCATACGTCTTGAGCCTAAGCCAGGGAATCAGCTCTCATCTCGAGACGATTTGGGGTACACGGAGCATTCCTCGAGTTGCTGTGCTGAAGTTGGTGTTCCTCTAGACTTGGGACAGTGTTCTCGGGGTATCTCTGGAGTTGCCTGAAGGAAGTCGAGCCACCGGTCGTGTTGAATGGGGAACGGGTAATGGCTCTGGAGTCAATGCAGGGGAATCGGGCCTCATCTCGAGTTGATTTAGGGCCCATGGAGCTGCTTTGCGTTGCTGGGGTGACCTCAGGGTCCGTCGAGACTGGTGACAGTGTTCTTGGGGACTGTCTCGAGAACCATTAAGCAAGTCGAAGCTCCTGACTTGCTTGAATGGGACCACGGAATAGCTCTGCATGCACTGCAGGGGAATGGGGCCTCATCTCGCCTCTAGGGGGAAGTCTCATGGTTTTTCTCGAGTTGCGGCGGGGACCTGGGGTATGTTCTCGACTTACGGCGGGGATGGCCCTTCAAAACACGAGTTTCTTCAGTGACGTCAGGACTCCTGTCTAGTAACGGGGGACACCTCAGGAATCTCTTCGAGGCTTGTCAGGGCAAAAGGGACGCTTCTCGAGGTGAGGCAGGGCACCCAAGGACCCTTTCCAGTAGCCACAGGGATTTTGGGATTCCTATCAGTATTCAAGAGGAGTGAGGCATTGTCACCTTTTGAAGCAATGAACTTTGCGTGCCTCTTGAGGTGTCAACGGGATGTGAGGCATTCCGTCCAAATGAGGCAGGGACCTAGGGCTTTCTCTAAGGTCTCCACAGGGGATTCAGACATCCCTTCATGTTGTGAGATCAAAGACGAGCCTGTATTCAAGCCACTGCAAGGAAATCCGGCCTCCTTTCAAGTTAGGGCTTCTCGCTGTATATTGCCCTTGAGGCAGAGAACTCGGGGTCCCTCCCACATACTTATTGCTGAGAGAAGCCTCCTCCTGAGGTGCTTCTGGGAAGTTGGCATACGTCTTGAGCCTAAACCAGGGAATCACCTCTCATCTCGAGACGATTTGGGGTACACGGAGCATTCCTCGAGTTGCCGTGCTGAAGTTGGTGTTCCTCTAGACTTGGGACAGTGTTCTCGGGGCATCTCTGGAGTTGCCTGAAGGAAGTCGAGCCACCGGTCGTGTTGAATGGGGAACGGGGAATGGCTCTGGAGTCAATGCAGGGGAATCGGGCCTCATCTCGAGTTGATTTGGGGCCCATGGAGCTGCTTTGCGTTGCTGTGGTGACGTCAGGGTCCGTCGAGACTGGTGACAGTGTTCTTGGGGACTGTCTCGAGAACAATTAAGCAAGTCGAAGATCCTGACTTGCTTGAATGGGACCACGGAATAGCTCTGCTTGCATTGCAGGGGAATGGGACCTCATCTCGCCTCTAGGGGGAAGTCTCATGGATTTTCTCGAGTTGCAGCGGGGACCTGGGGTATGTTCTCGACTTACGGCGGGGATGGCCCTTCAAAACACGAGTTTCTTCAGTGACGTCAGGACTCCTGTCTAGTAACGAGGGACACCTCAGGAATCTCTTCGATGCTTGGCAGGGCAAAAGGGACGCTTCTCGAGGTGAGGCAGGGCACCCAAGGACCCTTTCCAGTAGCCACAGGGATTTTGGGATTCCTATCAGTATTCAAGAGGAGTGAGGCATTGTCACCTTTTGAAGCAATGAACTTCGCGTGCCTCTTGAGGTGTCAACGGGATGTGAGGCATTCCGTCAAAATGAGGCAGGTAACTAGGGCTTTCTCTAAGGTCTCCACAGGGGATTCAGACATCCCTTCATGTTGTGAGATGAAAGACGAGCCTGTATTCAGGCCACTGCAAGGAAATCCGGCCTCCTTTCAAGTTAGGGCTTCTCGCTGTATATTGCCCTTGAGGCAGCGAACTCGGGGTCCTTCCCACATACCTATTGCTGAGAGAAGCCTCCTCCTGAGGTGCGTCTGGAAAGTTGGCATACGTATTGAGCCTAAGCCAGGGAATCACCTCTCATCTCGAGACGATTTGGGGTACACGGAGCATTCCTCGAGTTGCTGTGCTGAATTTGGTGTTCCTCTAGACTTGGGACAATGTTCTCGGGGTATCTCTGGAGTTGCATGAAGGAAGTCGAGCCACCGGTCGTGTTGAATGGGGAACTGGGAATGGCTCTGGAGTCAATGCAGGGGAATCGGGCCTCATCTCGAGTTGATTTGGGGCCCACGGTGCTGCTTTGCGTTGCTGGGGTGACCTCAGGGTCCGTCGAGACTGAAGACAGTGTTCTTGGGGACTGTGTCGAGAACCATTAAGCAAGTCGAAGCTCCTGACTTGCTTGAATGGGACCACGGAATAGCTCTGCATGCACTGCAGGGGAATGGGGCCTCATCTCGCCTCTAGGGGGAAGTCTCATGGTTTTTCTCGAGTTGCAGCGGGGACCTGTTGTATGTTCTTGACTTACGGCGTTGATGGCCCTTCAAAACACGAGTTTCTTCAGTGACGTCAGGACTCCTGTCTAGTAACGCGGGACACCTCAGGAATTTCTTCGAGGCTTGGCAGGGCAAAAGGGACGCTTCCCGAGGTGTGGCAGGGCACCCAAGGACCCTTTCCAGTAGCCACAGGGATTTTGGTATTCCTATCAGTATTCAAGAGGAGTGAGGCATTGTCACCTTTTGAAGCAATGAACTCCGCGTGCCTCTCGAGGTGTCAACGGGATGTGAGGCATTCCATCCAAATGAGGCAGGGACCTAGGGCTTTCTCTAAGGTCTCCACAGGGGATTCAGACATCCCTTCATGTTGTGAGAAGAAAGACGAGCCTGTATTCAAGCCACTGCAAGGAAATCCGGCCTCCTTTCCAGTTAGGGCTTCTCGCTGTATATTGCCTTTGAGGCAGCGAACTCGGGGTCCCTCCCACATACCTATTGCTGAGAGAAGCCTCCTCCTGAGGTGCGTCTTGAAAGTTGGCATACGTCTTGAGCCTAAGCCAGGGAATCACCTCTCATCTCGAGACGATTTGGGGTACACGGAGCATTCCTCGAGTTGCCTTGTTGAAGTTGGTGTTCCTCTAGACTTGGGACAGTGTTCTCGGGGCATCTCTGGAGTTGCCTGAAGGAAGTCGAGCCACCGGTCGTGTTGAATGGGGAACGGGGAATGGCTCTGGAGTCAATGCAGGGGAATCGGGCCTCATCTCGGTTGATTTGGGGCACATGGAGCTGCTTTGCGTTGCTGGGGTGACCTCAGGGTCCGTCGAGACTGGTGACAGTGTTCTTGGGGACTGTCTCGAGATCCATTAAGCAAGTCGAAGCTCCTGACTTGCTTGAATGGGACCACGGAATAGCTCTGCATGCACTGCAGGGGAATGGGGCCTCATCTCGCCTCTAGGGGGAAGTCTCATGGTTTTTCTCGAGTTGCGGCGGGGACCTGGGGTATGTTCTCGACTTACGGCGGGGATGGCCCTTCAAAACACGAGTTTCTTCAGTGACGTCAGGACTCCTGTCTAGTAACGAGGGACACCTCAGGAATCTCTTCGAGGCTTGTCAGGGCAAAAGGGACGCTTCTCGAGGTGAGGCAGGGCACCCAAGGACCCTTTCCAGTAGCCACAGGGATTTTGGGATTCCTATCAGTATTCAAGAGGAGTGAGGCATTGTCACCTTTTGAAGCAATGAACTTTGCGTGCCTCTTGAGGTGTCAACGGGATGTGAGGCATTCCGTCCAAATGAGGCAGGGACCTAGGGCTTTCTCTAAGGTCTCCACAGGGGATTCAGACATCCCTTCATGTTGTGAGATCAAAGACGAGCCTGTATTCAAGCCACTGCAAGGAAATCCGGCCTCCTTTCAAGTTAGGGCTTCTCGCTGTATATTGCCCTTGAGGCAGAGAACTCGGGGTCCCTCCCACATACTTATTGCTGAGAGAAGCCTCCTCCTGAGGTGCTTCTGGGAAGTTGGCATACGTCTTGAGCCTAAACCAGGGAATCACCTCTCATCTCGAGACGATTTGGGGTACACGGAGCATTCCTCGAGTTGCCGTGCTGAAGTTGGTGTTCCTCTAGACTTGGGACAGTGTTCTCGGGGCATCTCTGGAGTTGCCTGAAGGAAGTCGAGCCACCGGTCGTGTTGAATGGGGAACGGGGAATGGCTCTGGAGTCAATGCAGGGGAATCGGGCCTCATCTCGAGTTGATTTGGGGCCCATGGAGCTGCTTTGCGTTGCTGTGGTGACGTCAGGGTCCGTCGAGACTGGTGACAGTGTTCTTGGGGACTGTCTCGAGAACAATTAAGCAAGTCGAAGATCCTGACTTGCTTGAATGGGACCACGGAATAGCTCTGCTTGCACTGCAGGGGAATGGGACCTCATCTCGCCTCTAGGGGGAAGTCTCATGGATTTTCTCGAGTTGCGGCGGGGACCTGGGGTATGTTCTCGACTTACGGCGGGGATGGCCCTTCAAAACACGAGTTTCTTCAGTGACGTCAGGACTCCTGTCTAGTAACGAGGGACACCTCAGGAATCTCTTCGAGGCTTGGCAGGGCAAAAGGGACGCTTCTCGAGGTGAGGCAGGGCACCCAAGGACCCTTTCCAGTAGCCACAGGGATTTTGGGATTCCTATCAGTATTCAAGAGGAGTGAGGCATTGTCACCTTTTGAAGCAATGAACTTCGCGTGCCTCTTGAGGTGTCAACGGGATGTGAGGCATTCCGTCAAAATGAGGCAGGTAACTAGGGCTTTCTCTAAGGTCTCCACAGGGGATTCAGACATCCCTTCATGTTGTGAGATGAAAGACGAGCCTGTATTCAGGCCACTGCAAGGAAATCCGGCCTCCTTTCAAGTTAGGGCTTCTCGCTGTATATTGCCCTTGAGGCAGCGAACTCGGGGTCCTTCCCACATACCTATTGCTGAGAGAAGCCTCCTCCTGAGGTGCGTCTGGAAAGTTGGCATACGTATTGAGCCTAAGCCAGGGAATCACCTCTCATCTCGAGACGATTTGGGGTACACGGAGCATTCCTCGAGTTGCTGTGCTGAATTTGGTGTTCCTCTAGACTTGGGACAATGTTCTCGGGGTATCTCTGGAGTTGCATGAAGGAAGTCGAGCCACCGGTCGTGTTGAATGGGGAACTGGGAATGGCTCTGGAGTCAATGCAGGGGAATCGGGCCTCATCTCGAGTTGATTTGGGGCCCACGGTGCTGCTTTGCGTTGCTGGGGTGACCTCAGGGTCCGTCGAGACTGAAGACAGTGTTCTTGGGGACTGTGTCGAGAACCATTAAGCAAGTCGAAGCTCCTGACTTGCTTGAATGGGACCACGGAATAGCTCTGCATGCACTGCAGGGGAATGGGGCCTCATCTCGCCTCTAGGGGGAAGTCTCATGGTTTTTCTCGAGTAGCAGCGGGGACCTGTTGTATGTTCTTGACTTACGGCGTTGATGGCCCTTCAAAACACGAGTTTCTTCAGTGACGTCAGGACTCCTGTCTAGTAACGCGGGACACCTCAGGAATTTCTTCGAGGCTTGGCAGGGCAAAAGGGACGCTTCCCGAGGTGTGGCAGGGCACCCAAGGACCCTTTCCAGTAGCCACAGGGATTTTGGTATTCCTATCAGTATTCAAGAGGAGTGAGGCATTGTCACCTTTTGAAGCAATGAACTCCGCGTGCCTCTCGAGGTGTCAACGGGATGTGAGGCATTCCTTCCAAATGAGGCAGGGACCTAGGGCTTTCTCTAAGGTCTCCACAGGGGATTCAGACATCCCTTCATGTTGTGAGAAGAAAGACGAGCCTGTATTCAAGCCACTGCAAGGAAATCCGGCCTCCTTTCAAGTTAGGGCTTCTCGCTGTATATTGCCTTTGAGGCAGCGAACTCGGGGTCCCTCCCACATACCTATTGCTGAGAGAAGCCTCCTCCTGAGGTGCGTCTTGAAAGTTGGCATACGTCTTGAGCCTAAGCCAGGGAATCACCTCTCATCTCGAGACGATTTGGGGTACACGGAGCATTCCTCGAGTTGCTGTGCTGAAGTTGGTGTTCCTCTAGACTTGGGACAGTGTTCTCGGGGCATCTCTGGAGTTGCCTGAAGGAAGTCGAGCCACCGGTCGTGTTGAATGGGGAACGGGGAATGGCTCTGGAGTCAATGCAGGGGAATCGGGCCTCATCTCGGTTGATTTGGGGCACATGGAGCTGCTTTGCGTTGCTGGGGTGACCTCAGGGTCCGTCGAGACTGGTGACAGTGTTCTTGGGGACTGTCTCGAGATCCATTAAGCAAGTCGAAGCTCCTGACTTGCTTGAATGGGACCACGGAATAGCTCTGCATGCACTGCAGGGGAATGGGGTCTCATCTCGCCTCTAGGGGGAAGTCTCATGGTTTTTCTCGAGTTGCGGCGGGGACCTGGGGTATGTTCTCGACTTACGGCGGGGATGGCCCTTCAAAACACGAGTTTCTTCAGTGACGTCAGGAATCCTGTCTAGTAACGAGGGACACCTCAGGAATCTCTTCGAGGCTTGGCAGGGCAAAAGGGACGCTTCTCGAGGTGAAGCAGGGCACCCAAGGACCCTTTCCAGTAGCCACAGGGATTTTGGGATTCCTATCAGTATTCAAGAGGAGTCAGGCATCTTCACCTTTTGAAGCAATGAACTCTGCGTGCCTCTCGAGGTGTCAACGGGTTGTGAGGAATTCCGTCCAAATGAGGCAGGGACCTAGGGCTTTCTCTAAGGTCTCCACAGGGGATTCAGACATCCCTTCATGTTGTGAGATCAAAGACGAGCCTGTATTCAAGCCACTGCAAGGAAATCCGGCCTGCTTTCAAGTTAGGGCTTCTGGCTTTATATTGCCCTTGAGGAAGCGAACTCGGGGTCCCTCCCACATACCTATTGCTGAGAGAAGCCTCCTCCTGAGGTGCGTCTTGAAAGTTGGCATACGTCTTGAGCCTAAGCCAGGGAATCAGCTCTCATCTCGAGACGATTTGGGGTACACGGAGCATTCCTCGAGTTGCTGTGCTGAAGTTGGTGTTCCTCTAGACTTGGGTCAGTGTTCTCGGGATATCTCTGGAGTTGCCTGAAGGAAGTCGAGCCACCGGTCGTGTTGAATGGGGAACGGGGAATGGCTCTGGATTCAATGCAGGGGAATCGGGCCTCATCTCGAGTTGATTTGGGGCACATGGAGCTGCTTTGCGTTGCTGGGGTGACCTCAGCGTCCGTCGAGACTGGTGACAGTGTTCTTGGGGACTGTCTCGAGATCCATTAAGCAAGTCGAAGCTCCTGACTTGTTTGAATGGGACCACGGAATAGCTCTACATGCACTGCAGGGGAATGGGGCCTCATCTCGCCTCTTGGGGGAAGTCTCATGGTTTTTCTCGAGTTGCGGCGGGGACCTGGGGTATGTTCTCGACTTACGGCGGGGATGGCCCTTCAAAACACGAGTTTCTTCAGTGACGTCAGGACTCCTGTCTAGTAACGAGGGACACCTCAGGAATCACATCGAGGCTTGGCAGTGCAAATGGGACGCTTCTTGAGGTGAGGCAGGGCACCCAAGGACCCTTTCCAGTAGCCACAGGGATTTTGGAATTCCTATCAGAATTCAAGAGGAGTCAGGCATCTTCACCTTTTGAAGCAATGAACTCCGCGTGCCTCTCGAGGAGTCAACGTGATGTGAGGCATTCCGTCCAAATGAGGCAGGGATCTAGGGCTTTCTCTAAGGTCTCCACAGGGGATTCAGACATCCCTTCATGTTGTGAGATCAAAGACGAGCCTGTATTCAAGCCACTGCAAGGAAATCCGGCCTCCTTTCAAGTTAGGGCTTCTCGCTGTATATTGCCCTTTAGGCAGCGAACTGGGGGTCCCTTCCACATACCTATTGCTGAGAGAAGCCTCCTCCTGAGGTGCGTCTTGAAAGTTGGCATACGTCTTGAGCCTAAGCCAGGGAATCACCTCTCATCTCGAGACGATTTGGGGTACACAGAGCATTCCTCGAGTTGCCGTGCTGAAGTTGGTGTTCCTCTAGACTTGGGACAGTGTTCTCGGGGCATCTCTGGAGTTGCCTGAAGGAAGTCGAGCCACCGGTCGTGTTGAATGGGGAACGGGGAATGGCTCTGGAGTCAATGCAGGGGAATCGGGCCTCATCTCGAGTTGATTTGGGGCCCATGGAGCTGCTTTGCGTTGCTGGGGTGACCTCAGGGTCCATCGAGACTGGTGACAGTGTTCTTGGGGACTGTCTCGAGAACCATTAAGCAAGTCGAAGCTCCTGACTTGCTTGAATGGGACCACGGAATAGCTCTGCATGCACTGCAGGGGAATGGGGCCTCATCTCGCCTCTAGGGGGAAGTCTCATGGTTTTTCTCGAGTTGCGGCGGGGACCTGGGGTATGTTCTCGACTTACGGCGGGGATGGCCCTTCAAAACACGAGTTTCTTCAGTGACGTCAGGACTCCTGTCTAGTAACGAGGGACACCTCAGGAATCTCTTCGAGGCTTGGCAGGGCAAAAGGGACGATTCTCGAGGTGAGGCAGGGCACCCAAGGACCCTTTCCAGTAGCCAAAGGGATTTTGGGATTCCTATCAGTATTCAAGAGGAGTGAGGCATTGTCACCTTTTGAAGCAATGAACTTCGCGTGCCTCTTAAGGTGTTAACGGGATGTGAGGCATTCCGTCAAAATGAGGCAGGGACCTAGGGCTTTCTCTAAGGTCTCCACAGGGGATTCAGACATCCCTTCATGTTGTGAGATGAAAGACGAGCCTGTATTCAAGCCACTGCAAGGAAATCCGGCCTCCTTTCAAGTTAGGGCTTCTCGCTGTATATTGCCCTTGAGGCAGCGAACTCGGGGTCCCTCCCACATACCTATTGCTGAGAGAAGCCTCCTCCTGAGGTGCGTCTGGAAAGTTGGCATACGTCTTGAGCCTAAGCCAGGGAATCAGCTCTCATCTCGAGACGATTTGGGGTACACGGAGCATTCCTCGCGTTGCTGTGCTGAAGTTGGTGTTCCTCTAGACTTGGGACAATGTTCTTGGGGTATCTCTGGAGTTGCCTGAAGTTAGTCGAGCCACCGGTCGTGTTGAATGGGGAACGGGGAATGGCTCTGGAGTCAATGCAGGGGAATCGGGCCTCATCTCGAGTTGATTTGGGGCACATGGAGCTGCTTTGCGTTGCTGGGGTGACCTCAGCGTCCGTCGAGACTGGTGACAGTGTTCTTGGGGACTGTCTCGAGATCCATTAAGCAAGTCGAAGCTCCTGACTTGTTTGAATGGGACCACGGAATAGCTCTGCATGCACTGCAGGGGAATGGGGCCTCATCTCGCCTCTAGGGGGAAGTCTCATGGTTTTTCTCGAGTTGCGGCGGGGACCTGGGGTATATTCTCGACTTACGGCGGGGATGGCCCTTCAAAACACGAGTTTCTTCAGTGACGTCACGACTCCTGTCTAGTAACGAGGGACACCTCAGGAATCTCATCAAGGCTTGGCAGTGCAAATGGGACGCTTCTTGAGGTGAGGCAGGGCACCCAAGGACCCTTTCCAGTAGCCACAGGGATTTTGGGATTAGTATCAGAATTCAAGAGGAGTCTGGCATCGTCACCTTTTGAAGCAATGAACTCCGCGTGCCTCTCGAAGTGTCAACGGGATGTGAGGCATTCCGTCCAAATGAGGCAGGGACCTAGGGCTTTCTCTAAGGTCTCCACAGGGGATTCAGACATCCCTTCATGTTGTGAGATCAAAGACGAGCCTGTATTCAAGCCACTGCAAGGAAATCCGGCCTCCTTTCAAGTTAGGGCTTCTCGCTGTATTTTGCCCTTGAGTCAGCGAACTCCGGGTCCCTCCCACATACCTATTGCTGAGAGAAGCCTCCTCCTGAGGTGCGTCTTGGAAGTTGGCATACGTCTTGAGCCTAAGCCAGGGAATCACCTCTCATCTCGAGACGATTTGGGGTACACGGAGCATTCCTCGAGTTGCCGTGCTGAAGTTGGTGTTCCTCTAGACTTGGGACAGTGTTCTCGGGGCATCTCTGGAGTTGCCTGAAGGAAGTCAAGCCACCGGTCGTGTTGAATGGGGAACCGGGAATGGCTCTGGAGTCAATGCAGTGGAATCGGGCCTCATCTCGAGTTGATTTGGGGCCCATGGAGCTGCTTTGCGTTGCTTGGGTGACCTCAGGGTCCGTCGAGACTGGTGACAGTGTTCTTGGGGACTCTCTCGAGAATCATTAAGCAAGTCGAAGCTCCTGACTTGCTTGAATGGGACCACGGAATAGCTCTGCATGCACTGCAGGGGAATGGGGCCTCATCTCGCCTCTAGGGGGAAGTCTCATGGTTTTTCTCGAGTTGCGGCGGGGACCTGGGGTATGTTCTCGACTTACGGCGGGGATGGCCCTTCAAAACACGAGTTTCTTCAGTGACGTCAGGACTCCTGTCTAGTAACGAGGGACACCTCAGGAATCTCTTCGAGGCTTGGCAGGGCAAAAGGGACGCTTCTCGAGGTGAGGCAGGGCACCCAAGGACCCTTTCCAGTAGCCACAGGGATTTTGGGATTCCTATCAGAATTCAAGAGGAGTGAGGCATTGTCACCTTTTGAAGCAATGAACTTCGCGTGCCTCTTGAGGTGTCAACGGGATGTGAGGCATTCCGTCAAAATGAGGCAGGGAACTAGGGCTTTCTCTAAGGTCTCCACAGGGGATTCAGACATCCCTTCATGTTGTGAGATGAAAGACGAGCCTGTATTCAAGCCACTGCAAGGAAATCCGGCCTCCTTTCAAGTTAGGGCTTCTCGCTGTATATTGCCCTTGAGGCAGCGAACTCGGGGTACCTCCCACATACCTATTGCTGAGAGAAGCCTCCTCCTGAGGTGCGTCTGGAAAGTTGGCATACGTCTTGAGCCTAAGCCAGGGAATCAGCTCTCATCTCGAGACGATTTGGGGTACACGGAGCATTCCTCGAGTTGCTGTGCTGAAGTTGGTGTTCCTCTAGACTTGGGACAGTGTTCTCGGGGTATCTCTGGAGTTGCCTGAAGGAAGTCGAGCCACCGGTCGTGTTGAATGGGGAACGGGGAATGGCTCTGGAGTCAATGCAGGGGAATCGGGCCTCATCTCGAGTTGATTTGGGGCACATGGAGCTGCTTTGCGTTGCTGGGGTGACCTCAGCGTCCGTCGAGACTGGTGACAGTGTTCTTGGGGACTCTCTCGAGATCCATTAAGCAAGTCGAAGCTCCTGACTTGTTTGAATGGGACCACGGAATAGCTCTGCATGCACTGCAGGGGAATGGGGCCTCATCTCGCCTCTAGGGGGAAGTCTAATGGTTTTTCTCGAGTTGCGGCGGGGACCTGGGGTATGTTCTCGACTTACGGCGGGGATGGCCCTTCAAAACACGAGTTTCTTCAGTGACGTCAGGACTCCTGTCTAGTAACGAGGGACACCTCAGGAATCTCATCGAGGCTTGGCAGTGCAAATGGGACGCTTCTTGAGGTGAGGCAGGGCACCCAAGGACCCTTTCCAGTAGCCACAGGGATTTTGGGATTAGTATCAGAATTCAAGAGGAGTCAGGCATCGTCACCTTTTGAAGCAATGAACTCCGCGTGCCTCTCGAAGTGTCAACGGGATGTGAGGCATTCCGTCCAAATGAGGCAGGGACCTAGGGCTTTCTCTAAGGTCTCCACAGGGGATTCAGACATCCCTTCATGTTGTGAGATCAAAGACGAGCCTGTATTCAAGCCACTGCAAGGAAATCCGGCCTCCTTTCAAGTTAGGGCTTCTCGCTGTATATTGCCCTTGAGTCAGCGAACTCCGGGTCCCTCCCACATACCTATTGCTGAGAGAAGCCTCCTCCTGAGGTGCGTCTTGAAAGTTGGCATACGTCTTGAGCCTAAGCCAGGGAATCACCTCTCATCTCGAGACGATTTGGGGTACACAGAGCATTCCTCGAGTTGCCGTGCTGAAGTTGGTGTTCCTCTAGACTTGGGACAGTGTTCTCGGGGCATCTCTGGAGTTGCCTGAAGGAAGTCAAGCCACCGGTCGTGTTGAATGGGGAACCGGGAATGGCTCTGGAGTCAATGAAGGGGAATCGGGCCTCATCTCGAGTTGATTTGGGGCCCATGGAGCTGCTTTGCGTTGCTTGGGTGACCTCAGGGTCCGTCGAGACTGGTGACAGTGTTCTTGGGGACTCTCTCGAGAATCATTAAGCAAGTCGAAGCTCCTGACTTGCTTGAATGGGACCACGGAATAGCTCTGCATGCACTGCAGGGGAATGGGGCCTCATCTCGCCTCTAGGGGGAAGTCTCATGGTTTTTCTCGAGTTGCGGCGGGGACCTGGGGTATGTTCTCGACTTACGGCGGGGATGGCCCTTCAAAACACGAGTTTCTTCAGTGAGGTCAGGACTCCTGTCTAGTAACGAGGGACACCGCAGGAATCTCTTCGAGGCTTGGCAGGGCAAAAGGGACGCTTCTCGAGGTGAGGCAGGGCACCCAAGGACCCTTTCCAGTAGCCACAGGGATTTTGGGATTCCTATCAGAATTCAAGAGGAGTGAGGCATTGTCACCTTTTGAAGCAATGAACTTCGCATGCCTCTTGAGGTGTCAACGGGATGTGAGGCATTCCGTCAAAATGAGGCAGGGACCTAGGGCTTTCTCTAAGGTCTCCACAGGGGATTCAGACATCCCTTCATGTTGTGAGATGAAAGACGAGCCTGTATTCAAGCCACTGCAAGGAAATCCGGCCTCCTTTCAAGTTAGGGCTTCTCGCTGTATATTGCCCTTGAGGCAGCGAACTCGGGGTACCTCCCACATACCTATTGCTGAGAGAAGCCTCCTCCTGAGGTGCGTCTGGAAAGTTGGCATACGTCTTGAGCCTAAGCCAGGGAATCAGCTTTCATCTCGAGACGATTTGGGGTACACGGAGCATTCCTCGAGTTGCTGTGCTGAAGTTGGTGTTCCTCTAGACTTGGGACAGTGTTCTCGGGGTATCTCTGGAGTTGCCTGAAGGAAGTCGAGCCACCGGTCGTGTTGAATGGGGAACGGGGAATGGCTCTGGAGTCAATGCAGGGGAATCGGGCCTCATCTCGAGTTGATTTGGGGCACATGGAGCTGCTTTGCGTTGCTGGGGTGACCTCAGCGTCCGTCGAGACTGGTGACAGTGTTCTTGGGGACTGTCTCGAGATCCATTAAGCAAGTCGAAGCTCCTGACTTGTTTGAATGGGACCACGGAATAGCTCTGCATGCACTGCAGGGGAATGGGGCCTCATCTCGCCTCTAGGGGGAAGTCTAATGGTTTTTCTCGAGTTGCGGCGGGGACCTGGGGTATGTTCTCGACTTACGGCGGGGATGGCCCTTCAAAACACGAGTTTCTTCAGTGACGTCAGGACTCCTCTCTAGTAACGAGGGACACCTCAGGAATCTCATCGAGGCTTGGCAGTGCAAATGGGACGCTTCTTGAGGTGAGGCAGGGCACCCAAGGACCCTTTCCAGTAGCCACAGGGATTTTGGGATTCCTATCAGAATTCAAGAGGAGTCAGGCATCGTCACCTTTTGAAGCAATGAACTCCGTGTGCCTCTCGAGGTGTCAACGGGATGTGAGGCATTCCGTCAAAATGAGGCAGGGACCTAGGGCTTTCTCTAAGGTCTCCACAGGGGATTCAGACATCCCTTCATGTTGTGAGATGAAAGACGAGCCTGTATTCAAGCCACTGCAAGGAAATCCGGTCTCCTTTCAAGTTAGGGCTTCTCGCTGTATATTGCCCTTGAGGCAGCGAACTCGGGGTCCCTCCCACATACCTATTGCTGAGAGAAGCCTCCTCCTGAGGTGCGTCTTGAAAGTTGGCATACGTCTTGAGCCTAAGCCAGGTAATCACCTCTCATCTCGAGACGATTTGGGGTACACGGAGCATTCCTCGAGTTGCCGTGCTGAAGTTGGTGTTCCTCTAGACTTGGGACAGTGTTCTCGGGGCATCTCTGGAGTTGCTTGAAGGAAGTCGAGCCACCGGTCGTGTTGAATGGGGAATGGGGAATGGCTCTGGAGTCAATGCAGGGGAATCGGGCCTCATCTCGAGTTGATTTCGGGCCCATGGAGCTGCTTTGCGTTGCTGGGGTGACCTCAGGGTCCGTCGAGACTGGTGACAGTGTTCTTGGGGACTGTCTCGAGATCCATTAAGCAAGTAGAAGCTCCTGACTTGTTTGAATGGGACCACGGAATAGCTCTGCATGCACTGCAGGGGAATGGGGTCTCATCTCGCCTCTAGGGAGAAGTCTCATGGTTTTTCTCGAGTTGCGGCGGGGACCTGGGGTATGTTCTCGACTTACGGCGGGGTTGGCCCTTCAAAACACAAGTTTCTTCAGTGACGTCAGGACTCCTGTCTAGTAACGAGGGACACCTCAGGAATCTCTTCGAGGCTTGGCAGGGCAAAAGGGACGCTTCTCGAGGTGAGGCAGGGCACCCAAAGACCCTTTCCAGTAGCCACAGGGATTTTGGGATTCCTATCAGAATTCAAGAGGAGTCAGGCATCGTCACCTTTTGAAGCAATGAACTCCGCGTGCCTCTCGAGGTGTCAACGGGATGTGAGGCATTCCGTCCAAATGAGGCAGGGACCTAGGGCTTTCTCTAAGGTCTCAACAGGGGTTTCAGACATCCCTTCATGTTGTGAGAAGAAAGACGAGCCTGTATTCAAGCCACTGCAAGGAAATCCGGCCTGCTTTCAAGTTAGGGCTTCTCGCTGTATATTGCCTTTGAGGCAGCGAACTCGGGGTCCCTCCCACATACATATTGCTGAGAGAAGCTTCCTCCTGAGGTGCGTCTTGAAAGTTGGCATACGTCTTGAGCCTAAGCCAGGGAATCACCTCTCATCTCGAGACGATTTGGGGTATACGGAGCATTCCTCGAGTTGCGTTGTTGAAGTTGGTGTTCCTCTAGACTTGGGACAGTGTTCTCGGGGCATCTCTGGAGTTGCCTGAAGGAAGTCGAGCCACCGGTCGTGTTGAATGGGGAACGGGGAATGGCTCTGGAGTCAATGCAGGGGAATCGGGCCTCATCTCGAGTTGATTTGGGGCACATGGAGCTGCTTTGCGTTGCTGGGGTGACCTCAGGGTCCGTCGAGACTGGTTACAGTGTTCTTGGGGACTGTCTCGAGATCCATTAAGCAAGTCGAAGCTCCTGACTTGTTTGAATGGGACCACGGAATAGCTCTGCATGCACTGCAGGGGAATGGGGTCTCATCTCGCCTCTAGGGGGTAGTCTCATGGTTTTTCTCGAGTTGCAGCGGGGACCTGGGGTATGTTCTCGACTTACGGCGGGGATGGCCCTTCAAAACACGAGTTTCTTCAGTGACGTCAGGACTCCTGTCTAGTAACGAGGGACACCTCAGGAATCTCTTCGAGGCTTGGCAGGGCAAAAGGGACGCTTCTCGAGGTGAGGCAGGGCACCCAAGGACCCTTTCCAGTAGCCACAGGGATTTTGGGATTCCTATCAGTATTCAAGAGGAGTCAGGCATCGTCACGTTTTGAAGCAATGAACTCTGCGTGCCTCTCGAGGTGTCAACGGGATGTGAGGCATTACGTCCAAATGAGGCAGGGACCTAGGGCTTTCTCTAAGGTCTCCACAGTGGATTCAGACATCCCTTCATGTTGTGAGATCAAAGACGAGCCTGTATTCAAGCCACTGCAAGGAAATCCGGCCTCCTTTCAAGTTAGGGCTTCTCGCTGTATATTGCCCTTGAGGCAGCGAACTCGGGGTCCCTCCCACATACCTATTGCTGAGAGAAGCCTCCTCCTATGGTGCGTCTTGAAACTTGGCATACGTCTTGAGCCTAAGCCAGGGAATCAGCTCTCATCTCGAGACGATTTGGGGTACACGGAGCATTCCTCGAGTTGCTGTGCTGAAGTTGGTGTTCCTCTAGACTTGGGACAGTGTTCTCGGGGTATCTCTGGAGTTGCCTGAAGGAAGTCGAGCCACCGGTCGTGTTGAATGGGGAACGGGGAATGGCTCTGGATTCAATGCAGGGGAATCGGGCCTCATCTCGAGTTGATTTGGGGCACATGGAGCTGCTTTGCGTTGCTGGGGTGACCTCAGCGTCCGTCGAGACTGGTGACAGTGTTCTTGGGGACTGTCTCGAGATCCATTAAGCAAGTCGAAGCTCCTGACTTGTTTGAATGGGACCACGGAATAGCTCTACATGCACTGCAGGGGAATGGGGCCTCATCTCGCCTCTAGGGGGAAGTCTCATGGTTTTTCTCGAGTTGCGGCGGGGACCTGGGGTATGTTCTCGACTTACGGCGGGGATGGCCCTTCAAAACACGAGTTTATTCAGTGACGTCAGGACTCCTGTCTAGTAACGAGGGACACCTCAGGAATCTCTTTGAGGCTTGGCAGGGCAAAAGGGACGATTCTCGAGGTGAGGCAGGGCACCCAAGGACCCTTTCCAGTAGCCACAGTGATTTTGGGATTCCTATCAGAATTCAAGAGGAGTCAGGCATCGTCACCTTTTGAAGCAATGAACTCCGCGTGCCTCTCGAGGTGTCAACGGGATGTGAGGCATTCCGTCCAAATGAGGCAGGGACCTAGGGCTTTCTCTAAGGTCTCCACAGGGGATTCAGATATCCCTTCATGTTGTGAGATGAAAGACGAGCCTGTATTCAAGCCACTGCAAGGAAATCCGGCGTCCTTTCAAGTTAGGGCTTCTCGCTGTATATTGCCCTTGAGGCAGCGAACTCGGGGTCCCTCCCACATACCTATTGCTGAGAGAAGCCTCCTCCTGAGGTGCGTCTGGAAAGTTGGCATACGTCTTGAGCCTAAGCCAGGGAATCAGCTCTCATCTCGAGACGATTTGGGGTACACGGAGCATTCCTCGAGTTGCTGTGCTGAAGTTGGTGTTCCTCTAGACTTGGGACAATGTTCTTGGGCTATCTCTGGAGTTGCCTGAAGTTAGTCGAGCCACCGGTCGTGTTGAATGGGGAACGGGGAATGGCTCTGGAGTCAATGCAGGGGAATCGGGCCTCATCTCGAGTTGATTTGGGGCACATGGAGCTGCTTTGCGTTGCTGGGGTGACCTCAGCGTCCGTCGAGACTGGTGACAGTGTTCTTGGGGACTGTCTCGAGATCCATTAAGCAAGTCGAAGCTCCTGACTTGTTTGAATGGGACCACGGAATAGCTCTGCATGCACTGCAGGGGAATGGGGCCTCATCTCGCCTCTAGGGGGAAGTCTCATGGTTTTTCTCGAGTTGCGGCGGGGACCTGGGGTATATTCTCGACTTACGGCGGGGATGGCCCTTCAAAACACGAGTTTCTTCAGTGACGTCAGGACTCCTGTCTAGTAACGAGGGACACCTCAGGAATCTCTTCGAGGCTTGGCAGGGCAAAAGGGACGCTTCTCGAGGTGAGGCAGGGCACCCAAGGACCCTTTCCAGTAGCCACAGGGATTTTGGGATTCCTATCAGTATTCAAGAGGAGTGAGGCATTGTCACCTTTTGAAGCAATGAACTTCGCGTGCCTCTTGAGGTGTCAATGGGATGTGAGGCATTCCGTCAAAATGAGGCAGGGACCTAGGGCTTTCTCTAAGGTCTCCACAGGGGATTCAGACACCCCTTCATGTTGTGAGATGAAAGACGAGCCTGTATTCAAGCCACTGCAAGGAAATCCGGCCTCCTTTCAAGTTAGGGCTTCTCGCTGTATATTGCCCTTGAGGCAGCGAACTCGGGGTCCCTCCCAGATACCTATTGCTGAGAGAAGCCTCCTCCTGAGGTGCGTCTTGAAAGTTGGCATACGTCTTGATCCTAAGCCAGGGAATCAGCTCTCATCTCGAGACGATTTGGGGTACACGGAGCATTCCTCGAGTTGCTGTGCTGAAGTTGGTGTTCCTCTAGACTTGGGACAGTGTTCTCGGAGTATCTCTGGAGTTGCCTGAAGGAAGTCGAGCCACCGGTCGTGTTGAATGGGGAACGGGGAATGGCTCTGGAGTCAATGCAGGGGAATCGGGCCTCATCTCGAGTTGATTTGGGGCACATGGAGCTGCTTTGCGTTGCTGGGGTGACCTCAGCGTCCGTCGAGACTGGTGACAGTGTTCTTGGGGATTGTCTCGAGATCCATTAAGCAAGTCGAAGCTCCTGACTTGTTTGAATGGGACCACGGAATAGCTCTGCATGCACTGCAGGGGAATGGGGCCTCATCTCGCCTCTAGGGGGAAGTCTCATGGTTTTTCTCGAGTTGCGGCGGGGACCTGGGGTATGTTCTCGACTTACGGCGGGGATGGCCCTTCAAAACACGAGTTTCTTCAGTGACGTCAGGACTCCTGTCTAGTAACGAGGGACACCTCAGGAATCTCATCGAGGCTTGGAAGTGCAAATGGGACGCTTCTCGAGGTGAGGCAGGGCACCCAAGGACCCTTTCCAGTAGCCACAGGGATTTTGGGATTCCTATCAGAATTCAAGAGGAGTCAGGCATCGTCACCTTTTGAAGCAATGAACTCCGCGTGCCTCTCGAGGTGTCAACGGGATGTGAGGCATTCCGTCCAAATGAGGCAGGGACCTAGGGCTTTCTCTAAGGTCTCCACAGGGGATTCAGACATCCCTTCATGTTGTGAGATCAAAGACGAGCCTGTATTCAAGCCACTGCAAGGAAATCCGGCCTCCTTTCAAGTTAGGGCTTCTCGCTGTATATTGCCCTTGAGGCAGCGAACTCGGGGTCCCTCCCACATACCTATTGCTGAGAGAAGCCTCCTCCTGAGGTGCGTCTTGAAAGTTGGCATACGTCTTCAGCCTAAGCCAGGGAATCACCTCTCATCTCAAGACGATTTGGGGTACATGGAGCATTCCTCGAGTTGCCGTGCTGAAGATGGTGTTCCTCTAGAATTGGGACAGTGTTCTCAGGGCATATCTGGAGTTTCCTGAAGGAAGTCGAGCCACCGGTCGTGTTGACTGGGGAACGGGGAATGGCTCTGGAGTCAGTGCAGGGGAATCGGGCCTCATCTCGAGTTGATATGGGGCCCATGGAGCTGCTTTGCGTTGCTGGGGTGACCTCAGGGTCCGTCGAGACTGGTGACAGTGTTCTTGGGGACTGTCTCGAGAACCATTAAGCAAGTCTAAGCTCCTGACTTGCTTGAATGGGACCACAGAATAGCTCTGCATGCACTGCAGGGGAATGGGGCCTCATCTCGCCTCTAGGGGGAAGTCTCATGGTTTTTCTCGAGTTGCGGCGGGGACCTGGGGTATGTTCTCGACTTTCGGCGGGGATGGCCCTTCAAAACACGAGTTTCTTCAGTGACGTCAGGACTCCTGTCTAGTAACGAGGGACACCTCAGGAATCTCTTCGAGGCTTGGCAGGGCAAAAGGGACGCTTCTCGATGTGAGGCAGGGCACCGAAGGACCCTTTCCAGTAGCCACAGGGATTTTGGGATTCCTATCTATATTCAAGAGGACTGAGGCATTGTCACCTTTTGAAGCAATGAACTTCGCGTGCCTCTTGAGGTGTCTACGGGATGTGAGGCATTCCGTCAAAATGAGGCAGGGACCTAGGGCTTTCTCTAAGGTCTCCACAGGGGATTCAGACATCCCTTCAGGTTGTGAGATGAAAGACGAGCCTGTATTCAAGCCACTGCAAGGAAATCCGGCCTCCTTTCAAGTTAGGGCTTCTCGCTGTATATTGCCCTTGAGGCAGCGAACTCGGGGTCCCTTCCACATACCTATTGCTGAGAGAAGCCTCCTCCTGAGGTGCGTCTGGAAAGTTGGCATACGTCTTGAGCCTAAGCCAGGGAATCAGCTCTCATCTCGAGACGATTTGGGGTACACGGAGCATGCCTCGAGTTGCTGTGCTGAAGTTGGTGTTCCTCTAGACTTCGGACAGTGTTCTCGGGGTATCTCTGGAGTTGCCTGAAGGAAGTCGAGCCACCGTTCGTGTTGATGGGGAACGCGGCATGGCTCTGGAGTCAATGCAGGGCAATCGGGACTCATCTCGAGTTGATTTGGGGCACATGGAGCTGCTTTGCGTTGCTGGGGTGACCTCAGGGTCCGTCGAGACTGGTGACAGTGTTCTTGGGGACTGTCTCGAGATCCATTAAGCAAGTTGAAGCTCCTGACTTGTATGAATGGGACCACGGAATAGCTCTGCATGCACTGCAGGGGAATGGGGCCTCATCTCGCCTCTTGGGGGAAGTCTCATGGTTTTTCTCGAGTTGCGGCGGGGACCTGGGTTATGTTCTCGACTTACGGCGGGGATGGCCCTTCAAAACACAAGTTTCTTCAGTGACGTCAGGACTCCTGTCTAGTAACGAGGGACATCTCAGGAATCTCATCGAGGCTTGGCAGTGCAAATGGGACGCTTCTTGAGGTGAGGCAGGGCACCCAAGGACCCTTTCCAGTAGCCACAGGGATTTTGGTATTCCTATCAGAATTCAAGAGGAGTCAGGCATCGTCACCTTTTGAAGCAATGAACTCCGCGTGCCTCTCGAGGTGTCAACGGGATGTGAGGCATTCCGTCCAAATGAGGCAGGGACCTAGGGCTTTCTCTAAGGTCTCCACAGGGGATTCAGACATCCCTTCATGTCGTGAGATCAAAGACGAGCCTGTATTCAAGCCACTGCAAGGAAATCCGGCCTCCTTTCAAGTTAGGGCTTCTCGCTGTATATTGCCCTTGAGGCAGCGTACTCGGGGTCCCTCCCACATACCTATTGCTGAGAGAAGCCTCCTCCTGAGGTGCATCTGGAAAGTTGGCAGACGTCTTGAGCCTAAGCCAGGGAATCACCTCTCATCTCGAGACGATTTGTTGTACACGGAGCATTCCTCGAGGTGCCGTGCTGAAATTGGTGTTCCTCTAGACTTGGGACAGTGTTCTCGGGGCATCTCTGGAGTTGCCTGAAGGAAGAAGAGCCACCGGTCGTGTTGAATGGGGAACGGGGAATGTCTCTGGAGTCAATGCACGGGAATCGGGCCTCATCTCGAGTTGATTTGGGGCCCATGGAGCTGCTTTGCGTTGCTGGGGTGACATCAGGGTCCGTCGAGACTGGTGACAGTGTTCTTGGGGACTGTCTCGAGAACCATTAAGCAAGTCGAAGCTCCTGACTTGTTTGAATGGGACCACGGGATAGCTCTGCATGCACTGCAGGGGAATGGGGCCTCATCTCGCCTCTAGGGGGAAGTCTCATGGTTTTTCTCGAGTTGCGGCGGGGACCTGGGGTATGTTCTCGACTTACGGCGGGGATGGCCCTTCAAAACACGAGTTTCTTCAGTGACGTCAGGACTCCTGTCTAGTAACGAGGGACACCTCAGGAATCTCTTCGAGGCTTGGCAGGGCAAAAGGGACGCTTCTCGAGGTGAGGCAGGGCACCCAAGGACCCTTTCCAGTAGCCACAGGGATTTTGGGATTCCTATCAGTATTCAAGATGAGTGAGGCATTGTCACCTTTTGAAGCAATGAACTTCGCGTGCCTCTTGAGGTGTCAACGGGATGTGAGGCATTCCGTCAAAATGAGGCAGGGACCTAGGGCTTTCTCTAAGGTCTCCACAGGGGATTCAGACATCCCTTCATGTTGTGAGATGAAAGACGAGCCTGTATTCAAGCCACTGCAAGGAAATCCGGCCTCCTTTCAAGTTAGGGCTTCTCGCTGTATATTGCCCTTGAGGCAGCGAACTCGGGGTCCCTCCCACATACCTATTGCTGAGAGAAGCCTCCTCCTGAGATGCGTCTTGAAAGTTGGCATACGTCTTGAGCCTAAGCCAGGGAATCACCTCACATCTCGAGACGATTTGGGGTACACGGAGCATTCCTCAAGTTGCCGTGCTGAAGTTCGTGTTCCTCTAGACTTGGGACAGTGTTTTCGGGGCATCTCTGGAGTTGCCTGAAGGAAGTCGAGCCACCGGTCGTGTTGAATGGGGAACGGGGAATGGCTCTGGAGTCAATGCAGGGGAATCGGGCCTCATCTCGAGTTGATTTGGGGCACATGGAGCGGCTTTGCGTTGCTGGGGTGACCTCAGCGTCCGTCGAGACTGGTGACAGTGTTCTTGGGGACTGTCTCGAGATCCATTAAGCAAGTCGAAGCTCCTGACTTGTTTGAATGGGACCACGGAATAGCTCTGCATGCACTGCAGGGGAATGGGGCCTCATCTCGCCTCTAGGGGGAAGTCTCATGGTTTTTCTCGAGTTTCGGCGGGGACCTGGGGTATGTTCTCGACTTACGGCGGGGATGGCCCTTCAAAACACGAGTTTCTTCAGTGACGTCAGGACTCCTGTCTAGTAACGAGGGAAAGCTCAGGAATCTCTTCGAGGCTTGGCAGGGCAAATGGGACTCTTCTCGAGGTGAGTCAGGGCACCCAAGACCCTTTCCAGTAGCCACAGGGATTTTCGGATTCCTATCAGTATTCAAGAGAAGTCAGGCATCGTCACCTTTTGAAGCAATGAACTCCGCGTGCCTCTCGAGGTGTCAACGGGATGTGAGGCATTACGTAAAATGAGGCAGGAATCTAGGGCTTTCTCTAAGATCTCCACAGGGCATTCAGACATCCCTTCATGTTGTGAGATCAAAGACGAGCCTGTATTCAAGCCACTGCAAGGAAATCCGGCCTCCTTTCAAGTTAGGGCTTCTCGCTGTATATTGCCCTTGAGGCAGCGAACTCGGGGTCCCTCCCAAATACGTATTGCTGAGAGAAGCCTCCTCCTGAGATGCGTCTTGAAACTTGGCATACGTCTTGAGCCTAAGCCAGGGAATCAGCTCTCATCTCGAGACGATTTGGGGTACACGGAGCATTCCTCGAGTTGCTGTGCTGAAGTTGGTGTTCCTCTAGACTTGGGACAGTGTTCTCGGGGCATCTCTGGAGTTGCCTGAAGGAAGTCGAGCCACCGGTCGTGTTGAATGGGGAACGGGGAATGGCTCTGGAGTCAATGCAGGGGAATCGGGCCTCATCTCGAGTTGATTTGGGGCCCATGGAGCTGCTTTGCGTTGCTGGTGTGACCTCAGGGTCCGTCGAGACTGGTGACAGTGTTCTTGGGGACTGTCTCGAGAACCATTAAGCAAGTCGAAGCTCCTGACTTGCTTGAATGGGACCACGGAATAGCTCTGCATGCACTGCAGGGGAATGGGGCCTCATCTCGCCTCTAGGGGGAAGTCTCATGGTTTTTCTCGAGTTGCAGCGGGGACCTGGGGTATGTTCTCGACTTACGGCGGGGATGGCCCTTCAAAACACGAGTTTCTTCAGTGACGTCAGGACTCCTGTCTAGTAACGAGGGACACCTCAGGAATCTCTTCGAGGCTTGGCAGGGCAAAAGGGACGCTTCTCGAGGTGAGGCAGGGCACCCAAGGACCCTTTCCAGTAGCCACAGGGATTTTGGGTTTCCTATCAGTATTCAAGAGGAGTGAGGCATTGTCACCTTTTGAAGCAATGAACTTCGCGTGCCTCTTGAGGTGTCAACGGGATGTGAGGCATTCCGTCAAAATGAGGCAGGGACCTAGGGCTTTCTCTAAGGTCTCCACAGGGGATTCAGACATCCCTTCATGTTGTGAGATGAAAGACGAGCCTGTATTCAAGCCACTGCAAGGAAATCCGGCCTCCTTTCAAGTTAGGGCTTCTCGCTGTATATTGCCCTTGAGGCAGCGAACTCGGGGTCCCTTCCACATACCTATTGCTGAGAGAAGCCTCCTCCTGAGGTGCGTCTGGAAAGTTGGCATACGTCTTGAGCCTAAGCCAGGGAATCAGCTCTCATCTCGAGACGATTTGGGGTACACGGAGCATGCCTCGAGTTGCTGTGCTGAAGTTGGTGTTCCTCTAGACTTCGGACAGTGTTCTCGGGGTATCTCTGGAGTTGCCTGAAGGAAGTCGAGCCACCGTTCGTGTTGAATGGGGAACGCGGCATGGCTCTGGAGTCAATGCAGGGCAATCGGGCCTCATCTCGAGTTGATTTCGGGCACATGGAGCTGCTTTGCGTTGCTGGGGTGACCTCAGCGTCCGTCGAGACTGGTGACAGTGTTCTTGGGGACTGTCTCGAGATCCATTAAGCAAGTTGAAGCTCCTGACTTGTATGAATGGGACCACGGAATAGCTCTGCATGCACTGCAGGGGAATGGGGCCTCATCTCGCCTCTTGGGGGAAGTCTCATGGTTTTTCTCGAGTTGCGGCGGGGACCTGGGTTATGTTCTCGACTTACGGCGGGGATGGCCCTTCAAAACACGAGTTTCTTCAGTGACGTCAGGACTCCTGTCTAGTAACGAGGGACATCTCAGGAATCTCATCGAGGCTTGGCAGTGCAAATGGGACGCTTCTTGAGGTGAGGCAGGGCACCCAAGGACCCTTTCCAGTAGCCACAGGGATTTTGGTATTCCTATCAGAATTCAAGAGGAGTCAGGCATCGTCACCTTTTGAAGCAATGAACTCCGCGTGCCTCTCGAGGTGTCAACGGGATGTGAGGCATTCCGTCCAAATGAGGCAGGGACCTAGGGCTTTCTCTAAGGTCTCCACAGGGGATTCAGACATCCCTTCATGTCGTGAGATCAAAGACGAGCCTGTATTCAAGCCACTGCAAGGAAATCCGGCCTCCTTTCAAGTTAGGGCTTCTCGCTGTATATTGCCCTTGAGGCAGCGTACTCGGGGTCCCTCCCACATACCTATTGCTGAGAGAAGCCTCCTCCTGAGGTGCATCTGGAAAGTTGGCAGACGTCTTGAGCCTAAGCCAGGGAATCACCTCTCATCTCGAGACGATTTGGGGTACACGGAGCATTCCTCGAGGTGCCGTGCTGAAGTTGGTGTTCCTCTAGACTTGGGACAGTGTTCTCGGGGCATTTCTGGAGTTGCCTGAAGGAAGAAGAGCCACCGGTCGTGTTGAATGGGGAACGGGGAATGGCTCTGGAGTCAATGCACGGGAATCGGGCCTCATCTCGAGTTGATTTGGGGCCCATGGAGCTGCTTTGCGTTGCTGGGGTGACATCAGGGTCCGTCGAGACTGGTGACAGTGTTCTTGGGGACTGTCTCGAGAACCATTAAGCAATTCGAAGCTCCTGACTTGTTTGAATGGGACCACGGGATAGCTCTGCATGCACTGCAGGGGAATGGGGCCTCATCTCGCCTCTAGGGGTAAGTCTCATGGTTTTTCTCGAGTTGCGGTGGGGACCTGGGGTATGTTCTCGACTTACGGCGGGGATGGCCCTTCAAAACACGAGTTTCTTCAGTGACGTCAGGACTCCTGTCTAGTAACGAGGGACACCTCAGGAATCTCTTCGAGGCTTGGCAGGGCAAAAGGGACGCTTCTCGAGGTGAGGCAGGGCACCCAAGGACCCTTTCCAGTAGCCACAGGGATTTTGGGATTCCTATCAGTATTCAAGAGGAGTGAGGCATTGTCACCTTTTGAAGCAATGAACTTCGCGTGCCTCTTGAGGTGTCAACGGGATGTGAGGCATTCCGTCAAAATGAGGCAGGGACCTAGGGCTTTCTCTAAGGTCTCCACAGGGGATTCAGACATCCCTTCATGTTGTGAGATGAAAGACGAGCCTCTATTCAAGCCACTGCAAGGAAATCCGGCCTCCTTTCAAGTTAGGGCTTCTCGCTGTATATTGCCCTTGAGGCAGCGAACTCGGGGTCCCTCCCACATACCTATTGCTGAGAGAAGCCTCCTCCTGAGATGCGTCTTGAAAGTTGGCATACCTCTTGAGCCTAAGCCAGGGAATCACCTCACATCTCGAGACGATTTGGGGTACACGGAGCATTCCTCGAGTTGCCGTGCTGAAGTTCGTGTTCCTCTAGACTTGGGACAGTGTTTTCGGGGCATCTCTGGAGTTGCCTGAAGGAAGTCGAGCCACCGGTCGTGTTGAATGGGGAACGGGGAATGGCTCTGGAGTCAATGCAGGGGAATCGGGCCTCATCTCGAGTTGATTTGGGGCACATGGAGCGGCTTTGCGTTGCTGGGGTGACCTCAGCGTCCGTCGAGACTGGTGACAGTGTTCTTGGGGACTGTCTCGAGATCCATTAAGCAAGTCGAAGCTCCTGACTTGTTTGAATGGGACCACGGAATAGCTCTGCATGCACTGCAGGGGAATGGGGCCTCATCTCGCCTCTAGGGGGAAGTCTCATGGTTTTTCTCGAGTTGCGGCGGGGACCTGGGGTATGTTCTCGACTTACGGCGGGGATGGCCCTTCAAAACACGAGTTTCTTCAATGACGTCAGGACTCCTGTCTAGTAACGAGGGAAAGCTCAGGAATCTCTTCGAGGCTTGGCAGGGCAAATGGGACGCTTCTCGAGGTGAGTCAGGGCACCCAAGACCCTTTCCAGTAGCCACAGGGATTTTCGGATTCCTATCAGTATTCAAGAGAAGTCAGGCATCGTCACCTTTTGAAGCAATGAACTCCGCGTGCCTCTCGAGGTGTCAACGGGATGTGAGGCATTACGTCCAAATGAGGCAGGAATCTAGGGCTTTCTCTAAGATCTCCACAGGGCATTCAGACATCCCTTCATGTTGTGAGATCAAAGACGAGCCTGTATTCAAGCCACTGCAAGGAAATCCGGCCTCCTTTCAAGTTAGGGCTTCTCGCTGTATATTGCCCTTGAGGCAGCGAACTCGGGGTCCCTCTCAAATACGTATTGCTGAGAGAAGCCTCCTCCTGAGATGCGTCTTGAAACTTGGCATACGTCTTGAGCCTAAGCCAGGGAATCAGCTCTCATCTCGAGACGATTTGGGGTACACGGAGCATTCCTCGAGTTGCTGTGCTGAAGTTGGTGTTCCTCTAGACTTGGGACAGTGTTCTCGGGGCATCTCTGGAGTTGCCTGAAGGAAGTCGAGCCACCGGTCGTGTTGAATGGGGAACGGGGAATGGCTCTGGAGTCAATGCAGGGGAATCGGGCCTCATCTCGAGTTGATTTGGGGCCCATGGAGCTGCTTTGCGTTGCTGGGGTGACCTCAGGGTCCGTCGAGACTGGTGACAGTGTTCTTGGGGACTGTCTCGAGAACCATTAAGCAAGTCGAAGCTCCTGACTTGCTTGAATGGGACCACGGAATAGCTCTGCATGCACTGCAGGGGAATGGGGCCTCATCTCGCCTCTAGGGGGAAGTCTCATGGTTTTTCTCGAGTTGCGGCGGGGACCTGGGGTATGTTCTCGACTTACGGCGGGGATGGCCCTTCAAAACACGAGTTTCTTCAGTGACGTCAGGACTCCTGTCTAGTAACGAGGGACACCTCAGGAATCTCTTCGAGGCTTGGCAGGGCAAAAGGGACGCTTCTCGAGGTGAGGCAGGGCACCCAAGGACCCTTTCCAGTAGCCACAGGGATTTTGGGTTTCCTATCAGTATTCAAGAGGAGTGAGGCATTGTCACCTTTTGAAGCAATGAACTTCGCGTGCCTCTTGAGGTGTCAACGGGATGTGAGGCATTCCGTCAAAATGAGGCAGGGACCTAGGGCTTTCTCTAAGGTCTCCACAGGGGATTCAGACATCCCTTCATGTTGTGAGATCAAAGACGAGCCTGTATTCAAGCCACTGCAAGGAAATCCGGCCTCCTTTCAAGTTAGGGCTTCTCGCTGTATATTGCCCTTGAGGCAGCGAACTCGGTGTCCCTCCCACATACCTATTGCTGAGAGAAGCCTCCTCCTGAGGTGCGTCTGGAAAGTTGGCATGCGTCTTGAGCCTAAGTCAGGGAATCAGCTCTCATCTCGAGACGATTTGTGGTACACGGAGCATTCCTCGAGTTGCTGTGCTGAAGTTGGTGTTCCTCTAGACATGGGACAGTGTTCTCGGGGTATCTCTGGAGTTGCCTGAAGGAAGTCGAGCCACCGGTCGTGTTGAATGGGGAACGGGGAATGGCTCTGGAGTCAATGCAGGGGAATCGGGCCTCATCTCGAGTTGATTTGGGGCACATGGAGCTGCTTTGCGTTGCTGGGGTGACCTCAGCGTCCGTCAAGACTGGTGACAGTGTTCTTGGGGACTGTCTCGAGATCCATTAAGCAAGTCGAAGCTCCTGACTTGTTTGAATGGGACCACGGAATAGCTCTGCATGCACTGCAGGGGAATGGGGCCTCATCTCGCCTCTAGGGGGAAGTCTCATGGTTTTTCTCGAGTTGCGGCGGGGACCTGGGGTATGTTCTCGACTTACGGCGGGGATGGCCCTTCAAAACACGAGTTTCTTCAGTGACGTCAGGACTCCTGTCTAGTAACGAGGGACACCTCAGGAATATCATCGAGGCTTGGCAGTGCAAATGGGACGCTTCTTGAGGTGAGGCAGGGCACCCAAGGACCCTTTCCAGTAGCCACAGGGATTTTGGGATTCCTATCACAATTCAAGAGGAGTCAGGCATCGTCACCTTTTGAAGCAATGAACTCCGCATGCCTCTCGAGGTGTCAACGGGATGTGAGGCATTCCGTCCAAATGAGGCAGGGACCTAGGGTTTTCTCTAAGGTCTCCACAGGGGATTCAGACATCCCTTCATGTTGTGAGAAGAAAGACGAGCCTGTATTCAAGCCACTGCAAGGAAATCCGGCCTCCATTCAAGTTAGGGCTTCTCGCTGAATATTGCCCTTGAGGCAGCGAACTCGGGGTCCCTCCCACATACCTATTGCTGAAAGAAGCCTCCTCCTGAGGTGCGTCTGGAAAGTTGGCATACGTCTTGAGCCTAAGCCAGGGAATCACCTCTCATCTCGAGAAGATTTGTGGTACATGGAGCATTCCTCGAGTTGCCGTGCTGAAGTTGGTGTTCCTCTAGACTTGAGACAGTGTTCTCTGGGCATCTCTGGACTTGCCTGAAGGAAGTCGAGCCACCGGTCGTGTTGAATTGGGAACGGGGAATGGCTCTGGAGTCAATGCAGGGGAATCGGGCCTCATCTCGAGTTGATTTGGGGCCCATGGAGCTGCTTTGCGTTGCTGGGGTGACCTCAGGGTCGTCGAGACTGGTGACAGTGTTCTTGGGGACTGTCTCGAGAACCATTAAGCAAGTCGAAGCTCCTGACTTGCTTGAATGGGACCACGGAATAGCTCTGCATGCACTGCAGGGGAATGGGGCCTCATCTCGCCTCTAGGGGGAAGTCTCATGGTTTTTCTCGAGTTGCGGCGGGGACCTGGGGTATGTTCTCGACTTACAGCGGGGATGGCCCTTCAAAACACGAGTTTCTTCAGTGACGTCAGGACTCCTGTCTAGTAACGAGGGACACCTCAGGAATCTCTTCGAGGCTTGGCAGGGCAAAAGGGACGCTTCTCGAGGTGAGGCAGGGCACCCAAGGACCCTTTCCAGTAGCCACAGGGATTTTGGGATTCCTATCAGTATTCAAGAGGAGTGAGGCATTGTCACCTTTTGAAGCAATGAACTTCGCGTGCCTCTTGAGGTGTCAACGGGATGTGAGGCATTCCGTCAAAATGAGGCAGGGACCTAGGGCTTTCTCTAAGGTCTCCACAGGGGATTCAGACATCCCTTCATGTTGTGAGATGAAAGACGAGCCTCTATTCAAGCCACTGCAAGGAAATCCGGCCTCCTTTCAAGTTAGGGCTTCTCGCTGTATATTGCCCTTGAGGCAGCGAACTCGGGGTCCCTCCCACATACCTATTGCTGAGAGAAGCCTCCTCCTGAGATGCGTCTTGAAAGTTGGCATACGTCTTGAGCCTAAGCCAGGGAATCACCTCACATCTCGAGACGATTTGGGGTACACGGAGCATTCCTCGAGTTGCCGTGCTGAAGTTCGTGTTCCTCTAGACTTGGGACAGTGTTTTCGGGGCATCTCTGGAGTTGCCTGAAGGAAGTCGAGCCACCGGTCGTGTTGAATGGGGAACGGGGAATGGCTCTGGAGTCAATGCAGGGGAATCGGGCCTCATCTCGAGTTGATTTGGGGCACATGGAGCGGCTTTGCGTTGCTGGGGTGACCTCAGCGTCCGTCGAGACTGGTGACAGTGTTCTTGGGGACTGTCTCGAGATCCATTAAGCAAGTCGAAGCTCCTGACTTGTTTGAATGGGACCACGGAATAGCTCTGCATGCACTGCAGGGGAATGGGGCCTCATCTCGCCTCTAGGGGGAAGTCTCATGGTTTTTCTCGAGTTGCGGCGGGGACCTGGGGTATGTTCTCGACTTACGGCGGGGATGGCCCTTCAAAACACGAGTTTCTTCAATGACGTCAGGACTCCTGTCTAGTAACGAGGGAAAGCTCAGGAATCTCTTCGAGGCTTGGCAGGGCAAATGGGACGCTTCTCGAGGTGAGTCAGGGCACCCAAGACCCTTTCCAGTAGCCACAGGGATTTTCGGATTCCTATCAGTATTCAAGAGAAGTCAGGCATCGTCACCTTTTGAAGCAATGAACTCCGCGTGCCTCTCGAGGTGTCAACGGGATGTGAGGCATTACGTCCAAATGAGGCAGGAATCTAGGGCTTTCTCTAAGATCTCCACAGGGCATTCAGACATCCCTTCATGTTGTGAGATCAAAGACGAGCCTGTATTCAAGCCACTGCAAGGAAATCCGGCCTCCTTTCAAGTTAGGGCTTCTCGCTGTATATTGCCCTTGAGGCAGCGAACTCGGGGTCCCTCCCAAATACGTATTGCTGAGAGAAGCCTCCTCCTGAGATGCGTCTTGAAACTTGGCATACGTCTTGAGCCTAAGCCAGGGAATCAGCTCTCATCTCGAGACGATTTGGGGTGCACGGAGCATTCCTCGAGTTGCTGTGCTGAAGTTGGTGTTCCTCTAGACTTGGGACAGTGTTCTCGGGGCATCTCTGGAGTTGCCTGAAGGAAGTCGAGCCACCGGTCGTGTTGAATGGGGAACGGGGAATGGCTCTGGAGTCAATGCAGGGGAATCGGGCCTCATCTCGAGTTGATTTGGGGCCCATGGAGCTGCTTTGCGTTGCTGGGGTGACCTCAGGGTCCGTCGAGACTGGTGACAGTGTTCTTGGGGACTGTCTCGAGAACCATTAAGCAAGTCGAAGCTCCTGACTTGCTTGAATGGGACCACGGAATAGCTCTGCATGCACTGCAGGGGAATGGGGCCTCATCTCGCCTCTAGGGGGAAGTCTCATGGTTTTTCTCGAGTTGCGGCGGGGACCTGGGGTATGTTCTCGACTTACGGCGGGGATGGCCCTTCAAAACACGAGTTTCTTCAGTGACGTCAGGACTCCTGTCTAGTAACGAGGGACACCTCAGGAATCTCTTCGAGGCTTGGCAGGGCAAAAGGGACGCTTCTCGAGGTGAGGCAGGGCACCCAAGGACCCTTTCCAGTAGCCACAGGGATTTTGGGTTTCCTATCAGTATTCAAGAGGAGTGAGGCATTGTCACCTTTTGAAGCAATGAACTTCGCGTGCCTCTTGAGGTGTCAACGGGATGTGAGGCATTCCGTCAAAATGAGGCAGGGACCTAGGGCTTTCTCTAAGGTCTCCACAGGGGATTCAGACATCCCTTCATGTTGTGAGATCAAAGACGAGCCTGTATTCAAGCCACTGCAAGGAAATCCGGCCTCCTTTCAAGTTAGGGCTTCTCGCTGTATATTGCCCTTGAGGCAGCGAACTCGGGGTCCCTCCCACATACCTATTGCTGAGAGAAGCCTCCTCCTGAGGTGCGTCTGGAAAGTTGGCATGCGTCTTGAGCCTAAGTCAGGGAATCAGCTCTCATCTCGAGACGATTTGTGGTACACGGAGCATTCCTCGAGTTGCTGTGCTGAAGTTGGTGTTCCTCTAGACTTGGGACAGTGTTCTCGGGGTATCTCTGGAGTTGCCTGAAGGAAGTCGAGCCACCGGTCGTGTTGAATGGGGAACGGGGAATGGCTCTGGAGTCAATGCAGGGGAATCGGGCCTCATCTCGAGTTGATTTGGGGCACATGGAGCTGCTTTGCGTTGCTGGGGTGACCTCAGCGTCCGTCAAGACTGGTGACAGTGTTCTTGGGGACTGTCTCGAGATCCATTAAGCAAGTCGAAGCTCCTGACTTGTTTGAATGGGACCACGGAATAGCTCTGCATGCACTGCAGGGGAATGGGGCCTCATCTCGCCTCTAGGGGGAAGTCTCATGGTTTTTCTCGAGTTGCGGCGGGGACCTGGGGTATGTTCTCGACTTACGGCGGGGATGGCCCTTCAAAACACGAGTTTCTTCAGTGACGTCAGGACTCCTGTCTAGTAACGAGGGACACCTCAGGAATATCATCGAGGCTTGGCAGTGCAAATGGGACGCTTCTTGAGGTGAGGCAGGGCACCCAAGGACCCTTTCCAGTAGCCACAGGGATTTTGGGATTCCTATCAGAATTCAAGAGGAGTCAGGCATCGTCACCTTTTGAAGCAATGAACTCCGCATGCCTCTCGAGGTGTCAACGGGATGTGAGGCATTCCGTCCAAATGAGGCAGGGACCTAGGGTTTTCTCTAAGGTCTCCACAGGGGATTCAGACATCCCTTCATGTTGTGAGAAGAAAGACGAGCCTGTATTCAAGCCACTGCAAGGAAATCCGTCCTCCATTCAAGTTAGGGCTTCTCGCTGTATATTGCCCTTGAGGCAGCGAACTCGGGGTCCCTCCCACATACCTATTGCTGAAAGAAGCCTCCTCCTGAGGTGCGTCTGGAAAGTTGGCATACGTCTTGAGCCTAAGCCAGGGAATCACCTCTCATCTCGAGAAGATTTGTGGTACATGGAGCATTCCTCGAGTTGCCGTGCTGAAGTTGGTGTTCCTCTAGACTTGAGACAGTGTTCTCTGGGCATCTCTGGACTTGCCTGAAGGAAGTCGAGCCACCGGTCGTGTTGAATTGGGAACGGGGAATGGCTCTGGAGTCAATGCAGGGGAATCGGGCCTCATCTCGAGTTGATTTGGGGCCCATGGAGCTGCTTTGCGTTGCTGGGGTGACCTCAGGGTCGTCGAGACTGGTGACAGTGTTCTTGGGGACTGTCTCGAGAACCATTAAGCAAGTCGAAGCTCCTGACTTGCTTGAATGGGACCACGGAATAGCTCTGCATGCACTGCAGGGGAATGGGGCCTCATCTCGCCTCTAGGGGGAAGTCTCATGGTTTTTCTCGAGTTGCGGCGGGGACCTGGGGTATGTTCTCGACTTACAGCGGGGATGGCCCTTCAAAACACGAGTTTCTTCAGTGACGTCAGGACTCCTGTCTAGTAACGAGGGACACCTCAGGAATCTCTTCGAGGCTTGGCAGGGCAAAAGGGACGCTTCTCGAGGTGAGGCAGGGCACCCAAGGACCCTTTCCAGTAGCCACAGGGATTTTGGGATTCCTATCAGTATTCAAGAGGAGTGAGGCATTGTCACCTTTTGAAGCAATGAACTTCGCGTGCCTCTTGAGGTGTCAACGGGATGTGAGGCATTCCGTCAAAATGAGGCAGGGCCCTAGGGCTTTCTCTAAGGTCTCCACAGGGGATTCAGACATCCCTTCATGTTGTGAGATGAAAGACAAGCCTCTATTCAAGCCACTGCAAGGAAATCCGGCCTCCTTTCAAGTTAGGGCTTCTCGCTGTATATTGCCCTTGAGGCAGCGAACTCGGGGTCCCTCCCACATACCTATTGCTGAGAGAAGCCTCCTCCTGAGATGCGTCTTGAAAGTTGGCATACGTCTTGAGCCTAAGCCAGGGAATCACCTCACATCTCGAGACGATTTGGGGTACACGGAGCATTCCTCGAGTTGCCGTGCTGAAGTTCGTGTTCCTCTAGACTTGGGACAGTGTTTTCGGGGCATCTCTGGAGTTGCCTGAAGGAAGTCGAGCCACCGGTCGTGTTGAATGGGGAACGGGGAATGGCTCTGGAGTCAATGCAGGGGAATCGGGCCTCATCTCGAGTTGATTTGGGGCACATGGAGCGGCTTTGCGTTGCTGGGGTGACCTCAGCGTCCGTCGAGACTGGTGACAGTGTTCTTGGGGACTGTCTCGAGATCCATTAAGCAAGTCGAAGCTCCTGACTTGTTTGAATGGGACCACGGAATAGCTCTGCATGCACTGCAGGGGAATGGGGCCTCATCTCGCCTCTAGGGGGAAGTCTCATGGTTTTTCTCGAGTTGCGGCGGGGACCTGGGGTATGTTCTCGACTTACGGCGGGGATGGCCCTTCAAAACACGAGTTTCTTCAATGACGTCAGGACTCCTGTCTAGTAACGAGGGAAAGCTCAGGAATCTCTTCGAGGCTTGGCAGGGCAAATGGGACGCTTCTCGAGGTGAGTCAGGGCACCCAAGACCCTTTCCAGTAGCCACAGGGATTTTCGGATTCCTATCAGTATTCAAGAGAAGTCAGGCATCGTCACCTTTTGAAGCAATGAACTCCGCGTGCCTCTCGAGGTGTCAACGGGATGTGAGGCATTACGTCCAAATGAGGCAGGAATCTAGGGCTTTCTCTAAGATCTCCACAGGGCATTCAGACATCCCTTCATGTTGTGAGATCAAAGACGAGCCTGTATTCAAGCCACTGCAAGGAAATCCGGCCTCCTTTCAAGTTAGGGCTTCTCGCTGTATATTGCCCTTGAGGCAGCGAACTCGGGGTCCCTCCCAAATACGTATTGCTGAGAGAAGCCTCCTCCTGAGATGCGTCTTGAAACTTGGCATACGTCTTGAGCCTAAGCCAGGGAATCAGCTCTCATCTCGAGACGATTTGGGGTACACGGAGCATTCCTCGAGTTGCTGTGCTGAAATTGGTGTTCCTCTAGACTTGGGACAGTGTTCTCGGGGCATCTCTGGAGTTGCCTGAAGGAAGTCGAGCCACCGGTCGTGTGGAATGGGGAACGGGGAATGGCTCTGGAGTCAATGCAGGGGAATCGGGCCTCATCTCGAGTTGATTTGGGGCCCATGGAGCTGCTTTGCGTTGCTGGGGTGACCTCAGGGTCCGTCGAGACTGGTGACAGTGTTCTTGGGGACTGTCTCGAGAACCATTAAGCAAGTCGAAGCTCCTGACTTGCTTGAATGGGACCACGGAATAGCTCTGCATGCACTGCAGGGGAATGGGGCCTCATCTCGCCTCTAGGGGGAAGTCTCATGGTTTTTCTCGAGTTGTGGCGGGGACCTGGGGTATGTTCTCGACTTACGGCGGGGATGGCCCTTCAAAACACGAGTTTCTTCAGTGACGTCAGGACTCCTGTCTAGTAACGAGGGACACCTCAGGAATCTCTTCGAGGCTTGGCAGGGCAAAAGGGACGCTTCTCGAGGTGAGGCAGGGCACCCAAGGACCCTTTCCAGTAGCCACAGGGATTTTGGGTTTCCTATCAGTATTCAAGAGGAGTGAGGCATTGTCACCTTTTGAAGCAATGAACTTCGCGTGCCTCTTGAGGTGTCAACGGGATGTGAGGCATTCCGTCAAAATGAGGCAGGGACCTAGGGCTTTCTCTAAGGTCTCCACAGGGGATTCAGACATCCCTTCATGTTGTGAGATCAAAGACGAGCCTGTACTCAAGCCACTGCAAGGAAATCCGGCCTCCTTTCAAGTTAGGGCTTCTCGCTGTATATTGCCCTTGAGGCAGCGAACTCGGTGTCCCTCCCACATACCTATTGCTGAGAGAAGCCTCCTCCTGAGGTGCGTCTGGAAAGTTGGCATGCGTCTTGAGCCTAAGTCAGGGAATCAGCTCTCATCTCGAGACGATTTGTGGTACACGGAGCATTCCTCGAGTTGCTGTGCTGAAGTTGGTGTTCCTCTAGACTTGGGACAGTGTTCTCGGGGTATCTCTGGAGTTGCCTGAAGGAAGTCGAGCCACCGGTCGTGTTGAATGGGGAACGGGGAATGGCTCTGGAGTCAATGCAGGGGAATCGGGCCTCATCTCGAGTTGATTTGGGGCACATGGAGCTGCTTTGCGTTGCTGGGGTGACCTCAGCGTCCGTCAAGACTGGTGACAGTGTTCTTGGGGACTGTCTCGAGATCCATTAAGCAAGTCGAAGCTCCTGACTTGTTTGAATGGGACCACGGAATAGCTCTGCATGCACTGCAGGGGAATGGGGCCTCATCTCGCCTCTAGGGGGAAGTCTCATGGTTTTTCTCGAGTTGCGGCGGGGACCTGGGGTATGTTCTCGACTTACGGCGGGGATGGCCCTTCAAAACACGAGTTTCTTCAGTGACGTCAGGACTCCTGTCTAGTAACGAGGGACACCTCAGGAATATCATCGAGGCTTGGCAGTGCAAATGGGACGCTTCTTGAGGTGAGGCAGGGCACCCAAGGACCCTTTCCAGTAGCCACAGGGATTTTGGGATTCCTATCAGAATTCAAGAGGAGTCAGGCATCGTCACCTTTTGAAGCAATGAACTCCGCATGCCTCTCGAGGTGTCAACGGGATGTGAGGCATTCCGTCCAAATGAGGCAGGGACCTAGGGTTTTCTCTAAGGTCTCCACAGGGGATTCAGACATCCCTTCATGTTGTGAGAAGAAAGACGAGCCTGTATTCAAGCCACTGCAAGGAAATCCGGCCTCCATTCAAGTTAGGGCTTCTCGCTGTATATTGCCCTTGAGGCAGCGAACTCGGGGTCCCTCCCACATACCTATTGCTGAAAGAAGCCTCCTCCTGAGGTGCGTCTGGAAAGTTGGCATACGTCTTGAGCCTAAGCCAGGGAATCACCTCTCATCTCGAGAAGATTTGTGGTACATGGAGCATTCCTCGAGTTGCCGTGCTGAAGTTGGTGTTCCTCTAGACTTGAGACAGTGTTCTCTGGGCATCTCTGGACTTGCCTGAAGGAAGTCGAGGCACCGGTCGTGTTGAATTGGGAACGGGGAATGGCTCTGGAGTCAATGCAGGGGAATCGGGCCTCATCTCGAGTTGATTTGGGGCCCATGGAGCTGCTTTGCGTTGCTGGGGTGACCTCAGGGTCGTCGAGACTGGTGACAGTGTTCTTGGGGACTGTCTCGAGAACCATTAAGCAAGTCGAAGCTCCTGACTTGCTTGAATGGGACCACGGAATAGCTCTGCATGCACTGCAGGGGAATGGGGCCTCATCTCGCCTCTAGGGGGAAGTCTCATGGTTTTTCTCGAGTTGCGGCGGGGACCTGGGGTATGTTCTCGACTTACAGCGGGGATGGCCCTTCAAAACACGAGTTTCTTCAGTGACGTCAGGACTCCTGTCTAGTAACGAGGGACACCTCAGGAATCTCTTCGAGGCTTGGCAGGGCAAAAGGGACGCTTCTCGAGGTGAGGCAGGGCACCCAAGGACCCTTCCAGTAGCCACAGGGATTTTGGGATTCCTATCAGTATTCAAGAGGAGTGAGGCATCGTCACCTTTTGAAGCAATGAACTTCGCGTGCCTCTTGAGGTGTCAACGGGATGTGAGGCATTCCGTCAAAATGAGGCAGGGACCTAGGGCTTTCTCTAAGGTCTCCACAGGGGATTCAGACATCCCTTCATGTTGTGAGATGAAAGACGAGCCTGTATTCAAGCCACTGCAAGGAAATCCGGCCTCCTTTCAAGTTAGGGCTTCTCGCTGTACATTGCCCTTGAGGCAGCGAACTCGGGGTCCCTCCCACATAACTATTGCTGAGAGAAGCCTCCTCCTGAGGTGCGTCTGGAAAGTTGGCATACGTCTTGAGCCTAAGCCAGGGAATCAGCTCTCATCTCGAGACGATTTGGGGTACACGGAGCATTCCTCGAGTTGCTGTGCTGAAGTTGGTGTTCCTCTAGACTTGGGACAGTGTTCTCGGGGCATCTCTGGAGTTGTCTGAAGGAAGTCGAGCCACCGGTCGTGTTGAGTGGGGAACGGGGAATGGCTCTGGAGTCAATGCAGGGGAATCGGGCCTCATCTCGAGTTGATTTGGGGCACATGGAGCTGCTTTGCGTTGCTGGGGTGACCTCAGGGTCCATCGAGACTGGTGACAGTGTTCTTGAGGACTGTCTCGAGATCCATTAAGCAAGTCGAAGCTCCTGACTTGTTGAATGGGACCACGGAATAGCTCTGCATGCACTGCAGGGGAATGGGGTCTCATCTCGCCTCTAGGGGGAAGTCTCATGGTTTTTCTCGAGTTGCGGCGGGGACCTGGGGTATGTTCTCGACTTACGGCGGGGATGGCCCTTCAAAACACGAGTTTCTTCAGTGACGTCAGGACTCCTGTCTAGTAACGAGGGACATCTCAGGAATCTCTTCGAGGCTTGGCAGGGCAAATGGGACGCTTCTTGAGGTGAGGCAGGGCACCCAAGGACACTTTCCAGTAGCCACAGGGATTTTGGGATTCCTATCAGAATTCAAGAGGAGTCAGGCATCGTCACCTTTTGAAGCAATGAACTCCGCATGCCTCTGGAGGTGTCAACGGGATGTGAGGCATTCCGTCCAAATGAGGCAGGGACCTAGGGCTTTCTCTAAGGTCTCCACAGGGGATTCAGACATCCCTTCGTGTTGTGAGATCAAAGACGAGCCTGTATTCAAGCCACTGCAAGGAAATCCGGCCTCCTTTCAAGTTAGGGCTTCTCGCTGTATATTGCCCTTGAGGCAGCGAACTCGGGGTCCCTCCCACATACCTATTGCTGAGAGAAGCCCCCTCCTGAGGTGCGTCTTGAAAGTTGGCATACGTCTTGAGCCTAAGCCAGGGAATCACCTCTCATCTCGAGACGATTTGGGGTACACGGAGCATTCCTCGAGTTGCCGTGCTGTAGTTGGTGTTCCTCTAGACTTGAGACAGTGTTCTCGGGGCATCTCTGGAGTTGCCTGAAGGAAGTCGAGCCACCGGTCGTGTTGAATGGGGAACGGGGAATGGCTCTGGAGTCAATGCAGGGGAATCGGGCCTCATCTCGAGTTGATTTGGGGCCCATGGAGCTGCTTTGCGTTGCTGGGGTGAACTCAGGGTCGTCGAGACTGGTGACAGTGTTCTTGGGGACTGTCTCGAGAACCATTAAGCAAGTCGAAGCTCCTGACTTGATTGAATGGGACCACGGAATAGCTCTGCATGCACTGCAGGGGAATGGGGCCTCATCTCGCCTCTAGGGGGAAGTCTCATGGTTTTTCTCGAGTTGCGGCGGGGACCTGGGGTATGTTCTCGACTTACGGCGGGGATGGCCCTTCAAAACACGAGTTTCTTCAGTGACGTCAGGACTCCTGCCTAGTAACGAGGGACACCTCAGGAATCTCTTCGAGGCTTGGCAGGGCAAAAGGGACACTTCTCGAGGTGAGGCAGGGCACCAAAGGACCCTTTCCAGTAGCCACAGGGATTTTGGGATTCCTATCAGTATTCAAGAGGAGTGAGGTATTGTCACCTTTTTAAGCAATGAACTTCGCGTGCCTCTCGAGGTGTCAACGGGATGTGAGGCATTCCGTCAAAATGAGGCAGGGACCTAGGGCTTTCTCTAAGGTCTCCACAGGGGATTCAGACATCCCTTCATGTTGTGAGATCAAAGACGAGCCTGTATTCAAGCCACTGCAAGGAAATCCGGGCTCCTTTCAAGTTAGGGCTTCTCGCTGTACATTGCCCTTGAGGCAGCGAACTCGGGGTCCCTCCCACATAACTATTGCTGAGAGAAGCCTCCTCCTGAGGTGCGTCTGGAAAGTTGGCATACGTCTTGAGCCTAAGCCAGGGAATCAGCTCTCATCTCGAGACGATTTGGGATACACGGAGCATTCCTCGAGTTGCTGTGCTGAAGTTAGTGTTCCTCTAGACTTCGGACAGTGTTCTCGGGGTATCTCTGGAGTTGCCTGAAGGAAGTCGAGCCACAGTTCGTGTTGAATGGGGAACGCGGAATGGCTCTGGAGTCAATGCAGGGGAATCGGGCCTCATCTCGAGTTGATTTGGGGCACATGGAGCTGCTTTGCTTTGCTGGGGTGACCTCAGGGTCCATCGAGACTGGTGACAGGGTTCTTGAGGACTGTCTCGAGATCCCTTAAGCAAGTCGAAGCTCCTGACTTGTTGAATGGGACCACGGAATAGCTCTGCATGCACTGCAGGGGAATGGGGTCTCATCTCGCCTCTAGAGGGAAGTCTCATGGTTTTTCTCGAGTTGCGGCGGGGACCTGGGGTAAGTTCTCGACTTACGGCGGGGATGGCCGTTCAAAACACGAGTTTCTTCAGTGACGTCAGGACTCCTGTCTAGTAATGAGGGACATCTCAGGAATCTCTTCGAGGCTTGGCAGGGCAAATGGGACGCTTCTTGAGGTGAGGCAGGGCACCCAAGGACCCTTTCCAGTAGCCACAGGGATTTTGGGATTCCTATCAGTATTCAAGAGGAGTGAGGCATTGTCACCTTTTGAAGCAATGAACTTTGCGTGCCTCTTGAGGTGTCAACGGGATGTGAGGCATTCCGTCAAAATGAGGCAGGGACCTAGGGCTTTCTCTAACGTCTCCACAGGGGATTCAGACATCCCTTCATGTTGTGAGATCAAAGACGAGCCTGTATTCAAGCCACTGCAAGGAAATCCGGCCTCCTTTCAAGTTAGGGCTTCTCGCTGTATATTGCCCTTGAGGCAGCGAACTCGGGGTCCCTCCCACATACCTATTGCTGAGAGAAGCCTCCTCCTGAGGTGCGTCTTGAAAGTTGGCATACGTCTTGAGCCTAAGCCAGGGAATCACCTCTCATCTCGAGACGATTTGGGGTACACGGAGCATTCCTCGAGTTGCCGTGCTGAAGTTGGTGTTCCTCTAGACTTGGGACAGTGTTCTCGGGGCATCTCTGGAGTTGCCTGAAGGAAGTCGAGCCACCGGTCGTGTTGAATGGGGAACGGGGAATGGCTCTGGAGTCAATGCAGGGGAATCGGGCCTCATCTCGAGTTGATTTAGGGCCCATGGAGCTGCTTTGCGTTGCTGGGGTGACCTCAGGGTCCGTCGAGACTGGTGACAGTGTTCTTGGGGACTGTCTCGAGAACCATTAAGCAAGTCGAAGCTCCTGACTTGCTTGAATGGGACCACGGAATAGCTCTGCATGCACTGCAGGGGAATGGGGCCTCATCTCGCCTCTAGGGGGAAGTCTCATGGTTTTTCTCGAGTTGCGGCGGGGACCTGGGGTATGTTCTCGATTTACGGCGGGGATGGCCCTTCAAAACACGAGTTTCTTCAGTGACGTCAGGACTCCTGTCTAGTAACGAGGGACACCTCAGGAATCTCTTCGAGGCTTGTCAGGGCAAAAGGGACGCTTCTCGAGGTGAGGCAGGGCACCCAAGGACCCTTTCCAGTAGCCACAGGGATTTTGGGATTCCTATCAGTATTCAAGAGGAGTGAGGCATTGTCACCTTTTGAAGCAATGAACTTTGCGTGCCTCTTGAGGTGTCAACGGGATGTGAGGCATTCCGTCAAAATGAGGCAGGGACCTAGGGCTTTCTCTAAGGTCTCCACAGGGGATTCAGACATCCCTTCATGTTGTGAGATCAAAGACGAGCCTGTATTCAAGCCACTGCAAGGAAATCCGGCCTCCTTTCAAGTTAGGGCTTCTCGCTGTATATTGCCCTTGAGGCAGAGAACTCGGGGTCCCTCCCACATACTTATTGCTGAGAGAAGCCTCCTCCTGAGGTGCTTCTGGGAAGTTGGCATACGTCTTGAGCCTAAACCAGGGAATCACCTCTCATCTCGAGACGATTTGGGGTACACGGAGCATTCCTCGAGTTGCCGTGCTGAAGTTGGTGTTCCTCTAGACTTGGGACAGTGTTCTCGGGGCATCTCTGGAGTTGCCTGAAGGAAGTCGAGCCACTGGTCGTGTTGAATGGGGAACGGGGAATGGCTCTGGAGTCAATGCAGGGGAATCGGGCCTCATCTCGAGTTGATTTGGGGCCCATGGAGCTGCTTTGCGTTGCTGTGGTGACGTCAGGGTCCGTCGAGACTGGTGACAGTGTTCTTGGGGACTGTCTCGAGAACAATTAAGCAAGTCGAAGATCCTGACTTGCTTGAATGGGACCACGGAATAGCTCTGCATGCACTGCAGGGGAATGGGACCTCATCTCGCCTCTAGGGGGAAGTCTCATGGATATTCTCGAGTTGCGGCGGGGACCTTGGGTATGTTCTCGACTTACGGCGGGGATGGCCCTTCAAAACACGAGTTTCTTCAGTGACGTCAGGACTCCTGTCTAGTAACGAGGGACACCTCAGGAATCTCTTCGAGGCTTGGCAGGGCAAAAGGGACGCTTCTCGAGGTGAGGCAGGGCACCCAAGGACCCTTTCCGGTAGCCACAGGGATTTTGGGATTCCTATCAGTATTCAAGAGGAGTGAGGCATTGTCACCTTTTGAAGCAATGAACTTCGCGTGCCTCTTGAGGTGTCAACGGGATGTGAGGCATTCCGTCAAAATGAGGCAGGTAACTAGGGCTTTCTCTAAGGTCTCCACAGGGGATTCAGACATCCCTTCATGTTGTGAGATGAAAGACGAGCCTGTATTCAGGCCACTGCAAGGAAATCCGGCCTCCTTTCAAGTTAGGGCTTCTCGCTGTATATTGCCCTTGAGGCAGCGAACTCGGGGTCCCTCCCACATACCTATTGCTGAGAGAAGCCTCCTCCTGAGGTGCGTCTGGAAAGTTGGCATACGTCTTGAGCCTAAGCCAGGGAATCACCTCTCATCTCGAGACGATTTGGGGTACACGGAGCATTCCTCGAGTGGCTGTGCTGAATTTGGTGTTCCTCTAGACTTGGGACAATGTTCTCGGGGTATCTCTGGAGTTGCATGAAGGAAGTCGAGCCACCGGTCGTGTTGAATGGGGAACTGGGAATGGCTCTGGAGTCAATGCAGGGGAATCGGGCCTCATCTCGAGTTGATTTGGGGCCCACGGTGCTGCTTTGCGTTGCTGGGGTGACCTCAGGGTCCGTCGAGACTGGTGACAGTGTTCTTGGGGACTGTGTCGAGAACCATTAAGCAAGTCGAAGCTCCTGACTTGCTTGAATGGGACCACGGAATAGCTCTGCATGCACTGCAGGGGAATGGGGCCTCATCTCGCCTCTAGGGGGAAGTCTCATGGTTTTTCTCGAGTTGCAGCGGGGACCTGTTGTATGTTCTTGACTTACGGCGTTGATGGCCCTTCAAAACACGAGTTTCTTCAGTGACGTCAGGACTCCTGTCTAGTAACGCGGGACACCTCAGGAATTTCTTCGAGGCTTGGCAGGGCAAAAGGGACGCTTCCCGAGGTGTGGCAGGGCACCCAAGGACCCTTTCCAGTAGCCACAGGGATTTTGGTATTCCTATCAGTATTCAAGAGGAGTGAGGCATTGTCACCTTTTGAAGCAATGAACTCCGCGTGCCTCTCGAGGTGTCAACGGGATGTGAGGCATTCCATCCAAATGAGGCAGGGACCTAGGGCTTTCTCTAAGGTCTCCACAGGGGATTCAGACATCCCTTCATGTTGTGAGAAGAAAGACGAGCCTGTATTCAAGCCACTGCAAGGAAATCCGGCCTCCTTTCAAGTTAGGGCTTCTCGCTGTATATTGCCTTTGAGGCAGCGAACTCGGGGTCCCTCCCACATACCTATTGCTGAGAGAAGCCTCCTCCTGAGGTGCGTCTTGAAAGTTGGCATACGTCTTGAGCCTAAGCCAGGGAATCACCTCTCATCTCGAGACGATTTGGGGTACACGGAGCATTCCTCGAGTTGCCTTGTTGAAGTTGGTGTTCCTCTAGACTTGGGACAGTGTTCTCGGGGCATCTCTGGAGTTGCCTGAAGGAAGTCGAGCCACCGGTCGTGTTGAATGGGGAACGGGGAATGGCTCTGGAGTCAATGCAGGGGAATCGGGCCTCATCTCGGTTGATTTGGGGCACATGGAGCTGCTTTGCGTTGCTGGGGTGACCTCAGGGTCCGTCGAGACTGGTGACAGTGTTCTTGGGGACTGTCTCGAGATCCATTAAGCAAGTCGAAGCTCCTGACTTGCTTGAATGGGACCACGGAATAGCTCTGCATGCACTGCAGGGGAATGGGGTCTCATCTCGCCTCTAGGGGGAAGTCTCATGGTTTTTCTCGAGTTGCGGCGGGGACCTGGGGTATGTTCTCGACTTACGGCGGGGATGGCCCTTCAAAACACGAGTTTCTTCAGTGACGTCAGGAATCCTGTCTAGTAACGAGGGACACCTCAGGAATCTCTTCGAGGCTTGGCAGGGCAAAAGGGACGCTTCTTGAGGTGAGGCAGGGCACCCAAGGACCCTTTCCAGTAGCCACAGGGATTTTGGGATTCCTATCAGAATTCAAGAGGAGTCAGGCATCGTCACCTTTTGAAGCAATGAACTCCGCATGCCTCTCGAGGTGTCAACGGGATGTGAGGCATTCCGTCCAAATGAGGCAGGGACCTAGGGCTTTCTCTAAGGTCTCCACAGGGGATTCAGACATCCCTTCATGTTGTGAGAAGAAAGACGAGCCTGTATTCAAGCCACTGCAAGGAAATCCGGCCTCCATTCAAGTTAGGGCTTCTCGCTGTATATTGCCCTTGAGGCAGCGAACTCGGGGTCCCTCCCACATACCTATTGCTGAAAGAAGCCTCCTCCTGAGGTGCGTCTGGAAAGTTGGCATACGTCTTGAGCCTAAGCCAGGGAATCACCTCTCATCTCGAGACGATTTGTGGTACATGGAGCATTCCTCGAGTTGCCGTGCTGAAGTTGGTGTTCCTCTAGACTTGAGACAGTGTTCTCTGGGCATCTCTGGACTTGCCTGAAGGAAGTCGAGCCACCGGTCGTGTTGAATTGGGAACGGGGAATGGCTCTGGAGTCAATGCAGGGGAATCGGGCCTCATCTCGAGTTGATTTGGGGCCCATGGAGCTGCTTTGCGTTGCTGGGGTGACCTCAGGGTCGTCGAGACTGGTGACAGTGTTCTTGGGGACTGTCTCGAGAACCATTAAGCAAGTCGAAGCTCCTGACTTGCTTGAATGGGACCACGGAATAGCTCTGCATGCACTGCAGGGGAATGGGGCCTCATCTCGCCTCTAGGGGGAAGTCTCATGGTTTTTCTCGAGTTGCGGCGGGGACCTGGGGTATGTTCTCGACTTACAGCGGGGATGGCCCTTCAAAACACGAGTTTCTTCAGTGACGTCAGGACTCCTGTCTAGTAACGTGGGACACCTCAGGAATCTCTTCGAGGCTTGGCAGGGCAAAAGGGACGCTTCTCGAGGTGAGGCAGGGCACCCAAGGACCCTTTCCAGTAGCCACAGGGATTTTGGGATTCCTATCAGTATTCAAGAGGAGTGAGGCATTGTCACCTTTTGAAGCAATGAACTTCGCGTGCCTCTTGAGGTGTCAACGGGATGTGAGGCATTCCGTCAAAATGAGGCAGGGACCTAGGGCTTTCTCTAAGGTCTCCACAGGGGATTCAGACATCCCTTCATGTTGTGAGATCAAAGACGAGCCTGTATTCAAGCCACTGCAAGGAAATCCGGCCTCCTTTCAAGTTAGGGCTTCTCGCTGTATATTGCCCTTGAGGCAGCGAACTCGGGGTCCCTCCCACATACCTATTGCTGAGAGAAGCCTCCTCCTGAGGTGCGTCTTGAAAGTTGGCATACGTCTTGAGCCTAAGCCAGGGAATCACCTCTCATCTCGAGACGATTTGGGGTACACGGAGCATTCCTCGAGTTGCCGTGCTGAAGTTGGTGTTCCTCTAGACTTGGGACAGTGTTCTCGGGGCATCTCTGGAGTTGCCTGAAGGAAGTCGAGCCACCGGTCGTGTTGAATGGGGAACGGGGAATGGCTCTGGAGTCAATGCAGGGGAATCGGGCCTCATCTCGAGTTGATTTAGGGCCCATGGAGCTGCTTTGCGTTGCTGGGGTGACCTCAGGGTCCGTCGAGACTGGTGACAGTGTTCTTGGGGACTGTCTCGAGAACCATTAAGCAAGTCGAAGCTCCTGACTTGCTTGAATGGGACCACGGAATAGCTCTGCATGCACTGCAGGGGAATGGGGCCTCATCTCACCTCTAGGGGGAAGTCTCATGGTTTTTCTCGAGTTGCGGCGGGGACCTGGGGTATGTTCTCGATTTACGGCGGGGATGGCCCTTCAAAACACGAGTTTCTTCAGTGACGTCAGGACTCCTGTCTAGTAACGAGGGACACCTCAGGAATCTCTTCGAGGCTTGGCAGGGCAAAAGGGACGATTCTCGAGGTGAGGCAGGGCACCCAAGGACCCTTTCCAGTAGCCAAAGGGATTTTGGGATTCCTATCAGTATTCAAGAGGAGTGAGGCATTGCCACCTTTTGAAGCAATGAACTTCGCGTGCCTCTTAAGGTGTTAACGGGATGTGAGGCATTCCGTCACAATGAGGCAGGGACCTAGGGCTTTCTCTAAGGTCTCCACAGGGGATTCAGACATACCTTCATGTTGTGAGATGAAAGACGAGCCTGTATTCAAGCCACTGCAAGGAAATCCGGCCTCCTTTCAAGTTAGGGCTTCTCGCTGTATATTGCCCTTGAGGCAGCGAACTCGGGGTCCCTCCCACATACCTATTGCTGAGAGAAGCCTACTCCTGAGGTGCGTCTGGAAAGTTGGCATACGTCTTGAGCCTAAGCCAGGGAATCAGCTCTCATCTCGAGACGACTTGGGGTACACGGAGCATTTCTCGAGTTGCTGTGCTGAAGTTGGTGTTCCTCTAGAGTTGGGACAATGTTCTTGGAGTATCTCTGGAGTTGCCTGAAGTTAGTCGAGCCACCGGTCGTGTTGAATGGGGAACGGGGAATGGCTCTGGAGTCAATGCAGGGGAATCGGGCCTCATCTCGAGTTGATTTGGGGCACATGGAGCTGCTTTGCGTTGCTGGGGTGACCTCAGCGTCCGTCGAGACTGGTGACAGTGTTCTTGGGGACTGTCTCGAGATCCATTAAGCAAGTCGAAGCTCCTGACTTGTTTGAATGGGACCACGGAATAGCTCTGCATGCACTGCAGGGGAATGGGGCCTCATCTCGCCTCTAGGGGGAAGTCTCATGGTTTTTCTCGAGTTGCGGCGGGGACCTGGGTTATGTTCTCGACTTACGGCGGGGATGGCCCTTCAAAACACGAGTTTCTTCAGTGACGTCAGGACTCCTGTCTAGTAACGAGGGACACCTCAGGAATCTCTTCGAGGCTTGGCAGGGCAAAAGGGACGCTTCTCGAGGTGAGGCAGGGCACCCAAGGACCCTTTCCAGTAGCCACAGGGATTTTGGGATTCCTATCAGAATTCAAGAGGAGTGAGGCATTGTCACCTTTTGAAGCAATGAACTTCGCGTGCCTCTTGAGGTGTCAACGGGATGTGAGGCATTCCGTCAAAATGAGGCAGGGACCTAGGGCTTTCTCTAAGGTCTCCACAGGGGATTCAGACATCCCTTCATGTTGTGAGATCAAAGACGAGCCTGTATTCAAGCCACTGCAAGGAAATCCGGCCTCCTTTCAAGTTAGGGCTTCTCGCTGTATATTGCCCTTGAGGCAGCGAACTCGGGGTCCCTCCCACATACCTATTGCTGAGAGAAGCCTCCTCCTGAGGTGCGTCTGGAAAGTTGGCATACGTCTTGAGCCTAAGCCAGGGAATCACCTCTCATCTCGAGACGATTTGGGGTACACGGAGCATTCCTCGACGTGCCGTGCTGAAGTTGGTGTTCCTCTAGACTTGAGACAGTGTTCTCTGGGCATCTCTGGACTTGCCTGAAGGAAGTCGAGCCACCGGTCGTGTTGAATTGGGAACGGGGAATGGCTCTGGAGTCAATGCAGGGGAATCGGGCCTCATCTCGAGTTGATTTGGGGCCCATGGAGCTGCTTTGCGTTGCTGGGGTGACCTCAGGGTCGCCGAGACTGGTGACAGTGTTCTTGGGGACTGTCTCGAGAACCATTAAGCAAGTCGAAGCTCCTGACTTGCTTGAATGGGACCACGGAATAGCTCTGCATGCACTGCAGGGGAATGGGGCCTCATCTCGCCTCTAGGGGGAAGTCTCATGGTTTTTCTCGAGTTGCGGCGGGGACCTGGGGTATGTTCTCGACTTACAGCGGGGATGGCCCTTCAAAACACGAGTTTCTTCAGTGACGTCAGGACTCCTGTCTAGTAACGAGGGACACCTCAGGAATCTCTTCGAGGTTTGGCAGGGCAAAAGGGACGCTTCTCGAGGTGAGGCAGGGCACCCAAGGACCCTTTCCAGTAGCCACAGGGATTTTGGGATTCCTATCAGTATTCAAGAGGAGTGAGGCATTGTCACCTTTTGAAGCAATGAACTTTGCGTGCCTCTTGAGGTGTCAACGGGATGTGAGGCATTCCGTCAAAATGAGGCAGGGACCTAGGGCTTTCTCTAACGTCTCCACAGGGGATTCAGACATCCCTTCATGTTGTGAGATCAAAGACGAGCCTGTATTCAAGCCACTGCAAGGAAATCCGGCCTCCTTTCAAGTTAGGGCTTCTCGCTGTATATTGCCCTTGAGGCAGCGAACTCGGGGTCCCTCCCACATACCTATTGCTGAGAGAAGCCTCCTCCTGAGGTGCGTCTTGAAAGTTGGCATACGTCTTGAGCCTAAGCCAGGGAATCACCTCTCATCTCGAGACGATTTGGGGTACACGGAGCATTCCTCGAGTTGCCGTGCTGAAGTTGGTGTTCCTCTAGACTTGGGACAGTGTTCTCGGGGCATCTCTGGAGTTGCCTGAAGGAAGTCGAGCCACCGGTCGTGTTGAATGGGGAACGGGGAATGGCTCTGGAGTCAATGCAGGGGAATCGGGCCTCATCTCGAGTTGATTTAGGGCCCATGGAGCTGCTTTGCGTTGCTGGGGTGACCTCAGGGTCCGTCGAGACTGGTGACAGTGTTCTTGGGGACTGTCTCGAGAACCATTAAGCAAGTCGAAGCTCCTGACTTGCTTGAATGGGACCACGGAATAGCTCTGCATGCACTGCAGGGGAATGGGGCCTCATCTCGCCTCTAGGGGGAAGTCTCATGGTTTTTCTCGAGTTGCGGCGGGGACCTGGGGTATGTTCTCGATTTACGGCGGGGATGGCCCTTCAAAACACGAGTTTCTTCAGTGACGTCAGGACTCCTGTCTAGTAACGAGGGACACCTCAGGAATCTCTTCGAGGCTTGTCAGGGCAAAAGGGACGCTTCTCGAGGTGAGGCAGGGCACCCAAGGACCCTTTCCAGTAGCCACAGGGATTTTGGGATTCCTATCAGTATTCAAGAGGAGTGAGGCATTGTCACCTTTTGAAGCAATGAACTTTGCGTGCCTCTTGAGGTGTCAACGGGATGTGAGGCATTCCGTCAAAATGAGGCAGGGACCTAGGGCTTTCTCTAAGGTCTCCACAGGGGATTCAGACATCCCTTCATGTTGTGAGATCAAAGACGAGCCTGTATTCAAGCCACTGCAAGGAAATCCGGCCTCCTTTCAAGTTAGGGCTTCTCGCTGTATATTGCCCTTGAGGCAGAGAACTCGGGGTCCCTCCCACATACTTATTGCTGAGAGAAGCCTCCTCCTGAGGTGCTTCTGGGAAGTTGGCATACGTCTTGAGCCTAAACCAGGGAATCACCTCTCATCTCGAGACGATTTGGGGTACACGGAGCATTCCTCGAGTTGCCGTGCTGAAGTTGGTGTTCCTCTAGACTTGGGACAGTGTTCTCGGGGCATCTCTGGAGTTGCCTGAAGGAAGTCGAGCCACTGGTCGTGTTGAATGGGGAACGGGGAATGGCTCTGGAGTCAATGCAGGGGAATCGGGCCTCATCTCGAGTTGATTTGGGGCCCATGGAGCTGCTTTGCGTTGCTGTGGTGACGTCAGGGTCCGTCGAGACTGGTGACAGTGTTCTTGGGGACTGTCTCGAGAACAATTAAGCAAGTCGAAGATCCTGACTTGCTTGAATGGGACCACGGAATAGCTCTGCAAGCACTGCAGGGGAATGGGACCTCATCTCGCCTCTAGGGGGAAGTCTCATGGATTTTCTCGAGTTGCGGCGGGGACCTGGGGTATGTTCTCGACTTACGGCGGGGATGGCCCTTCAAAACACGAGTTTCTTCAGTGACGTCAGGACTCCTGTCTAGTAACGAGGGACACCTCAGGAATCTCTTCGAGGCTTGGCAGGGCAAAAGGGACGCTTCTCGAGGTGAGGCAGGGCACCCAAGGACCCTTTCCGGTAGCCACAGGGATTTTGGGATTCCTATCAGTATTCAAGAGGAGTGAGGCATTGTCACCTTTTGAAGCAATGAACTTCGCGTGCCTCTTGAGGTGTCAACGGGATGTGAGGCATTCCGTCAAAATGAGGCAGGTAACTAGGGCTTTCTCTAAGGTCTCCACAGGGGATTCAGACATCCCTTCATGTTGTGAGATGAAAGACGAGCCTGTATTCAAGCCACTGCAAGGAAATCCGGCCTCCTTTCAAGTTAGGGCTTCTCGCTGTATATTGCCCTTGAGGCAGCGAACTCGGGGTCCCTCCCACATACCTATTGCTGAGAGAAGCCTACTCCTGAGGTGCGTCTGGAAAGTTGGCATACGTCTTGAGCCTAAGCCAGGGAATCAGCTCTCATCTCGAGACGACTTGGGGTACACGGAGCATTTCTCGAGTTGCTGTGCTGAAGTTGGTGTTCCTCTAGACTTGGGACAATGTTTTTGGAGTATCTCTGGAGTTGCCTGAAGTTAGTCGAGCCACCGGTCGTGTTGAATGGGGAACGGGGAATGGCTCTGGAGTCAATGCAGGGGAATCGGGCCTCATCTCGAGTTGATTTGGGGCACATGGAGCTGCTTTGCGTTGCTGGGGTGACCTCAGCGTCCGTCGAGACTGGTGACAGTGTTCTTGGGGACTGTCTCGAGATCCATTAAGCAAGTCGAAGCTCCTGACTTGTTTGAATGGGACCACGGAATAGCTCTGCATGCACTGCAGGGGAATGGGGCCTCATCTCGCCTCTAGGGGGAAGTCTCATGGTTTTTCTCGAGTTGCGGCGGGGACCTGGGTTATGTTCTCGACTTACGGCGGGGATGGCCCTTCAAAACACGAGTTTCTTCAGTGACGTCAGGACTCCTGTCTAGTAACGAGGGACACCTCAGGAATCTCTTCGAGGCTTGGCAGGGCAAAAGGGACGCTTCTCGAGGTGAGGCAGGGCACCCAAGGACCCTTTCCAGTAGCCACAGGGATTTTGGGATTCCTATCAGAATTCAAGAGGAGTGAGGCATTGTCACCTTTTGAAGCAATGAACTTCGCGTGCCTCTTGAGGTGTCAACGGGATGTGAGGCATTCCGTCAAAATGAGGCAGGGACCTAGGGCTTTCTCTAAGGTCTCCACAGGGGATTCAGACATCCCTTCATGTTGTGAGATCAAAGACGAGCCTGTATTCAAGCCACTGCAAGGAAATCCGGCCTCCTTTCAAGTTAGGGCTTCTCGCTGTATATTGCCCTTGAGGCAGCGAACTCGGGGTCCCTCCCACATACCTATTGCTGAGAGAAGCCTCCTCCTGAGGTGCGTCTGGAAAGTTGGCATACGTCTTGAGCCTAAGCCAGGGAATCAGCTCTCATCTCGAGACGATTTGGGGTACACAGAGCATTCCTCGAGTTGCTGTGCTGAAGTTGGTGTTCCTCTAGACTTGGGACAGTGTTCTCGGGGTATCTCTGGAGTTGCCTGAAGGAAGTCGAGCCACCGGTCGTGTTGAGTGGGGAACGGGTAATGGCTCTGGAGTCAATGCAGGGGAATCGGGCCTCATCTCGAGTTGATTTGGGGCACATGGAGCTGCTTTGCGTTGCTGGGGTGACCTCAGCGTCGGTCGAGACTGGTGACAGTGTTCTTGGGGACTGTCTCGAGATCGATTAAGCAAGTCGAAGCTCCTGACTTGTTTGAATGGGACCACGGAATAGCTCTGCATGCACTGCAGGGGAATGGGGTCTCATCTCGCCTCTAGGGGGAAGTCTCATGGTTTTTCTCGAGTTGCGGCGGGGACCTGGGGTATGTTCTCGACTTACAGCGGGGATGGCCCTTCAAAACACGAGTTTCTTCAGTGACGTCAGGACTCCTGTCTAGTAACGAGGGACACCTCAGGAATCTCTTCGAGGCTTGGCAGGGCAAAAGCGACGTTTCTCGAGGTGAGGCAGGACACCCAAGGACCCTTTCCAGTAGCCACAGGGATTTTGGGATTCCTATCAGTATTCAAGAGGAGTGAGGCATTGTCACCTTTTGAAGCAATGAACTTTGCGTGCCTCTTGAGGTGTCAACGGGATGTGAGGCATTCCGTCAAAATGAGGCAGGGACCTAGGGCTTTCTCTAAGGTCTCCACAGGGGATTCAGACATCCCTTCATGTTGTGAGATCAAAGACGAGCCTGTATTCAAGCCACTGCAAGGAAATCCGGCCTCCTTTCAAGTTAGGGCTTCTCGCTGTATATTGCCCTTGAGGCAGAGAACTCGGGGTCCCTCCCACATACTTATTGCTGAGAGAAGCCTCCTCCTGAGGTGCGTCTTGAAAGTTGGCATACGTCTTGAGCCTAAGCCAGGGAATCACCTCTCATCTCGAGACGATTTGGGGTACACGGAGAATTCCTCGAGTTGCCGTGCTGAAGTTGGTGTTCCTCTAGACTTGGGACAGTGTTCTCGGGGCATCTCTGGAGTTGCCTGAAGGAAGTCGAGCCACCGGTCGTGTTGAATGGGGAACGGGGAATGGCTCTGGAGTCAATGCAGGGGAATCGGGCCTCATCTCGAGTTGATTTGGGGCCCATGGAGCTGCTTTGCGTTGCTGGGGTGACGTCAGGGTCCGTCGAGACTGGTGACAGTGTTCTTGGGGACTGTCTCGAGAACCATTAAGCAAGTCGAAGCTCCTGACTTGCTTGAATGGGACCACGGAATAGCTCTGCATGCACTGCAGGGGAATGGGGCCTCATCTCGCCTCTTGGGGGAAGTCTCATGGTTTTTCTCGAGTTGCGGCGGGAACCTGGGGTATGTTCTCGACTTACGGCGGGGATGGCCCTTCAAAACACGAGTTTCTTCAGTGACGTCAGGACTCCTGTCTAGTAACGAGGGACACCTCTGGAATCTCTTCGAGGCTTGGCAGGGCAAAAGGGACGCTTCTCGAGGTGAGGCAGGGCACCCAAGGACCCTTTCCAGTAGCCACAGGGATTTTGGGATTCCTATCAGTATTCAAGATGAGTGAGGCATTGTCACCTTTTGAAGCAATGAACTTCGCGTGCCTCTTGAGGTGTCAACGGGATGTGAGGCATTCCGTCAAAATGAGGCAGGGACCTAGGGCTTTCTCTAAGGTCTCCACAGGGGATTCAGACATCCCTTCATGTTGTGAGATTAAAGACGAGCCTGTATTCAAGCCACTGCAAGGAAATCCGGCCTCCTTTCAAGTTAGGGCTTCTCGCTGTATATTGCCCTTGAGGCAGCGAACTCGGTGTCCCTCCCACATACCTATTGCTGAGAGAAGCCTCCTCCTGAGGTGCGTCTGGAAAGTTGGCATGCGTCTTGAGCCTAAGTCAGGGAATCAGCTCTCATCTCGAGATGATTTGTGGTACACGGAGCATTCCTCGAGTTGCTGTGCTGAAGTTGGTGTTCCTCTAGACTTGGGACAGTGTTCTCGGGGTATCTCTGGAGTTGCCTGAAGGAAGTCGAGCCACCGGTCGTGTTGAATGGGGAACGGGGAATGGCTCTGGAGTCAATGCAGGGGAATCGGGCCTCATCTCGAGTTGATTTGGGGCACATGGAGCTGCTTTGCGTTGCTGGGGTGACCTCAGCGTCCGTCAAGACTGGTGACAGTGTTCTTGGGGACTGTCTCGAGATCCATTAAGCAAGTCGAAGCTCCTGACTTGTTTGAATGGGACCACGGAATAGCTCTGCATGCACTGCAGGGGAATGGGGCCTCATCTCGCCTCTAGGGGGAAGTCTCATGGTTTTTCTCGAGTTGCGGCGGGGACCTGGGGTATGTTCTCGACTTACGGCGGGGATGGCCCTTCAAAACACGAGTTTCTTCAGTGAGGTCAGGACTCCTGTCTAGTAACGAGGGACACCTCAGGAATCTCTTCGAGGCTTGGCAGGGCAAAAGGGACGCTTCTCGACGTGAGGCAGGGCACCCAAGGACCCTTTCCAGTAGCCACAGGGATTTTGGGATTCCTATCAGTATTCAAGAGGAGTGAGGCATTGTCACCTTTTGAAGCAATGAACTTCGCGTGCCTCTTGAGGTGTCAACGGGATGTGAGGCATTCCGTCAAAATGAGGCAGGGACCTAGGGCTTTCTCTAAGGTCTCCACAGGGTATTCAGACATCCCTTCATGTTGTGAGATGGAAGACGAGCCTGTATTCAAGCCACTGCAAGGAAATCCGGCCTCCTTTCAAGTTAGGGCTTCTCGCTGTATATTGCCCTTGAGGCAGCGAACTCGGGGTCCCTCCCACATACCTATTGCTGAGAGAAGCCTCCTCCTGAGGTGCGTCTGGAAAGTTGGCATACGTCTTGAGCCTAAGCCAGGGAATCAGCTCTCATCTCGAGACGATTTGGGGTACACGGAGCATTCCTCGAGTTGCTGTGCTGAAGTTGGTGTTCCTCTAGACTTGGGACAGTGTTCTCGGGGTATCTCTGGAGTTGCCTGAAGGAAGTCGAGCCACCGGTCGTGTTGAATGGGGAACGGGTAATGGCTCTAGAGTCAATGCAGGGGAATCGGGCCTCATCTCGAGTTGATTTGGGGCACATGGAGCTGCTTTGCGTTGCTGGGGTGACCTCAGCGTCCGTCGAGACTGGTGACAGTGTTCTTGGGGACTGTCTCGAGATCGATTAAGCAAGTCGAAGGTCCTGACTTGTTTGAATGGGACCACGGAATAGCTCTGCATGCACTGCAGGGGAATGGGGCCTCATCTCGCCTCTAGGGGGAAGTCTCATGATTTTTCTCGAGTTGCGGCGGGGACCTGGGGTATGTTCTCGACTTACGGCGGGGATGGCCCTTCAAAACACGAGTTTCTTCAGTGACGTCAGGACTCCTGTCTAGTAACGAGGGACACCTCAGGAATATCATCGAGGCTTGGCAGTGCAAATGGGACGCTTCTTGAGGTGAGGCAGGGCACCCAAGGACCCTTTCCAGTAGCCACAGGGATTTTGGGATTCCTATCAGAATTCAAGAGGAGTCAGGCATCGTCACCTTTTGAAGCAATGAACTCCGCATGCCTCTCGAGGTGTCAACGGGATGTGAGGCATTCCGTCCAAATGAGGCAGGGACCTAGGGCTTTCTCTAAGGTCTCCACAGGGGATTCAGACATCCCTTCATTTTGTGAGAAGAAAGACGAGCCTGTATTCAAGCCACTGCAAGGAAATCCGGCCTCCATTCAAGTTAGGGCTTCTCGCTGTATATTGCCCTTGAGGCAGCGAACTCGGGGTCCCTCCCACATACCTATTGCTGAAAGAAGCCTCCTCCTGAGGTGCGTCTGGAAAGTTGGCATACGTCTTGAGCCTAAGCCAGGGAATCACCTCTCATCTCGAGACGATTTGTGGTACATGAAGCATTCCTCGAGTTGCCGTGCTGAAGTTGGTGTTCCTCTAGACTTGAGACAGTGTTCTCTGGGCATCTCTGGACTTGCCTGAAGGAAGTCGAGCCACCGGTCGTGTTGAATTGGGAACGGGGAATGGCTCTGGAGTCAATGCAGGGGAATCGGGCCTAATCTCGAGTTGATTTGGGGCCCATGTAGCTGCTTTGCGTTGCTGGGGTGACCTCAGGGTCGTCGAGACTGGTGACAGTGTTCTTGGGGACTGTCTCGAGAACCATTAAGCAAGTCGAAGCTCCTGACTTGCTTGAATGGGACCACGGAATAGCTCTGCATGCACTGCAGGGGAATGGGGACTCATCTCGCCTCTAGGGGGAAGTCTCATGGTTTTTCTCGAGTTGCGGCGGGGACCTGGGGTATGTTCTCGACTTACAGCGGGGATGGCCCTTCAAAACACGAGTTTCTTCAGTGACGTCAGGACTCCTGTCTAGTAACGAGGGACACCTCAGGAATCTCTTCGAGGCTTGGCAGGGCAAAAGGGACGCTTCTCGAGGTGAGGCAGGGCACCCAAGGACCCTTTCCAGTAGCCACAGGGATTTTGGGATTCCTATCAGTATTCAAGAGGAGTGAGGCATTGTCACCTTTTGAAGCAATGAACTTTGCGTGCCTCTTGAGGTGTCAACGGGATGTGAGGCATTCCGTCAAAATGAGGCAGGGACCTAGGGCTTTCTCTAAGGTCTCCACAGGGGATTCAGACATCCCTTCATGTTGTGAGATCAAAGACGAGCCTGTATTCAAGCCACTGCAAGGAAATCCGGCCTCCTTTCAAGTTAGGGCTTCTCGCTGTATATTGCCCTTGAGGCAGCGAACTCGGGGTCCCTCCCACATACCTATTGCTGAGAGAAGCCTCCTCCTGAGGTGCGTCTTGAAAGTTGGCATACGTCTTGAGCCTAAGCCAGGGAATCACCTCTCATCTCGAGACGATTTGGGGTTCACGGAGCATTCCTCGAGTTGCCGTGCTGAAGTTGGTGTTCCTCTAGACTTGGGACAGTGTTCTCGGGGCATCTCTGGAGTTGCCTGAAGGAAGTCGAGCCACCGGTCGTGTTGAATGGGGAACGGGGAATGGCTCTGGAGTCAATGCAGGGGAATCGGGCCTCATCTCGAGTTGATTTAGGGCCCATGGAGCTGCTTTGCGTTGCTGGGGTGACCTCAGGGTCCGTCGAGACTGGTGACAGTGTTCTTGGGGACTGTCTCGAGAACCATTAAGCAAGTCGAAGCTCCTGACTTGCTTGAATGGGACCACGGAATAGCTCTGCATGCACTGCAGGGGAATGGGGCCTCATCTCACCTCTAGGGGGAAGTCTCATGGTTTTTCTCGAGTTGCGGCGGGGACCTGGGGTATGTTCTCGATTTACGGCGGGGATGGCCCTTCAAAACACGAGTTTCTTCAGTGACGTCAGGACTCCTGTCTAGTAACGAGGGACACCTCAGGAATCTCTTCGAGGCTTGTCAGGGCAAAAGGGACGCTTCTCGAGGTGAGGCAGGGCACCCAAGGACCCTTTCCAGTAGCCACAGGGATTTTGGGATTCCTATCAGTATTCAAGAGGAGTGAGGCATTGTCACCTTTTGAAGCAATGAACTTTGCGTGCCTCTTGAGGTGTCAACGGGATGTGAGGCATTCCGTCAAAATGAGGCAGGGACCTAGGGCTTTCTCTAAGGTCTCCACAGGGGATTCAGACATCCCTTCATGTTGTGAGATCAAAGACGAGCCTGTATTCAAGCCACTGCAAGGAAATCCGGCCTCCTTTCAAGTTAGGGCTTCTCGCTGTATATTGCCCTTGAGGCAGAGAACTCGGGGTCCCTCCCACATACTTATTGCTGAGAGAAGCCTCCTCCTGAGGTGCTTCTGGGAAGTTGGCATACGTCTTGAGCCTAAACCAGGGAATCACCTCTCATCTCGAGACGATTTGGGGTACACGGAGCATTCCTCGAGTTGCCGTGCTGAAGTTGGTGTTCCTCTAGACTTGGGACAGTGTTCTCGGGGCATCTCTGGAGTTGCCTGAAGGAAGTCGAGCCACCGGTCGTGTTGAATGGGGAACGGGGAATGGCTCTGGAGTCAATGCAGGGGAATCGGGCCTCATCTCGAGTTGATTTGGGGCCCATGGAGCTGCTTTGCGTTGCTGTGGTGACGTCAGGGTCCGTCGAGACTGGTGACAGTGTTCTTGGGCACTGTCTCGAGAACAATTAAGCAAGTCGAAGATCCTGACTTGCTTGAATGGGACCACGGAATAGCTCTGCATGCACTGCAGGGGAATGGGACCTCATCTCGCCTCTAGGGGGAAGTCTCATGGATTTTCTCGAGTTGCGGCGGGGACCTGGGGTATGTTCTCGACTTACGGCGGGGATGGCCCTTCAAAACACGAGTTTCTTCAGTGACGTCAGGACTCCTGTCTAGTAACGAGGGACTCCTCAGGAATCTCTTCGAGGCTTGGCAGGGCAAAAGGGACGCTTCTCGAGGTGAGGCAGGGCACCCAAGGACCCTTTCCAGTAGCCACAGGGATTTTGGGATTCCTATCAGTATTCAAGAGGAGTGAGGCATTGTCACCTTTTGAAGCAATGAACTTCGCGTGCCTCTTGAGGTGTCAACGGGATGTGAGGCATTCCGTCAAAATGAGGCAGGTAACTAGGGCTTTCTCTAACGTCTCCACAGGGGATTCAGACATCCCTTCATGTTGTGAGATGAAAGACGAGCCTGTATTCAGGCCACTGCAAGGAAATCCGGCCTCCTTTCAAGTTAGGGCTTCTCGCTGTATATTGCCCTTGAGGCAGCGAACTCGGGGTCCTTCCCACATACCTATTGCTGAGAGAAGCCTCCTCCTGAGGTGCGTCTGGAAAGTTGGCATACGTCTTGAGCCTAAGCCAGGGAATCACCTCTCATCTCGAGACGATTTGGGGTACACGGAGCATTCCTCGAGTTGCTGTGCTGAATTTGGTGTTCCTCTAGACTTGGGACAATGTTCTCGGGGTATCTCTGGAGTTGCATGAAGGAAGTCGAGCCACCGGTCGTGTTGAATGGGGAACTGGGAATGGCTCTGGAGTCAATGCAGGGGAATCGGGCCTCATCTCGAGTTGATTTGGGGCCCACGGTGCTGCTTTGCGTTGCTGGGGTGACCTCAGGGTCCGTCGAGACTGAAGACAGTGTTCTTGGGGACTGTGTCGAGAACCATTAAGCAAGTCGAAGCTCCTGACTTGCTTGAATGGGACCACGGAATAGCTCTGCATGCACTGCAGGGGAATGGGGCCTCATCTCGCCTCTAGGGGGAAGTCTCATGGTTTTTCTCGAGTTGCAGCGGGGACCTGTTGTATGTTCTTGACTTACGGCGTTGATGTCCCTTCAAAACACGAGTTTCTTCAGTGACGTCAGGACTCCTGTCTAGTAACGCAGGACACCTCAGGAATTTCTTCGAGGCTTGGCAGGGCAAAAGGGACGCTTCCCGAGGTGTGGCAGGGCACCCAAGGACCCTTTCCAGTAGCCACAGGGATTTTGGTATTCCTATCAGTATTCAAGAGGAGTGAGGCATTGTCACCTTTTGAAGCAATGAACTCCGCGTGCCTCTCGAGGTGTCAACGGGATGTGAGGCATTCCATCCAAATGAGGCAGGGACCTAGGGCTTTCTCTAAGGTCTCCACAGGGGATTCAGACATCCCTTCATGTTGTGAGAAGAAAGACGAGCCTGTATTCAAGCCACTGCAAGGAAATCCGGCCTCCTTTCCAGTTAGGGCTTCTCGCTGTATATTGCCTTTGAGGCAGCGAACTCGGGGTCCCTCCCACATACCTATTGCTGAGAGAAGCCTCCTCCTGAGGTGCGTCTTGAAAGTTGGCATACGTCTTGAGCCTAAGCCAGGGAATCACCTCTCATCTCGAGACGATTTGGGGTACACGGAGCATTCCTCGAGTTGCCTTGTTGAAGTTGGTGTTCCTCTAGACTTGGGACAGTGTTCTCGGGGCATCTCTGGAGTTGCCTGAAGGAAGTCGAGCCACCGGTCGTGTTGAATGGGGAACGGGGAATGGCTCTGGAGTCAATGCAGGGGAATCGGGCCTCATCTCGGTTGATTTGGGGCACATGGAGCTGCTTTGCGTTGCTGGGGTGACCTCAGGGTCCGTCGAGACTGGTGACAGTGTTCTTGGGGACTGTCTCGAGATCCATTAAGCAAGTCGAAGCTCCTGACTTGCTTGAATGGGACCACGGAATAGCTCTGCATGCACTGCAGGGGAATGGGGTCTCATCTCGCCTCTAGGGGGAAGTCTCATGGTTTTTCTCGAGTTGCGGCGGGGACCTGGGGTATGTTCTCGACTTACGGCGGGGATGGCCCTTCAAAACACGAGTTTCTTCAGTGACGTCAGGAATCCTGTCTAGTAACGAGGGACACCTCAGGAATCTCTTCGAGGCTTGGCAGGGCAAAAGGGACGCTTCTCGAGGTGAAGCAGGGCACCCAAGGACCCTTTCCAGTAGCCACAGGGATTTTGGGATTCCTATCAGTATTCAAGAGGAGTCAGGCATCTTCACCTTTTGAAGCAATGAACTCTGCGTGCCTCTCGAGGTGTCAACGGGTTGTGAGGAATTCCGTCCAAATGAGGCAGGGACCTAGGGCTTTCTCTAAGGTCTCCACAGGGGATTCAGACATCCCTTCATGTTGTGAGATCAAAGACGAGCCTGTATTCAAGCCACTGCAAGGAAATCCGGCCTCCTTTCAAGTTAGGGCTTCTCGCTTTATATTGCCCTTGAGGAAGCGAACTCGGGGTCCCTCCCACATACCTATTGCTGAGAGAAGCCTCCTCCTGAGGTGCGTCTGGAAAGTTGGCATACGTCTTGAGCCTAAGCCAGGGAATCAGCTCTCATCTCGAGACGATTTGGGGTACACGGAGCATTCCTCGAGTTGCTGTGCTGAAGTTGGTGTTCCTCTAGACTTGGGACAGTGTTCTCGGGGCATCTCTGGAGTTGCCTGAAGGAAGTCGAGCCACCGGTCGTGTTGAATGGGGAACGGGGAATGGCTCTGGAGTCAATGCAGGGGAATCGGGCCTCATCTCGAGTTGATTTGGGGCCCATGGAGCTGCTTTGCGTTGCTGTGGTGACGTCAGGGTCCGTCGAGACTGGTGACAGTGTTCTTGGGGACTGTCTCGAGAACAATTAAGCAAGTCGAAGATCCTGACTTGCTTGAATGGGACCACGGAATAGCTCTGCATTCACTGCAGGGGAATGGGACCTCATCTCGCCTCTAGGGGGAAGTCTCATGGATTTTCTCGAGTTGCGGCGGGGACCTGGGGTATGTTCTCGACTTACGGCGGGGATGGCCCTTCAAAACACGAGTTTCTTCAGTGACGTCAGGACTCCTGTCTAGTAACGAGGGACACCTCAGGAATCTCTTCGAGGCTTGGCAGGGCAAAAGGGACGCTTCTCGAGGTGAGGCAGGGCACCCAAGGACCCTTTCCAGTAGCCACAGGGATTTTGGGATTCCTATCAGTATTCAAGAGGAGTGAGGCATTGTCACCTTTTGAAGCAATGAACTTCGCGTGCCTCTTGAGGTGTCAACGGGATGTGAGGCATTCCGTCAAAATGAGGCAGGTAACTAGGGCTTTCTCTAAGGTCTCCACAGGGGATTCAGACATCCCTTCATGTTGTGAGATGAAAGACGAGCCTGTATTCAGGCCACTGCAAGGAAATCCGGCCTCCTTTCAAGTTAGGGCTTCTCGCTGTATATTGCCCTTGAGGCAGCGAACTCGGGGTCCTTCCCACATACCTATTGCTGAGAGAAGCCTCCTCCTGAGGTGCGTCTGGAAAGTTGGCATACGTCTTGAGCCTAAGCCAGGGAATCACCTCTCATCTCGAGACGATTTGGGGTACACGGAGCATTCCTCGAGTTGCTGTGCTGAATTTGGTGTTCCTCTAGACTTGGGACAATGTTCTCGGGGTATCTCTGGAGTTGCATGAAGGAAGTCGAGCCACCGGTCGTGTTGAATGGGGAACTGGGAATGGCTCTGGAGTCAATGCAGGGGAATCGGGCCTCATCTCGAGTTGATTTGGGGCCCACGGTGCTGCTTTGCGTTGCTGGGGTGACCTCAGGGTCCGTCGAGACTGAAGACAGTGTTCTTGGGGACTGTGTCGAGAACCATTAAGCAAGTCGAAGCTCCTGACTTGCTTGAATGGGACCACGGAATAGCTCTGCATGCACTGCAGGGGAATGGGGCCTCATCTCGCCTCTAGGGGGAAGTCTCATGGTTTTTCTCGAGTTGCAGCGGGGACCTGTTGTATGTTCTTGACTTACGGCGTTGATGGCCCTTCAAAACACGAGTTTCTTCAGTGACGTCAGGACTCCTGTCTAGTAACGCGGGACACCTCAGGAATTTCTTCGAGGCTTGGCAGGGCAAAAGGGACGCTTCCCGAGGTGTGGCAGGGCACCCAAGGACCCTTTCCAGTAGCCACAGGGATTTTGGTATTCCTATCAGTATTCAAGAGGAGTGAGGCATTGTCACCTTTTGAAGCAATGAACTCCGCGTGCCTCTCGAGGTGTCAACGGGATGTGAGGCATTCCATCCAAATGAGGCAGGGACCTAGGGCTTTCTCTAAGGTCTCCACAGGGGATTCAGACATCCCTTCATGTTGTGAGAAGAAAGACGAGCCTGTATTCAAGCCACTGCAAGGAAATCCGGCCTCCTTTCCAGTTAGGGCTTCTCGCTGTATATTGCCTTTGAGGCAGCGAACTCGGGGTCCCTCCCACATACCTATTGCTGAGAGAAGCCTCCTCCTGAGGTGCGTCTTGAAAGTTGGCATACGTCTTGAGCCTAAGCCAGGGAATCACCTCTCATCTCGAGACGATTTGGGGTACACGGAGCATTCCTCGAGTTGCCTTGTTGAAGTTGGTGTTCCTCTAGACTTGGGACAGTGTTCTCGGGGCATCTCTGGAGTTGCCTGAAGGAAGTCGAGCCACCGGTCGTGTTGAATGGGGAACGGGGAATGGCTCTGGAGTCAATGCAGGGGAATCGGGCCTCATCTCGGTTGATTTGGGGCACATGGAGCTGCTTTGCGTTGCTGGGGTGACCTCAGGGTCCGTCGAGACTGGTGACAGTGTTCTTGGGGACTGTCTCGAGATCCATTAAGCAAGTCGAAGCTCCTGACTTGCTTGAATGGGACCACGGAATAGCTCTGCATGCACTGCAGGGGAATGGGGTCTCATCTCGCCTCTAGGGGGAAGTCTCATGGTTTTTCTCGAGTTGCGGCGGGGACCTGGGGTATGTTCTCGACTTACGGCGGGGATGGCCCTTCAAAACACGAGTTTCTTCAGTGACGTCAGGAATCCTGTCTAGTAACGAGGGACACCTCAGGAATCTCTTCGAGGCTTGGCAGGGCAAAAGGGACGCTTCTCGAGGTGAAGCAGGGCACCCAAGGACCCTTTCCAGTAGCCACAGGGATTTTGGGATTCCTATCAGTATTCAAGAGGAGTCAGGCATCTTCACCTTTTGAAGCAATGAACTCTGCGTGCCTCTCGAGGTGTCAACGGGTTGTGAGGAATTCCGTCCAAATGAGGCAGGGACCTAGGGCTTTCTCTAAGGTCTCCACAGGGGATTCAGACATCCCTTCATGTTGTGAGATCAAAGACGAGCCTGTATTCAAGCCACTGCAAGGAAATCCGGCCTCCTTTCAAGTTAGGGCTTCTCGCTTTATATTGCCCTTGAGGAAGCGAACTCGGGGTCCCTCCCACATACCTATTGCTGAGAGAAGCCTCCTCCTGAGGTGCGTCTGGAAAGTTGGCATACGTCTTGAGCCTAAGCCAGGGAATCAGCTCTCATCTCGAGACGATTTGGGGTACACGGAGCATTCCTCGAGTTGCTGTGCTGAAGTTGGTGTTCCTCTAGACTTGGGTCAGTGTTCTCGGGGTATCTCTGGAGTTGCCTGAAGGAAGTCGAGCCACCGGTCGTGTTGAATGGGGAACGGGGAATGGCTCTGGATTCAATGCAGGGGAATCGGGCCTCATCTCGAGTTGATTTGGGGCACATGGAGCTGCTTTGCGTTGCTGGGGTGACCTCAGCGTCCGTCGAGACTGGTGACAGTGTTCTTGGGGACTGTCTCGAGATCCATTAAGCAAGTCGAAGCTCCTGACTTGTTTGAATGGGACCACGGAATAGCTCTACATGCACTGCAGGGGAATGGGGCCTCATCTCGCCTCTTGGGGGAAGTCTCATGGTTTTTCTCGAGTTGCGGCGGGGACCTGGGGTATGTTCTCGACTTACGGCGGGGATGGCCCTTCAAAACACGAGTTTCTTCAGTGACGTCAGGACTCCTGTCTAGTAACGAGGGACACCTCAGGAATCACATCGAGGCTTGGCAGTGCAAATGGGACGCTTCTTGAGGTGAGGCAGGGCACCCAAGGACCCTTTCCAGTAGCCACAGGGATTTTGGAATTCCTATCAGAATTCAAGAGGAGTCAGGCATCTTCACCTTTTGAAGCAATGAACTCCGCGTGCCTCTCGAGGTGTCAACGTGATGTGAGGCATTCCGTCAAAATGAGGCAGGGATCTAGGGCTTTCTCTAAGGTCTCCACAGGGGATTCAGACATCCCTTCATGTTGTGAGATCAAAGACGAGCCTGTATTCAAGCCACTGCAAGGAAATCCGGCCTCCTTTCAAGTTAGGGCTTCTCGCTGTATATTGCCCTTTAGGCAGCGAACTGGGGGTCCCTTCCACATACCTATTGCTGAGAGAAGCCTCCTCCTGAGGTGCGTCTTGAAAGTTGGCATACGTCTTGAGCCTAAGCCAGGGAATCACCTCTCATCTCGAGACGATTTGGGGTACACGGAGCATTCCTCGAGTTGTCGTGCTGAAGTTGGTGTTCCTCTAGACTTGGGACAGTGTTCTCGGGGCATCTCTGGAGTTGCCTGAAGGAAGTCGAGCCACCGGTCGTGTTGAATGGGGAACGGGGAATGGCTCTGGAGTCAATGCAGGGGAATCGGGCCTCATCTCGAGTTGATTTGGGGCCCATGGAGCTGCTTTGCGTTGCTGGGGTGACCTCAGGGTCCATCGAGACTGGTGACAGTGTTCTTGGGGACTGTCTCGAGAACCATTAAGCAAGTCGAAGCTCCTGACTTGCTTGAATGGGACCACGGAATAGCTCTGCATGCACTGCAGGGGAATGGGGCCTCATCTCGCCTCTAGGGGGAAGTCTCATGGTTTTTCTCAAGTTGCGGCGGGGACCTGGGGTATGTTCTCGACTTACGGCGGGGATGGCCCTTCAAAACACGAGTTTCTTCAGTGACGTCAGGACTCCTGTCTAGTAACGAGGGACACCTCAGGAATCTCTTCGAGGCTTGGCAGGGCAAAAGGGACGATTCTCGAGGTGAGGCAGGGCACCCAAGGACCCTTTCCAGTAGCCAAAGGGATTTTGGGATTCCTATCAGTATTCAAGAGGAGTGAGGCATTGTCACCTTTTGAAGCAATGAACTTCGCGTGCCTCTTAAGGTGTTAACGGGATGTGAGGCATTCCGTCAAAATGAGGCAGGGACCTAGGGCTTTCTCTAAGGTCTCCACAGGGGATTCAGACATCCCTTCATGTTGTGAGATGAAAGACGAGCCTGTATTCAAGCCACTGCAAGGAAATCCGGCCTCCTTTCAAGTTAGGGCTTCTCGCTGTATATTGCCCTTGAGGCAGCGAACTCGGGGTCCCTCCCACATACCTATTGCTGAGAGAAGCCTCCTCCTGAGGTGCGTCTGGAAAGTTGGCATACGTCTTGAGCCTAAGCCAGGGAATCAGCTCTCATCTCGAGACGATTTGGGGTACACGGAGCATTGCTCGCGTTGATGTGCTGAAGTTGGTGTTCATCTAGACTTGGGACAATGTTCTTGGGGTATCTCTGGAGTTGCCTGAAGTTAGTCGAGCCACCGGTCGTGTTGAATGGGGAACGGGGAATGGCTCTGGAGTCAATGCAGGGGAATCGGGCCTCATCTCGAGTTGATTTGGGGCCCATGGAGCTGCTTTGCGTTGCTGGGGTGAACTCAGCGTCCGTCGAGACTGGTGACAGTGTTCTTGGGGACTGTCTCGAGATCCATTAAGCAAGTCGAAGCTCCTGACTTGTTTGAATGGGACCACGGAATAGCTCTGCATGCACTGCAGGGGAATGGGGCCTCATCTCGCCTCTAGGGGGAAGTCTCATGGTTTTTCTCGAGTTGCGGCGGGGACCTGGGGTATATTCTCGACTTACGGCGGGGATGGCCCTTCAAAACACGAGTTTCTTCAGTGACGTCACGACTCCTGTCTAGTAACGAGGGACACCTCAGGAATCTCATCAAGGCTTGGCAGTGCAAATGGGACGCTTCTTGAGGTGAGGCAGGGCACCCAAGGACCCTTTCCAGTAGCCACAGGGATTTTGGGATTAGTATCAGAATTCAAGAGGAGTCAGGCATCGTCACCTTTTGAAGCAATGAACTCCGCGTGCCTCTCGAAGTGTCAACGGGATGTGAGGCATTCCGTCCAAATGAGGCAGGGACCTAGGGCTTTCTCTAAGGTCTCCACAGGGGATTCAGACATCCCTTCATGTTGTGAGATCAAAGACGAGCCTGTATTCAAGCCACTGCAAGGAAATCCGGCCTCCTTTCAAGTTAGGGCTTCTCGCTGTATTTTGCCCTTGAGTCAGCGAACTCCGGGTCCCTCCCACATACCTATTGCTGAGAGAAGCCTCCTCCTGAGGTGCGTCTTGAAAGTTGGCATACGTCTTGAGCCTAAGCCAGGGAATCACCTCTAATCTCGAGACGATTTGGGGTACACGGAGCATTCCTCGAGTTGCCGTGCTGAAGTTGGTGTTCCTCTAGACTTGGGACAGTGTTCTCGGGGCATCTCTGGAGTTGCCTGAAGGAAGTCAAGCCACCGGTCGTGTTGAATGGGGAACCGGGAATGGCTCTGGAGTCAATGCAGTGGAATCGGGCCTCATCTCGAGTTGATTTGGGGCCCATGGAGCTGCTTTGCGTTGCTTGGGTGACCTCAGGGTCCGTCGAGACTGGTGACAGTGTTCTTGGTGACTCTCTCGAGAATCATTAAGCAAGTCGAAGCTCCTGACTTGCTTGAATGGGACCACGGAATAGCTCTGCATGCACTGCAGGGGAATGGGGTCTCATCTCGCCTCTAGGGGGAAGTCTCATGGTTTTTCTCGAGTTGCGGCGGGGACCTGGGGTATGTTCTCGACTTACGGCGGGGATGGCCCTTCAAAACACGAGTTTCTTCAGTGACGTCAGGAATCCTGTCTAGTAACGAGGGACACCTCAGGAATCTCTTCGAGGCTTGGCAGGGCAAAAGGGACGCTTCTCGAGGTGAGGCAGGGCACCCAAGGACCCTTTCCAGTAGCCACAGGGATTTTGGGATTCCTATCAGTATTCAAGAGGAGTCAGGCATCTTCACCTTTTGAAGCAATGAACTCTGCGTGCCTCTCGAGGTGTCAACGGGTTGTGAGGAATTCCGTCCAAATGAGGCAGGGACCTAGGGCTTTCTCTAAGGTCTCCACAGGGGATTCAGACATCCCTTCATGTTGTGAGATCAAAGACGAGCCTGTATTCAAGCCACTGCAAGGAAATCCGGCCTGCTTTCAAGTTAGGGCTTCTCGCTTTATATTGCCCTTGAGGAAGCGAACTCCGGGTCCCTCCCACATACCTATTGCTGAGAGAAGCCTCCTCCTGAGGTGCGTTTTGAAAGTTGGCATACGTCTTGAGCCTAAGCCAGGGAATCAGCTCTCATCTCGAGACGATTTGGGGTACACGGAGCATTCCTCGAGTTGCTGTGCTGAAGTTGGTGTTCCTCTAGACTTGGGTCAGTGTTCTCGGGGTATCTCTGGAGTTGCCTGAAGGAAGTCGAGCCACCGGTCGTGTTGAATGGGGAACGGGGAATGGCTCTGGATTCAATGCAGGGGAATCGGGCCTCATCTCGAGTTGATTTGGGGCACATGGAGCTGCTTTGCGTTGCTGGGGTGACCTCAGCGTCCGTCGAGACTGGTGACAGTGTTCTTGGGGACTGTCTCGAGATCCATTAAGCAAGTCGAAGCTCCTGACTTGTTTGAATGGGACCACGGAATAGCTCTACATGCACTGCAGGGGAATGGGGCCTCATCTCGCCTCTTGGGGGAAGTCTCATGGTTTTTCTCGAGTTGCGGCGGGGACCTGGGGTATGTTCTCGACTTACGGCGGGGATGGCCCTTCAAAACACGAGTTTCTTCAGTGACGTCAGGACTCCTGTCTAGTAACGAGGGACACCTCAGGAATCACATCGAGGCTTGGCAGTGCAAATGGGACGCTTCTTGAGGTGAGGCAGGGCACCCAAGGACCCTTTCCAGTAGCCACAGGGATTTTGGAATTCCTATCAGAATTCAAGAGGAGTCAGGCATCTTCACCTTTTGAAGCAATGAACTCCGCGTGCCTCTCGAGGTGTCAACGGGATGTGAGGCATTCCGTCAAAATGAGGCAGGGATCTAGGGCTTTCTCTAAGGTCTCCACAGGGGATTCAGACATCCCTTCATGTTGTGAGATGAAAGACGAGCCTGTATTCAAGCCACTGCAAGGAAATCCGGCCTCCTTTCAAGTTAGGGCTTCTCGCTGTATATTGCCCTTGAGGCAGCGAACTCGGGGTCCCTCCCACATACCTATTGCTGAGAGAAGCCTCCTCCTGAGGTGCGTCTGGAAAGTTGGCATACGTCTTGAGCCTAAGCCAGGGAATCAGCTCTCATCTCGAGACGATTTGGGGTACACGGAGCATTCCTCGCGTTGCCGTGCTGAAGTTGGTGTTCCTCTAGACTTGGGACAATGTTCTTGGGGTATCTCTGGAGTTGCCTGAAGTTAGTCGAGCCACCGGTCGTGTTGAATGGGGAACGGGGAATGGCTCTGGAGTCAATGCAGGGGAATCGGGCCTCATCTCGAGTTGATTTGGGGCACATGGAGCTGCTTTGCGTTGCTGGGGTGACCTCAGCGTCCGTCGAGACTGGTGACAGTGTTCTTGGGGACTGTCTCGAGATCCATTAAGCAAGTCGAAGCTCCTGACTTGTTTGAATGGGACCACGGAATAGCTCTGCATGCACTGCAGGGGAATGGGGCCTCATCTCGCCTCTAGGGGGAAGTCTCATGGTTTTTCTCGAGTTGCGGCGGGGACCTGGGGTATATTCTCGACTTACGGCGGGGATGGCCCTTCAAAACACGAGTTTCTTCAGTGACGTCACGACTCCTGTCTAGTAACGAGGGACACCTCAGGAATCTCATCAAGGCTTGGCAGTGCAAATGGGACGCTTCTTGAGGTGAGGCAGGGCACCCAAGGACCCTTTCCAGTAGCCACAGGGATTTTGGGATTAGTATCAGAATTCAAGAGGAGTCAGGCATCGTCACCTTTTGAAGCAATGAACTCCGCGTGCCTCTCGAAGTGTCAACGGGATGTGAGGCATTCCGTCCAAATGAGGCAGGGACCTAGGGCTTTCTCTAAGGTCTCCACAGGGGATTCAGACATCCCTTCATGTTGTGAGATCAAAGACGAGCCTGTATTCAAGCCACTGCAAGGAAATCCGGCCTCCTTTCAAGTTAGGGCTTCTCGCTGTATTTTGCCCTTGAGTCAGCGAACTCCGGGTCCCTCCCACATACCTATTGCTGAGAGAAGCCTCCTCCTGAGGTGCGTCTTGAAAGTTGGCATACGTCTTGAGCCTAAGCCAGGTAATCACCTCTCATCTCGAGACGATTTGGGGTACACGGAGCATTCCTCGAGTTGCCGTGCTGAAGTTGGTGTTCCTCTAGACTTGGGACAGTGTTCTCGGGGCATCTCTGGAGTTGCCTGAAGGAAGTCAAGCCACCGGTCGTGTTGAATGGGGAACCGGGAATGGCTCTGGAGTCAATGCAGTGGAATCGGGCCTCATCTCGAGTTGATTTGGGGCCCATGGAGCTGCATTGCGTTGCTTGGGTGACCTCAGGGTCCGTCGAGACTGGTGACAGTGTTCTTGGGGACTCTCTCGAGAATCATTAAGCAAGTCGAAGCTCCTGACTTGCTTGAATGGGACCACGGAATAGCTCTGCATGCACTGCAGGGGAATGGGGCCTCATCTCGCCTCTAGGGGGAAGTCTCATGGTTTTTCTCGAGTTGCGGCGGGGACCTGGGGTATGTTCTCGACTTACGGCGGGGATGGCCCTTCAAAACACGAGTTTCTTCAGTGACGTCAGGACTCCTGTCTAGTAACGAGGGACACCTCAGGAATCTCTTCGAGGCTTGGCAGGGCAAAAGGGACGCTTCTCGAGGTGAGGCAGGGCACCCAAGGACCCTTTCCAGTAGCCACAGGGATTTTGGGATTCCTATCAGAATTCAAGAGGAGTGAGGCATTGTCACCTTTTGAAGCAATGAACTTTGCGTGCCTCTTGAGGTGTCAACGGGATGTGAGGCATTCGGTCAAAATGACGCAGGGACCTAGGGCTTTCTCTAAGGTCTCCACAGGGGATTCAGACATCCCTTCATGTTGTGAGATGAAAGACGAGCCTGTATTCAAGCCACTGCAAGGAAATCCGGCCTCCTTTCAAGTTAGGGCTTCTCGCTGTATATTGCCCTTGAGGCAGCGGACTCGGGGTACCTCCCACATACCTATTGCTGAGAGAAGCCTCCTCCTGAGGTGCGTCTGGAAAGTTGGCATACGTCTTGAGCCTAAGCCAGGGAATCAGCTCTCATCTCGAGACGATTTGGGGTACACGGAGCATTCCTCGAGTTGCTGTGCTGAAGTTGGTGTTCCTCTAGACTTGGGACAGTGTTCTCGGGGTATCTCTGGAGTTGCCTGAAGGAAGTCGAGCCACCGGTCGTGTTGAATGGGGAACGGGGAATGGCTCTGGAGTCAATGCAGGGGAATCGGGCCTCATCTCGAGTTGATTTGGGGCACATGGAGCTGCTTTGCGTTGCTGGGGTGACCTCAGCGTCCGTCGAGACTGGTGACAGTGTTCTTGGGGACTCTCTCGAGATCCATTAAGCAAGTCGAAGCTCCTGACTTGTTTGAATGGGACCACGGAATAGCTCTGCATGCACTGCAGGGGAATGGGGCCTCATCTCGCCTCTAGGGGGAAGTCTAATGGTTTTTCTCGAGTTGCGGCGGGGACCTGGGGTATGTTCTCGACTTACGGCGGGGATGGCCCTTCAAAACACGAGTTTCTTCAGTGACGTCAGGACTCCTGTCTAGTAACGAGGGACACCTCAGGAATCTCATCGAGGCTTGGCAGTGCAAATGGGACGCTTCTTGAGGTGAGGCAGGGCACCCAAGGACCCTTTCCAGTAGCCACAGGGATTTTGGGATTAGTATCAGAATTCAAGAGGAGTCAGGCATCGTCACCTTTTGAAGCAATGAACTCCGCGTGCCTCTCGAAGTGTCAACGGGATGTGAGGCATTCCGTCCAAATGAGGCAGGGACCTAGGGCTTTCTCTAAGGTCTCCACAGGGGATTCAGACATCCCTTCATGTTGTGAGATCAAAGACGAGCCTGTATTCAAGCCACTGCAAGGAAATCCGGCCTCCTTTCAAGTTAGGGCTTCTCGCTGTATATTGCCCTTGAGTCAGCGAACTCCGGGTCCCTCCCACATACCTATTGCTGAGAGAAGCCTCCTCCTGAGGTGCGTCTTGAAAGTTGGCATACGTCTTGAGCCTAAGCCAGGGAATCACCTCTCATCTCGAGACGATTTGGGGTACACGGAGCATTCCTCGAGTTGCCGTGCTGAAGTTGGTGTTCCTCTAGACTTGGGACAGTGTTCTCGGGGCATCTCTGGAGTTGCCTGAAGGAAGTCAAGCCACCGGTCGTGTTGAATTGGGAACGGGGAATGGCTCTGGAGTCAATGCAGGGGAATCGGGCCTCATCTCGAGTTGATTTGGGGCCCATGGAGCTGCTTTGCGTTGCTTGGGTGACCTCAGGGTCCGTCGAGACTGGTGACAGTGTTCTTGGGGACTCTCTCGAGAATCATTAAGCAAGTCGAAGCTCCTGACTTGCTTGAATGGGACCACGGAATAGCTCTGCATGCACTGCAGGGGAATGGGGCCTCATCTCGCCTCTAGGGGGAAGTCTCATGGTTTTTCTCGAGTTGCGGAGGGGACCTGGGGTATGTTCTCGACTTACGGCGGGGATGGCCCTTCAAAACACGAGTTTCTTCAGTGAGGTCAGGACTCCTGTCTAGTAACGAGGGACACCGCAGGAATCTCTTCGAGGCTTGGCAGGGCAAAAGGGACGCTTCTCGAGGTGAGGCAGGGCACCCAAGGACCCTTTCCAGTAGCCACAGGGATTTTGGGATTCCTATCAGAATTCAAGAGGAGTGAGGCATTGTCACCTTTTGAAGCAATGAACTTCGCGTGCCTCTTGAGGTGTCAACGGGATGTGAGGCATTCCGTCAAAATGAGGCAGGGACCTAGGGCTTTCTCTAAGGTCTCCACAGGGGATTCAGACATCCCTTCATGTTGTGAGATGAAAGACGAGCCTGTATTCAAGCCACTGCAAGGAAATCCGGCCTCCTTTCAAGTTAGGGCTTCTCGCTGTATATTGCCCTTGAGGCAGCGAACTCGGGGTACCTCCCACATACCTATTGCTGAGAGAAGCCTCCTCCTGAGGTGCGTCTGGAAAGTTGGCATACGTCTTGAGCCTAAGCCAGGGAATCAGCTTTCATCTCGAGACGATTTGGGGTACACGGAGCATTCCTCGAGTTGCTGTGCTGAAGTTGGTGTTCCTCTAGACTTGGGACAGTGTTCTCGGGGTATCTCTGGAGTTGCCTGAAGGAAGTCGAGCCACCGGTCGTGTTGAATGGGGAACGGGGAATGGCTCTGGAGTCAATGCAGGGGAATCGGGCCTCATCTCGAGTTGATTTGGGGCACATGGAGCTGCTTTGCGTTGCTGGGGTGACCTCAGCGTCCGTCGAGACTGGTGACAGTGTTCTTGGGGACTGTCTCGAGATCCATTAAGCAAGTCGAAGCTCCTGACTTGTTTGAATGGGACCACGGAATAGCTCTGCATGCACTGCAGGGGAATGGGGCCTCATCTCGCCTCTAGGGGGAAGTCTAATGGTTTTTCTCGAGTTGCGGCGGGGACCTGGGGTATGTTCTCGACTTACGGCGGGGATGGCCCTTCAAAACACGAGTTTCTTCAGTGACGTCAGGACTCCTCTCTAGTAACGAGGGACACCTCAGGAATCTCATCGAGGCTTGGCAGTGCAAATGGGACGCTTCTTGAGGTGAGGCAGGGCACCCAAGGACCCTTTCCAGTAGCCACAGGGATTTTGGGATTCCTATCAGAATTCAAGAGGAGTCAGGCATCGTCACCTTTTGAAGCAATGAACTCCGTGTGCCTCTCGAGGTGTCAACGGGATGTGAGGCATTCCGTCAAAATGAGGCAGGGACCTAGGGCTTTCTCTAAGGTCTCCACAGGGGATTCAGACATCCCTTCATGTTGTGAGATGAAAGACGAGCCTGTATTCAAGCCACTGCAAGGAAATCCGGCCTCCTTTCAAGTTAGGGCTTCTCGCTGTATATTGCCCTTGAGGCAGCGAACTCGGGGTCCCTCCCACATGCCTATTGCTGAGAGAAGCCTCCTCCTGAGGTGCGTCTTGAAAGTTGGCATACGTCTTGAGCCTAAGCCAGGTAATCACCTCTCATCTCGAGACGATTTGGGGTACACGGAGCATTCCTCGAGTTGCCGTGCTGAAGTTGGTGTTCCTCTAGACTTGGGACAGTGTTCTCGGGGCATCTCTGGAGTTGCTTGAAGGAAGTCGAGCCACCGGTCGTGTTGAATGGGGAATGGGGAATATCTCTGGAGTCAATGCAGGGGAATCGGGCCTCATCTCGAGTTGATTTGGGGCCCATGGAGCTGCTTTGCGTTGCTGGGGTGACCTCAGGGTCCGTCGAGACTGGTGACAGTGTTCTTGGGGACTGTCTCGAGATCCATTAAGCAAGTAGAAGCTCCTGACTTGTTTGAATGGGACCACGGAATAGCTCTGCATGCACTGCAGGGGAATGGGGTCTCATCTCGCCTCTAGGGAGAAGTCTCATGGTTTTTCTCGAGTTGCAGCGGGGACCTGGGGTATGTTCTCGACTTACGGCGGGGTTGGCCCTTCAAAACACAAGTTTCTTCAGTGACGTCAGGACTCCTGTCTAGTAACGAGGGACACCTCAGGAATCTCTTCGAGGCTTGGCAGGGCAAAAGGGACGCTTCTCGAGGTGAGGCAGGGCACCCAAAGACCCTTTCCAGTAGCCACAGGGATTTTGGGATTCCTATCAGTATTCAAGAGGAGTCAGGCATCGTCACGTTTTGAAGCAATGAACTCTGCGTGCCTCTCGAGGTGTCAACGGGATGTGAGGCATTCCGTCCAAATGAGGCAGGGACCTAGGGCTTTCTCTAAGGTCTCCACAGGGGATTCAGACATCCCTTCATGTTGTGAGATCAAAGACGAGCCTGTATTCAAGCCACTGCAAGGAAATCCGGCCTCCTTTCAAGTTAGGGCTTCTCGCTGTATATTGCCCTTGAGGCAGCGAACTCGGGGTCCCTCCCACATACCTATTGCTGAGAGAAGCCTCCTCCTGAGGTGCGTCTTGAAACTTGGGATACGTCTTGAGCCTAAGCCAGGGAATCAGCTCTCATCTCGAGACGATTTGGGGTACACGGAGCATTCCTCGAGTTGCTGTGCTGAAGTTGGTGTTCCTCTAGACTTGGGACAGTGTTCTCGGGGTATCTCTGGAGTTGCCTGAAGGAAGTCGAGCCACCGGTCGTGTTGAATGGGGAACGGGGAATGGCTCTGGATTCAATGCAGGGGAATCGGGCCTCATCTCGAGTTGATTTGCGGCACATGGAGCTGCTTTGCGTTGCTGGGGTGACCTCAGCGTCCGTCGAGACTGGTGACAGTGTTCTTGGGGACTGTCTCGAGATCCATTAAGCAAGTCGAAGCTCCTGACTTGTTTGAATGGGACCACGGAATAGCTCTACATGCACTGCAGGGGAATGGGGCCTCATCTCGCCTCTAGGGGGAAGTCTCATGGTTTTTCTCGAGTTGCGGCGGGGACCTGGGGTATGTTCTCGACTTACGGCGGGGATGGCCCTTCAAAACACGAGTTTATTCAGTGACGTCAGGACTCCTGTCTAGTAACGAGGGACACCTCAGGAATCTCTTTGAGGCTTGGCAGGGCAAAAGGGACGATTCTCGAGGTGAGGCAGGGCACCCAAGGACCCTTTCCAGTAGCCACAGTGATTTTGGGATTCCTATCAGAATTCAAGAGGAGTCAGGCATCGTCACCTTTTGAAGCAATGAACTCCGCGTGCCTCTCGAGGTGTCAACGGGATGTGAGGCATTCCGTCCAAATGAGGCAGGGACCTAGGGCTTTCTCTAAGGTCTCCACAGGGGATTCAGATATCCCTTCATGTTGTGAGATGAAAGACGAGCCTGTATTCAAGCCACTGCAAGGAAATCCGGCGTCCTTTCAAGTTAGGGCTTCTCGCTGTATATTGCCCTTGAGGCAGCGAACTCGGGGTCCCTCCCACATACCTATTGCTGAGAGAAGCCTCCTCCTGAGGTGCGTCTGGAAAGTTGGCATACGTCTTGAGCCTAAGCCAGGGAATCAGCTCTCATCTCGAGACGATTTGGGGTACACGGAGCATTCCTCGAGTTGCTGTGCTGAAGTTGGTGTTCCTCTAGACTTGGGACAATGTTCTTGGGGTATCTCTGGAGTTGCCTGAAGTTAGTCGAGCCACCGGTCGTGTTGAATGGGGAACGGGGAATGGCTCTGGAGTCAATGCAGGGGAATCGGGCCTCATCTCGAGTTGATTTGGGGCACATGGAGCTGCTTTGCGTTGCTGGGGTGACCTCAGCGTCCGTCGAGACTGGTGACAGTGTTCTTGGGGACTGTCTCGAGATCCATTAAGCAAGTCGAAGCTCCTGACTTGTTTGAATGGGACCACGGAATAGCTCTGCATGCACTGCAGGGGAATGGGGCCTCATCTCGCCTCTAGGGGGAAGTCTCATGGTTTTTCTCGAGTTGCGGCGGGGACCTGGGGTATATTCTCGACTTACGGCGGGGATGGCCCTTCAAAACACGAGTTTCTTCAGTGACGTCAGGACTCCTGTCTAGTAACGAGGGACACCTCAGGAATCTCTTCGAGGCTTGGCAGGGCAAAAGGGACGCTTCTCGAGGTGAGGCAGGGCACCCAAGGACCCTTTCCAGTAGCCACAGGGATTTTGGGATTCCTATCAGTATTCAAGAGGAGTGAGGCATTGTCACCTTTTGAAGCAATGAACTTCGCGTGCCTCTTGAGGTGTCAATGGGATGTGAGGCATTCCGTCAAAATGAGGCAGGGACCTAGGGCTTTCTCTAAGGTCTCCACAGGGGATTCAGACATCCCTTCATGTTGTGAGATGAAAGACGAGCCTGTATTCAAGCCACTGCAAGGAAATCCGGCCTCCTTTCAAGTTAGGGCTTCTCGCTGTATATTCCCCTTGAGGCAGCAAACTCGGGGTCCCTCCCCCATACCTATTGCTGAGAGAAGCCTCCTCCTGAGGTGCGTCTTGAAAGTTGGCATACGTCTTGAGCCTAAGCCAGGTAATCACCTCTCATCTCGAGACGATTTGGGGTACACGGAGCATTCCTCGAGTTGCCGTGCTGAAGTTGGTGTTCCTCTAGACTTGGGACAGTGTTCTCGGGGCATCTCTGGAGTTGCCTGAAGGAAGTCGAGCCACCGGTCGTGTTGAATGGGGAATGGGGAATGGCTCTGGAGTCAATGCAGGGGAATCGGGCCTCATCTCGAGTTGATTTGGGGCCCATGGAGCTGCTTTGCGTTGCTGGGGTGACCTCAGCGTCCGTCGAGACTGGTGACAGTGTTCTTGGGGACTGTCTCGAGATCCATTAAGCAAGTAGAAGCTCCTGACTTGTTTGAATGGGACCACGGAATAGCTCTGCATGCACTGCAGGGGAATGGGGTCTCATCTCGCCTCTAGGGGGAAGTCTCATGGTTTTTCTCGAGTTGCGTCGGGGACCTGGGGTATGTTCTCGACTTACGGCGGGGATGGCCCTTCAAAACACGAGTTTCTTCAGTGATGACAGGACTCCTGTCTAGTAACGAGGGACACCTCAGGAATCTCTTCGAGGCTTGGCAGGCAAAAGGGACGCTTCTCGAGGTGAGGCAGGGCACCCAAGGACCCTTTCCAGTAGCCACAGGGATTTTGGGATTCCTATCATTATTCAAGAGGAGTGAGGCATTGTCACCTTTTGAAGCAATGAACTTCGCGTGCCTCTTGAGGTGTCAACGGGATGTGAGGCATTCCGTCAAAATGAGGCAGGGACCTAGGGCTTTCTCTAAGGTCTCCACAGGGGATTCAGACACCCCTTCATGTTGTGAGATGAAAGACGAGCCTGTATTCAAGCCACTGCAAGGAAATCCGGCCTCCTTTCAAGTTAGGGCTTCTCGCTGTATATTGCCCTTGAGGCAGCGAACTCGGGGTCCCTCCCAGATACCTATTGCTGAGAGAAGCCTCCTCCTGAGGTGCGTCTTGAAAGTTGGCATACGTCTTGATCCTAAGCCAGGGAATCAGCTCTCATCTCGAGACGATTTGGGGTACACGGAGCATTCCTCGAGTTGCTGTGCTGAAGTTGGTGTTCCTCTAGACTTGGGACAGTGTTCTCGGAGTATCTCTGGAGTTGCCTGAAGGAAGTCGAGCCACCGATCGTGTTGAATGGGGAACGGGGAATGGCTCTGGAGTCAATGCAGGGGAATCGGGCCTCATCTCGAGTTGATTTGGGGCACATGGAGCTGCTTTGCGTTGCTGGGGTGACCTCAGCGTCCGTCGAGACTGGTGACAGTGTTCTTGGGGACTGTCTCGAGATCCATTAAGCAAGTCGAAGCTCCTGACTTGTTTGAATGGGACCACGGAATAGCTCTGCATGCACTGCAGGGGAATGGGGCCTCATCTCGCCTCTAGGGGGAAGTCTCATGGTTTTTCTCGAGTTGCGGCGGGGACCTGGGGTATGTTCTCGACTTACGGCGGGGATGGCCCTTCAGAAACACGAGTTTCTTCAGTGACGTCAGGACTCCTGTCTAGTAACGAGGGACACCTCAGGAATCTCATCGAGGCTTGGAAGTGCAAATGGGACGCTTCTCGAGGTGAGGCAGGGCACCCAAGGACCCTTTCCAGTAGCCACAGGGATTTTGGGATTCCTATCAGAATTCAAGAGGAGTCAGGCATCGTCACCTTTTGAAGCAATGAACTCCGCGTGCCTCTCGAGGTGTCAACGGGATGTGAGGCATTCCGTCCAAATGAGGCAGGGACCTAGGGCTTTCTCTAAGGTCTCCACAGGGGATTCAGACATCCCTTCATGTTGTGAGATCAAAGACGAGCCTGTATTCAAGCCACTGCAAGGAAATCCGGCCTCCTTTCAAGTTAGGGCTTCTCGCTGTATATTGCCCTTGAGGCAGCGAACTCGGGGTCCCTCCCACATACCTATTGCTGAGAGAAGCCTCCTCCTGAGGTGCGTCTTGAAAGTTGGCATACGTCTTCAGCCTAAGCCAGGGAATCACCTCTCATCTCGAGACGATTTGGGGTACATGGAGCATTCCTCGAGTTGCCGTGCTGAAGATGGTGTTCCTCTAGAATTGGGACAGTGTTCTCGGGGCATCTCTGGAGTTTCCTGAAGGAAGTCGAGCCACCGGTCGTGTTGACTGGGGAACGGGGAATGGCTCTGGAGTCAGTGCAGGGGAATCGGGCCTCATCTCGAGTTGATATGGGGCCCATGGAGGTGCTTTGCGTTGCTGGGGTGACCTCAGGGTCCGTCGAGACTGGTGACAGTGTTCTTGGGGACTGTCTCGAGAACCATTAAGCAAGTCTAAGCTCCTGACTTGCTTGAATGGGACCACGGAATAGCTCTGCATGCACTGCAGGGGAATGGGGCCTCATCTCGCCTCTAGGGGGAAGTCTCATGGTTTTTCTCGAGTTGCGGCGGGGACCTGGGGTATGTTCTCGACTTACGGCGGGGATGGCCCTTCAAAACACGAGTTTCTTCAGTGACGTCAGGACTCCTGTCTAGTAACGAGGGACACCTCAGGAATCTCTTCGAGGCTTGTCAGGGCAAAAGGGACGCTTCTCGATGTGAGGCAGGGCACCGAAGGACCCTTTCCAGTAGCCACAGGGATTTTGGGATTCCTATCTATATTCAAGAGGACTGAGGCATTGTCACCTTTTGAAGCAATGAACTTCGCGTGCCTCTTGAGGTGTCTACGGGATGTGAGGCATTCCGTCAAAATGAGGCAGGGACCTAGGGCTTTCTCTAAGGTCTCCACAGGGGATTCAGACATCCCTTCAGGTTGTGAGATGAAAGACGAGCCTGTATTCAAGCCACTGCAAGGAAATCCGGCCTCCTTTCAAGTTAGGGCTTCTCGCTGTATATTGCCCTTGAGGCAGCGAACTCGGGGTCCCTTCCACATACATATTGCTGAGAGAAGCCTCCTCCTGAGGTGCGTCTGGAAAGTTGGCATACGTCTTGAGCCTAAGCCAGGGAATCAGCTCTCATCTCGAGACGATTTGGGGTACACGGAGCATGCCTCGAGTTGCTGTGCTGAAGTTGGTGTTCCTCTAGACTTCGGACAGTGTTCTCGGGGTATCTCTGGAGTTGCCTGAAGGAAGTCGAGCCACCGTTCGTGTTGAATGGGGAACGCGGCATGGCTCTGGAGTCAATGCAGGGCAATCGGGCCTCATCTCGAGTTGATTTGGGGCACATGGAGCTGCTTTGCGTTGCTGGGGTGACCTCAGCGTCCGTCGAGACTGGTGACAGTGTTCTTGGGGACTGTCTCGAGATCCATTAAGCAAGTTGAAGCCCCTGACTTGTATGAATGGGACTACGGAATAGCTCTGCATGCACTGCAGGGGAATGGGGCCTCATCTCGCCTCTTGGGGGAAGTCTCATGGTTTTTCTCGAGTTGCGGCGGGGACCTGGGTTATGTTCTCGACTTTCGGCGGGGATGGCCCTTCAAAACACGAGTTTCTTCAGTGACGTCAGGACTCCTGTCTAGTAACGAGGGACATCTCAGGAATCTCATCGAGGCTTGGCAGTGCAAATGGGACGCTTCTTGAGGTGAGGCAGGGCACCCAAGGACCCTTTCCAGTAGCCACAGGGATTTTGGTATTCCTATCAGAATTCAAGAGGAGTCAGGCATCGTCACCTTTTGAAGCAATGAACTCCGCGTGCCTCTCGAGGTGTCAACGGGATGTGAGGCATTCCGTCCAAATGAGGCAGGGACCTAGGGCTTTCTCTAAGGTCTCCACAGGGGATTCAGACATCCCTTCATGTCGTGAGATCAAAGACGAGCCTGTATTCAAGCCACTGCAAGGAAATCCGGCCTCCTTTCAAGTTAGGGCTTCTCGCTGTATATTGCCCTTGAGGCAGCGTACTCGGGGTCCCTCCCACATACCTATTGCTGAGAGAAGCCTCCTCCTGAGGTGCATCTGGAAAGTTGGCAGACGTCTTGAGCCTAAGCCAGGGAATCACCTCTCATCTCGAGACGATTTGGGGTACACGGAGCATTCCTCGAGGTGCCGTGCTGAAGTTGGTGTTCCTCTAGACTTGGAACAGTGTTCTCGGGGCATCTCTGGAGTTGCCTGAAGGAAGAAGAGCCACCGGTCGTGTTGAATGGGGAACGGGGAATGGCTCTGGAGTCAATGCACGGGAATCGGGCCTCATCTCGAGTTGATTTGGGGCCCATGGAGCTGCTTTGCGTTGCTGGGGTGACCTCAGGGTCCGTCGAGACTGGTGACAGTGTTCTTGGGGACTGTCTCGAGAACCATTAAGCAAGTCGAAGCTCCTGACTTGTTTGAATGGGACCACGGGATAGCTCTGCATGCACTGCAGGGGAATGGGGCCTCATCTCGCCTCTAGGGGTAAGTCTCATGGTTTTTCTCGAGTTGCGGCGGGGACCTGGGGTATGTTCTCGACTTACGGCGGGGATGGCCCTTCAAAACACGAGTTTCTTCAGTGACGTCAGGACTCCTGTCTAGTAACGAGGGACACCTCAGGAATCTCTTCGAAGCTTGGCAGGGCAAAAGGGACGCTTCTCGAGGTGAGGCAGGGCACCCAAGGACCCTTTCCAGTAGCCACAGGGATTTTGGGATTCCTATCAGTATTCAAGAGGAGTGAGGCATTGTCACCTTTTGAAGCAATGAACTTCGCCTGCCTCTTGAGGTGTCAACGGGATGTGAGGCATTCCGTCAAAATGAGGCAGGGACCTAGGGCTTTCTCTAAGGTCTCCACAGGGGATTCAGACATCCCTTCATGTTGTGAGATGAAAGACGAGCCTGTATTCCAGCCACTGCAAGGAAATCCGGCCTCCTTTCAAGTTAGGGCTTCTCGCTGTATATTGCCCTTGAGGCAGCGAACTCGGGGTCCCTCCCACATACCTATTGCTGAGAGAAGCCTCCTCCTGAGATGCGTCTTGAAAGTTGGCATACGTCTTGAGCCTAAGCCAGGGAATCACCTCACATCTCGAGACGATTTGGGGTACACGGAGCATTCCTCGAGTTGCCGTGCTGAAGTTCGTGTTCCTCTAGACTTGGGACAGTGTTTTCGGGGCATCTCTGGAGTTGCCTGAAGGAAGTCGAGCCACCGGTCGTGTTGAATGGGGAACGGGGAATGGCTCTGGAGTCAATGCAGGGGAATCGGGCCTCATCTCGAGTTGATTTGGGGCACATGGAGCGGCTTTGCGTTGCTGGGGTGACCTCAGCGTCCGTCGAGACTGGTGACAGTGTTCTTGGGGACTGTCTCGAGATCCATTAAGCAAGTCGAAGCTCCTGACTTGTTTGAATGCGACCACGGAATAGCTCTGCATGCACTGCAGGGGAATGGGGCCTCATCTCGCCTCTAGGGGGAAGTCTCATGGTTTTTCTCGAGTTGCGGCGGGGACCTGGGGTATGTTCTCGACTTACGGCGGGGATGGCCCTTCAAAACACGAGTTTCTTCAGTGACGTCAGGACTCCTGTCTAGTAACGAGGGAAAGCTCAGGAATCTCTTCGAGGCTTGGCAGGGCAAATGGGACGCTTCTCGAGGTGAGTCAGGGCACCCAAGACCCTTTCCAGTAGCCACAGGGATTTTTGGATTCCTATCAGTATTCAAGAGAAGTCAGGCATCGTCACCTTTTGAAGCAATGAACTCCGCGTGCCTCTCGAGGTGTCAACGGGATGTGAGGCATTACGTCCAAATGAGGCAGGAATCTAGGGCTTTCTCTAAGATCTCCACAGGGCATTCAGACATCCCTTCATGTTGTGAGATCAAAGACGAGCCTGTATTCAAGCCACTGCAAGGAAATCCGGCCTCCTTTCAAGTTAGGGCTTCTCGCTGTATATTGCCCTTGAGGCAGCGAACTCGGGGTCCCTCCCAAATACGTATTGCTGAGAGAAGCCTCCTCCTGAGATGCGTCTTGAAACTTGGCATACGTCTTGAGCCTAAGCCAGGGAATCAGCTCTCATCTCGAGACGATTTGGGGTACACGGAGCATTCCTCGAGTTGCTGTGCTGAAGTTGGTGTTCCTCTAGACTTGGGACAGTGTTCTCGGGGCATCTCTGGAGTTGCCTGAAGGAAGTCGAGCCACCGGTCGTGTTGAATGGGGAACGGGGAATGGCTCTGGAGTCAATGCAGGGGAATCGGGCCTCATCTCGAGTTGATTTGGGGCCCATGGAGCTGCTTTGCGTTGCTGGGGTGACCTCAGGGTCCGTCGAGACTGGTGACAGTGTTCTTGGGGACTGTCTCGAGAACCATTAAGCAAGTCGAAGCTCCTGACTCGCTTGAATGGGACCACGGAATAGCTCTGCATGCACTGCAGGGGAATGGGGCCTCATCTCGCCTCTAGGGGGAAGTCTCATGGTTTTTCTCGAGTTGCGGCGGGGACCTGGGGTATGTTCTCGACTTACGGCGGGGATGGCCCTTCAAAACACGAGTTTCTTCAGTGACGTCAGGACTCCTGTCTAGTAACGAGGGACACCTCAGGAATCTCTTCGAGGCTTGTCAGGGCAAAAGGGACGCTTCTCGATGTGAGGCAGGGCACCGAAGGACCCTTTCCAGTAGCCACAGGGATTTTGGGATTCCTATCTATATTCAAGAGGACTGAGGCATTGTCACCTTTTGAAGCAATGAACTTCGCGTGCCTCTTGAGGTGTCTACGGGATGTGAGGCATTCCGTCAAAATGAGGCAGGGACCTAGGGCTTTCTCTAAGGTCTCCACAGGGGATTCAGACATCCCTTCAGGTTGTGAGATGAAAGACGAGCCTGTATTCAAGCCACTGCAAGGAAATCCGGCCTCCTTTCAAGTTAGGGCTTCTCGCTGTATATTGCCCTTGAGGCAGCGAACTCGGGGTCCCTTCCACATACATATTGCTGAGAGAAGCCTCCTCCTGAGGTGCGTCTGGAAAGTTGGCATACGTCTTGAGCCTAAGCCAGGGAATCAGCTCTCATCTCGAGACGATTTGGGGTACACGGAGCATGCCTCGAGTTGCTGTGCTGAAGTTGGTGTTCCTCTAGACTTCGGACAGTGTTCTCGGGGTATCTCTGGAGTTGCCTGAAGGAAGTCGAGCCACCGTTCGTGTTGAATGGGGAACGCGGCATGGCTCTGGAGTCAATGCAGGGCAATCGGGCCTCATCTCGAGTTGATTTGGGGCACATGGAGCTGCTTTGCGTTGCTGGGGTGACCTCAGCGTCCGTCGAGACTGGTGACAGTGTTCTTGGGGACTGTCTCGAGATCCATTAAGCAAGTTGAAGCCCCTGACTTGTATGAATGGGACTACGGAATAGCTCTGCATGCACTGCAGGGGAATGGGGCCTCATCTCGCCTCTTGGGGGAAGTCTCATGGTTTTTCTCGAGTTGCGGCGGGGACCTGGGTTATGTTCTCGACTTTCGGCGGGGATGGCCCTTCAAAACACGAGTTTCTTCAGTGACGTCAGGACTCCTGTCTAGTAACGAGGGACATCTCAGGAATCTCATCGAGGCTTGGCAGTGCAAATGGGACGCTTCTTGAGGTGAGGCAGGGCACCCAAGGACCCTTTCCAGTAGCCACAGGGATTTTGGTATTCCTATCAGAATTCAAGAGGAGTCAGGCATCGTCACCTTTTGAAGCAATGAACTCCGCGTGCCTCTCGAGGTGTCAACGGGATGTGAGGCATTCCGTCCAAATGAGGCAGGGACCTAGGGCTTTCTCTAAGGTCTCCACAGGGGATTCAGACATCCCTTCATGTCGTGAGATCAAAGACGAGCCTGTATTCAAGCCACTGCAAGGAAATCCGGCCTCCTTTCAAGTTAGGGCTTCTCGCTGTATATTGCCCTTGAGGCAGCGTACTCGGGGTCCCTCCCACATACCTATTGCTGAGAGAAGCCTCCTCCTGAGGTGCATCTGGAAAGTTGGCAGACGTCTTGAGCCTAAGCCAGGGAATCACCTCTCATCTCGAGACGATTTGGGGTACACGGAGCATTCCTCGAGGTGCCGTGCTGAAGTTGGTGTTCCTCTAGACTTGGAACAGTGTTCTCGGGGCATCTCTGGAGTTGCCTGAAGGAAGAAGAGCCACCGGTCGTGTTGAATGGGGAACGGGGAATGGCTCTGGAGTCAATGCACGGGAATCGGGCCTCATCTCGAGTTGATTTGGGGCCCATGGAGCTGCTTTGCGTTGCTGGGGTGACCTCAGGGTCCGTCGAGACTGGTGACAGTGTTCTTGGGGACTGTCTCGAGAACCATTAAGCAAGTCGAAGCTCCTGACTTGTTTGAATGGGACCACGGGATAGCTCTGCATGCACTGCAGGGGAATGGGGCCTCATCTCGCCTCTAGGGGTAAGTCTCATGGTTTTTCTCGAGTTGCGGCGGGGACCTGGGGTATGTTCTCGACTTACGGCGGGGATGGCCCTTCAAAACACGAGTTTCTTCAGTGACGTCAGGACTCCTGTCTAGTAACGAGGGACACCTCAGGAATCTCTTCGAAGCTTGGCAGGGCAAAAGGGACGCTTCTCGAGGTGAGGCAGGGCACCCAAGGACCCTTTCCAGTAGCCACAGGGATTTTGGGATTCCTATCAGTATTCAAGAGGAGTGAGGCATTGTCACCTTTTGAAGCAATGAACTTCGCCTGCCTCTTGAGGTGTCAACGGGATGTGAGGCATTCCGTCAAAATGAGGCAGGGACCTAGGGCTTTCTCTAAGGTCTCCACAGGGGATTCAGACATCCCTTCATGTTGTGAGATGAAAGACGAGCCTGTATTCAAACCACTGCAAGGAAATCCGGCCTCCTTTCAAGTTAGGGCTTCTCGCTGTATATTGCCCTTGAGGCAGCGAACTCGGGGTCCCTCCCACATACCTATTGCTGAGAGAAGCCTCCTCCTGAGATGCGTCTTGAAAGTTGGCATACGTCTTGAGCCTAAGCCAGGGAATCACCTCACATCTCGAGACGATTTGGGGTACACGGAGCATTCCTCGAGTTGCCGTGCTGAAGTTCGTGTTCCTCTAGACTTGGGACAGTGTTTTCGGGGCATCTCTGGAGTTGCCTGAAGGAAGTCGAGCCACCGGTCGTGTTGAATGGGGAACGGGGAATGGCTCTGGAGTCAATGCAGGGGAATCGGGCCTCATCTCGAGTTGATTTGGGGCACATGGAGCGGCTTTGCGTTGCTGGGGTGACCTCAGCGTCCGTCGAGACTGGTGACAGTGTTCTTGGGGACTGTCTCGAGATCCATTAAGCAAGTCGAAGCTCCTGACTTGTTTGAATGGGACCACGGAATAGCTCTGCATGCACTGCAGGGGAATGGGGCCTCATCTCGCCTCTAGGGGGAAGTCTCATGGTTTTTCTCGAGTTGCGGCGGGGACCTGGGGTATGTTCTCGACTTACGGCAGGGATGGCCCTTCAAAACACGAGTTTCTTCAGTGACGTCAGGACTCCTGTCTAGTAACGAGGGAAAGCTCAGGAATCTCTTCGAGGCTTGGCAGGGCAAATGGGACGCTTCTCGAGGTGAGTCAGGGCACCCAAGACCCTTTCCAGTAGCCACAGGGATTTTTGGATTCCTATCAGTATTCAAGAGAAGTCAGGCATCGTCACCTTTTGAAGCAATGAACTCCGCGTGCCTCTCGAGGTGTCAACGGGATGTGAGGCATTACGTCCAAATGAGGCAGGAATCTAGGGCTTTCTCTAAGATCTCCACAGGGCATTCAGACATCCCTTCATGTTGTGAGATCAAAGACGAGCCTGTATTCAAGCCACTGCAAGGAAATCCGGCCTCCTTTCAAGTTAGGGCTTCTCGCTGTATATTGCCCTTGAGGCAGCGAACTCGGGGTCCCTCCCAAATACGTATTGCTGAGAGAAGCCTCCTCCTGAGATGCGTCTTGAAACTTGGCATACGTCTTGAGCCTAAGCCAGGGAATCAGCTCTCATCTCGAGACGATTTGGGGTACACGGAGCATTCCTCGAGTTGCTGTGCTGAAGTTGGTGTTCCTCTAGACTTGGGACAGTGTTCTCGGGGCATCTCTGGAGTTGCCTGAAGGAAGTCGAGCCACCGGTCGTGTTGAATGGGGAACGGGGAATGGCTCTGGAGTCAATGCAGGGGAATCGGGCCTCATCTCGAGTTGATTTGGGGCCCATGGAGCTGCTTTGCGTTGCTGGGGTGACCTCAGGGTCCGTCGAGACTGGTGACAGTGTTCTTGGGGACTGTCTCGAGAACCATTAAGCAAGTCGAAGCTCCTGACTCGCTTGAATGGGACCACGGAATAGCTCTGCATGCACTGCAGGGGAATGGGGCCTCATCTCGCCTCTAGGGGGAAGTCTCATGGTTTTTCTCGAGTTGCAGCGGGGACCTGGGGTATGTTCTCGACTTACGGCGGGGATGGCCCTTCAAAACACGAGTTTCTTCAGTGACGTCAGGACTCCTGTCTAGTAACGAGGGACACCTCAGGAATCTCTTCGAGGCTTGGCAGGGCAAAAGGGACGCTTCTCGAGGTGAGGCAGGGCACCCAAGGACCCTTTCCAGTAGCCACAGGGATTTTGGGTTTCCTATCAGTATTCAAGAGGAGTGAGGCATTGTCACCTTTTGAAGCAATGAACTTCGCGTGCCTCTTGAGGTGTCAACGGGATGTGAGGCATTCCGTCAAAATGAGGCAGGGACCTAGGGCTTTCTCTAAGGTCTCCACAGGGGATTCAGACATCCCTTCATGTTGTGAGATCAAAGACGAGCCTGTATTCAAGCCACTGCAAGGAAATCCGGCCTCCTTTCAAGTTAGGGCTTCTCGCTGTATATTGCCCTTGAGGCAGCGAACTCGGTGTCCCTCCCACATACCTATTGCTGAGAGAAGCCTCCTCCTGAGGTGCGTCTGGAAAGTTGGCATGCGTCTTGAGCCTAAGTCAGGGAATCAGCTCTCATCTCGAGACGATTTGTGGTACACGGAGCATTCCTCGAGTTGCTGTGCTGAAGTTGGTGTTCCTCTAGACTTGGGACAGTGTTCTCGGGGTATCTCTGGAGTTGCCTGAAGGAAGTCGAGCCACCGGTCGTGTTGAATTGGGAACGGGGAATGGCTCTGGAGTCAATGCAGGGGAATCGGGCCTCATCTCGAGTTGATTTGGGGCCCATGGATCTGCTTTGCGTTGCTGGGGTGACCTCAGCGTCCGTCAAGACTGGTGACAGTGTTCTTGGGGACTGTCTCGAGATCCATTAAGCAAGTCGAAGCTCCTGACTTGTTTGAATGGGACCACGGAATAGCTCTGCATGCACTGCAGGGGAATGGGGCCTCATCTCGCCTCTAGGGGGAAGTCTCATGGTTTTTCTCGAGTTGCGGCGGGGACCTGGGGTATGTTCTCGACTTACGGCGGGGATGGCCCTTCAAAACACGAGTTTCTTCAGTGACGTCAGGACTCCTGTCTAGTAACGAGGGACACCTCAGGAATCTCTTCGAGGCTTGGCAGGGCAAATGGGACGCTTCTCGGTGTGAGGCAGGGCACCGAAGGACCCTTTCCAGTAGCCACAGGGATTTTGGGATTCCTATCTATATTCAAGAGGACTGAGGCATTGTCACCTTTTGAAGCAATGAACTTCGCGTGCCTCTTGAGGTGTCTACGGGATGTGAGGCATTCCGTCAAAATGAGGCAGGGACCTAGGGCTTTCTCTAAGGTCTCCACAGGGGATTCAGACATCCCTTCATGTTGTGAGATGAAAGACGAGCCTGTATTCAAGCCACTGCAAGGAAATCCGGCCTCCTTTCAAGTTAGGGCTTCTCGCTGTATATTGCCCTTGAGGCAGCGAACTCGGGGTCCCTTCCACATACCTATTGCTGAGAGAAGCCTCCTCCTGAGGTGCGTCTGGAAAGTTGGCATACGTCTTGAGCCTAAGCCAGGGAATCAGCTCTCATCTCGAGACGATTTGGGGTACACGGAGCATGCCTCGAGTTGCTGTGCTGAAGTTGGTGTTCCTCTAGACTTCGGACAGTGTTCTCGGGGTATCTCTGGAGTTGCCTGAAGGAAGTCGAGCCACCGTTCGTGTTGAATGGGGAACGCGGCATGGCTCTGGAGTCAATGCAGGGCAATCGGGCCTCATCTCGAGTTGATTTGGGGCACATGGAGCTGCTTTGCGTTGCTGGGGTGACCTCAGCGTCCGTCGAGACTGGTGACAGTGTTCTTGGGGACTGTCTCGAGATCCATTAAGCAAGTTGAAGCTCCTGACTTGTATGAATGGGACCACGGAATAGCTCTGCATGCACTGCAGGGGAATGGGGCCTCATCTCGCCTCTTGGGGGAAGTCTCATGGTTTTTCTCGAGTTGCGGCGGGGACCTGGGTTATGTTCTCGACTTACGGCGGGGATGGCCCTTCAAAACACGAGTTTCTTCAGTGACGTCAGGACTCCTGTCTAGTAAAGAGGGACATCTCAGGAATCTCATCGAGGCTTGGCAGTGCAAATGGGACGCTTCTTGATGTGAGGCAGGGCACCCAAGGACCCTTTCCAGTAGCCACAGGGATTTTGGTATTCCTATCAGAATTCACGAGGAGTCAGGCATCGTCACCTTTTGAAGCAATGAACTCCGCGTGCCTCTCGAGGTGTCAACGGGATGTGAGGCATTCCGTCCAAATGAGGTAGGGACCTAGGGCTTTCTCTAAGGTCTCCACAGGGGATTCAGACATCCCTTCATGTCGTGAGATCAAAGACGAGCCTGTATTCAAGCCACTGCAAGGAAATCCGGCCTCCTTTCAAGTTAGGGCTTCTCGCTGTATATTGCCCTTGAGGCAGCGTACTCGGGGTCCCTCCCACATACCTATTGCTGAGAGAAGCCTCCTCCTGAGGTGCATCTGGAAAGTTGGCAGACGTCTTGAGCCTAAGCCAGGGAATCACCTCTCATCTCGAGACGATTTGGGGTACACGGAACATTCCTCGAGGTGCCGTGCTGAAGTTGGTGTTCCTCTAGACTTGGGAGAGTGTTCTCGGGGCATCTCTGGAGTTGCCTGAAGGAAGAAGAGCCACCGGTCGTGTTGAATGGGGAACGGGGAATGGCTCTGGAGTCAATGCACGGGAATCGGGCCTCATCTCGAGTTGATTTGGGGCCCATGGAGCTGCTTTGCGTTGCTGGGGTGACATCAGGGTCCGTCGAGACTGGTGACAGTGTTCTTGGGGACTGTCTCGAGAACCATTAAGCAAGTCGAAGCTCCTGACTTGTTTGAATGGGACCACGGGATAGCTCTGCATGCACTGCAGGGGAATGGGGCCTCATCTCGCCTCTAGGGGTAAGTCTCATGGTTTTTCTCGAGTTGCGGCGGGGACCTGGGGTATGTTCTCGACTTACGGCGGGGATGGCCCTTCAAAACACGAGTTTCTTCAGTGACGTCAGGACTCCTGTCTAGTAACGAGGGACACCTCAGGAATCTCTTCGAGGCTTGGCAGGGCAAAAGGGACGCTTCTCGAGGTGAGGCAGGGCACCCAAGGACCCTTTCCAGTAGCCACAGGGATTTTGGGATTCCTATCAGTATTCAAGAGGAGTGAGGCATTGTCACCTTTTGAAGCAATGAACTTCGCGTGCCTCTTGAGGTGTCAACGGGATGTGAGGCATTCCGTCAAAATGAGGCAGGGACCTAGGGCTTTCTCTAAGGTCTCCACAGGGGATTCAGACATCCCTTCATGTTGTGAGATGAAAGACGAGCCTGTATTCAAGCCACTGCAAGGAAATCCGGCCTCCTTTCAAGTTAGGGCTTCTCGCTGTATATTGCCCTTGAGGCAGCGAACTCGGGGTCCCTCCCACATACCTATTGCTGAGAGAAGCCTCCTCCTGAGATGCGTCTTGAAAGTTGGCATACGTCTTGAGCCTAAGCCAGGGAATCACCTCACATCTCGAGACGATTTGGGGTACACGGAGCATTCCTCGAGTTGCCGTGCTGAAGTTCGTGTTCCTCTAGACTTGGGACAGTGTTTTCGGGGCATCTCTGGAGTTGCCTGAAGGAAGTCGAGCCACCGGTCGTGTTGAATGGGGAACGGGGAATGGCTCTGGAGTCAATGCAGGGGAATCGGGCCTCATCTCGAGTTGATTTGGGGCACATGGAGCGGCTTTGCGTTGCTGGGGTGACCTCAGCGTCCGTCGAGACTGGTGACAGTGTTCTTGGGGACTGTCTCGAGATCCATTAAGCAAGTCGAAGCTCCTGACTTGTTTGAATGCGACCACGGAATAGCTCTGCATGCACTGCAGGGGAATGGGGCCTCATCTCGCCTCTAGGGGGAAGTCTCATGGTTTTTCTCGAGTTGCGGCGGGGACCTGGGGTATGTTCTCGACTTACGGCGGGGATGGCCCTTCAAAACACGAGTTTCTTCAGTGACGTCAGGACTCCTGTCTAGTAACGAGGGAAAGCTCAGGAATCTCTTCGAGGCTTGGCAGGGCAAATGGGACGCTTCTCGAGGTGAGTCAGGGCACCCAAGACCCTTTCCAGTAGCCACAGGGATTTTCGGATTCCTATCAGTATTCAAGAGAAGTCAGGCATCGTCACCTTTTGAAGCAATGAACTCCGCGTGCCTCTCGAGGTGTCAACGGGATGTGAGGCATTCCGTCAAAATGAGGCAGGAATCTAGGGCTTTCTCTAAGATCTCCACAGGGCATTCAGACATCCCTTCATGTTGTGAGATCAAAGACGAGCCTGTATTCAAGCCATTGCAAGGAAATCCGGCCTCCTTTCAAGTTAGGGCTTCTCGCTGTATATTGCCCTTGAGGCAGCGAACTCGGGGTCCCTCCCAAATACGTATTGCTGAGAGAAGCCTCCTCCTGAGATGCGTCTTGAAACTTGGCATACGTCTTGAGCCTAAGCCAGGGAATCAGCTCTCATCTCGAGACGATTTGGGGTACACGGAGCATTCCTCGAGTTGCTGTGCTGAAGTTGGTGTTCCTCTAGACTTGGGACAGTGTTCTCGGGGCATCTCTGGAGTTGCCTGAAGGAAGTCGAGCCACCGGTCGTGTAGAATGGGGAACGGGGAATGGCTCTGGAGTCAATGCAGGGGAATCGGGCCTCATCTCGAGTTGATTTGGGGCCCATGGAGCTGCTTTGCGTTGCTGGGGTGACCTCAGGGTCCGTCGAGACTGGTGACAGTGTTCTTGGGGACTGTCTCGAGAACCATTAAGCAAGTCGAAGCTCCTGACTTGCTTGAATGGGACCACGGAATAGCTCTGCATGCACTGCAGGGGAATGGGGCCTCATCTCGCCTCTAGGGGGAAGTCTCATGGTTTTTCTCGAGTTGCAGCGGGGACCTGGGGTATGTTCTCGACTTACGGCGGGGATGGCCCTTCAAAACACGAGTTTCTTCAGTGACGTCAGGACTCCTGTCTAGTAAGGAGGGACACCTCAGGAATCTCTTCGAGGCTTGGCAGGGCAAAAGGGACGCTTCTCGACGTGAGGCAGGGCACCCAAGGACCCTTTCCAGTAGCCACAGGGATTTTGGGATTCCTATCAGTATTCAAGAGGAGTGAGGCATTGTCACCTTTTGAAGCAATGAACTTCGCGTGCCTCTTGAGGTGTCAACGGGATGTGAGGCATTCCGTCAAAATGAGGCAGGGACCTAGGGCTTTCTCTAAGGTCTCCACAGGGTATTCAGACATCCCTTCATGTTGTGAGATGAAAGACGAGCCTGTATTCAAGCCACTGCAAGGAAATCCGGCCTCCTTTCAAGTTAGGGCTTCTCGCTGTATATTGCCCTTGAGGCAGCGAACTCGGGGTCCCTCCCACATACCTATTGCTGAGAGAAGCCTCCTCCTGAGGTGCGTCTGGAAAGTTGGCATACGTCTTGAGCCTAAGCCAGGGAATCAGCTCTCATCTCGAGACGATTTGGGGTACACGGAGCATTCCTCGAGTTGCTGTGCTGAAGTTGGTGTTCCTCTAGACTTGGGACAGTGTTCTCGGGGTATCTCTGGAGTTGCCTGAAGGAAGTCGAGCCACCGGTCGTGTTGAATGGGGAACGGGTAATGGCTCTTTAGTCAATGCAGGGGAATCGGGCCTCATCTCGAGTTGATTTGGGGCACATGGAGCTGCTTTGCATTGCTGGGGTGACCTCAGCGTCGGTCGAGACTGGTGACAGTGTTCTTGGGGACTGTCTCGAGATCGATTAAGCAAGTCGAAGCTCCTGACTTGTTTGAATGGGACCACGGAATAGCTCTGCATGCACTGCAGGGGAATGGGGCCTCATCTCGCCTCTAGGGGGAAGTCTCATGATTTTTCTCGAGTTGCGGCGGGGACCTGGGGTATGTTCTCGACTTACGGCGGGGATGGCCCTTCAAAACACGAGTTTCTTCAGTGACGTCAGGACTCCTGTCTAGTAACGAGGGACACCTCAGGAATATCATCGAGGCTTGGCAGTGCAAATGGGACGCTTCTTGAGGTGAGGCAGGGCACCCAAGGACCCTTTCCAGTAGCCACAGGGATTTTGGGATTCCTATCAGAATTCAAGAGGAGTCAGGCATCGTCACCTTTTGAAGCAATGAACTCCGCATGCCTCTCGAGGTGTCAACGGGATGTGAGGCATTCCGTCCAAATGAGGCAGGGACCTAGGGTTTTCTCTAAGGTCTCCACAGGGGATTCAGACATCCCTTCATGTTGTGAGAAGAAAGACGAGCCTGTATTCAAGCCACTGCAAGGAAATCCGGCCTCCATTCAAGTTAGGGCTTCTCGCTGTATATTGCCCTTGAGGCAGCGAACTCGGGGTCCCTCCCACATACCTATTGCTGAAAGAAGCCTCCTCCTGAGGTGCGTCTGGAAAGTTGGCATACGTCTTGAGCCTAAGCCAGGGAATCACCTCTCATCTCGAGAAGATTTGTGGTACATGGAGCATTCCTCGAGTTGCCGTGCTGAAGTTGGTGTTCCTCTAGACTTGAGACAGTGTTCTCTGGGCATCTCTGGACTTGCCTGAAGGAAGTCGAGCCACCGGTCGTGTTGAATTGGGAACGGGGAATGGCTCTGGAGTCAATGCAGGGGAATCGGGCCTCATCTCGTGTTGATTTGGGGCCCATGGAGCTGCTTTGCGTTGCTGGGGTGACCTCAGGGTCGTCGAGACTGGTGACAGTGTTCTTGGGGACTGTCTCGAGAACCATTAAGCAAGTCGAAGCTCCTGACTTGCTTGAATGGGACCACGGAATAGCTCTGCATGCACTGCAGGGGAATGGGGCCTCATCTCGCCTCTAGGGGGAAGTCTCATGGTTTTTCTCGAGTTGCGGCGGGGACCTGGGGTATGTTCTCGACTTACAGCGGGGATGGCCCTTCAAAACACGAGTTTCTTCAGTGACGTCAGGACTCCTGTCTAGTAACGAGGGACACCTCAGGAATCTCTTCGAGGCTTGGCAGGGCAAAAGGGACGCTTCTCGAGGTGAGGCAGGGCACCCAAGGACCCTTCCAGTAGCCACAGGGATTTTGGGATTCCTATCAGAATTCAAGAGGAGTCAGGCATCGTCACCTTTTGAAGCAATGAACTTCGCGTGCCTCTTGAGGTGTCAACGGGATGTGAGGCATTCCGTCAAAATGATGCAGGGACCTAGGGCTTTCTCTAAGGTCTCCACAGGGGATTCAGACATCCCTTCATGTTGTGAGATGAAAGACGAGCCTGTATTCAAGCCACTGCAAGGAAATCCGGCCTCCTTTCAAGTTAGGGCTTCTCGCTGTACATTGCCCTTGAGGCAGCGAACTCGGGGTCCCTCCCACATAACTATTGCTGAGAGAAGCCTCCTCCTGAGGTGCGTCTGGAAAGTTGGCATACGTCTTGAGCCTAAGCCAGGGAATCAGCTCTCATCTCGAGACGATTTGGGGTACACGGAGCATTCCTCGAGTTGCTGTGCTGAAGTTGGTGTTCCTCTAGACTTGGGACAGTGTTCTCGGGGCATCTCTGGAGTTGTCTGAAGGAAGTCGAGCCACCGGTCGTGTTGAGTGGGGAACGGGGAATGGCTCTGGAGTCAATGCAGGGGAATCGGGCCTCATCTCGAGTTGATTTGGGGCACATGGAGCTGCTTTGCGTTGCTGGGGTGACCTCAGGGTCCATCGAGACTGGTGACAGTGTTCTTGAGGACTGTCTCGAGATCCATTAAGCAAGTCGAAGCTCCTGACTTGTTGAATGGGACCACGGAATAGCTCTGCATGCACTGCAGGGGAATGGGATCTCATCTCGCCTCTAGGGGGAAGTCTCATGGTTTTTCTCGAGTTGCGGCGGGGACCTGGGGTATGTTCTCGACTTACGGCGGGGATGGCCCTTCAAAACACGAGTTTCTTCAGTGACGTCAGGACTCCTGTCTAGTAACGAGGGACATCTCAGGAATCTCTTCGAGGCTTGGCAGGGCAAATGGGACGCTTCTTGAGGTGAGGCAGGGCACCCAAGGACACTTTCCAGTAGCCACAGGGATTTTGGGATTCCTATCAGAATTCAAGAGGAGTCAGGCATCGTCACCTTTTGAAGCAATGAACTCCGCATGCCTCTGGAGGTGTCAACGGGATGTGAGGCATTCCGTCCAAATGAGGCAGGGACCTAGGGCTTTCTCTAAGGTCTCCACAGGGGATTCAGACATCCCTTCGTGTTGTGAGATCAAAGACGAGCCTGTATTCAAGCCACTGCAAGGAAATCCGGCCTCCTTTCAAGTTAGGGCTTCTCGCTGTACATTGCCCTTGAGGCAGCGAACTCGGGGTCCCTCCCACATACCTATTGCTGAGAGAAGCCCCCTCCTGAGGTGCGTCTTGAAAGTTGGCATACGTCTTGAGCCTAAGCCAGGGAATCACCTCTCATCTCGAGACGATTTGGGGTACACGGAGCATTCCTCGAGTTGCCGTGCTGTAGTTGGTGTTCCTCTAGACTTGAGACAGTGTTCTCGGGGCATCTCTGGAGTTGCCTGAAGGAAGTCGAGCCACCGGTCGTGTTGAATGGGGAACGGGGAATGGCTCTGGAGTCAATGCAGGGGAATCGGGCCTCATCTCGAGTTGATTTGGGGCCCATGGAGCTGCTTTGCGTTGCTGGGGTGAACTCAGGGTCGTCGAGACTGGTGACAGTGTTCTTGGGGACTGTCTCGAGAACCATTAAGCAAGTCGAAGCTCCTGACTTGATTGAATGGGACCACGGAATAGCTCTGCATGCACTGCAGGGGAATGGGGCCTCATCTCGCCTCTAGGGGGAAGTCTCATGGTTTTTCTCGAGTTGCGGCGGGGACCTGGGGTATGTTCTCGACTTACGGCGGGGATGGCCCTTCAAAACACGAGTTTCTTCAGTGACGTCAGGACTCCTGCCTAGTAACGAGGGACACCTCAGGAATCTCTTCGAGGCTTGGCAGGGCAAAAGGGACACTTCTCGAGGTGAGGCAGGGCACCAAAGGACCCTTTCCAGTAGCCACAGGGATTTTGGGATTCCTATCAGTATTCAAGAGGAGTGAGGTATTGTCACCTTTTTAAGCAATGAACTTCGCGTGCCTCTCGAGGTTTCAACGGGATGTGAGGCATTCCGTCAAAATGAGGCAGGGACCTAGGGCTTTCTCTAAGGTCTCCACAGGGGATTCAGACATCCCTTCATGTTGTGAGATCAAAGACGAGCCTGTATTCAAGCCACTGCAAGGATATCCGGCCTCCTTTCAAGTTAGGGCTTCTCGCTGTACATTGCCCTTGAGGCAGCGAACTCGGGGTCCCTCCCACATAACTATTGCTGAGAGAAGCCTCCTCCTGAGGTGCGTCTGGAAAGTTGGCATACGTCTTGAGCCTAAGCCAGGGAATCAGCTCTCATCTCGAGACGATTTGGGATACACGGAGCATTCCTCGAGTTGCTGTGCTGAAGTTAGTGTTCCTCTAGACTTCGGACAGTGTTCTCGGGGTATCTCTGGAGTTGCCTGAAGGAAGTCGAGCCACAGTTCGTGTTGAATGGGGAACGCGGAATGGCTCTGGAGTCAATGCAGGGGAATCGGGCCTCATCTCGAGTTGATTTGGGGCACTTGGAGCTGCTTTGCGTTGCTGGGGTGACCTCAGGGTCCATCGAGACTGGTGACAGGGTTCTTGAGGACTGTCTCGAGATCCATTAAGCAAGTCGAAGCTCCTGACTTGTTGAATGGGACCACGGAATAGCTCTGCATGCACTGCAGGGGAATGGGGTCTCATCTCGCCTCTAGAGGGAAGTCTCATGGTTTTTCTCGAGTTGCGGCGGGGACCTGGGGTAAGTTCTCGACTTACGGCGGGGATGGCCGTTCAAAACACGAGTTTCTTCAGTGACGTCAGGACTCCTGTCTAGTAATGAGGGACATCTCAGGAATCTCTTCGAGGCTTGGCAGGGCAAATGGGACGCTTCTTGAGGTGAGGCAGGGCACCCAAGGACCCTTTCCAGTAGCCACAGTGATTTTGGGATTCCTATCAGAATTCAAGAGGAGTCAGGCATCGTCACCTTTTGAAGCAATGAACTCCGCGTGCCTCTGGAGGTGTCAACGGGATGTGAGGCATTCCGTCCAAATGAGGCAGGGACCTAGGGCTTTCTCTAAGGTCTCCACAGGGGATTCAGACATCCCTTCGTGTTGTGAGATCAAAGACGAGCCTGTATTCAAGCCACTGCAAGGAAATCCGGCCTCCTTTCAAGTTAGGGCTTCTCGCTGTTTATTGCCCTTGAGGCAGCGTACTCGGGGTCCCTCCCACATACCTATTGCTGAGAGAAGCCTCCTCCTGAGGTGCGTCTGGAAAGTTGGCAGACGTCTTGAGCCTAAGCCAGGGAATCACCTCTCATCTCGAGACGATTTGGGGTACACGGAGCATTCCTCGACGTGCCGTGCTGAAGTTGGTGTTCCTCTAGACTTGGGACAGTGTTCTCGGGGCATCTCTGGAGTTGTCTGAAGGAAGTCGAGCCACCGTTCGTGTTGAATGGGGAATGGGGAATGGCTCTGGAGTCAATGCAGGGGAATCGGGCCTCATCTCGAGTTGATTTGGGGCCCATGGAGCTGCTTTGCGTTGCTGGGGTGACCTCAGGGTCCGGCGAGACTGGTGACAGTGTTCTTGGGGACTGTCTCGAGAACCATTAAGCAAGTCGAAGCTCCTGACTTGTTTGAATGGGACCACGGGATAGCTCTGCATGCACTGCAGGGGAATGGGGCCTCATCTCGCCTCTATGGGTAAGTCTCATGGTTTTTCTCGAGTTGCGGCGGGGACCTGGGGTATGTTCTCGACTTACGGCGGGGATGGCCCTTCAAAACACGAGTTTCTTCAGTGACGTCAGGACTCCTGTCTAGTAACAAGGGACACCTCAGGAATCTCTTCGAGGCTTGGCAGGGCAAAAGGGACGCTTCTCGAGGTGAGGCAGGGCACCCAAGGACCCTTTCCAGTAGCCACAGGGATTTTGGGATTCCTATCAGTATTCAAGAGGAGTGAGGCATTGTCACCTTTTGAAGCAATGAACTTCGTGTGCCTCTTGAGGTGTCAACGGGATGTGAGGCATTCCGTTAAAATGAGGCAGGGACCTAGGGCTTTCTCTAAGGTCTCCACAGGGTTTCAGACATCCCTTCATGTTGTGAGATGAAAGACGAGCCTGTATTCAAGCCACTGCAAGGAAATCCGGCCTCCTTTCAAGTTAGGGCTTCTCGCTGTATATTGCCCTTGAGGCAGCGAACTCGGGGTCCCTCCCACATACCTATTGCTGAGAGAAGCCTCCTCCTGAGGTGCGTCTGGAAAGTTGGCATACGTCTTGAGCCTAAGCCAGGGAATCACCTCTCATCTCGAGACGATTTGGGGTACACGGAGCATTCCTCGAGTTGCCGTGCTGAAGTTCGTGTTCCTCTAGACTTGGGACAGTGTTTTCGGGGCATCTCTGGAGTTGGCTGAAGGAAGTCGAGCCACCGGTCGTGTTGAATGGGGAACGGGGAATGGCTCTCGAGTCAATGCAGGGGAATCGGGCCTCATCTCGAGTTGATTTGGGGCCCATGGAGCTGCTTTGCGTTGCTGGGGTGACCTCAGGGTCCGTCGAGACTGGTGACAGTGTTCTTGGGGACTGTCTCGAGAACCATTAAGCAAGTCGAAGCTCCTGACTTGCTTGAATGGGACCACGGAATAGCTCTGCATGCACTGCAGGGGAATGGGGCCTCATCTCGCCTCTAGGGGGAAGTCTCATGGTTTTTCTCGAGTTGCGGCGCGGACCTGGGGTATGTTCTCGACTTACGGCGGGGATGGCCCTTCAAAACACGAGTTTCTTCAGTGACGTCAGGACTCCTGTCTAGTAACGAGGGACATCTCAGGAATCTCATCGAGGCTTGGCAGTGCAAATGGGACGCTTCTTGAGGTGAGGCAGGGCACCCAAGGACCCTTTCCAGTAGCCACAGGGATTTTGGGATTCCTATCAGAATTCAAGAGGAGTCAGGCATCGTCACCTTTTGAAGCAATGAACTCCGCGTGCCTCTCGAGGTGTCAACGGGATGTGAGGCATTCCGTCCAAATGAGGCAGGGACCTAGGGCTTTCTCTAAGGTCTCCACAGGGGATTCAGACATCCCTTCATGTTGTGAGAAGAAAGACGAGCCTGTATTCAAGCCACTGCAAGGAAATCCGGCCTCCTTTCAAGTTAGGGATTCTCGCTGTATATTGCCCTTGAGGCAGCGAACTCGGGGTCCCTCCCACATACCTATTGCTGAGAGAAGCCCCCTCCTGAGGTGCGTCTTGAAAGTTGGCATACGTCTTGAGCCTAAACCAGGGAATCACCTCTCATCTCGAGACGATTTGGGGTACACGGAGCATTCCTCGAGTTGCCGTGCTGTAGTTGGTGTTCCTCTAGACTTGAGACAGTGTTCTCGGGGCATCTCTGGAGTTGCCTGAAGGAAGTCGAGCCACCGGTCGTGTTGAATGGGGAACGGGGAATGGCTCTGGAGTCAATGCAGGGGAATCGGGCCTCATCTCGAGTTGATTTGGGGCCCATGGAGCTGCTTTGCGTTGCTGGGGTGAACTCAGGGTCGTCGAGACTGGTGACAGTGTTCTTGGGGACTGTCTCGAGAACCATTAAGCAAGTCGAAGCTCCTGACTTGCTTGAATGGGACCACGGAATAGCTCTGCATGCACTGCAGGGGAATGGGGCCTCATCTCGCCTCTAGGGGGAAGTCTCATGGTTTTTCTCGAGTTGCGGCGGGGACCTGGGGTATGTTCTCGACTTACGGCGGGGATGGCCCTTCAAAACACGAGTTTCTTCAGTGACGTCAGGACTCCTGTCTAGTAACGAGGGACACCTCAGGAATCTCTTCGAGGCTTGGCAGGGCAAAAGGGACGCTTCTCGAGGTGAGGCAGGGCACCCAAGGACCCTTTCCAGTAGCCACAGGGATTTTGGGATTCCTATCAGTATTCAAGAGGAGTGAGGTATTGTCACCTTTTTAAGCAATGAACTTCGCGTGCCTCTCGAGGTGTCAACGGGATGTGAGGCATTCCGTCAAAATGAGGCAGGGACCTAGGGCTTTCTCTAAGGTCTCCACAGGGGATTCAGACATCCCTTCATGTTGTGAGATCAAAGACGAGCCTGTATTCAAGCCACTGCAAGGAAATCCGGCCTCCATTCAAGTTAGGGCTTCTCGCTGTACATTGCCCTTGAGGCAGCGAACTCGGGGTCCCTCCCACATAACTATTGCTGAGAGAAGCCTCCTCCTGAGGTGCGTCTGGAAAGTTGGCATATGTCTTGAGCCTAAGCCAGGGAATCAGCTCTCATCTCGAGACGATTTGGGATACACGGAGCATTCCTCGAGTTGCTGTGCTGAAGTTGGTGTTCCTCTGGACTTCGGACAGTGTTCTCGGGGTATCTCTGGAGTTGCCTGAAGGAAGTCGAGCCACAGTTCGTGTTGAATGGGGAACGCGGAATGGCTCTGGAGTCAATGCAGGGGAATCGGGCCTCATCTCTAGTTGATTTTGGGCACATGGAGCTGCTTTGCGTTGCTGGGGTGACCTCAGCGTCCGTCGAGACTGGTGACAGTGTTCTTGGGGACTGTCTCGAGATCCATTAAGCAAGTCGAAGCTCCTGACTTGTTTGAATGGGACCACGGAATAGTTCTGCATGCACTGCAGGGGAATGGGGTCTCATCTCGCCTCTAGAGGGAAGTCTCATGGTTTTTCTCGAGTTGCGGCGGGGACCTGGGGTATGTTCTCGACTTACGGCGGGGATGGCCCTTCAAAACACGAGTTTCTTCAGTGACGTCAGGACTCCTTTCTAGTAACGAGGAACACCTCAGGAATCTCATCGAGGCTTGGCAGTGCAAATGGGACGCTTCTTGAGGTGAGGCAGGGCACCCAACGACCCTTTCCAGTAGCCACAGGGATTTTGGGATTCCTATCAGAATTCAAGAGGAGTCAGGCATCGTCACCTTTTGAAGCAATGAACTCCGCGTGCCTCTCGAGGTGTCAACGGGATGTGAGGCATTCCGTCCAAATGAGGCAGGGACCTAGGGCTTTCTCTAAGGTCTCCACAGGGGATTCAGACATCCCTTCATGTTGTGAGATGAAAGACGAGCCTGTATTCAAGCCACTGCAAGGAAATCCGGCCTCCTTTCAAGTTAGGGCTTCTCGCTGTATATTGCCCTTGAGGCAGCGAACTCGGGGTCCCTCCCAGATACCTATTGCTGAGAGAAGCCCCCTCCTGAGGTGCGTCTTGAAAGTTGGCATACGTCTTGAGCCTAAGCCAGGGAATCACCTCTCATCTCGAGACGATTTGGGGTACACGGAGCATTCCTCGAGTTGCCGTGCTGTAGTTGGTGTTCCTCTAGACTTGAGACAGTGTTCTCGGGGCATCTCTGGAGTTGCCTGAAGGAAGTCGAGCCACCGGTCGTGTTGAATGGGGAACGGGGAATGGCTCTGGAGTCAATGCAGGGGAATCGGGCCTCATCTCGAGTTGATTTGGGGCCCATGGAGCTGCTTTGCGTTGCTGGGGTGAACTCAGGGTCGTTGAGACTGGTGACAGTGTTCTTGGTGACTGTCTCGAGAACCATTAAGCAAGTCGAAGCTCCTGACTTGCTTGAATGGGACCACGGAATAGCTCTGCATGCACTGCAGGGGAATGGGGCCTCATCTCGCCTCTAGGGGGAAGTCTCATGGTTTTTCTCGAGTTGCGGCGGGGACCTGGGGTATGTTCTCGACTTACGGCGGGGATGGCCCTTCAAAACACGAGTTTCTTCAGTGACGTCAGGACTCCTGTCTAGTAACGAGGGACACCTCAGGAATCTCTTCGAGGCTTGGCAGGGCAAAAGGGACGCTTCTCGAGGTGAGGCAGGGCACCCAAGGACCCTTTCCAGTAGCCACAGGGATTTTGGGATTCCTATCAGTATTCAAGAGGAGTGAGGTATTGTCACCTTTTTAAGCAATGAACTTCGCGTGCCTCTCGAGGTGTCAACGGGATGTGAGGCATTCCGTCAAAATGAGGCAGGGACCTAGGGCTTTCTCTAAGGTCTCCACAGGGGATTCAGACATCCCTTCATGTTGTGAGATGAAAGACGAGCCTGTATTCAAGCCACTGCAAGGAAATCCGGCCTCCTTTCAAGTTAGGGCTTCTCGCTGTACATTGCCCTTGAGGCAGCGAACTCGGGGTCCCTCCCACATACCTATTGCTGAGAGAAGCCTCCTCCTGAGGTGCGTCTGGAAAGTTGGCATACGTCTTGAGCCTAAGCCAGGGAATCAGCTCTCATCTCGAGACGATTTGGGATACACGGAGCATTCCTCGAGTTGCTGTGCTGAAGTTGGTGTTCCTCTAGACTTCGGACAGTGTTCTCGGGGTATCTCTGGAGTTGCCTGAAGGAAGTCGAGCCACAGTTCGTGTTGAATGGGGAACGCGGAATGGCTCTGGAGTCAATGCAGGGGAATCGGGCCTCATCTCGAGTTGATTTTGGGCACATGGAGCCGCTTTGCGTTGCTGGGGTGACCTCAGCGTCCGTCGAGACTGGTGACAGTGTTCTTGGGGACTGTCTCGAGATCCATTAAGCAAGTCGAAGCTCCTGACTTGTTTGAATGGGACCACGGAATAGTTCTGCATGCACTGCAGGGGAATGGGGTCTCATCTCGCCTCTAGGGGGAAGTCTCATGGTTTTTCTCGAGTTGCGGCGGGGACCTGGGGTATGTTCTCGACTTACGGTGGGGATGGCCCTTCAAAACACGAGTTTTTTCAGTGACGTCAGGACTCCTCTCTAGTAACGAGGGACACCTAAGGAATCTCTTCGAGGCTTGGCAGGGCAAAAGGGACGCTTCTCGAGGTGAGGCAGGGCACCCAAGGACCCTTTCCAGTAGCCACAGGGATTTTGGGATTCCTATCAGTATTCAAGAGGAGTCAGGCATCGTCACGTTTTGAAGCAATGGACTCCGCGTGCCTCTCGAGGTGTCAACGGGATGTGAGGCATTCCGTCCAAATGAGGCAGGGACCTAGGGCTTTCTCTATGGTCTCCACAGGGGATTCAGACATCCCTTCATGTTGTGAGATCAAAGACGAGCCTGTATTCAAGCCACTGCAAGGAAATCCGGCCTCCTTTCAAGTTAGGGTTTCTCGCTGTATATTGCCCTTGAGGCAGCGAACTCGGGGTCCCTCCCACATACCTATTGCTGAGAGAAGCCTCCTCCTGAGGTGCGTCTTGAAAGTTGGCATACGTCTTGAGCCTAAGCCAGGGAATCACCTCTCATCTCGAGACGATTTGGGGTACACGGAGCATTCCTCGAGTTGCCGTGCTGAAGTTGGTGTTCCTCTAGACTTGGGACAGTGTTCTCGGGGCATCTCTGGAGTTGCCTGAAGGAAGTCGAGCCACCGGTCGTGTTGAATTGGGAACGGGGAATGGCTCTGGAGTCAATGCAGGGGAATCGGGCCTCATCTCGAGTTGATTTGGGGCCCATGGAGCTGCTTTGCGTTGCTGGGGTGACCTCAGGGTCGTCGATACTGGTGACAGTGTTCTTGGGGACTGTCTCGAGAACCATTAAGCAAGTCGAAGCTCCTGACTTGCTTGAATGGGACCACGGAATAGCTCTGCATGCACTGCAGGGGAATGGGGCCTCATCTCGCCTCTAGGGGGAAGTCTCATGGTTTTTCTCGAGTTGCGGCAGGGACCTGGGGTATGTTCTCGACTTACGGCGGGGATGGCCCTTCAAAACACGAGTTTCTTCAGTGACGTCAGGACTCCTGTCTAGTAACGAGGGAAAGCTCAGGAATCTCTTCGAGGCTTGGCAGGGCAAAAGGTACGCTTCTCGAGGTGAGTCAGGGCACCCAAGACCCTTTCCAGTAGCCACAGGGATTTTGGGATTCCTATCAGTATTCAAGAGAAGTCAGGCATCGTCACCTTTTGAAGCAATGAACTCCGCGTGCCTCTCGAGGTGTCAACGGGATGTGAGGCATTACGTCCAAATGAGGCAGGAATCTAGGGCTTTCTCTAAAATCTCCACAGGGCATTCAGACATCCCTTCATGTTGTGAGATCAAAGACGAGCCTGTATTCAAGCCACTGCAAGGAAATCCGGCCTCCTTTCAAGTTAGGGCTTCTCGCTGTATATTGCCCTTGAGGCAGCGAATTCGGGGTCCCTCCCAAATACGTATTGCTGAGAGAAGCCTCCTCCTGAGATGCGTCTTGAAAGTTGGCATACGTCTTGAGCCTAAGCCAGGGAATCAGCTCTCATCTCGAGGCGATTTGGGGTACACGGAGCATTCCTCGAGTTGCTGTGCTGAAGTTGGTGTTCCTCTAGACTTGGGACAGTGTTCTCGGGGTATCTCTGGAGTTGCCTGAAGGAAGTCGAGCCACCGGTCGTGTTGAATGGGGAACGGGGAATGGCTCTGGAGTCAATGCAGGGGAATCGGGCCTCATCTCGAGTTGATTTGGGGCACATGGAGCTGCTTTGCTTTGCTGGGGTGACCTCAGCGTCCGTCGAGACTGGTGACAGTGTTCTTGGGGACTGTCTCGAGATCCATTAAGCAAGTCGAAGCTCCTGACTTGTTTGAATGTGACCACGGAATAGCTCTGCATGCACTGCAGGGGAGTGGGGCCTCATCTCGCCTCTAGGGGGAAGTCTCATGTTTTTTCTCGAGTTGCGGCGGGGACCTGGGGTATGTTCTCGACTTACGGCGGGGATGGCCCTTCAAAACACGAGTTTCTTCAGTGACGTCAGGACTCCTGTCTAGTAACGAGGGACACCTCAGGAATCTCTTCGAGGCTTGGCAGGGCAAAAGGGACGCTTCTCGAGGTGAGGCAGGGCACCCAAGGACCCTTTCCAGTAGCCACAGGGATTTTGGGATTCCTATCAGTATTCAAGAGGAGTGAGGCATTGTCACCTTTTGAAGCAGTGAACTTCGCGTGCCTCTTGAGGTGTTAACGGGATGTGAGGCATTCCGTCAAAATGGGGCAGGTAACTAGGGCTTTCTCTAAGGTCTCCACAGGGAATTCAGACATCCCTTCATGTTGTGAGATGAAAGACGAGCCTGTATTCAAGCCACTGCAAGGAAATCCGGCCTCCATTCAAGTTAGGGCTTCTCGCTGTATATTGCCCTTGAGGCAGCGAACTCGGGGTCCCTCCCACATAACTATTGCTGAGAGAAGCCTCCTCCTGAGGTGCGTCTGGAAAGTTGGCATACGTCTTGAGCCTAAGCCAGGGAATCAGCTCTCATCTCGAGACGATTTGGGATACACGGAGCATTCCTCGAGTTGCTGTGCTGAAGTTGGTGTTCCTCTAGACTTGGGACAGTGTTCTCGGGGCATCTCTGGAGTTGCCTGGAGGAAGTCGAGCCACAGGTCGTGTTGAATGGGGAACCGGTAATGGCTCTGGAGTCAATGCAGGGGAATCGGGCCTCATCTCGAGTTGATTTGGGGCCCATGGAGCTGCTTTGCGTTGCTGGGGTGACCTCAGGGTCCGTCGAGACTGGTGACAGTGTTCTTGGGGACTGTCTCGAGAACCATTAAGCAAGTCGAAGCTCCTGACTTGCTTGAATGGGACCACGGAATAGCTCTGCATGCACTGCAGGGGAATGGGGCCTCATCTCGCCTCTAGGGGGAAGTCTCATGGTTTTTGTCGAGTTGCGGCGGGAACCTGGGGTATGTTCTCGACTTACGGCGGGGATGGCCCTTCAAAACACGAGTTTCTTCAGTGACGTCAGGACTCCTGTCTAGTAACGAGGGACACCTCTGGAATCTCTTCGAGGCTTGGCAGGGTAAAAGGGACGCTTCTCGAGGTGAGGCAGGGCACCCAAGGACCCTTTCCAGTAGCCACAGCGATTTTGGGATTCCTATCAGTATTCAAGAGGAGTGAGGCATTGTCACCTTTTGAAGCAATGAACTTCGCGTGCCTCTTGAGGTGTCAACGGGATGTGAGGCATTCCGTCAAAATGAGGCAGGGACCTAGGGCTTTCTCTAAGGTCTACACAGGGGATTCAGACATCCCTTCATGTTGTGAGATGAAAGACGACCCTGTATTCAAGCCACTGCAAGGAAATCCGGCCTCCTTTCAAGTTAGGGCTTCTCGCTGTATATTGCCCTTGAGGCAGCGAACTCGGGGTCCCTCCCACATACCTATTGCTGAGAGAAGCCTCCTCCTGAGGTGCGTCTGGAAAGTTGGCATACGTCTTGAGCCTAAGCCAGGGAATCAGCTCTCATCTCGAGACGATTTGGGGTACACGGAGCATTCCTCGAGTTGCTGTGCTGAAGTTGGTGTTCCTCTAGACTTGGGACAGTGTTCTTGGGGCATCTCTGGAGTTGCCTGAAGGAAGTCGAGCCACCGGTCGTGTTGAATGGGGAACCGGTAATGGCTCTGGAGTCAATGCAGGGGAATCGGGCCTCATCTCGAGTTGATTTGGGGCACATGGAGCTGCTTTGCGTTGCTGGGGTGACTTCAGGGTCCGTCGAGACTGGTGACAGTGTTCTTGGGGACTGTCTCGAGATCCATTAAGCAAGTCGAAGCTCCTGACTTGTTTGAATGGGACCACGGAATAGCTCTGCATGCACTGCAGGGGAATGGGGCCTCATCTCGCCTCTAGGGGGAAGTCTCATGGTTTTTCTCGAGTTGCGGCGGGGACCTGGGGTATGTTCTCGACTTACGGCGGGGATGGCCCTTCAAAACACGAGTTTCTTCAGTGACGTCAGGACTCCTGGCTAGTAATGAGGGACACCTCAGGAATCTCTTCGAGGCTTGGCAGGGCAAAAGGGACTCTTCTCGAGGTGAGGCAGGGCACCCAAGGACCCTTTCCAGTAGGCACAGGGATTTTGGGATTCCTATCAGTATTCAAGAGGAGTCAGACATCGTCACCTTTTGAAGCAATGAACTCCGCGTGCCTCTCGAGGTGTCAACGGGATGTGAGGCATTCCGTCCAAATGAGGCAGGGAACTAGGGCTTTCTCTAAGGTCTCCACAGGGGATTCAGACACCCCTTCATGTTGTGAGATGAAAGACGAGCCTGTATTCAAGCCACTGCAGGGAAATCCGGCCTCCTTTCAAGTTAGGGCTTTTCGCTGTATATTGCCCTTGAGGCAGCGAACTCGGGGTCCCTCCCACATACCTATTGCTGAGAGAAGCCTCCTCCTGAGGTGCGTCTGGAAAGTTGGCATACGTCTTGAGCCTAAGCCAGGGAATCACCTCTCATCTCGAGACGATTTGGGGTACACGGATCATTCCTCGAGTTTCTGTGCTGAAGTTGGTGTTCCTCTAGACTTGGGACAGTGTTCTCGGGGTATCTCTGGAGTTTCCTGAAGGAAGTCGAGCCACCGGTCGTGTTGAATGGGGAACGGGGAATGGCTCTGGAGTCAATGCAGGGGAATCGGGCCTCATCTCGAGTTGATTTGGGGCACATGGAGCTGCTTTGCGTTGCTGGGGTGAAGTCAGCGTCCGTCGAGACTGGTGACAGTGTTCTTGGGGACTGTCTCGAGATCCATTAACAGGTCGAAGCTCCTGACTTGTTTGAATGGGACCACGGAATAGCTCTGCATGCACTGCAGGGGAATGGGGCCTCATCTCGCCTCTTGGGGGAAGTCTCATGGTTTTTCTCGAGTTGCGGCGGGGACCTGGGGTATGTTCTCGACTTACGGCGGGGATGGCCCTTCAAAACACGAGATTCTTCAGTGACGTCAGGACTCCTGTCTAGTAACGAGGGACATCTCAGGAATCTCATCGAGGCTTGGCAGTGCAAATGGGACGCTCCTTGAGGTGAGGCAGGGCACCCAAGGACCCTTTCCAGTAGCCACAGGGATTTTGGGATTCCTATCAGAATTCAAGAGGAGTCAGGCATCGTCACCTTTTGAAGCAATGAACTCCGCGTGCCTCTCGAGGTGTCAACGGGATGTGAGGCATTCCGTCCAAATGAGGCAGGGACCTAGGGCTTTCTCTAAGGTCTCCACAGGGGATTCAGACATCCCTTCGTGTTGTGAGATCAAAGACGAGCCTGTATTCAAGCCACTGCAAGGAAATCCGGCCTCCTTTCAAGTTAGGCTTCTCGCTGTATATTGCCCTTGAGGCAGCGTACTCGGGGTCCCTCCCACATACCTATTGCTGAGAGAAGCCTCCTCCTGAGGTGCGTCTGGAAAGTTGGCAGACGTCTTGAGCCTAAGCCAGGGAATCACCTCTCATCTCGAGACGATTTGGGGTACACGGAGCATTCCTCGAGGTGCCGTGCTGAAGTTGGTGTTCCTCTAGACTTGGGACATTGTTCTCGGGGCATCTCTGGAGTTGCCTGAAGGAAGTCGAGCCACCGGTCGTGGTGAATGGGGAACGGGGAATGGCTCTGGAGTCAATGCAGGGGAATCGGGCCTCATCTCGAGTTGATTTGGGGCCCATGGAGCTGCTTTGCGTTGCTGGGGTGACCTCAGGGTCCGTCGAGACTGGTGACAGTGTTCTAGGGACTCTCTCGAGAACCATTAAGCAAGTCGAAGCTCCTGACTTGTTTGAATGGGACCACGGGATAGCTCTGCATGCACTGCAGGGGAATGGGGCCTCATCTCGCCTCTAGGGGTAAGTCTCATGGTTTTTCTCGAGTGGCGGCGGGGACCTGGGGTATGTTCTCGACTTACGGCGGGGATGGCCCTTCAAAACACGAGTTTCTTCAGTGACGTCAGGACTCCTGTCTAGTAACGAGGGACACCTCAGGAATCTCTTCGAGGCTTGGCAGGGCAAAAGGGACGCTTCTCGAGGTGAGGCAGGGCACCCAAGGACCCTTTCAAGTAGCCACAGGGATTTTGGGATTCCTATCAGTATTCAAGAGGAGTGAGGCATTGTCACCTTTTGAAGCAATGAACTTCGCGTGCCTCTTGAGGTGTCAACGGGATGTGAGGCATTCCGTCCAAATGAGGCAGGGACCTAGGGCTTTCTCTAAGGTCTCCACAGGGGATTCAGACATCCCTTCATGTTGTGAGATGAAAGACGAGCCTGTATTCAAGCCACTGCAAGGAAATCCGGCCTCCTTTCAAGTTAGGGCTTCTCGCTGTATATTGCCCTTGAGGCAGCGAACTCGGGGTCCCTCCCACATACCTATTGCTGAGAGAAGCCTCCTCCTGAGGTGCGTCTGGAAAGTTGGCATACGTCTTGAGCCTAAGCCAGGGAATCACCTCTCATCTCGAGACGATTTGGGGTACACGGAACATTCCTCGAGTTGCCGTGCTGAAGTTCGTGTTCCTCTAGACTTGGGACAGTGTTTTCGGGGCATCTCTGGAGTTGCCTGAAAGAAGTCGAGCCACCGGTCGTGTTGAATGGGGAACGGGGAATGGCTCTGGAGTCAATGCAGGGGAATCGGGCCTCATCTCGAGTTGATTTGGGGCACATGGAGCGGCTTTGCATTGCTGGGGTGACCTCAGCGTCCGTCGAGACTGGTGACAGTGTTCTTGGGGACTGTCTCGAGATCCATTAAGCAAGTCGAAGCTCCTGACTTGTTTGATGGGACCACGGAATAGCTCTGCATGCACTGCAGGGGAATGGGGCCTCATCTCGCCTCTAGGGGGAAGTCTCATGGTTTTTCTCGAGTTGCGGCGGGGACCTGGGGTATGTTCTCGACTTACACCGGGGATGGCCCTTCAAAACACGAGTTTCTTCAGTGACGTCAGGACTCCTGTCTAGTAACGAGGGAAAGCTCAGGAATCTCTTCGAGGCTTGGCAGGGCAAAAGGGACGCTTCTCGAGGTGAGTCAGGGCACCCAAGGACCCTTTCCAGTAGCCACAGGGATTTTGGGATTCCTATCAGAATTCAAGAGGAGTCAGGCATCGTCACCTTATGAAGCAATGAACTCCGCGTGCCTCTCGAGGTGTCAACGGGATGTGAGGCATTCCGTCCAAATGAGGCAGGGACCTAGGGCTTTCTCTAAGGTCTCCACAGGGGATTCAGACATCCCTTCGTGTTGTGAGATGAAAGACGAGCCTGTATTCAAGCCACTGCAAGGAAATCCGGCCTCCTTTCAAGTTAGGGCTTCTCGCTGTATATTGCCCTTGAGGCAGCGTACTCGGGGTCCCTCCCACATACCTATTGCTGAGAGAAGCCTCCTCCTGAGGTGCGTCTTGAAAGTTGGCATACGTCTTGAGCCTAAGCCAGGGAATCACCTCTCATCTCGAGACGATTTGGGGTACACGGAGCATTCCTCGAGGTGCTGTGCTGAAGTTGGTGTTCCTCTAGACTTGGGACATTGTTCTCGGGGCATCTCTGGAGTTGCCTGAAGGAAGTCGAGCCACCGGTCGTGGTGAATGGGGAACGGGGAATGGCTCTGGAGTCAATGCAGGGGAATCGGGCCTCATCTCGAGTTGATTTGGGGCCCATGGAGCTGCTTTGCGTTGCTGGGGTGACCTCAGGGTCCGTCGAGACTGGTGACAGTGTTCTTGGGGACTGTCTCGAGAACCATTAAGCAAGTCGAAGCTCCTGACTTGTTTGAATGGGACCACGGGATAGCTCTGCATGCACTGCAGGGGAATGGGGCCTCATCTCGCCTCTAGGGGTAAGTCTCATGGTTTTTCTCGAGTGGCGGCGGGGACCTGGGGTATGTTCTCGACTTACGGCGGGGATGGCCCTTCAAAACACGAGTTTCTTCAGTGACGTCAGGACTCCTGTCTAGTAACGAGGGACACCTCTGGAATCTCTTCGAGGCTTGTCAGGGCAAAAGGGACGCTTCTCGAGGTGAGGCAGGGCACCCAAGGACCCTTTCCAGTAGCCACAGGGATTTTGGGATTCCTATCAGTATTCAAGAGGAGTGAGGCATTGTCACATTTTGAAGCAATGAACTTCGCGTGCCTCTTGAGGTGTCAACGGGATGTGAGGCATTCCGTCAAAATGAGGCAGGGACCTAGGGCTTTCTCTAAGGTCTCCACAGGGGATTCAGACACCCCTTCATGTTGTGAGATGAAAGACGAGCCTGTATTCAAGCCACTGCAGGGAAATCCGGCCTCCTTTCAAGTTAGGGCTTCTCGCTGTATATTGCCCTTGAGGCAGCGAACTCGGGGTCCCTCCCACATACCTATTGCTGAGAGAAGCCTCCTCCTGAGGTGCGTCTGGAAAGTTGGCATACGTCTTGAGCCTAAGCCAGGGAATCAGCTCTCATCTCGAGACGATTTGGGGTACACGGAGCATTCCTCGAGTTGCTGTGCTGAAGTTGGTGTTCCTCTAGACTTGGGACAGTGTTCTCGGGGTATCTCTGGAGTTGCCTGAAGGAAGTCGAGCCACCGCTCGTGTTGAATGGGGAACGGGGAATGGCTCTGGAGTCAATGCAGGGGAATCGGGCCTCATCTCGAGTTGATTTGGGGCACATGGAGCTGCTTTGCGTTGCTGGGGTGACGTCAGCGTCCGTCGAGACTGGTGACAGTGTTCTTGGGGACTGTCTCGAGATCCATTAACAAGTCGAAGCTCCTGACTTGTTTGAATGGGACCACGGAATAGCTCTGCATGCACTGCAGAGGAATGGGGCCTCATCTCGCCTCTTGGGGGAAGTCTCATGGTTTTTCTCGAGTTGCGGCGGGGACCTGGGGTATGTTCTCGACTTACGGCGGGGATGGCCCTTCAAAACACGAGTTTCTTCAGTGACATCAGGACTCCTGTCTAGTAACGAGGGACATCTCAGGAATCTCATCGAGGCTTGGCAGTGCAAATGGGACGCTTCTTGAGGTGAGGCAGGGCACCCAAGGACCCTTTCCAGTAGCCACAGGGATTTTGGGATTCCTATCAGAATTCAAGAGGAGTCAGGCATCGTCACCTTATGAAGCAATGAACTCCGCGTGCCTCTCGAGGTGTCAACGGGATGTGAGGCATTCCGTCCAAATGAGGCAGGGACCTAGGGCTTTCTCTAAGGTCTCCACAGGGGATTCAGACATCCCTTCGTGTTGTGAGATGAAAGACGAGCCTGTATTCAAGCCACTGCAAGGAAATCCGGCCTCCTTTCAAGTTAGGGCTTCTCGCTGTATATTGCCCTTGAGGCAGCGTACTCGGGGTCCCTCCCACATACCTATTGCTGAGAGAAGCCTCCTCCTGAGGTGCGTCTTGAAAGTTGGCATACGTCTTGAGCCTAAGCCAGGGAATCACCTCTCATCTCGAGACGATTGGGGGTACACGGAGCATTCCTCGAGGTGCTGTGCTGAAGTTGGTGTTCCTCTAGACTTGGGACATTGTTCTCGGGGCATCTCTGGAGTTGCCTGAAGGAAGTCGAGCCACCGGTCGTGGTGAATGGGGAACGGGGAATGGCTCTGGAGTCAATGCAGGGGAATCGGGCCTCATCTCGAGTTGATTTGGGGCCCATGGAGCTGCTTTGCGTTGCTGGGGTGACCTCAGGGTCCGTCGAGACTGGTGACAGTGTTCTTGGGGACTGTCTCGAGAACCATTAAGCAAGTCGAAGCTCCTGACTTGTTTGAATGGGACCACGGGATAGCTCTGCATGCACTGCAGGGGAATGGGGCCTCATCTCGCCTCTAGGGGTAAGTCTCATGGTTTTTCTCGAGTGGCGGCGGGGACCTGGGGTATGTTCTCGACTTACGGCGGGGATGGCCCTTCAAAACACGAGTTTCTTCAGTGACGTCAGGACTCCTGTCTAGTAACGAGGGACACCTCAGGAATCTCTTCGAGGCTTGGCAGGGCAAAAGGGACGCTTCTCGAGGTGAGGCAGGGCACCCAAGGACCCTTTCAAGTAGCCACAGGGATTTTGGGATTCCTATCAGTATTCAAGAGGAGTGAGGCATTGTCACCTTTTGAAGCAATGAACTTCGCGTGCCTCTTGAGGTGTCAACGGGATGTGAGGCATTCCGTCCAAATGAGGCAGGGACCTAGGGCTTTCTCTAAGGTCTCCACAGGGGATTCAGACATCCCTTCATGTTGTGAGATGAAAGACGAGCCTGTATTCAAGCCACTGCAAGGAAATCCGGCCTCCTTTCAAGTTAGGGCTTCTCGCTGTATATTGCCCTTGAGGCAGCGAACTCGGGGTCCCTCCCACATACCTATTGCTGAGAGAAGCCTCCTCCTGAGGTGCGTCTGGAAAGTTGGCATACGTCTTGAGCCTAAGCCAGGGAATCACCTCTCATCTCGAGACGATTTGGGGTACACGGAACATTCCTCGAGTTGCCGTGCTGAAGTTCGTGTTCCTCTAGACTTGGGACAGTGTTTTCGGGGCATCTCTGGAGTTGCCTGAAAGAAGTCGAGCCACCGGTCGTGTTGAATGGGGAACGGGGAATGGCTCTGGAGTCAATGCAGGGGAATCGGGCCTCATCTCGAGTTGATTTGGGGCACATGGAGCGGCTTTGCATTGCTGGGGTGACCTCAGCGTCCGTCGAGACTGGTGACAGTGTTCTTGGGGACTGTCTCGAGATCCATTAAGCAAGTCGAAGCTCCTGACTTGTTTGATGGGACCACGGAATAGCTCTGCATGCACTGCAGGGGAATGGGGCCTCATCTCGCCTCTAGGGGGAAGTCTCATGGTTTTTCTCGAGTTGCGGCGGGGACCTGGGGTATGTTCTCGACTTACACCGGGGATGGCCCTTCAAAACACGAGTTTCTTCAGTGACGTCAGGACTCCTGTCTAGTAACGAGGGAAAGCTCAGGAATCTCTTCGAGGCTTGGCAGGGCAAAAGGGACGCTTCTCGAGGTGAGTCAGGGCACCCAAGGACCCTTTCCAGTAGCCACAGGGATTTTGGGATTCCTATCAGAATTCAAGAGGAGTCAGGCATCGTCACCTTATGAAGCAATGAACTCCGCGTGCCTCTCGAGGTGTCAACGGGATGTGAGGCATTCCGTCCAAATGAGGCAGGGACCTAGGGCTTTCTCTAAGGTCTCCACAGGGGATTCAGACATCCCTTCGTGTTGTGAGATGAAAGACGAGCCTGTATTCAAGCCACTGCAAGGAAATCCGGCCTCCTTTCAAGTTAGGGCTTCTCGCTGTATATTGCCCTTGAGGCAGCGTACTCGGGGTCCCTCCCACATACCTATTGCTGAGAGAAGCCTCCTCCTGAGGTGCGTCTTGAAAGTTGGCATACGTCTTGAGCCTAAGCCAGGGAATCACCTCTCATCTCGAGACGATTTGGGGTACACGGAGCATTCCTCGAGGTGCTGTGCTGAAGTTGGTGTTCCTCTAGACTTGGGACATTGTTCTCGGGGCATCTCTGGAGTTGCCTGAAGGAAGTCGAGCCACCGGTCGTGGTGAATGGGGAACGGGGAATGGCTCTGGAGTCAATGCAGGGGAATCGGGCCTCATCTCGAGTTGATTTGGGGCCCATGGAGCTGCTTTGCGTTGCTGGGGTGACCTCAGGGTCCGTCGAGACTGGTGACAGTGTTCTTGGGGACTGTCTCGAGAACCATTAAGCAAGTCGAAGCTCCTGACTTGTTTGAATGGGACCACGGGATAGCTCTGCATGCACTGCAGGGGAATGGGGCCTCATCTCGCCTCTAGGGGTAAGTCTCATGGTTTTTCTCGAGTGGCGGCGGGGACCTGGGGTATGTTCTCGACTTACGGCGGGGATGGCCCTTCAAAACACGAGTTTCTTCAGTGACGTCAGGACTCCTGTCTAGTAACGAGGGACACCTCTGGAATCTCTTCGAGGCTTGTCAGGGCAAAAGGGACGCTTCTCGAGGTGAGGCAGGGCACCCAAGGACCCTTTCCAGTAGCCACAGGGATTTTGGGATTCCTATCAGTATTCAAGAGGAGTGAGGCATTGTCACATTTTGAAGCAATGAACTTCGCGTGCCTCTTGAGGTGTCAACGGGATGTGAGGCATTCCGTCAAAATGAGGCAGGGACCTAGGGCTTTCTCTAAGGTCTCCACAGGGGATTCAGACACCCCTTCATGTTGTGAGATGAAAGACGAGCCTGTATTCAAGCCACTGCAGGGAAATCCGGCCTCCTTTCAAGTTAGGGCTTCTCGCTGTATATTGCCCTTGAGGCAGCGAACTCGGGGTCCCTCCCACATACCTATTGCTGAGAGAAGCCTCCTCCTGAGGTGCGTCTGGAAAGTTGGCATACGTCTTGAGCCTAAGCCAGGGAATCAGCTCTCATCTCGAGACGATTTGGGGTACACGGAGCATTCCTCGAGTTGCTGTGCTGAAGTTGGTGTTCCTCTAGACTTGGGACAGTGTTCTCGGGGTATCTCTGGAGTTGCCTGAAGGAAGTCGAGCCACCGCTCGTGTTGAATGGGGAACGGGGAATGGCTCTGGAGTCAATGCAGGGGAATCGGGCCTCATCTCGAGTTGATTTGGGGCACATGGAGCTGCTTTGCGTTGCTGGGGTGACGTCAGCGTCCGTCGAGACTGGTGACAGTGTTCTTGGGGACTGTCTCGAGATCCATTAACAAGTCGAAGCTCCTGACTTGTTTGAATGGGACCACGGAATAGCTCTGCATGCACTGCAGAGGAATGGGGCCTCATCTCGCCTCTTGGGGGAAGTCTCATGGTTTTTCTCGAGTTGCGGCGGGGACCTGGGGTATGTTCTCGACTTACGGCGGGGATGGCCCTTCAAAACACGAGTTTCTTCAGTGACATCAGGACTCCTGTCTAGTAACGAGGGACATCTCAGGAATCTCATCGAGGCTTGGCAGTGCAAATGGGACGCTTCTTGAGGTGAGGCAGGGCACCCAAGGACCCTTTCCAGTAGCCACAGGGATTTTGGGATTCCTATCAGAATTCAAGAGGAGTCAGGCATCGTCACCTTATGAAGCAATGAACTCCGCGTGCCTCTCGAGGTGTCAACGGGATGTGAGGCATTCCGTCCAAATGAGGCAGGGACCTAGGGCTTTCTCTAAGGTCTCCACAGGGGATTCAGACATCCCTTCGTGTTGTGAGATGAAAGACGAGCCTGTATTCAAGCCACTGCAAGGAAATCCGGCCTCCTTTCAAGTTAGGGCTTCTCGCTGTATATTGCCCTTGAGGCAGCGTACTCGGGGTCCCTCCCACATACCTATTGCTGAGAGAAGCCTCCTCCTGAGGTGCGTCTTGAAAGTTGGCATACGTCTTGAGCCTAAGCCAGGGAATCACCTCTCATCTCGAGACGATTGGGGGTACACGGAGCATTCCTCGAGGTGCTGTGCTGAAGTTGGTGTTCCTCTAGACTTGGGACATTGTTCTCGGGGCATCTCTGGAGTTGCCTGAAGGAAGTCGAGCCACCGGTCGTGGTGAATGGGGAACGGGGAATGGCTCTGGAGTCAATGCAGGGGAATCGGGCCTCATCTCGAGTTGATTTGGGGCCCATGGAGCTGCTTTGCGTTGCTGGGGTGACCTCAGGGTCCGTCGAGACTGGTGACAGTGTTCTTGGGGACTGTCTCGAGAACCATTAAGCAAGTCGAAGCTCCTGACTTGTTTGAATGGGACCACGGGATAGCTCTGCATGCACTGCAGGGGAATGGGGCCTCATCTCGCCTCTAGGGGTAAGTCTCATGGTTTTTCTCGAGTGGCGGCGGGGACCTGGGGTATGTTCTCGACTTACGGCGGGGATGGCCCTTCAAAACACGAGTTTCTTCAGTGACGTCAGGACTCCTGTCTAGTAACGAGGGACACCTCAGGAATCTCTTCGAGGCTTGGCAGGGCAAAAGGGACGCTTCTCGAGGTGAGGCAGGGCACCCAAGGACCCTTTCCAGTAGCCACAGGGATTTTGGGATTCCTATCAGTATTCAAGAGGAGTGAGGCATTGTCACCTTTTGAAGCAATGAACTTCGCGTGCCTCTTGAGGTTTCAACGGGATGTGAGGCATTCCGTCCAAATGAGGCAGGGACCTAGGGCTTTCTCTAAGGTCTCCACAGGGGATTCAGACATCCCTTCATGTTGTGAGATGAAAGACGAGCCTGTATTCAAGCCACTGCAAGGAAATCCGGCCTCCTTTCAAGTTAGGGCTTCTCGCTGTATATTGCCCTTGAGGCAGCGAACTCGGGGTCCCTCCCACATACCTATTGCTGAGAGAAGCCTCCTCCTGAGGTGCGTCTGGAAAGTTGGCATACGTCTTGAGCCTAAGCCAGGGAATCACCTCTCATCTCGAGACGATTTGGGGTACACGGAACATTCCTCGAGTTGCCGTGCTGAAGTTCGTGTTCCTCTAGACTTGGGACAGTGTTTTCGGGGCATCTCTGGAGTTGCCTGAAGGAAGTCGAGCCACCGGTCGTGTTGAATGGGGAACGGGGAAAGGCTCTGGAGTCAATGCAGGGGAATCGGGCCTCATCTCGAGTTGATTTGGGGCACATGGAGCGGCTTTGCGTTGCTGGGGTGACCTCAGCGTCCGTCGAGACTGGTGACAGTGTTCTTGGGGACTGTCTCGAGATCCATTAAGCAAGTCGAAGCTCCTGACTTGTTTGATGGGACCACGGAATAGCTCTGCATGCACTGCAGGGGAATGGGGCCTCATCTCGCCTCTAGGGGGAAGTCTCATGGTTTTTCTCGAGTTGCGGCGGGGACCTGGGGTATGTTCTCGACTTACGGCGGGGATGGCCCTTCAAAACACGAGTTTCTTCAGTGACGTCAGGACTCCTGTCTAGTAACGAGGGAAAGCTCAGGAATCTCTTCGAGGCTTGGCAGGGCAAAAGGGACGCTTCTCGAGGTGAGTCAGGGCACCCAAGACACTTTCCAGTAGCCACAGGGATTTTGGTATTCCTATGAGTATTCAAGAGAAGTCAGGCATCGTCACCTTTTGAAGCAATGAACTCCGTGTGCCTCTCGAGGTGTCAACGGGATGTGAGGCATTCCGTCCAAATGAGGCAGGGACCTAGGGCTTTCTCTAAGGTCTCCACAGGGGATTCAGACATCCCTTCATGTTGTGAGATGAAAGACGAGCCTGTATTCAAGCCACTGCAAGGAAATCCGGCCTCCTTTCAAGTTAGGGCTTCTCGCTGTATATTGCCCTTGAGGCAGCGAACTCGGGGTCCCTCCCACATACCTATTGCTGAGAGAAGCCTCCTCCTGAGGTGCGTCTTGAAAGTTGGCATACGTCTTGAGCCTAAGCCAGGGAATCAGCTCTCATCTCGAGACGATTTGAGGTACACGGAGCATTCCTCGAGTTGCCGTGCTGAAGTTGTTGTTCCTCTAGACTTGGGACAGTGTTCTCGGGGCATCTCTGGAGTTGCCTGAAGGAAGTCGAGCCACCCGTCGTGTTGAATGGGGAACGGGGAATGGCTCTGGAGTCAATGCAGGGCAATCGGGCCTCATCTCGAGTTGATCTGGGGTCCATGGAGCCGCTTTGCGTTGCTGGGGTGACTTCAGGGTCCGTCGAGACTGGTGACAGTGTTCTTGGGGACTGTCTCGAGAACCATTAAGCAAGTCGAAGCTCCTGACTTGCTTGAATGGGACCACGGAATAGCTCTGCATGCACTGCAGGGGAATGGGGCCTCATCTCGCCTCTAGGGGGAAATCTCATGGTTTTTCTCGAGTTGCGGCGGGGACCTGGGGTATGTTCTCGACTTACGGCGGGGATGGCCCTTCAAAACACGAGTTTCTTCAGTGACGTCAGGACTCCTGTCTAGTAACGAGGAACACCTCAGGAATCTCTTCGAAGCTTGGCAGGGCAAAAGGGATGCTTCTCGAGGTGAGGCAGGGCACCCAAGGACCCTTTCCAGTAGCCACAGTGATTTTGGGTTTCCTATCAGTATTCAAGAGGAGTGAGGCATTGTCACCTTTTGAAGCAATGAACTTCGCGTGCCTCTTGAGGTGTCAACGGGATGTGAGGCATTCCGTCAAAATGAGGCAGGGACCTAGGGCTTTCTCTAAGGTCTCCACAGGGGATTCAGACATCCCTTCATGTTGTGAGATGAAAGACGAGCCTGTATTCAAGCCACTGCAAGGAAATCCGGCCTCCTTTCAAGTTAGGGCTTCTCGCTGTATATTGCCTTTGAGGCAGCGAACTCGGGGTCCCTCCCACATACCTATTGCTGAGAGAAGCCTCCTCCTGAGGTGCTTCTGGAAAGTTGGCATACGTCTTGAGCCTAAGCCAGGGAATCAGCTCTCATCTCGAGATGATTTGGGGTACACGGAGCATTCCTCGAGTTGCTGTGCTGAAGTTGGTGTTTCTCTAGACTTGGGACAGTGTTCTCCGGGTATCTCTGGAGTTGCCTGAAGGAAGTCGAGCCACCGGTCGTGTTGAATGGGGAACGGGGAATGGCTCTCGAGTCAATGCAGGGGAATCGGGCCTCATCTCGAGTTGATTTGGGGCCCATGGAGCTGCTTTGCGTTGCTGGGGTGACGTCAGGGTCCGTCGAGACTGGTGACAGTGTTCTTGGGGACTGTCTCGAGAACCATTAAGCAAGTCGAAGCTCCTGACTTGCTTGAATGGGACCACGGAATAGCTCTGCATGCACTGCAGGGGAATGGGGCCTCATCTCGCATCTAGGGGGAAGTCTCATGGTTTTTCTCGAGTTGCGGCGGGGACCTGGGGTATGTTCTCGACTTACGGTGGGGATGGCCCTTCAAAACACGAGTTTCTTCAGTGACGTCAGGACTCCTGTCTAGTAACGAGGGACACCTCAGGAATCTCTTCGAGGCTTGGCAGGGCAAAAGGGACGCTTCTCGAGGTGAGGCAGGGCACCCAAGGACCCTTTCCAGTAGCCACAGGGATTTTAGGTTTCCTATCAGTATTCAAGTGGAGTGAGGCATTGTCACCTTTTGAAGCAATGAACTTCGCGTGCCTCTTGAGGTGTCAACGGGATGTGAGGCATTCCGTCAAAATGAGGCAGATAACTAGGGCTTTCTCTAACGTCTCCACAGGGAATTCAGACATCCCTTCATGTTGTGAGATGAAAGACGAGCCTGTATTCAAGCCACTGCAAGGAAATCCGGCCTCCATTCAAGTTAGGGCTTCTCGCTGTATATTGCCCTTGAGGCAGCGTACTCGGGGTCCCTCCCACATACCTATTGCTGAGAGAAGCCTCCTCCTGAGGTGCGTCTTGAAAGTTGGCATACGTCTTGAGCCTAAGCCAGGGAATCAGCTCTCATCTCGAGACGATTTGGGGTACACGGAGCATTCCTCGAGTTGCTGTGCTGAAGTTGGTGTTCCTCTAGACTTGGGACAGTGTTCTCGGGGCATCTCTGGAGTAGCCTGAAGGAAGTCGAGCCACCGGTCGTGTTGAATGGGGAACCGGTAATGGCTCTGGAGTCAATGCAGGGGAATCGGGCCTCATCTCGAGTTGATTTGGGGCCCATGGAGCTGCTTTGCGTTGCTGGGGTGACGTCAGGGTCCGTCGAGACTGGTGACAGTGTTCTTGGGGACTGTCTCGAGAACCATTAAGCAAGTCGAAGCTCCTGACTTGCTTGAACGGGACCACGGAATAGCTCTGCATGCACTGCAGGGAATGGGGCCTCATCTCGCCTCTAGGGGGAAGTCTCATGGTTTTTGTCGAGTTGCGGCGGGAACCTGGGGTATGTTCTCGACTTACGGCGGGGATGGCCCTTCAAAACACGAGTTTCTTCAGTGACGACAGGACTCCTGTCTAGTAACGAGGGACACCTCTGGAATCTCTTCGAGGCTTCTCAGGGCAAAAGGGACGCTTCTCGAGGTGAGGCAGGGCACCCAAGGACCCTTTCCAGTAGCCACAGGGATTTTGGGATTCCTATCAGTATTCAAGAGGAGTGAGGCATTGTCACCTTTTGAAGCAATGAACTTCGCGTGCCTCTTGAGGTGTCAACGGGATGTGAGGCATTCCGTCAAAATGAGGCAGGGACCTAGGGCTTTCTCTAAGGTCTCCACAGGGGATTCACACATCCCTTCATGTTGTGAGATGAAAGACGAGCCTGTATTCAAGCCACTGCAAGGAAATCCGGCCTCCTTTCAAGTTAGGGCTTCTCGCTGTATATTGCCCTTGAGGCAGCGAACTCGGGGTCCCTCCCACATACCTATTGCTGAGAGAAGCCTCCTCCTGAGGTGCGTCTGGAAAGTTGGCATACGTCTTGAGCCTAAGTCAGGGAATCAGCTCTCATCTCGAGACGATTTGTGGTACACGGAGCATTCCTCGAGTTGCTGTGCTGAAGTTGGTGTTCCTCTAGACTTGGGACAGTGTTCTCGGGGTATCTCTGGAGTTGCCTGAAGGAAGTCGAGCCACCGGTCGTGTTGAATGGGGAACGGGGAATGGCTCTGGAGTCAATGCAGGGGAATCGGGCCTCATCTCGAGTTGATTTGGGGCACATGGAGCTGCTTTGCGTTGCTGGGGTGTCCTCAGCGTTCGTCGAGACTGGTGACAGTGTTCTTGGGGACTGTCTCGAGATCCATTAAGCAAGTCGAAGCTCCTGACTTGCTTGAATGGGACCACGGAATAGCTCTGCATGCACTGCAGGGGAATGGGGCCTCATCTCGCCTCTAGGGGGAAGTCTCATGGTTTTTCTCGAGTTGCGGCGGGGACCTGGGGTATGTTCTCGACTTACGGCGGGGATGGCCCTTCAAAACACGAGTATCTTCAGTGACGTCAGGACTCCTGGCTAGTAATGAGGGACACCTCAGGAATCTCTTCGAGGCTTGGCAGGGCAAAAGGGACTCTTCTCGAGGTGAGGCAGGGCACCCAAGGACCCTTTCCAGTAGGCACAGGGATTTTGGGATTCCTATCAGTATTCAAGAGGAGTCAGACATCGTCACCTTTTGAAGCAATGAACTCCGCGTGCCTCTCGAGGTGTCAACGGGATGTGAGGCATTCCGTCCAAATGAGGCAGGGAACTAGGGCTTTCTCTAAGGTCTCCACAGGGGATTCAGACACCCCTTCATGTTGTGAGATGAAAGACGAGCCTGTATTCAAGCCACTGCAGGGAAATCCGGCCTCCTTTCAAGTTAGGGCTTTTCGCTGTATATTGCCCTTGATGCAGCGAACTCGGGGTCCCTCCCACATACCTATTGCTGAGAGAAGCCTCCTCCTGAGGTGCGTCTGGAAAGTTGGCATACGTCTTGAGCCTAAGCCAGGGAATCAGCTCTCATCTCGAGACGATTTGGGGTACACGGAGCATTCCTCGAGTTGCTGTGCTGAAGTTGGTGTTCCTCTAGACTTGGGACAGTGTTCTCGGGGTATCTCTGGAGTTGCCTGAAGGAAGTCGAGCCACCGGTCGTGTTGAATGGGGAACGGGGAATGGCTCTGGAGTCAATGCAGGGGAATCGGGCCTCATCTCGAGTTGATTTGGGGCACATGGAGCTGCTTTGCGTTGCTGGGGTGACGTCAGCGTCCGTCGAGACTGGTGACAGTGTTCTTGGGGACTGTCTCGAGATCCATTAACAAGTCGAAGCTCCTGACTCGTTTGAATGGGACCAAGGAATAGCTCTGCATGCACTGCAGGGGAATGGGGCCTCATCTCGCCTCTTGGGGGAAGTCTCATGGTTTTTCTCGAGTTGCGGCGGGGACCTGGGGTATGTTCTCGACTTACGGCGGGGATGGCCCTTCAAAACACGAGTTTCTTCAGTGACGTCAGGACTCCTGTCTAGTAACGAGGGACATCTCAGGAATCTCATCGAGGCTTGGCAGTGCAAATGGGACGCTTCTCGAGGTGAGGCAGGGCACCCAAGGACCCTTTCCAGTAGCCACAGGGATTTTGGGATTCCTATCAGAATTCAAGAGGAGTCAGGCATCGTCACCTTTTGAAGCAATGAACTCCGCGTGCCTCTCGAGGTGTCAACGGGATGTGAGGCATTCCGTCCAAATGAGGCAGGGACCTAGGGCTTTCTCTAAGGTCTCCACAGGGGATTCAGACATCCCTTCGTGTTGTGAGATCAAAGACGAGCCTGTATTCAAGCCACTGCAAGGAAATCCGGCCTCCTTTCAAGTTAGGGCTTCTCGCTGTATATTGCCCTTGAGGCAGCGTACTCGAGGTCCCTCCCACATACCTATTGCTGAGAGAAGCCTCCTCCTGATGTGCGTCTGGAAAGTTGGCAGACGTCTTGAGCCTAAGCCAGGGAATCACCTCTCATCTCGAGACGATTTGGGGTACACGGAGCATTCCTCGAGGTGCCGTGCTGAAGTTGGTGTTCCTCTAGACTTGGGACATTGTTCTCGGGGCATCTCTGGAGTTGCCTGAAGGAAGTCGAGCCACCGGTCGTGGTGAATGGGGAACGGGGAATGGCTCTGGAGTCAATGCAGGGGAATCGGGCCTCATCTCGAGTTGATTTGGGGCCCATGGAGCTGCTTTGCGTTGCTGGGGTGACCTCAGGGTCCGTCGAGACTGGTGACAGTGTTCTTGGGGACTGTCTCGAGAACCATTAAGCAAGTCGAAGCTCCTGACTTGTTTGAATGGGACCACGGGATAGCTCTGTATGCACTGCAGGGGAATGGGGCCTCATCTCGCCTCTAGGGGGAAGTCTCATGGTTTTTCTCGAGTGGCGGCGGGGACCTGGGGTATGTTCTCGACTTACGGCGGGGATGGCCCTTCAAAACACGAGTTTCTTCAGTGACGTCAGGACTCCTGTCTAGTAAAGAGGGACACCTCAGGAATCTCTTCGAGGCTTGGCAGGGCAAAAGGGACACTTGTCGAGGTGAGGCAGGGCACCCAAGGACCCTTTCCAGTAGCCACAGGGATTTTGGGATTCCTATCAGTATTCAAGAGGAGTGAGGCATTGTCACCTTTTGAAGCAATGAACTTTGCGTGCCTCTTGAGGTGTCAACGGGATGTGAGGCATTCCGTCCAAATGAGGCAGGGACCTAGGGCTTTCTCTAAGGTCTCCACAGGGGATTCAGAAATCCCTTCATGTTGTGAGATGAAAGACGAGCCTGTATTCAAGCCACTGCAAGGAAATCCGGCCTCCTTTCAAGTTAGGGCTTCTCGCTGTATATTGCCCTTGAGGCAGCGAACTCGGGGTCCCTCCCACATACCTATTGCTGAGAGAAGCCTCCTCCTGAGGTGCGTCTGGAAAGTTGGCATAGGTCTTGAGCCTAAGCCAGGGAATCACCTCTCATCTCGAGACGATTTGGGGTACACGGAACATTCCTCGAGGTGCCGTGCTGAAGTTCGTGTTCCTCTAGACTTGGGACAGTGTTTTCGGGGCATCTCTGGAGTTGCCTGAAGGAAGTCGAGCCACCGGTCGTGTTGAATGGGGAACGGGGAATGGCTCTGGAGTCAATGCAGGGGAATCGGGCCTCATCTCTAGTTGATTTGGGGCACATGGAGCGGCTTTGCGTTGCTGGGGTGACCTCAGCGTCCGTCGAGACTGGTGACAGTGTTCTTGGGGACTGTCTCGAGATCCATTAAGCAAGTCGAAGCTCCTGACTTGTTTGATGGGACCACGGAATAGCTCTGCATGCACTGCAGGGGAATGGGGCCTCATCTCGCCTCTAGGGGGAAGTCTCATGGTTTTTCTCGAGTTGCGGCGGGGACCTGGGGTATGTTCTCGTCTTACGGCGGGGATGGCCCTTCAAAACACGAGTTTCTTCAGTGACGTCAGGACTCCTGTCTAGTAACGAGGGAAAGCTCAGGAATCTCTTCGAGGCTTGGCAGGGCAAAAGGGACGCTTCTCGAGGTGAGTCAGGGCACCCAAGACACTTTCCAGTAGCCACAGGGATTTTGGGATTCCTATCAGTATTCAAGAGAAGTCAGGCATCGTCACCTTTTGAAGCAATGAACTCCGTGTGCCTCTCGAGGTTTCAACGGGATGTGAGGCATTACGTCCAAATGAGGCAGGGACTTAGGGCTTTCTCTAAGGTCTCCACAGGGGATTCAGACATCCCTTCATGTTGTGAGATGAAAGACGAGCCTGTATTCAAGCCACTGCAAGGAAATCCGGCCTCCTTTCAAGTTAGGGCTTCTCGCTGTATATTGCCCTTGAGGCAGCGAACTCGGGGTCCCTCCCACATACCTATTGCTGAGAGAAGCCTCCTCCTGAGGTGCGTCTGGAAAGTTGGCATAAGTCTTGCGCCTAAGCCAGGGAATCAGCTCTCATCTCGAGACGATTTGGGGTACACGGAGCATTCCTCGAGTTGCCGTGCTGAAGTTGGTGTTCCTCTAGACTTGGGACAGTGTTCTCGGGGCATCTCTGGAGTTGCCTGAAGGAAGTCGAGCCACCGGTCGTGTTGAATGGGGAACGGGGAATGGCTCTGGAGTCAATGCAGGGGAATCGGGCCTCATCTCGAGTTGATTTGGGGTCCATGGAGCCGCTTTGCGTTGCTGGGGTGACTTCAGGGTCCGTCGAGACTGGTGACAGTGTTCTTGGGGACTGTCTGGAGAACCATTAAGCAAGTCGAAGCTCCTGACTTGCTTGAATGGGACCACGGAAGCTCTGCATGCACTGCAGGGGAATGGGGCCTCATCTCGCCTCTAGGGGTAAGTCTCATGGTTTTTCTCGAGTTGCGGCGGGGACCTGGGGTATGTTCTCGACTTACGGCGGGGATGGCCCTTCAAAACACGAGTTTCTTCAGTGACGTCAGGACTCCTGTCTAGTAACGAGGGACACCTCAGGAATCTCTTCGAGGCTTGGCAGGGCAAAAGGGACGCTTCTCGAGGTGAGGCAGGGCACCCAAGGACCCTTTCCAGTAGACACAGTGATTTTGGGTTTCCTATCAGTATTCAAGAGGAGTGAGGCATTGTCACCTTTTGAAGCAATGAACTTCGCGTGCCTCTTGAGGTGTCAACGGGATGTGAGGCATTCCGTCAAAATGAGGCAGGGACCTAGGGCTTTCTCTAAGGTCTCCACAGGGGATTCAGACATCCCTTCATGTTGTGAGATGAAAGACGAGCCTGTACTCAAGCCACTGCAAGGAAATCCGGCCTCCTTTCAAGTTAGGGCTTCTCGCTGTATATTGCCCTTGAGGCAGCGAACTCGGGGTCCCTCCCACATACCTATTGCTGAGAGAAGCCTCCTCCTGAGGTGCTTCTGGAAAGTTGGCATACGTCTTGAGCCTAAGCCAGGGAATCAGCTCTCATCTCGAGATGATTTGGGGTACACGGAGCATTCCTCGAGTTGCTGTGCTGAAGTTGGTGTTCCTCTAGACATGGGACAGTGTTCTCCGGGTATCTCTGGAGTTGCCTGAAGGAAGTCGAGCCACCGGTCGTGTTGAATGGGGAACGGGGAATGGCTCTCGAGTCAATGCAGGGGAATTGGGCCTCATCTCGAGTTGATTTGGGGCACATGGAGCTGCTTTGCGTTGCTGGGGTGACCTCAGGGTCCGTCGAGACTGGTGACAGTGTTCTTGGGGACTCTCTCGAGAACCATTAAGCAAGTCGAAGCTCCTGACTTGCTTGAATGGGACCACGGAATAGCTCTGCATGCACTGCAGGGGAATGGGGCCTCATCTCGCCTCTAGGGGGAAGTCTCATGGTTTTTCTCGAGTTGCGGCGGGGACCTGGGGTATGTTCTCGACTTACGGCGGGGATGGCCCTTCAAAACACGAGTTTCTTCAGTGACGTCAGGACTCCTGTCTAGTAACGAGGGACACCTCAGGAATCTCTTCGAGGCTTGGCAGGGCAAAAGGGACGCTTCTCGAGGTGAGGCAGGGCACCCAAGGACCCTTTCCAGTAGCCACAGGGATTTTGGGTTTCCTATCAGTATTCAAGTGGCGTGAGGCATTGTCACCTTTTGAAGCAATGAACTTCGCGTGCCTCTTGAGGTGTCAACGGGATGTGAGGCATTCCGTCAAAATGAGGCAGGGACCTAGGGCTTTCTCTAAGGTCTACACAGGGGATTCAGACATCCCTTCATGTTGTGAGATGAAAGACGAGCCTGTATTCAAGCTACTGCAAGGAAATCCGGCCTCCTTTCAAGTTAGGGCTTCTCGCTGTATATTGCCCTTGAGGCAGCGAACTCGGGGTCCCTCCCACATACATATTGCTGAGAGAACCCTCCTCCTGAGGTGCGTCTGGAAAGTTGGCATACGTCTTGAACCTAAGCCAGGGAATCAGCTCTCATCTCGAGACGATTTGGGGTACACGGTGCATTCCTCGAGTTGCTGTGCTGAAGTTGGTGTTCCTCTAGACTTGGGACAGTGTTCTCGGGGTATCTCTGGAGTTGCCTGAAGGAAGTCGAGCCACCGGTCGTGTTGAATGGGGAACGGGGAATGGCTCTGGAGTCAATGCAGGGGAATCGGGCCTCATCTCGAGTTGATTTGGGGCACATGGAGCTGCTTTGCGTTGCTGGGGTGACCTCAGCGTCCGTCGAGACTGGTGACAGTGTTCTTGGGGACTGTCTCGAGATCCATTAAGCAAGTCGAAGCTCCTGACTTGTTTGAATGGGACCACGGAATAGCTCTGCGTGCACTGCAGGGGAATGGGGCCTCATCTCGCCTCTAGGGGGAAGTCTCATGGTTTTTCTCGAGTTGCGGCGGGGACCTGGGGTATGTTCTCGACTTACGGCGGGGATGGCCCTTCAAAACACGAGTTTCTTCAGTGACGTCAGGACTCCTGTCTAGTAACGAGGGACACCTCAGGAATCTCTTCGAGGCTTGGCAGGGCAAAAGGGACGCTTCTCGAGGTGAGGCAGGGCACCCAAGGACCCTTTCCAGTAGCCACAGGGATTTTGGGATTCCTATCAGTATTCAAGAGGAGTCAGGCATCGTCACCTTTTGAAGCAATGAACTTCGCGTGCCTCTTGAGGTGTCAACGGGATGTGAGGCATTCCGTCAAAATGAGGCAGATAACTAGGGCTTTCTCTAACGTCTCCACAGGGAATTCAGACATCCCTTCATGTTGTGAGATGAAAGACGAGCCTGTATTCAAGCCACTGCAAGGAAATCCGGCCTCCATTCAAGTTAGGGCTTCTCGCTGTATATTGCCCTTGAGGCAGCGAACTCGGGGTCCCTCCCACATACCTATTGCTGAGAGAAGCCTCCTCCTGAGGTGCGTCTTGAAAGTTGGCATACGTCTTGAGCCTAAGCCAGGGAATCAGCTCTCATCTCGAGACGATTTGGGGTACACGGAGCATTCCTCGAGTTGCCGTGCTGAAGTTCGTGTTCCTCTAGACTTGGGACAGTGTTTTCGGGGCATCTCTGGAGTTGCCTGAAGGAAGTCGAGCCACCGGTCGTGTTGAATGGGGAACGGGGAATGGCTCTGGAGTCAATGCAGGGGAATCGGGCCTCATCTCTAGTTGATTTGGGGCACATGGAGCGGCTTTGCGTTGCTGGGGTGACCTCAGCGTCCGTCGAGACTGGTGACAGTGTTCTTGGGGACTGTCTCGAGATCCATTAAGCAAGTCGAAGCTCCTGACTTGTTTGATGGGACCACGGAATAGCTCTGCATGCACTGCAGGGGAATGGGGCCTCATCTCGCCTCTAGGGGGAAGTCTCATGGTTTTTCTCGAGTTGCGGCGGGGACCTGGGGTATGTTCTCGTCTTACGGCGGGGATGGCCCTTCAAAACACGAGTTTCTTCAGTGACGTCAGGACTCCTGTCTAGTAACGAGGGAAAGCTCAGGAATCTCTTCGAGGCTTGGCAGGGCAAAAGGGACGCTTCTCGAGGTGAGTCAGGGCACCCAAGACACTTTCCAGTAGCCACAGGGATTTTGGGATTCCTATCAGTATTCAAGAGAAGTCAGGCATCGTCACCTTTTGAAGCAATGAACTCCGTGTGCCTCTCGAGGTTTCAACGGGATGTGAGGCATTACGTCCAAATGAGGCAGGGACTTAGGGCTTTCTCTAAGGTCTCCACAGGGGATTCAGACATCCCTTCATGTTGTGAGATGAAAGACGAGCCTGTATTCAAGCCACTGCAAGGAAATCCGGCCTCCTTTCAAGTTAGGGCTTCTCGCTGTATATTGCCCTTGAGGCAGCGAACTCGGGGTCCCTCCCACATACCTATTGCTGAGAGAAGCCTCCTCCTGAGGTGCGTCTGGAAAGTTGGCATAAGTCTTGCGCCTAAGCCAGGGAATCAGCTCTCATCTCGAGACGATTTGGGGTACACGGAGCATTCCTCGAGTTGCCGTGCTGAAGTTGGTGTTCCTCTAGACTTGGGACAGTGTTCTCGGGGCATCTCTGGAGTTGCCTGAAGGAAGTCGAGCCACCGGTCGTGTTGAATGGGGAACGGGGAATGGCTCTGGAGTCAATGCAGGGGAATCGGGCCTCATCTCGAGTTGATTTGGGGTCCATGGAGCCGCTTTGCGTTGCTGGGGTGACTTCAGGGTCCGTCGAGACTGGTGACAGTGTTCTTGGGGACTGTCTGGAGAACCATTAAGCAAGTCGAAGCTCCTGACTTGCTTGAATGGGACCACGGAAGCTCTGCATGCACTGCAGGGGAATGGGGCCTCATCTCGCCTCTAGGGGTAAGTCTCATGGTTTTTCTCGAGTTGCGGCGGGGACCTGGGGTATGTTCTCGACTTACGGCGGGGATGGCCCTTCAAAACACGAGTTTCTTCAGTGACGTCAGGACTCCTGTCTAGTAACGAGGGACACCTCAGGAATCTCTTCGAGGCTTGGCAGGGCAAAAGGGACGCTTCTCGAGGTGAGGCAGGGCACCCAAGGACCCTTTCCAGTAGACACAGTGATTTTGGGTTTCCTATCAGTATTCAAGAGGAGTGAGGCATTGTCACCTTTTGAAGCAATGAACTTCGCGTGCCTCTTGAGGTGTCAACGGGATGTGAGGCATTCCGTCAAAATGAGGCAGGGACCTAGGGCTTTCTCTAAGGTCTCCACAGGGGATTCAGACATCCCTTCATGTTGTGAGATGAAAGACGAGCCTGTACTCAAGCCACTGCAAGGAAATCCGGCCTCCTTTCAAGTTAGGGCTTCTCGCTGTATATTGCCCTTGAGGCAGCGAACTCGGGGTCCCTCCCACATACCTATTGCTGAGAGAAGCCTCCTCCTGAGGTGCTTCTGGAAAGTTGGCATACGTCTTGAGCCTAAGCCAGGGAATCAGCTCTCATCTCGAGATGATTTGGGGTACACGGAGCATTCCTCGAGTTGCTGTGCTGAAGTTGGTGTTCCTCTAGACATGGGACAGTGTTCTCCGGGTATCTCTGGAGTTGCCTGAAGGAAGTCGAGCCACCGGTCGTGTTGAATGGGGAACGGGGAATGGCTCTCGAGTCAATGCAGGGGAATTGGGCCTCATCTCGAGTTGATTTGGGGCACATGGAGCTGCTTTGCGTTGCTGGGGTGACCTCAGGGTCCGTCGAGACTGGTGACAGTGTTCTTGGGGACTCTCTCGAGAACCATTAAGCAAGTCGAAGCTCCTGACTTGCTTGAATGGGACCACGGAATAGCTCTGCATGCACTGCAGGGGAATGGGGCCTCATCTCGCCTCTAGGGGGAAGTCTCATGGTTTTTCTCGAGTTGCGGCGGGGACCTGGGGTATGTTCTCGACTTACGGCGGGGATGGCCCTTCAAAACACGAGTTTCTTCAGTGACGTCAGGACTCCTGTCTAGTAACGAGGGACACCTCAGGAATCTCTTCGAGGCTTGGCAGGGCAAAAGGGACGCTTCTCGAGGTGAGGCAGGGCACCCAAGGACCCTTTCCAGTAGCCACAGGGATTTTGGGTTTCCTATCAGTATTCAAGTGGCGTGAGGCATTGTCACCTTTTGAAGCAATGAACTTCGCGTGCCTCTTGAGGTGTCAACGGGATGTGAGGCATTCCGTCAAAATGAGGCAGGGACCTAGGGCTTTCTCTAAGGTCTACACAGGGGATTCAGACATCCCTTCATGTTGTGAGATGAAAGACGAGCCTGTATTCAAGCTACTGCAAGGAAATCCGGCCTCCTTTCAAGTTAGGGCTTCTCGCTGTATATTGCCCTTGAGGCAGCGAACTCGGGGTCCCTCCCACATACATATTGCTGAGAGAACCCTCCTCCTGAGGTGCGTCTGGAAAGTTGGCATACGTCTTGAACCTAAGCCAGGGAATCAGCTCTCATCTCGAGACGATTTGGGGTACACGGTGCATTCCTCGAGTTGCTGTGCTGAAGTTGGTGTTCCTCTAGACTTGGGACAGTGTTCTCGGGGTATCTCTGGAGTTGCCTGAAGGAAGTCGAGCCACCGGTCGTGTTGAATGGGGAACGGGGAATGGCTCTGGAGTCAATGCAGGGGAATCGGGCCTCATCTCGAGTTGATTTGGGGCACATGGAGCTGCTTTGCGTTGCTGGGGTGACCTCAGCGTCCGTCGAGACTGGTGACAGTGTTCTTGGGGACTGTCTCGAGATCCATTAAGCAAGTCGAAGCTCCTGACTTGTTTGAATGGGACCACGGAATAGCTCTGCGTGCACTGCAGGGGAATGGGGCCTCATCTCGCCTCTAGGGGGAAGTCTCATGGTTTTTCTCGAGTTGCGGCGGGGACCTGGGGTATGTTCTCGACTTACGGCGGGGATGGCCCTTCAAAACACGAGTTTCTTCAGTGACGTCAGGACTCCTGTCTAGTAACGAGGGACACCTCAGGAATCTCTTCGAGGCTTGGCAGGGCAAAAGGGACGCTTCTCGAGGTGAGGCAGGGCACCCAAGGACCCTTTCCAGTAGCCACAGGGATTTTGGGATTCCTATCAGTATTCAAGAGGAGTCAGGCATCGTCACCTTTTGAAGCAATGAACTTCGCGTGCCTCTTGAGGTGTCAACGGGATGTGAGGCATTCCGTCAAAATGAGGCAGATAACTAGGGCTTTCTCTAACGTCTCCACAGGGAATTCAGACATCCCTTCATGTTGTGAGATGAAAGACGAGCCTGTATTCAAGCCACTGCAAGGAAATCCGGCCTCCATTCAAGTTAGGGCTTCTCGCTGTATATTGCCCTTGAGGCAGCGAACTCGGGGTCCCTCCCACATACCTATTGCTGAGAGAAGCCTCCTCCTGAGGTGCGTCTTGAAAGTTGGCATACGTCTTGAGCCTAAGCCAGGGAATCAGCTCTCATCTCGAGACGATTTGGGGTACACGGAGCATTCCTCGAGTTGCCGTGCTGAAGTTCGTGTTCCTCTAGACTTGGGACAGTGTTCTCGGGGCATCTCTGGAGTTGCCTGAAGGAAGTCGAGCCACCGGTCGTGTTGAATGGGGAACGGGGAATGGCTCTGGTGTCAATGCAGGGGAATCGCGCCTCATCTCGAGTTGATTTGGGGCCCATGGAGCTGCTTTGTGTTGCTGGGGTGACCTCAGGGTCTGTCGAGACTTGTGACAGTGTTCTTGGGGACTGTCTCGAGATCCATTAAGCAAGTCGAAGCTCCTGACTTGTTTGAATGGGACCACGGAATAGCTCTGCATGCACTGCAGGGGATTGGGGTCTCATCTCGCCTCTAGGGGGAAGTCTCATGGTTTTTCTCGAGTTGCGGCGGGGACCTGGGTTATGTTCTCGACTTACGGCGGGGATGGCCCTTCAAAACACGAGTTTCTTCAGTGACGTCAGGACTCCTGTCTAGTAACGAGGGACACCTCAGGAATCTCTTCGAGGGTTGGCAGGGCAAAAGGGACCCTTCTCAACGTGAGGCAGGGCACCCAAGGACCCTTTCCAGCAGCCACAGGGATTTTGGGATTCCTATCAGTATTCAAGAGGAGTGAGGCATTGTCACCTTTTGAAGCAATGAACTTCGCGTGCCTCTTGAGGTGTCAACGGGATGTGAGGCATTCCGTCAAAATGAGGCAGGGACCTAGGGCTTTCTCTAAGGTCTCCACAGGGGATTCAGACATCCCTTCATGTTGTGAGATGAAAGACGAGCCTGTATTCAAGCCACTGCAAGGAAATCCGGCCTCCTTTCAAGTTAGGGCTTCTCGCTGTATATTGCCCTTGAGGCAGCAAACTCGGGGTCCCTCCCACATACCTATTGCTGAGAGAAGATTCCTCCTGAGGTGCGTCTGGAAAGTTGGCATACGTCTTGAGCCTAAGCCAGGGAATCAGCTCTCATCTCGAGACGATTTGGGGTACACAGAGCATTCCTCGAGTTGCTGTGCTGAAGTTGGTGTTCCTCTAGACTTGGGACAGTGTTCTCGGGGTATCTCTGGAGTTGCCTGAAGGAAGTCGAGCCACCGGTCGTGTTGAATGGGGAACGGGTAATGGCTCTGGAGTCAATGCAGGGGAATCGGGCCTCATCTCGAGTTGATTTGGGGCACATGGAGCTGCTTTGCGTTGCTGGGGTGACCTCAGCGTAGGTCAAGACTGGTGACAGTGTTCTTGGGGACTGTCTCGAGATCGATTAAGCAAGTCGAAGCTCCTGACTTGTTTGAATGGGACCACGGAATAGCTCTGCATGCACTGCAGGGGAATGGGGCCTCATCTCGATTCTAGGGGGAAGTCTCATGGTTTTTCTCGAGTTGCGGCGGGGACCTGGGGTATGTTCTCGCCTTACGGCGGGGATGGCCCTTCAAAACACGAGTTTCTTCAGTGACGTCAGGACTCCTTTCTAGTAACGAGGGACACCTCAGGAATATCATCGAGGCTTGGCAGTGCAAATGGGACGCTTCTTGAGGTGAGGCAGGGCACCCAAAGACCCTTTCCAGTAGCCACAGGGATTTTGGGATTCCTATCAGAATTCAAGAGGAGTCAGGCATCGTCACCTTTTGAAGCAATGAACTCCGCATGCCTCTCGAGGTGTCAACGGGATGTGAGGCATTCCGTCCAAATGAGGCAGGGACCTAGGGCTTTCTCTAACGTCTCCACAGGGGATTCAGACATCCCTTCATGTTGTGAGAAGAAAGACGAGCCTGTATTCAAGCCACTGCAAGGAAATCCGGCCTCCATTCAAGTTAGGGCTTTTCGCTGTATATTGCCCTTGAGGCAGCGAACTCGGGGTCCCTCCCACATACCTATTGCTGAAAGAAGCCTCCTCCTGAGGTGCGTCTTGAAAGTTGGCATACGTCTTGAGCCTAAGCCAGGGAATCACCTCTCATCTCGAGACGATTTGTGGTACATGGAGCATTCCTCGAGTTGCCGTGCTGAAGTTGGTGTTCCTCTAGACTTGAGACAGTGTTCTCTGGGCATCTCTGGACTTGCCTGAAGAAAGTCGAGCCACCGGTCGTGTTGAATTGGGAACGGGGAATGGCTCTGGAGTCAATGCAGGGGAATCGGGCCTCATCTCGAGTTGATTTGGGGCCCATGGAGCTGCTTTGCGTTGCTGAGGTGACCTCAGGGTCGTCGAGACTGGTGACAGTGTTCTTGGGGACTGTCTCGAGAACCATTAAGCAAGTCGAAGCTCCTGACTTGCTTGAATGGGACCACGGAATAGCTCTGCATGCACTGCAGGGGAATGGGGCCTCATCTCGCCTCTAGGGGGAAGTCTCATGGTTTTTCTCAAGTTGCGGCGGGGACCTGGGGTATGTTCTCGACTTACGGCGGGGATGGCCCTTCAAAACACGAGTTTCTTCAGTGACGTCAGGACTCCTGTCTAGTAACGAGGGACACCTCAGGAATCTCTTCGAGGCTTGGCAGGGCAAAAGGGACGCTTCTCGAGGTGAGGCAGGGCACCCAAGAACCCTTTCCAGTAGCCACAGGGATTTTGGGATTCCTATCAGTATTCAAGAGGAGTGAGGCATTGTCACCTTTTGAAGCAATGAACTTTGCGTGCCTCTTGAGGTGTCAACGGGATGTGAGGCATTCCGTCAAAATGAGGCAGGGACCTAGGGCTTTCTCTAAGGTCTCCACAGGGGATTCAGACATCCCTTCATGTTGTGAGATCAAAGACGAGCCTGTATTCAAGCCACTGCAAGGAAATCCGGCCTCCTTTCAAGTTAGGGCTTCTCGCTGTATATTGCCCTTGAGTCAGAGAACTCGGGGTCCCTCCCACATACTTATTGCTGAGAGAAGCCTCCTCCTGAGGTGCGTCTTGAAAGTTGGCATACGTCTTGAGCCTAAGCCAGGGAATCACCTCTCATCTCGAGACGATTTGGGGTACACGGAGCATTCCTCGAGTTGCCGTGCTGAAGTTGGTGTTCCTCTAGACTTGGGACAGTGTTCTCGGGGCATCTCTGGAGTTGCCTGAAGGAAGTCGAGCCACCGGTCGTGTTGAATGGGGAACGGGGAATGGCTCTGGAGTCAATGCAGGGGAATCGGGCCTCATCTCGAGTTGATTTGGGGCCCATGGAGCTGCTTTGCGTTGCTGGGGTGACGTCAGGGTCCGTCGAGACTGGTGACAGTGTTCTTGGGGACTGTCTCGAGAACCATTAAGCAAGTCGAAGCTCCTGACTTGCTTGAATGGGACCACGGAATAGCTCTGCATGCACTGCAGGGGAATGGGGCCTCATCTCGCCTCTTGGGGGAAGTCTCATGGTTTTTCTCGAGTTGCGGCGGGAACCTGGGGTATGTTCTCGACTTACGGCGGGGATGGCCCTTCAAAACACGAGTTTCTTCAGTGACGTCAGGACTCCTGTCTAGTAACGAGGGACACCTCTGGAATCTCTTCGAGGCTTGGCAGGGCAAAAGGGACGCTTCTCGAGGTGAGGCAGGGCACCCAAGGACCCTTTCCAGTAGCCACAGGGATTTTGGGATTCCTATCAGTATTCAAGATGAGTGAGGCATTGTCATCTTTTGAAGCAATGAACTTCGCGTGCCTCTTGAGGTGTCAACGGGATGTGAGGCATTCCGTCAAAATGAGGCAGGGACCTAGGGCTTTCTCTAAGGTCTCCACAGGGGATTCAGACATCCCTTCATGTTGTGAGATGAAAGACGAGCCTGTATTCAAGCCACTGCAAGGAAATCCGGCCTCCTTTCAAGTTAGGGCTTCTCGCTGTATATTGCCCTTGAGGCAGCGAACTCGGTGTCCCTCCCACATACCTATTGCTGAGAGAAGCCTCCTCCTGAGGTGCGTCTGGAAAGTTGGCATACGTCTTGAGCCTAAGTCAGGGAATCAGCTCTCATCTCGAGACGATTTGTGGTACACGGAGAATTCCTCGAGTTGCTATGCTGAAGTTGGTGTTCCTCTAGACTTGGGACAGTGTTCTCGGGGTATCTCTGGAGTTGCCTGAAGGAAGTCGAGCCACCGGTCGTGTTGAATGGGGAACGCGGAATGGCTCTGGAGTCAATGCAGGGGAATCGGGCCTCATCTCGAGTTGATTTGGGGCACATGGAGCTGCTTTGCGTTGCTGGGGTGACCTCAGCGTCCGTCGAGACTGGTGACAGTGTTCTTGGGGACTGTCTCGAGATCCATTAAGCAAGTCGAAGCTCCTGACTTGTTTGAATGGGACCACGGAATAGCTCTGCATGCACTGCAGGGGAATGGGGTCTCATCTCGCCTCTAGAGGGAAGTCTCATGGTTTTTCTCGAGTTGCGGCGGGGACCTGGGATATGTTCTCGACTTACGGCGGGGATGGCCCTTCAAAACACGAGTTTCTTCAGTGACGTCAGGACTCCTGTCTAGTAACGAGGGACACTTAAGGAATCTCTTCGAGGCTTGGCAGGGCAAAAGGGACGCTTCTCGAGGTGAGGCAGGGCACCCAAGGACCCTTTCCAGTAGCCACAGGGATTTTGGGATTCCTATCAGTATTCAAGAGGAGTCAGGCATCGTCACGTTTTGAAGCAATGAACTCCGTGTGCCTCTCGAGGTGTCAACGGGATGTGAGGCATTCCGTCCAAATGAGGCAGGGACCTAGGGCTTTCTCTAAGGTCTCCACAGGGGATTCAGACATCCCTTCATGTTGTGAGATCAAAGACGAGCCTGTATTCAAGCCACTGCAAGGAAATCCGGCCTGCTTTCAAGTTAGGGCTTCTCGCTGTATATTGCCCTTGAGGCAGCGAACTCGGGGTCCCTCCCACATACCTATTGCTGAGAGAAGCCTCCTCCTGAGGTGCGTCTTGAAAGTTGGCATATGTCTTGAGCCTAAGCCAGGGAATCACCTCTCATCTCGAGACGATTTGGGGTACACGGATCATTCCTCGAGTTGCCGTGCTGAAGTTGGTGTTCCTCTAGACTTGGGACAGTGTTCTCGGGGCATCTCTGGAGTTGCCTGAAGGAAGTCGAGCCACCGGTCGTGTTGAATGGGGAACGTGGAATGGCTCTGGAGTCAATGCAGGGGAATCGGGCCTCATCTCGAGTTGATTTGGGGCCCATGGAGCTGCTTTGTGTTGCTGGGGTGACCTCAGGGTCTGTCGAGACTTGTGACAGTGTTCTTGGTGACTGTCTCGAGATCCATTAAGCAAGTCGAAGCTCCTGACTTGTTTGAATGGGACCACGGAATAGCTCTGCATGCACTGCAGGGGATTGGGGTCTCATCTCGCCTCTAGGGGGAAGTCTCATGGTTTTTCTCGAGTTGCGGCGGGGACCTGGGGTATGTTCTCGACTTACGGCGGGGATGGCCCTTCAAAACACGAGTTTCTTCAGTGACGTCAGGACTCCTGTCTAGTAACGAGGGACACCTCAGGAATCTCTTCGAGGCTTGGCAGGGCAAAAGGGACGCTTCTCGACGTGAGGCAGGGCACCCAAGGACCCTTTCCAGTAGCCACAGGGATTTTGGGATTCCTATCAGTATTCAAGAGGAGTGAGGCATTGTCACCTTTTGAAGCAATGAACTTCGCGTGCCTCTTGAGGTGTCAACGGGATGTGAGGCATTCCGTCAAAATGAGGCAGGGACCTAGGGCTTTCTCTAAGGTCTCCACAGGGGATTCAGACATCCCTTCCTGTTGTGAGATGAAAGACGAGCCTGTATTCAAGCCACTGCAAGGAAATCCGGCCTCCTTTCAAGTTAGGGCTTCTCGCTGTATATTGCCCTTGAGGCAGCGATCTCGGGGTCCCTTCCACATACCTATTGCTGAGAGAAGCCTCCTCCTGAGGTGCGTCTGGAAAGTTGGCATACGTCTTGAGCCTAAGCCAGGGAATCAGCTCTCATCTCGAGACGATTTGGGGTACACGGAGCATTCCTCGAGTTGCTGTGCTGAAGTTGGTGTTCCTCTAGACTTGGGACAGTGTTCTCGGGGTATCTCTGGAGTTGCCTGAAGGAAGTCGAGCCACCGGTCGTGTTGAATGGGGAACGGGTAATGGCTCTGGAGTCAATGCAGGGGAATCGGTCTTCATCTCGAGTTGATTTGGGGCACATGGAGCTGCTTTGCGTTGCTGGGGTGACCTCAGCGTCGGTCGAGACTGGTGACAGTGTTCTTGGGGACTGTCTCGAGATCGATTAAGCAAGTCGAAGCTCCTGACTTGTTTGAATGGGACCACAGAATAGCTCTGCATGCACTGCAGGGGAATGGGGCCTCATCTCGCCTCTAGGGGGAAGTCTCATGATTTTTCTCGAGTTGCGGCGGGGACCTGGGGTATGTTCTCGACTTACGGCGGGGATGGCCCTTCAAAACACGAGTTTCTTCAGTGACGTCAGGACTCCTGTCTAGTAACGAGGGACATCTCAGGAATCTCATCGAGGCTTGGCAGTGCAAATGGGACGCTTCTTGAGGTGAGGCAGGGCACCCAAGGACCCTTTCCAGTAGCCACAGGGATTTTGGGATTCCTATCAGAATTCAAGAGGAGTCAGGCATCGTCACCTTTTGAAGCAATGAACTCCGCATGCCTCTCGAGGTGTCAACGGGATGTGAGGCATTCCGTCCAAATGGGGCAGGGACCTAGGGCTTTCTCTAAGGTCTCCACAGGGGATTCAGACATCCCTTCATGTTGTGAGATGAAAGACGAGCCTGTACTCAAGCCACTGCAAGGAAATCCGGCCTCCTTTCAAGTTAGGGCTTCTTGCTGTATATTGCCCTTGAGGCAGCGAACTCGGGGTCCCTCCCACATACCTATTGTTGAAAGAAGCCTCCTCCTGAGGTGCGTCTTGAAAGTTGGCATACGTCTTGAGCCTAAGCCAGGGAATCACCTCTCATCTCGAGACGATTTGTGGTATATGGAGCATTCCTCGAGTTGCCGTGCTGAAGTTGGTGTTCCTCTAGACTTGAGACAGTGTTCTCGGGGCATCTCTGGACTTGCCTGAAGGAAGTCGAGCCACCGGTCGTGTTGAATTGGGAACGGGGAATGGCTCTGGAGTCAATGCAGGGGAATCGGGCCTCATCTCGAGTTGATTTGGGGCCCATGGAGCTGCTTTGCGTTGCTGGGGTGACCTCAGGGTCGTCGAGACTGGTGACAGTGTTCTTGGGGACTGTCTCGAGAACCATTAAGCAAGTCGAAGCTCCTGACTTGCTTGAATGGGACCACGGAAGAGCTCTGCATGCACTGCAGGGGAATGGGGCCTCATCTCGCCTCTAGGGGGAAGTCTCATGGTTTTTCTCGAGTTGCGGCGGGGACCTGGGGTATGTTCTCGACTTACAGCGGGGATGGCCCTTCAAAACACGAGTTTCTTCAGTGACGTCAGGACTCCTGTCTAGTAACGAGGGACACCTCAGGAATCTCTTCGAGGCTTGGCAGGGCAAAAGGGACGCTTCTCGAGGTGAGGCAGGGCACCCAAGGACCCTTTCCAGTAGCCACAGGGATTTTGGGATTCCTATCAGTATTCAAGAGGAGTGAGGCATTGTCACCTTTTGAAGCAGTGAACTTTGCGTGCCTCTTGAGGTGTCAACGGGATGTGAGGCATTCCGTCAAAATGAGGCAGGGACCTAGGGCTTTCTCTAAGGTCTCCACAGGGGATTCAGACATCCCTTCATGTTGTGAGATCAAAGACGAGCCTGTATTCAAGCCACTGCAAGGAAATCCGGCCTCCTTTCAAGTTAGGGCTTCTCGCTGTATATTGCCCTTGAGGCAGAGAACTCGGGGTCCCTCCCACATACTTATTGCTGAGAGAAGCCTCCTCCTGAGGTGCGTCTGGAAAGTTGGCATACGTCTTGAGCCTAAGCCAGGGAATCACCTCTCATCTCGAGACGATTTGGGGTACACGGAGCATTCCTCGAGTTGCTGTGCTGAATTTGGTGTTCCTCTAGACTTGGGACAATGTTCTCGGGGTATCTCTGGAGTTGCCTGAAGGAAGTCAAGCCACCAATCGTGTTGAATGGGGAACTGGGAATGGCTCTGGAGTCAATGCAGGGGAATCGGGCCTCATCTCGAGTTGATTTGGGGCCCACGGTGCTGCTTTTCGTTGCTGGGGTGACCTCAGGGTCCGTCGAGACTGGTGACAGTGTTCTTGGGGACTGTGTCGAGAACCATTAAGCAAGTCGAAGCTCCTGACTTGCTTGAATGGGACCACGGAATAGCTCTGCATGCACTGCAGGGGAATGGGGCCTCATCTCGCCTCTAGGGAAAGTCTCATGGTTTTTCTCGAGTTGCAGCGGGGACCTGTTGTATGTTCTTGACTTACGGCGGGGATGGTCCTTCAAAACACGAGTTTCTTCAGTGACGTCAGGACTCCTGTCTAGTAACGAGGGACACCTCAGGAATCTCTTCGAGGCTTGGCAGGGCAAAAAGGACGCTTCTCGAGGTGAGGCCGGGCACCCAAGGACCCTTTCCAGTAGCCACAAGGATTTTGGGATTCCTATCAGTATTCAAGAGGAGTCAGGCATCGTCACCTTTTGAAGCAATGAACTCAGCGTGCCTCTCGAGGTGTCAACGGGATGTGAGGCATTACGTCCAAATGAGGCAGGGACCTAGGGCTTTCTCTAAGGTCTCCACAGGGGATTCAGACATCCCTTCATGTTGTGAGATCAAAGACGAGCCTGTATTCAAGCCACTGCAAGGAAATCCGGCCTCCTTTCAAGTTAGGGCTTCTCGCTGTATATTGCCCTTGAGGCAGCGAACTCGGGGTCCCTCCCACATACCTATTGCTGAGAGAAGCCTCCTCCTGAGGTGCGTCTTGAAAGTTGGCATACGTCTTGAGCCTAAGCCAGGGAATCAGCTCTCATCTCGAGACGATTTGAGGTACACGGAGCATTCCTCGAGTTGCCGTGCTGAAGTTGGTGTTCCTCTAGACTTGGGACAGTGTTCTCGGGGCATCTCTGGAGTTGCCTGAAGGAAGTCGAGCCACCGGTCGTGTTGAATTGGGAACGGGGAATGGCTCTGGAGTCAATGCAGGGGAATCGGGCCTCATCTCGAGTTGATTTGGGGCACATGGAGCTGCTTTGCGTTGCTGGGGTGACCTCAGGGTCCGTCGAGACTGGTGACAGTGTTCTTGAGGACTGTCTCGAGATCCATTAAGCAAGTCGAAGCTCCTGACTTGTTTGAATGGGACCACGGAATAGCTCTGCATGCACTGCAGGGGAATGGGGTCTCATCTCGCCTCTAGGGGGAAGTCTCATGGTTTTTCTCGAGTTGCGGCGGGGACCTGGGGTATGTTCTCGACTTACGGCGGGGATGGCCCTTCAAAACACGAGTTTCTTCAGTGACGTCAGGACTCCTGTCTAGTAACGCGGGACACCTCAGGAATCTCTTCGAGGCTTGGCAGGGCAAAAGGGACGCTTCCCGAGGTGTGCCAGGCCAGCCAAGGACCCTTTCCAGTAGCCACAGGGATTTTGGTATTCCTATCAGTATTCAAGAGGAGTGAGGCATTGTCACCTTTTGAAGCAATGAACTTCGCGTGCCTCTTGAGGTGTCAACGGGATGTGAGGCATTCCGTCAAAATGAGGCAGGGACCTAGGGCTTTCTCTAAGGTCTCCACAGGGGATTCAGACATCCCTTCATGTTGTGAGATCAAAGACGAGCCTGTATTCAAGCCACTGCAAGGAAATCCGGCCTCCTTTCAAGTTAGGGCTTCTCGCTGTATATTGCCCTTGAGGCAGCGAACTCGGGGTCCCTCCCACATACCTATTGCTGAGAGAAGCCTCCTCCTGAGGTGCGTCTGGAAAGTTGGCATACGTCTTGAGCCTAAGCCAGGGAATCACCTCTCATCTCGAGACGATTTGGGGTACACGGAGCATTCCTCGAGTTGCTGTGCTGAAATTGGTGTTCCTCTAGACTTGGGACAATGTTCTCGGGGTATCTCTGGAGTTGCCTGAAGGAAGTCGAGCCACCAATCGTGTTGAATGGGGAACTGGGAATGGCTCTGGAGTCAATGCAGGGGAATCGGGCCTCATCTCGAGTTGATTTGGGGCCCACGGTGTTGCTTTGCGTTGCTGGGGTGACCTCAGGGTCCGTCGAGACTGGTGACAGTGTTCTTGGGGACTGTGTCGAGAACCATTAAGCAAGTCGAAGCTCCTGACTTGCTTGAATGGGACCACGGAATAGCTCTGCATGCACTGCAGGGGAATGGGGCCTCATCTCGCCTCTAGGGGAAAGTCTCATGGTTTTTCTCGAGTTGCAGCGGGGACCTGTTGTATGTTCTTGACTTACGGCGGGGATGGTCCTTCAAAACACGAGTTTCTTCAGTGAAGTCAGGACTCCTGTCTTGTAACGAGGGACACCTCAGGAATCTCTTCGAGGCTTGGCAGGGCAAAAAGGACGCTTCTCGAGGTGAGGCCGGGCACCCAAGGACCCTTTCCAGTAGCCACAAGGATTTTGGGATTCCTATCAGTATTCAAGAGGAGTCAGGCATCGTCACCTTTTGAAGCAATGAACTCAGCGTGCCTCTCGAGGTGTCAACGGGATGTGAGGCATTACGTCCAAATGAGGCAGGGACCTAGGGCTTTCTCTAAGGTCTCCACAGGGGATTCAGACATCCCTTCATGTTGTGAGATCAAAGACGAGCCTGTATTCAAGCCACTGCAAGGAAATCCGGCCTCCTTTCAAGTTAGGGCTTCTCGCTGTATATTGCCCTTGAGGCAGCGAACTCGGGGTCCCTCCCACATACCTATTGCTGAGAGAAGCCTCCTCCTGAGGTGCGTCTTGAAAGTTGGCATACGTCTTGAGCCTAAGCCAGGGAATCAGCTCTCATCTCGAGACGATTTGAGGTACACGGAGCATTCCTCGAGTTGCTGTGCTGAAGTTGGTGTTCCTCTAGACTTGGGACAGTGTTCTCGGGGCATCTCTGGAGTTGCCTGAAGGAAGTCGAGCCACCGGTCGTGTTGAATGGGGAACAGGGAATGGCTCTGGAGTCAATGCAGGGGAATCGGGCCTCATCTCGAGTTGATTTGGGGCACATGGAGCTGCTTTGCGTTGCTGGGGTGACCTCAGGGTCCGTCGAGACTGGTGACAGTGTTCTTGAGGACTGTCTCGAGATCCATTAAGCAAGTCGAAGCTCCTGACTTGTTTGAATGGGACCACGGAATAGCTCTGCATGCACTGCAGGGGAATGGGGTCTCATCTCGCCTCTAGGGGGAAGTCTCATGGTTTTTCTCGAGTTGCGGCGGGGACCTGGGGTATGTTCTCGACTTACGGCGGGGATGGCCCTTCAAAACACGAGTTTCTTCAGTGACGTCAGGACTCCTGTCTAGTAACGAGGGACACCTCAGGAATCTCTACGAGGCTTGGCAGGGCAAAAGGGACGCTTCTCGAGGTGAGGCAGGGCACCCAAGGACCCTTTCCAGTAGCCACAGGGATTTTGGGATTCCTATCAGTACTCAAGAGGAGTCAGGCATCGTCACGTTTTGAAGCAATGAACTCCGCGTGCCTCTCGAGGTGTCAACGGGATGTGAGGCATTCCGTCCAAATGAGGCAGGGACCTAGGGCTTTCTCTAAGGTCTCCACAGGGGATTCAGACATCCCTTCATGTTGTGAGATCAAAGACGAGCCTGTATTCAAGCCACGGCAAGGAAATCCGGCCTGCTTTCAAGTTAGGGCTTCTCGCTGTATATTGCCCTTGAGGCAGCGAACTCGGGGTCCCTCCCACATACCTATTGCTGAGAGAAGCCTCCTCCTGAGGTGCGTCTTGAAAGTTGGCATACGTCTTGAGCCTAAGCCAGGGAATCACCTCTCATCTCGAGACGATTTCGGGTACACGGATCATTCCTCGAGTTGCCGTGCTGAAGTTCGTGTTCCTCTAGACTTGGGACAGTGTTCTCGGGGCATCTCTGGAGTTGCCTGAAGGAAGTCGAGCCACCGGTCGTGTTGAATGGGGAAAGGGGAATGGCTCTGGAGTCAATGAAGGGGAATCGCGCCTCATCTCGAGTTGATTTGGGGCCCATGGAGCTGCTTTGTGTTGCTGGGGTGACCTCAGGGTCTGTCGAGACTTGTGACAGTGTTCTTGGGGACTGTCTCGAGATCCATTAAGCAAGTCGAAGCTCCTGACTTGTTTGAATGGGACCACGGAATAGCTCTGCATGCACTGCAGGGGATTGGGGTCTCATCTCGCCTCTAGGGGGAAGTCTCATGGTTTTTCTCGAGTTGCGGCGGGGACCTGGGGTATGATCTCGACTTACGGCGGGGATGGCCCTTCAAAACACGAGTTTCTTCAGTGACGTCAGGACTCCTGTCTAGTAACGAGGGACACCTCAGGAATCTCTTCGAGGGTTGGCAGGGCAAAAGGGACGCTTCTCGACGTGAGGCAGGGCACCCAAGGACCCTTTCCAGCAGCCACAGGGATTTTGGGATTCCTATCAGTATTCAAGAGGAGTGAGGCATTGTCACCTTTTGAAGCAATGAACTTCACGTGCCTCTTGAGGTGTCAACGGGATCTGAGGCATTCCGTCAAAATGAGGCAGGGACCTAGGGCTTTCTCTAAGGTCTCCACAGGGGATTCAGACATCCCTTCATGTTGTGAGATGAAAGACGAGCCTGTATTCAAGCCACTGCAAGGAAATCCGGCCTCCTTTCAAGTTAGGGCTTCTCGCTGTATATTGCCCTTGAGGCAGCGAACTCGGGGTCCCTCCCACATACCTATTGCTGAGAGAAGCCTCCTCCTGAGGTGCGTCTGGAAAGTTGGCATACGTCTTGAGCCTAAGCCAGGGAATCAGCTCTCATCTCGAGACGATTTGGGGTACACGGAGCATTCCTCGAGTTGCTGTGCTGAAGTTGGTGTTCCTCTAGACTTGGGACAGTGTTCTCGGGGTATCTCTGGAGTTGCCTGAAGGAAGTCGAGCCACCGGTCGTGTTGAATGGGGAACGGGGAATGGCTCTGGAGTCAATGCAGGGGAATCGGGCCTCATCTCGAGTTGATTTGGGGCACATGGAGCTGCTTTGCGTTGCTGGGGTGACCTCAGCGTAGGTCAAGACTGGTGACAGTGTTCTTGGGGACTGTCTCGAGATCGATTAAGCAAGTCGAAGCTCCTGACTTGTTTGAATGGGACCACGGAATAGCTCTGCATGCACTGCAGGGGAATGGGGCCTCATCTCGATTCTAGGGGGAAGTCTCATGGTTTTTCTCGAGTTGCGGCGGGGACCTGGGGTATGTTCTCGACTTACGGCGGGGATGGCCCTTCAAAACACGAGTTTCTTCAGTGACGTCAGGACTCCTGTCTAGTAACGAGGGACACCTCAGGAATATCATCGAGGCTTGGCAGTGCAAATGGGACGCTTCTTGAGGTGAGGCAGGGCACCCAAGGACCCTTTCCAGTAGCCACAGGGATTTTGGGATTCCTATCAGAATTCAAGAGGAGTCAGGCATCGTCACCTTTTGAAGCAATGAACTCCGCGTGCCTCTCGAGGTGTTAACGGGATGTGAGGCATTCCGTCCAAATGAGGCAGGGACCTAGGTCTTTCTCTAAGGTCTCCACAGGGGATTCAGACATCCCTTCATGTTGTGAGAAGAAAGACGAGCCTGTATTCAAGCCACTGCAAGGAAATCCGGCCTCCATTCAAGTTAGGGCTTCTCGCTGTATATTGCCCTTGAGGCAGCAAACTCGGGGTCCCTCCCACATACCTATTGCTGAAAGAAGCCTCCTCCTGAGGTGCGTCTTGAAAGTTGGCATACGTCTTGAGCCTAAGCCAGGGAATCACCTCTCATCTCGAGACGATTTGTGGTACATGGAGCATTCCTCGAGTTGCCGTGCTGAAGTTGGTGTTCCTCTAGACTTGAGACAGTGTTCTCTGGGCATCTCTGGACTTGCCTGAAGGAAGTCGAGCCACCGGTCGTGTTGAATTGGGAACGGGGAATGGCTCTGGAGTCAATGCAGGGGAATCGGGCCTCATCTCGAGTTGATTTGGGGCCCATGGAGCTGCTTTGCGTTGCTGGGGTGACCTCAGGGTCGTCGAGACTGGTGACAGTGTTCTTGGGGACTGTCTCGAGAACCATTAAGCAAGTCGAAGCTCCTGACTTGCTTGAATGGGACCACGGAATAGCTCTGCATGCACTGCAGGGGAATGGGGCCTCATCTCGCCTCTAGGGGGAAGTCTCATGGTTTTTCTCAAGTTGCGGCGGGGACCTGGGGTATGTTCTCGACTTACGGCGGGGATGGCCCTTCAAAACACGAGTTTCTTCAGTGACGTCAGGACTCCTGTCTAGTAACGAGGGACACCTCAGGAATCTCTTCGAGGCTTGGCAGGGCAAAAGGGACGCTTCTCGAGGTGAGGCAGGGCACCCAAGGACCCTTTCCAGTAGCCACAGGGATTTTGGGATTCCTATCAGTATTCAAGAGGAGTGAGGCATTGTCACCTTTTGAAGCAATGAACTTTGCGTGCCTCTTGAGGTGTCAACGGGATGTGAGGCATTCCGTCAAAATGAGGCAGGGACCTAGGGCTTTCTCTAAGGTCTCCACAGGGGATTCAGACATCCCTTCATTTTGTGAGATCAAAGACGAGCCTGTATTCAAGCCACTGCAAGGAAATCCGGCCTCCTTTCAAGTTAGGGCTTCTCGCTGTATATTGCCCTTGAGTCAGAGAACTCGGGGTCCCTCCCACATACTTATTGCTGAGAGAAGCCTCCTCCTGAGGTGCGTCTTGAAAGTTGGCATACGTCTTGAGCCTAAGCCAGGGAATCACCTCTCATCTCGAGACGATTTGGGGTACACGGAGCATTCCTCGAGTTGCCGTGCTGAAGTTGGTGTTCCTCTAGACTTGGGACAGTGTTCTCGGGGCATCTCTGGAGTTGCCTGAAGGAAGTCGAGCCACCGGTCGTGTTGAATGGGGAACGGGGAATGGCTCTGGAGTCAATGCAGGGGAATCGGGCCTCATCTCGAGTTGATTTGGGGCCCATGGAGCTGCTTTGCGTTGCTGGGGTGACGTCAGGGTCCGTCGAGACTGGTGACAGTGTTCTTGGGGACTGTCTCGAGAACCATTAAGCAAGTCGAAGCTCCTGACTTGCTTGAATGGGACCACGGAATAGCTCTGCATGCACTGCAGGGGAATGGGGCCTCATCTCGCCTCTTGGGGGAAGTCTCATGGTTTTTCTCGAGTTGCGGCGGGAACCTGGGGTATGTTCTCGACTTACGGCGGGGATGGCCCTTCAAAACACGAGTTTCTTCAGTGACGTCAGGACTCCTGTCTAGTAACGAGGGACACCTCTGGAATCTCTTCGAGGCTTGGCAGGGCAAAAGGGACGCTTCTCGAGGTGAGGCAGGGCACCCAAGGACCCTTTCCAGTAGCCACAGGGATTTTGGGATTCCTATCAATATTCAAGATGAGTGAGGCATTGTCACCTTTTGAAGCAATGAACTTCGCGTGCCTCTTGAGGTGTCAACGGGATGTGAGGCATTCCGTCAAAATGAGGCAGGGACCTAGGGCTTTCTCTAAGGTCTCCACAGGGGATTCAGACATCCCTTCATGTTGTGAGATGAAAGACGAGCCTGTATTCAAGCCACTGCAAGGAAATCCGGCCTCCTTTCAAGTTAGGGCTTCTCGCTGTATATTGCCCTTGAGGCAGCGAACTCGGTGTCCCTCCCACATACCTATTGCTGAGAGAAGCCTCCTCCTGAGGTGCGTCTGGAAAGTTGGCATACGTCTTGAGCCTAAGCCAGGGAATCAGCTCTAATCTTGAGACGATTTGGGATACACGGAGCATTCCTCGAGTTGCTGTGCTGAAGTTGGTGTTTCTCTAGACTTCGGACAGTGTTCTCGGGGTATCTCTGGAGTTGCCTGAAGGAAGTCGAGCCACAGTTCGTGTTGAATGGGGAACGCGGAATGGCTCTGGAGTCAATGCAGGGGAATCGGGCCTCATCTCGAGTTGAATTGGGGCACATGGAGCTGCTTTGCGTTGCTGGGGTGACCTCAGCGTCCGTCGAGACTGGTGACAGTGTTCTTGGGGACTGTCTCGAGATCCATTAAGCAAGTCGAAGCTCCTGACTTGTTTGAATGGGACCACGGAATAGCTCTGCATGCACTGCAGGGGAATGGGGTCTCATCTCGCCTCTAGAGGGAAGTCTCATGGTTTTTCTCGAGTTGCGGCGGGGACCTGGGATATGTTCTCGACTTACGGCGGGGATGGCCCTTCAAAACACGAGTTTCTTCAGTGACGTCAGGACTCCTGTCTAGTAACGAGGGACACTTAAGGAATCTCTTCGAGGCTTGGCAGGGCAAAAGGGACGCTTCTCGAGGTGAGGCAGGGCACCCAAGGACCCTTTCCAGTAGCCACAGGGATTTTGGGATTCCTATCAGTATTCAAGAGGAGTCAGGCATCGTCACGTTTTGAAGCAATGAACTCCGCGTGCCTCTCGAGGTGTCAACGGGATGTGAGGCATTCCGTCCAAATGAGGCAGGGACCTAGGGCTTTCTCTAAGGTCTCCACAGGGGATTCAGACATCCCTTCATGTTGTGAGATCAAAGACGAGCCTGTATTCAAGCCACTGCAAGGAAATACGGCCTGCTTTCAAGTTAGGGCTTCTCGCTGTATATTGCCCTTGAGGCAGCGAACTCGGGGTCCTTCCCACATACCTATTGCTGAGAGAAGCCTCCTCCTGAGGTGCGTCTTGAAAGTTGGCATATGTCTTGAGCCTAAGCCAGGGAATCACCTCTCATCTCGAGACAATTTGGGGTACACGGATCATTCCTCGAGTTGCCGTGCTGAAGTTGGTGTTCCTCTAGACTTGGGACAGTGTTCTCGGGGCATCTCTGGAGTTGCCTGAAGGAAGTCGAGCCACCGGTCGTGTTGAATGGGGAACGGGGAATGGCTCTGGAGTCAATGCAGGGGAATCGCGCCTCATCTCGAGTTGATTTGGGGCCCATGGAGCTGCTTTGTGTTGCTGGGGTGACCTCAGGGTCTGTCGAGACTTGTGACAGTGTTCTTGGGGACTGTCTCGAGATCCATTAAGCAAGTCGAAGCTCCTGACTTGTTTGAATGGGACCACGGAATAGCTCTGCATGCACTGCAGGGGATTGGGGTCTCATCTCGCCTCTAGGGGGAAGTCTCATGATTTTTCTCGAGTTGCGGCGGGGACCTGGGGTATGTTCTCGACTTACGGCGGGGATGGCCCTTCAAAACACGAGTTTCTTCAGTGATGTCAGGACTCCTGTCTAGTAACGAGGGACACCTCAGGAATATCATCGAGGCTTGGCAGTGCAAATGGGACGCTTCTTGAGGTGAGGCAGGGCACCCAAGGACCCTTTCCAGTAGCCACAGGGATTTTGGGATTCCTATCAGAATTCAAGAGGAGTCAGGCATCGTCACCTTTTGAAGCAATGAACTCCGCATGCCTCTCGAGGTGTCAACGGGATGTGAGGCATTCCGTCCAAATGAGGCAGGGACCTAGGGCTTTCTCTAAGGTCTCCACAGGGGATTCAGACATCCCTTCATGTTGTGAGAAGAAAGACGAGCCTGTATTCAAGCCACTGCAAGGAAATCCGGCCTCCATTCAAGTTAGGGCTTCTCGCTGTATATTGCCCTTGAGGCAGCGAACTCGGGGTCCCTCCCACATACCTATTGCTGAGAGAAGCCTCCTCCTGAGGTGCGTCTTGAAAGTTGGCATACGTCTTGAGCCTAAGCCAGGGAATCACCTCTCATCTCGAGACGATTTGTGGTACATGGAGCATTCCTCGAGTTGCCGTGCTGAAGTTGGTGCTCCTCTAGACTTGAGACAGTGTTCTCGGGGCATCTCTGGACTTGCCTGAAGGAAGTCGAGCCACCGGTCGTGTTGAATTGGGAACGGGGAATGGCTCTGGAGTCAATGCAGGGGAATCGGGCCTCATCTCGAGTTGAATTGGGGCCGATGGAGCTGCTTTGCGTTGCTGGGGTGACCTCAGGGTCGTCGAGACTGGTGACAGTGTTCTTGGGGACTGTCTCGAGAACCATTAAGCAAGTCGAAGCTCCTGACTTGCTTGAATGGGACCACGGAATAGCTCTGCATGCACTGCAGGGGAATGGGGCCTCATCTCGCCTCTAGGGGGAAGTCTCATGGTTTTTCTCGAGTTGCGGCGGGGACCTGGGGTATGTTCTCGACTTACAGCGGGGATGGCCCTTCAAAACACGAGTTTCTTCAGTGACGTCAGGACTCCTGTCTAGTAACGAGGGAAAGCTCAGGAATCTCTTCGAGGCTTGGCAGGGCAAAAGGGACGCTTCTCGAGGTGAGGCAGGGCACCCAAGGACCCTTTCCAGTAGCCACAGGGATTTTGGGATTCCTATCAGTATTCAAGAGGAGTGAGGCATTGTCACCTTTTGAAGCAATGAACTTTGCGTGCCTCTTGAGGTGTCAACGGGATGTGAGGCATTCCGTCAAAATGAGGCAGGGACCTAGGGCTTTCTCTAAGGTCTCCACAGGGGATTCAGACATCCTTTCATGTTGTGAGATCAAAGACGAGCCTGTATTCAAGCCACTGCAAGGAAATCCGGCCTCCTTTCAAGTTAGGGCTTCTCGCTGTATATTGCCCTTGAGGCAGAGAACTCGGGGTCCCTCCCACATACTTATTGCTGAGAGAAGCCTCCTCCTGAGGTGCGTCTGGAAAGTTGGCACACGTCTTGAGCCTAAGCCAGGGAATCACCTCTCATCTCGAGACGATTTGTGGTACACGGAGCATTCCTCGAGTTGCTGTGCTGAATTTGGTGTTCCTCTAGACTTGGGACAATGTTCTCGGGGTATCTCTGGAGTTGCCTGAAGGAAGTCGAGCCACCAATCGTGTTGAATGGGGAACTGGGAATGGCTCTGGAGTCAATGCAGGGGAATCGGGCCTCATCTCGAGTTGATTTGGGGCCCACGGTGCTGCTTTGCGTTGCTGGGGTGACCTCAGGGTCCGTCGAGACTGAAGACAGTGTTCTTGGGGACTGTGTCGAGAACCATTAAGCAAGTCGAAGCTCCTGACTTGCTTGAATGGGACCACGGAATAGCTCTGCATGCACTGCAGGGGAATGGGGCCTCATCTCGCCTCTAGGGGAAAGTCTCATGGTTTTTCTCGAGTTGCAGCGGGGACCTGTTGTATGTTCTTGACTTACGGCGGGGATGGTCCTTCAAAACACGAGTTTCTTCAGTGACGTCAGGACTCCTGTCTAGTAACGAGGGACACCTCAGGAATCTCTTCGAGGCTTGGCAGGGCAAAAAGGACGCTTCTCGAGGTGAGGCCGGGCACCCAAGGACCCTTTCCAGTAGCCACAAGGATTTTGGGATTCCTATCAGTATTCAAGAGGAGTCAGGCATCGTCACCTTTTGAAGCAATGAACTCAGCGTGCCTCTCGAGGTGTCAACGGGATGTGAGGCATTACGTCCAAATGAGGCAGGGACCTACGGCTTTCTCTAAGGTCTCCACAGGGGATTCAGACATCCCTTCATGTTGTGAGATCAAAGACGAGCCTGTATTCAAGCCACTGCAAGGAAATCCGGCCTCCTTTCAAGTTAGGGCTTCTCGCTGTATATTGCCCTTGAGGCAGCGAACTCGGGGTCCCTCCCACATACCTATTGCTGAGAGAAGTCTCCTCCTGAGGTGCGTCTTGAAAGTTGGCATACGTCTTGAGCCTAGGCCAGGGAATCAGCTCTCATCTCGAGACGATTTGAGGTACACGGAGCATTCCTCGAGTTGCCGTGCTGAAGTTGGTGTTCCTCTAGACTTGGGACAGTGTTCTCGGGGCATCTCTGGAGTTGCCTGAAGGAAGTCGAGCCACCGGTCGTGTTGAATGGGGAACGGGGAATGGCTCTGGAGTCAATGCAGGGGAATCGGGCCTCATCTCGAGTTGATTTGGGGCACATGGAGCTGCTTTGCGTTGCTGGGGTGACCTCAGGGTCCGTCGAGACTGGTGACAGTGTTCTTGAGGACTGTCTCGAGATCCATTAAGCAAGTCGAAGCTCCTGACTTGTTTGAATGGGACCACGGAATAGCTCTGCATGCACTGCAGGTGAATGGGGTCTCATCTCGCCTCTAGGGGGAAGTCTCATGGTTTTTCTCGAGTTGCGGCGGGGACCTGGGGTATGTTCTCGACTTACGGCGGGGATGGCCCTTCAAAACACGAGTTTCTTCAGTGACGTCAGGACTCCTGTCTAGTAACGCGGGACACCTCAGGAATCTCTTCGAGCCTTGGCAGGGCAAAAGGGACGCTTCCCGAGGTGTGGCAGGCCACCCAAGGACCCTTTCCAGTAGCCACAGGGATTTTGGTATTCCTATCAGTATTCAAGAGGAGTGAGGCATTGTCACCTTTTGAAGCAATGAACTTCGCGTGCCTCTTGAGGTGTCAACGGGATGTGAGGCATTCCGTCAAAATGAGGCAGGGACCTAGGGCTTTCTCTAAGGTCTCCACAGGGGATTCAGACATCCCTTCATGTTGTGAGATGAAAGACGAGCCTGTATTCAAGCCACTGCAAGGAAATCCGGCCTCCTTTCAAGTTAGGGCTTCTCGCTGTATATTGCCCTTGAGTCAGCGAACTCGGGGTCCCTCCCACATACCTATTGCTGAGAGAAGCCTCCTCCTGAGGTGCGTCTGGAAAGTTGGCATACGTCTTGAGCCTAAGCCAGGGAATCAGCTCTCATCTCGAGACGATTTGTGGTACACGGAGCATTACTCGAGTTGCTGTGCTGAAGTTGGTGTTCCTCTAGACTTGGGACAGTGTTCTCGGGGTATCTCTGGAGTTGCCTGAAGGAAGTCGAGCCACCGGTCGTGTTGAATGGGGAACGGGGAATGGCTCTGGAGTCAATGCAGGGGAATCGGGCCTCATCGCGAGTTGATTTGGGGCCCATGGAGCTGCTTTGCGTTGCTGGGGTGACCTCAGGGTCGTCGAGACTGTTGACAGTGTTCTTGGGGACTGTCTCGAGAACCATTAAGCAAGTCGAAGCTCCTGACTTGCTTGAATGGGACCACGGAATAGCTCTGCATGCACTGCAGGGGAATGGGGCCTCATCTCGCCTCTAGGGGGAAGTCTCATGGTTTTTCTCGAGTTGCGGCGGGGACCTGGGGTATGTTCTCGACTTACAGCGGGGATGGCCCTTCAAAACACGAGTTTCTTCAGTGACGTCAGGACTCCTGTCTAGTAACGAGGGACACCTCAGGAATCTCTTCGAGGCTTGGCAGGGCAAAAGCGACGCTTCTCGAGGTGAGGCAGGGCACCCAAGGACCCTTTCCAGTAGCCACAGGGATTTTGGGATTCCTATCAGTATTCAAGAGGAGTGAGGCATTGTCACCTTTTGAAGCAATGAACTTTGCGTGCCTCTTGAGGTGTCAACGGGATGTGAGGCATTCCGTCAAAATGAGGCAGGGACCTAGGGCTTTCTCTAAGGTCTCCACAGGGGATTCAGACATCCCTTCATGTTGTGAGATCAAAGACGAGCCTGTATTCAAGCCACTGCAAGGAAATCCGGCCTCCTTTCAAGTTAGGGCTTCTCGCTGTATATTGCCCTTGAGGCAGAGAACTCGGGGTCCCTCCCACATACTTATTGCTGAGAGAAGCCTCCTCCTGAGGTGCGCCTTGAAAGTTGGCATACGTCTTGAGCCTAAGCCAGGGAATCACCTCTCATCTCGAGACGATTTGGGGTACACGGAGCATTCCTCGAGTTGCCGTGCTGAAGTTGGTGTTCCTCTAGACTTGGGACAGTGTTCTCGGGGCATCTCTGGAGTTGCCTGAAGGAAGTCGAGCCACCGGTCGTGTTGAATGGGGAACGGGGAATGGCTCTGGAGTCAATGCAGGGGAATCGGGCCTCATCTCGAGTTGATTTAGGGACCATGGAGCTGCTTTGCGTTGCTGGGGTGACCTCAGGGTCCGTCGAGACTGGTGACAGTGTTCTTGGGGACTGTCTCGAGAACCATTAAGCAAGTCGAAGCTCCTGACTTGCTTGAATGGGACCACGGAATAGCTCTGCATGCACTGCAGGGGAATGGGGCCTCATCTCACCTCTAGGGGGAAGTCTCATGGTTTTTCTCGAGTTGCGGCGGGGACCTGGGGTATGTTCTCGACTTACGGCGGGGATGGCCCTTCAAAACACGAGTTTCTTCAGTGACGTCAGGACTCCTGTCTAGTAACGAGGGACACCTCAGGAATCTCTTCGAGGCTTGTCAGGGCAAAAGGGACGCTTCTCGAGGTGAGGCAGGGCACCCAAGGACCCTTTCCAGTAGCCACAGGGATTTTGGGATTCCTATCAGTATTCAAGAGGAGTGAGGCATTGTCACCTTTTGAAGCAATGAACTTTGCGTGCCTCTTGAGGTGTCAACGGGATGTGAGGCATTCCGTCAAAATGAGGCAGGGATCTAGGGCTTTCTCTAAGGTTTCCACAGGGGATTCAGACATCCCTTCCTGTTGTGAGATCAAAGACGAGCCTGTATTCAAGCCACTGCAAGGAAATCCGGCCTCCTTTCAAGTTAGGGCTTCTCGCTGTATATTGCCCTTGAGGCAGAGAACTCGGGGTCCCTCCCACATACTTATTGCTGAGAGAAGCTTCCTCCTGAGGTGCGTCTTGAAAGTTGGCATACGTCTTGAGCCTAAGCCAGGGAATCACCTCTCATCTCGAGACGATTTGGGATACACGGAGCATTCCTCGAGTTGCCGTGCTGAAGTTGGTGTTCGTCTAAACTTGGGACAGTGTTCTCGGGGCATCTCTGGAGTTGCCTGAAGGAAGTCGAGTAACCGGTCGTGTTGAATGGGGAACGGGGAATGGCTCTGGAGTCAATGCAGGGGAATCGGGCCTCATCTCGAGTTGATTTGGGGCCCATGGAGCTGCTTTGCGTTGCTGTGGTGACGTCAGGGTCCGTCGAGACTGGTGACAGTGTTCTTGGGGACTGTCTCGAGAACAATTAAGCAAGTCGAAGCTCCTGACTTGCTTGAATGGGACCACGGAATAGCTCTGCATGCACTGCAGGGGAATGGGACCTCATCTCGCCTCTAGGGGGAAGTCTCATGGTTTTTCTCGAGTTGCGGCGGGGACCTGGGGTATGTTCTCGACTTACTGCGGGGATGGCCCTTCAAAACACGAGTTTCTTCAGTGACGTCAGGACTCCTGTCTAGTAACGAGGGACACCTCAGGAATCTCTTCGAGGCTTGGCAGGGCAAAAGGGATGCTTCTCGAGGTGAGGCAGGGCACCCAAGGACCCTTTCCAGTAGCCACAGGGATTTTGGGATTCCTATCAGTATTCAAGAGGAGTGAGGCATTGTCACCTTTTGAAGCAATGAACTTCGCGTGCCTCTTGAGGTGTCAACGGGATGTGAGGCATTCCGTCAAAATGAGGCAGGGACCTAGGGCTTTCTCTAAGGTCTCCACAGGGGATTCAGACATCCGTTCATGTCGTGAGATGAAAGACGAGCCTGTATTCAAGCCACTGCAAGGAAATCTGGCCTCCTTCAAGTTAGGGCTTCTCGCTGTATATTGCCCTTGAGGCAGCGAACTCGGGGTCCCTCCCACATACCTATTGCTGAGAGAAGCCTCTTCCAGAGGTGCGTCTGGAAAGTTGGCATACGTCTTGAGCCTAAGCCAGGGAATCAGTTCTCATCTCGAGACGATTTGGGGTACACGGAGCATTCCTCGAGTTGCTGTGCAGAAGTTGGTGTTCCTCTAGACTTGGGACAGTGTTCTCGGGGTATCTCTGGAGTTGCCTGAAGGAAGTCGAGCCACCGGTCGTGTTGAATGGGGAACGGGGAATGGCTCTGGAGTCAATGCAGGGGAATCGGGCCTCATCTCGAGTTGATTTGGGGCCCATGGAGCTGCTTTGCGTTGCTGGGGTGACCTCAGGGTCCGTCGAGACTGGTGACAGTGTTCTTGGGGACTGTCTCGAGAACCATTAAGCAAGTCGAAGCTCCTGACTTGCTTGAATGGGACCACGGAATAGCTCTGCATGCACTGCAGGGGAATGGGGCCTCATCTCGCCTCTTGGGGGAAGTCTCATGGTTTTTCTCGAGTTGCGGCGGGAACCTGGGGTATGTTCTCGACTTACGGCGGGGATGGCCCTTCAAAACACGAGTTTCTTCAGTGACGTCAGGACTCCTGTCTAGTAACGAGGGACACCTCTGGAATCTCTTCGAGGCTTGGCAGGGCAAAAGGGACGCTTCTCGAGGTGAGGCAGGGCACCCAAGGACCCTTTCCAGTAGCCACAGGGATTTTGGGATTCCTATCAGTATTCAAGATGAGTGAGGCATTGTCACATTTTGAAGCAATGAACTTCGCGTGCCTCTTGAGGTGTCAACGGGATGTGAGGCATTCCGTCAAAATGAGGCAGGGACCTAGGGCTTTCTCTAAGGTCTCCACAGGGGATTCAGACATCCCTTCATGTTGTGAGATGAAAGACGAGCCTGTATTCAAGCCACTGCAAGGAAATCCGGCCTTCTTTCAAGTTAGGGCTTCTCGCTGTATATTGCCCTTGAGGCAGAGAACTCGGTGTCCCTCCCACATACCTATTGCTGAGAGAAGCCTCCTCCTGAGGTGCGTCTGGAAAGTTGGCATACGTCTTGAGCCTAAGCCAGGGAATCAGCTCTAATCTTGAGACGATTTGGGATACACGGAGCATTCCTCGAGTTGCTGTGCTGAAGTTGGTGTTTCTCTAGACTTCGGACAGTGTTCTCGGGGTATCTCTGGAGTTGCCTGAAGGAAGTCGAGCCACAGTTCGTGTTGAATGGGGAACGCGGAATGGCTCTGGAGTCAATGCAGGGGAATCGGGCCTCATCTCGAGTTGAATTGGGGCACATGGAGCTGCTTTGCGTTGCTGGGGTGACCTCAGCGTCCGTCGAGACTGGTGACAGTGTTCTTGGGGACTGTCTCGAGATCCATTAAGCAAGTCGAAGCTCCTGACTTGTTTGAATGGGACCACGGAATAGCTCTGCATGCACTGCAGGGGAATGGGGTCTCATCTCGCCTCTAGAGGGAAGTCTCATGGTTTTTCTCGAGTTGCGGCGGGGACCTGGGATATGTTCTCGACTTACGGCGGGGATGGCCCTTCAAAACACGAGTTTCTTCAGTGACGTCAGGACTCCTGTCTAGTAACGAGGGACACTTAAGGAATCTCTTCGAGGCTTGGCAGGGCAAAAGGGACGCTTCTCGAGGTGAGGCAGGGCACCCAAGGACCCTTTCCAGTAGCCACAGGGATTTTGGGATTCCTATCAGTATTCAAGAGGAGTCAGGCATCGTCACGTTTTGAAGCAATGAACTCCGCGTGCCTCTCGAGGTGTCAACGGGATGTGAGGCATTCCGTCCAAATGAGGCAGGGACCTAGGGCTTTCTCTAAGGTCTCCACAGGGGATTCAGACATCCCTTCATGTTGTGAGATCAAAGACGAGCCTGTATTCAAGCCACTGCAAGGAAATACGGCCTGCTTTCAAGTTAGGGCTTCTCGCTGTATATTGCCCTTGAGGCAGCGAACTCGGGGTCCTTCCCACATACCTATTGCTGAGAGAAGCCTCCTCCTGAGGTGCGTCTTGAAAGTTGGCATATGTCTTGAGCCTAAGCCAGGGAATCACCTCTCATCTCGAGACAATTTGGGGTACACGGATCATTCCTCGAGTTGCCGTGCTGAAGTTGGTGTTCCTCTAGACTTGGGACAGTGTTCTCGGGGCATCTCTGGAGTTGCCTGAAGGAAGTCGAGCCACCGGTCGTGTTGAATGGGGAACGGGGAATGGCTCTGGAGTCAATGCAGGGGAATCGCGCCTCATCTCGAGTTGATTTGGGGCCCATGGAGCTGCTTTGTGTTGCTGGGGTGACCTCAGGGTCTGTCGAGACTTGTGACAGTGTTCTTGGGGACTGTCTCGAGATCCATTAAGCAAGTCGAAGCTCCTGACTTGTTTGAATGGGACCACGGAATAGCTCTGCATGCACTGCAGGGGATTGGGGTCTCATCTCGCCTCTAGGGGGAAGTCTCATGATTTTTCTCGAGTTGCGGCGGGGACCTGGGGTATGTTCTCGACTTACGGCGGGGATGGCCCTTCAAAACACGAGTTTCTTCAGTGATGTCAGGACTCCTGTCTAGTAACGAGGGACACCTCAGGAATATCATCGAGGCTTGGCAGTGCAAATGGGACGCTTCTTGAGGTGAGGCAGGGCACCCAAGGACCCTTTCCAGTAGCCACAGGGATTTTGGGATTCCTATCAGAATTCAAGAGGAGTCAGGCATCGTCACCTTTTGAAGCAATGAACTCCGCATGCCTCTCGAGGTGTCAACGGGATGTGAGGCATTCCGTCCAAATGAGGCAGGGACCTAGGGCTTTCTCTAAGGTCTCCACAGGGGATTCAGACATCCCTTCATGTTGTGAGAAGAAAGACGAGCCTGTATTCAAGCCACTGCAAGGAAATCCGGCCTCCATTCAAGTTAGGGCTTCTCGCTGTATATTGCCCTTGAGGCAGCGAACTCGGGGTCCCTCCCACATACCTATTGCTGAGAGAAGCCTCCTCCTGAGGTGCGTCTTGAAAGTTGGCATACGTCTTGAGCCTAAGCCAGGGAATCACCTCTCATCTCGAGACGATTTGTGGTACATGGAGCATTCCTCGAGTTGCCGTGCTGAAGTTGGTGCTCCTCTAGACTTGAGACAGTGTTCTCGGGGCATCTCTGGACTTGCCTGAAGGAAGTCGAGCCACCGGTCGTGTTGAATTGGGAACGGGGAATGGCTCTGGAGTCAATGCAGGGGAATCGGGCCTCATCTCGAGTTGAATTGGGGCCGATGGAGCTGCTTTGCGTTGCTGGGGTGACCTCAGGGTCGTCGAGACTGGTGACAGTGTTCTTGGGGACTGTCTCGAGAACCATTAAGCAAGTCGAAGCTCCTGACTTGCTTGAATGGGACCACGGAATAGCTCTGCATGCACTGCAGGGGAATGGGGCCTCATCTCGCCTCTAGGGGGAAGTCTCATGGTTTTTCTCGAGTTGCGGCGGGGACCTGGGGTATGTTCTCGACTTACAGCGGGGATGGCCCTTCAAAACACGAGTTTCTTCAGTGACGTCAGGACTCCTGTCTAGTAACGAGGGAAAGCTCAGGAATCTCTTCGAGGCTTGGCAGGGCAAAAGGGACGCTTCTCGAGGTGAGGCAGGGCACCCAAGGACCCTTTCCAGTAGCCACAGGGATTTTGGGATTCCTATCAGTATTCAAGAGGAGTGAGGCATTGTCACCTTTTGAAGCAATGAACTTTGCGTGCCTCTTGAGGTGTCAACGGGATGTGAGGCATTCCGTCAAAATGAGGCAGGGACCTAGGGCTTTCTCTAAGGTCTCCACAGGGGATTCAGACATCCTTTCATGTTGTGAGATCAAAGACGAGCCTGTATTCAAGCCACTGCAAGGAAATCCGGCCTCCTTTCAAGTTAGGGCTTCTCGCTGTATATTGCCCTTGAGGCAGAGAACTCGGGGTCCCTCCCACATACTTATTGCTGAGAGAAGCCTCCTCCTGAGGTGCGTCTGGAAAGTTGGCATACGTCTTGAGCCTAAGCCAGGGAATCACCTCTCATCTCGAGACGATTTGTGGTACACGGAGCATTCCTCGAGTTGCTGTGCTGAATTTGGTGTTCCTCTAGACTTGGGACAATGTTCTCGGGGTATCTCTGGAGTTGCCTGAAGGAAGTCGAGCCACCAATCGTGTTGAATGGGGAACTGGGAATGGCTCTGGAGTCAATGCAGGGGAATCGGGCCTCATCTCGAGTTGATTTGGGGCCCACGGTGCTGCTTTGCGTTGCTGGGGTGACCTCAGGGTCCGTCGAGACTGAAGACAGTGTTCTTGGGGACTGTGTCGAGAACCATTAAGCAAGTCGAAGCTCCTGACTTGCTTGAATGGGACCACGGAATAGCTCTGCATGCACTGCAGGGGAATGGGGCCTCATCTCGCCTCTAGGGGAAAGTCTCATGGTTTTTCTCGAGTTGCAGCGGGGACCTGTTGTATGTTCTTGACTTACGGCGGGGATGGTCCTTCAAAACACGAGTTTCTTCAGTGACGTCAGGACTCCTGTCTAGTAACGAGGGACACCTCAGGAATCTCTTCGATTCTTGGCAGGGCAAAAAGGACGCTTCTCGAGGTGAGGCCGGGCACCCAAGGACCCTTTCCAGTAGCCACAAGGATTTTGGGATTCCTATCAGTATTCAAGAGGAGTCAGGCATCGTCACCTTTTGAAGCAATGAACTCAGCGTGCCTCTCGAGGTGTCAACGGGATGTGAGGCATTACGTCCAAATGAGGCAGGGACCTACGGCTTTCTCTAAGGTCTCCACAGGGGATTCAGACATCCCTTCATGTTGTGAGAAGAAAGACGAGCCTGTATTCAAGCCACTGCAAGGAAATCCGGCCTCCTTTCAAGTTAGGGCTTCTCGCTGTATATTGCCCTTGAGGCAGCGAACTCGGGGTCCCTCCCACATACCTATTGCTGAGAGAAGTCTCCTCCTGAGGTGCGTCTTGAAAGTTGGCATACGTCTTGAGCCTAGGCCAGGGAATCAGCTCTCATCTCGAGACGATTTGAGGTACACGGAGCATTCCTCGAGTTGCCGTGCTGAAGTTGGTGTTCCTCTAGACTTGGGACAGTGTTCTCGGGGCATCTCTGGAGTTGCCTGAAGGAAGTCGAGCCACCGGTCGTGTTGAATGGGGAACGGGGAATGGCTCTGGAGTCAATGCAGGGGAATCGGGCCTCATCTCGAGTTGATTTGGGGCACATGGAGCTGCTTTGCGTTGCTGGGGTGACCTCAGGGTCCGTCGAGACTGGTGACAGTGTTCTTGAGGACTGTCTCGAGATCCATTAAGCAAGTCGAAGCTCCTGACTTGTTTGAATGGGACCACGGAATAGCTCTGCATGCACTGCAGGTGAATGGGGTCTCATCTCGCCTCTAGGGGGAAGTCTCATGGTTTTTCTCGAGTTGCGGCGGGGACCTGGGGTATGTTCTCGACTTACGGCGGGGATGGCCCTTCAAAACACGAGTTTCTTCAGTGACGTCAGGACTCCTGTCTAGTAACGCGGGACACCTCAGGAATCTCTTCGAGCCTTGGCAGGGCAAAAGGGACGCTTCCCGAGGTGTGGCAGGCCACCCAAGGACCCTTTCCAGTAGCCACAGGGATTTTGGTATTCCTATCAGTATTCAAGAGGAGTGAGGCATTGTCACCTTTTGAAGCAGTGAACTTCGCGTGCCTCTTGAGGTGTCAACGGGATGTGAGGCATTCCGTCAAAATGAGGCAGGGACCTAGGGCTTTCTCTAAGGTCTCCACAGGGGATTCAGACATCCCTTCATGTTGTGAGATGAAAGACGAGCCTGTATTCAAGCCACTGCAAGGAAATCCGGCCTCCTTTCAAGTTAGGGCTTCTCGCTGTATATTGCCCTTGAGGCAGCGAACTCGGGGTCCCTCCCACATACCTATTGCTGAGAGAAGCCTCCTCCTGAGGTGCGTCTGGAAAGTTGGCATACGTCTTGAGCCTAAGCCAGGGAATCAGCTCTCATCTCGAGACGATTTGGGGTACACGGAGCATTCCTCGAGTTGCCGTGCTGAAGTTGGTGTTCCTCTAGACTTGGGACAGTGTTCTCGGGGCATCTCTGGAGTTGCCTGAAGGAAGTCGAGCCACCGGTCGTGTTGAATGGGGAACGGGGAATGGCTCTGGAGTCAATGCAGGGGAATCGGGCCTCATCTCGAGTTGATTTAGGGCCCATGGAGCTGCTTTGCGTTGCTGGGGTGACCTCAGGGTCCGTCGAGACTGGTGACAGTGTTCTTGGGGACTGTCTCGAGAACCATTAAGCAAGTCGAAGCTCCTGACTTGCTTGAATGGGACCACGGAATAGCTCTGCATGCACTGCAGGGGAATGGGGCCTCATCTCACCTCTAGGGGGAAGTCTCATGGTTTTTCTCGAGTTGCGGCGGGGACCTGGGGTATGTTCTCGACTTACGGCGGGGATGGCCCTTCAAAACACGAGTTTCTTCAGTGACGTCAGGACTCCTGTCTAGTAACGAGGGACACCTCAGGAATCTCTTCGAGGCTTGTCAGGGCAAAAGGGACGCTTATCGAGGTGAGGCAGGGCACCCAAGGACCCTTTCCAGTAGCCACAGGGATTTTGGGATTCCTATCAGTATTCAAGAGGAGTGAGGCATTGTCACCTTTTGAAGCAATGAACTTTGCGTGCCTCTTGAGGTGTCAACGGGATGTGAGGCATTCCGTCAAAATGAGGCAGGGACCTAGGGCTTTCTCTAAGGTTTCCACAGGGGATTCAGACATCCCTTCCTGTTGTGAGATCAAAGACGAGCCTGTATTCAAGCCACTGCAAGGAAATCCGGCCTCCTTTCAAGTTAGGGCTTCTCGCTGTATATTGCCCTTGAGGCAGAGAACTCGGGGTCCCTCCCACATACTTATTGCTGAGAGAAGCTTCCTCCTGAGGTGCGTCTTGAAAGTTGGCATACGTCTTGAGCCTAAGCCAGGGAATCACCTCTCATCTCGAGACGATTTGGGGTACACGGAGCATTCCTCGAGTTGCCGTGCTGAAGTTGGTGTTCGTCTAAACTTGGGACAGTGTTCTCGGGGCATCTCTGGAGTTGCCTGAAGGAAGTCGAGTAACCGGTCGTGTTGAATGGGGAACGGGGAATGGCTCTGGAGTCAATGCAGGGGAATCGGGCCTCATCTCGAGTTGATTTGGGGCCCATGGAGCTGCTTTGCGTTGCTGTGGTGACGTCAGGGTCCGTCGAGACTGGTGACAGTGTTCTTGGGGACTGTCTCGAGAACAATTAAGCAAGTCGAAGCTCCTGACTTGCTTGAATGGGACCACGGAATAGCTCTGCATGCACTGCAGGGGAATGGGACCTCATCTCGCCTCTAGGGGGAAGTCTCATGCTTTTTCTCGAGTTGCGGCGGGGACCTGGGGTATGTTCTCGACTTACTGCGGGGATGGCCCTTCAAAACACGAGTTTCTTCAGTGACGTCAGGACTCCTGTCTAGTAACGAGGGACACCTCAGGAATCTCTTCGAGGCTTGGCAGGGCAAAAGGGACGCTTCTCGAGGTGAGGCAGGGCACCCAAGGACCCTTTCCAGTAGCCACAGGGATTTTGGGATTCCTATCAGTATTCAAGAGGAGTGAGGCATTGTCACCTTTTGAAGCAATGAACTTCGCGTGCCTCTTGAGGTGTCAACGGGATGTGAGGCATTCCGTCAAAATGAGGCAGGGACCTAGGGCTTTCTCTAAGGTCTCCACAGGGGATTCAGACATCCGTTCATGTCGTGAGATGAAAGACGAGCCTGTATTCAAGCCACTGCAAGGAAATCTGGCCTCCTTCAAGTTAGGGCTTCTCGCTGTATATTGCCCTTGAGGCAGCGAACTCGGGGTCCCTCCCACATACCTATTGCTGAGAGAAGCCTCTTCCAGAGGTGCGTCTGGAAAGTTGGCATACGTCTTGAGCCTAAGCCAGGGAATCAGTTCTCATCTCGAGACGATTTGGGGTACACGGAGCATTCCTCGAGTTGCTGTGCAGAAGTTGGTGTTCCTCTAGACTTGGGACAGTGTTCTCGGGGTATCTCTGGAGTTGCCTGAAGGAAGTCGAGCCACCGGTCGTGTTGAATGGGGAACGGGGAATGGCTCTGGAGTCAATGCAGGGGAATCGGGCCTCATCTCGAGTTGATTTGGGGCACATGGAGCTGCTTTGCGTTGCTGGGGTGACCTCAGGGTCCGTCGAGACTGGTGACAGTGTTCTTGGGGACTGTCTCGAGATCCATTAAGCAAGTCGAAGCTCCTGACTTGTTTGAATGGGACCACGGAATAGCTCTGCATGCACTGCAGGGGAATGGGGTCTCATCTCGCCTCTAGGGGGAAGTCTCATGGTTTTTCTCGAGTTGCGGCGGGGACCTGGGGTATGTTCTCGACTTACGGCGGGGATGGCCCTTCAAAACACGAGTTTCTTCAGTGACGTCAGGACTCCTGTCTAGTAACGAGGGACACCTCAGGAATCTCATCGAGGCTTGGCAGTGCAAATGGGACGCTTCTTGAGGTGAGGCAGGGCACCCAAGGACCCTTTCCAGTAGCCACAGGGATTTTGGGATTCCTATCAGAATTCAAGAGGAGTCAGGCATCGTCACCTTTTGAAGCAATGAACTCCGCGTGCCTCTCGAGGTGTCAACGGGATGTGAGGCATTCCGTCCAAATGGGGCAGGGACCTAGGGCTTTCTCTAAGGTCTCCACAGGGGATTCAGACATCCCTTCATGTTGTGAGAAGAAAGACGAGCCTGTATTCAAGCCACTGCAAGGAAATCCGGCCTCCTTTCAAGTTAGGGCTTCTCGCTGTATATTGCCTTTGAGGCAGCGAACTCGGGGTCCCTCCCACATACCTATTGCTGAGAGAAGCCTCCTCCTGAGGTGCGTCTTGAAAGTTGGCATACGTCTTGAGCCTAAGCCAGGGAATCACCTCTCATCTCGAGACGATTTGGGGTACACGGAGCATTCCTCGAGTTGCCGTGCTGAAGTTGGTGTTCCTCTAGACTTGGGACAGTGTTCTCGGGGCATCTCTGGAGTTGCCTGAAGGAAGTCGAGCCACCGGTCGTGTTGAATGGGGAACGGGGAATGGCTCTGGAGTCAATGCAGGGGAATCGGGCCTCATCTCGAGTTGATTTGGGGCACATGGAGCTGCTTTGCGTTGCTAGGGTGACCTCAGCGTCCGTCGAGACTGGTGACAGTGTTCTTGGGGACTGTCTCGAGATCCATTAAGCAAGTCGAAGCTCCTGACTTGCTTGAATGGGACCACGGAATAGCTCTGCATGCACTGCAGGGGAATGGGGTCTCATCTCGCCTCTAGGGGGAAGTCTCATGGTTTTTCTCGAGTTGCGGCGGGGACCTGGGGTATGTTCTCGACTTACGGCGGGGATGGCCCTTCAAAACACGAGTTTCTTCAGTGACGTCAGGAATCCTGTCTAGTAACGAGGGACACCTCAGGAATCTCTTCCAGGCTTGGCAGGGCAAAAGGGACGCTTCTCGAGGTGAGGCAGGGCACCCAAGGACCCTTTCCAGTAGCCACGGGGATTTTGGGATTCCTATCAGTATTCAAGAGGAGTCAGGCATCTTCACCTTTTGAAGCAATGAACTCTGCGTGCCTCTCGAGATGTCAACGGGATGTGAGGCATTCCGTCCAAATGAGGCAGGGACCTAGGGCTTTCTCTAAGGTCTACACAGGGGATTCAGACATCCCTTCATGTTGTGAGATCAAAGACGAGCCTGTATTCAAGCCACTGCAAGGAAATCCGGCCTGCTTTCAAGTTAGGGCTTCTCGCTTTATATTGCCCTTGAGGAAGCGAACTCGGGGTCCCTCCCACATACCTATTGCTGAGAAAAGCCTCCTCCTGAGGTGCGTCTTGAAAGTTGGCATACGTCTTGAGCCTAAGCCAGGGAATCAGCTCTCATCTCGAGAAGATTTGGGGTACACGGAGCATTCCTCGAGTTGCTGTGCTGAAGTTGGTGTTCCTCTAGACTTGGGTCAGTGTTCTCGGGGTATCTCTGGAGTTGCCTGAAGGAAGTCGAGCCACCGGTCGTGTTGAATGGGGAACGGGGAATGGCTCTGGAGTCAATGCAGGGGAATCGGGCCTCATCTCGAGTTGATTTGGGGCACATGGAGCTGCTTTGCGTTGCTGGGGTGACCTCAGCGTCCGTCGAGACTGGTGACAGTGATCTTGGGGACTGTCTCGAGATCCATTAAGCAAGTCGAAGCTCCTGACTTGTTTGAATGGGACCACGGAATAGCTCTACATGCACTGCAGGGGAATGGGGCCTCATCTCGCCTCTTGGGGGAAGTCTCATGGTTTTTCTCGAGTTGCGGCGGGGACCTGGGGTATGTTCTCGACTTACGGCGGGGATGGCCCTTCAAAACACGAGTTTCTTCAGTGACGTCAGGACTCCTGTCTAGTAACGAGGGACACCTCAGGAATCACATCGAGGCTTGGCAGTGCAAATGGGACGCTTCTTGAGGTGAGGCAGGGCACCCAAGGACCCTTTCCAGTAGCCACAGGGATTTTGGGATTCCTATCAGAATTCAAGAGGAGTCAGGCATCTTCACCTTTTGAAGCAATGAACTCCGCGTGCCTCTCGAGGTGTCAACGTGATGTGAGGCATTCCGTCAAAATGAGGCAGGGATCTAGGGCTTTCTCTAAGGTCTCCACAGGGGATTCAGACATCCCTTCATGTTGTGAGATCAAAGACGAGCCTGTATTCAAGCCACTGCAAGGAAATCCGGCCTCCTTTCAAGTTAGGGCTTCTCGCTGTATATTGCCCTTGAGGCAGCGAACTGGGGGTCCCTTCCACATACCTATTGCGGAGAGAAGCCTCCTCCTGAGGTGCGTCTTGAAAGTTGGCATACGTCTTGAGCCTAAGCCAGGGAATCAGCTCTCATCTCGAGACGATTTGGGGTACACGGAGCATTCCTCGAGTTGCCGTGCTGAAGTTGGTGTTCCTCTAGACTTGGGACAGTGTTCTCGGGGCATCTCTGGAGTTGCCTGAAGGAAGTCGAGCCACCGGTCGTGTTGAATGGGGAACGGGGAATGGCTCTGGAGTCAATGCAGGGGAATCGGGCCTCATCTCGAGTTGATTTGGGGCCCATGGAGCTGCTTTGCTTTGCTGGGGTGACCTCAGGGTCCGTCGAGACTGGTGACAGTGTTCTTGGGGACTGTCTCGAGAACCATTAAGCAAGTCGAAGCTCCTGACTTGCTTGAATGGGACCACGGAATAGCTCTGCATGCACTGCAGGGGAATGGGGCCTCATCTGGCCTCTAGGGGGAAGTCTCATGGTTTTTCTCGAGTTGCGGCGGGGACCTGGGGTATGTTCTCGACTTACGGCGCAGATGGCCCTTCAAAACACGAGTTTCTTCAGTGACGTCAGGACTCCTGTCTAGTAACGAGGGACACCTCAGGAATCTCTTCGAGGCTTGGCAGGGCAAAAGGGACGATTCTCGATGTGAGGCAGGGCACCCAAGGACCCTTTCCAGTAGCCAAAGGGATTTTGGGATTCCTATCAGTATTCAAGAGGAGTGAGGCATTGTCACCTTTTGAAGCAATGAACTTCGCGTGCCTCTTAAGGTGTTAACGGGATGTGAGGCATTCCGTCAAAATGAGGCAGGGACCTAGGGCTTTCTCTAAGGTCTCCACAGGGGATTCAGACATCCCTTCATGTTGTGAGATGAAAGACGAGCCTGTATTCAAGCCACTGCAAGGAAATCCAGCCTCCTTTCAAGTTAGGGCTTCTCGCTGTATATTGCCCTTGAGGCAGCGAACTCGGGGTCCCTCCCACATACCTATTGCTGAGAGAACCCTACTCCTGAGGTGCGTCTGGAAAGTTGGCATACGTCTTGAGCCTAAGCCAGGGAATCAGCTCTCATCTCGAGACGATTTGGTGTACACGGAGCATTCCTCGAGTTGCTGTGCTGAAGTTGGTGTTCCTCTAGACTTGGGACAATGTTCTCGGGGTATCTCTGGAGTTGCCTGAAGTTAGTCGAGGCACCGGTCGTGTTGAATGGGGAACGGGGAATGGCTCTGGAGTCAATGCAGGGGAATCGGGCCTCATCTCGAGTTGATTTGGGGCACATGGAGCTGCTTTGCGTTGCTGGGGTGACCTCAGCGTCCGTCGAGACTGGTGACAGTGTTCTTGGGGACTGTCTCGAGATCCATTAAGCAAGTCGAAGCTCCTGACTTGTTTGAATGGGACCACGGAATAGCTCTGCATGCACTGCAGGGGAATGGGGCCTCATCTCGCCTCTAGGGGGAAGTCTCATGGTTTTTCTCGAGTTGCGGCGGGGACCTGGGTTATGTTCTCGACTTACGGCGGGGATGGCCCTTCAAAACACGAGTTTCTTCAGTGACGTCAGGACTCCTGTCTAGTAACGAGGGACACCTCAGGAATCTCTTCGAGGCTTGGCAGGGCAAAAGGGACGCTTCTCGAGGTGAGGCAGGGCACCCAAGGACCCTTTCCAGTAGCCACAGGGATTTTGGGATTCCTATCAGAATTCAAGAGGAGTGAGGCATTGTCACCTTTTGAAGCAATGAACTTCGCGTGCCTCTTGAGGTGTCAACGGGATGTGAGGCATTCCGTCAAAATGAGGCAGGGACCTAGGGCTTTCTCTAAGGTCTCCACAGGGGATTCAGACATCCCTTCATGTTGTGAGATGAAAGACGAGCCTGTATTCAAGCCACTGCAAGGAAATCCGGCCTCCTTTCAAGTTAGGGCTTCTCGCTGTATATTGCCCTTGAGGCAGCGAACTCGGGGTCCCTCCCACATACCTATTGCTGAGAGAAGCCTCCTCCTGAGGTGCGTCTGGAAAGTTGGCATACGTCTTGAGCCTAAGCCAGGGAATCAGCTCTCATCTCGAGACGATTTGGGGTACACAGAGCATTCCTCGAGTTGCTGTGCTGAAGTTGGTGTTCCTCTAGACTTGGGACAGTGTTCTCGGGGTGTCTCTGGAGTTGCCTGAAGGAAGTCGAGCCACCGGTCGTGTTGAATGGGGAACGGGTAATGGCTCTGGAGTCAATGCAGGGGAATCGGGCCTCATCTCGAGTTGATTTGGGGCACATGGAGCTGCTTTGCGTTGCTGGGGTGACCTCAGGGTCCGTCGAGACTGGTGACAGTGTTCTTGGGGACTGTCTCGAGATCGATTAAGCAAGTCGAAGCTCCTGACTTGTTTGAATGGGACCACGGAATAGCTCTGCATGCACTGCAGGGGAATGGGGCCTCATCTCGCCTCTAGGGGGAAGTCTCATGGTTTTTCTCGAGTTGCGGCGGGGACCTGGGGTATGTTCTCGACTTACGGCGGGGATGGCCCTTCAAAACACGAGTTTCTTCAGTGACGTCAGGACTCCTGTCTAGTAACGAGGGACACCTCAGGAATCTCTTTGAGGCTTGGCAGGGCAAAAGGGACGCTTCTCGAGGTGAGGCAGGACACCCAAGGACCCTTTCCAGTAGCCACAGGGATTTTGGGATTCCTATCAGTATTCAAGAGGAGTGAGGCATTGTCACCTTTTGAAGCAATGAACTTTGCGTGCCTCTTGAGGTGTCAACGGGATGTGAGGCATTCCGTCAAAATGAGGCAGGGACCTAGGGCTTTCTCTAAGGTCTCCACAGGGGATTCAGACATCCCTTCATGTTGTGAGATCAAAGACGAGCCTGTATTCAAGCCACTGCAAGGAAATCCGGCCTCCTTTCAAGTTAGGGCTTCTCGCTGTATATTGCCCTTGAGTCAGAGAACTCGGGGTCCCTCCCACATACTTATTGCTGAGAGAAGCCTCCTCCTGAGGTGCGTCTTGAAAGTTGGCATACGTCTTGAGCGTAAGCCAGGGAATCACCTCTCATCTCGAGACGATTGGGGGTACACGGAGAATTCCTCGAGTTGCCGTGCTGAAGTTGGTGTTCCTCTAGACTTGGGACAGTGTTCTCGGGGCATCTCTGGAGTTGCCTGAAGGAAGTCGAGCCACCGGTCGTGTTGAATGGGGAACGGGGAATGGCTCTGGAGTCAATGCAGGGGAATCGGGCCTCATCTCGAGTTGATTTGGGGCTCATGGAGCTGCTTTGCGTTGCTGGGGTGACGTCAGGGTCCGTCGAGACTGGTGACAGTGTTCTTGGGGACTGTCTCGAGAACCATTAAGCAAGTCGAAGCTCCTGACTTGCTTGAATGGGACCACGGAATAGCTCTGCATGCACTGCAGGGGAATGGGGCCTCATCTCGCCTCTTGGGGGAAGTCTCATCGTTTTTCTTGAGTTGCGGCGGGAACCTGGGGTATGTTCTCGACTTACGGCGGGGATGGCCCTTCAAAACACGAGTTTCTTCAGTGACGTCAGGACTCCTGTCTAGTAACGAGGGACACCTCTGGAATCTCTTCGAGGCTTGGCAGGGCAAAAGGGACGCTTCTCGAGGTGAGGCAGGGCACCCAAGGACCCTTTCCAGTAGCCACAGGGATTTTGGGATTCCTATCAGTATTCAAGATGAGTGAGGCATTGTCACCTTTTGAAGCAATGAACTTCGCGTGCCTCTTGAGGTGTCAACGGGATGTGAGGCATTCCGTCAAAATGAGGCAGGGACCTAGGGCTTTCTCTAAGGTCTCCACAGGGGATTCAGACATCCCTTCATGTTGTGAGATCAAAGACGAGCCTGTATTCAAGCCACTGCAAGGAAATCCGGCCTCCTTTCAAGTTAGGGCTTCTCGCTGTATATTGCCCTTGAGGCAGCGAATTCGGTGTCCCTCCCACATACCTATTGCTGAGAGAAGCCTCCTCCTGAGGTGCGTCTGGAAAGTTGGCATGCGTCTTGAGCCTAAGTCAGGGAATCAGCTCTCATCTCGAGACGATTTGTGGTACACGGAGCATTCCTCGAGTTGCTGTGCTGAAGTTGGTGTTCCTCTAGACTTGGGACAGTGTTCTCGGGGTATCTCTGGAGTTGCCTGAAGGAAGTCGAGCCACCGGTCGTGTTGAATGGGGAACGGGGAATGGCTCTGGAGTAAATGCAGGGGAATCGGGCCTCATCTCGAGTTGATTTGGGGCCCATGGAGCTGCTATGCGTTGCTGGGGTGACCTCAGCGTCCGTCAAGACTGGTGACAGTGTTCTTGGGGACTGTCTCGAGATCCATTAAGCAAGTCGAAGCTCCTGACTTGTTTGAATGGGACCACGGAATAGCTCTGCATGCACTGCAGGGGAATGGGGCCTCATCTCGCCTCTAGGGGGAAGTCTCATGGTTTTTCTCGAGTTGCGGCGGGGACCTGGGGTATGTTCTCGACTTACGGCGGGGATGGCCCTTCAAAACACGAGTTTCTTCAGTGACGTCAGGACTCCTGTCTAGTAACGAGGGACACCTCAGGAATCTCTTCGAGGCTTGGCAGGGCAAAAGGGACGCTTCTCGACGTGAGGCAGGGCACCCAAGGACCCTTTCCAGTAGCCACAGGGATTTTGGGATTCCTATCAGTATTCAAGAGGAGTGAGGCATTGTCACCTTTTGAAGCAATGAACTTCGCGTGCCTCTTGAGGTGTCAACGGGATGTGAGGCATTCCGTCAAAATGAGGCAGGGACCTAGGGCTTTCTCTAAGGTCTCCACAGGGTATTCAGACATCCCTTCATGTTGTGAGATGAAAGACGAGCCTGTATTCAAGCCACTGCAAGGAAATCCGGCCTCCTTTCAAGTTAGGGCTTCTCGCTGTATATTGCCCTTGAGGCAGCGAACTCGGGGTCCCTCCCACATACCTATTGCTGAGAGAAGCCTCCTCCTGAGGTGCGTCTGGAAAGTTGGCATACGTCTTGAGCCTAAGCCAGGGAATCAGCTCTCATCTCGAGACGATTTGGGGTACACGGAGCATTCCTCGAGTTGCTGTGCTGAAGTTGGTGTTCCTCTAGACTTGGGACAGTGTTCTCGGGGTATCTCTGGAGTTGCCTGAAGGAAGTCGAGCCACCGGTCGTGTTGAATGGGGTACGGGTAATGGCTCTGGAGTCAATGCAGGGGAATCGGGCCTCATCTCGAGTTGATTTAGGGCCCATGGAGCTGCTTTGCGTTGCTGGGGTGACCTCAGGGTCCGTCGAGACTGGTGACAGTGTTCTTGGGGACTGTCTCGAGAACCATTAAGCAAGTCGAAGCTCCTGACTTGCTTGAATGGGACCACGGAATAGCTCTGCATGCACTGCAGGGGAATGGGGCCTCATCTCGCCTCTAGGGGGAAGTCTCATGGTTTTTCTCGAGTTGCGGCGGGGACCTGGGGTATGTTCTCGACTTACAGCGGGGATGGCCCTTCAAAACACGAGTTTCTTCAGTGACGTCAGGACTCCTGTCTAGTAACGAGGGACACCTCAGGAATCTCTTCGAGGCTTGGCAGGGCAAAAGGGACGCTTCTCGAGGTGAGGCAGGGCACCCAAGGACCCTTTCCAGTAGCCACAGGGATTTTGGGATTCCTATCAGTATTCAAGAGGAGTGAGGCATTGTCACCTTTTGAAGCAATGAACTTTGCGTGCCTCTTGAGGTGTCAACGGGATGTGAGGCATTCCGTCAAAATGAGGCAGGGACCTAGGGCTTTCTCTAAGGTCTCCACAGGGGATTCAGACATCCCTTCATGTTGTGAGATCAAAGACGAGCCTGTATTCAAGCCACTGCAAGGAAATCCGGCCTCCTTTCAAGTTAGGGCTTCTCGCTGTATATTGCCCTTGAGGCAGCGAACTCGGGGTCCCTCCCACATACCTATTGCTGAGAGAAGCCTCCTCTTGAGGTGCGTCTTGAAAGTTGGCATACGTCTTGAGCCTAAGCCAGGGAATCACCTCTCATCTCGAGACGATTTGGGGTACACGGAGCATTCCTCGAGTTGCCGTGCTGAAGTTGGTGTTCCTCTAGACTTGGGACAGTGTTCTCGGGGCATCTCTGGAGTTGCCTGAAGGAAGTCGAGCCACCGGTCGTGTTGAATGGGGAACGGGGAATGGCTCTGGAGTCAATGCAGGGGAATCGGGCCTCATCTCGAGTTGATTTAGGGCCCATGGAGCTGCTTTGCGTTGCTGGGGTGACCTCAGGGTCCGTCGAGACTGGTGACAGTGTTCTTGGGGACTGTCTCGAGATCCATTAAGCAAGTCGAAGCTCCTGACTTGTTTGAATGGGACCACGGAATAGCTCTGCATGCACTGCAGGGGAATGGGGTCTCATCTCGCCTCTAGGGGGAAGTCTCATGGTTTTTCTCGAGTTGCGGCGGGGACCTGGGGTATGTTCTCGACTTACGGCGGGGATGGCCCTTCAAAACACGAGTTTCTTCAGTGACGTCAGGACTCCTGTCTAGTAACGCGGGACACCTCAGGAATCTCTTCGAGGCTTGGCAGGGCAAAAGGGACGCTTCCCGAGGTGTGGCAGGGCACCCAAGGACCCTTTCCAGTAGCCACAGGGATTTTGGGATTCCTATCAGTATTCAAGAGGAGTGAGGCATTGTCACCTTTTGAAGCAATGAACTCCGCGTGCCTCTCGAGGTGTCAACGGGATGTGAGGCATTCCATCCAAATGAGGCAGGGACCTAGGGCTTTCTCTAAGGTCTCCACAGGGGATTCAGACATCCCTTCATGTTGTGAGAAGAAAGACGAGCCTGTATTCAAGCCACTGCAAGGAAATCCGGCCTCCTTTCAAGTTAGGGCTTCTCGCTGTATATTGCCTTTGAGGCAGCGAACTCGGGGTCCCTCCCACATAACTATTGCTGAGAGAAGCCTCCTCCTGAGGTGCGTCTTGAAAGTTGGCATACGTCTTGAGCCTAAGCCAGGGAATCACCTCTCATCTCGAGACGATTTGGGGTACACGGAGCATTCCTCGAGTTGCCGTGCTGAAGATGGTGTTCCTCTAGACTTGGGACAGTGTTCTCGGGGCATCTCTGGAGTTGCCTGAAGGAAGTCGAGCCACCGGTCGTGTTGAATGGGGAACGGGGAATGGCTCTGGAGTCAATGCAGGGGAATCGGGCCTCATCTCGGTTGATTTGGGGCACATGGAGCTGCTTTGCGTTGCTGGGGTGACCTCAGGGTCCGTCGAGACTGGTGACAGTGTTCTTGGGGACTGTCTCGAGATCCATTAAGCAAGTCGAAGCTCCTGACTTGCTTGAATGGGACCACGGAATAGCTCTGCATGCACTGCAGGGGAATGGGGTCTCATCTCGCCTCTAGGGGGAAGTCTCATGGTTTTTCTCGAGTTGCGGCGGGGACCTGGGGTATGTTCTCGACTTACGGCGGGGATGGCCCTTCAAAACACGAGTTTCTTCAGTGACGTCAGGAATCCTGTCTAGTAACGAGGGACACCTCAGGAATCTCTTCGAGGCTTGGCAGGGCAAAAGGGACGCTTCTCGAGGTGAGGCAGGGCACCCAAGGACCCTTTCCAGTAGCCACAGGGATTTTGGGATTCCTATCAGTATTCAAGAGGAGTCAGGCATCTTCACCTTTTGAAGCAATGAACTCTGCGTGCCTCTCGAGGTGTCAACGGGTTGTGAGGAATTCCGTCCAAATGAGGCAGGGACCTAGGGCTTTCTCTAAGGTCTCCACAGGGGATTCAGACATCCCTTCATGTTGTGAGATCAAAGACGAGCCTGTATTCAAGCCACTGCAAGGAAATCCGGCCTGCTTTCAAGTTAGGGCTTCTCACTTTATATTGCCCTTGAGGAAGCGAACTCGGGGTCCCTCCCACATACCTATTGCTGAGAGAAGCCTCCTCCAGAGGTGCGTCTTGAAAGTTGGCATACGTCTTGAGCCTAAGCCAGGGAATCAGCTCTCATCTCGAGACGATTTGGGGTACACGGAGCATTCCTCGAGTTGCTGTGCTGAAGTTGGTGTTCCTCTAGACTTGGGTCAGTGTTCTCGGGGTATCTCTGGAGTTGCCTGAAGGAAGTCGAGCCACCGGTCGTGTTGAATGGGGAACGGGGAATGGCTCTGGATTCAATGCAGGGGAATCGGGCCTCATCTCGAGTTGATTTGGGGCACATGGAGCTGCTTTGCGTTGCTGGGGTGACCTCAGCGTCCGTCGAGACTGGTGACAGTGTTCTTGGGGACTGACTCGAGATCCATTAAGCAAGTCGAAGCTCCTGACTTGTTTGAATGGGACCACGGAATAGCTCTACATGCACTGCAGGGGAATGGGGCCTCATCTCGCCTCTTGGGGGAAGTCTCATGGTTTTTCTCGAGTTGCGGCGGGGACCTGGGGTATGTTCTCGACTTACGGCGGGGATGGCCCTTCAAAACACGAGTTTCTTCAGTGACGTCAGGACTCCTGTCTAGTAACGAGGGACACCTCAGGAATCACATCGAGGCTTGGCAGTGCAAATGGGACGCTTCTTGAGGTGAGGCAGGGCACCCAAGGACCCTTTCCAGTAGCCACAGGGATTTTGGAATTCCTATCAGAATTCAAGAGGAGTCAGGCATCTTCACCTTTTGAAGCAATGAACTCCGCGTGCCTCTCGAGGTGTCAACGTGATGTGAGGCATTCCGTCAAAATGAGGCAGGGATCTAGGGCTTTCTCTAAGGTCTCCACAGGGGATTCAGACATCCCTTCATGTTGTGAGATCAAAGACGAGCCTGTATTCAAGCCACTGCAAGGAAATCCGGCCTCCTTTCAAGTTAGGGCTTCTCGCTATATATTGCCCTTTAGGCAGCGAACTGGGGGTCCCTTCCACATACCTATTGCTGAGAGAAGCCTCCTCCTGAGGTGCGTCTTGAAAGTTGGCATACGTCTTGAGCCTAAGCCAGGGAATCACCTCTCATCTCGAGACGATTTGGGGTACACGGAGCATTCCTCGAGTTGCCGTGCTGAAGTTGGTGTTCCTCTAGACTTGGGACAGTGTTCTCGGGGCATCTCTGGAGTTGCCTGAAGGAAGTCGAGCCACCGGTCGTGTTGAATGGGGAACGGGGAATGGCTCTGGAGTCAATGCAGGGGAATCGGGCCTCATCTCGAGTTGATTTGGGGCCCATGGAGCTGCTTTGCGTTGCTGGGGTGACCTCAGGGTCCGTCGAGACTGGTGACAGTGTTCTTGGGGACTGTCTCGAGAACCATTAAGCAAGTCGAAGCTCCTGACTTGCTTGAATTGGACCACGGAATAGCTCTGCATGCACTGCAGGGGAATGGGGCCTCATCTCGCCTCTAGGGGGAAGTCTCATGGTTTTTCTCGAGTTGCGGCGGGGACCTGGGGTATGTTCTCGACTTACGGCGGGGATGGCCCTTCAAAACACGAGTTTCTTCAGTGACGTCAGGACTCCTGTCTAGTAACGAGGGACACCTCAGGAATCTCTTCGAGGCTTGGCAGGGCAAAAGGGACGATTCTCGAGGTGAGGCAGGGCACCCAAGGACCCTTTCCAGTAGCCAAAGGGATTTTGGGATTCCTATCAGTATTCAAGAGGAGTGAGGCATTGTCACCTTTTGAAGCAATGAACTTCGCGTGCCTCTTAAGGTGTTAACGGGATGTGAGGCATTCCGTCAAAATGAGGCAGGGACCTAGGGCTTTCTCTAAGGTCTCCACAGGGGATTCAGACATCCCTTCATGTTGTGAGATGAAAGACGAGCCTGTATTCAAGCCACTGCAAGGAAATCCGGCCTCCTTTCAAGTTAGGGCTTCTCGCTGTATATTGCCCTTGAGGCAGCGAACTCGGGGTCCCTCCCACATACCTATTGCTGAGAGAAGCCTCCTCCTGAGGTGCGTCTGGAAAGTTGGCATACGTCTTGAGCCTAAGCCAGGGAATCAGCTCTCATCTCGAGACGATTTGGGGTACACGGAGCATTCCTCGCGTTGCTGTGCTGAAGTTGGTGTTCCTCTAGACTTGGGACAATGTTCTTGGGGTATCTCTGGAGTTGCCTGAAGTTAGTCGAGCCACCGGTCGTGTTGAATGAGGAACGGGGAATGGCTCTGGAGTCAATGCAGGGGAATCGGGCCTCATCTCGAGTTGATTTGGGGCACATGGAGCTGCTTTGCGTTGCTGGGGTGACCTCAGCGTCCGTCGAGACTGGTGACAGTGTTCTTGGGGACTGTCTCGAGATCCATTAAGCCATTCGAAGCTCCTGACTTGTTTGAATGGGACCACGGAATAGCTCTGCATGCACTGCAGGGGAATGGGGCCTCATCTCGCCTCTAGGGGGAAGTCTCATGGTTTTTCTCGAGTTGCGGCGGGGACCTGGGGTATATTCTCGACTTACGGCGGGGATGGCCCTTCAAAACACGAGTTTCTTCAGTGACGTCACGACTCCTGTCTAGTAACGAGGGACACCTCAGGAATCTCATCAAGGCTTGGCAGTGCAAATGGGACGCTTCTTGAGGTGAGGCAGGGCACCCAAGGACCCTTTCCAGTAGCCACAGGGATTTTGGGATTAGTATCAGAATTCAAGAGGAGTCAGGCATCGTCACCTTTTGAAGCAATGAACTCCGCGTGCCTCTCGAAGTGTCAACGGGATGTGAGGCATTCCGTCCAAATGAGGCAGGGACCTAGGGCTTTCTCTAAGGTCTCCACAGGGGATTCAGACATCCCTTCATGTTGTGAGATCAAAGACGAGCCTGTATTCAAGCCACTGCAAGGAAATCCGGCCTCCTTTCAAGTTAGGGCTTCTCGCTGTATTTTGCCCTTGAGTCAGCGAACTCCGGGTACCTCCCACATACCTATTGCTGAGAGAAGCCTCCTCCTGAGGTGCGTCTTGAAAGTTGGCATACGTCTTGAGCCTAAGCCAGGGAATCACCTCTCATCTCCAGACGATTTGGGGTACACGGAGCATTCCTCGAGTTGCCGTGCTGAAGTTGGTGTTCCTCTAGACTTGGGACAGTGTTCTCGGGGCATCTCTGGAGTTGCCTGAAGGAAGTCAAGCCACCGGTCGTGTTGAATGGGGAACCGGGAATGGCTCTGGAGTCAATGCAGGGGAATCGGGCCTCATCTCGAGTTGATTTGGGGCCCATGGAGCTGCTTTGCGTTGCTTGGGTGACCTCAGGGTCCGTCGAGACTGGTGACAGTGTTCTTGGGGACTCCCTCGAGAATCATTAAGCAAGTCGAAGCTCCTGACTTGCTTGAATGGGACCACGGAATAGCTCTGCATGCACTGCAGGGGAATGGGGCCTCATCTCGCCTCTAGGGGGAAGTCTCATGGTTTTTCTCGAGTTGCGGCGGGGACCTGGGGTATGTTCTCGACTTACGGCGGGGATGGCCCTTCAAAACACGAGTTTCTTCAGTGACGTCAGGACTCCTGTCTAGTAACGAGGGACACCTCAGGAATCTCTTCGAGGCTTGGCAGGGCAAAAGGGACGCTTCTCGAGGTGAGGCAGGGCACCCAAGGACCCTTTCCAGTAGCCACAGGGATTTTGGGATTCCTATCAGAATTCAAGAAGAGTGAGGCATTGTCACCTTTTGAAGCAATGAACTTCGCGTGCCTCTTGAGGTGTCAACGGGATGTGAGGCATTCCGTCAAAATGAGGCAGGGACCTAGGGCTTTCTCTAAGGTCTCCACAGGGGATTCAGACATCCCTTCATGTTGTGAGATGAAAGACGAGCCTGTATTCAAGCCACTGCAAGGAAATCCGGCCTCCTTTCAAGTTAGGGCTTCTCGCTGTATATTGCCCTTGAGGCAGCGAACTCGGGGTACCTCCCACATACCTATTGCTGAGAGAAGCCTCCTCCTGAGGTGCGTCTGGAAAGTTGGCATACGTCTTGAGCCTAAGCCAGGGAATCAGCTCTCATCTCGAGAAGATTTGGGGTACACGGAGCATTCCTCGAGTTGCTGTGCTGAAGTTGGTGTTCCTCTAGACTTGGGACAGTGTTCTCGGGGTATCTCTGGAGTTGCCTGAAGGAAGTCGAGCCACCGGTCGTGTTGAATGGGGAACGGGGAATGGCTCTGGAGTCAATGCAGGGGAATCGGGCCTCATCTCGAGTTGATTTGGGGCACATGGAGCTGCTTTGCGTTGCTGGGGTGACCTCAGCGTCTGTCGAGACTGGTGACAGTGTTCTTGGGGACTGTCTCGAGATCCATTAAGCAAGTCGAAGCTCCTGACTTTTTTGAATGGGACCACGGAATAGCTCTGCATGCACTGCAGGGGAATGGGGCCTCATCTCGCCTCTAGGGGGAAGTCTAATGGTTTTTCTCGAGTTGCGGCGGGGACCTGGGGTATGTTCTCGACTTACGGCGGGGATGGCCCTTCAAAACACGAGTTTCTTCAGTGACGTCAGGACTCCTGTCTAGTAACGAGGGACACCTCAGGAATCTCTTCGAGGCTTGGCAGGGCAAAAGGGACGCTTCTCGAGGTGAGGCAGGGCACCCAAGGACCCTTTCCAGTAGCCACAGGGATTTTGGGATTCCTATCAGAATTCAAGAGGAGTGAGGCATTGTCACCTTTTGAAGCAATGAACTTCGCGTGCCTCTTGAGGTGTCAACGGGATGTGAGGCATTCCGTCAAAATGAGGCAGGGACCTAGGGCTTTCTCTAAGGTCTCCACAGGGGATTCAGACATCCCTTCATGTTGTGAGATGAAAGACGAGCCTGTATTCAAGCCACTGCAAGGAAATCCGGCCTCCTTTCAAGTTAGGGCTTCTCGCTGTATATTGCCCTTGAGGCAGCGAACTCGGGGTCCCTCCCACATACCTATTGCTGAGAGAAGCCTCCTCCTGAGGTGCGTATGGAAAGTTGGCATACGTCTTGAGCCTAAGCCAGGGAATCAGCTTTCATCTCGAGACGATTTGGGGTACACGGAGCATTCCTCGAGTTGCTGTGCAGAAGTTGGTGTTCCTCTAGACTTGGGACAGTGTTCTCGGGGTATCTCTGGAGTTGCCTGAAGGAAGTCGAGCCACCGGTCGTGTTGAATGGGGAACGGGGAATGGCTCTGGAGTCAATGCAGGGGAATCGGGCCTCATCTCGAGTTGATTTGGGGCACATGGAGCTGCTTTGCGTTGCTGGGGTGACCTCAGCGTCCGTCGAGACTGGTGACAGTGTTCTTGGGGACTGTCTCGAGATCCATTAAGCAAGTCGAAGCTCCTGACTTGTTTGAATGGGACCACGGAATAGCTCTGCATGCACTGCAGGGGAATGGGGCCTCATCTCGCCTCTAGGGGGAAGTCTAATGGTTTTTCTCGAGTTGCGGCGGGGACCTGGGGTATGTTCTCGACTTACGGCGGGGATGGCCCTTCAAAACACGAGTTTCTTCAGTGACGTCAGGACTCCTCTCTAGTAACGAGGGACACCTCAGGAATCTCATCGAGGCTTGGCAGTGCAAATGGGACGCTTCTTGAGGTGAGGCAGGGCACCCAAGGACCCTTTCCAGTAGCCACAGGGATTTTGGGATTCCTATCAGAATTCAAGAGGAGTCAGGCATCGTCACCTTTTGAAGCAATGAACTCCGTGTGCCTCTCGAGGTGTCAACGGGATATGAGGCATTCCGTCAAAATGAGGCAGGGACCTAGGGCTTTCTCTAAGGTCTCCACAGGGGATTCAGACATCCCTTCATGTTGTGAGATGAAAGACGAGCCTGTATTCAAGCCACTGCAAGGAAATCCGGCCTCCTTTCAAGTTAGGGCTTCTCGCTGTATATTGCCCTTGAGGCAGCGAACTCGGGGTCCCTCCCACATACCTATTGCTGAGAGAAGCCTCCTCCTGAGGTGCGTCTTGAAAGTTGGCATACGTCTTGAGCCTAAGCCAGGTAATCACCTCTCATCTCGAGACGATTTGGGGTACACGGAGCATTCCTCGAGTTGCCGTGCTGAAGTTGGTGTTCCTCTAGACTTGGGACAGTGTTCTCGGGGCATCTCTGGAGTTGCTTGAAGGAAGTCGAGCCACCGGTCGTGTTGAATGGGGAATGGGGAATGGCTCTGGAGTCAATGCAGGGGAATCGGGCCTCATCTCGAGTTGATTTGGGGCCCATGGAGCTGCTTTGCGTTGCTGGGGTGACCTCAGGGTCCGTCGAGACTGGTGACAGTGTTCTTGGGGACTGTCTCGAGATCCATTAAGCAAGTAGAAGCTCCTGACTTGTTTGAATGGGACCACGGAATAGCTCTGCATGCACTGCAGGGGAATGGGGTCTCATCTCGCCTCTAGGGAGAAGTCTCATGGTTTTTCTCGAGTTGCGGCGGGGACCTGGGGTATGTTCTCGACTTACGGCGGGGTTGGCCCTTCAAAACACAAGTTTCTTCAGTGACGTCAGGAATCCTGTCTAGTAACGAGGGACACCTCAGGAATCTCTTCGAGGCTTGGCAGGGCAAAAGGGACGCTTCTCGAGGTGAGGCAGGGCACCCAAGGACCCTTTCCAGTAGCCACAGGGATTTTGGGATTCCTATCAGTATTCAAGAGGAGTCAGGCATCGTCACGTTTTGAAGCAATGAACTCTGCGTGCCTCTCGAGGTGTCAGCGGGATGTGAGGCATTCCGTCCAAATGAGGCAGGGACCTAGGGCTTTCTCTAAGGTCTCCACAGGGGATTCAGACATCCCTTCATGTTGTGAGATCAAAGACGAGCCTGTATTCAAGCCACTGCAAGGAAATCCGGCCTCCTTTCAAGTTAGGGCTTCTCGCTGTATATTGCCCTTGAGGCAGCGAACTCGGGGTCCCTCCCACATACCTATTGCTGAGAGAAGCCTCAACCTGAGGTGCGTCTGGAAAGTTGGCATACGTCTTGAGCCTAAGCCAGGGAATCAGCTCTCATCTCGAGACGATTTGGGGTACACGGAGCATTCCTCGAGTTGCTGTGCTGAAGTTGGTGTTCCTCTAGACTTGGGACAATGTTCTTGGGGTATCTCTGGAGTTGCCTGAAGTTAGTCGAGCCACCGGTCGTGTTGAATGGGGAACGGGGAATGGCTCTGGAGTCAATGCAGGGGAATCGGGCCTCATCTCGAGTTGATTTGGGGCACATGGAGCTGCTTTGCGTTGCTGGGGTGACCTCAGCGTCCGTCGAGACTGGTGACAGTGTTCTTGGGGACTGTCTCGAGATCCATTAAGCAAGTCGAAGCTCCTGACTTGTTTGAATGGGACCACGGAATAGCTCTGCATGCACTGCAGGGGAATGGGGCCTCATCTCGCCTCTAGGGGGAAGTCTCATGGTTTTTCTCGAGTTGCGGCGGGGACCTGGGGTATATTCTCGACTTACGGCGGGGATGGCCCTTCAAAACACGAGTTTCTTCAGTGACGTCAGGACTCCTGTCTAGTAACGAGGGACACCTCAGGAATCTCATCAAGGCTTGGCAGTGCAAATGGGCCGCTTCTTGAGGTGAGGCAGGGCACCCAAGGACCCTTTCCAGTAGCCACAGGGATTTTGGGATTAGTATCAGAATTCAAGAGGATTCAGGCATCGTCACCTTTTGAAGCAATGAACTCCGCGTGCCTCTCGAAGTGTCAACGGGATGTGAGGCATTCCGTCCAAATGAGGCAGGGACCTAGGGCTTTCTCTAAGGTCTCCACAGGGGATTCAGACATCCCTTCATGTTGTGAGATCAAAGACGAGCCTGTATTCAAGCCACTGCAAGGAAATCCGGCCTCCTTTCAAGTTAGGGCTTCTCGCTGTATATTGCCCTTGAGTCAGCGAACTCCGGGTCCCTCCCACATACCTATTGCTGAGAGAAGCCTCCTCCTGAGGTGCGTCTTGAAAGTTGGCATACGTCTTGAGCCTAAGCCAGGGAATCACCTCTCATCTCGAGACGATTTGGGGTACACGGAGCATTCCTCGAGTTGCCGTGCTGAAGTTGGTGTTCCTCTAGACTTGGGACAGTGTTCTCGGGGCATCTCTGGAGTTGCTTGAAGGAAGTCGAGCCACAGGTCGTGTTGAATGGGGAACGGGGAATGGCTCTGGAGTCAATGCAGGGGAATCGGGCCTCATCTCGAGTTGATTTGGGGCCCATGGAGCTGCTTTGTGTTGCTGGGGTGACCTCAGGGTCCGTCGAGACTGGTGACAGTGTTCTTGGGGACTGTCTCGAGACCCATTAAGCAAGTCGAAGCTCCTGACTTGCTTGAATGGGACCACGGAATAGCTCTGCATGCACTGCAGGGGAATGGGGTCTCATCTCGCCTCTAGGGGGAAGTCTCATGGTTTTCTCGAGTTGCGGCGGGGACCTGCGGTATGTTCTCGACTTACGGCGGGGATGGCCCTTCAAAACACGAGTTTCTTCAGTGATGACAGGACTCCTGTCTAGTAACGAGGGACACCTCAGGAATCTCTTCGAGGCTTGGCAGGCAAAAGGGACGCTTCTCGAGGTGAGGCAGGGCACCCAAGGACCCTTTCCAGTAGCCACAGGGATTTTGGGATTCCTATCATTATTCAAGAGGAGTGAGGCATTGTCACCTTTTGAAGCAATGAACTTCGCGTGCCTCTTGAGGTGTCAACGGGATGTGAGGCATTCCGTCAAAATGAGGCAGGGACCTAGGGCTTTCTCTAAGGTCTCCACAGGGGATTCAGACACCCCTTCATGTTGTGAGATGAAAGACGAGCCTGTATTCAAGCCACTGCAAGGAAATCCGGCCTCCTTTCAAGTTAGGGCTTCTCGCTGTATATTGCCCTTGAGGCAGCGAACACGGGGTCCCTCCCAGATACCTATTGCTGAGAGAAGCCTCCTCCTGAGGTGCGTCTTGAAAGTTGGCATACGTCTTGATCCTAAGCCAGGGAATCAGCTCTCATCTCGAGACGATTTGGGGTACACGGAGCATTCCTCGAGTTGCTGTAGTGAAGTTGGTGTTCCTCTAGACTTGGGACAGTGTTCTCGGAGTATCTCTGGATTTGCCTGAAGGAAGTCGAGCCACCGGTCGTGTTGAATGGGGAACGGGGAATGGCTCTGGAGTCAATGCAGGGGAATCGGGCCTCATCTCGAGTTGATTTGGGGCACATGGAGCTGCTTTGCGTTGCTGGGGTGATCTCAGCGTCCGTCGAGACTGGTGACAGTGTTCTTGGGGACTGTCTCGAGATCCATTAAGCAAGTCGAAGCTCCTGACTTGTTTGAATGGGACCACGGAATAGCTCTGCATGCACTGCAGGGGAATGGGGCCTCATCTCGCCTCTAGGGGGAAGTCTCATGGTTTTTCTCGAGTTGCGGCGGGGACCTGGGGTATGTTCTCGACTTACGGCGGGGATGGCCCTTCAGAAACACGAGTTTCTTCAGTGACGTCAGGACTCCTGTCTAGTAACGAGGGACACCTCAGGAATCTCATCGAGGCTTGGAAGTGCAAATGGGACGGTTCTTGAGGTGAGGCAGGGCACCCAAGGACCCTTTCCAGTAGCCACAGGGATTTTGGGATTCCTATCAGAATTCAAGAGGAGTCAGGCATCGTCACCTTTTGAAGCAATGAACTCCGCGTGCCTCTCGAGGTGTCAACGGGATGTGAGGCATTCCGTCCAAATGAGGCAGGGACCTAGGGCTTTCTCTAACGTCTCCACAGGGGATTCAGACATCCCTTCATGTTGTGAGATCAAAGACGAGCCTGTATTCAAGCCACTGCAAGGAAATCCGGCCTCCTTTCAAGTTAGGGCTTCTCGCTGTATATTGCCCTTGAGGCAGCGAACTCGGGGTCCCTCCCACATACCTATTGCTGAGAGAAGCCTCCTCCTGAGGTGCGTCTTGAAAGTTGGCATACGTCTTCAGCCTAAGCCAGGGAATCACCTCTCATCTCGAGACGATTTGGGGTACATGGAGCATTCCTCGAGTTGCCGTGCTGAAGATGGTGTTCCTCTAGAATTGGGACAGTGTTCTCGGGGCATCTCTGGAGTTTCCTGAAGGAAGTCGAGCCACCGGTCGTGTTGACTGGGGAACGGGGAATGGCTCTGGAGTCAGTGCAGGGGAATCGGGCCTCATCTCGAGTTGATATGGGGCCCATGGAGCTGCTTTGCGTTGCTGGGGTGACCTCAGGGTCCGTCGAGACTGGTGACAGTGTTCTTGGGGACTGTCTCGAGAACCATTAAGCAAGTCTAAGCTCCTGACTTGCTTGAATGGGACCACGGAATAGCTCTGCATGCACTGCAGGGGAATGGGGCCTCATCTCGCCTCTAGGGGGAAGTCTCATGGTTTTTCTCGAGTTGCGGCGGGGACCTGGGGTATGTTCTCGACTTACGGCGGGGATGGCCCTTCAAAACACGAGTTTCTTCAGTGACGTCAGGACTCCTGGCTAGTAATGAGGGACACCTCAGGAATCTCTTCGAGGCTTGGCAGGGCAAAAGGGACGCTTCTCGATGTGAGGCAGGGCACCGAAGGACCCTTTCCAGTAGCCACAGGGATTTTGGGATTCCTATCTATATTCAAGAGGACTGAGGCATTGTCACCTTTTGAAGCAATGAACTTCGCGTGCCTCTTGAGGTGTCTACGGGATGTGAGGCATTCCGTCAAAATGAGGCAGGGACCTAGGGCTTTCTCTAAGGTCTCCACAGGGGATTCAGACATCCCTTCATGTTGTGAGATGAAAGACGAGCCTGTATTCAAGCCACTGCAAGGAAATCCGGCCTCCTTTCAAGTTAGGGCTTCTCGCTGTATATTGCCCTTGAGGCAGCGAACTCGGGGTCCCTTCCACATACCTATTGCTGAGAGAAGCCTCCTCCTGAGGTGCGTCTGGAAAGTTGGCATACGTCTTGAGCCTAAGCCAGGGAATCAGCTCTCATCTCGAGACGATTTGGGGTACACGGAGCATGCCTCGAGTTGCTGTGCTGAAGTTGGTGTTCCTCTAGACTTCGGACAGTGTTCTCGGGGTATCTCTGGAGTTGCCTGAAGGAAGTCGAGCCACCGTTCGTGTTGAATGGGGAACGCGGAATGGCTCTGGAGTCAATGCAGGGCAATCGGGCCTCATCTCGAGTTGATTTGGGGCACATGGAGCTGCTTTGCGTTGCTGGGGTGACCTCAGCGTCCGTCGAGACTGGTGACAGTGTTCTTGGGGACTGTCTCGAGATCCATTAAGCAAGTTGAAGTTCCTGACTTGTATGAATGGGACCACGGAATAGCTCTGCATGCACTGCAGGGGAATGGGGCCTCATCTCGCCTCTTGGGGGAAGTCTCATGGTTTTTCTCGAGTTGCGGCGGGGACCTGGGTTATGTTCTCGACTTACGGCGGGGATGGCCCTTCAAAACACGAGTTTCTTCAGTGACGTCAGGACTCCTGTCTAGTAACGAGGGACATCTCAGTAATCTCATCGAGGCTTGGCAGTGCAAATGGAACGCTTCTTGAGGTGAGGCAGGGCACCCAAGGACCCTTTCCAGTAGCCACAGGGATTTTGGTATTCCTATCAGAATTCAAGAGGAGTCAGGCATCGTCAAGTTTTGAAGCAATGAACTCCGCGTGCCTCTCGAGGTGTCAACGGGATGTGAGGCATTCCGTCCAAATGAGGCAGGGACCTAGGGCTTTCTCTAAGGTCTCCACAGGGGATTCAGACATCCCTTCATGTCGTGAGATCAAAGACGAGCCTGTATTCAAGCCACTGCAAGGAAATCCGGCCTCCTTTCAAGTTAGGGCTTCTCGCTGTATATTGCCCTTGAGGCAGCGTACTCGGGGTCCCTCCCACATACCTATTGCTGAGAGAAGCCTCCTCCTGAGGTGCATCTGGAAAGTTGGCGGACGTCTTGAGCCTAAGCCAGGGAATCACCTCTCATCTCGAGACGATTTGGGGTACACGGAGCATTCCTCGAGGTGCCGTGCTGAAGTTGGTGTTCCTCTAGACTTGGGACAGTGTTCTCGGGGCATCTCTGGAGTTGCCTGAAGGAAGTCGAGCCACCGGTCGTGTTGAATGGGGAACGGGGAATGGCTCTGGAGTCAATGCAGGGGAATCGGGCCTCATCTCGAGTTGATTTGGGGCCCATGGAGCTGCTTTGCGTTGCTGGGGTGACCTCAGGGTCCGTCGAGACTGGTGACAGTGTTCTTGGGGACTGTCTCGAGAACCATTAAGCAAGTCGAAGCTCCTGACTTGTTTGAATGGGACCACGGGATAGCTCTGCATGCACTGCAGGGGAATGGGGCCTCATCTCGCCTCTAGGGGTAAGTCTCATGGTTTTTCTCGAGTTGCGGCGGGGACCTGGGGTATGTTCTCGACTTACGGCGGGGATGGCCCTTCAAAACACGAGTTTCTTCAGTGACGTCAGGACTCCTGTCTAGTAACGAGGGACACCTCAGGAATCTCTTCGAGGCTTGGCAGGGCAAAAGGGACGCTTCTCGAGGTGAGGCAGGGCACCCAAGGACCCTTTCCAGTAGCCACAGGGATTTTGGGATTCCTATCAGTATTCAAGAGGAGTGAGGCATTGTCACCTTTTGAAGCAATGAACTTCGTGTGCCTCTTGAGGTGTCAACGGGATGTGAGGCATTCCGTCAAAATGAGGCAGGGACCTAGGGCTTTCTCTAAGGTCTCCACAGGGGATTCAGACATCCCTTCATGTTGTGAGATGAAAGACGAGCCTGTATTCAAGCCACTGCATGGAAATCCGGCCTCCTTTCAAGTTAGGGCTTCTCGCTGTATATTGCCCTTGAGGCAGCGAACTCGGGGTCCCTCCCACATACCTATTGCTGAGAGAAGCCTCCTCCTGAGATGCGTCTTGAAAGTTGGCATACGTCTTGAGCCTAAGCCAGGGAATCACCTCACATCTCGAGACGATTTGGGGTACACGGAGCATTCCTCGAGTTGCCGTGCTGAAGTTCGTGTTCCTCTAGACTTGGGACAGTGTTTTCGGGGCATCTCTGGAGTTGCCTGAAGGAAGTCGAGCCACCGGTCGTGTTGAATGGGGAACGGGGAATGGCTCTGGAGTCAATGCAGGGGAATCGGGCCTCATCTCGAGTTGATTTGGGGCACATGGAGCGGCTTTGCGTTGCTGGGGTGACCTCAGCGTCCGTCGAGACTGGTGACAGTGTTCTTGGGGACTGTCTCGAGATCCATTAAGCAAGTCGAAGCTCCTGACTTGTTTGAATGGGACCACGGAATAGCTCTGCATGCGCTGCAGGGGAATGGGGCCTCATCTCGCCTCTAGGGGGAAGTCTCATGGTTTTTCTCGAGTTGCGGCGGGGACCTGGGGTATGTTCTCGACTTACGGCGGGGATGGCCCTTCAAAACACGAGTTTCTTCAGTGACGTCAGGACTCCTGTCTAGTAACGAGGGAAAGCTCAGGAATCTCTTCGAGGCTTGGCAGGGCAAATGGGACGCTTCTCGAGGTGAGTCAGGGCACCCAAGACCCTTTCCAGTAGCCACAGGGATTTTCGGATTCCTATCAGTATTCAAGAGAAGTCAGGCATCGTCACCTTTGAAGCAATGAACTCCGCGTGCCTCTCGAGGTGTCAACGGGATGTGAGGCATTCCGTCAAAATGAGGCAGGAATCTAGGGCTTTCTCTAAGATCTCCACAGGGCATTCAGACATCCCTTCATGTTGTGAGATCAAAGACGAGCCTGTATTCAAGCCACTGCAAGGAAATCCGGCCTCCTTTCAAGTTAGGGCTTCTCGCTGTATATTGCCCTTGAGGCAGCGAACTCGGGGTCCCTCCCAAATACGTATTGCTGAGAGAAGCCTCCTCCTGAGATGCGTCTTGAAAGTTGGCATACGTCTTGAGCCTAAGCCAGGGAATCAGCTCTCATCTCGAGACGATTTGGGGTACACGGAGCATTCCTCGAGTTGCTGTGCTGAAGTTGGTGTTCCTCTAGACTTGGGACAGTGTTCTCGGGGCATCTCTGGAGTTGCCTGAAGGAAGTCGAGCCACCGGTCGTGTTGAATGGGGAACGGGGAATGGCTCTGGAGTCAATGCAGGGGAATCGGGCCTCATCTCGAGTTGATTTGGGGCCCATGGAGCTGCTTTGCGTTGCTGGGGTGACCTCAGGGTCCGTCGAGACTGGTGACAGTGTTCTTGGGGACTGTCTCGAGAACCATTAAGCAAGTCGAAGCTCCTGACTTGCTTGAATGGGACCACGGAATAGCTCTGCATGCACTGCAGGGGAATGGGGCCTCATCTCGCCTCTAGGGGGAAGTCTCATGGTTTTTCTCGAGTTGCGGCGGGGACCTGGGGTATGTTCTCGACTTACGGCGGGGATGGCCCTTCAAAACACGAGTTTCTTCAGTGACGTCAGGACTCCTGTCTAGTAACGAGGGACACCTCAGGAATCTCTTCGAGGCTTGGCAGGGCAAAAGGGACGCTTCTCGAGGTGAGGCAGGGCACCCAAGGACCCTTTCCAGTAGCCACAGGGATTTTGGGTTTCCTATCAGTATTCAAGAGGAGTGAGGCATTGTCACCTCTTGAAGCAATGAACTTCGTGTGCCTCTTGAGGTGTCAACGGGATGTGAGGCATTCCGTCAAAATGAGGCAGGGACCTAGGGCTTTCTCTAAGGTCTCCACAGGGGATTCAGACATCCCTTCATGTTGTGAGATGAAAGACGAGCCTGTATTCAAGCCACTGCAAGGAAATCCGGCCTCCTTTCAAGTTAGGGCTTCTGGCTGTATATTGCCCTTGAGGCAGCGAACTCGGGGTCCCTCCCACATACCTATTGCTGAGAGAAGCCTCCTCCTGAGGTGCTTCTGGAAAGTTGGCATACGTCTTGAGCCTAAGCCAGGGAATCAGCTCTCATCTCGAGACGATTTGGGGTACATGGAGCATTCCTCGAGTTGCTGTGCTGAAGTTGGTGTTCCTCTAGACTTGGGACAGTGTTCTCGGGGCATCTCTGGAGTTGCCTGAAGGAAGTCGAGCCACAGGTCGTGTTGAATGGGGAACCGGTAATGGCTCTGGAGTCAATGCAGGGGAATCGGGCCTCATCTCGTGTTGATTTGGGGCCCATGGAGCTGCTTTGCGTTGCTGGGGTGACCTCAGGGTCCGTCGAGACTGGTGACAGTGTTCTTGGGGACTGTCTCGAGAACCATTAAGCAAGTCGAAGCTCCTGACTTGCTTGAATGGGACCACGGAATAGCTCTGTATGCAGTGCAGGGGAATGGGGCCTCATCTCGCCTCTAGGGGGAAGTCTCATGGTTTCTCTCGAGTTGAGGCGGGAACCTGGGGTATGTTCTCGACTTACGGCGGGGATGGCTCTTCAAAACACGAGTTGCTTCAGTGACGTCAGGACTCCTGTCTAGTAACGAGGGACACCTCAGGAATCTCTTCGAGGCTTGGCAGGGCAAAAGGGACGCTTCTCGAGGTGAGGCAGGGCACCCAAGGACCCTTTCCAGTAGCCACAGGGATTTTGGGATTCCTATAAGTATTCAAGAGGAGTTAGGCATTGTCACCTTTTGAAGCAATGAACTTCGCGTGCCTCTTGAGGTGTCAACGGGATGTGAGGCATTCCGTCAAAATGAGGCAGGGACCTAGGGCTTTCTCTAAGGTCTCCACAGGGGATTCAGACATCCCTTCATGTTGTGAGATGAAAGACGAGCCTGTATTCAAGCCACTGCAAGGAAATCCGGCCTCCTTTCAAGTTAGGGCTTCTCGCTGTATATTGCCCTTGAGGCAGGAAACTCAGTGTACCTCCCACATACCTATTGCTAAGAGAAGCCTCCTCCTGAGGTGCGTCTGGAAAGTTGGCATACGTCTTGAGCCTAAGCCAGGGAATCAGCTCTCATCTCGAGACGATTTGGGGTACACGGAGCATTCCTCGAGTTGCTGTGCTGAAGTTGGTGTTCCTCTAGACTTGGGACAGTGTTCTCGGGGCATCTGTGGAGTTGCCTGAAGGAAGTCGAGCCACCGGTCGTGTTGAATGGGGAACGGGGAATGGCTCTGGAGTCAATGCAGGGGAATCGGGCCTCATCTCGAGTTGATTTGGGGCACATGGAGCTGCTTTGCGTTGCTGGGGTAACCTCAGGGTCCATCGAGACTGGTGACAATGTTCTTGAGGACTGTCTCGAGATCCATTAAGCAAGTCGAAGCTCCTGACTTGTTTGAATGGGACCACGGAATAGCTCTGCATGCACTGCAGGGGAATGGGGCCTCATCTCGCCTCTTGGGGGAAGTCTCATGGTTTTTCTCGAGTTGCGGCGGGGACCTGGGGTATGTTCTCGACTTACGGCGAGGATGGCCCTTCAAAACACGAGTTTCTTCAGTGACGTCAGGACTCCTGTCTAGTAACGAGGGACATCTCAGGAATCTCATCGAGGCTTGGCAGTGCAAATGGGACACTTCTTGAGGTGAGGCAGGGCACCCAAGGACCCTTTCCAGTAGCCACAGGGATTTTGGGATTCCTATCAGAATTCAAGAGGAGTCAGGCATCGTCACCTTTTGAAGCAATGAACTCCGCGTGCCTCTCGAGGTGTCAACGGGATGTGAGGCATTCCGTCCAAATGAGGCAGGGACCTAGGGCTTTCTCTAAGGTCTCCACAGGGGATTCAGACATCCCTTCGTGTTGTGAGATCAAAGACGAGCCTGTATTCAAGCCACTGCAAGGAAATCCGGCCTCCTTTCAAGTTAGGGCTTCTCGCTGTATATTGCCCTTGAGGCAGCGTACTCGGGGTCCCTCCCACATACCTATTGCTGAGAGAAGCCTCCTCCTGAGGTGCGTCTGGAAAGTTGGCAGACGTCTTGAGCCTAAGCCAGGGAATCACCTCTCATCTCGAGATGATTTGGGGTACACGGAGCTTTCCTCGAGTTGCCGTGCTGAAGTTCGTGTTCCTCTAGACTTGGGACAGTGTTTTCGGGGCATCTCTGGAGTTGCCTGAAGGAAGTCGAGCCACCGGTCGTGTTGAATGGGGAACGGGGAATGGCTCTGGAGTCAATGCAGGGGAATCGGGCCTCATCTCGAGTTGATTTGGGGCACATGGAGCGGCTTTGCGTTGCTGGGGTGGCCTCAGCGTCCGTCGAGACTGGTGACAGTGTTCTTGGGGACTGTCTCGAGATCCATTAAGCAAGTCGAAACTCCTGACTTGTTTGAATGGGACCACGGAATAGCTCTGCATGCACTGCAGGGGAATGGGGCCTCATCTCGCCTCTAGGGGGAAGTCTCATGGTTTTTCTCGAGTTGCGGCGGGGACCTGGGATATGTTCTCGACTTACGGCGGGGATGGCCCTTCAAAACACGAATTTCTTCAGTGACGTCAGGACTCCTGTCTAGTAACAAGGGAAAGCTCAGGAATCTCTTCGAGGCTTGGCAGGGCAAAAGGGACGCTTCTCGAGGTGAGTCAGGGCACCCAAGACCCTTTCCAGTAGCCACAGGGATTTTGGGATTCCTATCAGTATTCAAGAGAAGTCAGGCATCGTCACCTTTTGAAGCAATGAACTCCGCGTGCCTCTCGAGGTGTCAACGGGATGTGAGGCATTACGTCCAAATGAGGCAGGAATCTAGGGCTTTCTCTAAGATCTCCACAGGGCATTCAGACATCCCTTCATGTTGTGAGATGAAAGACGAGCCTGTATTCAAGCCACTGCAAGGAAATCCGGCCTCCTTTCAAGTTAGGGCTTCTCGCTGTATATTGCCCTTGAGGCAGCGAACTCGGGGTCCCTCCCAAATACGTATTGCTGAGAGAAGCCTCCTCCTGAAATGCGTCTTGAAAGTTGGCATACGTCTTGAGCCTAAGCCAGGGAATCAGCTCTCATCTCGAGACGATTTGGGGTACACGGAGCATTCCTCGAGTTGCCGTGCTGAAGTTGGTGTTCCTCTAGACTTGGGACAGTGTTCTCGGGGCATCTCTGGAGTTGCCTGAAGGAAGTCGAGCCACCGGTCGTGTTGAATGGGGAACGGGGAATGGCTCTGGAGGCAATGCAGGGGAATCGGGCCTCATCTCAAGTTGATTTGTGGTCCATGGAGCTGCTTTGCGTTGCTGGGGTGACCTCAGGGTCCGTCGAGACTGGTGACAGTGTTCTTGGGGACTGTCTCGAGAACCATTAAGCATGTCGAAGCTCCTGACTTGCTTGAATGGGACCACGGAATAGCTCTGCATGCACTGCAGGGGAATGGGGCCTCATCTCGCCTCTAGGGGGAAGTCTCATGGTTTTTCTCGAGTTGCGGCGGGGACCTGGGGTATGTTCTCGACTTACGGTGGGGATGGCCCTTCAAAACACGAGTTTCTTCAGTGACGTCAGGACTCCTGTCTAGTAACGAGGGACACCTCAGGAATCTCTTCGAGGCTTGGCAGGGCAAAAGGGACGCTTCTCGAGGTGAGGCAGGGCACCCAAGGACCCTTTCCAGTAGCCACAGGGATTTTGGGATTCCTATCAGTATTCAAGAGGAGTGAGGCATTGGCACCTTTTGAAGCAATGAACTTCGCGTGCCTCTTGAGGTGTCAACGGGATGTGAGGCATTCCGTCAAAATGAGGCAGGGACCTAGGGCTTTCTCTAAGGTCTCCAGAGGGAATTCAGACATCCCTTCATGTTGTGAGATCAAAGACGAGCCTGTATTCAAGCCACTGCAAGGAAATCCGGCCTCCATTCAAGTTAGGGCTTCTCGCTGTATATTGCCCTTGAGGCAGCGAACTCGGGGTCCGTCCCACATACCTATTGCTGAGAGAGGCCTCCTCCTGAGGTGCGTCTTGAAAGTTGGCATACGTCTTGAGCCTAAGCCAGGGAATCAGCTCTCATCTCGAGACGATTTGGGGTACACGGAGCATTCCTCGAGTTGCTGTGCTGAAGTTGGTGTTCCTCTAGACTTGGGACAGTGTTCTCGGGGCATCTCTGGAGTTGCCTGAAGGAAGTCGAGCCACAGGTCGTGTTGAATGGGGAACCGGTAATGGCTCTGGAGTCAATGCAGGGGAATCGGGCCTCATCTCGAGTTGATTTGGGGCCCATGGAGCTGCTTTGCGTTGCTGGGGTGACCTCAGGGTCCGTCGAGACTGGTGACAGTGTTCTTGGGGACTGTCTCGAGAACCATTAAGCAAGTCGAAGCTCCTGACTTGCTTGAATGGGACCACGGAATAGCTCTGCATGCACTGCAGGGGAATGGGGCCTCATCTTGCCTCTAGTTGGAAGTCTCATGTTTTTTCTCGAGTTGCGGCGGGGACCTGGGGTATGTTCTCGACTTACGGCGGGGATGGCCCTTCAAAACACGAGTTTCTTCAGTGACGTCAGGACTCCTGTCTAGTAACGAGGGACACCTCAGGAATCTCTTCGAGGCTTGGCAGGGCAAAAGGGACGCTTCTCGAGGTGAGGCCGGGCACCCAAGGACCCTTTCCAGTAGCCACAGGGATTTTGGGATTCCTATCAGTATTCAAGAGGAGTCAGGCATCGTCACCTTTGAAGCAATGAACTCCGCGTGCCTCTCGAGGTGTCAACGGGATGTGAGGCATTACGTCCAAATGAGGCAGGGACCTACGGCTTTCTCTAAGATCTCCACAGGGCATTCAGACATCCCTTCATGTTGTGAGAAGAAAGACGAGCCTGTATTCAAGCCACTGCAAGGAAATCTGGCCTCCTTTCAAGTTAGGGCTTCTCGCGGTATATTGCCCTTGAGGCAGCGAACTCGGGGTCCCTCCCACATACCTATTGCTGAGAGAAGCCTCCTCCTGAGGTGCGTCTTGAAAGTTGGCATACGTCTTGAGCCTAAGCCAGGGAATCAGCTCTCATCTCGAGACGATTTGGGGTACACGGAGCATTCCTCGAGTTGCCGTGCTGAAGTTGGTGTTCCTCTAGACTTGGGACAGTGTTCTCGGGGCATCTCTGGAGTTGCCTGAAGGAAGTCGAGCCACCGGTCGTGTTGAATGGGGAAGGGGGAATGGCTCTGGAGTCAATGCCGGGGAATCGGGCCTCATCTCGAGTTGATTTGGGGTCCATGGAGCCGCTTTGCGTTGCTGGGGTGACCTCAGGGTCCGTCGAGACTGGTGACAGTGTTCTTGGGGACTGTCTCGAGAACCATTAAGCAAGTCGAAGCTCCTGACTTGCTTGAATGGGACCACGGAAGCTCTGCATGCACTGCAGGGGAATGGGGCCTCATCTCGCCTCTAGGGGGAAGTCTCATGGTTTTTCTCGAGTTGCGGCGGGGACCTGGGGTATGTTCTCGACTTATGGCGGGGATGGCCCTTCAAAACACGAGTTTCTTCAGTGACGTCAGGACTCCTGTCTAGTAACGAGGGACACCTCAGGAATCTCTTCGAGGCTTGGCAGGGCAAAAGGGACGCTTCTCGAGATGAGGCCGGGCACCCAAGGACCCTTTCCAGTAGCCACAGGGATTTTGTGTTTCCTATCAGTATTCAAGAGGAGTGAGGCATCGTCACCTTTTGAAGCAATGAACTCCGCGTGCCTCTTGAGGTGTCAACGGGATGTGAGGCATTCCGTCCAAATGAGGCAGGGACCTAGGGCTTTCTCTAAGGTCTCCACAGGGGATTCAGACATCCCTTCATGTTGTGAGATGAAAGACGAGCCTGTATTCAAGCCACTGCAAGGAAATCCGGCCTCCTTTCAAGTTAGGGCTTCTCGCTGTATATTGCCCTTGAGGCAGCGAACTCGGGGTCCCTCCCACATACCTATTGCTGAGAGAAGCCTCCTACTGAGGTGCTTCTGGAAAGTTGGCATACGTCTTGAGCCTAAGCCAGGGAATCAGCTCTCATCTCGAGATGATTTGGGGTACACGGACCATTCCTCGAGTTGCTGTGCTGAAGTTGGTGTTCCTCTAGACTTGGGACAGTGTTCTCGGGGTACCTCTGGAGTTGCCTGAAGGAAGTCGAGCCACCGGTCGTGTTGAATGGGGAACGGGGAATGGCTCTCGAGTCAATGCAGGGGAATCGGGCCTCATCTCGAGTTGATTTGGGGCACATGGAGCTGCTTTGCGTTGCTGGGGTGACCTCAGGGTCCGTCGAGACTGGTGACAGTGTTCTTGGGGACTGTCTCGAGAACCATTAAGCAAGTCGAAGCTCCTGACTTGCTTGAATGGGACCACGGAATAGCTCTGCATGCACTGCAGGGGAATGGGGCCTCATCTCGCCTCTTGGGGGAAGTCTCATGGTTTTTCTCGAGTTGCGGCGGGGACCTGGGGTATGTTCTCGACTTACGGCGGGGATGGCCCTTCAAAACACGAGTTTCTTCAGTGACGTCAGGACTCCTGTCTAGTAACGAGGGACACCTCAGGAATCTCATCGAGGCTTGGCAGGGCAAATGGGACGCTTCTTGAGGTGAGGCAGGGCACCCAAGGACCCTTTCCAGTAGCCACAGGGATTTTGGGATTCCTATCAGAATTCAAGAGGAGTCAGGCATCGTCACCTTTTGAAGCAATGAACTCCGCGTGCCTCTCGAGGTGTCAACGTGATGTGAGGCATTCCGTCAAAATGAGGCAGGGACCTAGGGCTTTCTCTAAGGTCTCCACAGGGGATTCAGACATCCCTTCATGTTGTGAGATCAAAGACGAGCCTGTATTCAAGCCACTGCAAGGAAATCCGGCCTCCTTTCAAGTTAGGGCTTCTCGCTGTATATTGCCCTTGAGGCAGCGAACTGGGGGTCCCTTCCACATACCTATTGCTGAGAGAAGCCTCCTCCTGAGGTGCGTCTTGAAAGTTGGCATACGTCTTGAGCCTAAGCCAGGGAATCACCTCTCATCTCGAGACGATTTGGGGTACACGGAGCATTCCTCGAGTTGCCGTGCTGAAGTTGGTGTTCCTCTAGACTTGGGACAGTGTTCTCGGGGCATCTCTGGAGTTGCCTGAAGGAAGTCGAGCCACCGGTCGTGTTGAATGGGGAACGGGGAATGGCTCTGGAGTCAATGCAGGGGAATCGGGCCTCATCTCGAGTTGATTTGGGGCCTATGGAGCTGCTTTGCGTTGCTGGGGTGACCTCAGGGTCCGTCGAGACTGGTGACAGTGTTCTTGGGGACTGTCTCGAGAACCATTAAGCAAGTCGAAGCTCCTGACTTGCTTGAATTGGACCACGGAATAGCTCTGCATGCACTGCATGGGAATGGGCCTCATCCCGCCTCTAGGGGGAAGTCTCATGGTTTTTCTCGAGTTGCGGCGGGGACCTGGGGTATGTTCTCGACTTAAGGCGGGGATGGCCCTTCAAAACACGAGTTTCTTCAGTGACGTCAGGACTCCTGTCTAGTAACGAGGGACACCTCAGGAATCTCTTCGAGGCTTGGCAGGGCAAAAGGGACGATTCTCGAGGTGAGGCAGGGCACCCAAGGACCCTTTCCAGTAGCCAAAGGGATTTTGGGATTCCTATCAGTATTCAAGAGGAGTGAGGCATTGTCACCTTTTGAAGCAATGAACTTCGCGTGCCTCTTAAGGTGTCAACGGGATGTGAGGCATTCCGTCAAAATGAGGCAGGGACCTAGGGCTTTCTCTAAGGTCTCCACAGGGGATTCAGACATCCCTTCATGTTGTGAGATGAAAGACGAGCCTGTATTCAAGCCACTGCAAGGAAATCCGGCCTCCTTTCAAGTTAGGGCTTCTCGCTGTATATTGCCCTTGAGGCAGCGAACTCGGGGTCCCTCCCACATACCTATTGCTGAGAGAAGCCTCCTCCTGAGGTGCGTCTGGAAAGTTGGCATACGTCTTGAGCCTAAGCCAGGGAATCAGCTCTCATCTCGAGACGATTTGGGGTACACGGAGCATTCCTCGAGTTGCTGTGCTGAAGTTGGTGTTCCTCTAGACTTGGGACAGTGTTCTCGGGGTATCTCTGGAGTTGCCTGAAGGAAGTCGAGCCACCGGTCGTGTTGAATGGGGAACGGGGAATGGCTCTGGAGTCAATGCAGGGGAATCGGGCCTCATCTCGAGTTGATTTGGGGCACATGGAGCTGCTTTGCGTTGCTGGGGTGACCTCAGCGTCCGTCGAGACTGGTGACAGTGTTCTTGGGGACTGTCTCGAGATCCATTAAGCAAGTCGAAGCTCCTGACTTGTTTGAATGGGACCACGGAATAGCTCTGCATGCACTGCAGGGGAATGGGGCCTCATCTCGCCTCTAGGGGGAAGTCTAATGGTTTTTCTCGAGTTGCGGCGGGGACCTGGGGTATGTTCTCGACTTACGGCGGGGATGGCCCTTCAAAACACGAGTTTCTTCAGTGACGTCAGGACTCCTGTTTAGTAACGAGGGACACCTCAGGAATCTCATCGAGGCTTGGCAGTGCAAATGGGACGCTTCTTGAGGTGAGGCAGGGCACCCAAGGACCCTTTCCAGTAGCCACAGGGATTTTGGGATTCCTATCAGAATTCAAGAGGAGTCAGGCATCGTCACCTTTTGAAGCAATGAACTCCGTGTGCCTCTCGAGGTGTCAACGGGATGTGAGGCATTCCGTCAAAATGAGGCAGGGACCTAGGGCTTTCTCTAAGGTCTCCACAGGGGATTCAGACACCCCTTCATGTTGTGAGATGAAAGACGAGCCTGTATTCAGGCCACTGCAAGGAAATCCGGCCTCCTTTCAAGTTAGGGCTTCTCGCTGTATATTGCCCTTGAGGCAGCGAACTCGGGGTCCCTCCCACATACCTATTGCTGAGAGAAGCCTCCTCCTGAGGTGTGTCTTGAAAGTTGGCATACGTCTTGAGCCTAAGCCAGGGAATCACCTCTCATCTCGAGACGATTTGGGGTACACGGAGCATTCCTCGAGTTGCCGTGCTGAAGTTGGTGTTCCTCTAGACTTGGGACAGTGTTCTCGGGGCATCTCTGGAGTTGCGTGAAGGAAGTCGAGCCACCGGTCGTGATGAATGGGTAACGGGGAATGGCTCTGGAGTCAAAGCAGGGGAATCGGGCCTCATCTCGAGTTGATTGGGGCCCACGGAGCTGCTTTGCGTTGCTGGGTTGACCTTAGGGTCCGTCGAGACTGGTGACAGTGTTCTTGGGGACTGTCTCGAGAACCATTAATCAAGTCGAAGCTCCTGACTTGCTTGAATGGGACCACGGAATAGCTCTGCATGCACTGCAGGGGAATGGGGCCTCATCTCGCCTCTAGGGGGAAGTCTCATGGTTTTTCTCGAGTTGCGGCGGGGACCTAGGTTATGTTCTTGACTTACGACGGGGATGGCCCTTCAAAACACGAGTTTCTTCAGTGACGTCAGGACTCCTGTCTAGTAACGAGGGACACCTCAGGAATCTCTTCGAGGCTTGGCAGGGCAAAAGGGACGCTTCTCGAGGTGAGGCAGGGCACCCAAGGACCATTTCCAGTAGCCACAGGGATTTTGGGATTCCTATCAGTATTCAAGAGGAGTCAGGCATCTTCACCTTTTGAAACAATGAACTCCGCGTGCCTCTCGAGGTGTCAACGGGATGTGAGGCATTCCGTCCAAATGAGGCAGGGACCTAGGGCTTTCTCTAAGGTCTCCACAGGGGATTCAGACATCCCTTCATGTTGTGAGATCAAAGACGAGCCTGTATTCAAGCCACTGCAAGGAAATCCGGCCTCCTTTCAAGTTAGGGCTTCTCGCTGTATATTGCCCTTGAGGCAGCGAACTCGGGGTCCCTCCCACATACCTATTGCTGAGAGAAGCCTCCTCCTGAGGTGCGTCTTGAAAGTTGGCATACGTCTTGAGCCTAAGCCAGGGAATCAGCTCTCATCTCGAGACGATTTGGGGTACACGGAGCATTCCTCGAGTTGCCGTGCTGAAGTTGGTGTTCCTCTAGACTTGGGACAGTGTTCTCGGGGCATCTCTGGAGTTGCTTGAAGGAAGTCGAGCCACCGGTCGTGTTGAATGGGGAACGGGGAATGGCTCTGGAGTCAATGCAGGGGAATCGGGCCTCATCTCGAGTTGATTTGGGGCCCATGGAGCTGCTTTGTGTTGCTGGGGTGACCTCAGGGTCCGTCGAGACTGGTGACAGTGTTCTTGGGGACTGTCTCGAGATCCATTAAGCAAGTCGAAGCTCCTGACTTGCTTGAATGGGACCACGGAATAGCTCTGCATGCACTGCAGGGGAATGGGTTCTCATCTCGCCTCTAGGGGGAAGTCTCATGGTTTTATCGAGTTGCGGCGGGGACCTGGGGTATGTTCTCGACTTACGGCTTGCATGGCCCTTCAAAACACGAGTTTCTTCAGTGACGTCAGGACTCCTGTCTAGTAACGAGGGACACCTCAGGAATCTCTTCGAGGCTTGGCAGGGCAAAAGGGACGCTTCTCGAGGTGAGGCAGGGCACCCAAGGACCATTTCCAGTAGCCACAGGGATTTTGGGATTCCTATCAGTATTCAAGAGGAGTCAGGCATCTTCACCTTTTGAAACAATGAACTCCGCGTGCCTCTCGAGGTGTCAACGGGATGTGAGGCATTCCGTCCAAATGAGGCAGGGACCTAGGGCTTTCTCTAAGGTCTCCACAGGGGATTCAGACATCCCTTCATGTTGTGAGATGAAAGACGAGCCTGTATTCAAGCCACTGCAAGGAAATCCGGCCTCCTTTCAAGTTAGGGCTTCTCGCTGTATATTGCCCTTGAGGCAGCGAACTCGGGGTCCCTCCCACATACCTATTGCTGAGAGAAGCCTCCTCCTGAGGTGCGTCTTGAAAGTTGGCATACGTCTTGAGCCTAAGCCAGGGAATCACCTCTCATCTCGAGACGATTTGGGGTACACGGAGCATTCCTCGAGTTGCCGTGCTGAAGTTGGTGTTCCTCTAGACTTGGGACAGTGTTCTCGGGGCATCTCTGGAGTTGCTTGAAGGAAGTCGAGCCACCGGTCGTGTTGAATGGGGAACGGGGAATGGCTCTGGAGTCAATGCAGGGGAATCGGGCCTCATCTCGAGTTGATTTGGGGCCCATGGAGCTGCTTTGTGTTGCTGGGGTGACCTCAGGGTCCGTCGAGACTGGTGACAGTGTTCTTGGGGACTGTCTCGAGATCCATTAAGCAAGTCGAAGCTCCTGACTTGCTTGAATGGGACCACGGAATAGCTCTGCATGCACTGCAGGGGAATGGGTTCTCATCTCGCCTCTAGGGGGAAGTCTCATGGTTTTATCGAGTTGCGGCGGGGACCTGGGGTATGTTCTCGACTTACGGCTTGCATGGCCCTTCAAAACACGAGTTTCTTCAGTGATGTCAGGACTCCTGTCTAGTAACGAGGGACACCTCAGGAATCTCTTCGAGGCTTGGCAGGGCAAAAGGGACGCTTCTCGAGGTGAGGCAGGGCACCCAAGGACCCTTTCCAGTAGCCACAGGGATTTTGGGATTCCTATCAGTATTCAAGAGGAGTGAGGCATTGTCACCTTTTGAAGCAATGAACTTCGCGTGCCTCTTGAGGTGTCAACGGGATGTGAGGCATTCCGTCCAAATGAGGCAGGGACCTAGGGCTTTCTCTAAGGTCTCCACAGGGGATTCAGACACCCCTTCATGTTGTGAGATGAAAGACGAGCCTGTATTCAAGCCACTGCAAGGAAATCCGGCCTCCTTTCAAGTTAGGGCTTCTCCCTGTATATTGCCCTTGAGGCAGCGAACTCGGGGTCCCTCCCACATACCTATTGCTGAGAGAAGCCTCCTCCTGAGGTGCGTCTGGAAAGTTGGCATACGTCTTGTGCCTAAGCCAGGGAATCAGCTCTCATCTCGAGACGATTTGGGGTACACGGAGCATTCCTCGAATTGCTGTGCTGAAGTTGGTGTTCCTCTAGACTTGGGACAGTGTTCTCGGAGTATCTCTGGAGTTGCCTGAAGGAAGTCGAGCCACCGGTCGTGTTGAATGGGGAACGGGGAATGGCTCTGGAGTCAATGCAGGGGAATCGGGCCTCATCTTGAGTTGATTTGGGGTCCATGGAGCTGCTTTGCGTTGCTGGGGTGACCTCAGGGTCCGTCGAGACTGGTGACAGTGTTCTTGGGGACTGTCTCGAGAACCATTAAGCAAGTCGAAGCTCCTGACTTGCTTGAATGGGACCACGGAATAGCTCTGCATGCACTGCAGGGGAATGGGGCCTCATCTCGCCTCTAGGGGGAAGTCTCATGGTTTTTCTCGAGTTGCGGCGGGGACCTGGAGTATGTTCTCCACTTACGGCGGGGATGGCCATTCAAAACACGAGTTTCTTCAGTGACGTCAGGTCTCCTGTCTAGTAACGAGGGACACCTCAGGAATCTCTTCGAGGCTTGGCAGGGCAAAAGGGACGCTTCTCGAGGTGAGGCAGGGCACCCAAGGACCCTTTCCAGTAGCCACAGGGTTTTTGGGTTTCCTATCAGTATTCAAGAGGAGTGAGGCATTGTCACCTTTTGAAGCAATGAACTTCGCGTGCCTCTTGAGGTGTCAACGGGATGTGAGGCATTCCGTCAAAATGAGGCAGGGACCTAGGGCTTTCTCTAAGGTCTCCACAGGGGATTCAGACAACCCTTCATGTTGTGAGATGAAAGACGATCCTGTATTCAAGCCACTGCAAGTAAATCCGGCCTCCTTTCAAGTTAGGGCTTCTCGCTGTATATTCCCCTTGAGGCAGCGAACTCGGCGTCCCTCCCACACACCTATTGCTGAGAGAAGCCTCCTCCTGAGGTGCTTCTGGAAAGTTGGCATACGTCTTGAGCCTAAGCCAGGGAATCAGCTCTCATCTCGAGACGATTTGGGGTACACGGAGCATTCCTCGAGTTGCTGTGCTGAAGTTGGTGTTCCTCTAGACTTGGGACAGTGTTCTCGGGGCATCTCTGGAGTTGCCTGAAGGAAGTCGAGCCACAGGTCGTGTTGAATGGGGAACGGGGAATGGCTCTGGAGTCAATGCAGGGGAATCGGGCCTCATCTCGAGTTGATTTAGGGCCCATGGAGCTGCTTTGCGTTGCTGGGGTGACCTCAGGGTCCGTCGAGACTGGTGACAGTGTTCTTGGGGACTGTCTCGAGAACCATTAAGCAAGTCGAAGCTCCTGACTTGCTTGAATGGGACCACGGAATAGCTCTGTATGCAGTGCAGGGGAATGGGGCATCATCTCGCCTCTAGGGGGAAGTCTCATGGTTTTTCTCGAGTTGAGGCGGGAACCTGGGGTATGTTCTCGACTTACGGCGGGGATGGCCCTTCAAAACACGAGTTTCTTCAGTGACGTTAGGACTCCTGTCTAGTAACGAGGGACACCTCTGGAATCTCTTCGAGGCTTGGCAGGGCAAAAGGGACGCTTCTCGAGGTGAGGCAGGGCACCCAAGGACCCTTTCCAGTAGCCACAGGGATTTTGGGATTCCTATCAGTATTCAAGAGGAGTGAGGCATTGTCACCTTTTGAAGCAATGAACTTCGCGTGCCTCTTGAGGTGTCAACGGGATGTGAGGCATTCCGTCAAAATGAGGCAGGGACCTAGGGCTTTCTCTAAGGTCTCCACAGGGGATTCAGACATCCCTTCATGTTGTTAGATGAAAGACGACCCTGTATTCAAGCCACTGCAAGGAAATCCGGCCTCCTTTCAAGTTAGGGCTTCTCGCTGTATATTGCCCTGGAGGCAGCGAACTCGGTGTAACTCCCACATACCTATTGCTGAGAGAAGCCTCCTCCTGAGGTGCGTCTGGAAAGTTGGCATACGTCTTGAGCCTAAGCCAGGGAATCAGCTCTCATCTCGAGACGATTTGGGGTACACGGAGCATTCCTCGAGTTGCCGTGCTGAAGTTGGTGTTCCTCTAGACTTGGGACAGTGTCCTCGGGGCATCTCTGGAGTTGCTTGACGGAAGTCGAGCCACCGGTCGTGTTGAATGGGGAACGGGGAATGGCTCTGGAGTCAATGCAGGGGAATCGGGCCTCATCTCGAGTTGATTTGGAGCCCATGGAGCTGCTTTGCGTTGCTGGGGTGACCTCAGGGTCCGTCGAGACTGGTGACAGTGTTCTTGGGGACTGTCTCGAGATCCATTAAGCAAGTCGAAGCTCCTGACTTGCTTGAATGGGACAACGGAATAGCTCTGCATGCACTGCAGGGGAATGGGGCCTCATCTCGACTCTAAGGGGAAGTCTCATGTTTTTTCTCGAGCTGCGGCGGGGTCCTGGGGTATGTTCTCGACTTACGGCGGGGATGGCCCTTCAAAACACGAGTTTCTTCAGTGACGTCAGGACCCCTGTCTAGTAACGAGGGACACCTCAGGAATCTCTTCGAGGCTTCTCAGGGCAAAAGGGACGCTTCTAGAGGTGAGGCCGGGCACCCAAGGACCCTTTCCAGTAGCCACAGGGATTTTGGGATTCCTATCAGTATTCAAGAGGAGTGAGGCATTGTCACCTTTTGAAGCAATGAACTTCGCGTGCCTCTTGAGGTGTCAACGGGATGTGAGGCATTCCGTCAAAATGAGGCAGGGACCTAGGGCTTTCTCTAAGGTCTCCACAGGGGATTCAGACATCCCTTCATGTTGTGAGATGAAAGACGAGCCTGTATTCAAGCCACTGCAAGGAAATCCGGCCTCCTTTCAAGTTAGGGCTTCCGCTGTATATTGCCCTTGAGGCAGCGAACTCGGGGTCCCTCCCACATACCTATTGCTGAGAGAAGCCTCCTCCTGAGGTGCTTCTCGAAAGTTGGCATACGTCTTGAGCCTAAGCCAGGGAATCCGCTCTCATCTCGAGACGATTTGGGGTACACGGAGCATTCCTCGAGTTGCTGTGCTGAAGTTGGTGTTCCTCTAGACTTGGGACAGTGTTCTCGGGGTACCTCTGGAGTTGCCTGAAGGAAGTCGAGCCACCGGTCGTGTTGAATGGGGAACGGGGAATGGCTCTCGAGTCAATGCAGGGGAATCGGGCCTCATCTCGAGTTGATTTGGGGCACATGGAGCTGCTTTGCGTTGCTGGGGTGACCTCAGGGTCCGTCGAGACTGGTGAGAGTGTTCTTGGGGACTGTCTCGAGAACCATTAAGCAAGTCGAAGCTCCTGACTTGCTTGAATGGGACCACGGAATAGCTCTGCATGCACTGCAGATGAATGGGGCCTCATCTCGCCTCTAGGGGTAAGTCTCATGGTTTTTCTCGAGTTGCGGCGGGGACCTGGGGTATGTTCTCGACTTACGGCGGGGATGGCCCTTCAAAACACGAGTTTCTTCAGTGACGTCAGGACTCCTGTCTAGTAACGAGGGACACCTCAGGAATCTCTTCGAGGCTTGCCAGGGCAAAAGGGACGCTTCTCGAGGTGAGGCAGGGCACCCAAGGACCCTTTCCAGTAGCCACAGGGATTTTTGGTTTCCTATCAGTATTCAAGTGGAGTGAGGCATTGTCACCTTTTGAAGCAATGAACTTCGCGTGCCTCTTGAAGTGTCAAAGGGATGTGAGGCATTCCGTCAAAATGAGGCAGGGACCTAGGGCTTTCTCTAAGGTCTACACAGGGGATTCAGACATCCCTTCATGTTGTGAGATGAAAGACGAGCCTGTATTCATGCCACTGCAAGGAAATCCGGCCTCCTTTCAAGTTAGGGCTTCTCGCTGTATATTGCCCTTGAGGCAGCGAACTCGGGGTCCCTCCCACATACCTATTGCTGAGAGAAGCCTCCTCCTGAGGTGCGTCTGGAAAGTTGGCATACGTCTTGAACCTAAGCCAGGGAATCAGCTCTCATCTCCAGACGATTTGGGGTACACGGAGCATTCCTCGATTTGCTGTGCTGAAATTCGTGTTCCTCTAGACTTGGGACAGTGTTCTCGGGGCATCTCTGGAGTTGCCTGAAGGAAGTCGAGCCACCGGTCGTGTTGAATGGGGAACGGGGAATGGCTCTGGATTCAATGCAGGGGAATCGGGCCTCATCTCGAGTTGATTTGGGGCACATGGAGCTACTTTGCGTTGCTGGGGTGACCTCAGCGTCCGTCGAGACTGGTGACAGTGTTCTTGGGGACTGTCTCGAGATCCATTAAGCAAGTCGAAGCTCCTGACTTGTTTGAATGGGACCACGGAATAGCTTTGCATGCACTGCAGGGGAATTGGGCCTCATCTCGCCTCTAGGGGGAAGTCTCATGGTTTTTCTCGAGTTGCAGCGGGGACCTGGGGTATGTTCTCGACTTACGGCGGGGATGGCCCTTCAAAACACGAGTTTCTTCAGTGACGTCAGGACTCCTGTCTAGTAACGAGGGACACCTCAGGAATCTCTTCGAGGCTTGGCAGGACAAAAGGGACGCTTCTCGAGGTGAGGCAGGGCACCCAAGGACCCTTTCCAGTAGCCACAGGGATTTTGGGATTCCTATCAGTATTCAAGAGGAGTGAGGCATTGTCACCTTTTGAAGCAATGAACTTCGCGTGCCTCTTGAGGTGTCAACGGGATGTGAGGCATTCCGTCAAAATGAGGCAGGTAACTAGGGCTTTCTCTAAGGTCTCCACAGGGGATTCAGACAACCCTTCATGTTGTGAGATGAAAGACGATCCTGTATTCAAGCCACTGCAAGTAAATCCGGCCTCCTTTCAAGTTAGGGCTTCTCGCTGTATATTCCCCTTGAGGCAGCGAACTCGGCGTCCCTCCCACATACCTATTGCTGAGAGAAGCCTCCTCCTGAGGTGCTTCTGGAAAGTTGGCATACGTCTTGAGCCTAAGCCAGGGAATCAGCTCTCATCTCGAGACGATTTGGGGTACACGGAGCATTCCTCGAGTTGCTGTGCTGAAGTTGATGTTCCTCTAGACTTGGGACAGTGTTCTCGGGGCATCTCTGGAGTTGCCTGAAGGAAGTCGAGCCACAGGTCGTGTTGAATGGGGAACGGGTAATGGCTCTGGAGTCAATGCAGGGGAATCGGGCCTCATCTCGAGTTGATTTGGGGCCCATGGAGCTGCTTTGCGTTGCTGGGGTGACCTCAGGGTCCGGCGAGACTGGTGACAGTGTTCTTGGGGACTGTCTCGAGAACCATTAAGCAAGTCGAAGCTCCTGACTTGCTTGAATGGGACCACGGAATAGCTCTGTATGCAGTGCAGGGGAATGGGGCATCATCTCGCCTCTAGGGGGAAGTCTCATGGTTTTTCTCGAGTTGAGGCGGGAACCTGGGGTATGTTCTCGACTTACGGCGGGGATGGCCCTTCAAAACACGAGTTTCTTCAGTGACGTTAGGACTCCTGTCTAGTAACGAGGGACACCTCTGGAATCTCTTCGAGGCTTGGCAGGGCAAAAGGGACGCTTCTCGAGGTGAGGCAGGGCACCCAAGGACCCTTTCCAGTAGCCACAGGGATTTTGGGATTCCTATCAGTATTCAAGAGGAGTCAGGCATTGTCACCTTTTGAAGCAATGAACTTCGCGTGCCTCTTGAGGTGTCAACGGGATGTGAGGCATTCCGTCAAAATGAGGCAGGGACCTAGGGCTTTCTCTAAGGTCTCCACAGGGGATTCAGACATCCCTTCATGTTGTTAGATGAAAGACGACCCTGTATTCAAGCCACTGCAAGGAAATCCGGCCTCCTTTCAAGTTAGGGCTTCTCGCTGTATATTGCCCTGGAGGCAGCGAACTCGGTGTACCTCCCACATACCTATTGCTGAGAGAAGCCTCCTCCTGAGGTGCGTCTGGAAAGTTGGCATACGTCTTGAGCCTAAGCCAGGGAATCAGCTCTCATCTCGAGACGATTTGGGGTACACGGAGCATTCCTCGAGTTGCCGTGCTGAAGTTGGTGTTCCTCTAGACTTGGGACAGTTTCCTCGGGGCATCTCTGGAGTTGCTTGACGGAAGTCGAGCCACCGGTCGTGTTGAATGGGGAACGGGGAATGGCTCTGGAGTCAATGCAGGGGAATCGGGCCTCATCTCGAGTTGATTTGGAGCCCATGGAGCTGCTTTGCGTTGCTGGGGTGACCTCAGGGTCCGTCGAGACTGGTGACAGTGTTCTTGGGGACTGTCTCGAGATCCATTAAGCAAGTCGAAGCTCCTGACTTGCTTGAATGGGACCACGGAATAGCTCTGCATGCACTGCAGGGGAATGGGGCCTCATCTCGCCTCTAGGGGGAAGTCTCATGGTTTTTCTCGAGTTGCGGCGGGGACCTGGGGTATGTTCTCGACTTACGGCGGGGATGGCCCTTCAAAACACGAGTCTCTTCAGTGACGTCAGGACTCCTGTCTAGTAACGAGGGACACCTCAGGAATCTCTTCGAGGCTTGGCAGGGCAAAAGGGACGCTTCTCGAGGTGAGGCAGGGCACCCAAGGACCCTTTCCAGTAGCCACAGGGATTTTGGGATTCCTATCAGTATTCAAGAGGAGTGAGGCATTGTCACCTTTTGAAGCAATGAACTTCGCGTGCCTCTTGAGGTGTCAACGGGATGTGAGGCATTCCGTCAAAATGAGGCAGGGACCTAGGGCTTTCTCTAAGGTCTCCACAGGTGATTCAGACATCCCTTCATGTTGTGAGATGAAAGACGAGCCTGTATTCAAGCCACTGCAAGGAAATCCGGCCTCCTTTCAAGTTAGGGCTTCTCGCTGTATATTGCCCTTGAGGCAGCGAACTCGGTGTACCTCCTACATACCTATTGCTGAGAGAAGCCTCCTCCTGAGGTGCGTCTGGAAAGTTGGCATACGTCTTGAGCCTAAGCCAGGGAATCAGCTCTCATCTCGAGACGATTTGGGGTACACGGAGCATTCCTCGAGTTGCTGTGCTGAAGTTGATGTTCCTCTAGACTTGGGACAGTGTTCTCGGGGCATCTCTGGAGTTGCCTGAAGGAAGTCGAGCCACCGGTCGTGTTGAATGGGGAACAGGGAATGGCTCTGGAGTCAATGCAGGGGAATCGGGCCTCATCTCGAGTTGATTTGGGGCACATGGAGCTGCTTTGCGTTGCTGGGGTGACCTCAGGGTCCATCGAGACTAGTGACAGTGTTCTTGAGGACTGTCTCGAGATCCATTAAGCAAGTCGAAACTACTGACTTGTTTGAATGGGACCACGGAATAGCTCTGCATGCACTGCAGGGGAATGGGGCCTCATCTCGCCTCTTGGGGGAAGTCTCATGGTTTTTCTCGAGTTGCGGCGGGGACCTGGGGTATGTTCTCGACTTACGGCGGGGATGGCCCTTCAAAACACGAGTTTCTTCAGTGACGTCAGGACTCCTGTCTAGTAACGAGGGACATCTCAGGAATCTCATCGAGGTTTGGCAGTGCAAATGGGACGCTTCTTGAGGTGAGGCAGGGCACCCAAGGTCCCTTTCCAGTAGCCACAGGGATTTTGGTATTCCTAACAGAATTCAAGAGGAGTCAGGCATTGTCACCTTTTGAAGCAATGAACTCCGCGTGCCTCTCGAGGTGTCAACGGGATGTGAGGCATTACGTCCAAATGAGGCAGGAATCTAGGAATTTCTCTAAGATCTCCACAGGGCTTTCAGACATCCCTTCATGTTGTGAGATCAAAGACGAGCCTGTATTCAAGCCACTGCAAGGAAATCCGGCCTCCTTTCAAGTTAGGGCTTCTCGCTGTATATTGCCCTTGAGGCAGCGAACTCGGGGTCCCTCCCAAATACGTATTGCTGAGAGAAGCCTCCTCCTGAGATGCGTCTTGAAAGTTGGCATACGTCTTGAGCCTAAGCCAGGGAATCAGCTCTCATCTCGAGACGATTTGGGGTACACGGAGCATTCCTCGAGTTGCCGTGCTGAAGTTGGTGTTCCTCTAGACTTGGGACAGTGTTCTCAGGGCATCTCTGGAGTTGCCTGAAGGAAGTCGAGCCACCGGTCGTGTTGAATGGGGAACGGGGAATGGCTCTGGAGTCAATGCAGGGGAATCGGGCCTCATCTCTAGTTGATTTGGGGTCCATGGAGTTGCTTTGCGTTGCTGGGGTGACCTCAGGGTCCGACGAGACTGGTGACAGTGTTCTTGGGGACTGTCTCGAGAACCATTAAGCATGTCGAAGCTCCTGACTTGCTTGAATGGGACCACGGAATAGCTCTGCATGCACTGCAGGGGAATGGGGCCTCATCTCGCCTCTAGGGGGAAGTCTCATGGTTTTTCTCGAGTTGCGGCGGGGACCTGGGGTATGTTCTCGACTTACGGCGGGGATGGCCCTTCAAAACACGAGTTTCTTCAGTGACGTCAGGACTCCTGTCTAGTAACGAGGGACACCTCAGGAATCTCTTCGAGGCTTGGCAGGGCAAAAGGGACGCTTCTCGAGGTGAGGCAGGGCACCCAGGCACCCTTTCCAGTAGCCACAGGGATTTTGGGTTTCCTATCAGTATTCAAGAGGAGTGAGGCATTGTCACCTTTTGAAGCAATGAACTTCGCGTGCCTCTTGAGGTGTCAACGGGATGTGAGGCATTCCGTCAAAATGAGGCAGGTAACTAGGGCTTTCTCTAAGGTCTCCACAGGGAATTCAGACATCCCTTCATGTTGTGAGATGAAAGACGAGCCTGTATTCAAGCCACTGCAAGGAAATCCGGCCTCCATTCAAGTTAGGGCTTCTCGCTGTATATTGCCCTTGAGGCAGCGAACTCGGGGTCCCTCCCACATACCTATTGCTGAGAGAAGCCTCCTCCTGAGGTGCGTCTTGAAAGTTGGCATACGTCTTGAGCCTAAGCCAGGGAATCAGCTCTCATCTCGAGACGATTTGGGGTACACGGAGCATTCCTCGAGTTGCTGTGCTGAAGTTGGTGTTCCTCTAGACTTGGGACAGTGTTCTCGGGGCATCTCTGGAGTTGCCTGAAGGAAGTCGAGCCACAGGTCGTGTTGAATGGGGAACCGGTAATGGCTCTGGAGTCAATGCAGGGGAATCGGGCCTCATCTCGAGTTGATTTGGGGCCCATGGAGCTGCTTTGCGTTGCTGGGGTGACCTCAGGGTCCGTCGAGACTGGTGACAGTGTTCTTGGGGACTGTCTCGAGAACCATTAAGCAAGTCGAAGCTCCTGACTTGCTTGAATGGGACCACGGAATAGCTCTGCATGCACTGCAGGGGAATGGGGCCTCATCTCGCCTCTAGGGGGAAGTCTCATGTTTTTTCACGAGTTGCGGCGGGGTCCTGGGGTATGTTCTCGACTTACGGCGGGGATGGCCCTTCAAAACACGAGTTTCTTCAGTGACGTCAGGACTCCTGTCTAGTAACGAGGGACACCTCAGGAATCTCTTCGAGGCTTGTCAGGGCAAAAGGGACGCTTCTCGAGGTGAGGCCGGGCACCCAAGGACCCTTTCCAGTAGCCACAGGGATTTTGGGATTCCTATCAGTATTCAAGAGAAGTCAGGCATCGTCACCTTTTGAAGCAATGAACTCCGCGTGCCTCTCGAGGTGTCAACGGGATGTGAGGCATTACGTCCAAATGAGGCAGGGACCTAGGGCTTTCTCTAAGATCTCCACAGGGCATTCAGACATCCCTTCATGTTGTGAGATGAAAGACGAGCCTGTATTCAAGCCACTGCAAGGAAATCCGGCCTCCTTTCAAGTTAGGGCTTCTCGCTGTATATTGCCCTTGAGGCAGCGAACTCGGGGTCCCTCCCAAATACGTATTGCTGAGAGAAGCCTCCTCCTGAGATGCGTCTTGAAAGTTGGCATACGTCTTGAGCCTAAGCCAGGGAATCAGCTCTCATCTCGAGACGATTTGGGGTACACGGAGCATTCCTCGAGTTGCCGTGCTGAAGTTGGTGTTCCTCTAGACTTGGGACAGTGTTCTCAGGGCATCTCTGGAGTTGCCTGAAGGAAGTCGAGCCACCGGTCGTGTTGAATGGGGAACGGGGAATGGCTCTGGAGTCAATGCAGGGGAATCGGGCCTCATCTCTAGTTGATTTGGGGTCCATGGAGCTGCTTTGCGTTGCTGGGGTGACCTCAGGGTCCGTCGAGACTGGTGACAGTGTTCTTGGGGACTGTCTCGAGATCCATTAAGCAAGTCGAAGCTCCTGACTTGCTTGAATGGGACCACGGAATAGCTCTGCATGCACTGCAGGGGAATGGGGCCTCATCTCGCCTCTAGGGGGAAGTCTCATGGTTTTTCTCGAGTTGCGGCGGGGACCTGGGGTATGTTCTCGACTTACGGCGGGGATGGCCCTTCAAAACACGAGTCTCTTCAGTGACGTCAGGACTCCTGTCTAGTAACGAGGGACACCTCAGGAATCTCTTCGAGGCTTGGCAGGGCAAAAGGGACGCTTCTCGAGGTGAGGCAGGGCACCCAAGGACCCTTTCCAGTAGCCACAGGGATTTTGGGATTCCTATCAGTATTCAAGAGGAGTGAGGCATTGTCACCTTTTGAAGCAATGAACTTCGCGTGCCTCTTGAGGTGTCAACGGGATGTGAGGCATTCCGTCAAAATGAGGCAGGGACCTAGGGCTTTCTCTAAGGTCTCCACAGGTGATTCAGACATCCCTTCATGTTGTGAGATGAAAGACGAGCCTGTATTCAAGCCACTGCAAGGAAATCCGGCCTCCTTTCAAGTTAGGGCTTCTCGCTGTATATTGCCCTTGAGGCAGCGAACTCGGTGTACCTCCTACATACCTATTGCTGAGAGAAGCCTCCTCCTGAGGTGCGTCTGGAAAGTTGGCATACGTCTTGAGCCTAAGCCAGGGAATCAGCTCTCATCTCGAGACGATTTGGGGTACACGGAGCATTCCTCGAGTTGCTGTGCTGAAGTTGGTGTTCCTCTAGACTTGGGACAGTGTTCTCGGGGCATCTCTGGAGTTGCCTGAAGGAAGTCGAGCCACCGGTCGTGTTGAATGGGGAACAGGGAATGGCTCTGGAGTCAATGCAGGGGAATCGGGCCTCATCTCGAGTTGATTTGGGGCACATGGAGCTGCTTTGCGTTGCTGGGGTGACCTCAGGGTCCATCGAGACTAGTGACAGTGTTCTTGAGGACTGTCTCGAGATCCATTAAGCAAGTCGAAGCTACTGACTTGTTTGAATGGGACCACGGAATAGCTCTGCATGCACTGCAGGGGAATGGGGCCTCATCTCGCCTCTTGGGGGAAGTCTCATGGTTTTTCTCGAGTTGCGGCGGGGACCTGGGGTATGTTCTCGACTTACGGCGGGGATGGCCCTTCAAAACACGAGTTTCTTCAGTGACGTCAGGACTCCTGTCTAGTAACGAGGGACATCTCAGGAATCTCATCGAGGCTTGGCAGTGCAAATGGGACGCTTCTTGAGGTGAGGCAGGGCACCCAAGGTCCCTTTCCAGTAGCCACAGGGATTTTGGTATTCATAACAGAATTCAAGAGGAGTCAGGCATCGTCACCTTTTGAAGCAATGAACTCCGCGTGCCTCTCGAGGTGTCAACGGGATGTGAGGCATTACGTCCAAATGAGGCAGGAATCTAGGAATTTCTCTAAGATCTCCACAGGGCATTCAGACATCCCTTCATGTTGTGAGATCAAAGACGAGCCTGTATTCAAGCCACTGCAAGGAAATCCGGCCTCCTTTCAAGTTAGGGCTTCTCGCTGTATATTGCCCTTGAGGCAGCGAACTCGGGGTCCCTCCCAAATACGTATTGCTGAGAGAAGCCTCCTCCTGAGATGCGTCTTGAAAGTTGGCATACGTCTTGAGCCAAAGCCAGGGAATCAGCTCTCATCTCGAGACGATTTGGGGTACACGGAGCATTCCTCGAGTTGCCGTGCTGAAGTTGGTGTTCCTCTAGACTTGGGACAGTGTTCTCAGGGCATCTCTGGAGTTGCCTGAAGGAAGTCGAGCCACCGGTCGTGTTGAATGGGGAACGGGGAATAGCTCTGGAGTCAAAGCAGGGGAATCGGGCCTCATCTCGAGTTGATTTGGGGTCCATGGAGCTGCTTTGCGTTGCTGGGGTGACCTCAGGGTCCGTCGAGACTGGTGACAGTGTTCTTGGGGACTGTCTCGAGAACCATTAAGCATGTCGAAGCTCCTGACTTGCTTGAATGGGACCACGGAATAGCTCTGCATGCACTGCAGGGGAATGGGGCCTCATCTCGCCTCTAGGGGGAAGTCTCATGGTTTTTCTCGAGTTGCGGCGGGGCCTGGGGTATGTTCTCGACTTACGGCGGGGATGGCCCTTCAAAACACGAGTTTCTTCAGTGACGTCAGGACTCCTGTCTAGTAACGAGGGACACCTCAGGAATCTCTTCGAGGCTTGGCAGGGCAAAAGGGACGCTTCTCGAGGTGAGGCAGGGCACCCAGGCACCCTTTCCAGTAGCCACAGGGATTTTGGGTTTCCTATCAGTATTCTAGAGGAGTGAGGCATTGTCACCTTTTGAAGCAATGAACTTCGCGTGCCTCTTGAGGTGTCAACGGGATGTGAGGCATTCCGTCAAAATGAGGCAGGTAACTAGGCCTTTCTCTAAGGTCTCCACAGGGAATTCAGACATCCCTTCATGTTGTGAGATGAAAGACGAGCCTGTATTCAAGCCACTGCAAGGAAATCCGGCCTCCATTCAAGTTAGGGCTTCTCGCTGTATATTGCCCTTGAGGCAGCGAACTCGGGGTCCCTCCCACATACCTATTGCTGAGAGAAGCCTCCTCCTGAGGTGCGTCTTGAAAGTTGGCATACGTCTTGAGCCTAAGCCAGGGAATCAGCTCTCATCTCGAGACGATTTGGGGTACACGGAGCATTCCTCGAGTTGCTGTGCTGAAGTTGGTGTTCCTCTAGACTTGGGACAGTGTTCTCGGGGCATCTCTGGAGTTGCCTGAAGGAAGTCGAGCCACAGGTCGTGTTGAATGGGGAACCGGTAATGGCTCTGGAGTCAATGCAGGGGAATCGGGCCTCATCTCGAGTTGATTTGGGGCCCATGGAGCTGCTTTGCGTTGCTGGGGTGACCTCAGGGTCCGTCGAGACTGGTGACAGTGTTCTTGGGGACTGTCTCGAGAACCATTAAGCAAGTCGAAGCTCCTGACTTGCTTGAATGGGACCACGGAATAGCTCTGCATGCACTGCAGGGGAATGGGGCCTCATCTCGACTCTAAGGGGAAGTCTCATGTTTTTTCTCGAGTTGCGGCGGGGTCCTGGGGTATGTTCTCGACTTACGGCGGGGATGGCCCTTCAAAACACGAGTTTCTTCAGTGACGTCAGGACTCCTGTCTAGTAACGAGGGACACCTCAGGAATCTCTTCGAGGCTTGTCAGGGCAAAAGGGACGCTTCTCGAGGTGAGGCCGGGCACCCAAGGACCCTTTCCAGTAGCCACAGGGATTTTGGGATTCCTATCAGTATTCAAGAGAAGTCAGGCATCGTCACCTTTTGAAGCAATGAACTCCGCGTGCCTCTCGAGGTGTCAACGGGATGTGAGGCATTACGTCCAAATGAGGCAGGGACCTAGGGCTTTCTCTAAGATCTCCACAGGGCATTCAGACATCCCTTCATGTTGTGAGATCAAAGACGAGCCTGTATTCAAGCCACTGCAAGGAAATCCGGCCTCCTTTCAAGTTAGGGCTTCTCGCTGTATATTGCCCTTGAGGCAGCGAACTCGGGGTCCCTCCCAAATACGTATTGCTGAGAGAAGCCTCCTCCTGAGATGCGTCTTGAAAGTTGGCATACGTCTTGAGCCTAAGCCAGGGAATCAGCTCTCATCTCGAGACGATTTGGGGTACACGGAGCATTCCTCGAGTTGCCGTGCTGAAGTTGGTGTTCCTCTAGACTTGGGACAGTGTTCTCAGGGCATCTCTGGAGTTGCCTGAAGGAAGTCGAGCCACCGGTCGTGTTGAATGGGGAACGGGGAATGGCTCTGGAGTCAATGCAGGGGAATCGGGCCTCATCTCTAGTTGATTTGGGGTCCATGGAGCTGCTTTGCGTTGCTGGGGTGACCTCAGGGTCCGTCGAGACTGGTGACAGTGTTCTTGGGGACTGTCTCGAGAACCATTAAGCATGTCGAAGCTCCTGACTTGCTTGAATGGGACCACGGAATAGCACTGCATGCACTGCAGGGGAATAGGGCCTCATCTCGCCTCTAGGGGGAAGTCTCATGGTTTTTCTCGAGTTGCGGCGGGGACCTGGGGTATGTTCTCGACTTACGGCGGGGATGGCCCTTCAAAACACGAGTTTCTTCAGTGACGTCAGGACTCCTGTCTAGTAACGAGGGACACCTCAGGAATCTCTTCGAGGCTTGGCAGGGCAAAAGGGACGCTTCTCGAGGTGAGGCAGGGCACCCAGGCACCCTTTCCAGTAGCCACAGGGATTTTGGGTTTCCTATCAGTATTCAAGAGGAGTGAGTCATTGTCACCTTTTGAAGCAATGAACTTCGCGTGCCTCTTGAGGTGTCAACGGGATGTGAGGCATTCCGTCAAAATGAGGCAGGTAACTAGGGCTTTCTCTAAGGTCTCCACAGGGAATTCAGACATCCCTTCATGTTGTGAGATGAAAGACGAGCCTGTATTCAAGCCACTGCAAGGAAATCCGGCCTCCATTCAAGTTAGGGCTTCTCCCTGTATATTGCCCTTGAGGCAGCGAACTCGGGGTCCCTCCCAAATACCTATTGCTGAGAGAAGCCTCCTCCTGAGATGCGTCTTGAAAGTTGGCATACGTCTTGAGCCTAAGCCAGGGAATCAGCTTTCATCTCGAGATAATTTGGGGTACACGGAGCATTCCTCGAGTTGCCGTGCTGAAGTTGGTGTTCCTCTAGACTTGGGACAGTGTTCTCGGGGCATCTCTGGAGTTGCCTGAAGGAAGTCGTGCCACCGGTCGTGTTGAATGGGGAACGGGGAATGGCTCTGGAGTCAATGCAGGGGAATCGGGCCTCATCTCGAGTTGATTTGGGGTCCATGGAGCCGCTTTGCGTTGCTGGGGTGACCTCAGGGTCCGTCGAGACTGGTGACAGTGTTCTTGGGGACTGTCTCGAGAACCATTAAGCAAGTCGAAGCTCCTGACTTGCTTGAATGGGACCACGGAAGCTCTGCATGCACTGCAGGGGAATGGGGCCTCATCTCGCCTCTAGGGGTAAGTCTCATGGTTTTTCTCGAGTTGCGGCGGGGACCTGGGGTATGTTCTCGACTTACGGCGGGGATGGCCCTTCAAAACACGAGTTTCTTCAGTGACGTCAGGACTCCTGTCTAGTAACGAGGGACACCTCAGGAATCTCTTCGAGGCTTGGCAGGGCAAAAGGGACGCTTCTCGAGGTGAGGAAGGGCACCCAAGGACCCTTTCCAGTAGCCACAGGGATTTTTGGTTTCCTATCAGTATTCAAGTGGAGTGAGGCATTGTCACCTTTTGAAGTAATGAACTTCGCGTGCCACTTGAAGTGTCAAAGGGATGTGAGGCATTCCGTCAAAATGAGGCAGGGACCTAGGGCTTTCTCTAAGGTCTACACAGGGGATTCAGACATCCCTTCATGTTGTGAGATGAAAGACGAGCCTGTATTCATGCCACTGCAAGGAAATCCGGCCTCCTTTCAAGTTAGGGCTTCTCGCTGTATATTGCCCTTGAGGCAGCGAACTCGGGGTCCCTCCCACATACCTATTGCTGAGAGAAGCCTCCTCCTGAGGTGCGTCTGGAAAGTTGGCATACGTCTTGAACCTAAGCCAGGGAATCAGCTCTCATCTCGAGATGATTTGGGGTACACGGAGCATTCCTCGATTTGCTGTGCTGAAATTCGTGTTCCTCTAGACTTGGGACAGTGTTCTCGGGGTATCTCTGGAGTTGCCTGAAGGAAGTCGAGCCACCGGTCGTGTTGAATGGGGAACGGGGAATGGCTCTGGATTCAATGCAGGGGAATCGGGCCTCATCTCGAGTTGATTTGGGGCACATGGAGCTGCTTTGCGTTGCTGGGGTGACCTCAGCGTCCGTCGAGACTGGTGAGAGTGTTCTTGGGGACTGTCTCGAGATCCATTAAGCAAGTCGAAGCTCCTGACTTGTTTGAATGGGACCACGGAATAGCTTTGCATGCACTGCAGGGGAATTGGGCCTCATCTCGCCTCTAGGGGGAAGTCTCATGGTTTTTCTCGAGTTGCAGCGGGGACCTGGGGTATGTTCTCGACTTACGGCGGGGATGGCCCTTCAAAACACGAGTTTCTTCAGTGACGTCAGGACTCCTGTCTAGTAACGAGGGACACCTCAGGAATCTCTTCGAGGCTTGGCAGGACAAAAGGGACGCTTCTCGAGGTGAGGCAGGGCACCCAAGGACCCTTTCCAGTAGCCACAGGGATTTTGGGATTCCTATCAGTATTCAAGAGGAGTGAGGCATTGTCACCTTTTGAAGCAATGAACTTCGCGTGCCTCTTGAGGTGTCAACGGGATGTGAGGCATTCCGTCAAAATGAGGCAGGTAACTAGGGCTTTCTCTAAGGTCTCCACAGGGGATTCAGACAACCCTTCATGTTGTGAGATGAAAGACGATCCTGTATTCAAGCCACTGCAAGTAAATCCGGCCTCCTTTCAAGTTAGGGCTTCTCGCTGTATATTCCCCTTGAGGCAGCGAACTCGGCGTCCCTCCCACATACCTATTGCTGAGAGAAGCCTCCTCCTGAGGTGCTTCTGGAAAGTTGGCATACGTCTTGAGCCTAAGCCAGGGAATCAGCTCTCATCTCGAGACGATTTGGGGTACACGGAGCATTCCTCGAGTTGCTGTGCTGAAGTTGATGTTCCTCTAGACTTGGGACAGTGTTCTCGGGGCATCTCTGGAGTTGCCTGAAGGAAGTCGAGCCACAGGTCGTGTTGAATGGGGAACGGGTAATGGCTCTGGAGTCAATGCAGGGGAATCGGGCCTCATCTCGAGTTGATTTGGGGCCCATGGAGCTGCTTTGCGTTGCTGGGGTGACCTCAGGGTCCGGCGAGACTGGTGACAGTGTTCTTGGGGACTGTCTCGAGAACCATTAAGCAAGTCGAAGCTCCTGACTTGCATGAATGGGACCACGGAATAGCTCTGTATGCAGTGCAGGGGAATGGGGCATCATCTCGCCTCTAGGGGGAAGTCTCATGGTTTTTCTCGAGTTGAGGCGGGAACCTGGGGTATGTTCTCGACTTACGGCGGGGATGGCCCTTCAAAACACGAGTTTCTTCAGTGACGTTAGGACTCCTGTCTAGTAACGAGGGACACCTCTGGAATCTCTTCGAGGCTTGGCAGGGCAAAAGGGACGCTTCTCGAGGTGAGGCAGGGCACCCAAGGACCCTTTCCAGTAGCCACAGGGATTTTGGGATTCCTATCAGTATTCAAGAGGAGTCAGGCATTGTCACCTTTTGAAGCAATGAACTTCGCGTGCCTCTTGAGGTGTCAACGGGATGTGAGGCATTCCGTCAAAATGAGGCAGGGACCTAGGGCTTTCTCTAAGGTCTCCACAGGGGATTCAGACATCCCTTCATGTTGTTAGATGAAAGACGACCCTGTATTCAAGCCACTGCAAGGAAATCCGGCCTCCTTTCAAGTTAGGGCTTCTCGCTGTATATTGCCCTGGAGGCAGCGAACTCGGTGTACCTCCCACATACCTATTGCTGAGAGAAGCCTCCTCCTGAGGTGCGTCTGGAAAGTTGGCATACGTCTTGAGCCTAAGCCAGGGAATCAGCTCTCATCTCGAGACGATTTGGGGTACACGGAGCATTCCTCGAGTTGCCGTGCTGAAGTTGGTGTTCCTCTAGACTTGGGACAGTTTCCTCGGGGCATCTCTGGAGTTGCTTGACGGAAGTCGAGCCACCGGTCGTGTTGAATGGGGAACGGGGAATGGCTCTGGAGTCAATGCAGGGGAATCGGGCCTCATCTCGAGTTGATTTGGAGCCCATGGAGCTGCTTTGCGTTGCTGGGGTGACCTCAGGGTCCGTCGAGACTGGTGACAGTGTTCTTGGGGACTGTCTCGAGATCCATTAAGCAAGTCGAAGCTCCTGACTTGCTTGAATGGGACCACGGAATAGCTCTGCATGCACTGCAGGGGAATGGGGCCTCATCTCGCCTCTAGGGGGAAGTCTCATGGTTTTTCTCGAGTTGCGGCGGGGACCTGGGGTATGTTCTCGACTTACGGCGGGGATGGCCCTTCAAAACACGAGTCTCTTCAGTGACGTCAGGACTCCTGTCTAGTAACGAGGGACACCTCAGGAATCTCTTCGAGGCTTGGCAGGGCAAAAGGGACGCTTCTCGAGGTGAGGCAGGGCACCCAAGGACCCTTTCCAGTAGCCACAGGGATTTTGGGATTCCTATCAGTATTCAAGAGGAGTGAGGCATTGTCACCTTTTGAAGCAATGAACTTCGCGTGCCTCTTGAGGTGTCAACGGGATGTGAGGCATTCCGTCAAAATGAGGCAGGGACCTAGGGCTTTCTCTAAGGTCTCCACAGGTGATTCAGACATCCCTTCATGTTGTGAGATGAAAGACGAGCCTGTATTCAAGCCACTGCAAGGAAATCCGGCCTCCTTTCAAGTTAGGGCTTCTCGCTGTATATTGCCCTTGAGGCAGCGAACTCGGTGTACCTCCTACATACCTATTGCTGAGAGAAGCCTCCTCCTGAGGTGCGTCTGGAAAGTTGGCATACGTCTTGAGCCTAAGCCAGGGAATCAGCTCTCATCTCGAGACGATTTGGGGTACACGGAGCATTCCTCGAGTTGCTGTGCTGAAGTTGATGTTCCTCTAGACTTGGGACAGTGTTCTCGGGGCATCTCTGGAGTTGCCTGAAGGAAGTCGAGCCACCGGTCGTGTTGAATGGGGAACAGGGAATGGCTCTGGAGTCAATGCAGGGGAATCGGGCCTCATCTCGAGTTGATTTGGGGCACATGGAGCTGCTTTGCGTTGCTGGGGTGACCTCAGGGTCCATCGAGACTAGTGACAGTGTTCTTGAGGACTGTCTCGAGATCCATTAAGCAAGTCGAAACTACTGACTTGTTTGAATGGGACCACGGAATAGCTCTGCATGCACTGCAGGGGAATGGGGCCTCATCTCGCCTCTTGGGGGAAGTCTCATGGTTTTTCTCGAGTTGCGGCGGGGACCTGGGGTATGTTCTCGACTTACGGCGGGGATGGCCCTTCAAAACACGAGTTTCTTCAGTGACGTCAGGACTCCTGTCTAGTAACGAGGGACATCTCAGGAATCTCATCGAGGTTTGGCAGTGCAAATGGGACGCTTCTTGAGGTGAGGCAGGGCACCCAAGGTCCCTTTCCAGTAGCCACAGGGATTTTGGTATTCCTAACAGAATTCAAGAGGAGTCAGGCATTGTCACCTTTTGAAGCAATGAACTCCGCGTGCCTCTCGAGGTGTCAACGGGATGTGAGGCATTACGTCCAAATGAGGCAGGAATCTAGGAATTTCTCTAAGATCTCCACAGGGCTTTCAGACATCCCTTCATGTTGTGAGATCAAAGACGAGCCTGTATTCAAGCCACTGCAAGGAAATCCGGCCTCCTTTCAAGTTAGGGCTTCTCGCTGTATATTGCCCTTGAGGCAGCGAACTCGGGGTCCCTCCCAAATACGTATTGCTGAGAGAAGCCTCCTCCTGAGATGCGTCTTGAAAGTTGGCATACGTCTTGAGCCTAAGCCAGGGAATCAGCTCTCATCTCGAGACGATTTGGGGTACACGGAGCATTCCTCGAGTTGCCGTGCTGAAGTTGGTGTTCCTCTAGACTTGGGACAGTGTTCTCAGGGCATCTCTGGAGTTGCCTGAAGGAAGTCGAGCCACCGGTCGTGTTGAATGGGGAACGGGGAATGGCTCTGGAGTCAATGCAGGGGAATCGGGCCTCATCTCTAGTTGATTTGGGGTCCATGGAGTTGCTTTGCGTTGCTGGGGTGACCTCAGGGTCCGACGAGACTGGTGACAGTGTTCTTGGGGACTGTCTCGAGAACCATTAAGCATGTCGAAGCTCCTGACTTGCTTGAATGGGACCACGGAATAGCTCTGCATGCACTGCAGGGGAATGGGGCCTCATCTCGCCTCTAGGGGGAAGTCTCATGGTTTTTCTCGAGTTGCGGCGGGGACCTGGGGTATGTTCTCGACTTACGGCGGGGATGGCCCTTCAAAACACGAGTTTCTTCAGTGACGTCAGGACTCCTGTCTAGTAACGAGGGACACCTCAGGAATCTCTTCGAGGCTTGGCAGGGCAAAAGGGACGCTTCTCGAGGTGAGGCAGGGCACCCAGGCACCCTTTCCAGTAGCCACAGGGATTTTGGGTTTCCTATCAGTATTCAAGAGGAGTGAGGCATTGTCACCTTTTGAAGCAATGAACTTCGCGTGCCTCTTGAGGTGTCAACGGGATGTGAGGCATTCCGTCAAAATGAGGCAGGTAACTAGGGCTTTCTCTAAGGTCTCCACAGGGAATTCAGACATCCCTTCATGTTGTGAGATGAAAGACGAGCCTGTATTCAAGCCACTGCAAGGAAATCCGGCCTCCATTCAAGTTAGGGCTTCTCGCTGTATATTGCCCTTGAGGCAGCGAACTCGGGGTCCCTCCCACATACCTATTGCTGAGAGAAGCCTCCTCCTGAGGTGCGTCTTGAAAGTTGGCATACGTCTTGAGCCTAAGCCAGGGAATCAGCTCTCATCTCGAGACGATTTGGGGTACACGGAGCATTCCTCGAGTTGCTGTGCTGAAGTTGGTGTTCCTCTAGACTTGGGACAGTGTTCTCGGGGCATCTCTGGAGTTGCCTGAAGGAAGTCGAGCCACAGGTCGTGTTGAATGGGGAACCGGTAATGGCTCTGGAGTCAATGCAGGGGAATCGGGCCTCATCTCGAGTTGATTTGGGGCCCATGGAGCTGCTTTGCGTTGCTGGGGTGACCTCAGGGTCCGTCGAGACTGGTGACAGTGTTCTTGGGGACTGTCTCGAGAACCATTAAGCAAGTCGAAGCTCCTGACTTGCTTGAATGGGACCACGGAATAGCTCTGCATGCACTGCAGGGGAATGGGGCCTCATCTCGCCTCTAGGGGGAAGTCTCATGTTTTTTCACGAGTTGCGGCGGGGTCCTGGGGTATGTTCTCGACTTACGGCGGGGATGGCCCTTCAAAACACGAGTTTCTTCAGTGACGTCAGGACTCCTGTCTAGTAACGAGGGACACCTCAGGAATCTCTTCGAGGCTTGTCAGGGCAAAAGGGACGCTTCTCGAGGTGAGGCCGGGCACCCAAGGACCCTTTCCAGTAGCCACAGGGATTTTGGGATTCCTATCAGTATTCAAGAGAAGTCAGGCATCGTCACCTTTTGAAGCAATGAACTCCGCGTGCCTCTCGAGGTGTCAACGGGATGTGAGGCATTACGTCCAAATGAGGCAGGGACCTAGGGCTTTCTCTAAGATCTCCACAGGGCATTCAGACATCCCTTCATGTTGTGAGATGAAAGACGAGCCTGTATTCAAGCCACTGCAAGGAAATCCGGCCTCCTTTCAAGTTAGGGCTTCTCGCTGTATATTGCCCTTGAGGCAGCGAACTCGGGGTCCCTCCCAAATACGTATTGCTGAGAGAAGCCTCCTCCTGAGATGCGTCTTGAAAGTTGGCATACGTCTTGAGCCTAAGCCAGGGAATCAGCTCTCATCTCGAGACGATTTGGGGTACACGGAGCATTCCTCGAGTTGCCGTGCTGAAGTTGGTGTTCCTCTAGACTTGGGACAGTGTTCTCAGGGCATCTCTGGAGTTGCCTGAAGGAAGTCGAGCCACCGGTCGTGTTGAATGGGGAACGGGGAATGGCTCTGGAGTCAATGCAGGGGAATCGGGCCTCATCTCTAGTTGATTTGGGGTCCATGGAGCTGCTTTGCGTTGCTGGGGTGACCTCAGGGTCCGTCGAGACTGGTGACAGTGTTCTTGGGGACTGTCTCGAGATCCATTAAGCAAGTCGAAGCTCCTGACTTGCTTGAATGGGACCACGGAATAGCTCTGCATGCACTGCAGGGGAATGGGGCCTCATCTCGCCTCTAGGGGGAAGTCTCATGGTTTTTCTCGAGTTGCGGCGGGGACCTGGGGTATGTTCTCGACTTACGGCGGGGATGGCCCTTCAAAACACGAGTCTCTTCAGTGACGTCAGGACTCCTGTCTAGTAACGAGGGACACCTCAGGAATCTCTTCGAGGCTTGGCAGGGCAAAAGGGACGCTTCTCGAGGTGAGGCAGGGCACCCAAGGACCCTTTCCAGTAGCCACAGGGATTTTGGGATTCCTATCAGTATTCAAGAGGAGTGAGGCATTGTCACCTTTTGAAGCAATGAACTTCGCGTGCCTCTTGAGGTGTCAACGGGATGTGAGGCATTCCGTCAAAATGAGGCAGGGACCTAGGGCTTTCTCTAAGGTCTCCACAGGTGATTCAGACATCCCTTCATGTTGTGAGATGAAAGACGAGCCTGTATTCAAGCCACTGCAAGGAAATCCGGCCTCCTTTCAAGTTAGGGCTTCTCGCTGTATATTGCCCTTGAGGCAGCGAACTCGGTGTACCTCCTACATACCTATTGCTGAGAGAAGCCTCCTCCTGAGGTGCGTCTGGAAAGTTGGCATACGTCTTGAGCCTAAGCCAGGGAATCAGCTCTCATCTCGAGACGATTTGGGGTACACGGAGCATTCCTCGAGTTGCTGTGCTGAAGTTGGTGTTCCTCTAGACTTGGGACAGTGTTCTCGGGGCATCTCTGGAGTTGCCTGAAGGAAGTCGAGCCACCGGTCGTGTTGAATGGGGAACAGGGAATGGCTCTGGAGTCAATGCAGGGGAATCGGGCCTCATCTCGAGTTGATTTGGGGCACATGGAGCTGCTTTGCGTTGCTGGGGTGACCTCAGGGTCCATCGAGACTAGTGACAGTGTTCTTGAGGACTGTCTCGAGATCCATTAAGCAAGTCGAAGCTACTGACTTGTTTGAATGGGACCACGGAATAGCTCTGCATGCACTGCAGGGGAATGGGGCCTCATCTCGCCTCTTGGGGGAAGTCTCATGGTTTTTCTCGAGTTGCGGCGGGGACCTGGGGTATGTTCTCGACTTACGGCGGGGATGGCCCTTCAAAACACGAGTTTCTTCAGTGACGTCAGGACTCCTGTCTAGTAACGAGGGACATCTCAGGAATCTCATCGAGGCTTGGCAGTGCAAATGGGACGCTTCTTGAGGTGAGGCAGGGCACCCAAGGTCCCTTTCCAGTAGCCACAGGGATTTTGGTATTCATAACAGAATTCAAGAGGAGTCAGGCATCGTCACCTTTTGAAGCAATGAACTCCGCGTGCCTCTCGAGGTGTCAACGGGATGTGAGGCATTACGTCCAAATGAGGCAGGAATCTAGGAATTTCTCTAAGATCTCCACAGGGCATTCAGACATCCCTTCATGTTGTGAGATCAAAGACGAGCCTGTATTCAAGCCACTGCAAGGAAATCCGGCCTCCTTTCAAGTTAGGGCTTCTCGCTGTATATTGCCCTTGAGGCAGCGAACTCGGGGTCCCTCCCAAATACGTATTGCTGAGAGAAGCCTCCTCCTGAGATGCGTCTTGAAAGTTGGCATACGTCTTGAGCCAAAGCCAGGGAATCAGCTCTCATCTCGAGACGATTTGGGGTACACGGAGCATTCCTCGAGTTGCCGTGCTGAAGTTGGTGTTCCTCTAGACTTGGGACAGTGTTCTCAGGGCATCTCTGGAGTTGCCTGAAGGAAGTCGAGCCACCGGTCGTGTTGAATGGGGAACGGGGAATAGCTCTGGAGTCAAAGCAGGGGAATCGGGCCTCATCTCGAGTTGATTTGGGGTCCATGGAGCTGCTTTGCGTTGCTGGGGTGACCTCAGGGTCCGTCGAGACTGGTGACAGTGTTCTTGGGGACTGTCTCGAGAACCATTAAGCATGTCGAAGCTCCTGACTTGCTTGAATGGGACCACGGAATAGCTCTGCATGCACTGCAGGGGAATGGGGCCTCATCTCGCCTCTAGGGGGAAGTCTCATGGTTTTTCTCGAGTTGCGGCGGGGCCTGGGGTATGTTCTCGACTTACGGCGGGGATGGCCCTTCAAAACACGAGTTTCTTCAGTGACGTCAGGACTCCTGTCTAGTAACGAGGGACACCTCAGGAATCTCTTCGAGGCTTGGCAGGGCAAAAGGGACGCTTCTCGAGGTGAGGCAGGGCACCCAGGCACCCTTTCCAGTAGCCACAGGGATTTTGGGTTTCCTATCAGTATTCTAGAGGAGTGAGGCATTGTCACCTTTTGAAGCAATGAACTTCGCGTGCCTCTTGAGGTGTCAACGGGATGTGAGGCATTCCGTCAAAATGAGGCAGGTAACTAGGCCTTTCTCTAAGGTCTCCACAGGGAATTCAGACATCCCTTCATGTTGTGAGATGAAAGACGAGCCTGTATTCAAGCCACTGCAAGGAAATCCGGCCTCCATTCAAGTTAGGGCTTCTCGCTGTATATTGCCCTTGAGGCAGCGAACTCGGGGTCCCTCCCACATACCTATTGCTGAGAGAAGCCTCCTCCTGAGGTGCGTCTTGAAAGTTGGCATACGTCTTGAGCCTAAGCCAGGGAATCAGCTCTCATCTCGAGACGATTTGGGGTACACGGAGCATTCCTCGAGTTGCTGTGCTGAAGTTGGTGTTCCTCTAGACTTGGGACAGTGTTCTCGGGGCATCTCTGGAGTTGCCTGAAGGAAGTCGAGCCACAGGTCGTGTTGAATGGGGAACCGGTAATGGCTCTGGAGTCAATGCAGGGGAATCGGGCCTCATCTCGAGTTGATTTGGGGCCCATGGAGCTGCTTTGCGTTGCTGGGGTGACCTCAGGGTCCGTCGAGACTGGTGACAGTGTTCTTGGGGACTGTCTCGAGAACCATTAAGCAAGTCGAAGCTCCTGACTTGCTTGAATGGGACCACGGAATAGCTCTGCATGCACTGCAGGGGAATGGGGCCTCATCTCGACTCTAAGGGGAAGTCTCATGTTTTTTCTCGAGTTGCGGCGGGGTCCTGGGGTATGTTCTCGACTTACGGCGGGGATGGCCCTTCAAAACACGAGTTTCTTCAGTGACGTCAGGACTCCTGTCTAGTAACGAGGGACACCTCAGGAATCTCTTCGAGGCTTGTCAGGGCAAAAGGGACGCTTCTCGAGGTGAGGCCGGGCACCCAAGGACCCTTTCCAGTAGCCACAGGGATTTTGGGATTCCTATCAGTATTCAAGAGAAGTCAGGCATCGTCACCTTTTGAAGCAATGAACTCCGCGTGCCTCTCGAGGTGTCAACGGGATGTGAGGCATTACGTCCAAATGAGGCAGGGACCTAGGGCTTTCTCTAAGATCTCCACAGGGCATTCAGACATCCCTTCATGTTGTGAGATCAAAGACGAGCCTGTATTCAAGCCACTGCAAGGAAATCCGGCCTCCTTTCAAGTTAGGGCTTCTCGCTGTATATTGCCCTTGAGGCAGCGAACTCGGGGTCCCTCCCAAATACGTATTGCTGAGAGAAGCCTCCTCCTGAGATGCGTCTTGAAAGTTGGCATACGTCTTGAGCCTAAGCCAGGGAATCAGCTCTCATCTCGAGACGATTTGGGGTACACGGAGCATTCCTCGAGTTGCCGTGCTGAAGTTGGTGTTCCTCTAGACTTGGGACAGTGTTCTCAGGGCATCTCTGGAGTTGCCTGAAGGAAGTCGAGCCACCGGTCGTGTTGAATGGGGAACGGGGAATGGCTCTGGAGTCAATGCAGGGGAATCGGGCCTCATCTCTAGTTGATTTGGGGTCCATGGAGCTGCTTTGCGTTGCTGGGGTGACCTCAGGGTCCGTCGAGACTGGTGACAGTGTTCTTGGGGACTGTCTCGAGAACCATTAAGCATGTCGAAGCTCCTGACTTGCTTGAATGGGACCACGGAATAGCACTGCATGCACTGCAGGGGAATAGGGCCTCATCTCGCCTCTAGGGGGAAGTCTCATGGTTTTTCTCGAGTTGCGGCGGGGACCTGGGGTATGTTCTCGACTTACGGCGGGGATGGCCCTTCAAAACACGAGTTTCTTCAGTGACGTCAGGACTCCTGTCTAGTAACGAGGGACACCTCAGGAATCTCTTCGAGGCTTGGCAGGGCAAAAGGGACGCTTCTCGAGGTGAGGCAGGGCACCCAGGCACCCTTTCCAGTAGCCACAGGGATTTTGGGTTTCCTATCAGTATTCAAGAGGAGTGAGTCATTGTCACCTTTTGAAGCAATGAACTTCGCGTGCCTCTTGAGGTGTCAACGGGATGTGAGGCATTCCGTCAAAATGAGGCAGGTAACTAGGGCTTTCTCTAAGGTCTCCACAGGGAATTCAGACATCCCTTCATGTTGTGAGATGAAACACGAGCCTGTATTCAAGCCACTGCAAGGAAATCCGGCCTCCATTCAAGTTAGGGCTTCTCCCTGTATATTGCCCTTGAGGCAGCGAACTCGGGGTCCCTCCCAAATACCTATTGCTGAGAGAAGCCTCCTCCTGAGATGCGTCTTGAAAGTTGGCATACGTCTTGAGCCTAAGCCAGGGAATCAGCTTTCATCTCGAGATAATTTGGGGTACACGGAGCATTCCTCGAGTTGCCGTGCTGAAGTTGGTGTTCCTCTAGACTTGGGACAGTGTTCTCGGGGCATCTCTGGAGTTGCCTGAAGGAAGTCGTGCCACCGGTCGTGTTGAATGGGGAACGGGGAATGGCTCTGGAGTCAATGCAGGGGAATCGGGCCTCATCTCGAGTTGATTTGGGGTCCATGGAGCCGCTTTGCGTTGCTGGGGTGACCTCAGGGTCCGTCGAGACTGGTGACAGTGTTCTTGGGGACTGTCTCGAGAACCATTAAGCAAGTCGAAGCTCCTGACTTGCTTGAATGGGACCACGGAAGCTCTGCATGCACTGCAGGGGAATGGGGCCTCATCTCGCCTCTAGGGGGAAGTCTCATTTTTTTTCTCGTGTTGCGGCGGGGACCTGGGGTATGTTCTCGACTTACGGCGGGGATGGCCCTTCAAAACACGAGTTTCTTCAGTGACGTCAGGACTCCTGTCTAGTAACGAGGGACACCTCAGGAATCTCTTCGAGGCTTGGCAGGGCAAAAGGGACGCTTCTCGAGGTGAGGCAGGGCACCCAAGGAACCTTTCCAGTAGCCACAGGGATTTTGGGTTTCCTATCAGTATTCAAGAGGAGTGAGGCATTGTCACCTTTTGAAGCAATGAACTTCGCGTGCCTCTTGAGGTGTCAACGGGATGTGAGACATTCCGTCAAAATGAGGCAGGGACCTAGGGCTTTCTCTAAGGTCTCCACAGGGGATTCAGACATCCCTTCATGTTGTGAGATGAAAGACGAGCCTGTATTCAAGCCACTGCAAGGAAATCCATCCTCCTTTCAAGTTAGGGCTTCTCGCTGTATATTGCCCTTGAGGCAGCGAACTCGGTGTACCTCCCACATACCTATTGCTGAGAGAAGCCTCCTCCTGAGGTGCTTCTGGAAAGTTGGCATACGTCTTGAGCCTAAGCCAGGGAATAAGCTCTCATCTCGAGACGATTTGGGGTACACGGAGCATTCCTCGAGTTGCTGTGCTGAAGTTGGTGTTCCTCTAGACTTGGGACAGTGTTCTCGGGGTACCTCTGGAGTTGCCTGAAGGAAGTCGAGCCACCGGTCGTGTTGAATGGGGAACGGGGAATGGCTCTGGATTCAATGCAGGGGAATCGGGCCTCATCTCGAGTTGATTTGGGGCACATGGAGCTGCTTTGCGTTGCTGGGGTGACCTCAGGGTCCGTCGAGACTGGTGAGAGTGTTCTTGGGGACTGTCTCGAGAACCATTAAGCAAGTCGAAGCTCCTGACTTGCTTGAATGGGACCACGGAATAGCTCTGCATGCACTGCAGATGAATGGGGCCTCATCTCGCCTCTAGGGGTAAGTCTCATGGTTTTTCTCGAGTTGCGGCGGGGACCTGGGGTATGTTCTCGACTTACGGCGGGGATGGCCCTTCAAAACACGAGTTTCTTCAGTGACGTCAGGACTCCTGTCTAGTAACGAGGGACACCTCAGGAATCTCTTCGAGGCTTGGCAGGGCAAAAGGGACGCTTCTCGAGGTGAGGAAGGGCACCCAAGGACCCTTTCCAGTAGCCACAGGGATTTTTGGTTTCCTATCAGTATTCAAGTGGAGTGAGGCATTGTCACCTTTTGAAGTAATGAACTTCGCGTGCCACTTGAAGTGTCAAAGGGATGTGAGGCATTCCGTCAAAATGAGGCAGGGACCTAGGGCTTTCTCTAAGGTCTACACAGGGGATTCAGACATCCCTTCATGTTGTGAGATGAAAGACGAGCCTGTATTCATGCCACTGCAAGGAAATCCGGCCTCCTTTCAAGTTAGGGCTTCTCGCTGTATATTGCCCTTGAGGCAGCGAACTCGGGGTCCCTCCCACATACCTATTGCTGAGAGAAGCCTCCTCCTGAGGTGCGTCTGGAAAGTTGGCATACGTCTTGAACCTAAGCCAGGGAATCAGCTCTCATCTCGAGACGATTTGGGGTACACGGAGCATTCCTCGATTTGCTGTGCTGAAATTCGTGTTCCTCTAGACTTGGGACAGTGTTCTCGGGGTATCTCTGGAGTTGCCTGAAGGAAGTCGAGCCACCGGTCGTGTTGAATGGGGAACGGGGAATGGCTCTGGATTCAATGCAGGGGAATCGGGCCTCATCTCGAGTTGATTTGGGGCACATGGAGCTGCTTTGCGTTGCTGGGGTGACCTCAGCGTCCGTTGAGACTGGTGACAGTGTTCTTGGGGACTGTCTCGAGATCCATTAAGCAAGTCGAAGCTCCTGACTTGTTTGAATGGGACCACGGAATAGCTTTGCATGCACTGCAGGGGAATTGGGCCTCATCTCGCCTCTAGGGGGAAGTCTCATGGTTTTTCTCGAGTTGCGGCGGGGACCTGGGGTATGTTCTCGACTTACGGCGGGGATGGCCCTTCAAAACACGAGTTTCTTCAGTGACGTCAGGACTCCTGTCTAGTAACGAGGGACACCTCAGGAATCTCTTCGAGGCTTGGCAGGACAAAAGGGACGCTTCTCGAGGTGAGGCAGGGCACCCAAGGACCCTTTCCAGTAGCCACAGGGATTTTGGGATTCCTATCAGAATTCAAGAGGAGTGAGGCATTGTCACCTTTTGAAGCAATGAACTTCGCGTGCCTCTTGAGGTGTCAACGGGATGTGAGGCATTCCGTCAAAATGAGGCAGGTAACTAGGGCTTTCTCTAAGGTCTCCACAGGGAATTCAGACATCCCTTCATGTTGTGAGATGAAAGACGAGCCTGTATTCAAGCCACTGCAAGGAAATCCGGCCTCCATTCAAGTTAGGGCTTCTCACTGTATATTGCCCTTGAGGCAGCGAACTCGGGGTCCCTCCCACATACCTATTGCTGAGAGAAGCCTCCTCCTGAGGTGCGTCTTGAAAGTTGGCATACGTCTTGAGCCTAAGCCAGGGAATCAGCTCTCATCTCGAGATGATTTGGGGTACACGGTGCATTCCTCGAGTTGCTGTGCTGAAGTTGGTGTTCCTCTAGACTTGGGACAGTGTTCTCGGGGCATCTCTGGAGTTGCCTGAAGGAAGTCGAGCCACCGGTCGTGTTGAATGGGGAACCGGTAATGGCTCTGGAGTCAATGCAGGGGAATCGGGCCTCATTTCGAGTTGATTTGGGGCCCATGGAGCTGCTTTGCGTTGCTGGGGTGACCTCAGGGTCCGTCGAGACTGGTGACAGTGTTCTTGGGGACTGTCTCGAGATCCATTAAGCAAGTCGAAGCTCCTGACTTGCTTGAATGGGACCACGGAATAGCTCTGCATGCACTGCAGGGGAATGGGGCCTCATCTCGCCTCTAGGGGGAAGTCTCATGGTTTTTCTCGAGTTGCGGCGGGAACCTGGGGTATATTCTCGACTTACGGCGGGGATAGCCCTTCAAAACACGAGTTTCTTCAGTGACGTCAGGACTCCTGTCTAGTAACGAGGGACAACTCAGGAATCTCATCGAGTCTTGGCAGTGCAAATGGGACGCTTCTTGAGGTGAGGCAGGGCACCCAAGGACCCTTTCCAGTAGCCACAGGGATTTGGGGATTCCTATCAGAATTCAAGAGAAGTCAGGCATCGTCACCTTTTGAAGCAATGAACTCCGCGTGCCTCTCGAGGTGTCAACGGGATGTGAGGCATTCCGTCCAAATGAGGCAGGGACCTAGGGCTTTCTCTAAGGTCTCCACAGGGGATTCAGACATCCCTTCATGTTGTGAGAAGAAAGACGAGCCTGTATTCAAGCCACTGCAAGGAAATCCGGCCTCCTTTCAAGTTAGGGCTTCTCGCTGTATATTGCCCTTGAGGCAGCGAACTCGGGGTCCCTCCCACATACCTATTGCTGAGAGAAGCCCCCTCCTGAGGTGCGTCTTGAAAGTTGGCATACGTCTTGAGCCTAAGCCAGGGAATCACCTCTCATCTCGAGACGATTTGGGGTACACGGAGCATTCCTCGAGTTGCCGTGCTGAAGTTGGTGTTCCTCTAGACTTGGGACAGTGTTCTCGGGGCATCTCTGGAGTTGCCTGAAGGAAGTCGAGCCACCGGTCGTGTTGAATGGGGAACGGGGAATGGCTCTGGAGTCAATGCAGGGGAATCGGGCCTCATCTCGAGTTGATTTGGGGCCCATGGAGCTGCTTTGCGTTGCTGGGGTGAACTCAGGGTCGTCGAAACTGGTGACAGTGTTCTTGGGGACTGTCTCGAGAACCATTAAGCAAGTCGAAGCTCCTGACTTGCTTGAATGGGACCACGGAATAGCTCTGCATTCACTGCAGGGGAATGGGCCTCATCTCGCCTCTAGGGGGAAGTCTCATGGTTTTTCTCGAGTTGCGGCGGGGACCTGGGGTATGTTCTCGACTTACGGCGGGGATGGCCCTTCAAAACACGAGTTTCTTCAGTGACGTCAGGACTCCTGTCTAGTAACGAGGGACACCTCAGGAATCTCTTCGAGGCTTGTCAGGGCAAAAGGGACGTTTCTCGAGGTGAGGCCGGGCACCCAAGGACCCTTTCCAGTAGCCACAGGGATTTTGGGATTCCTATCAGTATTCAAGAGGAGTCAGGCATCGTCACCTTTTTAAGCAATGAACTTCGCGTGCCTCTTGACGTGTCAACGGGATGTGAGGCATTCCGTCAAAATGAGGCAGGGACCTAGGGCTTTCTCTAAGGTCTCCACAGTTGATTCAGACATCCCTTCATGTTGTGAGATCAAAGACGAGCCTGTATTCAAGCCACTGCAAGGAAATCCGGCCTCCTTTCAAGTTAGGGCTTCTCGCTGTACATTGCCCTTGAGGCAGCGAACTCGGGGTCCCTCCCACATAACTATTGCTGAGAGAAGCCTCCTCCTGAGGTGTGTCTGGAAAGTTGGCATACGTCTTGAGCCTAAGCCAGGGAATCAGCTCTCATCTTGAGACGATTTGGGGTACACGGAGCATTCCTCGAGTTGCTGTGCTGAAGTTGGTGTTCCTCTAGACTTCGGACAGTGTTCTCGGGGTATCTCTGGAGTTGCCTGAAGGAAGTCGAGCCACCGGTCGTGTTGAATGGGGAACGCGGAATGGCTCTGGAGTCAATGCAGGGGAATCGGGCCACATCTCGAGTTGATTTGGGGCACATGGAGCAGCTTTGCGTTGCTGGGGTGACCTCAGCGTCCGTCGAGACTGGTGACAGTGTTCTTGGGGACTGTCTCGAGATCCATTAAGCAAGTCGAAGCTCCTGACTTGTTTGAATGGGACCACGGAATAGCTCTGCATGCACTGCAGGGGAATGGGGTCTCATCTCGCCTCTAGAGGGAAGTCTCATGGTTTTTCTCGAGTTGCGGCGGGGACCTGGGGTATGTTCTCGACTTACGGCGGTGATGGCCCTTCAAAACACGAGTTTCTTCAGTGACGTCAGGACTCCTGTCTAGTAACGAGGGACACCTAAGGAATCTCTTCGAGGCTTGGCAGGGCAAAAGGGACGCTTCTCGAGGTGAGGCAGGGCACCCAAGGACCCTTTCCAGTAGCCACAGGGATTTTGGGATTCCTATCAGTATTCAAGAGGAGTCAGGCATCGTCACGTTTTGAAGCAATGAACTCCGCGTGCCTCTCGAGGTGTCAACGGGATGTGAGGCATTCCGTCCAAATGAGGCAGGGACCTAGGGCTTTCTCTAAGGTCTCCACAGGGGATTCAGACATCCCTTCATGTTGTGAGATCAAAGACGAGCCTGTATTCAAGCCACTGCAAGGAAATCCGGCCTGCTTTCAAGTTAGGGCTTCTCGCTGTATATTGCCCTTGAGGCAGCGAACTCGGGGTCCCTCCCACATACCTATTGCTGAGAGAAGCCTCCTCCTGAGGTGCGTCTTGAAAGTTGGCATACGTCTTGAGCCTAAGCCAGGGAATCACCTCTCATCTCGAGACGATTTGGGGTACACGGAGCATTCCTCGAGTTGCCGTGCTGAAGTTGGTGTTCCTCTAGACTTGGGACAGTGTTCTCGGGGCATCTCTGGAGTTGCCTGAAGGAAGTCGAGCCACCGGTCGTGTTGAATGGGGAACGGGGAATGGCTCTGGAGTCAATGCAGGGGAATCGGGCCTCATCTCGAGTTGATTTGGGGTCCATGGAGCTGCTTTGGGTTGCTGGGGTGACCTCAGGGTCCGTCGAGACTGGTGACAGTGTTCTTGGGGACTGTCTCGAGAACCATTAAGCATGTCGAAGCTCCTGACTTGCTTGAATGGGACCACGGAATAGCTCTGCATGCACTGCAGGGGAATGGGGCCTCATCTCGCCTCTAGGGGGAAGTCTCATGGTTTTTCTCGAGTTGCGGCGGGGACCTGGGGTATGTTCTCGACTTACGGCGGGGATGGCCCTTCAAAACACGAGTTTCTTCAGTGACGTCAGGACTCCTGTCTAGTAACGAGGGACACCTCAGGAATCTCTTCGAGGCTTGGCAGGGCAAACGGGACGCTTCTCGAGGTGAGGCAGGGCACCCAAGTACCCTTTCCAGTAGCCACAGGGATTTTGGGTTTCCTATCAGTATTCAAGAGGAGTGAGGCATTGTCACCTTTTGAAGCAATGAACTTCGCGTGCCTCTTGAGGTGTCAACGGGATGTGAGGCATTCCGTCAAAATGAGGCAGGTAACTAGGGCTTTCTCTAAGGTCTCCACAGGGAATTCAGACATCCCTTCATGTTGTGAGATGAAAGACGAGCCTGTATTCAAGCCACTGCAAGGAAATCCGGCCTCCATTCAAGTTAGGGCTTCTCGCTGTATATTGCCCTTGAGGCAGCGAACTCGGGGTCCCTCCCACATACCTATTGCTGAGAGAAGCCTCCTCCTGAGGTGCGTCTTGAAAGTTGGCATACGTCTTGAGCCTAAGCCAGGGAATCAGCTCTCATCTCGAGACGATTTGGGGTTCGCGGAGCATTCCTCGAGTTGCTGTGCTGAAGTTGGTGTTCCTCTAGACTTGGGACAGTGTTCTCGGGGCATCTCTGGAGTTGCCTGAAGGAAGTCGAGCCACAGGTCGTGTTGAATGGGGAACCGGTAATGGCTCTGGAGTCAATGCAGGGGAATCGGGCCTCATCTCGAGTTGATTTGGGTCCCATGGAGCTGCTTTGCGTTGCTGGGGTGACCTCAGGGTCCGTCGAGACTGGTGACAGTGTTCTTGGGGACTGTCTCGAGAACCATTAAGCAAGTCGAAGCTCCTGACTTGCTTGAATGGGACCACGGAATAGCTCTGCATGCACTGCAGGGGAATGGGGCCTCATCTCGACTCTAGGGGGAAGTCTCATGGTTTTCCTCGAGTTGCGGCGGGGACCTGGGGTATGTTCTCGACTTACGGCGGGGATGGCCTTTCAAAACACGAGTTTCTTCAGTGACGTCAGGACTCCTGTCTAGTAACGAGGGACACCTCAGGAATCTCTTCGAGGCCTGGCATGGCAAAAGGGACGCTTCTCGAGGTGAGGCCGGGCACCCAAGGACCCTTTCCAGTAGCCACAGGGATTTTGGGATTCCTATCAGTATTCAAGAGGAGTCAGGCATCGTCACCTTTTGAAGCAATGAACTCCGCGTGCCTCTCGAGGTGTCAACGGGATGTGAGGCATTACGTCCAAATGAGGCAGGGACATAGGGCTTTCTCTAAGATCTCCACAGGGGATTCAGACATCCCTTCATGTTGTGAGATGAAAGACGAGCCTGTATTCAAGCCACTGCAAGGAAATCCGGCCTCCTTTCAAGTTAGGGCTTCTCGCTGTATATTGCCCTTGAGGCAGCGAACTCGGGTTCCCTCCCACATACCTATTGCTGAGAGAAGCCTCCTCCTGAGGTGCTTCTGGAAAGTTGGCATACGTCTTGAGCCTAAGCCAGGGAATCAGCTCTCATCTCGAGATGATTTGGGGTACACGGAGCATTCCTCGAGTTGCTGTGCTGAAGTTGGTGTTCCTCTAGACTTGGGACAGTGTTCTCGGGGTACCTCTGGAGTTGCCTGAAGGAAGTCGAGCCACCGGTCGTGTTGAATGGGGAACGGGGAATGGCTCTCGAGTCAATGCAGGGGAATCGGGCCTCATCTCGAGTTGATTTGGGGCACATGGAGCTGCTTTGCGTTACTGGGGTGACCTCAGGGTCCGTCGAGACTGGTGACAGTGTTCTTGGGGACTGTCTCGAGATCCATTAAGCAAGTCGAAGCTCCTGACTTGCTTGAATGGGACCACGGAATAGCTCTGCATGCACTGCAGGGGAATGGGGCCTCATCTCGCCTCTAGGGGGAAGTCTCATGGTTTTTCTCGAGTTGCGGCGGGGACCTGGGTTATGTTCTCGACTTACGGCGGGGATGGCCCTTCAAAACCCGAGTTTCTTCAGTGACGTCAGGACTCCTGTCTAGTAACGAGGGACACCTCAGGAATCTCTTCGAGGCTTGGCAGGGCAAAAGGGACGCTTCTCGAGGTGAGGCAGGGCACCCAAGGACCCTTTCCAGTAGCCACAGGGATTTTGGCTTTCCTATCAGTATTCAAGTGGAGTGAGGCATTGTCACCTTTTGAAGCAATGAACTTCGCGTGTCTCTTGAGGTGTCAACGGGATGTGAGGCATTCCGTCAAAATGAGGCAGGGACCTAGGGCTTTCTCTAAGGTCTACAAAGGGGATTCAGACATCCCTTCATGTTGTGAGTTGAAAGACAAGCCTGTATTCATGCCACTGCAAGGAAATCCGGCCTGCTTTCAAGTTAGGGCTTCTCGCTGTATATTGCCCTTGAGGCAGCGAACTCGGGGTCCCTCCCACATACCTATTGCTGAGAGAAGCCTCCTCCTGAGATGCGTCTGGAAAGTTGGCATACGTCTTGAACCTAAGCCAGGGAATCAGCTCTCATCTCGAGACGATTTGGGGTACACGGAGCATTCCTCGAGTTGCTGTGCTGAAGTTGGTGTTCCTCTAGACTTGGGACAGTGTTCTCGGGGTATCTCTGGAGTTGCCTGAAGGAAGTCGAGCCACCGGTCGTGTTGAATGGGGAACGGGGAATGGCTCTGGATTCAATGCAGGGGAATCGGGCCTCATCTCGAGTTGATTTGGGGCACATGGAGCTGCTTTGCGTTGCTGGGGTGACCTCAGCGTCCGTCGAGACTGGTGACAGTGTTCTTGGGGACTGTCTCGAGATCCATTAAGCAAGTCGAAGCTCCTGACTTGTTTGAATGGGACCACGGAATAGCTCTGCATGCACTGCAGGGGAATGGGGCCTCATCTCGCCTCTTGGGGGAAGTCTCATGGTTTTTCTCGAGTTGCGGCGGGGACCTGGGGTATGTTCTCAACTTACGGCGGGGATGGCCCTTCAAAACACGAGTTTCTTCAGTGACGTCAGGACTCCTGTCTAGTAACGAGGGACATCTCAGGAATCTCATCGAGGCTTGGCAGTGCAAATGGGACGCTTCTTGAGGTGAGGCAGGGCACCCAAGGTCCCTTTCCAGTAGCCACAGGGATTTTGGGATTCCTATCAGTATTCAAGAGGAGTCAGGCATCGTCACCTTTTGAAGCAATGAACTCCGCGTGCCTCTCGAGGTGTCAACGGGATGTGAGGCATTACGTCCAAATGAGGCAGGAATCTAGGAATTTCTCTAAGATCTCCACAGGGCATTCAGACATCCCTTCATGTTGTGAGATCAAAGACGAGCCTGTATTCAAGCCACTGCAAGGAAATCCGGCCTCCTTTCAAGTTAGGGCTTCTCGCTGTATATTGCCCTTGAGGCAGCGAACTCGGGGTCCCTCCCAAATACGTATTGCTGAGAGAAGCCTCCTCCTGAGATGCGTCTTGAAAGTTGGCATACGTCTTGAGCCTAAGCCAGGGAATCAGCTCTCATCTCGAGACGATTTGGGGTACACGGAGCATTCCTCGAGTTGCCGTGCTGAAGTTGGTGTTCCTCTAGACTTGGGACAGTGTTCTCAGGGCATCTCTGGAGTTGCCTGAAGGAAGTCGAGCCACCGGTCGTGTTGAATGGGGAACGGGGAATGGCTCTGGAGTCAATGCAGGGGAATCGGGCCTCATCTCGAGTTGATTTGGGGTCCATGGAGCTGCTTTGCGTTGCTGGGGTGACCTCAGGGTCCGTCGAGACTGGTGACAGTGTTCTTGGGGACTGTCTCGAGAACCATTAAGCATGTCGAAGCTCCTGACTTGCTTGAATGGGACCACGGAATAGCTCTGCATGCACTGCAGGGGAATGGGGCCTCATCTCGCCTCTAGGGGGAAGTCTCATGGTTTTTCTCGAGTTGCGGCGGGGACCTGGGGTATGTTCTCGACTTACGGCGGGGATGGCCCTTCAAAACACGAGTTTCTTCAGTGACGTCAGGACTCCTGTCTAGTAACGAGGGACACCTCAGGAATCTCTTCGAGGCTTGGCAGGGCAAAAGGGACGCTTCTCGAGGTGAGGCAGGGCACCCAGGCACCCTTTCCAGTAGCCACAGGGATTTTGGGTTTCCTATCAGTATTCAAGAGGAGTGAGGCATTGTCACCTTTTGAAGCAATGAACTTCGCGTGCCTCTTGAGGTGTCAACGGGATGTGAGGCATTCCGTCAAAATGAGGCAGGTAACTAGGGCTTTCTCTAAGGTCTCCACAGGGAATTCAGACATCCCTTCATGTTGTGAGATGAAAGACGAGCCTGTATTCAAGCCACTGCAAGGAAATCCGGCCTCCATTCAAGTTAGGGCTTCTCGCTGTATATTGCCCTTGAGGCAGCGAACTCGGGGTCCCTCCCACATACCTATTTCTGAGAGAAGCCTCCTCCTGAGGTGCGTCTTGAAAGTTGGCATACGTCTTGAGCCTAAGCCAGGGAATCAGCTCTCATCTCGAGACGATTTGGGGTACACGGATCATTCCTCGAGTTGCTGTGCTGAAGTTGGTGTTCCTCTAGACTTGGGACAGTGTTCTCGGGGCATCTCTGGAGTTGCCTGAAGGAAGTCGAGCCACAGGTCGTGTTGAATGGGGAACCGGTAATGGCTCTGGAGTCAATGCAGGGGAATCGGGCCTCATCTCGAGTTGATTTGGGGCCCATGGAGCTGCTTTGCGTTGCTGGGGTGACCTCAGGGTCCGTCGAGACTGGTGACAGTGTTCTTGGGGACTGTCTCGAGAACCATTAAGCAAGTCGAAGCTCCTGACTTGCTTGAATGGGACCACGGAATAGCTCTGCATGCACTGCAGGGGAATGGGGCCTCATCTCGACTCTAGGGGGAAGTCTCATGTTTTTTCTCGAGTTGCGGCGGGGTCCTGGGGTATGTTCTCGACTTACGGCTTGGATGGCCCTTCAAAACACGAGTTTCTTCAGTGACGTCAGGACTCCTGTCTAGTAACGAGGGACACCTCAGGAATCTCTTCGAGGCTTGTCAGGGCAAAAGGGACGCTTCTCGAGGTGAGGCCGGGCACCCAAGGACCCTTTCCAGTAGCCACAGGGATTTTGGGATTCCTATCAGTATTCAAGAGAAGTCAGGCATCTTCACCTTTTGAAGCAATGAACTCCGCGTGCCTCTCGAGGTGTCAACGGGATGTGAGGCATTACGTCCAAATGAGGCAGGGACCTAGGGCTTTCTCTAAGATCTCCACAGGGCATTCAGACATCCCTTCATGTTGTGAGATCAAAGACGAGCCTGTATTCAAGCCACTGCAAGGAAATCCGGCCTCCTTTCAAGTTAGGGCTTCTCGCTGTATATTGCCCTTGAGGCAGCGAACTCGGGGTCCCTCCCAAATACCTATTGCTGAGAGAAGCCTCCTCCTGAGATGCGTCTTGAAAGTTGGCATACGTCTTGAGCCTAAGCCAGGGAATCAGCTTTCATCTCGAGACGATTTGGGGTACACGGAGCATTCCTCGAGTTGCCGTGCTGAAGTTGGTGTTCCTCTAGACTTGGGACAGTGTTCTCGGGGCATCTCTGGAGTTGCCTGAAGGAAGTCGTGCCACCGGTCGTGTTGAATGGGGAACAGGGAATGGCTCTGGAGTCAATGCAGGGGAATCGGGCCTCATCTCGAGTTGATTTGGGGTCCATGGAGCCGCTTTGCGTTGCTGGGGTGACCTCAGGGTCCGTCGAGACTGGTGACAGTGTTCTTGGGGACTGTCTCGAGAACCATTAAGCAAGTCGAAGCTCCTGACTTGCTTGAATGGGACCACGGAAGCTCTGCATGCACTGCAGGGGAATGGGGCCTCATCTCGCCTCTAGGGGGAAGTCTCATTTTTTTTCTCGAGTTGCGGCGGGGACCTGGGGTATGTTCTCGACTTACGGCGGGGATGGCCCTTCAAAACACGAGTTTCTTCAGTGACGTCAGGACTCCTGTCTAGTAACGAGGGACACCTCAGGAATCTCTTCGAGGCTTGGCAGGGCAAAAGGGACGCTTCTGGAGGTGAGGCAGGGCACCCAAGGACCCTTTCCAGTAGCCACAGGGATTTTGGGTTTCCTATCAGTATTCAAGAGGAGTGAGGCATTGTCACCTTTTGAAGCAATGAACTTCGCGTGCCTCTTGAGGTGTCAACGGGATGTGAGGCATTCCGTCAAAATGAGGCAGGGACCTAGGGCTTTCTCTAAGGTCTCCACAGGGGATTCAGACATCCCTTCATGTTGTGAGATGAAAGACGAGCCTGTATTCAAGCCACTGCAAGGAAATCCGGCCTCCATTCAAGTTAGGGCTTCTCGCTGTATATTGCCCTTGAGGCAGCGAACTCGGGGTCCCTCCCACATACCTATTGCTGAGAGAAGCCTCCTCCTGAGGTGCTTCTGGAAAGTTGGCATACGTCTTGAGCCTAAGCCAGGGAATCAGCTCTCATCTCGAGACGATTTGGGGTACACGGAGCATTCCTCGAGTTGCTGTGCTGAAGTTGGTGTTCCTCTAGACTTGGGACAGTGTTCTCGGGGTACCTCTGGAGTTGCCTGAAGGAAGTCGAGCCACCGGTCGTGTTGAATGGGGAACGGGGAATGGCTCTCGAGTCAATGCAGGGGAATCGGGCCTCATCTCGAGTTGATTTGGGGCACATGGAGCTGCTTTGCGTTGCTGGGGTGACCTCAGGGTCCGTCGAGACTGGTGAGAGTGTTCTTGGGGACTGTCTCGAGAACCATTAAGCAAGTCGAAGCTCCTGACTTGCTTGAATGGGACCACGGAATAGCTCTGCATGCACTGCAGGGGAATGGGGCCTCATCTCGCTTCTAGGGGTAAGTCTCATGGTTTTTCTCGAGTTGCGGCGGGGACCTGGGGTATGTTCTCGACTTACGGCGGGGATGGCCCTTCAAAACACGAGTTTCTTCAGTGACGTCAGGACTCCTGTCTAGTAACGAGGGACACCTCAGGAATCTCTTCGAGGCTTGGCAGGGCAAAAGGGACGCTTCTCGAGGTGAGGCAGGGCACCCAAGGACCCTTTCCAGTAGCCACAGGGATTTTGGGATTCCTATCAGTATTCAAGAGGAGTGAGGCATTTTCACCTTTTGAAGCAATGAACTTCGCGTGCCTCTTGAGGTGTCAACGGGATGTGAGGCATTCCGTCAAAATGAGGCAGGTAACTAGGGATTTCTCTAAGGTCTCCACAGGGAATTCAGACATCCCTTCATGTTGTGAGATGAAAGACGAGCCTGTATTCAAGCCACTGCAAGGAAATCCGGCCTCCATTCAAGTTAGGGCTTCTCACTGTATATTGCCCTTGAGGCAGCGAACTCGGTGTCCCTCCCACATACCTATTGCTGAGAGAAGCCTCCTCCTGAGGTGCGTCTGGAAAGTTGGCATACGTCTTGAGCCTAAGTCAGGGAATCAGCTCTCATCTCGAGACGATTTGGGGTACACGGAGCATTCCTCGAGTTGCTGTGCTGAAGTTGGTGTTCCTCTAGACTTGGGACAGTGTTCTCGGGGTATCTCTGGAGTTGCCTGAAGGAAGTCGAGCCACCGGTCGTGTTGAATGGGGAACGGGGAATGGCTCTGGATGCAATGCAGGGGAATCGGGCCTCATCTCGTGTTGATTTGGGGCACATGGAGCTGCTTTGCGTTGCTGGGGTGACCTCAGCGTCCGTCGAGACTGGTGACAGTGTTCTTGGGGACTGTCTCGAGATCCATTAAGCAAGTCGAAGCTCCTGACTTGTTTGAATGGGACCACGGAATAGCTCTGCATGCACTGCAGGGGAATGGGGCCTCATCTCGCCTCTAGGGGGAAGTCTCATGGTTTTTCTCGAGTTGCGGCGGGGACCTGGGGTATGTTCTCGACTTGCGGCGGGGATGGCCCTTCAAAACACGAGTTTCTTCAGTGACGTCAGGACTCCTGTCTAGTAACGAGGGACAACTCAGGAATCTCATCGAGTCTTGGCAGTGGAAATGGGACGCTTCTTGAGGTGAGGCAGGGCACCCAAGGACCCTTTCCAGTAGCCACAGGGATTTGGGGATTCCTATCAGAATTGAAGAGAAGTCAGGCATCGTCACCTTTTGAAGCAATGAACTCCGCGTGCCTCTCGAGGTGTCAACTTGATGTGAGGCATTCCGTCCAAATGAGGCAGGGACCTAGGGCTTTCTCTAAGGTCTCCACAGGGGATTCAGACATCCCTTCATGTTGTGAGAAGAAAGACGAGCCTGTATTCAAGCCACTGCAAGGAAATCCGGCCTCCTTTCAAGTTAGGGCTTCTCGCTGTATATTGCCCTTGAGGCAGCGAACTCGGGGTCCCTCCCACATACCTATTGCTGAGAGAAGCCCCCTCCTGAGGTGCGTCTTGAAAGTTGGCATACGTCTTGAGCCTAAGCCAGGGAATCACCTCTCATCTCGAGACGATTTGGGGTACACGGAGCATTCCTCGAGTTGCCGTGCTGAAGTTGGTGTTCCTCTAGACTTGAGACAGTGTTCTAGGGGCATCTCTGGAGTTGCCTGAAGGAAGTCGAGCCACCGGTCGTGTTGAATGGGGAACGGGGAATGGCTCTGGAGTCAATGCAGGGGAATCGGGCCTCATCTCGAGTTGATTTGGGGCCCATGGAGCTGCTTTGCGTTGCTGGGGTGAACTCAGGGTCGTCGAGACTGGTGACAGTGTTCTTGGGGACTGTCTCGAGAACCATTAAGCAAGTCGAAGCTCCTGACTTGCTTGAATGGGACCACGGAATAGCTCTGCATTCACTGCAGGGGAATGGGCCTCATCTCGCCTCTAGGGGGAAGTCTCATGGTTTTTCTCGAGTTGTGGCGGGGACCTGGGGTATGTTCTCGACTTACGGCGGGGATGGCCCTTCAAAACACGAGTTTCTTCAGTGACGTCAGGACTCCTGTCTAGTAATGAGGGACACCTCAGGAATCTCTTCGAGGCTTGTCAGGGCAAAAGGGACGCTTCTCGAGGTGAGGCCGGGCACCCAAGGACCCTTTCCAGTAGCCACAGGGATTTTGGGATTCCTATCAGTATTCAAGAGGAGTCAGGCATCGTCACATTTTTAAGCAATGAACTTCGCGTGCCTCTTGAGGTGTCAACGGGATGTGAGGCATTCCGTCAAAATGAGGCAGGGACCTAGGGCTTTCTCTAAGGTCTCCACAGGGGATTCAGACATCCCTTCATGTTGTGAGATCAAAGACGAGCCTGTATTCAAGCCACTGCAAGGAAATCCGGCCTCCTTTCAAGTTAGGGCTTCTCGCTGTACATTGCCCTTGAGGCAGCGAACTCGGGGTCCCTCCCACATAACTATTGCTGAGAGAAGCCTCCTCCTGAGGTGTGTCTGGAAAGTTGGCATACGTCTTGAGCCTAAGCCAGGGAATCAGCTCTCATCTTGAGACGATTTGGGGTACACGGAGCATTCCTCGAGTTGCTGTGCTGAAGTTGGTGTTCCTCTAGACTTGGGACAGTGTTCTCGGGGTATCTCTGGAGTTGCCTGAAGGAAGTCGAGCCACAGTTCGTGTTGAATGGGGAACGCGGAATGGCTCTGGAGTCAATGCAGGGGAATCGGGCCTCTTCTCGAGTTGATTTGGGGCACATGGAGCTGCTTTGCGTTGCTGGGGTGACCTCAGCGTCCGTCGAGACTGGTGACAGTGTTCTTGGGGACTGTCTCGAGATCCATTAAGCAAGTCGAAGCTCCTGACTTGTTTGAATGGGACCACGGAATAGCTCTGCATGCACTGCAGGGGAATGGGGTCTCATCTCGCCTCTAGAGGGAAGTCTCATGGTTTTTCTCGAGTTGCGGCGCGGACCTGGGTTATGTTCTCGACTTACGGCGGGGATGGCCCTTCAAAACACGAGTTTCTTCAGTGACGTCAGGACTCCTGTCTAGTAACGAGGGAAACCTAAGGAATCTCTTCGAGGCTTGGCAGGGCAAAAGGGACGCTTCTCGAGGTGAGGCAGGGCACCCAAGGACCCTTTCCAGTAGCCACATGGATTTTGGGATTCCTATCAGTATTCAAGAGGAGTCAGGCATCGTCACGTTTTGAAGCAATGAACTCCGCGTGCCTCTCGAGGTGTCAACGGGATGTGAGGCATTCCGTCCAAATGAGGCAGGGACCTAGGGCTTTCTCTAAGGTCTCCACAGGGGATTCAGACATCCCTTCATGTTGTGAGATCAAAGACGAGCCTGTATTCAAGCCACTGCAAGGAAATCCGGCCTGCTTTCAAGTTAGGGCTTCTCGCTGTATATTGCCCTTGAGGCAGCGAACTCGGGGTCCCTCCCACATACCTATTGCTGAGAGAAGCCTCCTCCTGAGGTGCGTCTTGAAAGTTGGCATACGTCTTGAGCCTAAGCCAGGGAATCACCTCTCATCTCGAGACGATTTGGGGTACACGGAGCATTCCTCGAGTTGCCGTGCTGAAGTTGGTGTTCCTCTAGACTTGGGACAGTGTTCTCGGGGCATCTCTGGAGTTGCCTGAAGGAAGTCGAGCCACAGGTCGTGTTGAATGGGGAACGGGGAATGGCTCTGGATTCAATGCAGGGGATTCGGGCCTCATCTCGAGTTGATTTGGGGTCCATGGAGCTGCTTTGCGTTGCTGGGGTGACCTCAGGGTCCGTCGAGACTGGTGACAGTGTTCTTGGGGACTGTCTCGAGAACCATTAAGCATGTCGAAGCTCCTGACTTGCTTGAATGGGACCACTGAATAGCTCTGCATGCACTGCAGGGGAATGGGGCCTCATCTCGCCTCTAGGGGGAAGTCTCATGGTTTTTCTCGAGTTGCGGCGGGGACCTGGGGTATGTTCTCGACTTACGGCGGGGATGGCCCTTCAAAACACGAGTTTCTTCAGTGACGTCAGGACTCCTGTCTAGTAACGAGGGACACCTCAGGAATCTCTTCGAGGCTTGTCAGGGCAAAAGGGACGCTTCTCGAGGTGAGGCCGGGCACCCAAGGACCCTTTCCAGTAGCCACAGGGATTTTGGGATTCCTATCAGTATTCAAGAGAAGTCAGGCATCGTCACCTTTTGAAGCAATGAACTCCGCGTGCCTCTCGAGGTGTCAACGGGATGTGAGGCATTACGTCCAAATGAGGCAGGGACCTAGGGCTTTCTCTAAGATCTCCACAGGGCATTCAGACATCCCTTCATGTTGTGAGATCAAAGACGAGCCTGTATTCAAGCCACTGCAAGGAAATCCGGCCTCCTTTCAAGTTAGGGCTTCTCGCTGTATATTGCCCTTGAGGCAGCGAACTCGGGGTCCCTCCCAAATACCTATTGCTGAGAGAAGCCTCCTCCTGAGATGCGTCTTGAAAGTTGGCATACGTCTTGAGCCTAAGCCAGGGAATCAGCTTTCATCTCGAGACGATTTGGGGTACACGGAGCATTCCTCGAGTTGCCGTGCTGAAGTTGGTGTTCCTCTAGACTTGGGACAGTGTTCTCGGGGCATCTCTGGAGTTGCCTGAAGGAAGTCGAGCCACCGGTCGTGTTGAATGGGGAACAGGGAATGGCTCTGGAGTCAATGCAGGGGAATCGGGCCTCATCTCGAGTTGATTTGGGGTCCATGGAGCCGCTTTGCGTTGCTGGGGTGACCTCAGGGTCCGTCGAGACTGGTGACAGTGTTCTTGGGGACTGTCTCGAGAACCATTAAGCAAGTCGAAGCTCCTGACTTGCTTGAATGGGACCACGGAAGCTCTGCATGCACTGCAGGGGAATGGGGCCTCATCTCGCCTCTAGGGGGAAGTCTCATTTTTTTTCTCGAGTTGCGGCGGGGACCTGGGGTATGTTCTCGACTTACGGCGGGGATGGCCCTTCAAAACACGAGTTTCTTCAGTGACGTCAGGACTCCTGTCTAGTAACGAGGGACACCTCAGGAATCTCTTCGAGGCTTGGCAGGGCAAAAGGGACGCTTCTGGAGGTGAGGCAGGGCACCCAAGGACCCTTTCCAGTAGCCACAGGGATTTTGGGTTTCCTATCAGTATTCAAGAGGAGTGAGGCATTGTCACCTTTTGAAGCAATGAACTTCGCGTGCCTCTTGAGGTGTCAACGGGATGTGAGGCATTCCGTCAAAATGAGGCAGGGACCTAGGGCTTTCTCTAAGGTCTCCACAGGGGATTCAGACATCCCTTCATGTTGTGAGATGAAAGACGAGCCTGTATTCAAGCCACTGCAAGGAAATCCGGCCTCCATTCAAGTTAGGGCTTCTCGCTGTATATTGCCCTTGAGGCAGCGAACTCGGGGTCCCTCCCACATACCTATTGCTGAGAGAAGCCTCCTCCTGAGGTGCTTCTGGAAAGTTGGCATACGTCTTGAGCCTAAGCCAGGGAATCAGCTCTCATCTCGAGACGATTTGGGGTACACGGAGCATTCCTCGAGTTGCTGTGCTGAAGTTGGTGTTCCTCTAGACTTGGGACAGTGTTCTCGGGGTACCTCTGGAGTTGCCTGAAGGAAGTCGAGCCACCGGTCGTGTTGAATGGGGAACGGGGAATGGCTCTCGAGTCAATGCAGGGGAATCGGGCCTCATCTCGAGTTGATTTGGGGCACATGGAGCTGCTTTGCGTTGCTGGGGTGACCTCAGGGTCCGTCGAGACTGGTGAGAGTGTTCTTGGGGACTGTCTCGAGAACCATTAAGCAAGTCGAAGCTCCTGACTTGCTTGAATGGGACCACGGAATAGCTCTGCATGCACTGCAGGGGAATGGGGCCTCATCTCGCTTCTAGGGGTAAGTCTCATGGTTTTTCTCGAGTTGCGGCGGGGACCTGGGGTATGTTCTCGACTTACGGCGGGGATGGCCCTTCAAAACACGAGTTTCTTCAGTGACGTCAGGACTCCTGTCTAGTAACGAGGGACACCTCAGGAATCTCTTCGAGGCTTGGCAGGGCAAAAGGGACGCATCTCGAGGTGAGGCAGGGCACCCAAGGACCCTTTCCAGTAGCCACAGGGATTTTTGGTTTCCTATCAGTATTCAAGTGGAGTGAGGCATTGTCACCTTTTGAAGCAATGAACTTCGCGTGCCTCTTGAGGTGTCAAAGGGATGTGAGGCATTCCGTCAAAATGAGGCAGGGACCTAGGGCTTTCTCTAAGGTCTACACAGGGGATTCAGACATCCCTTCATGTTGTGAGATGAAAGACGAGCCTGTATTCATGCCACTGCAAGGAAATCCGGCCTCCTTTCAAGTTAGGGCTTCTCGCTGTATATTGCCCTTGAGGCAGCGAACTCGGGGTCCCTCCCACATACCTATTGCTGAGAGAAGCCTCCTCCTGAGGTGCGTCTGGAAAGTTGGCATACGTCTTGAACCTAAGCCAGGGAATCAGCTCTCATCTCGAGACGATTTGGGGTACACGGAGCATTCCTCGATTTGCTGTGCTGAAATTCGTGTTCCTCTAGACTTGGGACAGTGTTCTCGGGGTATCTCTGGAGTTGCCTGAAGGAAGTCGAGCCACCGGTCGTGTTGAATGGGGAACGGGGAATGGCTCTGGATTCAATGCAGGGGAATCGGGCCTCATCTCGAGTTGATTTGGGGCACATGGAGCTGCTTTGCGTTGCTGGGGTGACCTCAGCGTCCGTCGAGACTGGTGACAGTGTTCTTGGGGACTGTCTCGAGATCCATTAAGCAAGTCGAAGCTCCTGACTTGCTTGAATGGGACCACGGAATAGCTCTGCATGCACTGCAGGGGAATGGGGCCTCATCTCGCCTCTAGGGGGAAGTCTCATGGTTTTTCTCGAGTTGCGGCGGGGACCTGGGGTATGTTCTCGATTTACGGCGGGGATGGCCCTTCAAAACACGAGTTTCTTCAGTGACGTCAGGACTCCTGTCTAGTAACGAGGGACACCTCAGGAATCTCTTCGAGGCTTGGCAGGACAAAAGGGACGCTTCTCGAGGTGAGGCAGGGCACCCAAGGACCCTTTCCAGTAGCCACAGGGATTTTGGGATTCCTATCAGTATTCAAGAGGAGTGAGGCATTTTCACCTTTTGAAGCAATGAACTTCGCGTGCCTCTTGAGGTGTCAACGGGATGTGAGGCATTCCGTCAAAATGAGGCAGGTAACTAGGGATTTCTCTAAGGTCTCCACAGGGAATTCAGACATCCCTTCATGTTGTGAGATGAAAGACGAGCCTGTATTCAAGCCACTGCAAGGAAATCCGGCCTCCATTCAAGTTAGGGCTTCTCACTGTATATTGCCCTTGAGGCAGCGAACTCGGTGTCCCTCGCACATACCTATTGCTGAGAGAAGCCTCCTCCTGAGGTGCGTCTGGAAAGTTGGCATACGTCTTGAGCCTAAGTCAGGGAATCAGCTCTCATCTCGAGACGATTTGGGGTACACGGAGCATTCCTCGAGTTGCTGTGCTGAAGTTGGTGTTCCTCTAGACTTGGGACAGTGTTCTCGGGGTATCTCTGGAGTTGCCTGAAGGAAGTCGAGCCACCGGTAGTGTTGAATGGGGAATGGGGAATGGCTCTGGATGCAATACAGGGGAATCGGGCCTCATCTCGTGTTGATTTGGGGCACATGGAGCTGCTTTGCGTTGCTGGGGTGACCTCAGCGTCCGTCGAGACTGGTGACAGTGTTCTTGGGGACTGTCTCGAGATCCATTAAGCAAGTCGAAGCTCCTGACTTGTTTGAATGGGACCACGGAATAGCTCTGCATGCACTGCAGGGGAATGGGGCCTCATCTCGCCTCTAGGGGGAAGTCTCATGGTTTTTCTCGAGTTGCGGCGGGGACCTGGGGTATGTTCTCGACTTACGGCGGGGATGGCCCTTCAAAACACGAGTTTCTTCAGTGACGTCAGGACTCCTGTCTAGTAACGAGGGACAACTCAGGAATCTCATCGAGTCTTGGCAGTGCAAATGGGACGCTTCTTGAGGTGAGGCAGGGCACCCAAGGACCCTTTCCAGTAGCCACAGGGATTTGGGGATTCCTATCAGAATTCAAGAGAAGTCAGGCATCGTCACCTTTTGAAGCAATGAACTCCGCGTGCCTCTCGAGGTGTCAACTTGATGTGAGGCATTCCGTCCAAATGAGGCAGGGACCTAGGGCTTTCTCTAAGGTCTCCACAGGGGATTCAGACATCCCTTCATGTTGTGAGAAGAAAGACGAGCCTGTATTCAAGCCACTGAAAGGAAATCCGGCCTCCTTTCAAGTTAGGGCTTCTCGCTGTATATTACCCTTGAGGCAGCGAACTCGGGGTCCCTCCCACATACCTATTGCTGAGAGAAGCCCCCTCCTGAGGTGCGTCTTGAAAGTTGGCATACGTCTTGAGCCTAAGCCAGGGAATCACCTCTCATCTCGAGACGATTTGGGGTACACGGAGCATTCCTCGAGATGCCGTGCTGAAGTTGGTGTTCCTCTAGACTTGAGACAGTGTTCTAGGGGCATCTCTGGAGTTGCCTGAAGGAAGTCGAGCCACCGGTCGTGTTGAATGGGGAACGGGGAATGGCTCTGGAGTCAATGCAGGGGAATCGGGCCTCATCTCGAGTTGATTTGGGGCCCATGGAGCTGCTTTGCGTTGCTGGGGTGAACTCAGGGTCGTCGAGACTGGTGACAGTGTTCTTGGGGACTGTCTCGAGAACCATTAAGCAAGTCGAAGCTCCTGACTTGCTTGAATGGGACCACGGAATAGCTCTGCATTCACTGCAGGGGAATGGGCCTCATCTCGCCTCTAGGGGGAAGTCTCATTGTTTTTCTCGAGTTGTGGCGGGGACCTGGGGTATGTTCTCGACTTACGGCGGGGATGGCCCTTCAAAACACGAGTTTCTTCAGTGACGTCAGGACTCCTGTCTAGTAACGAGGGACACCTCAGGAATCTCTTCGAGGCTTGTCAGGGCAAAAGGGACGCTTCTCGAGGTGAGGCCGGGCACCCAAGGACCCTTTCCAGTAGCCACAGGGATTTTGGGATTCCTATCAGTATTCAAGAGGAGTCAGGCATCGTCACATTTTTAAGCAATGAACTTCGCGTGCCTCTTGAGGTGTCAACGGGATGTGAGGCATTCCGTCAAAATGAGGCAGGGACCTAGGGCTTTCTCTAAGGTCTCCACAGGGGATTCAGACATCCCTTCATGTTGTGAGATCAAAGACGAGCCTGTATTCAAGCCACTGCAAGGAAATCCGGCCTCCTTTCAAGTTAGGGCTTCTCGCTGTACATTGCCCTTGAGGCAGCGAACTCGGGGTCCCTCCCACATAACTATTGCTGAGAGAAGCCTCCTCCTGAGGTGTGTCTCGAAAGTTGGCATACGTCTTGAGCCTAAGCCAGGGAATCAGCTCTCATCTTGAGACGATTTGGGGTACACGGAGCATTCCTCGAGTTGCTGTGCTGAAGTTGGTGTTCCTCTAGACTTCGGACAGTGTTCTCGGGGTATCTCTGGAGTTGCCTGAAGGAAGTCGAGCCACAGTTCGTGTTGAATGGGGAACGCGGAATGGCTCTGGAGTCAATGCAGGGGAATCGGGCCTCTTCTCGAGTTGATTTGGGGCACATGGAGCTGCTTTGCGTTGCTGGGGTGACCTCAGCGTCCGTCGAGACTGGTGACAGTGTTCTTGGGGACTGTCTCGAGATCCATTAAGCAAGTCGAAGCTCCTGACTTGTTTGAATGGGACCACGGAATAGCTCTGCATGCACTGCAGGGGAATGGGGTCTCATCTCGCCTCTAGAGGGAAGTCTCATGGTTTTTCTCGAGTTGCGGCGGGGACCTGGGGTATGTTCTCGACTTACGGCGGGGATGGCCCTTCAAAACACGAGTTTCTTCAGTGACGTCAGGACTCCTGTCTAGTAACGAGGGAAACCTAAGGAATCTCTTCGAGGCTTGGCAGGGCAAAAGGGACGCTTCTCGAGGTGAGGCAGGGCACCCAAGGACCCTTTCCAGTAGCCACATGGATTTTGGGATTCCTATCAGTATTCAAGAGGAGTCAGGCATCGTCACGTTTTGAAGCAATGAACTCCGCGTGCCTCTCGAGGTGTCAACGGGATGTGAGGCATTCCGTCCAAATGAGGCAGGGACCTAGGGCTTTCTCTAAGGTCTCCACAGGGGATTCAGACATCCCTTCATGTTGTGAGATCAAAGACGAGCCTGTATTCAAGCCACTGCAAGGAAATCCGGCCTGCTTTCAAGTTAGGGCTTCTCGCTGTATATTGCCCTTGAGGCAGCGAACTCGGGGTCCCTCCCACATACCTATTGCTGAGAGAAGCCTCCTCCTGAGGTGCGTCTTGAAAGTTGGCATACGTCTTGAGCCTAAGCCAGGGAATCACCTCTCATCTCGAGACGATTTGGGGTACACGGAGCATTCCTCGAGTTGCCGTGCTGAAGTTGGTGTTCCTCTAGACTTGGGACAGTGTTCTCGGGGCATCTCTGGAGTTGCCTGAAGGAAGTCGAGCCACAGGTCGTGTTGAATGGGGAACGGGGAATGGCTCTGGAGTCAATGCAGGGGATTCGGGCCTCATCTCGAGTTGATTTGGGGTCCATGGAGCTGCTTTGCGTTGCTGGGGTGACCTCAGGGTCCGTCGAGACTGGTGACAGTGTTCTTGGGGACTGTCTCGAGAACCATTAAGCATGTCGAAGCTCCTGACTTGCTTGAATGGGACCACTGAATAGCTCTGCATGCACTGCAGGGGAATGGGGCCTCATCTCGCCTCTAGGGGGAAGTCTCATGGTTTTTCTCGAGTTGCGGCGGGGACCTGGGGTATGTTCTCGACTTACGGCGGGGATGGCCCTTCAAAACACGAGTTTCTTCAGTGACGTCAGGACTCCTGTCTAGTAACGATGGACACCTCAGGAATCTCTTCGAGGCTTGGCAGGGCAAAAGGGACGCTTCTCGAGGTGAGGCAGGGCACCCAAGGACCCTTTCCAGTAGCCACAGGGATTTTGGGTTTCCTATCAGTATTCAAGAGGAGTGAGGCATTGTCACCTTTTGAAGCAATGAACTTCGCGTGCCTCTTGAGGTGTCAACGGGATGTGAGGCATTCCGTCAAAATGAGGCAGGTAACTAGGGCTTTCTCTAAGGTCTCCACAGGGAATTCAGACATCCCTTCATGTTGTGAGATGAAAGACGAGCCTGTATTCAAGCCACTGCAAGGAAATCCGGCCTCCATTCAAGTTAGGGCTTCTCGCTGTATATTGCCCTTGAGGCAGCGAACTCGGGGTCCCTCCCACATACCTATTGCTGAGAGAAGCCTCCTCCTGAGTTGCGTCTGGAAAGTTGGCATACGTCTTGAACCTAAGCCAGGGAATCAGCTCTCATCTCGAGACGATTTGGGGTACACGGAGCATTCCTCGAGTTGCTGTGCTGAAGTTGGTGTTCCTCTAGACTTGGGACAGTGTTCTCGGGGTATCTCTGGAGTTGCCTGAAGGAAGTCGAGCCACCGGTCGTGTTGAATGGGGAACGGGGAATGGCTCTGGATTCAATGCAGGGGAATCGGGCCTCATCTCGAGTTGATTTGGGGCACATGGAGCTTTTTTGCGTTGCTGGGGTGACCTCAGCGTCCGTCGAGACTGGTGACAGTGTTCTTGGGGACTGTCTCGAGATCCATTAAGCAAGTCGAAGCTCCTGACTTGTTTGAATGGGACCACGGAATAGCTCTGCATGCACTGCAGGGGAATGGGGCCTCATCTCGCCTCTAGGGGGAAGTCTCATGGTTTTTCTCGAGTTGCGGCGGGGACCTGGGTTATGTTCTCGACTTACGGCGGGGATGGCCCTTCAAAACACGAGTTTCTTCAGTGACGTCAGGACTCCTGTCTAGTAACGAGGGACACCTCAGGAATCTCTTCGAGGCTTGGCAGGACAAAAGGGACGCTTCTCGAGGTGAGGCAGGGCACCCAAGGACCCTTTCCAGTAGCCACAGGGATTTTGGGATTCCTATCAGTATTCAAGAGGAGTGAGGCATTGTCACCTTTTGAAGCAATGAACTTCGCGTGCCTCTTGAGGTGTCAACGGGATGTGAGGCATTCCGTCAAAATGAGGCAGGTAACTAGGGCTTTCTCTAAGGTCTCCACAGGGAATTCAGACATCCCTTCATGTTGTGAGATGGAAGACGAGCCTGTATTCAAGCCACTGCAAGGAAATCCGGCCTCCATTCAAGTTAGGGCTTCTCGCTGTATATTGCCCTTGAGGCAGCGAACTCGGGGTCCCTCCCACATACCTATTGCTGAGAGAAGCCTCCTCCTGAGGTGCGTCTTGAAAGTTGGCATACGTCTTGAGCCTAAGCCAGGGAATCAGCTCTCATCTCGAGACGATTTGGGGTACACGGAGCATTCCTCGAGTTGCTGTGCTGAAGTTGGTGTTCCTCTAGACTTGGGATAGTGTTCTCGGGGCATCTCTGGAGTTGCCTGAAGGAAGTCGAGCCACCGGTCGTGTTGAATGGGGAACCGGTAATGGCTCTGGAGTCAATGCAGGGGAATCGGGCCTCATCTCGAGTTGATTTGGGGCCCATGGAGCTGCTTTGCATTGCTGGGGTGACCTCAGGGTCCGTCGAGACTGGTGACAGTGTTCTTGGGGACTGTCTCGAGAACCATTAAGCAAGTCGAAGCTCCTGACTCGCTTGAATGGGACCACGGAATAGCTCTGCATGCACTGCAGGGGAATGGGGCCTCATCTCGCCTCTAGGGGGAAGTCTCATGGTTTTTCTCGAGTTGCGGCGGGAACCTGGGGTATGTTCTCGACTTACGGCGGGGATGGCCCTTCAAAACACGAGTTTCTTCAGTGACGTCAGGACTCCTGTCTAGTAACGAGGGACACCTCCTGAATCTCTTCGAGGCTTGGCAGGGCAAAAGGGACGCTTCTCGAGGTGAGGCAGGGCACCCAAGGACCCTTTCCAGTAGCCACAGGGATTTTGGGATTCCTATCAGTATTCAAGAGGAGTGAGGCATTGTCACCTTTTGAAGCAATGAACTTCGCGTGTCTCTTGAGGTGTCAACGGGATGTGAGGCATTCCGTCAAAATGAGGCAGGGACCTAGGGCTTTCTCTAAGGTCTCCACAGGGGATTCAGACATCCCTTCATGTTGTGAGATGAAAGACGAGCCTGTATTCAAGCCACTGCAAGGATATCCGGCCTCCTTTCAAGTTAGGGCTTCTCGCTGTATATTGCCCTTGAGGCAGCGAACTCGGGGTCCCTCCCACATACCTATTGCTGAACGAAGCCTCCTCCTGAGGTGCGTCTTGAAAGTTGGCATACGTCTTGAGCCTAAGCCAGGGAATCACGTCTCATCTCGAGACGATTTGGGGTACACGGAGCATTCCTCGAGTTGCCGTGCTGAAGTTGGTGTTCCTCTAGACTTGGGACAGTGTTCTCGGGGCATCTCTGGAGTTGCCTGAAGGAAGTCGAGCCACCGGTCGTGTTGAATGGGGAACGGGGAATGGCTCTGGAGTCAATGCAGGGGAATCGGGCCTCATCTCGAGTTGATTTGGGGCCCATGGAGCTGCTTTGCGTTGCTGTGGTGACCTCAGGGTCCGTCGAGACTGGTGACAGTGTTCTTGGGGACTGTCTCGAGAACAATTAAGCAAGTCGAAGCTCCTGACTTGCTTGAATGGGACCACGGAATAGCTCTGCATGCACTGCAGGGGAATGGGGCCTCATCTCGCCTCTAGGGGGAAGTCTCATGGTTTTTCTCGAGTTGCGGCGGGGACCTGGGGTATGTTCTCGACTTACGGCGGGGATGGCCCTTCAAAACACGAGTTTCTTCAGTGACGTCAGGACTCCTGTCTAGTAACGAGGCACACCTCAGGAATCTCTTCGAGGCTTGGCAGGGCAAAAGGGACGCTTCTCGAGGTGAGGCAGGGCACCCAAGGACCCTTTCCAGTAGCCACAGGGATTTTGGGATTCCTATCAGTATTCAAGAGGAGTGAGGAATTGTCACCTTTTGAAGCAATGAACTTCGCGTGCCTCTTGAGGTGTCAACGGGATGTGAGGCATTCCGTCAAAATGAGGCAGGGACCTAGGGCTTTCTCTAAGGTCTCCACAGGGGATTCAGACATCCTTTCATGTTGTGCGATGAAAGACGAGCCTGTATTCAAGCCACTGCAAGGAAATCCGGCCTCCTTTCAAGTTAGGGCTTCTCGCTGTATATTGCCCTTGAGGCAGCCAACTCGGGGTCCTTCCCACATACCTATTGCTGAGAGAAGCCTCCTCCTGAGGTGCGTCTGGAAAGTTGGCATACGTCTTGAGCCTAAGCCAGGGAATCAGCTCTCATCTCGAGACGATTTGGGGTACACGGAGCATTCCTCGAGTTGCTGTGCTGAATTTGGTGTTCCTCTAGACTTGGGACAATGTTCTCGGGGTATCTCTGGAGTTGCCTGAAGGAAGTCGAGCCACCGGTCGTGTTGAATGGGGAACGGGGAATGGCTCTGGAGTCAATGCAGGGGAATCGGGCCTCATCTCGAGTTGATTTGGGGCCCACGGAGCTGCTTTGCGTTCCTGGGGTGACCTCAGGTTCCGTCGAGACTGAAGACAGTGTTCTTGGGGACTGTCTCGAGAACCATTAAGCAAGTCGAAGCTCCTGACTTGCTTGAATGGGACCACGGAATAGCTCTGCATGCACTGCAGGGGAATGGGGCCTCATCTCGCCTCTAGGGGGAAGTCTCATGGTTTTTCTCGAGTTGCAGCGGGGACCTGGGGTATGTTCTTGACTTACGGCGGGGATGGTCCTTCAAAACACGAGTTTCTTCAGTGACGTCAGGACTCCTATCTAGTAACGAGGGACACCTCAGGAATCTCTTCGAGGCTTGGCAGGGCAAAAAGGATGCTTCTCGAGGTGAGGCCGGGCACCCAAGGACCCTTTCCAGTAGCCACAAGGATTTTGGGATTCCTATCAGTATTCAAGAAGAGTCAGGCATCGTCACCTTTTGAAGCAATGAACTCAGCGTGCCTCTCGAGGTGTCAACGGGATGTGAGGCATTACGTCCAAATGAGGCAGGGACCTAGGGCTTTCTCTAAGGTCTCCACAGGGGATTCAGACATCCCTTCATGTTGTGAGATGAAAGACGAGCCTGTATTCAAGCCACTGCAAGGAAATCCGGCCTCCTTTCAAGTTAGGGCTTCTCGCTGTATATTGCCCTTGAGGCAGCGAACTCGGGGTCCCTCCCAAATACCTATTGCTGAGAGAAGCCTCCTCCTGAGGTGCGTCTTGAAAGTTGGCATACGTCTTGAGCCTAAGCCAGGGAATCACCTCTCATCTCGAGATGATTTGGGGTACACGGAGCATTCCTCGAGTTGCCGTGCTGAAGTTCGTGTTCCTCTAGACTTGGGACAGTGTTTTCGGGGCATCTCTGGAGTTGCCTGAAGGAAGTCGAGCCACCGGTCGTGTTGAATGGGGAACGGGGAATGGCTCTGGAGTCAATGCAGGGGAATCGGGCCTCATCTCGAGTTGATTTGGGGCACATGGAGCGGCTTTGCGTTGCTGGGGTGACCTCAGCGTCCGTCGAGACTGGTGACAGTGTTCTTGGGGACTGTCTCGAGATCCATTAAGCAAGTCGAAGCTCCTGACTTGTTTGAATGGGACCACGGAATAGCTCTGCATTCACTGCAGGGGAATGGGGCCTCATCTCGCCTCTAGGGGGAAGTCTCATGGTTTTTCTCGAGTTGCGGCAGGTACCTGGGGTATGTTCTCGACTTACGGCGGGGATGGCCCTTCAAAACACGAGTTTCTTCAGTGACGTCAGGACTCCTGTCTAGTAACGAGGGAAAGCTCAGGAATCTCTTCGAGGCTTGGCAGGGCAAATGGGACGCTTCTCGAGGTGAGTCAGGGCACCCAAGACCATTTCCAGTAGCCACAGGGATTTTGGGATTCCTATCAGTATTCAAGAGAAGTCAGGCATCGTCACCTTTTGAAGAAATGAACTCCGCGTGCCTCTCGAGGTGTCAATGGGATGTGAGGCAATTCGTCCAAATGAGGCAGGAATCTAGGGCTCTCTCTAAGATCTCCAAAGGGCATTCAGACATCCCTTCATGTTGTGAGATCAAAGACGAGCCTGTATTCAAGCCACTGCAAGGAAATCCGGCCTCCTTTCAAGTTAGGGCTTCTCGCTGTATATTGCCCTTGAGGCAGCGAACTCGGGGTCCCTCCCACATACCTATTGCTGAGAGAAGCCTCCTCCTGAGGTGCTTCTGGAAAGTTGGCATACGTCTTGAGCCTAAGCCAGGGAATCAGCTCACATCTCGAGATGATTTGGGGTACACGGAGCATTCCTCGAGTTGCTGTGCTGAAGTTCGTGTTCCTCTAGACTTGGGACAGTGTTCTCGGGGTATCTCTGGAGTTGCCTGAAGGAAGTCGAGCCACCGGTCGTGTTGATTGGGGAACGGGGAATGGCTCTCGAGTCAATGCAGGGGAATCGGGCCTCATCTCGAGTTGATTTGGGGCACATGGAGCTGCTTTGCGTTGCTGGGGTGACCTCAGGGTCCGTCGAGACTGGTGACAGTGTTCTTGGGGACTGTCTCGAGATCCATTAAGCAAGTCGAAGCTCCTGACTTGCTTGAATGGGACCACGGAATAGCTCTGCATGCACTGCAGGGGAATGGGGCCTCATCTCGCCTCCAGGGGTAAGTCTCATGGTTTTTCTCGAGTTGCGGCGGGGACCTGGGGTATGTTCTCGACTTACGGCGGGGATGGCCCTTCAAAACACGAGTTTCTTCAGTGACGTCAGGACTCCTGTCTAGTAACGAGGGACACCTCTGGAATCTCTTCGAGGCTTGGCAGGGAAAAAGGGACGCTTCTCGAGGTGAGGCAGGGCACCCAAGGACCCTTTCCAGTAGCCACAGGGATTTTGGGATTCCTATCAGTATTCAAGAGGAGTGAGGCATTGTCACCTTTTGAAGCAATGAACTTCGCGTGCCTCTTGAGGTGTCAACGGGATGTGAGGCATTCCGTCAAAATGAGGCAGGGACCTAGGGCTTTCTCTAAGGTCTCCACAGGGGATTCAGACATCCCTTCATGTTGTGAGATGAAAGACGACACTGTATTCAAGCCACTGCAAGGAAATCCGGCCTCCTTTCAAGTTAGGGTTTCTCGCTGTATATTGCCCTGGAGGCAGCGAACTCGGTGTACCTCCCACATACCTATTGCTGAGAGAAGCCTCCTCCTGAGGTGCGTCTGTAAAGTTGGCATACGTCTTGAGCCTAAGCCAGGGAATCAGCTGTCATCTCGAGACGATTTGGGGTACACGGAGCATTCCTCAAGTTGCTGTGCTGAAGTTGGTGTTCCTCTAGACTTGGGACAGTGTTCTCGGGGCATCTCTGGAGTTGTCTGAAGGAAGTCGAGCCACCGGTCGTGTTGAATGGGGAACGGGGAATGGCTCTGGAGTCAAAGCAGGGGAATCGGGCCTCATCTCGAGTTGATTTGGGGCACATGGAGCTGCTTTGCGTTGCTGGGGTGAACTCAGGGTCCATCGAGACTGGTGACAGTGTTCTTGAGGACTGTCTCGAGATCCATTAAGCAAGTCGAAGCTACTGACTTGTTGAATGGGACCACGGAATAGCTCTGCATGCACTGCAGGGGAATGGGGTCTCATCTCGCCTCTAGGGGGAAGTCTCATGGTTTTTCTCGAGTTGCGGCGGGGACCTGGCGTATGTTCCCGACTTACGGCGGGGAACGCCCTTCAAAACACGAGTTTCTTCAGTGACGTCAGGACTCCTGTCTAGTAACGAGGGACACCTCAGGAATCTCTTCGAGGCTTGGCAGGGCAAAAGGGACGCTTCTCGAGGTGAGGCAGGGCACCCAAGGACCCTTTCCAGTAGCCACAGGGATTTTGGGATTCCTATCAGTATTCAAGAGGAGTGAGGAATTGTCACCTTTTGAAGCAATGAACTTCGCGTGCCTCTTGAGGTGTCAACGGGATGTGAGGCATTCCGTCAAAATGAGGCAGGGACCTAGGGCTTTCTCTAAGGTCTCCACAGGGGATTCAGACATCCTTTCATGTTGTGCGATGAAAGACGAGCCTGTATTCAAGCCACTGCAAGGAAATCCGGCCTCCTTTCAAGTTAGGGCTTCTCGCTGTATATTGCCCTTGAGGCAGCCAACTCGGGGTCCTTCCCACATACCTATTGCTGAGAGAAGCCTCCTCCTGAGGTGCGTCTGGAAAGTTGGCATACGTCTTGAGCCTAAGCCAGGGAATCAGCTCTCATCTCGAGACGATTTGGGGTACACGGAGCATTCCTCGAGTTGCTGTGCTGAATTTGGTGTTCCTCTAGACTTGGGACAATGTTCTCGGGGTATCTCTGGAGTTGCCTGAAGGAAGTCGAGCCACCGGTCGTGTTGAATGGGGAACGGGGAATGGCTCTGAAGTCAATGCAGGGGAATCGGGCCTCATCTCGAGTTGATTTGGGGCCCACGGCGCTGCTTTGCGTTCCTGGGGTGAACTCAGGGTCCGTCGAGACTGAAGACAGTGTTCTTGGGGACTGTCTCGAGAACCATTAAGCAAGTCGAAGCTCCTGACTTGCTTGAATGGGACCACGGAATAGCTCTGCATGCACTGCAGGGGAATGGGGCCTCATCTCGCCTCTAGGGGGAAGTCTCATGGTTTTTCTCGAGTTGCGGCAGGGACCTGGGGTATGTTCTCGACTTACGGCGGGGATGGCCCTTCAAAACAAGAGTTTCTTCAGTGACGTCAGGACTCCTGTCTAGTAACGAGGGAAAGCTCAGGAATCTCTTCGAGGCTTGGCAGGGCAAATGGGACGCTTCTCGAGGTGAGTCAGGGCACCCAAGACCCTTTCCAGTAGCCACAGGGATTTTGGGATTCCTATCAGTATTCAAGAGAAGTCAGGCATCGTCACCTTTTGAAGCAATGAACTCCGCGTGCCTCTCGAGGTGTCAATGGGATGTGAGGCAATTCGTCCAAATGAGGCAGGAATCTAGGGCTTTCTCTAAGATCTCCAAAGGGCATTCAGACATCCCTTCATGTTGTGAGATCAAAGACGAGCCGGTATTCAAGCCACTGCAAGGAAATCCGGCCTCCTTTCAAGTTAGGGCTTCTCGCTGTATATTGCCCTTGAGGCAGCGAACTCGGGGTCCCTCCCACATACCTATTGCTGAGAGAAGCCTCCTCTTGAGGTGCTTCTGGAAAGTTGGCATACGTCTTGAGCCTAAGCCAGGGAATCAGCTCACATCTCGAGATGATTTGGGGTACACGGAGCATTCCTCGAGTTGCTGTGCTGAAGTTCGTGTTCCTCTAGACTTGGGACAGTGTTCTCGGGGTATCTCTGGAGTTGCCTGAAGGAAGTCGAGCCACCGGTCGTGTTGATTGGGGAACGGGGAATGGCTCTCGAGTCAATGCAGGGGAATCGGGCCTCATCTCGAGTTGATTTGGGGCACATGGAGCTGCTTTGCGTTGCTGGGGTGACCTCAGGGTCCGTCGAGACTGCTGACAGTGTTCTTGGGGACTGTCTCGAGATCCATTAAGCAAGTCGAAGCTCCTGTCTTGCTTGAATGGGACCACGGAATAGCTCTGCATGCACTGCAGGGGAATGGGGCCTCATCTCGCCTCTAGGGGGAAGTCTCATGGTTTTTCTCGAGTTGCGGCGGGGACCTGGGGTATGTTCTCGACTTACGGCGGGGATGGCCCTTCAAAACACGAGTTTCTTCAGTGACGTCAGGACTCCTGTCTAGTAACGAGGGACACCTCAGGAATCTCTTCGAGGCTTGGCAGGGCAAAAGGGACGCTTCTCGAGGTGAGGCAGGGCACCCAAGGACCCTTTCCAGTAGCCACAGGGATTTTGGGATTCCTATCAGTATTCAAGAGGAGTGAGGCATTGTCACCTTTTGAAGCAATGAACTTCGCGTGCCTCTTGAGGTGTCAACGGGATGTGAGGCATTCCGTCAAAATGAGGCAGGGACCTAGGGCTTTCTCTAAGGTCTCCACAGGGGATTCAGACATCCCTTCATGTTGTGAGATGAAAGACGACACTGTATTCAAGCCACTGCAAGGAAATCCGGCCTCCTTTCAAGTTAGGGCTTCTCGCTGTATATTGCCCTGGAGGCAGTGAACTCGGTGTACCTCCCACATACCTATTGCTGAGAGAAGCCTCCTCCTGAGGTGCGTCTGGAAAGTTGGCATACGTCTTGAGCCTAAGCCAGGGAATCAGCTGTCATCTCGAGACGATTTGGGGTACACGGAGCATTCCTCAAGTTGCCGTGCTGAAGTTGGTGTTCCTCTAGACTTGGGACAGTGTTCTCGGGGCATCTCTGGAGTTGCCTGAAGGAAGTCGAGCCACCGGTCGTGTTGAATGGGGAACGGGGAATGGCTCTGGAGTCAATGCAGGGGAATCGGGCCTCATCTCGAGTTGATTTGGGGCCCATGGAGCTGCTTTGCGTTGCTGGGGTGACCTCAGGGTCCGTCGAGACTGGTGACAGTGTTCTTGGGGACTGTCTCGAGAACCATTAAGCAAGTCGAAGCTCCTGACTTGTTTGAATGGGACCACGGAATAGCTCTGCATGCACTGCAGGGGAATGGGGCCTCATCTCGCCTCTAGGGGGAAGTCTCATGGTTTTTCTCGAGTTGCGGCGGGGACCTGGGGTATGTTCTCGACTTACGGCGGGGATGGCCCTTCAAAACACGAGTTTCTTCAGCGACGTCAGGACTCCTGTCTAGTAACGAGGGACACCTCAGGAATCTCTTCGAGGCTTGGCAGGGCAAAAGGGACGCTTCTCGACGTGAGGCAGGGCACCCAAGGACCCTTTCCAGTAGCCACAGGGATTTTGGGTTGCCTATCAGTATTCAAGAGGAGTGAGGCATTGTCACCTTTTGAAGCAATGAACTTCGCGTGCCTCTTGAGGTGTCAACGGGATGTGAGGCATTCCGTCAAAATGAGGCAGGGACCTAGGGCTTTCTCTAAGGTCTCCACAGGGGATTCAGACATCCCTTCATGTTGTGAGATGAAAGACGAGCCTGTATTCAAGCCACTGCAAGGAAATCCGGCCTCCTTTCAAGTTAGGGCTTCTCGCTGTATATTGCCCTTGAGGCAGCAAACTCGGGGTCCCTCCCACATACCTATTGCTGAGAGAAGCCTCCTCCTGAGGTGCGTCTGGAAAGTTGGCATAAGTCTTGAGCCTAAGCCAGGGAATCACCTCTCATCTCGAGACGATTTGGGGTACACGGAGCATTCCTCGAGTTGCTGTGCTGAAGTTGGTGTTCCTCTAGACTTGGGACAGTGTTCTCGGGGTATCTCTGGAGTTGCCTGAAGGAAGTCGAGCCACCGGTCGTGTTGAATGGGGAACGGGTAATGGCTCTGGAGTCAATGCAGGGGAATCGGGCCTCATCTCGTGTTGATTTGGGGCACATGGAGCTGCTTTGCGTTGCTGGGGTGACCTCAGCGTCCGTCGAGACTGGTGACAGTGTTCTTGGGGACTGTCTCGAGATCCATTAAGCAAGTCGAAGCTCCTGACTTGTTTGAATGGGACCACGGAATAGCTCTGCATGCACTGCAGAGGAATGGGGCCTCATCTCGCCTCTAGGGGGAAGTCTCATGGTTTTTCTCGAGTTGCGGCGGGGACCTGGGGTATGTTCTCGACTTACGGCGGGGATGGCCCTTCAAAACACGAGTTTCTTCAGTGACGTCAGGACTCCTGTCTAGTAACGAGGGACACTTCAGGAATCTCATCGAGGCTTGGCAGTGCAAATGGGACGCTTCTTGAGGTGAGGCAGGGCACCCAAGGACCCTTTCCAGTAGCCACAGGGATTTTGGGATTCCTATCAGAATTCAAGAGGAGTCAGGCATCGTCACCTTTTGAAGCAATGAACTCCGCGTGCCTCTCTAGGTGTCAACGGGATGTGAGGCATTCCGTCCAAATGAGGCAGGGACCTAGGGCTTTCTCTAAGGTCTCCACAGGGGATTCAGACATCCCTTCATGTTGTGAGAAGAAAGACGAGCCTGTATTCAAGCCACTGCAAGGAAATCCGGCCTCCATTCAAGTTAGTGCTTCTCGCTGTATATTGCCCTTGAGGCAGCGAACTCGGGGTCCCTCCCACATACCTATTGCTGAACGAAGCCTCCTCCTGAGGTGCGTCTTGAAAGTTGGCATACGTCTTGAGCCTAAGCCAGGGAATCACGTCTCATCTCGAGACGATTTGGGGTACACGGAGCATTCCTCGAGTTGCCGTGCTGAGTTGGTGTTCCTCTAGACTTGGGACAGTGTTCTCGGGGCATCTCTGGAGTTGCCTGAAGGAAGTCGAGCCACCGGTCGTGTTGAATGGGGAACGGGGAATGGCTCTGGAGTCAATGCAGGGGAATCGGGCCTCATCTCGAGTTGATTTGGGGCCCATGGAGCTGCTTTGCGTTGCTGTGGTGACCTCAGGGTCCGTCGAGACTGGTGACAGTGTTCTTGGGGACTGTCTCGAGAACAATTAAGCAAGTCGAAGCTCCTGACTTGCTTGAATGGGACCACGGAATAGCTCTGCTTGCACTGCAGGGGAATGGGGCCTCATCTCGCCTCTAGGGGGAAGTCTCATGGTTTTTCTCGAGTTGCGGCGGGGACCTGGGGTATGTTCTCGACTTACGGCGGGGATGGCCCTTCAAAACACGAGTTTCTTCAGTGACGTCAGGACTCCTGTCTAGTAAGGAGGGACACCTCAGGAATCTCTTCGAGGCTTGGCAGGGCAAAAGGGACGCTTCTCGAGGTGAGGCAGGGCACCCAAGGACCCTTTCCAGTAGCCACAGGGATTTTGGGATTCCTATCAGTATTCAAGAGGAGTGAGGAATTGTCACCTTTTGAAGCAATGAACTTCGCGTGCCTCTTGAGGTGTCAACGGGATGTGAGGCATTCCGTCAAAATGAGGCAGGGACCTAGGGCTTTCTCTAAGGTCTCCACAGGGGATTCAGACATCCTTTCATGTTGTGCGATGAAAGACGAGCCTGTATTCAAGCCACTGCAAGGAAATCCGGCCTCCTTTCAAGTTAGGGCTTCTCGCTGTATATTGCCCTTGAGGCAGCGAACTCGGGGTCCCTCCCACATACCTATTGCTGAGAGAAGCCTCCTCCTGAGGTGCGTCTTGAAAGTTGGCATACGTCTTGAGCCTAAGCCAGGGAATCACCTCTCATCTCGAGATGATTTGGGGTACACGGAGCATTCCTCGAGTTGCCGTGCTGAAGTTCGTGTTCCTCTAGACTTGGGACAGTGTTTTCGGGGCATCTCTGGAGTTGCCTGAAGGAAGTCGAGCCACCGGTCGTGTTGAATGGGGAACGGGGAATGGCTCTGGAGTCAATGCAGGGGAATCGGGCCTCATCTCGAGTTGATTTGGGGCACATGGAGCGGCTTTGCGTTGCTGGGGTGACCTCAGCGTCCGTCGAGACTGGTGACAGTGTTCTTGGGGACTGTCTCGAGATCCATTAAGCAAGTCGAAGCTCCTGACTTGTTTGAATGGGACCACGGAATAGCTCTGCATTCACTGCAGGGGAATGGGGCCTCATCTCGCCTCTAGGGGGAAGTCTCATGGTTTTTCTCGTGTTGCGGCAGGGACCTGGGGTATGTTCTCGACTTACGGCGGGGATGGCCCTTCAAAACACGAGTTTCTTCAGTGACGTCAGGACTCCTGTCTAGTAACGAGGGAAAGCTCAGGAATCTCTTCGAGGCTTGGCAGGGCAAATGGGACGCTTCTCGAGGTGAGTCAGGGCACCCAAGACCCTTTCCAGTAGCCACAGGGATTTTGGGATTCCTATCAGTATTCAAGAGAAGTCAGGCATCGTCACCTTTTGAAGCAATGAACTCCGCGTGCCTCTCGAGGTGTCAATGGGATGTGAGGCAATTCGTCCAAATGAGGCAGGAATCTAGGGCTTTCTCTAAGGTCTCCAAAGGGCATTCAGACATCCCTTCATGTTGTGAGATCAAAGACGAGCCTGTATTCAAGCCACTGCAAGGAAATCCGGCCTCCTTTCAAGTTAGGGCTTCTCGCTGTATATTGCCCTTGAGGCAGCGAACTCGGGGTCCCTCCCACATACCTATTGCTGAGAGAAGCCTCCTCCTGAGGTGCGTCTTGAAAGTTGGCATACGTCTTGAGCCTAAGCCAGGGAATCAGCTCACATCTCGAGATGATTTGGGGTACACGGAGCATTCCTCGAGTTGCTGTGCTGAAGTTCGTGTTCCTCTAGACTTGGGACAGTGTTCTCGGGGTATCTCTGGAGTTGCCTGAAGGAAGTCGAGCCACCGGTCGTGTTGATTGGGGAACGGGGAATGGCTCTCGAGTCAATGCAGGGGAATCGGGCCTCATCTCGAGTTGATTTGGGGCACATGGAGCTGCTTTGCGTTGCTGGGGTGACCTCAGGGTCCGTCGAGACTGGTGACAGTGTTCTTGGGGACTGTCTCGAGATCCATTAAGCAAGTCGAAGCTCCTGACTTGCTTGAATGGGACCACGGAATAGCTCTGCATGCACTGCAGGGGAATGGGGCCTCATCTCGCCTCTAGGGGTAAGTCTCATGGTTTTTCTCGAGTTGCGGCGGGGACCTGGGATATGTTCTCGACTTACGGCGGGGATGGCCCTTCAAAACACGAGTTTCTTCAGTGACGTCAGGACTCCTGTCTAGTAACGAGGGACACCTCTGGAATCTCTTCGAGGCTTGGCAGGGAAAAAGGGACGCTTCTCGAGGTGAGGCAGGGCACCCAAGGACCCTTTCCAGTAGCCACAGGGATTTTGGGATTCCTATCAGTATTCAAGAGGAGTGAGGCATTGTCACCTTTTGAAGCAATGAACTTCTCGTGCCTCTTGAGGTGTCAACGGGATGTGAGGCATTCCGTCAAAATGAGGCAGGGACCTAGGGCTTTCTCTAAGGTCTCCACAGGGGATTCAGACATCCCTTCATGTTGGGAGATGAACGACGACACTGTATTCAAGCCACTGCAAGGTAATCCGGCCTCCTTTCAAGTTAGGGCTTCTCGCTGTATATTGCCCTGGAGGCAGCGAACTCGGTGTACCTCCCACATACCTATTGCTGAGAGAAGCCTCCTCCTGAGGTGCGTCTGTAAAGTTGGCATACGTCTTGAGCCTAAGCCAGGGAATCAGCTGTCATCTCGAGACGATTTGGGGTACACGGAGCATTCCTCAAGTTGCTGTGCTGAAGTTGGTGTTCCTCTAGACTTGGGACAGTGTTCTCGGGGCATCTCTGGAGTTGTCTGAAGGAAGTCGAGCCACCGGTCGTGTTGAATGGGGAACGGGGAATGGCTCTGGAGTCAAAGCAGGGGAATCGGGCCTCATCTCGAGTTGATTTGGGGCACATGGAGCTGCTTTGCGTTGCTGGGGTGAACTCAGGGTGCATCGAGACTGGTGACAGTGTTCTTGAGGACTGTCTCGAGATCCATTAAGCAAGTCGAAGCTACTGACTTGTTGAATGGGACCACGGAATAGCTCTGCATGCACTGCAGGGGAATGGGGTCTCATCTCGCCTCTAGGGGGAAGTCTCATGGTTTTTCTCGAGTTGCGGCGGGGACCTGGGGTATGTTCTCGACTTACGGCGGGGATGGCCCTTCAAAACACGAGTTTCTTCAGTGACGTCAGGACTCCTGTCTAGTAACGAGGGAAAGCTCAGGAATCTCTTCGAGGCTTGGCAGGGCAAAAGGGACGCTTCTCGAGGTGAGTCAGGGCACCCAAGACTCTTTCCAGTAGCCACAGTGATTTTGGGATTCCTATCAGTATTCAAGAGGAGTCAGGCATCGTCACCTTTTGAAGCAATGAACTCCGCGTGCCTCTCGAGGTGTCAACGGGATGTGAGGCATTACGTCCAAATGAGGCAGGGACCTAGGGCTTTCTCTAAGATCTCCACAGGGCATTCAGACATCCCTTCATGTTGTGAGATCAAAGACGAGCCTGTATTCAAGCCACTGCAAGGAAATCCGGCCTCCTTTCAAGTTAGGGCTTCTCGCTGTATATTGCCCTTGAGGCAGCGAACTCGGGGTCCCTCCCAAATACCTATTGCTGAGAGAAGCCTCCTCTTGAGATGCGTCTTTAAAGTTGGCATACGTCTTGAGCCTAAGCCAGGGAATCAGCTCTCATCTCGAGACGATTTGGGGTACACGGAGCATTCCTCGAGTTGCTGTGCTGAAGTTGGTGTTCCTCTAGTCTTCGGACAGTGTTCTCGGGGCATCTCTGGAGTTGCCTGAAGGAAGTCGAGCCACCGGTCGTGTTGAATGGGGAACGGGGAATGGCTCTGGAGTCAATGCAGGGGAATCGGGCCTCATCTCGAGTTGATTTGGGGTCCATGGAGCCGCTTTGCGTTGCTGGGGTGACCTCAGCGTCCGTCGAGACTGGTGACAGTGTTCTTGGGGACTGTCTCGAAAACCATTAAGCAAGTCGAAGCTCCTGACTTGCTTGAATGGGACCACGGAAGCTCTGCATGCACTGCAGGGGAATGGGGCCTCATCTCGCCTCTAGGGGGAAGTCTCATGGTTTTTCTCGAGTTGCGGCGGGGACCTGGGGTATGTTCTCGACTTACGGCGGTGATGGCACTTCAAAACCCGAGTTTCTTCAGTGACGTCAGGACTCCTGTCTAGTAATGAGGGACACCTCAGGAATCTCTTCGAGGCTTGGCAGGGCAAAAGGGACGCTTCTCGAGGTGAGGCAGGGCACCCAAGGACCCTTTCCAGTAGCCACAGGGATTTTGGGTTTCCTATCAGTATTCAAGAGGAGTGAGGCATTGTCACCTTTTGAAGCAATGAACTTCGCGTGCCTCTTGAGGTGTCAACGGGATGTGAGGCATTCCGTCAAAATGAGGCAGGGACCTAGGGCTTTCTCTAAGGTCTCCACAGGGGATTCAGACATCCCTTCATGTTGTGAGATGAAAGACGAGCCTGTATTCAAGTCACTGCAAGGAAATCCGGCCTCCATTCAAGTTAGGGCTTCTCGCTGTATATTGCCCTTGAGGCAGCGAACTCGGGGTCCCTCCCACATACCTATTGCTGAGAGAAGCCTCCTCCTGAGGTGCTTCTGGAAAGTTGGCTTACGTCTTGAGCCTAAGCCAGGGAATCACCTCTCATCTCGAGATGATTTGGGGTACACGGAGCATTCCTCGAGTTGCTGTGCTGAAGTTGGTGTTCCTCTAGACTTGGGACAGTGTTCTCGGGGTATCTCTGGAGTTGCCTGAAGGAAGTCGAGCCACCCGTAGTGTTGAATGTGGAACGGGGAATGGCTCTCGAGTCAATGCAGGGGAATCGGGCCTCATCTCGAGTTGATTTGGGGCACATGGAGCTGCTTTGCGTTGCTGGGGTGACCTCAGGGTCCGTCGAGACTGGTGACAGTGTTCTTGGGGACTGTCTCGAGAACCATTAAGCAAGTCGAAGCTCCTGACTTGCTTGAATGGGACCACGGAATAGCTCTGCATGCACTGCAGGGGAATGGGGCCTCATCTCGCCTCTAGGGGGAAGTCTCATGGTTTTTCTCGAGTTGCGGCGGGGACCTGGGGTATGTTCTCGACTTACGGCGGGGATGGCCCTTCAAAACACGAGTTTCTTCAGTGACGTCAGGACTCCTGTCTAGTAACGAGGGACACCTCTGGAATCTCTTCGAGGCTTGGCAGGGCAAAAGGGACGCTTCTCGAGGTGAGGAAGGGCACCCAAGGACCCTTTCCAGTAGCCACAGGGATTTTGGGATTCCTATCAGTATTCAAGAGGAGTGAGCCATTGTCACCTTTTGAAGCAATGAACTTCGCGTGCCTCTTGAGGTGTCAACGGGATGTGAGGCATTCCGTCAAAATGAGGCAGGGACCTAGGGCTTTCTCTAAGGTCTCCACAGGGGATTCAGACATCCCTTCATGTTGTGAGATGAAAGACGAGCCTGTTTTCAAGCCACTGCAAGATAATCCGGCCTCCTTTCAAGTTAGGGCTTCTCGCTGTATATTGCCCTTGAGGCAGCGAACTCGGTGTCCCTCCCACATACCTATTGCTGCGAGAAGCCTCCTCCTGAGGTGCGTCTTGAAAGTTGGCATACGCCTTGAGCCTAAGTCAGGGAATCAGCTCTCATCTCGAGACGATTTGCGGTACACGGAGCATTCCTCGAGTTGCTGTGCTGAAGTTGGTGTTCCTCTAGACTTGGGACAGTGTTCTCGGGGTATCTCTGGAGTTGCCTGAAAGAAGTCGAGCCACCGGTCGTGTTGAATGGGGAACTGGGAATGGCTCTGGAGTCAATGCAGGGGAATCGGGCCACATCTCGAGTTGATTTGGGGCCCATGGAGCTGCTTTGCGTTGCCTGGGTGACCTCAGCGTCCGTCGAGACTGGTGACAGTGTTCTTGGGGACTGTCTCGAGATCCATTAAGCAAGTCGAAGCTCCTGACTTGTTTGAGTGGGGCCACGGAATAGCTCTGCATGCACTGCAGGGGAATGGGGCCTCATCTCGCCTCTAGAGGGAAGTCTCATGGTTTTTCTCGAGTTGCGGCGGGGACCTGGGGTATGTTCTCCACTTACGGCGGGGATGGCCCTTCAAAACACGAGTTTCTTCAGTGACGTCAGGACTCCTGTCTAGTAACGAGGGACACCTAAGGAATGTCTTCGAGGCTTGGCAGGGCAAAAGGGACGCTTCTCGAGGTGAGGCAGGGCACCCAAGGACCCTTTCCAGTAGCCACAGGGATTTTGGGATTCCTATCAGTATTCAAGAGGAGTCAGGCATCGTCACGTTTTGAAGCAATGAACTCCGCGTGCCTCTCGAGGTGTCAACGGGATGTGAGGCATTCCGTCCAAATGAGGCAGGGACCTAGGGCTTTCTCTAAGGTCTCCACAGGGGATTCAGACATCCCTTCATGTTGTGAGATCAAAGACGAGCCTGTATTCAAGCCACTGCAAGGAAATCCGGCCTGCTTTCAAGTTAGGTCTTCTCGCTGTATATTGCCCTTGAGGCAGCGAACTCGGGGTCCCTCCCACATACCTATTGCTGAGAGAAGCCTCCTCCTGAAGTGCGTCTTGAAAGTTGGCATACGTCTTGAGCCTATGCCAGGGAATCACCTCTCATCTCGAGACGATTTGGGGTACACGGAGCATTCCTCGAGTTGCCGTGCTGAAGTTGGTGTTCCTCTAGACTTGGGACAGTGTTCTCGGGGCATCTCTGGAGTTGCCTGAAGGAAGTCGAGCCACCGGTCGTGTTGAATGGGGAACGGGGAATGGCTCTGGAGTCAATGCAGGGGAATCGGGCCTCATCTCGAGTTGATTTGGGGCCCATGGAGCTGCTTTGTGTTGCTGGGGTGACCTCAGGGTCTGTCGAGACTTGTGACAGTGTTCTTGGGGACTGTCTCGAGATCCATTAAGCAAGTCGAAGCTCCTGACTTGCTTGAATGGGACCACGGAATAGCTCTGCATGCACAGCAGGGGAATGGGGCCTCATCTCGCCTCTAGGGGGAAGTCTCATGTTTTTTCTCGAGTTGCGGCGGGGACCTGGGGTATGTTCTCGACTTACGGCGGGGATGGCCCTTCAAAACACGAGTTTCTTCAGTGACGTCAGGACTCCTGTCTAGTAACGAGGGACACCTCAGGAATCTCTTCGAGGCTTGGCAGGGCAAAAGGGACGCTTCTCGAGGTGAGGCAGGGCACCCAAGGACCCTTTCCAGTAGCCACAGGGATTTTGGGATTCCTATCAGTATTCAAGAGGAGTGAGGCATTGTCACCTTTTGAAGCAATGAACTTCGCGTGCCTCTTGAGGTGTCAACGGGATGTGAGGCATTCCGTCAAAATGAGGCAGGGACCTAGGGCTTTCTCTAAGGTCTCCATAGGGGATTCAGACATCCCTTCATGTTGTGAGATGAAAGACGAGCCTGTATTCAAGCCACTGCAAGGAAATCCGGCCTCCTTTCAAGTTAGGGCTTCTCGCTGTATATTGCCCTTGAGGCAGCGAACTCGGTGTCCCTCCCACATAACTATTGCTGAGAGAAGCCTCCTCCTGAGGTGCGTCTGGAAAGTTGGCATACGTCTTGAGCCTAAGCCAGGGAATCAGCTCTCATCTCGAGACGATTTGGGGTACACGGAGCATTCCTCGAGTTGCTGTGCTGAAGTTGGTGTTCCTCTAGACTTGGGACAGTGTTCTCGGGGTATCTCTGGAATGCCTGAAGGAAGTCGAGCCACGGTTCGTGTTGAATGGGGAACGGGGAATGGCTCTGGAATCAATGCAGGGGAATCGGGCCTCATCTCGAGTTGATTTGGGGCACATGGAGCTGATATGCGTTGCTGGGGTGACCACAGGGTCCATCGAGACTGGTGACAGTGTTCTTGAGGACTGTCTCGAGATCCATTAAGCAAGTCGAAGCTCCTGACTTGTTTGAATGGGACCACGGAATAGCTCTGCATGCACTGCAGGGGATTGGGGTCTCATCTCGCCTCTAGGGGAAAGTCTCATGGTTTTTCTCGAGTTGCGGCGGGGACCTGGGGTATGTTCTCGACTTACGGCGGGGATGGCCCTTCAAAACACGAGTTTCTTCAGTGACGTCAGGACTCCTGTCTAGTAACGAGGGACACCTCAGGAATCTCTTCGAGGCTTGGCAGGGCAAAAGGGATGCTTCTCGAGGTGAGGCAGGGCACCCAAGGGCCCTTTCCAGTAGCCACAGGGATTTTGGGATTCCTATCAGTATTCAAGAGGAGTGAGGCATTGTCACCTTTTGAAGCAATGAACTTCGCGTGCCTCTTGAGGTGTCAATGGGATGTGAGGCATTCCGTCAAAATGAGGCAGGGACCTAGGGCTTTCTCTAAGGTCTCCACAGGGGATTCAGACATCCCTTCATGTTGTGAGATGAAAGACGAGCCTGTATTCAAGCCACTGCAAGGAAATCCGGCCTCCTTTCAAGTTAGGGCTTCTCGCTGTATATTGCCCTTGAGGCAGCGAACTCGGGGTCCCTCCCACATACCTATTGCTGAGAGAAGCCTCCTCCTGAGGTGCGTCTGGAAAGTTGGCATACGTCTTGAGCCTAAGCCAGGGAATCAGCTCTCATCTCGAGACGATTTGTGGTACACGGAGCATTCCTCGAGTTGCTGTGCTGAAGTTGGTGTTCCTCTAGACTTGGGACAGTGTTCTCGGGGTATATCTGGAGTTGCCTGAAGGAAGTCGAGCCACCGGTCGTGTTGAATGGGGAACGGGGAATGGCTCTGGAGTCAATGCAGGGGACTCGGGCCTCATCTCGAGTTGATTTGGGGCACATGGAGCTGCTTTGCGTTGCTGGTGTGACCTCAGCGTCCGTCGACTGGTGACAGTGTTCTTGGGGACTGTCTCGAGATCCATTAAGCAAGTCGAAGCTCCTGACTTGTTTGAATGGGACCACGGAATAGCTCTGCATGCACTGCAGGGGAATGGGGCCTCATCTCGCCTCTAGGGGGAAGTCTCATGGTTTTTCTCGAGTTGCGGCGGGGACCTGGGGTATGTTCTCGACTTACGGCGGGGATGGCCCTTCAAAACACGAGTTTCTTCAGTGACGTCAGGACTCCTGTCTAGTAATGAGGGACACCTCAGGAATCTCATCGAGGCTTGGCAGTGCAAATGGGACGCTTCTTGAGGTGAGGCAGGGCACCCAAGGACCCTTTCCAGTAGCCACAGGGATTTTGGGATTCCTATCAGAATTCAAGAGGAGTCAGGCATCGTCACCTTTTGAAGCAATGAACTCCGCGTGCCTCTCGAGGTGTCAACGGGATGTGAGGCATTCCATCCAAATGAGGCAGGGACCTAGGGCTTTCTCTAAGGTCTCCACAGGGGATTCAGACATCCCTTCATGTTGTGAGAAGAAAGACGAGCCTGTACTCAAGCCACTGCAAGGAAATCCGGCCTCCATTCAAGTTAGGGCTTCTCGCTGTATATTGCCCTTGAGGCAGCGAACTCAGGGTCCCTCCCACATACCTATTGCTGAAAGAAGCCTCCTCCTGAGGTGCGTCTTGAAAGTTGGCATACGTCTTGAGCCTAAGCCAGGGAATCACCTCTCATTTCGAGAGGATTTGGGGTACATGGAGCATTCCTCGAGTTGCCGTGCTGAAGTTGGTGTTCCTCTAGACTTGAGACAGTGTTCTCGGGGCATCTCTGGACTTGCCTGAAGGAAGTCGAGCCACCGGTCGTGTTGAATTGGGAACTGGGAATGGCTCTGGAGTCAATGCAGGGGAATCGGGCCTCATCTCGAGTTGATTTGGGGCCCATGGAGCTGCTTTGCGTTGCTGGGGTGACCTCAGGGTCGTCGAGACTGGTGACAGTGTTCTTGGGGACTGTCTCGAGAACCATTAAGCAAGTCGAAGCTCCTGACTTGCTTGAATGGGACCACGGAATAGCTCTGCATGCACTGTAGGGGAATGGGGCCTCATCTCGCCTCTAGGGGGATGTCTCATGGTTTTTCTCGAGTTGCGGCGGGGACTTGGGGTATGTTCTCGACTTACGGCGGGGATGGCCCTTCAAAACACGAGTTTCTTCAGTGACGTCAGGACTCCTGTCTAGTAACGAGGGACACCTCAGGAATCTCTTCGAGGCTTGGCAGGGCAAAAGGGACGCTTCTCGAGGTGAGGCAGGGCACCCAAGGACCCTTTCCAGTAGCCACAGTGATTTTGGGATTCCTATCAGAATTCAAGAGGAGTCAGGCATCGTCACCTTTTGAAGCAATGAACTCCGCGTGCCTCTCGAGGTGTCAACGGGATGTGAGGCATTACGTCCAAATGAGGCAGGGACCTAGGGCTTTCTCTAAGGTCTCCACAGGGGATTCAGACATCCCTTCATGTTGTGAGATCAAAGACGAGCCTGTATTCAAGCCACTGCAAGGAAATCCGGCCTCCTTTCAAGTTAGGGCTTCTCGCTGTATATTGCCCTTGAGGCAGCGAACTCGGGGTCCCTCCCACATACCTATTGCTGAGAGAAGCCTCCTCCTGAGGTGCGTCTTGAAAGTTGGCATACGTCTTGCGCCTAAGCCAGGGAATCACCTCTCATCTCGAGACGATTTGGGGTTCATGGAGCATTCCTCGAGTTGCCGTGCTGAAGTTGGTGTTCCTCTAGACTTGGGACAGTGTTCTCGGGGTATCTCTGGAGTTGCCTGAAGGAAGTCGAGCCACCGGTCGTGTTGAATGGGGAACGGGGAATGGCTCTGGAGTCAATGCAGGGGAATCGGGCCTCATCTCGAGTTGATTTAGGGCCCATGGTGCTGCTTTGCGTTGCTGGGGTGACCTCAGGGTCCGTCGAGACTGGTGACAGTGTTCTTGGGGACTGTCTCGAGAACAATTAAGCAAGTCGAAGCTCCTGACTTGCTTGAATGGGACCACGGAATAGCTCTGCATGCACTGCAGGGGAATGGGGCCTCATCTCGCCTCTAGGGGGAAGTCTCATGGTTTTTCTCGAGTTGCGGCGGGGACCTGGGGTATGTTCTCGACTTACGGCGGGGATGGCCCTTCAAAACACGAGTTTCTTCAGTGATGTCAGGACTCCTGTCTAGTAACGAGGGACACCTCAGGAATCTCTTCGAGGCTTGGCAGGGCAAAAGGGACGCTTCTCGAGGTGAGGCAGGGCACCCAAGGACCCTTTCCAGTAGCCACAGGGATTTTGGGATTCCTATCAGTATTCAAGAGGAGTGAGGCATTGTCACCTTTTGAAGCAATGAACTTCGCGTGCCTCTTGAGGTGTCAACGGGATGTGAGGCATTCCGTCAAAATGAGGCAGGGACCTAGGGCTTTCTCTAAGGTCTCCACAGGGGATTCAGACATCCCTTCATGTTGTGAGATGAAAGACGAGCCTGTATTCAAGCCACTGCAAGGAAATCCGGCCTCCTTTCAAGTTAGGGCTTCTGGCTGTATATTGCCCTTGAGGCAGCGAACTCGGGGTCCTTCCCACATACCTATTGCTGAGAGAAGCCTCCTCCTGAGGTGCGTCTGGAAAGTTGGCATACGTCTTGAGCCTAAGCCAGGGAATCAGCTCTCATCTCGAGACGATTTGGGGTACACGGAGCATTCCTCGAGTTGCTGTGCTGAATTTGGTGTTCCTCTAGACTTGGGACAATGTTCTCGGGGTATCTCTGGAGTTGCCTGAAGGAAGTCGAGCCACCGGTCGTGTTGAATGGGGAACTGGGAATGGCTCTGGAGTCAATGCAGGGGAATCGGGCCTCATCTTGAGTTGATTTGGGGCCCACGGAGCTGCTTTGCGTTGCTGGGGTGACCACAGGGTCCGTCGAGACTGAAGACAGTGTTCTTGGGGACTGTCTCGAGAACCATTAAACAAGTCGAAGCTCCTGACATGCTTGAATGGGACCACGGAATAGCTCTGCATGCACTGCAGGGGAATGGGGCCTCATCTCGCCTCTAGGGGGAAGTCTCATGGTTTTTCTCGAGTTGCAGCGGGGACCTGGGGTATGTTCTTGACTTACGGCGGGGATGGTCCTTCAAAACACGAGTTTCTTCAGTGACGTCAGGACTCCTGTCTAGTAACGAGGGACACCTCAGGAATCTCTTCGAGGCTTGGCAGGGCAAAAAGGACGCTTCTCGAGGTGAGGCCGGGCACCCAAGGACCCTTTCCAGTAGCCACAAGGATTTTGGGATTCCTTTCAGTATTCAAGAGGAGTCAGGCATCGTCACCTTTTGAAGCAATGAACTCAGCGTGCCTCTCGAGGTGTCAACGGGATGTGAGGCATTACGTCCAAATGAGGCAGGGACCTAGGGCTTTCTCTAAGTTCTCCACAGGGGATTCAGACATCCCAACATGTTGTGAGATCAAAGACGAGCCTGTATTCAAGCCACTGCAAGGAAATCCGGCCTCCTTTCAAGTTAGGGCTTCTCGCTGTATATTGCCCTTGAGGCAGCGAACTCGGGGTCCCTCCCACATACCTATTGCTGAGAGAAGCCTCCTCCTGAGGTGCGTCTTGAAAGTTGGCATACGTCTTGAGCCTAAGCCAGGGAATCACCTCTCATCTCGAGACGATTTGGGGTACACGGAGCATTCCTCGAGTTGCCGTGCTGAAGTTGGTGTTCCTCTGGACTTGGGACAGTGTTCTTGGGGCATCTCTGGAGTTGCCTGAAGGAAGTCGAGCCACCGGTCGTGTTGAATGGGGAACGGGGAATGGCTCTGGAGTCAATGCAGGGGAATCGGGCCTCATCTCGAGTTGATTTGGGGCCCATGGAGCTGCTTTGCGTTGCTGGGGTGACCTCAGGGTCCGTCGAGACTGGTGACAGTGTTCTTGAGGACTGTCTCGAGATCCATTAAGCAAGTCGAAGCTATTGACTTGTTTGAATGGGACCACGGAATAGCTCTGCATGCACTGCAGGGGAATGGGGTCTCATCTCGCCTCTAGGGGGAAGTCTCATGGTTTTTCTCGAGTTGCGGCGGGGACCTGGGATATGTTCTCGACTCATGGCGGGGATGGCCCTTCAAAACACGAGTTTCTTCAGTGACGTCAGGACTCCTGTCTAGTAACGAGGGACACCTCAGGAATCTCTTCGAGGCTTGGCAGGGCAAAAGGGACGCTTCTCGAGGTGAGGCAGGGCACCCAAGGACCCTTTCCAGTAGCCACATGGATTTTGGGATTCCTATCAGTATTCAAGAGGAGTCAGGCATCGTCACGTTTTGAAGCAATGAACTCTGCGTGCCTCTCGAGGTGTCAACGGGATGTGAGGCATTACGTCCAAATGAGGCAGGGACCTAGGGCTTTCTCTAAGGTCTCCACAGGGGATTCAGACATCCCTTCATGTTGTGAGATGAAAGACGAGTCTGTATTCAAGCCACTGCAAGGAAATCCGGCCTCCTTTCAAGTTAGGGCTTCTCGCTGTATATTGCCCTTGAGGCAGCGAACTCGGGGTCCCTCCCACATACCTATTGCTGAGAGAAGCCTCCTCCTGAGGTGCGTCTTGAAAGTTGGCATACGTCTTGAGCCTAAGCCAGGGAATCACCTCTCATCTCGAGACGATTTGGGGTACACAGAGCATTCCTCGAGTTGCCGTGCTGAAGTTGGTGTTCCTCTAGACTTGGGACAGTGTTCTCGGGGCATCTCTGGAGTTGCCTGAAGGAAGTCGAGCCACCGGTCGTGTTGAATGGGGAACGGGGAATGGCTCTGGAGTCAATGCAGGGGAATCGGGCCTCATCTCGAGTTGATTTGGGGCCCATGGAGCTGCTTTGTGTTGCTGGGGTGACCTCAGGGTCCGTCGAGACTGGTGACAGTGTTCTTGGGAACTGTCTCGAGATCCATTAAGCAAGTCGAAGATCCTGACTTGCTTGAATGGGACCACGGAATAGCTCTGCATGCACTGCAGGGGAATGGGGCCTCATCTCGCCTCTAGGGGGAAGTCTCATGGTTTTTCTCGAGTTGCGGCGGGGACCTGGGGTATGTTCTCGACTTACGGCGGGGATGGCAATACAAAACACGAGTTTCTTCAGTGACGTCAGGACTCCTGTCTAGTAACGAGGGACACCTCAGGAATCTCTTCGAGGCTTGGCAGGGCAAACGGGACGCTTCTCGAGCTGAGGCAGGGCACCCAAGGACCCTTTCCAGTAGCCACAGTGATTTTGGGATTCCTATCAGTATTCAAGAGGAGTGAGGCATTGTCACCTTTTGAAACAATGAACTTCGCGTGCCTCTTGAGGTGTCAGCGGGATGTGAGGCATTCCGTCCAAATGAGGCAGGGACCTTGGGCTTTCTCTAAGGTCTCCACAGGGGATTAAGACATCCCTTCATGTTGTGAGAAGAAAGACGAGCCTGTATTCAAGCCACTGCAAGGAAATCCGGCCTCCTTTCAAGTTAGGGCTTCTCGCTGTATATTGCCCTTGAGGCAGCGAACTCGGGGTCCCTCCCACATACCTATTGCTGAGAGAATCCTCCTCCTGAGGTGCGTCTTGAAAGTTGGCATACGTCTTGAGCCTAAGCCAGGGAATCACCTCTCATCTCGAGACGATTTGGGGTACACGGAGCATTCCTCGAGTTGCCGTGCTGAAGTTGGTGTTCCTCTAGACTTGGGACAGTGTTCTCGGGGCATCTCTGGAGTTGCCTGAAGGAAGTCGAGCCACCGGTCGTGTTGAATGGGGAACGGGGAATGGCTCTGGAGTCAATGCAGGGGAATCGGGCCTCATCTCGAGTTGATTTGGGGCCCATGGAGCTGCTTTGTGTTGCTGGGGTGACCTCAGGGTCCGTCGAGACTGGTGACAGTGTTCTTGTGGACTGTCTCGAGATCCATTAAGCAAGTCGAAGCTCCTGACTTGCTTGAATGGGACCACGGAATAGCTCTGCATGCACTGCAGGGGAATGGGCCTCATCTCGCCTCTAGGGGGAAGTCTCATGGTTTTTCTCGAGTTGCGGCGGGGACCTGGGGTATGTTCTCGACTTACGGCGCGGATGGCAATTCAAAACACGAGTTTCTTCAGTGACGTCAGGACTCCTGTCTAGTAACGAGGGACACCTCAGGAATCTCTTCGAGGCTTGGCAGGGCAAACGGGACCCTTCTCGAGGTGAGGCAGGGCACCCAAGGACCCTTTCCAGTAGCCACAGTGATTTTGGGATTCCTATCAGTATTCAAGAGGAGTGAGGCATTGTCACCTTTTGAAACAATGAACTTCGCGTGCCTCTTGAGGTGTCAGCGGGATGTGAGGCATTCCGTCCAAATGAGGCAGGGACCTAGGGCTTTCTCTAAGGTCTCCACAGGGGATTCAGACATCCCTTCATGTTGTGAGATGAAAGACGAGTCTGTATTCAAGCCACTGCAAGGAAATCCGGCCTCCTTTCAAGTTAGGGCTTCTCGCTGTATATTGCCCTTGAGGCAGCGAACTCGGGGTCCCTCCCACATACCTATTGCTGAGAGAAGCCTCCTCCTGAGGTGCGTCTTGAAAGTTGGCATACGTCTTGAGCCTAAGCCAGGGAATCACCTCTCATCTCGAGACGATTTGGGGTACACAGAGCATTCCTCGAGTTGCCGTGCTGAAGTTGGTGTTCCTCTAGACTTGGGACAGTGTTCTCGGGGCATCTCTGGAGTTGCCTGAAGGAAGTCGAGCCACCGGTCGTGTTGAATGGGGAACGGGGAATGGCTCTGGAGTCAATGCAGGGGAATCGGGCCTCATCTCGAGTTGATTTGGGGCCCATGGAGCTGCTTTGTGTTGCTGGGGTGACCTCAGGGTCCGTCGAGACTGGTGACAGTGTTCTTGGGGACTCTCTCGAGATCCATTAAGCAAGTCGAAGATCCTGACTTGCTTGAATGGGACCACGGAATAGCTCTGCATGCACTGCAGGGGAATGGGGCCTCATCTCGCCTCTAGGGGGAAGTCTCATGGTTTTTCTCGAGTTGCGTCGGGGACCTGGGGTATGTTCTCGACTTACGGCGGGGATGGCAATACAAAACACGAGTTTCTTCAGTGACGTCAGGACTCCTGTCTAGTAACGAGGGACACCTCAGGAATCTCTTCGAGGCTTGGCAGGGCAAACGGGACGCTTCTCGAGCTGAGGCAGGGCACCCAAGGACCCTTTCCAGTAGCCACAGTGATTTTGGGATTCCTATCAGTATTCAAGAGGAGTGAGGCATTGTCACCTTTTGAAACAATGAACTTCGCGTGCCTCTTGAGGTGTCAGCGGGATGTGAGGCATTCCGTCCAAATGAGGCAGGGACCTTGGGCTTTCTCTAAGGTCTCCACAGGGGATTAAGACATCCCTTCATGTTGTGAGAAGAAAGACGAGCCTGTATTCAAGCCACTGCAAGGAAATCCGGCCTCCTTTCAAGTTAGGGCTTCTCGCTGTATATTGCCCTTGAGGCAGCGAACTCGGGGTCCCTCCCACATACCTATTGCTGAGAGAAGCCTCCTCCTGAGGTGCGTCTTGAAAGTTGGCATACGTCTTGAGCCTAAGCCAGGGAATCACCTCTCATCTCGAGACAATTTGGGGTACACTGAGCATTCCTCGAGTTGCCGTGCTGAAGTTGGTGTTCCTCTAGACTTGGGACAGTGTTCTCGGGGCATCTCTGGAGTTGCCTGAAGGAAGTCGAGCCACCGGTCGTGTTGAATGGGGAACGGGGAATGGCTCTGGAGTCAATGCAGGGGAATCGGGCCTCATCTCGAGTTGATTTGGGGCCCATGGAGCTGCTTTGTGTTGCTGGGGTGACCTCAGGGTCCGTCGAGACTGGTGACAGTGTTCTTGTGGACTGTCTCGAGATCCATTAAGCAAGTCGAAGCTCCTGACTTGCTTGAATGGGACCACGGAATAGCTCTGCATGCACTGCAGGGGAATGGGCCTCATCTCGCCTCTAGGGGGAAGTCTCATGGTTTTTCTCGAGTTGCGGCGGGGACCTGGGGTATGTTCTCGACTTACGGCGCGGATGGCAATTCAAAACACGAGTTTCTTCAGTGACGTCAGGACTCCTGTCTAGTAACGAGGGACACCTCAGGAATCTCTTCGAGGCTTGGCAGGGCAAACGGGACGCTTCTCGAGGTGAGGCAGGGCACCCAAGGACCCTTTCCAGTAGCCACAGTGATTTTGGGATTCCTATCAGTATTCAAGAGGAGTGAGGCATTGTCACCTTTTGAAACAATGAACTTCGCGTGCCTCTTGAGGTGTCAGCGGGATGTGAGGCATTCCGTCCAAATGAGGCAGGGACCTTGGGCTTTCTCTAAGGTCTCCACAGGGGATTCAGACATCCCTTCATGTTGTGAGAAGAAAGACGAGCCTGTATTCAAGCCACTGCAAGGAAATCCGGCCTCCTTTCAAGTTAGGGCTTCTCGCTGTATATTGCCCTTGAGGCAACGAACTCGGGGTTCCTCCCACATACCTATTGCTGAGAGAAGCCTCCTCCTGAGGTGCGTCTGGAAAGTTGGCATACGTCTTGAGCCTAAGCCAGGGAATCAGCTCTCATCTCGAGACGATTTGGGGTACACGGAGCATTCCTCCAGTTGCTGTGCTGAAGTTGGTGTTCCTCTAGACTTGGGACAGTGTTCTCGGGGTATCTCTGGAGTTGCCTGAAGGAAGTCGAGCCACCGTTCGTGTTGAATGGGGTACGGGGAATGGCTCTGGAGTCAATGCAGGGGAATCGGGCCTCATCTCGAGTTGATTTGGGGCACATGGAGCTGCTTTGCGTTGCTGGGGTGACCTCAGGTTCCATCGAGACTGGTGACAGTGTTCTTGAGGACTGTCTCGAGATCCATTAAGCAATCGAAGCTCCTGACTTGTTTGAATGGGACCACGGGATAGCTCTGCATGCACTGCAGGGGAATGGGGCCTCATCTCGCCTCTAGGGGTAAGTCTCATGGTTTTTCTCGAGTTGCGGCGGGGACCTGGGGTATGTTCTCGACTTACGGCGGGGATGGCCCTTCAAAACACGAGTTTCTTCAGTGACGTCAGGACTCCTGTCTAGTAACGAGGGACACCTCAGGAATCTCATCGAGGCTTGGCAGTGCAAATGGGACGCTTCTTGAGGTGAGGCAGGGCACGCAAGGACCCTTTCCAGTAGCCACAGTGATTTTGGGATTCCTATCAGAATTCAAGAGGAGTCAGGCATCGTCACCTTTTGAAGCAATGAACTCCGCGTGCCTCTCGAGGTGTCAACGGGATGTGAGGCATTCCGTCCAAATGAGGCAGGGACCTAGGGCTTTCTCTAAGGTCTCCACAGGGGATTTAGACAACCCTTCATGTTGTGAGATGAAAGACGAGTCTGTATTCAAGCCACAGCAAGGAAATCCGGCCTCCTTTCAAGTTAGGGCTTCTCGCTGTATATTGCCCTTGAGGCAGCGAACTCGGGGTCCCTCCCACATACCTATTGCTGAGAGAAGCCTCCTCCTGAGGTGCGTCTTGAAAGTTGGCATACGTCTTGAGCCTAAGCCAGGGAATCACCTCTAATCTCGAGACGATTTGGGGTACACGGAGCATTCCTCGAGTTGCCGTGCTGAAGTTGGTGTTCCTCTAGACTTGGGACAGTGTTCTCGGGGCATCTCTGGACTTGCCTGAAGGAAGTCGAGCCACCGGTCGTGTTGAATTGGGAACGGGGAATGGCTCTGGAGTCAATGCAGGGGAATCGGGCCTCATCTCGAGTTGATTTGGGGCCCATGGAGCTGCTTTGCGTTGCTGGGGTGACCTCAGGGTCGTCGAGACTGGTGACAGTGTTCTTGGGGACTGTCTCGAGAACCATTAAGCAAGTCGAAGCTCCTGACTTGCTTGAATGGGACCACGGAATAGCTCTGCATGCACTGTAGGGGAATGGGGCCTCATCTCGCCTCTAGGGGGATGTCTCATGGTTTTTCTCGAGTTGCGGCTGGGACTTGGGGTATGTTCTCGACTTACGGCGGGGATGGCCCTTCAAAACACGAGTTTCTTCAGTGACGTCAGGACTCCTGTCTAGTAACGAGGGACACCTCAGGAATCTCTTCGAGGCTTGGCAGGGCAAAAGGGACGCTTCTCGAGGTGAGGCAGGGCACCCAAGGACCCTTTCCAGTAGCCACAGTGATTTTGGGATTCCTATCAGAATTCAAGAGGAGTCAGGCATCGTAACCTTTTGAAGCAATGAACTCCGCGTGCCTCTCGAGGTGTCAACGGGATGTGAGGCATTACGTCCAAATGGGGCAGGGAACTAGGGCTTTCTCTAAGGTCTCCACAGGGGATTCAGACATCCCTTCATGTTGTGAGATCAAAGACGAGCCTGTATTCAAGCCACTGCAAGGAAATCCGGCCTCCTTTCAAGTTAGGGCTTCTCGCTGTATATTGCCCTTGAGGCAGCGAACTCGGGGTCCCTCCCACATACCTATTGCTGAGAGAAGCCTCCTCCTGAGGTGCGTCTTGAAAGTTGGCATACGTCTTGCGCCTAAGCCAGGGAATCACCTCTCATCTCGAGACGATTTGGGGTTCATGGAGCATTCCTCGAGTTGCCGTGCTGAAGTTGGTGTTCCTCTAGACTTGGGACAGTGTTCTCGGGGTATCTCTGGAGTTGCCTGAAGGAAGTCGAGCCACCGGTCGTGTTGAATGGGGAACGGGGAATGGCTCTGGAGTCAATGCAGGGGAATCGGGCCTCATCTCGAGTTGATTTAGGGCCCATGGTGCTGCTTGGCGTTGCTGGGGTGACCTCAGGGTCCGTCGAGACTGGTGACAGTGTTCTTGGGGACTGTCTCGAGAACAATTAAGCAAGTCGAAGCTCCTGACTTGCTTGAATGGGACCACGGAATAGCTCTGCATGCACTGCAGGGGAATGGGGCCTCATCTCGCCTCTAGGGGGAAGTCTCATGGTTTTTCTCGAGTTGCGGCGGGGACCTGGTGTATGTTCTCGACTTACGGCGGGGATGGCCCTTCAAAACACGAGTTTCTTCAGTGACGTCAGGACTCCTGTCTAGTAACGAGGGACACCTCAGGAATCTCTTCGAGGCTTGGTAGGGCAAAAGGGACGCTTCTCGAGGTGAGGCAGGGCACCCAAGGACCCTTTCCAGTAGCCACAGGGATTTTGGGATTCCTATCAGTATTCAAGAGGAGTGAGGCATTGTCACCTTTTGAAGCAATGAACTTCGCGTGCCTCTTGAGGTGTCAACGGGATGTGAGGCATTCCGTCAAAATGAGGCAGGGACCTAGGGCTTTCTCTAAGGTCTCCACAGGGGATTCAGACATCCCTTCATGTTGTGAGATGAAAGACGAGCCTGTATTCAAGCCACTGCAAGGAAATCCGGCCTCCTTTCAAGTTAGGGCTTCTCGCTGTATATTGCCCTTGAGGCAGCGAACTCGGGGTCCTTCCCACATACCTATTGCTGAGAGAAGCCTCCTCCTGAGGTGCGTCTGGAAAGTTGGCATACGTCTTGAGCCTAAGCCAGGGAATCAGCTCTCATCTCGAGACGATTTGGGGTACACGGAGCATTCCTCGAGTTGCTGTGCTGAATTTGGTGTTCCTCTAGACTTGGGACAATGTTCTCGGGGTATCTCTGGAGTTGCCTGAAGGAAGTCGAGCCACCGGTCGTGTTGAATGGGGAACTGGGAATGGCTCTGGAGTCAATGCAGGGGAATCGGGCCTTATCTTGAGTTGATTTGGGGCCCACGGAGCTGCTTTGCGTTGCTGGGGTGACCACAGGGTCCGTCGAGACTGAAGACAGTGTTCTTGGGGACTGTCTCGAGAACCATTAAGCAAGTCGAAGCTCCTGACATGCTTGAATGGGACCACGGAATAGCTCTGCATGCACTGCAGGGGAATGGGGCCTCATCTCGCCTCTAGGGGGAAGTCTCATGGTTTTTCTCGAGTTGCAGCGGGGACCTGGGGTATGTTCTTGACTTACGGCGGGGATGGTCCTTCAAAACACGAGTTTCTTCAGTGACGTCAGGACTCCTGTCTAGTAACGAGGGACACCTCAGGAATCTCTTCGAGGCTTGGCAGGGCAAAAAGGACGCTTCTCGAGGTGAGGCCGGGCACCCAAGGACCCTTTCCAGTAGCCACAAGGATTTTGGGATTCCTTTCAGTATTCAAGAGGAGTCAGGCATCGTCACCTTTTGAAGCAATGAACTCAGCGTGCCTCTCTAGGTGTCAACGGGATGTGAGGCATTACGTCCAAATGAGGCAGGGACCTAGGGCTTTCTCTAAGGTCTCCACAGGGGATTCAGACATCCCAACATGTTGTGAGATCAAAGACGAGCCTGTATTCAAGCCACTGCAAGGAAATCCGGCCTCCTTTCAAGTTAGGGCTTCTCGCTGTATATTGCCCTTGAGGCAGCGAACTCGGGGTCCCTCCCACATACCTATTGCTGAGAGAAGCCTCCTCCTGAGGTGCGTCTTGAAAGTTGGCATACGTCTTGAGCCTAAGCCAGGGAATCACCTCTCATCTCGAGACGATTTGGGGTACACGGAGCATTCCTCGAGTTGCCGTGCTGAAGTTGGTGTTCCTCTGGACTTGGGACAGTGTTCTCGGGGCATCTCTGGAGTTGCCTGAAGGAAGTCGAGCCACCGGTCGTGTTGAATGGGGAACGGGGAATGGCTCTGGAGTCAATGCAGGGGAATCGGGCCTCATCTCGAGTTGATTTGGGGCCCATGGAGCTGCTTTGCGTTGCTGGGGTGACCTCAGGGTCCGTCGAGACTGGTGACAGTGTTCTTGAGGACTGTCTCGAGATCCATTAAGCAAGTCGAAGCTCCTGACTTGTTTGAATGGGACCACGGAATAGCTCTGCATGCACTGCAGGGGAATGGGGTCTCATCTCGCCTCTAGGGGGAAGTCTCATGATTTTTCTCGAGTTGCGGCGGGGACCTGGGGTATATTCTCGACTTACGGCGGGGATGGCCCTTCAAAACACGAGTTTCTTCAGTGACATCAGGACTCCTGTCTAGTAACGAGGGAAACCTCAGGAATCTCATCGAGGCTTGGCAGTGCAAATGGGACGCTTCTTGAGGTGAGGCAGGGCACGCAAGGACCCTTTCCAGTAGCCACAGTGATTTTGGGATTCCTATCAGAATTCAAGAGGAGTCAGGCATCGTCAACTTTTGAAGCAATGAACTCCGCGTGCCTCTCGAGGTGTCAACGGGATGTGAGGCATTCCGTCCAAATGAGGCAGGGACCTAGGGCTTTCTCTAAGGTCTCCACAGGGGATTCAGACATCCCTTCATGTTGTGAGATCAAAGACGAGCCTGTATTCAAGCCACTGCAAGGAAATCCGGCCTCCTTTCAAGTTAGGGCTTCTCGCTGTATATTGCCCTTGAGGCAGCGAACTCGGGGTCCCTCCCACATACCTATTGCTGAGAGAAGCCTCCTCCTGAGGTGCGTCTTGAAAGTTGGCATACGTCTTGAGCCTAAGCCAGGGAATCACCTCTCATCTCGAGACGATTTGGTGTACACGGAGCATTCCTCGAATTGCCGTGCTGAAGTTGGTGTTCCTCTGGACTTGGGACAGTGTTCTCGGGGCATCTCTGGAGTTGCCTGAAGGAAGTCGAGCCACCGGTCGTGTTGAATGGGGAACGGGGAATGGCTCTGGAGTCAATGCAGGGGAATCGGGCCTCATCTCGAGTTGATTTGGGGCCCATGGAGCTGCTTTGCGTTGCTGGGGTGACCTCAGGGTCCGTCGAAACTGGTGACAGTGTTCTTGGGGACTGTCTCGAGATCCATTAAGCAAGTCGAAGCTCCTGACTTGTTTGAATGGGACCACGGAATAGCTCTGCATGCACTGCAGGGGAATGGGGTCTCATCTCGCCTCTAGGGGGAAGTCTCATGGTTTTTCTCGAGTTGCGGCGGGGACCTGGGGTATGTTCTCGACTTACGGCGGGGATGGCCCTTCAAAACACGAGTTTCTTCAGTGACGTCAGGACTCCTGTCTAGTAACGAGGGACACCTCAGGAATCTCTTCGAGGCTTGGCAGGGCAAAAGGGACGCTTCTCGAGGTGAGGCAGGGCACCCAAGGACCCTTTCCAGTAGCCACATGGATTTTGGGATTCCTATCAGTATTCAAGAGGAGTCAGGCATCGTCACGTTTTGAAGCAATGAACTCTGCGTGCCTCTCGAGGTGTCAACGGGATGTGAGGCATTACGTCCAAATGAGGCAGGGACCTAGGGCTTTCTCTAAGGTCTCCACAGGGGATTCAGACATCCCTTCATGTTGTGAGATGAAAGACGAGTCTGTATTCAAGCCACTGCAAGGAAATCCGGCCTCCTTTCAAGTTAGGGCTTCTCGCTGTATATTGCCCTTGAGGCAGCGAACTCGGGGTCCCTCCCACATACCTATTGCTGAGAGAAGCCTCCTCCTGAGGTGCGTCTTGAAAGTTGGCATACGTCTTGAGCCTAAGCCAGGGAATCACCTCTCATCTCGAGACGATTTGGGGTACACAGAGCATTCCTCGAGTTGCCGTGCTGAAGTTGGTGTTCCTCTCGACTTGGGACAGTGTTCTCGGGGCATCTCTGGAGTTGCCTGAAGGAAGTCGAGCCACCGGTCGTGTTGAATGGGGAACGGGGAATGGCTCTGGAGTCAATGCAGGGGAATCGGGCCTCATCTCGAGTTGATTTGGGGCCCATGGAGCTGCTTTGTGTTGCTGGGGTGACCTCAGGGTCCGTCGAGACTGGTGACAGTGTTCTTGGGGACTGTCTCGAGATCCATTAAGCAAGTCGAAGATCCTGACTTGCTTGAATGGGACCACGGAATAGCTCTGCATGCACTGCAGGGGAATGGGGCCTCATCTCGCCTCTAGGGGGAAGTCTCATGGTTTTTCTCGAGTTGCGGCGGGGACCTGGGGTATGTTCTCGACTTACGGCGGGGATGGCAATACAAAACACGAGTTTCTTCAGTGACGTCAGGACTCCTGTCTAGTAACGAGGGACACCTCAGGAATCTCTTCGAGGCTTGGCAGGGCAAACGGGACGCTTCTCGAGCTGAGGCAGGGCACCCAAGGACCCTTTCCAGTAGCCACAGTGATTTTGGGATTCCTATCAGTATTCAAGAGGAGTGAGGCATTGTCACCTTTTGAAACAATGAACTTCGCGTGCCTCTTGAGGTGTCAGCGGGATGTGAGGCATTCCGTCCAAATGAGGCAGGGACCTTGGGCTTTCTCTAAGGTCTCCACAGGGGATTAAGACATCCCTTCATGTTGTGAGAAGAAAGACGAGCCTGTATTCAAGCCACTGCAAGGAAATCCGGCCTCCTTTCAAGTTAGGGCTTCTCGCTGTATATTGCCCTTGAGGCAGCGAACTCGGTGTCCCTCCCACATACCTATTGCTGAGAGAAGCCTCCTCCTGAGGTGCGTCTTGAAAGTTGGCATACGTCTTGAGCCTAAGCCAGGGAATCACCTCTCATCTCGAGACGATTTGGGGTACACGGAGCATTCCTCGAGTTGCCGTGCTGAAGTTGGTGTTCCTCTAGACTTGGGACAGTGTTCTCGGGGCATCTCTGGAGTTGCCTGAAGGAAGTCGAGCCACCGGTCGTGTTGAATGGGGAACGGGGAATGGCTCTGGAGTCAATGCAGGGGAATCGGGCCTCATCTCGAGTTGATTTGGGGCCCATGGAGCTGCTTTGTGTTGCTGGGGTGACCTCAGGGTCCGTCGAGACTGGTGACAGTGTTCTTGTGGACTGTCTCGAGATCCATTAAGCAAGTCGAAGCTCCTGACTTGCTTGAATGGGACCACGAAATAGCTCTGCATGCACTGCAGGGGAATGGGCCTCATCTCGCCTCTAGGGGGAAGTCTCATGGTTTTTCTCGAGTTGCGGCGGGGACCTGGGGTATGTTCTCGACTTACGGCGGGGATGGCCCTTCAAAACATGAGTTTCTTCCGTGACGTCAGGACTCCTGTCTAGTAACGAGGGACACCTCAGGAATCTCTTCGAGGCTTGGCAGGGCAAACGGGACGCTTCTCGAGGTGAGGCAGGGCACCCAAGGACCCTTTCCAGTAGCCACAGTGATTTTGGGATTCCTATCAGTATTCAAGAGGAGTGAGGCATTGTCACCTTTTGAAACAATGAACTTCGCGTGCCTCTTGAGGTGTCAGCGGGATGTGAGGCATTCCGTCCAAATGAGGCAGGGACCTAGGGCTTTCTCTAAGGTCTCCACAGGGGATTCAGACATCCCTTCATGTTGTGAGATCAAAGACGAGTCTGTATTCAAGCCACTGCAAGGAAATCCGGCCTCCTTTCAAGTTAGGGCTTCTCGCTGTATATTGCCCTTGAGGCAGCGAACTCGGGGTCCCTCCCACATACCTATTGCTGAGAGAAGCCTCCTCCTGAGGTGCGTCTTGAAAGTTGGCATACGTCTTGAGCCTAAGCCAGGGAATCACCTCTCATCTCGAGACGATTTGGGGTACACAGAGCATTCCTCGAGTTGCCGTGCTGAAGTTGGTGTTCCTCTAGA